GGGAGCTGATTTTTCATGTTTAATACTATGTTTGACCAAAAGATTCTGAAATTCTTGTGAAGTGAATTCTGTTCCGTTGTCGCCCTAATGCGTTTTACCTTGCCATATGGAGTAATATCAGCTAAAAATTTTTCAGTTGCCTTATTAGTGTCAGACTTATTCACGAAAATATATCATAGTTAGTCCCGAATAATCATCTACAAAAGCTAGTGCATATCGATAATCATTTCTGGCTACAGGATCTATTGGACCTGCTAAATCACAATGGACTAGTTCTAGAATTGCATTTGCCGCCTATCTGGTTTTCTACTTCTGCTCTGAGTCATTTTTCCTTCTACACAAGTTTTACAGTCGAATTCTTCCTTCTTGTCTATTTTCATGTCATCAACCACATTTTCTAAAGCAATAATATCATTTAGGTTGCAGTGCCCTAAGATGTCATGCCATTCCTTTAAAGATTTTGTTTTGCCAATTTGCTTAGTCATGCTAGATGAGATTGCACTATTCAAATAATATAACTTTCCTTTTCTCTCAATTGGAAATTCTTTCCCATTTGAGCTAACTAATTTAGCACAATCTGGCTAGAAAGTAACAGTGGCACCTTTACTAACTGCGGCATGTACAGAGAGAATGTCTTGTTTATAGGATGGGACATAGAGAGCATCCTTAAGAAGAGCCTTATGCATTACACCATCATTATCACTAATTTCAATCTCCGCATCGCCCCTTCTTTGTGCAACCTTATTTGACCTTTTTCCATCTGCTAACTCAATGAAATGCCTTTCAGGAATGAAATTTGTGTCAAACCTAATAAATTTGCTCATGTCATGAACTATGTGTCTAGTTGCCCCACAGTCTACAAATACATGGTTAACATAGTCAGCGTTCGTTATATCCACGTTGACATTGAATGCATATGAATGACCTTCATGGATGTCATTGTTACTAACATAATTATCTCTTACTGATTTAGTAGCATCGTTCGTATTCCTCGTTTTCTTCTTGTTCTTGCGACATTTTTCTGTGTTGTGGGAGCTGTTCTTGCACAAATCTCACCAACGATTATTTGACTGACATTCTGATATTTTATGTCCTGGTTTTCCGCATCCGTAACAAACGATTTTTGCTTTGCCGTGTCTGTTGCTCGTAGGTTTACCGAGAACTTCCATCACGCTGTCCTCCTTTTGGTTATCTTCATCTGAGAGCTTTAGTGTTTCTTCGAAACCTCTCAACGCGACTTTGAATTCGCTAAACGTTTGTTCCTTGTCTTTCTGTGTCACAACCGTCGAGAACGTTTTATATTTTTCAGAAGGCAATCCTTTGATAATCATGGCAATCAGCAAGCTATCGCTTATCGTTTCACCAGCAGATTTGAGAGACGTTGATGCCGTTTCTGCTCGCAGCATATAATCCGTAACTGTTTCATCACTTGACTTCTTTAGCGAAGTTAGTTCTGTATGTAACGTTATCACACGTGGTTTGCCTTTCGAAAGATAGTGCTCGCGTAAGATCGCCAAAGCTTTTCTTCCATCGTTAGCAGCGTCACGAATGATGAGAGATAAACTTCTATCGTCCAATAGTTGTATCAGTTCAGCATAGGCATCGGCATTTTTCACAGCGTCTTCTTCTCTTTGTGTTTGTCCAGCATCGGTAGGCAATGACGACAGGATTGTTTTACTCAGCTTCTTGAGTCTTAAATACCCAAGGAATTTTATTTCCCATAACTCATACTTTCTCTCGTCACCATCGAAAATTAGGCGGCTGTTGCTGGGCCATAACCTGTTGAATTCATGATGGTGGTAGCGAATAAATCACACTATTAAGCTAATATAGTTCAAGTTTATTATTAGTTCGCCATTGCGTTACATGTGCTCGACTCGACTGAATATATAATAGAATGCAGTAAAAGCAGCGCCCTCTATAGTATAAGAGTTGGGACAAACGGTCTGGGGCGAGCGCGGAGCCGCCATTTTGGTTCCTACTTGCAAAGTGAAACTATAATAATACTATTGGAAATTGGGTTTATATGCAAAAGAAGAAAGCAATTTAAGCTTATTCCATGGTAGTATCAAATATATTAGGAATAATAGCAAGCTCTTGCGTTTTTAACGATTTGCGGCAGACCTGATTTAATTTCATTGGTTTGAGCTTCGTTTGCGGTTTACTAGTTCGTGCTTCAAATTGATCGTGACCCATTGTAAGAAGTATTTTCGTACGTGAACGTGTTTTCTCGGCTTATGTTCCGACTCTGTAACAAGTTTTCAAGATCTTTAAGCTTGGTGGCAAGCGGCAATGTTATCCTGGCATCAGTGTTATCAAATACTTGGACAAGACTTTGTTCGAAACTTTGAATCATAGTAATCATGCAGATTTAATGGAAGTGAGTGATTTATGCCCCCCCAATTTAATCCAAGCATGATATCTTTTATTCTGAAAGATCACAAAATTTTCTTGCTCAGCAGAAAATGACAGACTTTTTTACTTTTTAGTTATTGAAATATGATTTGACCAAGATGCATTTGACCTTAAACGTTTTATTCCTGTATATGAAGTTATTTCGCCTTTATCACTTTATAAAGTATTAAAGTTTATTTCTAATAAAGTTTGTTAGGGATTCTGCTGAAAATTTTGGTGAAGCATTTCTTTAAAATGAATATATTATTTCTATAATATGAAACATTTCTGTTGTTGAAGAACAGTCTGTTTGCTATAAATGCTACTGTTTGTAGTCTTTATACAGCATATGAGTCTGATCCAATCTTTAATTTAGCAAAGAGTTAAATTTATTGGTTGAGGAATGACAAAACTTCTATATGTGTTTAATGATCAAACAGGGTGTGTTGAGGAGCTCAGCCCCGTTTGTTCAAATTCTATGCCTTGTATTGCCAGTGAAATATATATATCAAAAAGCTAGCAGCACCTAAATATATATCAGAAAGCCAGCAATATTTTAATATATATGAGAAAGGCAGCAACAGTTGTAATATACATTAAAAAGCCCAAATAGCTGAAATTATGGAGATATGCCTCTGTGATCTTATAAACCAAAACCTACAATTAAAATATCATCAACAAGTCTAGAAGAGAAGTAATGTTCTACTTTGAGCTACAGAAGTAGGGTACATTTGTACAATTCAATAAAAATATATTGTACTCAGCTGTTTCATTGAATATCCTAATTATAATTACTTCATTTTAAATGATGAACTAAAAATACAAAATACAACATGGAAAATCATAAGAGTTTCTGTGATTTGGTGTAGTTGTTTTAGTATGGAAGTGGCTGAGAATTGAGAGGTTTGTAGATTGACCAATTTCAGAACATAATGAGAAATCATCTTCGATTAAAAAACAAGCTTTGGAGTAAGAAAACTATTGAAACTGCATCAGCACGAACTTTGCAATGTTATTTGGCCCAAAATGTTTCTCTACTTGAGTCAGTTAATTGAACCTTATATCAAAAGCAGTTCAGCACAACAATCACCATACGCAATCAAATTTCGTAAGTTCGACGTAAAGGCATTTTTTCATTTTTTCGTAATCCTCGATTTATGCGATATGTAATGACATTTAGTAGCCTTCAACAATCAGTTATTACACACTTATCCATAAAAAAACGCAATATTATCTCAAAATACTGTATTACTAGCAGCAATTGCTATATAAACACAAGCTAAAATTTCAAAACTAGGAACCAAAATGGCGGAAATTGATCAGGTGATCAATATTGCCCAATCAACGTAAGCTAAACGGATAACAATAGATGTCCCAACTCTTATACTATAGAGGGCTCTGAGTAAAAGTCCTATAAGAATGTTCACGTGTCTTAAAAGAAGCACTTAAGGAAATATCAAATTACAATGTTTAACCTAACAAATGTTTATCAGACATTGATCTTTACGTCCAATAAGGATGGTGTCATAAAATAAGCAGAGTAATGCTGCGATTGAGTGTACAAACACACCACACACATGAGATAGCTCATTTTGTTAACATATTGCACAAATGTGTTAAACATTCTACCAAACAATCCCTTCTCTTTCAAGATTCAAAATATGGCATACAACACATCAACTAACTTCTTTTAAGACAATATTGAAGACAACATAAATTGTTTGTGAATCAACATTTTTGTTCTGGCAGTGGCTTCGGACGAATAGTTTCCAACTTATCAATCACCTGAAAAATGGATACAGAAGTTTTTAACATGATAATGCTGCATAGAATAGCAAGTCTTACAGCCTTCATATGGCCAAACTATGGTAATTTGTTGATTGATAAAAATTAATCCTCAATAGATGAACATCGTTTCATCGCTTACAACAAGAGAAATGTCCCCATACAACTGTTTCTATTCTATTGAAACTTGCAATCGTCCCAATTTCAATACCTAAAATAAAAATTTTCAAAATGCTTGACAGCATCAACATACATACACAGCTACACATAATATGTAAGGAACAATGTGCACAGAGAATTTAAACTTTTCAAACAAACAGATGTTTAAAGATGTAAAAGGCAGCAAGTACCTCACCACTCTTACTTCCATTCTCGCTTTCCACATTTTTGTCTAAAAATCTATCCTTCTGAAGATTGGGATCGCTAAAATAAAACTCAATATGAAAATATAGATAAAACACAAATGGATCATAAATCAATGGAACAGTAAATAAACCTTTTCTACCTGCTTTATAAGATCAAAGGATGACCTTTCACATGCTCTGCTTTTCTCCCTCTGTATCGTTGCCTTTGACTCAAAATTGTCTATTTTATCACTTTTCGCATTATTCCTTCCATTGAAATGTTACTAAAATCAAAAGCAAGTAAATTTGCTTTAATAACAAATCAAAATTGTTGAAATATAGTACATGTTAAATGAATTTACATCCGCCATGACAGTTTTCTGACTCAGTTCCCCATGTGCGTGTTTACGCGTGACGCGTGAGTTGTCTTCAAAAGTCACATACGTACGTATAGAAGTCAAACCTATCAAAATATTATTCAGGTTGCCAACAAGTGCATATTTGAGTTTTTGTATTATCAAAATTATTGGCCACTGAGCTAACTGATGGGATCCTGTTATGATCAATACTACGATTATTATAAAAGTATTTCTGATTGGCGATTCTGGTGTTGGGAAATCATGCCTTCTTTCACGTTTTACTAGAAACGAATTCGATCAGGAATCGAAGTCTACAAATGGAGTGGAATTTGCGACAAGAAGTTTGGAAATCGATGGCAAAGTTGTTAAGCTCAGGTAAATGACTTTATGCTTCTGTTGAACGAGGAACGAGTTGAACTAGGATTAAATGCTCTTGGTTAAGATGCAATTTTTAAACAATAAAATCCATTTAAGCACTTTAAAATATTAAGTAGGACGAACGACCATGTAAAAAACTCACCCAATATCATTATTTTCATTATGTGTCTCACTAATGAAAATAAATTCAAACAATGATTTTTTATTGAGTCATTTTATATGTGCAATGAATTCCGACAATACTCTTCTACTTCCTGTGTTAAGTTGTCTTTCTACTGCATTGATAGCATCTTTAATATGTAAAATTTCTTATGAAGGTTTGGGATACTGCAGGTCAAGAAAGGTGCAGAGCAATTACAAGTGCTTATTACAGGGGAGCAGTTGGTGCTGCTATTCTAGTTTATGACATAACAAAAACAAGACTAATTACATCAAAAGAACACATCATTAGGTTTGGAAACATAGACAGATTTGGTTGTTTCAGCCCATTTGTATGCCAATGTTCGTTTATGCATTATCAACAACATTAAATGCAGAAAGTTGTAATGTATTTTAAAACCATTACGCTCCAAACTTTTGTATACCTGACTGCCTGGGTTAGCCCTTCAGTTTATCCTGTATTTCTGATTAACAAAATGAATCCTGTTTTTCATGTTATTGCAAATGCTTGGTAAGAACTTGGTAGGGGCTATCTATTTCCTAACCATACTTAATTAAATCATGCAAAGGAACTATTTCATAATGTTAAACAAAAGGTTTTAATTCCTCAGCCAAAAAACACGTTATTCAATTATAAAGGTGATCAATTCACGCATAATTAAGCATGACAACTGAAGATTGATTGTTCATAACAATAATCAAATATGGTAATTTATATCTAAAACGTTAAAAAGCACATCTACTTTTTTCTTGCATCAAGATCATCCAGTATCTTGGTCATCTAAAGGATTCAATATGAATAAATGGTCACGTGTTGGTTTGATCTGAAAATAATCACCTTCTTTGTCAATAACTACATGAGAAAAATTCACATGGTAAATAATTGAGAAAATATTCAAGATGATTGATAGCTAGCAACCATGTACTTATAGCGAAGTAAAAGACAACTGTGAATATATATTTTAAAACAATAGCACATACTTCATGTAGTCATATTTCCAGTCTTTAAGTTTCAGGATATTTCTTTTTACAGACAATGGTGAAACCCAGGGTAAAATATTGAGATAACAGCCAGGTTTATCATTGGTACCTGATGCAACGTTATAGCATAAGAAACAGCTTTTGTGTACAGTAGCAGCACAGCTAATCTATCTTATTTATATTGATATAACCTTCTGTCTATTGAAAAATATTTGAAGTAATAAAAAAACATGTTATTGAATGGACCGACCCCTTAAATAGTAAAAATAGTAAAAAGTCTCTTTACATACAAGTTAAGGATTATACTGGCCTTTAGGTTGTGCTTCATACGGCATAAACAACAAACCTGACATTCGACGACCACCAAATGGTTGTTGAGCAACCACTGACCCTGTACATTTGTCATTGATATAAAAATTACCAGCAGCTTGTCTTAAAACTTGTTGGACTTCCCTGATAACTTCTCTGTAATTATTCAACATATAGAAAAATGGTAAGAAGACTTGTAGTATTGTACTATATATGTGTATAAACATATTTTCTCGTAATATCACCAATTTTAGATTCTTAGTTTGAAGACTTCTTATGTAAATTTTTAGCCTTAATCATAAGTGGACAATGTTTACATCATTTGTACCTTGATTCACTAAAAACGGCTCCAGTTAAAGCAAATTTACTTGTTTCATCAATCTAAAAAAACACATTCAAGATGTAACATGAATATTTTTAACATGTTCATCAACTGTTATAAAACGAAATATTTCATTTTAGGACGATTAACAATTTCATCAAAGTCCGCAATTGCTAGACAATTGCTATGACCTTTAACCAAAAAGTCATCTCAAATTAATAGTTTTCTTTTTCACTGAACAATTAAATACAAACCATTTTTAATATATCTCTATACATATCAGCTTTGTAAACATAAATCGGAAGAACTGGTCCAAATATTTCCTAGACAAAAAAAATTTTTCGAAGGTCAACTTTTGTTAAGCTGAAATATGATGTTTAATGTTACCTCAGTCATTAGTTTGTCTTTTGGATCTTTTACCTCCATAATAGTTGGTTCAATGTAGTAACCAACTCTAAGTAAATTGCGATAAATCATGTATTTCTATATGGACAACAATTTCTCTTGATTTAAAAATTATGAAATAAGGTGAACATACCTATCATCTGAAATTCCACCAGCCAAAATAATCACATTTTCACATTTCTTTGCATAGTCAATGAATCCTTTAATTGACTCAAATGCCTTAAAATAATGTAAACATTCTTTCCTCCCCTTAAAATTTTAACAGAAAAAATAACAAAGACTTACCTTCTTGTTAATTACTGAAGACATAAAGTTGGAAAATTCTGAAGGCTAAACATAATTTAATTATAATTAGAAAACGTTACATAGATGTCAATGAAATTTTTAGAGGTCATACCCATCATGGATATGTGTTTTTTTAAATAGTCATGAATTTATATCATTTAATGATTTTATGATTTCCCTATCGTTCATTCTTTTTGATTTTCTTCGAAAACATTCCATTTATTGACTGGAATAAATACGGTCTCAATATTTTATTTTTGCAATCTGCTGTACGTAAAGCCTAATTATTTCTTTAAGTAACGTCAAACTTTAACAATTACATAGCATTGACTTAGACAAACAAGAAGTTATTATTTTCAGCACAGGTGTACAGATTTCTAAAGAAAAGTTTGTGGTAAAATTATATAGATTAGAAACCTCTCCCATTTTAACATCTTTGTGACAGTCCAACAATTTCTCACGTATCTAAAAAAACGTATCAGAAATCCTGACTTCATAAAGTGATGATGAATTATTTAACTGCACAATGCCTCAGGTCCAGTTTGATACCAATATGTGTTCAAAAATATTGACCTTTCATGTTGGTAAAGTCCTGAAAAAGACCATTGATGTTGATATTTAAGGAAAGATCGAATTTTTTGGCAGTAGTTAACTTCAAATTCAAGAAGAATTAAATGTCAGCTTCGCCATATTTTTTGTCTGCTTTATACCTAATGATGTCAAAACATCAGTCAATACTACTAACACCAACAATCCTTTTGAAGATTTTACTGTAAAAGAATTTTAATCCTTTAAATTATTGTTTTGGTTTACTTATAACATATATTTTCTATAAAGCTCCTGTCTACCCTATGGTTACCTTTATTACAGCATGTGTTCCTTACCTGAGGCCATATTGTGTCAGGAACATACATCCTTCCGCAGGCAGAACATTTTTGACCACTGTATTCAAAGGCTGATCGAATCGTGCTATTGACAACTAAATCTAAAATTTATACAACATTTACATTACTGTAATTTATAAGAAAGGTGAATGCATTTCATACCAATGTCTGCTGATTCATGAACAAAATGGAAATTTTTGCCTCCACATTCTAAAAGATAAAATAAATTATATTTATGAGTGTCATATTTTAAAAAGTATGAACAAAGGACAAAGATAAAGCACACACCTCCAGAAAGACGTGGGAAAGTCCTCAACAATGAAAAGATCATGTCATCAATTAAATAATATAATATGTAGAAAGGGTTTCAGATCAATTGGTTCACCTGTAAATGTCAATATTGTTTCCAACCTGTTTCCATAAAGCTTTAAAAGTCCTTCAAAAAAACCCAGAATTAATCGTTTAAAAAAAATACCATACACAAATCAACAATTTCATTCATACCTCTCACTACCAACAAATGATAAACCTGCCATATGTGGTGAGGATGTTACTGTGTTACCAAATTTTACTTCATGTGATGGAAGAAAATTGATGACACCTTAAAAAAAATTGGACTTAATTATGGCTGAATTTCAAAATTTGACGAAGAATTTAAAAAATGTTAATGTAAGAACCTGGTGGAAGACCTGCTTCTTCTAATATTTCATATATTGACCATGATGCAATCATAGAACTCAAAGATGGTTTCCATAACACTACATTACCAAGAGTTGCGGGACCTGTTGCTAAGTTACCTCCAATTGCAGTGAAGTTGAATGGGCTTATGGCTGCAATAAAGCCCTTAACAATAAAGAAATTGCATTTAATTTTACCATAAAATTATTTCTGCAAATAATAAATGATCACAAAATTGTAGCAACTGACCTCCAAACCTCTGGCAGTCATTGAGTTTTTTTCTTTTTCAAATTGAATAAGTTCAACGTTATCCAAAATTCCCTTACAAAACAATGACAGTTCACAACATGAAAATTTAAATAAATCAGATAAATCATTACTTTATGATTTATATTATATATTAATTTTTTACCTTTGCATAATGAGCATTAAACCTTAAGAAATCTGCCAACTCTGCAACACAATCAATATCTGCTTGCATGGCAACCTTGGCCTATAAATATCAAATACTTTTATATAGTATATTTTCACATTTTTATAGATATTATTGAGGTCAGTACAGGCCTAAGAAATACTGTAGCGTTTGCTATAGTTGCAGTTTTTGCTGACTGATGTAGACACACAGTACTTACCTGGATATTTAACATCTATGACAAACATGAAACAATACTCTTGCGTTCAAATAATATATATTTTTTTAAAAATAAAAATGAAACAAGTAAATACTAACTTGGCCAGCCATTGTTAGTGCTAATGAATGCAAGCGATATTTTGTTGTCAATAAAGTTGCTGCATTTGTAAAAATTGATGACCTAAATGAAGAAAATCAATTTACATTTCTCACAAGTTTTTATATCATTTTGAAAGATAAAGATTAATTAAATAAGTTGATTATGAACCACAAATGATTCATATTTCTAAATTGGAAACACAAAAGACCTATAGTACACAATATATTTTCAGTCTCTCAGCTTTTTTTTCAATAAAATCTTGTACCTTTCATCTTGACTCAAAATTTCCCACTCATTTCTCTTCAGTAAGGATGAATCAATAGCTTTGTTAATAAGTTTCTAATTATATAGTAATGGAAGAATAACAAGCTAATAAGCATTGGTGTATTACAAAAATTAAAAAGCCTTTCAGTTAGTACAATGTACCTCATCAGCAAGGTGAACTTTAGCCACCTTATTTTCATGTCTGTACGGCTAGAATACGAAAATATTGAATTAAAACGATAGAAAAATTACAGTGTTACTAACCATATAAATCTAACCAGGATTTGGTACGCAACATTTCCTGTAAATATTTTTTTGCCATCCACTACACATGGAATTTCAATTTGCTTGTTTTCCACATTATAGAGTTCGTTCAACAAACTTGTGCGAATAGATATATCAGTAAGATCAGTCGAAGGTTCATTGACAGGGAAAGAAGAAACATGCTGCCATCTCGATATAAAATATCTGAAATGAAATTGTTTGTCACAACGAGAAGCATTCAAGTCTATCTTATGTTTTTTGTACTATTTTGTACCTCGGCCATTTTAGATAAAACTTCTTCGCTATCATTTTTGTGCTCATCATTTAAAGTTTGATGTCGTTGATGTGGTTCATTGAGAGCATACATCGTCATCTGAGGCGAATATCGTCATCTGACAAATATCGTCATCAAAGTATTAACTTATTTTGATAGTTACTTTGGATCAGAGCCAGACAGGACAAAAAACATCCCTGTTCCATATAAACAGATCAAAATTACCTATAGAAAATGTATACGGTATATGATCCATCCCACATTTAACATCCAGACCCTGCTCTCATATAAACAGGCCCTAAAAGAGAGTAAGATGATATTATCAGGTATTACATCTGCACTCAGAACAAATGAAAGTTCCCGAGGGGAGGATATGAATGCGATGTGATGATACACGCTTTTGTTAACCACCTTTTCATTTTGTTGCCTTTACAACGAAAAACAGTCATTAAAGCAAGCCCTGTGTTATTCAAAAAAATAAAAGAAGTGTGATTTGATTACGTGGCAGACAAATTTAAAACTTTTTTGGCTTGTGCAGGTAATTTCATGAATTTTAACCTCCCCCCCTTCCCCAGCACAATTGGGAAAAATACCAAGTTCAAATACTGTCAAATTTAAGATGGCTGCTTGTGTAAAGTTTCTTCGTTTAAATGCTAATTGTGTGGAGAAATGTCATTTGCTCATTCTGTTTGTTAATTTCTTTTTGATTCGCACAAGTTGCAAGGAAGATTACTATAGTATCTTGGGTATTGATAGAAATGCAAATGTTGAGGAAATAAAACGTTCTTACCGTCGTCTAGCCAAAGAATGGTTAGTTATAGTTTCAAATTTTATACACTGTAATGTGATCGAAAATTTTAAAATGTTTAAAAAATGTTAATTTATGCAGTTGTCTTGCTTGATATTACGTTGTATAAAATCATTATATGGTGTTTTACATAGGCATCCTGATCGAACTAGAAGATCTGGTGCTGAAGAAAAATTTATTGAGATCAACAAAGCTTACGAGGTATTTATTCTAATTAATGAGCACAATTAAATCTTACAGAGAACAGCAATAAAAATGATAGACATTATGAAGATAAGTTGCTGCTATTGTTTGTAGTTATGAAAATGGACCATGGAAGATTGATAATTGGGCTGTGCCATGGCTTGTGCAAAATCTTGTCTGAAAACTGTTTCCCAAACTTTATTGGTCATGCTTAAAAAAAATTTTTTTTTAAACTTGACAGGTTTTGTCAGATTCTAATAGAAGATCAGAATATGACAGATTTGGTGAAACAGGAACAGCAAATTATCCTGAACAAAAATTTCACTTTTTTTATGGAAACGAGTTCATGTTCTTTAATGGCATGCCTAACAACAAAAGGCATGAAGATTTAATAACTACAAAATTTTATCAATATTCAATTTTACCTGAAAGCAGAAAAAAAATATATTTGCTCAAGATTATTTCAAATTGGTGTTTGTCATGTAAGTCTGATATTTTAATTATCATTCATCATTTTCAAGACAGCATTATATGTTAAGATTGATGATTTCATCAAGGTTCTGCTACAGAAGATATCTGGGAAGATCTCTCTCGTGATTTGCAAAGAAATGGCATTGGAACTGGACGAGTGAATAAAAATTTTGATCCTATTTAGCTCAGTTATTGGATGTAAGGAGGTTGCCTGACTTTGTTGCTGTTATCTATGGTAGATTATATCATTTTACTGGTATTGTTAGTGTTGAAAATTTGAAGAAGTTTGTAAGTGATTTGATCTCTTCTTATCACTATATTCATGAGGTTTGTGATGGTCTTTTTTAAAATAACAGTAGTGCTTTTTAAGCCACAATTGTGTGTATTTAATATTATAGCTTACTGACGGCAACTTTGAAGATTTTTTAAGTCATTGGTATGACAATAAACCACGGGTAGTACTGCTAACAACCAAGAAAGAACCACCATTGCTTTTAAAAACTGTGGTATTTAAATATAGACATTATATCGGTGTTGGTTATGCCCAAACTACAAAAAATCCAAAACTAATAAACAACTTTAGTGTATCAAAAACTACTCCATCATTGATGATATTTAAAGAGAATGTTAGATTTCCTCATATTTTTTTGAAGGTAGGTACTATATTTTTTTAATGGGCTATCTTTAAGAGTTGTTAATGTTTCAACTTTAAAATGATTTCTTAAATATCTAGGGTTCGGATCTAAAAGCTGGAGCTTTGGAGTTGGCAATTTTCAACAATTTGTATTTGAATCTTCCTCGACTTTCTTCACAAATGATTTTCCAAAGTTTTGCCCTTATCAACCTTACTCCATGAGCCATAGGTAATTCTTCATCATTATCTTACCTCAGTTCTGTTATTACATTGACATATGACAATTTATTTTAGTTATTGCGTTGTTTTGTTCACAAATGAATGGCCAAACCCAACTCACCCACTTGTTGTTATGGCTCAAGATAACTCCTGGAGAGAAAGAAAAATTCATTTTTGTTATATTCATACTAAGACACAAGCGACATTTGAGAGGAGCATTTTAATGAACGAGAAGTCAAGAAGTGTCTGTATAAACAATCGAGATCAAAGAAGGTTTTTTAGAACCTATTTTTATTTTGTTTTACATTTCTCATGATTTTTTCTATCTTATATAGATTGCCATTTTACGTCGTGTTAAAGAGAACGAAATTCGTTATACTTGGTTTGAAAATGGCTGGTGTGGAGTTGAGGACGTTAAGCGTCTTTCTCATTTTCTCAAAAAAGTACAGCGAGGGGAAATAGACCTGGAACTAAAAGCTGTTCTCCCAAATTTAAATGACGAACACAAGAAAGTATGACAGATTTTTTGAAATATTCGATGCAACATCTTACTGAAATAATTTGTTTGTACTTAGGATATTGGTGGTCGAATACTTGATCTTTGGCGTGATATACACTATTATTCCATTCATTATATTAATTGGTAGCCTATCATCAATTGTTCTCTTTTCTTGTCAAAGTTCAATTTCGTTATTTTTATAATATCTTTATTTTTATCACAGGTCTAGTCATTTACCTAAGATTTCTTTAGTGATGACCGCTCTTATGGTTATTTTCATCAGCGTCATCTTTCCATTTCTTTCGTGAGTTCTTATCATTATTCATTTCTACCGACATTTATAACGCATTTGACTATATCCTTTTTTTTCTAACAGCGAAAAAGAAGATAAGAAAAAAGACTCGCTAAAAACTGAAGACGTTTTTGGGTTAATTGAGTTGAACTCTGTCACACAGAATCAAGTTATTCAACAATGTCCCTCAGGACACCTAGTCGTCATTCTGTTATCAGATGCAATGTCAGGATATGAGGCTTTTTACTCACCAATTGTGAAAACTTTTGCGAATATCATTCAGCCTTTTCGTCGGTAAGATTTTTTGATCCTGTAAACAATGTGTACACAAGCAATTATAATTATATATTGTGTTTGATTTTAGTGAAAGCATTTTTAAAATGGGATGGTTATCAATTCCTCGCTATATTGCATGGTGCAATGAAGTAATGAATGTTCAAACGTTTGGTAAGATCACCCCAGGCACGGTCCTCGTTCTCAATCCAAAAAAGAAATATCTTTCAATATTTAAGATCAATAAAATAACCCCAAGTGATCCTGGAAGTGTTTTTGATGATTTCGAAGAAGAGGAAATGTCCTCTTGTCAAAACAAAACGATTTTCAGTGAAGACAAGAGAACACAAAAACGAACTGCGTACGAACTAGGGCAACAATTCCCAAGATGGATGGAAAAATTATTGCAAGGTATGATTGCGCGTGTAAAATTGGAAAATTGGCCGCACCTAGAATCGGACGAATGCTTTTCATAAAGCTCATATCAAAACAATTAAACATTTAAAGCAGATAAACTGCACATTGTAAAATATGTACATTTTTTTTAACGTCCTCAAAATATAATGCACACGAATAAAAAATACTTATTTTTTGTCCATTTTGCTTTTTGCTCTCTTCTGCTTTGAAGTAACTTTTACGTGACAGTAAGCTGGTTGTAGAGTTGTGTCAAAAAATGGAGGATTAGTAATTTCTTGAATTATAATAACGTAATCACCTGCATCAATAAACAGGAAACAGAATATAAATATACAAGAAAGAACGTCAATCTCAAACTTAAAAATTGTTAGAATTACCGGGTTTACAGTATTTCCATTTATCATCATTAAGTTTTTCTTCTTTCTTCTCTTTTCTACGCTTCCCTTCTTTATAATCTGACACTTCTGTTGTACTATTCTGGGCACTTCCTTTCTTAATGACTCGTTTCCATCTGTTAGTTAATAACAACATTATGATACCTCAATGAATATGAAAACAAGTACTTACAATTTAACATACTTTTGAGGTTGACTTGCATGACTGTCTGGGTTGTCTTCAGTAATAGAAGAATAACTTGGATTAAAAGGAGGTAGAAAAAGATTTGTAAACGTTGCGCGACCGTTAATTGTACGTAGTGTACTGACACTTGGAAATATATAGCCATGTGATGTACTGGATATACCTACAATGTACATGAATTTGTCAAAGTCAAACAAAGCCAAATGTAGCATCTCCTTATACATACCTTCTGGTGAAGCACCATAATCTGCAAGTGAGGAGTGTTGTAGCACACTTTCTTGGGTTAAATGACTTACAGCTGATGCTGTACGACTGGAATTATTCTTAGATGTATCTTCTAATGTCAATCTATCCTAAATTGGTATAATAAGATATTATAACAGAGAAAATTTATCAACTAGAATAGCAAAATCTTTGTACAATTTCTACATTCTTGTCTTCGGTTTCAATGGTAAGAGATACTTCTTCTATCTTCCCATTAACAAAAGATTCACTATCTGGCAACATTTCTGTCAGTGGATAAGACTCTGCTTCAAAATCACTAAGTATAATAAAAGTGTTCTAGAAGAGTGGAGACCTGGATACAAGTATGAAAATACAAAGACAAACAAGCAAAACATACAATGGAGTAGTGATAATCTCTTCATCACTAAACTTTCCTTCTGATCGTTTATTTAATATTTTTACTCCAGCAGTAACTTGAAGGAGTCGACCTTCATCTAAATTATCATAAGTATATAGAAGATGTAGAAAATTTACTATTTTTTCTCAATGTTCATTACAAAAGTGCATACCATTGACAGCCTTTCCATCAACTGTTTGACAAATAACATCCAAATCAAAACATTGTCCTTGTTCTATCTCAATCACATTGCTTTCACACACCAATATAGATGACTCCACTTACAATACAAAAAGACAAAGACAAAAGAGCAAATTATATTACGATGAAAAAAATTTGTGATGGTTATGTATGTAATGTGAGTCATTAATAATATATTTACCAGCAGGGCTTCCAGAAATCCACATTCCTTCATACTTTACTCCAGACACATGCAAGATGGAGCCTTCACCATTAAACATGTTATTTCGCCATTGACCCTAAATAGTCAGATAATTAAACTATGGAGTTGAACATAAATCTTATTCTGATTTCTATTATAGAAATTGTTTGTATGCCATGGTTACTCACATTGTATATTGTACCATCACTATATTTGATTATTCCATGACCTTGTTTCAATCCTTGCACCCAGTCCCCTTCATACTCATCACCATTACTAAGAAATAAAGTAAATGGTTTGAACCCAGGAGTAGTTTTATGTGTTTGTAGACATAAGAAGGTTTGCAGTAGTAAACATGCATATTGCTATGACAGGTTGGTATTTCCAATAATTATAAATTTGATAGTTTATAAAGTAAAACATGAATTGTTAACCTGTAAATTTGATGGCCTTTACCATGTTTCTTATGTTGATAAAATGATCCTTTGTAAATATCTCCATTTGCTTCAACAAGCTCACCTTCTCCTAAAAGGGCAAGCAAAGTAAAAAAATGAAGCAATGATATTGAGGTCAAAAACTGTAAGTTCAGCAATATTATACCATGTCTTTTGTTATCTTTCCATCCACCTTCATATTTTTCACCATTACCATAGGTCATAACACCAATACCACAAATTTCACCACATTTAAACTCTCCAATATACACATTCCCACTATAAGACCAGCTTCTGTAACCATGACCTGAAATTTCACCATTCTTGAAAGACCCTTCGTAGTAACTGCCATCAACCATTACCAAACGACCATGACCTTATGAGAATTAAAATAAGTTTTTTGAAATCATCTTCGGGAGTTAGTGAATAACAGAAACCCCTTTCAACAACTTACAACTAACTATATGTACTAAAGCAAAAATACCATGTTTTTTTCCTTTCCTCCATTCTCCTTCATAACGGAAAAATTTGTTAGGATAATTGTACACACCAAAACCTAAAATACATTAAATTCTTTAGCAATAATCGTGAAGTTGAAAATGAAAGTGGACCAAAGTCACAAAACTCATTCAAAACTGAAATGACAAAACTTAACCTTACCATTTCTTATTTGTTTGCTTGTCTCGCCTACATAGTTGCCAATTGCCTTTCCTGTTGTGCTTCTAAAACCTTTAGACATATTTATTATGTAGAAATGTCGTAAAAACTTTTAAATCCCCTAGTATTTTTATTATTCTACAAACACCATTGACAAACACGGCACAAAGTTTGCCAATTCTTCGCCATGTTTAAGTTGCCATGGTTGCTGAAAGACTGAACCGAAATCTGAAATATAAGAATAAAAAGGAAGCACAATACCCCCAGCAAAGTTCACGTGGCCTCTTGTTCACCAGCAATTTTTACAGTCACAATGGGACAGGCAAGTGGCTTGAAAATTTATTATTTTTTCTTATTTTCTCTAATCTGTTTGTCCTATTTTCGTCATGATTTAATTTTTTTTATTGTGTTTCATGGTTATTTAAAATTTCATAGGTTTTTTCCTAAATAATAATAATTTTTTATGACTTTATAAGAGTTGGTTTGTCGACGTTGTTCAATATAGATTTGTAACATCTTATATCTATGAAAATATAATTTTAGAAGAAGAAACAGCAGAAGAAAAAAACTCAGTTGAAATTTTCAATCGACTGTACTCATCCCGTGGAAGATGGGATTTTGAAAGCAAATGACCTCGTAAGTCATGTTTGTAGAAAAATTCCATTTTATATTTGATATAAAGTAAATATCGTCTTAATACTTAGGGCTCTCTTCCCTAAGTCATACATTTATTCTTCTAGGCAGACTTCATGAAAGGTCGTATTAAAGTGAATGGAAAGACTGGCAATCTGGAAAACAACATAGTGATTGATTGTATAAAGTCAACTATCAATATTACCTCAGAAATTCCTTTCTCTAAGAGGTAGTATAGTAATGTGATTCCTGGACTTTTGAAGTTTCAATTTTTTGATTGATGATATACATCCATTGAAAATCCTCTAGATGTATTTTCTCTTTGGCTCACACACTAGTAACTCCAAAAGATTAAATATTTTTTCCTGAAAGGCAATTGTGTTTCTTTAAACCATGATTTTGTGTTCTCTTAGGTATTTGAAATATTTGACAAAAAAATACCTTAAGAAGAACAACCTTCGTGATTGGTTGCGTTGTGTGGCAACTGGACCAACGGGTTATGAATTGAGATACTTCCAAATCAACAATGAAGAAGAAGATGATGATGCTGATGAAGAATCTTAAAAAGTTTATTTTGAAAGCAATAAAACATACATTCTGCTGAATTTTGTTGTTTATTTTAATTGAGCTTGATAAAGCAAAGGTTTAGGATATAAAAATGTTGGGAAGAGGCTAGTGAAAATTTAGGAAGAAATGTAATCCTTAGTTTTGATTGCATTATGAAAAGTGACCAAATGTTTGTCATTGTTTACCACAGAAAATATGGGAACTCAAATTAGCTGGATTTGCCTTGTTGGACTTTGAATGCCTATCCTTTTTTAGAACTGAGAACAAATTTTCTGCATTTATCCCATTTACGTAATTCACATACAAACAATGCATATATTACGTTGTAGTGGTGTGCAATGGGGAAGATTGAAATTTTGTCGCTTTATGTCTTCGAAGAGTAAACGAATAATAGCAAGTGATATATTGCAACGAAGAAAATATGATTTCATTAAAAAAATTGAAAAAATATCTGAAAAGCAAAAATTATGGAAGGAAGAAGGCACTTTAGCTGGAGTACTGGTGCCATTTTGTGTTGTCGATTGTAAGCCATCTATATTACTCACTAAAAGATCGTCGAAAATTATACGAAATAAGAGTGATGTATGTTTTCCTGGTGGAAAAATGGACAAAGGAGTAGATAACACCATTATTGATACTGCTTTAAGGGAAACTAATGAAGAAATAGGTCTTTCAACATGTGATGTTGAAGTATGGTTAGCTACAAAACCAATTGCTGCAAGCTATGTAAGGATGAAATGATCGTCATATTTAGTTAGTATGGATGTTTTGGAAATGCAAATGTTATTTTTTATGTCTTTAGGATGAAACAATAAGTGTAGTACCAGTATTTGGCTACATCCATAATGTTGATATATCAACTTTGACAATCAATAAAAATGAGGTTATCCCATTTTATAAATTTTCCGTTTTTAATTATTATTTTACACTGACGCAAACATTTCATTTAGGTGGAGTCTGTCTTCACTGTTGCATTGGAGGATTTATGTGATGTTGCACAACAAGCTCATACCAAGTTTAAAAGTGGAACAGTTTTGCCCTTATTTTATCAACATCCTTATAAAATTTGGGGGTTCACTGCAGTAATTATGGATTTTTGTCTTGCAAATCTTTTACCAGACTTTTATACTCTTAGGTTTGTCTCTTCAAGAAAACAAAAACAATGACAGTATTTTTATTTAATTTATAAAAACTAAACTGAACATGGTTCACAACGTTCTGGAGAAGTGTTATATTGCATTTCACGTAAATAAAGATTTTTATTGATTTGATGTGGATGAAGTTTGCTTGACCATCTTTGAGGTGTTGACTTTAGAACTGCTTTATTTCCTGTATTCATGACAACTGGTTGCTCCGTGGAAAATGAAATTTTATAAGTTGTGGCAAATTGACCAATGCTTTCAAACAATTCTTGTTCTTTCCATTTCTTCAATAGAGTTTCATTTAATCCATAATTTCTTGGTTTACCTAAAGTATTTCAGTTTGATTTAAAAGGCTTAGTAATTAGATAATCTTGCTCATGGTAGAAAAACTTACCTTGTAATGGAAAGTCTGACTTCTCTGGGAAATATGCAAGCCTTTTTCCATCCCATTTTCTCAAGGGTGGTAACTTGGATTCATTGAGTTCACGTTTATTGTAATGTTGGTCATACCAAGTGATGTGGTTTCCTTTATAGAGTTGGTCATGATGGTTGAATATATATTTTTTTCCTATCCCCTAAAGATGAAGTACACACATAAATTTTCTAACATTAAAAAATTATATTAAGCTAAATATTCATCTTTATTAATAGTGATACAATGATACACATCATTCATGCCTCATTACGTATGAAACAAGCTCTTCGAATCTTCGTGTCAGGCTTAACATTGCCATAATTTTTAAAGTCAGCTCTATTAGTGCTGTTGTAGTAACTTTCTCCATGACGAAACTATAAAATATGAAGAATGTAATGTTGGTTGTGTTGGTTGCCAAAAAACAGCAACTGTTATCAAATACTTAGATAAACACACAAACTAACATTTCTACACTCCTCGTTCCAGTTTCCAATCAAAACATGATTATTGTATCGAGGTTCTATTCTCCAGCCAGGTAAACTCAACTTCGTCACCGTTGCAGAACTCATTATGCACTAAATTAACAAAAAACCTCTATTTGAAACTTTTTTTGTATAATGTTATCTTTTTGTTATTATTACAAATATCCATAGCAACGGTAACCGTGACGATGGTGGATAATTTAGTACATGAAAGGATGCGTAATTTTGTTTTCTTATGTTCTGACAGTTCTGTCTTGAGATTATCTTTACCTTCACTGCCTTGATATAGCATGCTAAATAAAAACAAACCTGATCACAATGTTTGATGATATTATTTCTGGAAAAGAAGAAAGTAGTTTCATTTTAATACATGGTAATTATCTTCATCAAATTGATTGCATTTTATGACAACAGGAAAAAAGTGTTTAAGCAATTTATTAATAGACAGTCTAAAGCACAGAGGAAATTGCTTATTGAATCACATCATTCAGAAATTACTTGACAGGTATAAGATTAGGTATATTGTGTTGCCAACTGTGCATAATAATTTCATTTGCTATGTTATAGATTTGGCATTGTAATTATGCTGGCATTTGATAAGTTTTCAAAAAGTAATAGAAGGTTACTTGAAATTGATGTGATTTGATAAAAAAAACTTGGTTAAGTCAATTACTTTGTTTTTTAATTTTGTTAGGTTATACATCTATGATGGCATTTCTGATCCTCTGAGATGGATCAACATTGGGTTGGACTTCTTTTGAGGATTTGTTGCTTTTTGTAACATGTAAATTTATTTTCTCTTTTAATTTTATATTTACCGAAGATGCAATGATATATCATCTTCATATATTTGCAAAAATATTCTTGTGGAAGTTACAAAAGATGAAAATTTTATTCAGCTACTACCAGGTACCAGTTATTATCCCTTAAGAAAGTGGTCAAATCATTGAATTGTACAGCAGGATTTCATGAAATTTTAGATAAATTGACCAAAGTAAGTGTAGTGATCAACTCACTCAGTATGGTTATCCATCATGGAAATCAAGCAACAATTTCAAAAGATTTGTTTGAAGTCATCCATTTCAAAACACCAAGTATTCTTATTGTGTTATGTATAAAAAAAACACACACTTGACTTAAGTTATTTCATTTTGTTTTGAAGAACTCCAAGTTTATCAAACTGTTGCTCTAGTTCACTCTGATTTACACGAGAAAAATTCCTTGCTTTCCTTAAACTACATGGCCTCTACCTGTGTTCATCTCTTGCATCATGACTTTAATGGTGGTAATTTTAATGGATACCTTGCAATCACACACTTAAAAAGTAATGGGAAATTGTACAAAAAGGTTTGTCATGACAAACAATTGCTCATCATTTTGATCAGCATGATCATTTTGCTGGTGGTAAATTTATCAATATTTTTAGACTGAAACTTATAGATGTACGAAGAATGATGAACTAGAATTTGCAGCTACACTTGGAGGGAACAAAAAATATTTAGACAATGGAACAAAAGTATCTGAGAATGTAAGTCTATATTCATTCAAAGAGATTTTGAAATCACAATTTTGTATGTTCAACCTTTCACTACTACTACACCAGGAAGATGTCTTATCAAATTTGACATTCAATCTCTCATTAACTGATGAACAAAAGAAAATTCGTGATCAGTTACAGCTACCCTATTTGCTGGATGAAAAAACTAAAAAAATTCAGTTGGAATTGGGAAAGGAAAGTAAAATATTTTATGAAGCTGATGCAAATGATGATCTTGATGAAGAAGATCCTGATGATGATCTTAACTTCTAGCAAATATAACATATTATACTACATGTAAAATAAAATTTGTACATGACTTCTGTGATCTACATACAAAGCATGTAGCTAGAACAAAGGAATAAATACAAGTTTTCTTCACTGTGTGAGATTGACTGCAGGGAAAATTTGATCATCTTGTTCCTTTTCCACTTTTTGAATTTCTTTCTGAAAATGCTGAATGGCTTCTTTACTAGCTTTTAAACGTTCATTTAGTTCACTTATTTCATTGCTGATTTTTTGACGAGCAATTGAGATGGACTGTAATGTTCTTTGCTCTTTCTCTACCCCTGGAAATATATGTAATGTTGATGACTCACTTTGTCCTTTTCATTTCTGAACATGAATTTATGAACTTACAGTCTGTATCTTGTTTGCTAAAAGGAATTTGCCTAGTACTTAAAAGACATTGATGCATCATCTGAGTAGGATCTTGAAATATCTTTCAAAAAGAATTATTTCTGTTAAACTAAACACAAGTGTCAATCTGTCCATGTTACATCACCTACAATTTCATCATAGTATTCGGATACTAAGTTTTTCTTTCCAGATGCTAATGCTGCTTCTGTTTGGAAAAGTTTTAAAAGATGATACAGTGTCACCTATTAAGAAAATTAAAATTGAAGACATGAATCAGCCCATACAATAACAGATTCAGTAATCTTACTGGCCGTTCAACAGGATCCATAAAATACACTTTAATTTGGATTTCAAATTCTCCCCATCCTGTTTCATTCACTTCGTAAGGAGGTTTTGAGAGAACTAAAAATACCATGTTTTTTGAAACCATTGACTATTGGCCTATTTAACAAACTCTGTCCTTTTTTCACCTCTTGTTGGATTAGCATAACTTTCGTGAAGTTTAAACTGTACTTTCTTGATATATGAAGACATATCCTACAAAATAACGATCTTTCTTGCTTGTATAAGTTTGTCAAGCACAAGATAGTCAAACAATAATCGCTTACTTCGTTGTTAAATGATTTAAAATAACATGTCCATGAATGGGTATGCCCGTCAGTTTCACGTTTCTTACCAAAGTATGACGATTTATTTCCAAATATTATCTGCTTTGTTATTATAGTACCCTGCAACATACGTAAGTACGGTTCTCATGCTGTTGATGTGATCAGTGAAGAAAAACTTGTCATATTTTACCTTAACTCTGGAGTTGTCAGATGAATAACCCGCCATGTTGAAATCTACCTCTCACACAACTTTGCTCATTAATTGTATTAAAAGTTTTTATTTATCTTTAGTTGAACTATGCAAGACACATTAAATTCAATAAGCAACACCAAAGTCATTTATTTGAAACTAAGCACTAGCAATATATTTAATGAGATCAACAACGCGATGACTGTAGCCACATTCATTGTCATACCTAAAAAAGAAAAAAAAATGATATAGAACCATTCAAATACAGGACATCACATGTTCAACTTACCAAGCAACAAGTTTTACAAACTTATCATTCAATGCAATCCCAGCTTGTGCATCAAAAATACATGAGTGTGTGTCTCCAATAAAATCTGAAGAGACCAGAGGGTCTTCAGTATAGCCCAAATATTTATTCAACTCTTTAGATTCAGATGCTAACTTCACTGCAGCTTTGATCTCATCATACGAACACTAAAACAAGATAAGATAATCAAAAAACTTTGTAGAAAGCTTCATCCAAAAGCAAACTTACACTTTTCTTCAATTTGACAGTAAGGTCAACCACAGACACATCTGGAACAGGAACACGGAAAGCCATTCCAGTTAATTTTCCATTTAACTCAGGAATAACTTTACCAACAGCTTTAGCTGCACCAGTCGATGCTGGTATTACATTTTGATGGGCACCTCGACCATCTCGCCATGACTATACCAAAATATAGTGTTTCTTTACTACATTGCATATTTCTGACAGAAAATTTCCAATACCTGGACGATCTACATTTACAAACATTTAACGATACTCCCGGGTTCAAACCATTTACCTTAGAAGATGGTCCATCAACTGTTTTTTGGGTAGCTGTATATGCATGAATAGTACTCATCAAACCTTCCTCTATACCAAATTTATCATTTATCACTTTGGCAATTGGTGCAAGACAGTTGGTTGTACATGAAGCATTGCTGGGGGAAATAAACAAAAATTTCATTAAATTATTCATACTGGTTGTAAAAAACAATACTTTTGTAAACACCTAACAACTTTCATAGATTTTTCATAAGACTTTTCATTTACACCCATCACAAACATTGGAGCATCTTTTGATGGAGCAGAGATAATGACTTGCTTTGCTCCAGCCTCCAAGTGAGCACCAGCTTTCTCCAAAGTGGTAAAAACACCTGTAGACTCAACTACATAGTCTGCACCAATTGATCCCCATTTAAGGTTTTTAGGGTCACGCTCACCAAACACAGCAATTGGATTACCATTAACCACAAGTTTACCATCTTTTGCTTCAACTGTTCCCTTGAATCTACCATGTGTTGAGTCAAACTTGAACATGTACACCTTGCACATTCAAAAAAAAGAAATTGCATTCAATCACAGCTAAACTATAACTGAATAAAATTTAAACTAGATGACGTACCATGTAGTCAAGATCAATAAAAGGATCATTAACACCAACAATAGTAACTTCTGGATGTTCTAGTGATGCACGCATCACAAGTCGACCAATTCGGCCAAAACTAGATGTGAAGGAATATTATAACTTGCAGAATGAATACGGACGCAGCAGGAGTTTGCTTCACAACAGAAAAAGAGTTATACATTGCAAGTGCCATAATACAGACTATAGATTCTTCTGTTTTAATACTGTACAAAAAGTACATACCCATTAATTCCAACTTTGATTGTCATTCTGATGAGAAATATGCAGCCAAACAATGCTTTAGCTTCAAACTAATGTAAAATAAATACTTACAAACTTCACAAAGAAAATGGAGAAGAGAATCAAAAAACACTTACTTGCGTTTAAACGAGAGGAATTGCACAGCAACAAAAAAATTACCTTCGCCCAACAGTGCCACAAGTGCCGATATCCTTTTAACGATAATTTCTGTAATTTAATTGGTTTACTTGATCACGTGACGTTTTACAGTGCAATAATGCATGATTCGTGGCATGATTATGATCCCATTGTGTAATGTGATCTTTTCTTTCACTGAATCAGATACACCAATGCTACTCCAGTAATGAAACCACTCACTCTTTACCGTTGCACGTCATTGTTGGAACTTTATACCATTGATTTGATTTAATCATTATTAAAACTATGTGTTTTTGAAATTACAAGTGATGATATAAAATACAAAATTTAAGTCACAAAAAAAGAAGAAAGCAGGAAAGAGATTGTGGAAAATAGATTTAATACATTTCCACAAACGGATAGAGTAACTGAAGAAATTCTGAAACGAAAATAAATAAAATTGAAAGAAAAATCATGCTTAAAAATACTTAAGTGTACTGTTTAAGCCTTCAAGGTCTGTTTCTACTTGCCTTTTTCGTTGACTTCTCCATCGAGGTTTGGATCAGCCATACGTAATATGTCGGCCAGTTCCAATGTACTAGCCCTACAACTTATCATAAATGCATCCCGTAACTGAGAAATATCGAAGTAACCTTTTCTTTCAGGGTCAAACACTGCATAGGCAGAAAGAGCCTCTTTCTTGACATCTTGATGCTTTAGAATTTGTTTCATTACTTCGAGAAAGGTGTCCCAACGAATTTTTTTTTCTTCTACGCATTACGGTAACAGAAAAATGGTGAAGAATTGTTTAGAGTTTATAAACAATAAAACATTGTTACCTAATTCTCCCGTATAAAATCGAGCTGTAGTAATTGCATCATCAATGTCAAGGGATGTTTCATTGTATCCTAATGTTCTTAACAAACGAGGACGTCTTTGACGAAGATCTTCCGTTTATTTAAACGATCATATATTGAAAATGCGTCATAAAATTCTGTAAAAAAGAAAATAAATAATGACTTTTCCCTTTCATCGTAATCTATATTAAGTTACATAATTTTCTTAACCTGTCATTTGTTCGTTACTAAAAACAATATTTTCTGTTCTCCTGCGTCCCTAAATGAAAAATAAAGATGTTAAAATGACGTTCTTGTTAAATATTACTCATTACTTGTTTCTACCTTTCCTTTTCTTACAAGAATTCTCATTTTCTTATCACATTGTTTGATCAAGGAGACTGGCAGCGAACGAGCCGCGCAAGCAACTGTTATACCATTGATCTAAAATCAGCAGGTTTCAGTTAGTGGTAACAGTTTGTTTGGAAATGTACTTTATATTGGAACATCAGTGTTGTCACTGTTGTGTTCATTTTAAAAATCTTTTCTAATTTCACAAGAACAATAGGTTGCATTATTCTTGCAATATTATTTTGGCAACAGCCTTTACAACCTTAATGATTTCGTCATAAGGTTCTAGACCAGCTTTCTCTGCTATACTGCCTCGAGTAACATTCTCAACAAGTATTGGCGTGGCCGTCCATTCACTAACATCTCCTGTTTCATCAAACATACTACCACCGAATGAGAATCCAATTTCACCAATGAATCCTTGAAGTTAAGTCAAAACCATACTTTAGTAAGACCATTTAAGATAAAACAATCTGCAAATTTTGTCTGCTCAGTGCGTTATACAAGGACTTATATATTTGTTGTATTATGACAATGTATTTTTTAAAGCTTTTTCATCAGTATGTCAGTTTATGACATACCTTTCTTGCCAGTTGGAAGTTCAAAACACATCATTTGATCCTCCTTAACATGTTGTTCTTTGCTCTCAGATGCATTGTCAAGGTCGTTGAAAGTCCCAACGTAATTGTTAATCACTTTCTCTTGCTTTTTTTCCATAAAATGACATGATCGCTGCATTTGGCTCTTTTCGTAGATTTAACAACATATTTTGATGAAAAAGTTGATTGATTATAGAGGATGGTTTACTTCCAAAGTAAAATTAATGATGACTGAAGGATATGTTATAAAAGTAAAAAGTAAATATGAATTTAATTATTTAATTACTTTAGTTGAAAAAGCGTTTTCATTTCTATTTTTCTGATTTCCTTCACCTATCATCATCAATGTGCCTTCACTTGTGGTAAAACCATTGTTAGTACTCGCGTTTTCCTGTATTGAGAATGAAATATTATCAATTCTATGGTTACCACGTTTTTATTGGGTAAATACAGTCTCAGCAATATGTATTTCAAGTATGCAGAAAAAAATCAGCAATTCTAGTTATCACTTAGTCCTTACTTCTTACCATTTTAGTTAATGGTATAATAGTTGAACGCGAATCGACTTAGAAGTTCATCTTGTTGTTTTGTGTATTATAGGAGGAATTTTCTCGTTTTCGTTTGTGTCGTTTGCACTATCTGTTTGGTTTTCACGCGTAATTTGATATTTATAATGCATTTTTTATCGGTTTTTGCATAACAATAAATTCAAAAAACATAGCTACAGTTTCCCACGCCGTTACCAGGTGATGTTTGACACACCGCAGTCATGAAGCTGAATGTTTGAGTTAGAAATAGCTAAAAAAAATTTAAGTCTTGGAATTACTTCTGGTGACCTTCCCTGATATTTACTGATGATGAAATTGATTTGAATGATGAAGTGACTTGAACTATCCCTAGCATCCCAAGTCACAAGGAGACCTTGCGTTCATAGTACTTTAGCAAGAAAAATTGAACTTCTGTTTTTGTGCAATGCTTCAGATTTTCATTTTTTTATTGTTTTTTAAATGGATGTAAAAACACAAATAAATTCCTTTTCTTTGTAGACTTTTCTTTATTTCTTTTTTAACCTTTGATATTGTGGTTTATGAAAATGAATTGTGGTTGCTTGGCATATCTATCGCAGGCTCATGCGACAACCGTGCAGCATTGAATTAGAGCTAACCTACAGAAAAGTACAGTTTTTGTACAACAGGAAGAACCAGAAGCATTGCCATAACCAATGATTGTTTGATTTCACATTTCAAAATTTTTTATTCTTTTTATATTTCAAAGTGTGTATGTTTGTAAGTGCGTTTTCCACACTCGACTGAATTTATTTCCTGGTTAGGTCAGCGGTGTTGCGCCTAAAGATACTCCAAAAGTTGCTGCAAGTTCAACTTCGCATTCATTCCTTTCATCTTCTGCGTTGACTACTTCGGCTGTAACAAACAACTTTTGTCGTATTTGTACAATGGTAAGTTCATGTAATTATATTGAATGTGGTAATCAGTTTATTTTGTTTAGTTTAACTGTCGCTTCATTTGATGACAAATTACCAGGGAGTAGGGAGTACTCATGAATATGCAGTAAGAACTAAAATCAAAAATACCTTCAAGAAATAATTCATAAAACTAATTTTTTCTTTCGCAAGAAAAACATGCAAGCTCTTGTTTCTTCGTCATTTTTTTGTAAATAAACTGATGAGTGTTTTTTTACATGTTATATTGAGAAATTCAGCCTCAGTTTTCTTATTGTTATTGGAAAATATTGTCGTGTATTATTATTGTCAGGCTTTCTTTTATCGATTTTTATCAAAATAATGGGAAGATATTACTTAAATTTTCGTCACCAAGGATATAAATTGCAGCAATCTTTATTTCAAATGTAAGAACTTTTGTTGATTTGCTCTCTTTCACCTTTGTTGATTGCTTGCCCAACGAACATCCTGCTGAGACTTTGGTCTTTGTTGTAATTGGAGATTTTTTTGTTTTAAAATATATGTGAATTTAACGTATATGTGAATATATGTTGATGCAGTTTGAGCAACTTGTATGATTTTGCCAAAGAATCTTACTGTTTATGTTTGTCTTCAATTCATCCTTAGGCAGATCAACTTACAGAAGAACAGATTGCAGGTAATTATTGATTACTGAATTATCCATCAAAATTTCCATATTATATACTTAGCAACATTAGATAAGCAAAGTCTTATGAGCTGTGAATGTTGAAGAGATAAGCAATATATTTTTACTTTATGGGTGGTAAGATTTATAATCTTTTTTATTTGGAAGATGTAATGTTTTAGAGCATTTTATTTTAGTTTTGAATGGTTAAGAATTATTGAATTATATTCTAGGAATTTAAGTGCTCAATAGATTGGTATGAAGTATTAAATGCTAAATTTTCTTATTGCAATTGAATCTTTTGACTGTGATTTATTAAATACATACTTCAAACATGAACTGTAAAAGACACTATTTCTCATTTGTAAATCTTTATTTGTTGTAAGCTTTTGTATGTTTACATGTACAACTTTACATGAAAATGTTGGCTACAAATGATTTTATTTTATTGGATTTGCTAGAATTCAAGGAAGCCTTTAGTTTATTTGACAAAGATGGAGATGGAACAATCACCACAAAAGAATTAGGAACAGTCATGAGATCACTTGGTCAGAATCCAACAGAAGCTGAATTACAAGACATGATCAATGAAGTTGATGCTGATGGTAACAATTTTTATTTTAGTCTGTCAGAAATATTTAAAAGGGATACTTAAAGATATAAAATATTTGAAATGTTTCAAAATATTTGAATTAAAGATGTGCTTGTATTTTTATTAATATTATTGTTCCCTACTTTTTACAAGGTAATGGCACCATTGATTTTCCTGAGTTCTTAACCATGATGGCTCGTAAAATGAAAGAAACTGACAGTGAAGAAGAAATTCGTGAAGCATTCCGTGTATTTGATAAAGATGGCAATGGCTTTATTAGTGCTGCAGAATTACGTCATGTAATGACAAATCTTGGTGAAAAATTAACTGATGAAGAAGTTGATGAAATGATTCGTGAAGCAGATATTGATGGTGATGGCCAGGTCAATTATGAAGGTAGTGTTAATGTTAGATATTTATTGAAAATTTATTTTTGTAATTGAAGTAAATTTCCTTTTTGTAGAATTTGTCAAGATGATGACATCAAGCTAAGATAATTATTTATGTATGTTATTGCTATTGGTCACATTATGTGAACAGAAACACAAAGTTTTGTACAATGCAATTAACTTGTTTTTTGATTTACTGTTATTTAACAAAATTCTTTTATGTGAATTGGTGTAAATAAGTACTGTAACTAATTCTGGAAATGGTACTTTTTTTCAAGCATTTATAATTAGAAACATAAATGTTTAATGGTTTTCAATGGAAGTGTTTGTTGTGCAATTTAATGCTGTGTAATGCTGTGCAATTTTTTTATATTTGTGCAAATTGAAAGAAAGCAATAGACAATATTGTATTGTGAAATACCACAGAAATTTGTTCATAATCAATACATTTACGTCATTAAAAAAATCATAACAGAATTTAATGAAATATTGCTGTTTTTCTATAAACAACATTAGCAAGTTGAGCATTAGAAATGTGCACATGAATGTTTTATGTTGATATATTGATTCTTTTTTGTTCTAAGTGACTGCTGGCTCATGCGACAAGTATGCGACAATAAATTTTTGAATAGTCGTTCATTTTTCAAATCCGCATTTAACTATTGCTTTGATTCACAAGAAAATAAGTAAATAAATTATTATATGGCATCAGCTAGAGACCTTGATGGTTTTATGTTTACTTTCAACTGCTTTTTACCGAGAAAATTACACATTTTTTACAAGTTTCAAATAATTGCTTGATATGTTAATTTAGTGGCCACACCCTTTAAGAAATGTTACTAAAGCTGGGAGGGAGGACAAACAGGAATTTTCTTTAAGTTTAATACGTCAAGTGAGTAGAAGCAGGTCTCGAGAAGCAACGTACTCATTTTCAATATAAAGTTTTAAATGGTATGTACATAAGTTTGCGCTTGCTTACAAGTAGGATTCTCCACAACATATGCGTTTGTCATTGTGTGTTAGGTACACACAAGTACAAACTTAACTTCAGAGTTGTTGCCGTTATTTCACAGTCGCTCATCAACATCTAAAACTTTCAAAGATCTGTATTATTTCAAGCACACAACTCCAACAAGTTATATATAAAATTGTTATTTTCGTCTGCTCACGATCGATTTTTTTCAGAGGTAAAATGTCCCCTAATTTATATCCAATTTATGTTCCTTTATTTGAAATTGCTGTTCTAATTTGGATTTTCCCGATTTCTGTAATAGATTGTGCACATTCCGCAATCGTGTTGTAGCATTTAATGCTAACACCAGATCATTTTCTCCCAAGGCTAGCTTCTTGAGCTTTCTGTTATACGGCCGGCACATTAAAAAATAGAAAGCTTGTTAAATTTATGTGGAATGATAACAATCTACAATATTGACTATGTGAAGAACAAGTGAAGGTGTAGTTAGTTTGATTTTGGATTTTCTCATAATACTCCTTCCCCAAATAATGACCTTTACTTGGCGTACTGTTGTGCGATGCAAGAATTCGACCTTTTTAATGAGTTGAGTATCATAGTGTGTATTTACTTTTCGTTTTTGTTAAGGCTGATCAACTGACAGAAGAACAAATTGCAGGTAACTTTTGATTATTTCTTTTCATAAACATAGCTCAGAATTTTTATATATTATTTTTATTTTTATCAGAATTCAAGGAAGCCTTTAGTTTATTTGACAAAGATGGAGATGGAACAATCACCACAAAAGAATTAGGAACAGTCATGAGATCACTTGGTCAGAATCCAACAGAAGCTGAATTACAAGACATGATCAACGAAGTTGATGCTGATGGTAAGGTTTAATTGTATCATTTTTACTATCCTACTTAAATTAACATTGGCTTGTTGATGGGGATTTTTAGGTAATGGCACCATTGATTTTCCTGAGTTCCTAACCATGATGGCTCGTAAAATGAAAGACACTGACAGTGAAGAAGAAATTCGTGAAGCATTCCGTGTATTTGATAAAGATGGCAATGGCTTCATAAGTGCTGCAGAATTACGTCATGTAATGACAAATCTTGGTGAAAAATTAACCGATGAAGAAGTTGATGAAATGATTCGTGAAGCAGATATTGATGGTGATGGCCAGGTCAATTATGAAGGTAAATTTATATTTCATTAAATTTTTATTTGAATATTTGAAATTTACTTGTAAATGGTATTGAATTTTTATTGACTTTAAACTATCATGCTTCATTTTGCTGAATTCTTCCATTTTCATCATTGTATCATGATGTACACCTAGATCATTGTGATCCCATCAACTTGGCAAATTCTAAATGTATTAAACGTACTTGTCTTATGTGTTTTTAGAATTTGTGAAAATGATGACATCAAAGTAATATTAAAGTAGCTTTCAACTGGACATTCTCAACTTCTTTCATAATTGCCTACATGACATATTTCAACTGCTTGAAATATTCTATTGCTATTTTATTTAAACTTAAAAGTTAACAATCTTGTAGATTAAATTAATGGCATACATTGCTTCATAAACACAGAGTTTAATGTCTCCAAATGTATATTGTCAAACATACCTTCATATTGAATAAGACCATCTTTGTTTGTGTCAATTTGTTGAATGAGATTTGTCAATTCATCATCAGTGATGACTTCACCAAGTATTTTTAATCCTTCTTTCAGTTCTTCTTTGCTAATATATCCATCACCATTCTCATCAAAAGCCTTGAATGCACCAACCAGGTTGCTATAGGCACTTTCCTTTTGAGTTGGCTCAATAAGAGACAGAAACTCATTAAAATCAATTGTACCATTACCTGCAGAAATGCAAAAATTAAAGTTGGGGATTGTGTGGAATGGTGAATTATAAAAATCAACTTACCATCTTCATCAATCTGTCTGATCATTACAAGGACTTCTTCTTGTGTTAGATTTTGTCCAAGAGATTTCATTACATTTCCAAGTTCTTCAGTAGATATTGTTCCATCACCATCCAAGTCAAATACACTGAAAGCTTGCCAGTATTCTGACATCAACATGAAAATTATTGATAATGATACTTACACTTCAAATTTTTTTTCTTTTGTTTTCATGGCTTACCTAGGAGTTCCTCATCTGTAAATTTACCTGCCTAAGAAAGATTTTCGTATTGTAATCGTACTGATCAAGTTTTGACTAAGCTCATAATTTACAACACGGTTGGATTTTGATTTAGTGCTAGTTACACAAACTTCTCGTACAGAGCAATTATATAACTAAAAAACTTACCATTTTAATGAATTCGAGACGGACGAGTACGTTTCACTCACAAGAGAAAGGCGCGAAGGTAACTGACAGCAATCTCTCCCAAGCATTCCATACGTAATGTTTCCTTGGCTTAAAAACAATGGCTTTGAGAGTACTCCTAGGATAAATTATGTATGTTTATTTAGAACAGATGCAATTACTCATCGTATGGACGATAAAATGAGAATATAACTTTGAAATTGCAATATTATTTTAAGTTGTTCAACGGAAATGTCAACTTGAAATTGCTAAATTTTCTTTAATCTTTGCGTCATGCGAGCTTTACGAGAATAGCGTATTTACTTTGCAAGAAGTTACGATATAGCTAAAGAGAAATACAAAAAACTGCACCATTTATTAATTACTTAAGACAAATTTACATTTAAAACATTTCCCACATCGTTATCCAGCTGGGAGGAAAATTACTGTCCAGTCAGTTTCCTATTATTTCCCTACACTAGAAAGCCTTTTAAAACAGAAAATGTAGAAATATAATGTAATTGTTCACGATTTCTATAATCTTATCTTTACATTGAATACATTAACTTTTCGAAAGTTTAATAGAGATGCGGTCAGTCAGTCATATATTAGTAATAACTTCATTTGATACACGTCGTTCTATCTTCGGTTCATGAGAAACTTTCCTTTTAATCTAAAAATAAAAATAATTCTTGCTCTTTTTTATAATTTACAGCAAGGGAATTATAAAAACGAGATCAGTATCTCCCTCACCCCTTCGACGCCTCTAGGCTTCGTTGATTCTTCTGTGTAGGATGAATGAATGGCGGACCGTTCTCATATCTTACATTATCGTCAAAATCTTGCGTGCTTCCAGATGCTTTAATGGCTGCTTTTAAATTTTGCATCTATTTATTAAAAAGTTAAAGACAGCCTTGTAATGTAAATGTTTTGCAGCCTTAAATACTTAATTAGTGACAGAAACTTTAACTTCCATACTTCATTGTCAAATTTAGTTTCTTCAGCTGCCTTTGAATCACGAAAAGAATTTGATCTCTTAATTTGATTTTCTATTCCATGAAGAACATTTTCACAACTACTGCACCTAAAAATCAGCAATTAAAAAATATGAAACAGCTGTTTAAAATGAATAAAATTTGTGTAAAATATATCTTACCACTCAAGTAAAACATTTATGATTGATGGAATATTTTCTGATTTGATATCCCTTCCAATAGAAAATTCTACTTCCAGCTACATGTAATATTCATTGCTTTTTTGGCAAGAGTTTGTAGATAAATCAACTGATGTAATGTAGGGTGTACCTGGTTGTTTTTTTGATCCAATTTACCATGAATAACATCAGCATAAATTGCTTCTATTATCAAGTCCTACGATAAAATAAAAACAAATTCAGTCAAAAAAAACACACAACAATTCAAACAATATGGATATCTACTTACCTCTAAGTCTCGTACATTGGAAATATCTAATTCTTTCAGGAGAACTTTATATGAAATGTTCTTCAAAAAAATCATCATCATTAACCTGTGCATTACTTTAATACATATTATAAAATATTCAACAGACAAATCAAACCTTGGATTCAGATGCCAAGCTAATAATAGTCAAATGTTGAAGTTTCATGGTCTGTGCCGGAGATAATTTTGGTAGGTAGTTTATATTAGCTGCAGATATTAATAATAATAAGTTTTTACAAAAATTCTTACAAATGAAAAAGAAAGCAATAAAATTTACCTTTATAGTCACTATATTTACCATATGCAAAGATGTTTAACAGTGTCCAATATTTTGCATTATCGCCTTTTTGCAACTAAATAAAAAATTTGAAAAATAATACTATCTTTGCAAAAAACCACATAGAATCATTAAAAAATTTTCTACCTCTTGAATATTGGGTTGATTAAGCAGCTCACCAAAGACATATATACCAGTTGTTTCCAACACTTGGTTAACAAGTGATACCACTGCAGCACCTCTTGCTGATTTTGCCAACAAAATAAACTGCTCCAGGGGATTGACATTTGTTTTTATTTCTTTATCAACCATTTTATGACAATATTTGATCTCTAACTCTTCTTTAGAGTTGATTAAAATACCTTACACAGATGAATTAGGAGAGCAGCTTTTCTATTCTAGTACAATGCAACACCTACCAAATATTTAAAGTTGTTTGTGAAAAGACAACTTATTACTCTTTTTTCACATTGTTTCCAAGCATGAAAACTATCAGTTATCATTTATTTACTTTAAATTTACTTAAACTTCGCCTCTCAACAACTGTCGATTGTCGTCGACTTTTATTATGTTATGTTTTTCTCATTATCAAACTGGGTCAAACAAGGCGAAGGAGTCGAAAGGACGGTTTACTTAGGCGGCCTTTGGCGGTTTTTAACGAGAGCTTACGGAGCTCACGAGTTACTTATGACGTATCTAATTTATGCAAAGACCTGGCAAAGACTCGTGAGCACTGATATCTATACATGTTTGTAAATGTAGATCGTCCAGGTTGGTATAGTCCTGAGAAGGACTGTTTTTGTTGTTGTTGACTGACGTTTCGACAACTTTAGCGGTAGTAATCTTCAGAGTGAAATGAGGAGTAAACTTCAGGTTAGCCGTATTTGTTATCTGGTTCTTACGTCATTGTATTATGTGTACAGGAAATGTGTATTATCATTGTGAATAAGTCGTTTATAAGGTGCCCGTAATTGCTGTGATCTGTTCAGGGGGGTTTGTTCCAAGTTGGTATACCAACTTTCTAATGTAAGCCGTTGTCTATACTCTATAGTCAGTACTGTAAGTAATGCATTCTGCCGAGTCTCAGTCATTGTTGTGCTTTGTGATTCGGTGATGTTCGGCAATGTGATTAGTTTTGTCCTGTTTCTTAGTAGCTCGTTTGAGTTCAGTAAGTCTTATGTTGAAGTTCCTGCCAGTTTCCCCGATATAGGAGGCGTGACAGTCGGGGCAGTTTATTTTGTAAACTGCACCTTGTCGTTCGTTGGGTTGTTCTTTGTCCTTTATGTTCTTTAGTACTTGTCGTAACGTTGTGATTGGTTTATGTGCGACACGTATGTTGTATGGTCGTAAGATACGCGAGATAGTCTCAGACGTACCTTTGATGTAAGGTATCGTTGCTGTTGTCACTGAGTTGTTAGTTTCGTTGGGTTTGTTGGGTTTGTAAGTGTTGCGTTTGATAAAATCAGAGTTATAGTTGTTTCAAAACAATGCAGGTCGACTTTGTACCATCTCAATTTTCTGCCATTATAAAGCCAAGAAGACAAACTTTTTAGGCTTAAATATGTTTGCCGGTTGTTCTGTCCCTTTCACAAAAATTTTGCTCGAATCAAAAGTTTGTAGAAGGAATAAAAACGCAAGAACTATGATTTTGTATTACAAAAGTATAGTAAAGTGGGACCGATACCCCCTAAGGTCATAATCAGATGACGAATGCGAAAAGAAACATGGCGAATGCGGAAATAAAAAAGGTTTCGCCAATAAAATATTTTTGTTGATTCTTCGCGTTTTTTTTAAGAAAAATGAGCAAACGTATTCATACAACTGCATCATCAAGATTGAAGCAAGATTATATGAGAATTAAGAAGGATCCTGTACCTTACATTACCGCTTCACCTCTTCCTACCAATATTCTAGAATGGTATTGTTATATTTTATTTGATTCTTTTCGTGTTCTTCGTGCAGTTCGTTATTTTAAACCAGTTTACTGTATTTTAAGGCATTATTGTGTCAGGGGACCAGAAAATACTCCGTACGAAGACGGTTTTTATCACGGGAAACTTGTTTTTCCAAAAGAATTTCCATTTCGTCCTCCTAAGATATTAATGATTACTCCAAACGGTCGATTCAAAACTAACACAAGGTGAGATTTTAGAATATTTCTCTAGCTAGTTATAATTACTCCAAATTTTAATATCCATCCAATATTTATTCTTAAAGGTTATGTTTGTCAATCAGTGATTTCCATCCTGACACATGGAATCCAGCCTGGTCAGTGTCTACTATTCTTACTGGATTGCTTAGTTTTATGGTAAGATTTATGTTTTTATTATTTCATTTGAATTATAGTAAATTAGTTTTGGGTCTTTTGTTTTAGGTTGAGACATCTCCTACCTTAGGGAGTATAGAAACACAAGATTATGTGGTAACAATACTATTTTTATCATATTTGTCGAAAAGATATTGTTATTTCTTTAATGTTTTTAGAAAAGACAATTGGCATCAAAGAGCGGTGCTTTCAATTTAAAAAATGAATTGTTTCGTGAATTATTTCCAGAAATATGTGAGGTTTGTGTATTTTAAAATGAAAAATGCACTTGAATATTTCCACAAAAAGATGTTTTTTATCTAGGAGATTGAAACAAAATTAAATGAAAGAGAGAACGAAAATATCAAAACACCACCAATTGTAGAAGCAACTTCAAGTAATCAAAATGAAGGCATTATGGGCACTTCTGTAGCAAATCTAGTTGTAATTATTGGATTTGCTGCATTTGCATACACTGTCAAATGTGTCATATGTGGTGTTGGAAATAGTTAAATTACTAGAATATTGTAAATATTTATGAATTGATTCCAATATTTTTGCAATCATGAAGGGTATGTGGGTGTTTGGATACAGATTAGAATTTATCAGCAACCACAGAATTTATATCAGAATTTATCTGCAAAGAAGCTTTCTTAGTCTGTACCAAGATGTTGCATGTTACCAAAGAAGGACAAAGAAAAAATGATATACATCTTATTTATTACTGTGTGCAAACAAATCATCATGAAGGATGGAAATGATGTAAATAGACCAGTTGTTGAGTTTGTAAATCTTCTCTACATAGAGGGCATTGTGGCTAAATGAAGTTGAAAAAAACATCAATATCAACATCAAAAAAAATAAATGAAGAAAATTGAATTTTATCCTACTTACTTTATTCTTACACCATTGACAAATACAATACCAACAAAACAGGTGACCACAAGGTGTAGCTGTTATATCTTGAAGTTTCTCCAAACAAAGTGTGCATTTTAATATCTTACTTGAGTTAATCATTTTCTTTAAAGGCATGGAATTTACTTCACTCTCATTGTTGGCTTCTACTGCCTCTTTTACTTTGGAAAATGTCTACAAAAGAAACAAATGTCTACAAACTTCTTTTCAGTTTAACATGCAATTTCTTGTGTTCAGCCTCACTTGAATGGCATGATGAATGAATTTGCTGAGAGATAGCAAGAAATGTAGAAATGTTATATAACCAAGAACTTGATAGGTGTAATGATAATTTTCATTCCTCGTCACTCCTTGTGCAAGAACCTGTTACAGTAACAAAATGTTGTTTATCAATTTATAGTAAACAAATAAATGATTGTTAATTGTAACTTACATATTGAATTCCAGAAATACGTTTGGCAATATCATAATAAACACTTGAAAAATAAAATTTCGTCAAATGAAACCTTTGTAAAACTAGAAAGTATAAATTTCTTGTCAATAAAAATTAAAAAATTATAAAAGTTTCAATAATAGCCTAATTACCATTTATTAATTGTCTTAATAGGGGAACCAAAAGTAAAATCACATTCTTCATCTTTGAATGTGATACACAACATTGCAAGGCCTGCTCAAGTTGTCTTAATGACTTTCTTATAAGATAAGGAATCATAACTTGTATAACAACCATCAACTTTCTTTGCTAATGGAATAAGAATTATAATAAATATATTAGCAATAAGTAAGATCACTTTGTGGCTTCGTACATGCCAAGTCTCCTGCTTTATGCATGTCACACATGCCTTGGCATTAAGCTCACATATATAGTATGATGTATCTCACATATAAACAAGAAGTTGAAATAAATTTTAAATTTAGCACAAGAATGCATACATAAATTTTCAAATTTTCAAAGCATTTTTGATAACATTAGAGGTTGACATTAGAGATGGCTACCTGTCCTTAGTAAATGTACTTTAACAATGAAATATACGCAGAAAATATTGGAAATGTCATTTCATTAACCAAATTTTAAAAATTTCCTGGAAGGGATACATTTGGACCTCTCTCTTAACACTCTGAGGTGATGACAGCCACATGGATAATCTCATGCATGAGTGAATTGGAACCTTTTCATTAATTATTTACCCAACTTGTTGGTACAGTTCTAGCTGTATTGTCAACTTGAACAAGGCTACAATATTCTTCACCCAAGGTTTGGTAACCTTAATTAAATACAAGATTAAACATTGATAAACCAATGTAATAATCAAATTAACCAGTCAAGACTTAAAGGTTCAACTTACCAGAAAGAGTGGTAATAATATAATATGTGATATCTGCACAAAATTTAATCTCTTCTTTCCATTTAATCCATTGCTGTGTTCCTATTTGAAAATAATAATGTTTTAACTGAGGAGCAAGGAAAATGTTGGCGCAAGAACAATACAGGTGACTTACCAGTTGAAAGTTGTAAAATTTCACCTAAAGAGTTTCTAAAGAATGTTTCGTATTCTTCATCTTTTTGACAAGCATATATAATCTCACACTGACCTGCTTTTAATGGCATTTTAAAGCATTCGTTACCTAAATAACATTTATGTCCAAATATCAACAATATAATATTTTATGTCTAAATTTAAACTCATTATACAGGGGGGTCAAAGTTCAACATCAGTTTACAACTCATCAGACCGGGGGGGTTTAAAAGCAAAACTTTGTTTTAATTCAACATGGCGTCCGAAGGCGAATCAAGAAGCGAAGAAATATTAGGTCGAAAATGGGACCGATGCCTTGCTGATACCACAATAAAAATTGGTAGGAATTGTCCTTTTTGAAAGTTTTGCTATTATCTTTGTAAAAATATACGATTGTGTTACTTGTGTAGGTACCGGTGCTATTATTGGTGGAGTGTTCTCACTTATATTTTTTAAAAGTACGTTTTGCACTATTTAACATTAAAAATGTGTTTTGCTGAAAAATGTTACCATACTTTAAGTTTTCTAGCATCAATCTGTGAAAATTCTGTGTTGGTTTCTTTGCAGAGTTTGTATCGCTATGTTAAGACCGTATCACATCACTCAAATATATGTTTGTTTTTTGTTTATGCTTTAGGAAAGTTTTGGCCCATTACATTTGGGTCAGGGATTGGTTTAGGAATGGGTTATACCAACTGTCAATATACATTTTACTCTAAATTTCCTCCACAACATAATTATGGATCTCCTTGGTGGCAATGGGTAAGTTGATATCTATGTAAATTGTCACATATGCGTGTTTTGTATTGATTTAGTTTAAAGCGAGAAACAGTTATATTTAACAATTATTGTAAATAAAGTATGCTTGCCTGCTATTAATGAATTACATAAAAGCAAAAAAATGATTTTTATTCTTTTGACAATTACATTGTAAGAACCCTGAGATCATGGAAAAATGGAGAAAAAATTGGGAGAAAAGATTGAAGTTACAAAAGTCTTCTGAGAAAATTGATGAGCAAAACTCTGAGGATAAGTGAGTGATATGAAAGACATTGTTTGAAATTTTATCAAATACAATTTGTTTCTTCAATCCAGACAATTCTAAGGAAGAGAATCTTTGTATCTGTTTTAATTGATAAATTTTGACTACAGACAAAATTCCCCAATAAAACTTGTGAATTTGATTTCATAAACATATATGTATCATGTACTTTATGGGGACCATGATAGTGCATAAAGGCAATGTACTATCTATAATATACTCATGATAAATTATAAAAAAGTTTGAAACACTAAACATAGATATGCACAAATCTTTAGTCTACATACATCATAAGTAGTTTTGCACTTTGCTAAACATTAGTATGTCGATCAGGATCATATTTTCTTAATAATCTCTCTGGATTTAGAGATGCAATATTTGAGAAATCTCTTACAACATCAGTGAATGTATCATCACCTGGCAGAAACAAAACAAAAATGCCAAACAAGTTATTTACACAGTTAAAGTCACTTATCTCACCTTTATTATCTAATACATCACTTGATTCTTTCATTTCATCATTCAAACGTGACAAACGTAATCTAACAAAAATATCTCTGAGAATTTTTCAAATTTTTAGATTAAATGCATGTACATATGTACTTACAGTGTAACAATGTCAGCTTGCATCTGAGACAAAGCAATAGTCAGTGCATCCTATTGGTAGAATAGAAAATATCAATACTGGACTTTTGATGTACAAGTTATTGAACAACAAGAACCTGTCCATTTTCATCCACTGCATGCTGATTAGCCCCTTTCTTCAAGAGCAAACAAGCCTCCCTATAATTAAAGAAAACAAACAAAATATCCTTATGCATCACTAAAATTGAGTGAAAAGTAGGTACCCAGTTTGTCCCAAAAGAGCTGCATGATGTAATGATGCACGACCACGGGAATCACGAAGATCAATCTTTGCACCATTTTGAAGAAGAAATTCTGTGCCAGCTAGATATCCCTAGTATGATTCATAAAATTTTTATCATTTAAGTATAAATATGTATAAAAAAGAAAAACTGCTATTTACTGCTTCAACTGATTGGTGTAAACATGTTTTCAATTCATCCTCTTCATTTTGCCAGTTAATTTTTGCACCTGTACAATCATGATTATTGCATAAGAAATAACACAGGAAAAATTTGGAATTGTATACTTTGGATGTCTTTCTTACCTGCTGTCAATGCTAGCAACATCAAAGACAAATGTTTCCAGTTTGTGGCTTTATACAATAACTAAAAATCATAAGAGGATTATAAATTGAGCAACAATTGTCAAGATTGTGTTTGAGATCATTTAAAGAAGATTTTAAGGAGAGATAGATTGCTAAGTAAATATAGGAAAGCCTATCTACATAGAATCTATTCATCATCATTGCTGTAATTGAAAACATTCTAACCAAGTTTGCAGGAATATTCTTTAACATTTCTCTTGCAGCCAACAGCAAATGATTGTCTTCACAAGCTGTTGTATCTGTTTTATTACTCCAAACATCAACCTCTTTACTACTCCCCTCTTTCATCTCAATATCTGACTCATGGAATTCTTCTGTTTGATCACTTTCGTTACCATCTGAAACCTCTTGATTGATAAGGTTGTCATAGTGACTCCCAATGGAGTTTCGGTCAAAGCTGACTAGTTTGGCAGTATGAATGTTATCTTCCATATTTTGGGGGAGTTGAGATGAGACAGTTTCTTCCTGTTTATCTCTCATATCTGATTCATCACCCAACTCTTGTGGTGTCCTAAAATGTGACGTAATTGTGTTTATGTTCTCTTTAAGGGCATGTTTGTAATATATGTCCTATACCTGGAGACGTTTGATGCAGAAGAAATTAAATGAGATGAATTTCGTTGAATCTCTAGTGAATAATCAGGAGTTGCTGTTGTAGAGTTTCGTTTGCTAACATCAGTATTCTTTTTATCTGGTTTAGTACTAAATCGTTTAAAGAGAGGGATGTTGGGTCTTCTACGTCCTCCAATTTTCTTTTTATTTCGTTTTACTTCATTAACATGATGCTCAGGAACTTTTCTCAATGCTTTTAAAATGTGTTCATCAAGTGTGATTATTTTCTCAAGACATATTTCACGGCAAAAATATATCTTATCAACATATTTTGATTTGATCCATTCTTCTTTATCTTCTCTGCGAAACACGGTTATAAAGTGTCAATAAGATGCATATAGCTACAGATGCATGTGATGATAAAATTCTACCATTTACCTGTTGCTGTCTGGGGAAGGTTTAAAATTTGATGTGTCCGTTCTTGACTCTAATATTCTGTTGACGACCAGATTTCCCAGTTCTTTCATAACCTATGATGAAACAATTTATTCTGAAAAAAAAATCATTAGAAAATTCACTTTTTGATTTTCTCTTTACCTTAAGTGATTCTGGTTCCCAATCATCAAGATTAAGTGATCGAACCTTGGAAAAATGTACACCTAAACTCCTAAAATAAGTACAAGAAAAGTAATTAATACAAAGATTCATTTTTGATAGGGCAATTAAATGAATAAAAATACCTATGAATACCAGAGCATTCAATGCATAATACCAATCCTAAATTAATACTTGCCCACTTTGGATCTAGTAAATGGATAATGTTGAAATTACAAGTTAGAGATAAAAATGAATATTAGTCAACTTCATTAATTTTCCTGACTAATTTCATTTTTTACTTGCCTAGTTTATCACAGTCTGCACATCGATCGTTTCCGGCTACACTTTTAATCTCTTTTTCAGCACTGCAAACAAAATACAACAAATACTTTCTTTCGGCAATCAATTGTTCTTCGTTCATTGATAAAATAACTTACTTTAATAAAGAAAGTTTATCTAATGATTCAAGACTTCTGCTTTTAATGCTCAAAGCTTTTTTTGAGATTTGCGATTCATCTCCTTCGTCTTGATCAAGACTTGCCAGATTAAATGCGTGATGTATGCTTACCTAAACATACAAAATTCGAATTTCTTTACAAAATACGAATTTCTTTCATTGACCTTCATAAAAAAAAACAAAGAAAACCTTCATGGCGTTCTCCCACATCTCCTGTAATTGTTGCGAGTCTGCTTGGAGGATAACCAATCTAAACGGATCACAATCATAAAAGGGGGAGACAAATAGACGGTGTAACGTGAAGGATAAGAGGTAACTAGAGGGAAATGGAGAAAAATGTAACGTGAAGGATAAGAAGTAACTAGATGGAGATGGAGAAAGAGAAACGGTGTAACGTGAAGGATAAGAAGGAATAGAGGAGATGGAGAGAAAGGAACGTGAAGGATAAGAAGGAAGAGGGAATGGAGGAATGGAATGGAAGGAATGGAAGATGGAGAATGGAAGGAAGAGGAATGAGATGGAGGAATGGAATGGAAGGAGGAATGGAATGGAATGGAAGGATGGAAGGAATGGAATGGATGGAATGGAATGGAATGGAATGGAAGGATGGAGGAATGGAATGGAAGGAGGAATGGAATGGAAGGAAGGAATGGATGGAGGAATGGAATGGAAGGAATGGAGGAATGGAAGGAATGGAAGGAAAGGAAGGAATGGAAGATGGAGAAAGAGAAACGGAACGTGAAGGATAAGAAGTAACTAGAAGGAGATGGAGAAAGAGAAACGGTGTAACGTGAAGGATAAGAAGTAACTAGAAGGAGATGGAGAAAAGAAACGGTGTAACGTGAAGGATAAGAAGTAACTAGAGGAGATGGAGAAAGGAAAATGAAGGATAAAAGTAAGTCGGAGATGGAGAAAAAACAAAACAAATCGGATAAAATTAAAAATCTTATTAAATCTTAGATTTTATCCTATTTATAAAACAAACAAATTTTAACACCTAAGAGTTACACCAGCCGATAATTATTACCTTGTATTTGTGTTGATAAAATAACTTATTGTTTTGAATGGTGAAATATCTCCTATATAAAGAAATGTTACAATTATTTTTTTACTTCAAATTTGTAGGTACGAAATTTCTTGTCAATAACTACCTTTGCCATGTTTTAAACGCATTTTTACTCCTTTTAAACAAATAACCTTCCAGAACAACATCACTACTAGAACAAAGATAAAATTTTTTTGATAAAACTCTGAAATATTGATTGACATCAAGAGATGATGATTCTGGGTAATAATGTATAAAAATGAATTCTCACATTGAAGATGCGACTGGATTCATGGTTGCAAACATAGACTCATTCTAAAAACAAATCAATTGAAATAATGAACTATCAATAATATAAATTATCATGATGAATTTATATCTTTACTTGTGCTTTTACAAGTTGATGTCGGTTTTCCATTTCTTTCTTCTCAGCAATAAATGACACTGAAAGCTCTTCTAGCTATAACATTTACCATCATAAGTTTATGCATATTTTCATTTTTAAAATTTCCAGGTAAATGAGATGTCAAGTTTTTGACCTGTTTACCAAGAGCACGCATTTTTGGCTCAACTTCTTTTAGTAGATTAAATCCTTGATGGAAGAATGAATATTGTGCATGCATATATGCAAGCATCTAGGTAAAAGACTTAATGATTAGTTACATTAGGCCATGAGAAATAACATTACCATATAATACTAACCACATCTAAAATTTCTAAGCGTTTCCTTGATTTTAAAACATTAATCTAAAATGAAATATACATATTAAGTTACATGCATTATGTATGTTTGTATATCATGTTGCAGGAGAATACATATATTACTTGATATGTGTAATCCAAAGAAAGATGATCAAAACCAACTTTAGTAGCAGTAACTAAATTTTTCACCTATAAATTTAATAAAATATTCTTATTATTAGTAGGCAGCACAAGCTTTCACAGACAACAGACAACTTGCCTCTTCATATTCACTTGCTTTGCTATTTTTTGGTAACTGGGCATTTCTTACTAATGCACTATACAAAAACATAAAAAGTATGAGAAACAATTCCACAATGAAGAAAAACTATTTTTTAATACTTGTTAAGGTCATAAGACATTCTGTCAAAAGTCTTCTTTGTTTCTTTAACTTTTTTTAATTCGCTTTAGGAATAAATAAAACGTAAGATTAACATATGGACATTAGTTAGTATAGCTATTGTTAGGACTTACTCTTTCAGGAATTTCTGAAGAGCATTAGCTATGGAGGACCTTGTCTGATCCATTAATATCTTGATAAAAAACATGGCATAGTCTTAGTAAAGAATCATAATGCCAGCAATTGAAAATTGAACATACCAACCATAAAATATTGCCTTGTTTCTTCTAAAACATTGTTGAATTTTCCTAATGATTCTGTGACAATTGCATCTCCATTGAAGTAGGAAGATAATGAATATATACCTTTGATAAGACCACTGGAAGTAGAAATAAAAATTGATAATGACGGCACATTGCCAGCTAATTTTGAACAGCACACTCTTTTGTTTACAGGATTACCTCATAGCAGAGCCATATGAAGTTCCTGCTTCAACGACAGCATTGCAAGTCTTGATAAGCTGAAGAATTACGTTTATTTACTACACTTCTTACTCTAGAGCATGATAAATTGTTGTGAAAATACGTACTTTTTCTAGTTCTACTTCTAGCTTGGAAATGTCTTGCTCATTTTGCTCGACCTGGAATCTTTTTGAAATTAAGTAATAGGATTATTGGACCGAGATGTAGTTGTAATTGTATTTTTTCTACCGTTTTTAACTTAATCGTTCAAGATCTGTAAGCAATAATAATTTAATTTAACTTAAAAAAAACAAATACATCGACATCCTCAATTCAATTCTCGAACTCGCCACCAGAAAAATGATTAATAAACTATCACAAACAGAGTTGAAGTTTCTATTGTCATGTCGTTTATGACAAAAGCAACTGAAACTCTTTGTCGACATAAGAATTTCATCACTTAAGGCAACAAATTGTTTTTAAAATGTTTGTTTTCGTTCTACATTCTACTCATTATATAATAATATTCTGAAACTTTCCAATTAAAGGTTTCTGTTCTTTTATTGACTTCTCATAATTCAACCATATGAATACCAAAGTAGGAAACAGATATTTTACTTAATAGTTTAATTGAAATAAGGCAGAAATTTGTAGCGCGCACCTAAAAAACGGAGAATCTTTCAGACAGTCCGTGAATTCCAGCTTTTCCAACATAGTTTATAGAAAAAATTCCCAAATTATTCGTTGCTTTTAGACCAAATTTATAATTGCAATGTCCATCTTTGTTCAGAAAAATTATTACAGTTTATGTTATGACAGTCGACACTTTGCAGTCTGTGGATATTATCGTCACCGGAAGTAAGCACTCGTCACGTTTTAATGCTGACGTTCAAGTGTATCCTGGGGGGTGGGGTGAGGTGGTAAAATTTTATAAATGCATGTGAAGGACATCACAAAGGTGAGTAGATTTCGAAGTTCCTTCGTATTTTATGATTATTTTGTAAGTATAGCTTTTCATATTCACTATTTAAGTAAGTTAGGATGTAAAATATCAAGAAAGTCATGCTACTGAGTATATATTGATGAATGTGCAAGTTTATCATATGGAGAAACAGAAAATAAAAAACGGGGCAATGTTTATTTTTACCCATTGGAATGGTGGCGTTTGTGTTAAATAATATTGTACAAGTTTTATTGAAATCTTGTTTCCATATGATACCAAAGAAACAGCATTGTTATGTAAATTGTATAAATTTGATAATAATGGCTGTGTTAATGGGTTGTAAATATTTGATTTTTCATGTTTTTTAGATGCAAAAGTGTTATTCTGTATTTGGGTTTGGCCATGTGCCTGGTGATTACGATCTAAATGTGAAATTGGCCGAAAGTAATGCTGCTATTTCCTCTGTATGTCAAACTGTTTTGTTTATTTTCTAGTCTTCTCTTGTTCATAACTTGATTCTTTTCGTAGTATTCCAATCTTTTGAATTGCTTATTTGTCAAAAGAGAAAATCCTTGTCCGTTTAGTATTTCCACATCTGGTAAATAATGATGTACTTAAAATCATAGAAACATTTTTTCTTTCAATAATGTTAATTGAAATTATGAATCATTACAGTTGCTCCTCCAGCTGATACCAGATTAAAGATTAATGTTTTTTCTGAGGATATGAACCCAGTTATAAGATGCTGGTCTCATTCTGAAAATGATGGTAACAAATATCATTTATCTTAAGGTCATGTTGATGTATCATATTTCATTCATTGTGATTTTATTGTTATACACCATTGTATTTTTCTATATAGATTTTGTTGCACCTCTTCATTTTGTGAGAAGTGGAAATAACGAGGCATATTACGATTGTTGTTCTGAAACAGGACAGCTCTCAATTTACTTACCTTATAAACACAACAATGGTAATGGCAAGATAATGAACTTTTTCTTTTTTATTCAAATGCACTTCAGTGACGGTCAACTTTGAATGAATTTTTGTTCAGATCTTGATGAAAATGTAGAGATTCTAATGTTTTTATGCTCAAGTATGTCTTGTATAAAGAAAAAAGTTTTTCTCAAATTTTCATTAATCTACAGGTAGATATTATCATTATGTTCTATGTTAATGTTATACTTTAAAATCATCATATGAGTGTTTTCAATTCATTTTGTTTCAGAGATGAAGTAGTGGGATATAAAACATTTGGACTTCATGTTTGCTCAACCCCAATCAGGGATAGGAGAAACCATGAAAAACAAAGAAAGCCTGTTAGGAAAAGAAAAGCTCCTGTTGGTAAAACCGAATAATGAAAAAAAATTTTTGATTTTTGAAAAAATTAAAGATTTTTAATTAACACTAGGAGCTTATGAAGACACTCCTAATGAGTCTAAAGTGTTTGTATTGCCTGTAGGTATTCTAGTATTTATAAATAATTATGTTGAAATATGTTTTGGTATACTTAATTTTTTTCCTTGTTCAGATTAAGCAATCTTGGATCTACAATGTCATGAAAAAATTGAATCGTGGCCTTGAACTGCTGGATGCTACTACTGTTGAAGAACAAGCTTATTTTTTAAAAAGGTTTTATAAATATTTAACCACTGTCCTTTTGTGTTTTTAACATGAATATTAACATGAATATTATGATTTAAATTACGTATTAATTGCTTAGAGCAAAGCGAAGAAAAAAGAAAAGGGAAGTTAAATCTACTACATCATCTTCATCAATTTCTAGAAGTAGTTCAAAAAAAGTCATTGTAAAGTAACAACATCAATTTTAGTCATTTTTAGTTTGTTGTATACTGATATAGTTAAGTCCCATGATGGTCAATGTAACTGAATCTTTTGGTTAGTATTTGTAAATAAAATGTTAAATGAAAGCAAAAAACAAAACAAAAATAAATTGAGTTTATGCCTGTGGCGCGAATTTTGTGTTGTAGTTTGAAAAATTATGTTTAGGAGTTGATGGGCTGTTTCATTCGTGAAAACAGCAAAAATTTAACAAGCTTATTGAAATTTCTTAAAGAGCAACTGATTTCTTATTGTATTAAACATGTAAATATTGTTTGTGGACAATTAACTTTGTTACAATTTCATTGAAAATATTTCAAGAATGAAATATTGTTGATTGACGTTCAGTATTCAAGTATTTAGTGATTTGTATGTCGCACTGTTTCCTTTGAATAAGAAATCTGCATATTTTGCGATCTTGTCATCGTTTTCCTCACATCATTTGCTTCCTTGTTCTTACTTACGTTGAACCAGTTGACATTGTCTTCTAACTCATTTGGTAAGAATTGTTGACTGTCAATGTGATTTCTGGAAGTATAAAAATATCTGTCACGCCATTCCTTTACGTACCTCATTACATACACTTGTAATTATTTATATATTTATTCATTTATCAGTTTTTTGTAATGCTGTATAATCTAGTTAGAGGGCCACAGGTTTGTCAGCTTTTCAGCTGTTACGTGTCCCCCTCTTCAAATAAAGTCCTTAGATACATACTATAAACAAGTTTTCTGGCTACACTTTATAAATCAACGAATGCAAACAATCGTATTTCATTCAGATAAACCAATGATTCATTGTTGCTCATTTGCATGTAATATTACTCACTAAAACTTCTAAAAGAATCATAGAAACCTAAATGTCATTCAACGATAACGCGTATAGATTACGTAACAAAAGTTGTTATGTGTATATTATCTTTTGAAAAGTCATAAAGGATAAATATAAGAAACGATGCCAGGGAAAGAAATTCTAATACCTGTAATACACAGATCTGTTGCTTGATGAATCTTCAATATTCTAAAACAGTATTTTTTTAAAATTATTTGAGTTCAACATTTTCGTTATTTGATAAGATATTTCAAAACCTTGTGATAGCCTTGTCTTGCTTGATTTTGTTTTTGTTCACTCACATGAAAAGGTCGGCTTTTAGAGAAACTGCAAAAAAAAATATTTATGAGCAATAAGACTGTCTGAATTTATGTCATGTCTAAATTCATTAAGAGATTCTTGCATTTTATCGTATGATTTTTCTTTGCTTACAATCGTTTTTCCATGCTTGTGAAAAGTTCAAGTGCTTTAGAAATTCGTTCCATAATTACAAAATTTTGTCTTCCATTGACCTGACAAAATATGATGAAATACAAGTTTCGCAGTAGCTTGAATTTAGCACGATAATGAAGACGTGCATTTACCTTGAGATAAAATGTTTCCGTTGATGTCTTTCTTTTGTATGATGGTCCTTTGTTTTCATGCGTAATATTTAATGGTGAACCTTGGGAAGGCTCTTCACTGTTCATAAATGATCTAGTAAAGACTAAATTGAAATATTGCATGACGTCAATTGTACTTTTTATCATCGTGAAGTATAGTATTACTTACTTTCATCTTCTAATCTTCTTCTTCGTTTAAATGGTTGTCTTTGTTGTCGTTCTTCAATGGTACTGTCCCTTCCTGGACATGCACAAACTCGCACTTCCAACAAACGTCGACCCAAGACCATTTGTCTAGACGTAAACAATTTGAAATTATTAAAAAGGTGTTTGTTCAGCAAAAAGAATAGTAAAAAATACTTGGTAAGTAACCTGTGACTGATCTCAAAAATAATTTGGATAGACCGTCTGTTGAGGCCGACACATGAATTGTTACAGACAAATGATAGCAGTTCGTGAGTACTCAGTCTTTTCGTATGAGTATCTAAAATGGAGTTTTTATAAGAGGTTAAGTGTATTCTTTGTGTTAAAGTATTTCACTTTCTATACCTATTTTGTTTGGTGTATAAGGCAAGACAAGATAATATCTTCCTGTCAATGGACATTCTTTATACAAAACTTGATCACTCTCGCATCGAACGAAATGTTTGACTGTTGAAAAAGCTGGATGGCAAAAAAGTCAAAGTAAGTATAATTATCTCCTTCATTATTTTTACAACTTTTCTTTCCTTGAATTTTACATCGCATTTATTTTCTTACATAGTTTGTCTGCATTTTCCATGACATGGTTTGGACAACATCTCACAATGTCTCTGGCATCTTCAACATTCTTGAATACAGCCATTATTCTTATATTACAACTCTCTGGTATGTTGTCTGTTTTATGGAAACAAAAATTACAACTACTTTCAAGTCACATATGTTTCGTATACAAATAAACTTACCTGACGAAGAAAACATGATTGGACACAATGTTCCTGACTTGATGTACAACTTGTTGTTTTTAAACTGCAAATAATCATTTTATATCGTGTAAATGGTGTTCATAATATGCATATATTCATTTTATTAAACGTACCACCCATTCTGGATTGGCAACTCTTCTCAACTGTAGCAAAAATATTTGTGGTTTGTGTTGGTTAAAAAAATAAAGTTATCAAGCTATAACTTACGAAACTAACCTGTGGCCCAAGTTCCACTTGAAAATTATAAAGACCGTGCACCTCAGTTCTACAATACCAAAAAAATTGAACGATTTGCACAAATAATATGGTACAAATGATTATTTGAAATAATACGAACGTTGTTGGGACGTGTTGTGGCAAGTGAAGACTGGACATGGGTTCAGTTTCTGTGAATGAACATTCTTCGTCGATGGAGTAATTCTTAAAAATAATTCAACTATTAAAAAATGCATTGTTTTATGTACACAGCAATAGAGGGTGTAACTTGCGATGTAAAAAATTGCGTAATTATAATGTAAATTGACGGTTATCTACGCTATAATCTACATTGCTTATGCATATTCCTTATGCTTCAGCTGGGCCTCGTTAACATGCGTTACGAAATACATTTACACGAATTTACACGTGTAAATGTAACGATTAAGTTGCTTTTCAAAAAGATATAGCTATTACGTTAAAGGATCAAGTCTATCATTAAATATTTTCATTCAAATATGTTTAATGCATAAAACACATTTGATGACAAGAAACTGCCATCGATTTTTGTCGTCAAAATTTTAATCACTTTTAAGTATAATAATACAATTTATAAATACTTTGCTTGCTATTAGTGATTGCAAAATATGTTAAAGTCGAATATTTCTGAAAATAAACTTACAGAGATTGGATCGTCACCGTCTGCCTTTAGTCCTAGGAAATACGTTATTTTGATTAAGATAAACATAGAAGTTTTTTGTGACTGGACTGTCTTATTTGCGCACACAAATTTTGTGAAATGATCTTGCCAGAAAGCGGACTTCAAATATCTCATCGTTTCATAATACATGTGCATATATTTAAGAAATTAGTTATTGTACACGAGGATGGTTGCGTGACGACATGCTTAGAGAAAATAAAAAAATTTATTATTTTCTTAAGTGCTTTAGTTGTATTTTCTTTATATTTTCAATACCTGGGCTCTGTGATGAATTTGTTGCAGAACTTGGAAGTCTACGAAAGAAACAAAGAAATTTATTTCCGACTTGACGTCGGTACTTCAAATTTGCTGATACGATAAACACAATTTGTATGAGCTCGCTTCTGTCTGAAACATTGTCAGGAATTTACAAGTTTAACTGGAAGTACTTTAAATTAGAATTCTTAGATAAATCATTATTCTCTTACTCTGTAAGAAACTCTTTCACATCAAAATTGTTCATTAATTCATCAAGAGAGTCCATATTGAGTGACAGCTTCCAACATTTACCTTCAATGAGATAAAATTTCTAAAGTGATGTTCTTAATTATGCAATGACATTATTATGTTGATGAACTGATTTATTGATTTTTATTCAGATATGATGGTAATTATTACAATCTTTATAATGCATGACGAACTTAGTAAGAAACACAGTAACTCTAGTTTCTATATTGTTGCACGTTTGAAGGTTTTACATTATACTCTGTTTGGTTATAAAGTTTATGCACATTCATCTTTGACATTTCTATTTCAACCTTTCTATTTAAACATTTCAAAATTTCTTTTCTTTTTAGCGGAGGTCGACACGTTTCGCTGATACTTGGAAATTAAAATATCTTTTAAAATTACCATTTTATGTCTGCAGGTGTCTTCTTACAATAAAGACCATTTTTGCAACTAGAGATAAAGAATTTGTTTGATAACTTTTGTCTTTAGTGCTGAAGGAAGATGCTTTCATTACACGTCAAAATTTTCTATCTCCATTATCTTAGTTCCGCAAAACAATTTTCCTAATTTTTATATACGACAAGTTTCATAGAAATTTCAACTAGTCCAACATATAATTTTCAGTGCAGATAACTAAGGGAAAGTATTTCAAGCGATTTAAGTGATGTGTGCTGCACATAGTTTCGCTATTTAAGAATAATCCCTAATGTACAAGAGCATTTTTGGCAATATGATTTGACTGTGAGCGTAAAAAAATGACTTAAGAAAAAGAAATCTATATATTTTATATAGATTACAAAATGTTTCCTTTGACATACCACCAGGACTATTCTTCCAGAAGTCATCGTACTGTAACATACAATTTAAAATTACAAAGGCAAATATAAACAATTGACTATAGAGCTACGAAACGATTTTTATTAAGTCCTATTGTACCAAATCCACTCTATTTTAAAATTCATTTACAGCAATTTGCGACCTTTGAGCATTACCAAATTTGAGCAACTAGACATATATGAAGTTTCGGATGAATTGATGCGTTGTCGTGTTTATTTGAAGCAAACTTGACGAGGGAAATAGCTTGATCTTCATTGGTCAGTTTGATCATCAATCCAAAATTAGGGCGTCGTTTACTTGACATCTTCCAGTTGTAAACAGATTGGAAAATGTCAATATTCACCCATTTTTCTTTATCTTTAGAATATATTTCAGCACTCTTTGTTGCACTAGAGATTATCATAAATTTCATCAAACAATGTATTTTTCTATTTTTAAGATTAAATGCTAAATTATATCACATATGAAATTGTCAAATTGTATTCCTATAAACTCACCTAGCTTTATCCACATCCTCGTTAATACCCAAAAAATCCTTATACCACGGAAACCGTGATGTTGTATTTAATTCATGCCATTCAGTACTAGTTATTGGGTAAACGTCGACTGTATGTATCAAATTATCTACTTTATTCCCAGCATTGACTAAGAATAACTGTAACGTAGCTGATAAAAGCCGGGCACGACGCGGTATTCTGGCCAGATCAAATTGAATAAGGAAGCGATGGTTATGATCATTTACATGACGTCCTAGGTAAAGATATTCTGCACCAGCGCTGTTTTGAGAAGGAGAAAAAATTGTCAGTGCTTGAGTAACCTCTGCTTTTAGTGAACTCACTTGGAAATATTGAGCTTTTAAATCTGAAATAAAAATGATTCAGTTGGTTTGCCATTCATCACTGACTTGCAGTAAAGTGGAATAAAGTTTCATTTAACTGTTTTTTAACTTTTCTCCTTACCTGGACTGCACTCATATGTATTTTCAAAATTCTTATTAGGAACACCTGTGTTTGTTGGCTTCCTTACTGGTTCTACAAGAAAATTATAAAATGATGAAGAACTGTTCCAGCAATTGCATATACGCTCAGATTAAAATTTCACCTGCTTTTTCAGTATCCGAGCATTTGAGTCGAAATTTATAATTACTGCATTTAACATTGTCCTGTTCATTGTTTCTACATACGAAACCAACATCATTGCTGCAGTCAAAATTTTCCTCTGTACTCGCTGCATTCTCGCCATCAGCTGTTTTACATTCTATCTCAAGACTCGAGAAACCACCACACATTTTCTTTAGGTCAACTAGAGCCCACGATCCTGTTGAGAGTTTTTGCGTATAAACCCAATCACTCCATCGAAAAGGTCTTGTCGCCAAAACATCACATTGATTACCTGAACATTTCTCTATATAGTGGAATAGTGAAAAACATCACTCGCACGAGCCGTGAATTTCAATAAATAAAACACCTCACCTTCCTTCCATTTGCTAAAATCGATTATAGGGAGGCCATTCTGACATTCAACTCTTCTGTTTGTGTCCTCATTAACTGGAAGAAATGCATCTGGTTGAAGAGACACGACATTGTAAAGATTATCGCAAATCACACGAGACAACGACGTTTTCTTCAATTCAAGCAATTGTTCTGTTGTAAAAACACCATCTCGTTCATACCAAAACCTATCTCCACTTCTTAGTCTTTCAAATTGTCGTTTTAATATACAGTGAAACGTAGGACCAATCATTGCTCCTGGAACATGCGCCTCCGCAAGTCCAGCTACCCAGAGATCAGCGTGTTCCACAGTATCGTACAACTCATTTAGAATATTTCTCGCTTTTGTATCTGTAATCTCATAGTTCGTCTCGTCAAAAAATGTCGCTTCTGGAAGACCACATTCTCGTCTCCAAGCTCCATAGCCAGGAAGTCCGTGATCTCGTCCACGTTGAATATTCAATGCTGCTAAATCAAAACCGTGCTGAGAACCAGGTTGTTGAAATAAGTGTTTCGTTAATCCTTCAGCCATTCCACGATTTATCGTTTCTGAAACATTTCCCAATAAGCCAAGAATAAAAGGGGCGATGCCTTCCTTTTTTAAAAGATCATTGTTGAAAAAAGCTTTCACCAAGGGAACATCCTCACCAATACGTTCAAAATTTTCATCCAATCTAGAAAATGCTGGTCGAACTAAACTATGCCCTGCACGGAATGCAGAAGTAGCAAATGCATTGTAGATTGTCGTGTCGATGTTGCCATCGTAGCCAGTGTATTCTGTACAAATAAATTGTTTTTAGATTATCCGTGAAAAGAAAACAATATTCCAGTAAAATCAAATACCACTTACCTGAACGATAATCTTCCCCTAATAACTTTGGAAGATATTCTGTATAAGTTATATGCTGTAACTCAGCAATTACAATCTTTCTTGTTTCATGGTAAATCTTGGTTGAATTCCAACGCGAGTTAACTACTTTCAATATTCTAGCGATTCGATTATGTTCATGTACCCATAACGTGTGCATCGCAGCAAGGACAATCTGTTCGTTAGCCCGCATGTCACCTGCTTCAAAGCAACCTCCTGAAAATTGGCATAAATTCAACGGAGGTTTTAAAGTAGTCTCCATATCCGGTAATAGATACGTGGTAGGGTTGACTTTAAGAAAGCCTTGGTAATCTGTCGCAAAGAAACAAAAAACAAATTTTTCAACGTAAGGTTAACTGAAGGATTTACATACATGTAAGGAAAAGTGTTTGATTTGACTTGATATTCCTCTAACAATACCTGGTGAAAACTCTCTTAAACGTTCGGCTTGTGTCTTTGACGAACCATAAATCTGTGATCCGTCGATGTAGGACGTGATTAAATTTAATTGCTCTCGTTTGCTGATGTTTTCGGGATCTGTTTGACATGCAGCCGCTGACCGTGTGAACATCGTGCACTCACCACTTGTTTTTGGATACATTATAGGATAACAAGGATACTCAAAATCTTCAGATGATCCATCACACCTAAAAAAAATAAATAACGAAACAAAATTTCACAAGTCGAACCAAAATGACTATAGCTGCGGTGTATGAAGTAATATTACTTCAAACCATTACCTTGGTAATGCACAATGTTCAGATCCGTCACTTTCAGCTGTAAATGTTAAATCATGATCAAGAAATTGACCCCATTGCATCATCATCAATGAAAACTTTCCCCCTCTATCTCCTGATGTCCTGTGATTCACGTAACGTTTGCTGATCAAGTGTGGAGAAGGTAATGATGCAACTCGTAATTGCCCTGGAAATCCATAAGGTTCCCCTAAACCGTCTGCATCCCAATATTTTGCCTTTACCATCCTCTTGAAGGGAATATTGGCTGCTCCCCATAATGTATTGTTGAGATTATTACAAGTTCCGTCAAATGTCCTGTATTTTGAATGAAATCTTTGGTTCGAGCAATTGGCGACAGGAATAACACAATGGGTAGCGTTAATAAGCTCTGCTAGCTTGTCACGTGATGCAAGAACAATCGGAGAAAGTTTTGTGATCAATTGTTCGTTTGTCACAACACGTATAGCTAAAACAAAGAAAGAAGATTATAAAGAAGACGATAGAAAATATAAAGAGATTGAGAAAGATAGGTAAAGTACTCACATGCAAACTTGTCCTTAACGCTATTTCGCAATCCTCGGATGATTTTGTTAAACTTCGTGTTTGCAATTGATATATTTTGAGCTGTCGGGGATAGACGACGGAAGAAGCGATGAAATGCAAATTCTGACCTTCGAGATTGATTGCTTTCATCATGTTGTACTTGTTGTGTTAAATTAACTTTTTCCAGCAAATGGTCAAAAACATCGCCCGAATATGCAGGTATAACATAAACATCAATAAGTGCAGATGCAACAATAGTTGTTGGACGGTGTCGGAGCTGCGCTATCACAGTGAAACTAAATTTCTTAGAAGAATTTCTGGCGAGTTTAATTTCACTGAAATCCCGCTTGAGTTTTATTGTGCCAAAATCTCGATGAATTGAAAAAAATTCGTTCAATCCTGAAATATTATACGTAATAAACTGCGCAGCTTTTAGTGATTTCATTGGGAGATCAAGTATCTTTTCTCCATTCTTCATACTGTCACTTACAATGACGCTGTAAGATCGTCTTGAAAACTCAATTTCTGGGATGTTTCTTTTCGACACTGTAAAATGAACAGGGGCCAAAACATAACTTACCCTGTTCAATGATGCCTTCACTGTCATTTTGTAACTTCTCTCCTCTGGGGGAAGTTTTTTACGAGACCTGATCTCGCCTAAAAATATAAGAGCCATATTTAGAAACAAAATTCGCTGATAAAACGTGAAATAATTTATTAGATAAACTAACCTGTAGAACGAGATATTCTAAATGGATAAGATCCAATTTTATGATGTTTTGGATACTTTCTTATTAAACTGTACGAAATAGGAAGACTTGTTCTTTCAACAAAAGCTTTGACTCTCAACACCAACGTGTTCTCAGGGATTGATTCGGAAATATTTTTCCTGTATTCTTTTTCTTCGAAATGTATCTTGTAAGCTTTAGGGAAAAAGGGAATGGAACTGTTTACAAATTTTTGTTGCGCATGCATCATTTACACTGATCTTTTACCGGTACAATTGACGCCATCTTTATGAAGTATATAACCAAGATTACACGAACAGCGATAACTGCCCAAAGTATTAACGCAGTTCTGTTGACAACGATGTTGCGAAAATTGACACTCATCAACATCTGAAATTAAACTTTCTCAAATAAATACACCACGTAATCTGAACTTCTAATGCAAATTATATTCCTTGCCTCGAGCCATGTATCTTGCTCGAAATCCAATATGTTTTTGACTTTTGTTGGAGTTTGCAGATTGAAAGCGAATCCACATGAAGTTATCAGGAACAGTGACGTTCCTCATTTCTCCTCGTCCACAAAATACGACAGTTTGTTGCGATCCTTTAGGTGTGTTATGACGGTAAAGACGGATAGTACTTACTGCAAGATTTACACCTGACAAACACTCCACATCAAAAGTCTCAATGAAATCCAAATGCACGTAGAAACCTTCCATTCAGGTAAAAATAAATAAAATGTTTAAATTCCACCCAATAAGTTATTAATTAAGAACATCATTATTCATTTTACCTTTAGGTACTCGAATACGCCAGACACATTTCAGTTTATTTCGGTAAGGCAGTGGATAACCAGGAGTTTCAATAATCCCATAGGAGCCATTCTTTTTAATCAGACGTCTTGGACATCTTCCTGTTTACAAAAATGAGGCAAAAAACTTTTTATTTTATTAGCAAATTAGCAATTGGTTAAACAATATAATTTGCATTACTACTACATATTAAATACATAATTATTACAATTATTATGATATAAATATAAAAGTCTTTCATCTAACCCCGTCTACTTTCTCTTTTTCTCTTTCTCATAGATAATCCTTCATCAAAGCATATCGCTGCCATCCTGCATAAGAAAAAGTTTTCTTATGTAATATGCATCAATGATTTTAATTCAGATGACTATCAATACAAAGCATGCGGACAAGTTGTTTGTATTGATGCATTAGGAAAATATACACTTGCTATGTCGTGTGATGGACGTCACTGTAACAGGGTTTCAACTTAACGAACGGGGAATGAATGAAAAATTCACTATTATTAAGCGTTTGCACTCTTTTCGAAATTAAAACATGAGATGACTTATTGTCAATGTGAGGAAGTAAAAAATGCTTGAGGAATGAATGACTTTATTTATACTTCGCAATCCCTCAACTTTCTTTCAAATGTTCTGAAGAAGTCGATATTTATTAAGAAATACCATACTTTATGAAATTATACGTTATACTTACATAAAAATGATAATAAATGACTGTATTTTCGACATTGTTCTTGTTTATTATCAATGGCACAATAAGATGTCAAGAATCGGATGTACGTTAGCATAATTAACCAATCAAAAGAGGATAGAAAATGATATTAGACACCGAATATTACAAATATGGTCCATTTATACATGATACATTCAAGTCAAGCAGGGATGACGGTGATCATCAGCGTCAAATTATATAAGATCTCTACACATGAAGAACTTAGACTACATTTTTGTAATCATTCTTGAGCATTGAACTAAAATACATGGAATTTTGTATTACTGGTAGCGTTCCATGTATTTTAGTTCAATGTTCTTGAGACATCTTACACTGCCAAAAATAAACATGAAGCAAAGAAAATTTTATAAAAATAGCACTTTCTTATCAACTATCACATTTACAGTTTTAACATGTTTTTATAAATACGCACATTTATATATTGTATGACCAAGTAAATGGCGTAATGTCTCACAAATTCTTTGTTGAAAAAGATTATTGCAATGAAGAATACTTTTTACGTACAGCATTTCGATTTTCCCCACGATAATATCTAAGCTGCATAAACTAAATTGTTAGTTTTCTCCAGTTCTCTCCAGTGTGATGCTATTTAAAAGTTGAGAAATATCAAAAATGGTCGAATTGTAAAGTACACAGTGAGCATAACGGGTGTTTCACATGAAATATAAAAATAGATGTGATTTATTGTCAAAATTATGTATATATATTTTATAGTATCAAATATCAATATTGACATATCTATTTGTGATATGATCATTGATATAATAAATTATTAATTGTTGATTTTATCATGAATAGCACATTTTACTACGTAATGTTATGTAGACAACATGCAGAGATGAAACCTCCTAAGTTTTTTACATCTATGTCGTTTCCATCAAACATCATGACTATATTTGACATTCTCCATAACAGACGGTTTTGTTTGTGAGATTATTTTGAATGGGATAAAAAATTTATAATATAACATTTCGCCAACGACGGCATGGATTAGGATGTCCGTTATTTATACAAAAAATAGATGGTACTAAAAGCTTTCCCTTGTTTTTTCCAAATTAACGATTTAAAAACAGACATTGAAAAAGGGCATATATATTTTAATTTTGATGAATTAACATTAAAAAAACGTTAAAATATTTTTAAACATTTTATTTTACATCCTTTGTTGCTCAAAATACCGGATACATTTAAATATAGATTGTTTGTTTTATTTCCTGATGATGCATGTTTCCGAAACTTACTGTTACTAAATGTTTGAAAAGTATTTTCCTCACATCTTCTGTCACCGTTCTTAAAAATGTCCAATTTTCGTGAAGAAAACTTTACTATAAATTGATATCAATAAAATAAAAATAACTGCTAAGTATTTTATGTATAGTAAGATTAAAACATTCATATTTAAGTCTATTTAAGAAAACACGTTCCTTTATTTCAAGTTGGTGGTGTTATTAAGTTGGCGTTATTATAAATATTTAAGGTGGTGTTATCAAGTTGGCATTAGTAGGTGACATGCATAACTTTTTCTTACATTCTTCATTAGTAGTGAGATTTTCATTTAACTTTTTTATAAATTGTGTAAACCAATCATTGCTTTCGAGTGAAATCCTTTCCTTTCGTTGTAAAATGTTTAATTTCCTTCATACCATTATATTTCATGTTTAGTGTCAATTAAATTAGCCGTCTTTCTTTTGAAGTTGACCGGCTAATTCAACTCAACTTAATTATTGTCAACAGAGTATTGAAGAAATAGTGCTTATTTTACGGAAATCAATTCCACATTGCCATTTTTCTTTGATAGAATCTATTGTGTAGTGCCGCGGTCCATCTAAACCATGCATCTGTTGTCAGTGTTGCTGATAAGCTTCCTTCTTCATTTTGTTACTCCTGTTAGATGGATGTAAGTACTAAGTATATGAATTATTTTCTTGGTTTACACATAAAATACCAAATCCTATTTTCTTTATTCTTTATTCAACCTAACTGGGTTTTTTGAACATTGCTGCATGGCAATGACTGACGAGATTTATCAATAATTGAAGTTTGCGTAGATTTAATAAACTTCTTGAGAAATTAAAAAACAAACTGGTACAAATGCCACCCTCACTGCATGGTTTATTGGGGTTTTTTTATCAACAACAAATATTTACACAACTTCCTTATCTTTTAAACTTTCGTTACATTGATGCAAGTGCGTGTCCAAAACAATAAAATTTACGGCGACCACAACGGTACATTAGCAGTCATTTAATAGGGCTTTCAACAAGCAATTGATTGAGAAGTTCAAAGGACGTTTATTCGACAAAGTAAATTCTCATTGACATATTGACTACAGACAGAAAACAATTGGTTAGACATTCATTTAAAATGAGGTACTAAATATATATTTCATGAACATTTGAATTGAATGGAAAAAGAACCTGTAAGAAATTGTTGAATGTCACTTTCAAAAAGAAATCCATGCGTTTGGTTTCATTAACTATATGTTCAACGATATTTGTCATAGGTCCATCGCTTTGAGTGGTACAACGTTTGAAAATGAAAACATGTGTCACATTTTAAAAGGATTGAACAAAAAACAAGTTCGTGTTTGTAGAAGAAATGTTGAACTGATGAATAGCGTTAAGAAAGGAGCTGAAATAGCGATAGCAGAATGTCAGCATCAATTTCAATATCGTAAATGGAATTGTTCTACAGTAAACAAAAACAACGAACCTGTGTTTGGAAATGCACTGAATAAAGGTGGGCAAATCATTCACAATCCAAAAGGATCGTCACCCTACTTAACATTTTATTTTATTTTATTGTCGCAAAAAGGCACAAGAGAAAGTGCGTTTGTCAGTGCACTTTCTGCAGCGTCTGTCTCTTACTCTGTAACGAAAGACTGCACATCTGGACAACTAAAAAGTTGTTCGTGTGATACATCATTGAAAAGAAAGCAACCTCAACTTAACGAAGAGAATTGGCGCTGGGCTGGATGTAGTGACAATGTCAACTTTGGAAATAGTTTTTCAAAAAGTTTTCTCGATGCTCGAATACGTGAACGACAAGACTTCAGTCGTGCAAGACTTCTTATGAATATACACAATAACGAGGCCGGACGGACAGTAAGTTCTCTACTGTTTTGTAGAGTGACGTATGGTAATGTTCATTTTACACGTATCTTAATTCTTTTTAACCATCTCTCAATAAGATTAATCGCTCTTTACTATACAACAATATTTGAACAATATTTGAGATATGTTATCAGCCATATGAACATTTATATATTATAAACTTTCTAGATATTGTTAAATAAAATGATAAAAACGTGCAAATGTCATGGTGTGAGCGGTACTTGTGCTTTGAAGACGTGTTGGAGACAACTACCCTCCATAAGAACTGTTGGTGATGTATTGAAAGATAAATTTGATGGGGCGAGCTTCGTTAAAGAGACTAGAACTGGAGGAAGGCGTATCTTAGTACCAAAATACGATAAATTAAAACCACCTACAATTTCAGATCTAGTTTATCTTGAAGCATCGCCTAACTTCTGTCAACTGAACAAGCAGACGGGATCATTAGGCACAAAAGGACGTCAATGTAAAATCAAGTCACGCGCAATTGATGGTTGTGATTTGCTTTGTTGTGGCCGAGGTTATACTTCACGAAAAGTTCTTGTTTATGAAAAATGTGACTGTAAATTTATATGGTGCTGTTATGTTCGTTGTAAATCCTGTCAAAGGACTTTGACTGTGCACACTTGCCTTTAACCTAACTAACCATAAATTATTAAACTTTTATCTATGTGCCAAATTATACCTATCCCATCCTATCCTCATTGATCCAACCTTGGCCTTGATCTACAATATGTCAATAAACAAACTTTTGATTTGATCTTATCTTAATGTTAATTTCTTGTGGTGCATTATGTAATTATTATATTAAATAAGCTTTTCATTGACCAAACATGAGATGAAACAAAGATCATACAAAATGACAAAATAAACTTTATTAAACGCAATATATTTATCACAACAGACACCATCTTGTCTTTCTCATCAATGCATTTCAGAATCAAATGCCACATTTTTCTTTTCTTGCGTGATAAGTGCATGAAACTTTCCAGGAGCAATGGGATTTTGTTTTTGATTATTCCATGCCAATCTAAGTAAAATACGGATGTGGTTAAAAATTGTTAAAATGGCAAAAAAATAAATTAACTTAACTATAAATATGTTTGGAAAACCTTTTGTCAGCAACTTCTCTACAAACACGAATATGTTCATGTATCTTGTGTTGGTTTTCAATTGGATCTTCCATTAAATACTTCATCATAAGCCTTGTCATAAATGGCTTTAAAAATTACAAAAAATAAATACATCTAGTTACAATTATCAATATTATATTATGAAAATATCACATGTTGATTTTGAAAAGATTTTCATTGAAGCCAAAGGAAATAGAGTATAATCAAGTTATGTTATGTTGGTGGTATGTACAGAGATATGAGGCTTAATTTTACGGAAAAAGTTAAGAATTGTTAAATACAATATGTGAAGCAAGAATAAAGTGTAGAAAATAAAAAGACAACTGATTGAATTGAAATACTTGAATTAAGAAAGAAGCTTAAAACAAAAAAAAATTGGTTGATTTTCTTCTAAAATGATTTAAGCAGAGAGAAAATATATGTCCTGAAAAAAAGCATAAACAAATCTTTCACTCAAAACAAGTAATTCATAATAACCAGTTTTTTTTCTTCTTCTGAAAGGTCATTAGTGCCTGGTTCTGTAAAATAAGAAAGTACTTAAGCTAAATTTACCTCAATGGAGAAATGCAAATCAAAGATATTTATAATCCTAACCAATGACAGTCTTGTAAAATAGTAAAGCACTGACAGGAACTCCAAACGCTAAAATCTATCAGACAAAATATTTCAACATATATTTTCAATATCACGAAGATAAAAATTTACTAATTATATTGTGCAATGTAATAACTGGTTGTGAAGAATACCAAAAATTTCCATGACTGCTTCGGCGTTTCTTCAGCCAAATTGCTATTTGCTTGGATTCGTTGCAAGTTTAATGCTAGCCAAAAGATGAAGTATAAATACATTCAGGAAAACAATGGTAAAATTTGCTATGATATATGTATACATTCATTTTTCATAAGTGCATTTCTCGTACCACATTTAGAGCAACGAAAAAATCGATTTTTGAGATACAAAGTCATTCCCCTGGCTGCCATTTTGTAACTCGCATGTTTCGTTGAGCTCCGTTAATTGTCGTTGAAGTACGTAAGTACTCGGTCTATTTCTTATACTTTATATTACTTTGTTTATGTACACCTATGATATGTGAAACAAGCTCGCAACTTTGTAATTTACATTTGTCTTAAGAATAAAATTTAATTTAAAACCATTCAAAGTGGGAAAGATTACAGAGCCAACAATATGATTATTGTGTAATGACATACGCTCCACAAATTTCCAGAGATGATGGGATGATCTCGAGTGATGATGGAAAAGTTCATGAAAATATTTTAATTAGCAACAGAACTACGACAGGCAGAAATATCCTGTCTAACATACGATCCTTGTTTTACTTCTTAGTTGAAATATCAGAATAACTGAGTGGAAGAGACGATTGCACAGTTCACCATGAATCACAACTTATTTCGACAAATATACAGGATACATTGTGTCCATCGGCATTTGGAAAGGTTAATCTTCTTTGATTGTTCGAAAAATACTTGTTTCATCTGCTATGGTTAGAAGAACTTTCTCTACCAAGAGCGGCAGCAATTCTGTCACGAAGATTGTCAACAGACATCTTTGTCGATCGTTTGTTCTCATCAATGTCTTCTACCTGCAACCTACTAAAGATATCTGACGACACAGTTAAAACGGACGATCTGTCATAATGGTCCTTGGCTTTATTTCTAATTTTAGATCGCGAAAGATCAAAATTTTGTTGAAGAGCCAAGAAACGTATTCGTATATCACTTAGAGCTTGTGTCAGCTCCAGTCTTTCCTCGCACTCACGTCGTACAGTTTCTTGGAGAAGAACGACCTATAGAAATAATGTGATTTGAAAAAGCATCTTAAAATGCAAAAGAAAGAACTTCTTCTTTACTTTTCTTCTTTTAGTACCTGGTCTTCTTTTTCAGACAACTTTTCTTTTAACATTTTGATATCAACAAGTTTTTCAAACTTTACTGCGTCAAAACTTTTATCTTTATCTATTTCTTTTCTTTGAAAATTTTCAATTTTTTTATTCAAATCAAGAATTTGTAATTGCAACAGTCGAGTTTCTTCACTTTTCTTTACCTTGATCACATAAATTTTAATGTATTAATCAAATAAAGAACTGCAAAGAGGATATTAATAAAGTTCACACTTACATTGATCAAAGACAATTTCATCTTTATATTGTTGTTTTCGTCTTTTAAAGACAGCAAAACATTTGATTTTTCTTTGAGCTGTTGTAAAACAATGAAAGCTATCAAACAGAATTACTTCACGAAATATTGAAATGAAATGCGTTTCAAGTAAACGTGCTTTACAGACCCTGTAATAGCAACATAAACTCTGTCACAGGCAACCATTAAAACTAACCGTTTCCTTTAAGTTATTTATTTCAACATTTAACATGTCGACTTCTTTAGAATGATCCGTTCTTATAGCCGCTATTTTCTAAAAAAAAACAAAAGTATGTAACCTGGATTTTTATGGATAAGGTAAATTTTTCTTACTTTTTCTGCCTCTATGAGCGAAGAACGTAACGTTGCAGATTCGTTTTCAACTTCATTCTGTTTTTCAAGTTGTTTTTCGAGCTTTATTCATGGATGAAAAATAAACATAATACAACACTGTTTGTAAATCACAAAAAAACATTGAATTAAACTTACATCTCTACAATTGATTTCTGACGTTTCTAGTTTTCTACCATAACTTTTTCTTAAATCATCAATCCGGTCATGATGAGCAATAATCATCGTTTCTCTAGGGAAATGTTTGTAAGCATGCATTGTGTTGTAAATGATTACAATTTATCTGTTGAATGTCTACCTTTCACTCTGAAGACTTTCACAAAGGTTTGTTAATTCTTCAACTTTATCTTTGACATTCTAAAAAAGTACAACTTAAAATAACAAGAATATAACAAACACTTTAATATGATTCTTACTTGTAATTCAGCATCTTTTTTCACAGTTTTTCTTGCTTCTGTAGCAGATTTGTCATTGACTTGCCTTTCCAAAGACTTGCAAAAACTATTTAGTTTTTCAATTTCTTCATTTTTTTCAGTCAATATTTTTTCATGGGCTTCCTGTTGTTTCTGATGTTTTTCCATTGATATTTTTAATTGATCACTTGATGAAAATTGTACAAATATGGCAAAGAAAACATTTCTATCAACAATTAATCCAAAACAGATGGAAAAATTAAGACATGTTCATACCCAATATTCCTTTGCAATAATTCATTTTTTTCTTGCAATGATTTATTTTCATGTTCAAACTGTGTCACACGTCTTTCATATTCGTTCATTTTCTTCTTCATAACTGCAAATTCAGTTTTTGTTTGAAGCAATTTCTTATCTGTTCCTTCCATGTTTTTCAACTTATGTTGAAGATCCATACATTGTTTCTCCATGCTGTTGTATTTTAAAACCATATTATCTCTTTCAATGACAGCCTGTTTAATACAAAGATTAGATACTATCATGGCTGTTTCTTAATGAGACAAGATGATAAAAAAATGTAGACTGTATGTAACATACATTATCTTTTACACTTGTAGTAAATGTTTTCAGTTCATTTCCAAAATCAGCAAGAATCTTTTTGAAAAAACCATGTTCTTTGACAATATTCTCTCTTAAAGTATGTAAAACTTCCTTTTGCTTTCTAACTGCAACAATGCATAAATTGCGTAAGTTAGATAATCTTGTAATTTTTGTTAAAAGTCTATTTGTCTGTTTGTTCGATGTAATCATCTTGAAAATGCTTTTTTTCATGCAGCTCGTTTATTGTTCTTGCTTTGATTTCAAGGTCAGAGTTTAAGAATGCTAGCCTAAAAATAAATAAAACTAATATTTTTTCTTAAAAACAAACAAACATATTACAAGAAAGATTTTTATTTTAGTCTAAAATCAGCCAACTGTCCTTACTGTCGTTTTTGCTCCTCAACTTTATAACGCTGTTCTTTAACACTGGTCTCCATATTCTCCAACTCTTGTTTTAACTGTTTTTCTCGAAGACCACTTTCTTTATAATGTAATATTTCCCTCTCAGCGTTCGACAATTTTTCTTGCAAAGATTTCACTTCGTTGTGGATTAAATAACTTATTCCACAAAATTTACAAACAGTTTCACTGCGTGACATTTTTTGTATTTCTTCTGGTAAAGGATGTTTGGGCAGACAAAAATTCGAAGAGAAAGAATTTTTCATTGTTTTTGTTTACTATTCTCTTAAATTTCAGCATCAATTTGAAAAATATAACTTGTTTTTCCTTCTCTAGTTCAATTTGCTCATCATGGTGATGTTTGAAATTCACAGTCCGAATACGTTACGGAAAGCCACGAGGAAACCCGACCTCATCAAGACCTTCACTTCAGTAGTTGAAGTACAAGCCTTTGTCGGCTTTATGCGATGTTTTCATGGAGAATCCTCAAATCCAGGCTCAAGAAATCGATTTTTCAATTGAAATAAATAGCAGTAGAATGATTAGCCATCAAAAAAGTCGTTATCCTTGTTGTATTGTGTGGACGCCAATACCAATGTTGACGTACGTATATGTAGTTTCAATATTTTCTATTTAACATTTTGATTACGAGCTCAAGCCCGAATCAACTATCGCTTCACAGAAATCGAGAGCGAGTAATCCAATTGTTTTAGTAGAATCTTACCATTATTCGTAAAGAGAAGTGTCGTTATAGTTTTCCTTAATTTTTTTTAAACATTTGTTATTGTTGACGTAATGTTTATATTAAAAAGCGAAAGGCTCTTACTCGATGCATATTTTTATAGTTATTCTGATTGGATTTTTGTTTGTTTCACTTTTAAATATCTTAATATTCTGTAGTAAAATATATGATGTTTGATGTGGTGGTCAATACTCCTTACGTTGTATAAAATAAACGAACAAGTTTAATTTCAGCCCATCTGTGTCACAAACATCATAAATAAAGTCAAAAATTCAAAGAAATTAGATCAAATGTGAAAAGTAATTATTTATTTTTTTCTTGTATGTAATGCAGTTGGTTTTTTCCTTTCATTGGTCACATGGGAATTGCAATGTCATCTGGAGTTATTCGAGATTTTGCAGGACCGTATTTTGTTTCAGTAAGTAATATTTCTTCATATATGTATTGCAAATACTTTCCTTATATTAAATTATATATTGAACTACCACGTAGGAAGACTCTATGGCATTTGGAAAGCCAACAAAGTAAGAATTACTTGCTTATTTTATGAATTTTGCTTTGTGATCATTAAAAATTTTTTTGAATTCTTAGATATTGGCAACTTAATCCAACACTAGTCAAGAATTCTAATGTGACATGGGATAGTGCTGTTTCTGATGCATCTGAAGTTTACAAACACAGAATGGTATGATTATTCAATGATTTGAAATGTCTTTGAAATGAATAAGAAATAGTGATGTTTTACTATATAGCACAATTTATGTTGCGATAATTGTCATTCTCATGTGGCAATGGCACTCAACATCATGAATTATAATGGTTCAACATCTTGGAACATGTTCTATCTGTGTATATCCATGCTTATTCATGGAAAATATGTCAGGTCAGTTAATATGACATGTATAATAATTAAAATCAATGTTTTGTGAACTACTTTCCTTTTTTAGTGTTGGCTCATTTCTTAAAACATGGCTGCCATTTATGACATTGTCATTAATAGTAATTCTTCTTGTCATCTTTACTAATTTATAATAGAATATGAAACAAGTACAAAAACATTATCATGTATGAGTATAAAAAGTTATCTTTTTGTACTGTTTGAAACAACTATCTAGAACTCTATACATTTTAAGTTTTTTAAATTAATGCTTACAACAATCCATGCATATTCAGTTGTAACTAATCACTGGAATGTTGCTTTTTGAATTCCAACAGGTTTTTCTCCGATAATATTAATGCAATTCTCATGTTTCCCATGATTTATCTCTAAGCATATGAATTATATTATGATCTGTTTCCTTTCTGTATTCCTTTTATTTATGTATTCATTCTAACAATGACCAACTACAATAAAACAAATATATTTAAAAAATATGCACCCTAGAAATACACTTTTGAAAGTTTACACAAACAAAATAAAATATCACCATGAATATAATACTGTTTTTCAATACATTGCACTAAAGTGATAGCTTCTAAATGTGGAAGAGAAAAACTTGATCATGGATGAATTTTTCAGGCATTGCCAACGTTGTTACCTGTCACTAAAATGATTTATTTTGAAGGAAATTTCAATGATCTTGCAAGAAGAACAGCTGTTGTTTTACCAATATCTCCTTCATTCTTGTGAAGTTCCTTTAATATATCTTCACGTCTAAATCCCATTTCAAGAAGACCATTTATATCTGCCTCACTAACATTAGGTGGAAGACGAGAAAATGCTTCAGCGCTATATAATGACAAGAAAGATATTGTTTGATGAAAAATAAACAAATTTAAAAGTTTAAAACTTAATTTCTACCCATATCTTAATTGACTGCCAGATGATTGAGCTTTTGATGCTGACAGGCTATTTTGATTTTCATTTTCTTGGTTAAGATTACTAGATAATTGGGCAAATGATGGTAATTCAGATTCAGGTAAGAATGGAGTACTTGTGTTGGTTGTTCCAATTTTCAACTTGTTCTCCTTTAGATCGATGCAACACTAGAGCAAAAGGCATAGAGTAGCTCTGTAAAATAAAATGATGTGAATAATATAATTGTATTAACATCCTTACTTGATGACGTTTTAACATATCCAAGCCAAGTAGCATGTCCATAGGTTGTGACTCTAACACGGAAAATGATGAAGCAAGGAAGACATCTTCAATCTGAATCTGTGTTACATGAATACGACCAATAATCTTTTGAGTACCAACTCCTTTTGCAAGACCTGCATAACGTTGATCAACTAGTCTCATGATATTACACTTCTCAGCACATTCTGCAGTCATTAATGTTGCTTGAGCACCAGAATCAACAAAAGCTTTGACAGGATGGCCATTTACAAAACAATTTATAAACAGCATTGTCACCTGACCAAATGACTCAGGTGCAAATTCCATAGCCGTCTCCATATTTGAATTGATGTTCTCTTGTTGAATTGCCTCTGCTATTTTCTGTTGTGCTTCGACATCTAATGGATCTGCTTGAATCATTCTCTGTCGTAGTGCAATTTGTTCTGCTCTCATCCTTTTTTGTTCATTGAATGCTCTCACAAATTTCTGTGCATCACCACTCTCTAAAGCTTGAGATAATGGTGGGTTTCTGTCCTTCAATAAGGACCTTTGATAAGAATCTGAAAGTAACATTTCCCGTAGCACAAGAGGATCAATGTTAGCCATTGCACCTTCTCCTGAATAAGATCCCCTTGACATGTCCATAGTTGTCATACTACTCCAATCACTTGACATCTCTGTTAAAAATAATTGATCAACATTAACCAATATTAAAAAGCAAATGAAAATAATCAGGCAAAATACAAACCATAATTACCTTCTCGTGCGGGTGGCCTTGGAAGGCGTTTCGTCATTACCAAGATATCACCATCCCTAACACCGTAACTCTTTAACGTTTTCTTCGATTCTTTCATGTAATTACCATTGTGGTAAATTGCAAAATCAGACGAGTTTAATCCACTCTCTGACTCAAGTAAAGCTTTTAATACTTCTAATTCAGAGTCATGGCTAATGTCCAATGGATACAAAAAATCTTCGTATGTCACAGAAATCTTCATCGCGAAGCAAACTCTTCTAGTGATACTGAAGTAACAGTGAACCACATGCTGAAAGTCATCATCTGTAATGACATGTCACATGGCGCTATAAAGATGTCTGAATAATCTGTGAGAGTAATATACTTCATCCTCCTTCAACACGATGGTACGTGGTTTTAATCAAAATGGCCAAATTTTAGGGTGGCCCACAAGTACAAGACACAAACAAAAATAGCAGTACACGAACAAAAATAGAAGTACACGAACACAAATAGAAGTACACGAACACAAATAGAAGCACACGGACAAAAATAGAAGTACACGAACATAAATAGAAATACACGAACAAAAGTAGACGCACACGAACACAAATAGAAGTACACGAACACAAATCGAAATACACTAACGCCAGTCCATATTCTGCTTACTTCAAGAATAACGAAACAATAAGTATACAGTTTACATCACAATTCTTAGCAGTTTAATATTCCGAGCTTACATCTCAAGATCGAAGAAGCAACACGATTTTACTCTACCAGGAATTATCAAATGAAAATTACAAGCACTCTTATAAACCCAGACTGAAGGCTAAACTAAAGCAGGTATTTATAGTTTCTACATAAGAAAATTTATGAATCAATCAGCTGGTGAAATAATTGTTTCAACGGTATTTTATGCATTTCACCACAAACAGCTAATACAAAATTGGAATGCCATATTATATTTAGATTTGTACATATGACTTTAACGTCCCCACAAGACATTGTCGAACGTCCATGAACTTTACTCGCAAAGAATGGAAAACTCTTGAACAAATTCATTGTATAACTGATAGATGCTTGGAGCTTTAAGTAAAGGACCACAATTATGTGCAACAGATCGACAGGCGAAATGTTTTAGAGTCGGTGAATGTGATAACCAACTTCATTTCTGGCAGATCCACACTGGCTCCAGTAGCGAACAGAAGAAATGCAATAACGTTACTTCCAAGAGATTTAATGATATAATTAAAGAGCATTTTCAAATCTTGAACAAGTTTGACGTAAAAAATATTAAATTTATAATTTTATTCTAACTATGTAGATACCTCATTCAGTAGCAAAAGACTTGCAGGCTACCAATCTGTACGCATTCGTACCAATATTTTTTAAATATATGCCCTTGTATTTGATAAATGCAGTGTTATGGGAGATATACCCAAAGGCCAAGAAATGAAAAAGAAACGTGAATATTCATAATACCTATGATAAATAATGTTGTGACAAATTGCTTCGCTTGGCCCCAAATGTGGACACTGTTTTTTTTTTCAAAACAAAACGAAATGGGAGGGAAAACCGGGGATCCGGTAAAAAACCCTCCAATAAAAGAAAAGGTCGAATATTTAGAAAAACTTCTTCAAATTTTTGTACTTTTAAGATGTTTCATATTTTTGTTGTTTTCAATGATCCCGATGATCTACTTTAACATTCAGATCGTATAAAAACGAACGTACGTTTGTGTTGAAACAAAAGAAAAGGCAACTTTAGTAGAGAACAAAAAATGAAAGAGCGCAGAGTGTTAGCAAAAATTTTATTAAAGAGACGAAAAACAAATTGCAGACATATATAAATCATATGAAAAAATTATTTAGTCCAAGCGACCTGACCATTCACCTGCCAATAACAATGAAAAATGAAATGGCAAAAGTGACGTCATTACTTGCATAAATATCAATTTTGATGACTACTAACTTAAAATTTCCTATGTTGCTTCATTAAACCTTCATTGATAGCTGGCTTTCACTCGTGTGTTTTTTTCAGAATATTTAACAATTGTGAAGACTTATTTTTACGGAAATTTTTAACGGTTGAATTTGAAAATGTGCAGAAAGATTCACTCTAGTGACTTTAGTTATGCATAACTAAATTCACTAAAGTGAATTTTTCAGGACGCTTGTTTACTGGTGCTTCTGTCCGACTTGGTCGCTTATTCATTGTGCAGTTGGTAGCCTACAAAAACACGTTATAAATGTCAGCATAATGAATGATCAAAAACAAAACTTAAATATATTGAAAAGAACAAAACTTTAATACCTGATATCCAAGCGTTGTCCAGGTCAGTCTGATCCAGGCGACACAGTCGGTCTCTTCCTTTTTTTTTTACCGCGCAGTTTTTACGTTTATATCGTTGAAATGTATTGTACAATTTTTTCTTCGAAATTTTATAAACCCTACTTGCAGCATTGCAATTTTCTTTATAAAAATAAAATAAAATAAGTAAAAAGTAGCGAGTGAAAGCCAGCTATTTTCTAACAGCAAGTGACATCTTTTATCGACTTTATTTTTAATTTGCGTGTTTTTCATGGTTCAAATTATAAAATAGACCATCAGGATCTTTTTAACTATCTCATGCAGTTACTCACGCAAGTTAATTTTAACATTTATCTTCTCAACTTACAAACCAAAAGACATGGATCGTGTTTTTCCACTCGCTTCCCATCTTCGTAGATTAAAATCCATTTTTACCAATCACTTCAATGTTCACCTATGAGTCTACCAATATGCCGTTATGGGATGTCCATTCAGTATGTTTAGACCATTCCATACACGAAGTTACAGGCATCATTAACCAATAAAAAAGCTACTGTTCTTATGAATCGCCATTTTGATAGAATGCACACTTTGGGTAACTTCAAGCGAAGGAAAAGGGACCACTTCAATACCCCAGTTAAATCATCACTCAAAGAATGGTCAGTGCAGAGTTGATCTTCTGTGAGTATCAGCTGACCACCTTCAGGTGGGTTCATATAACAATGGGGCCCATCATCATTATATGAACAAACAACTGACATCCACAAAGAATCCAAACTACAAATGAACATTCTTGGCCATGAATCACCATGACACATTAGCAATGACAAACTAGTAAGAGTAATTGAAGTGAATGACACAGGTGGTAAAGGTACTTTCACAACTCCATCCATGTGGGATCTACAATATAAGGAAATATTAAACACGTTTACGAGATTTCATGATGAATAACTCTGCATATGACGCTAGTTTGCGTTTTAAATTTTTATTCAGATATATTGAGAATGAGCAAATTGTAATATGTTTTCTGTTTGACTGTTCAAATGGTAGAGCATTTACCTTCATTGCACAAATAGCTTTAGTTAGTTGAGTTTAAATGATGTAGCAAGTTTCACACAGTCAAAAGGCTAAACATCGTGGTCAAAGCCTCTTACAGTAGACGCTTTCGTATTACAAAGCCTTCACTAAGACTAGGCTATTATTCCACGTAACTTATACATATTTTCTCAGTAAAAAGACAGAATTCACGTTTCTTACTACTAAGTTAAAGTGACTAATTTTCCTTTGTTAACATTTCTTTGATTGACGTCATGACTACAATTCTTTATTTTCATTTACTCATTAGGAGCATGTTATCTTTCACAAAGACAATAATTAATCCTTCAATGCGTTTAAAGACAAAAATTCATTAGAATTTTCAGATGTTTCGTGCGTTTTAATGTCGTTATGCAAAGTAACGAGACATGATGTGGTAGGGTAAGATTGATGATACGATAATGAATTTAGAAAGTCGACTTTAACTTTGTCCAAATATTCATCGAATCTTTCAGTCATATTTCTTGCTAGGTTAAGCTTAGGAGAAGGTTTAAGGGCATTCTGTTTGCCTTGAGGTTTCTTGACTACTAAAAATAACGCAAGGAGTAGTAGAGATTCAAACAAAAGACAATTACGGCTCTCGTTCGTTGCAAGTCTACACCACAATCTGTGAAAACTGCTCCTCTATGCACTCAAACACATAGTGCGTTAGAGAAAGAAGGCAAATTTAGTGTAGTTGTATTCATTAGATATATTCAGTAATGACTAATGTCACTTTGAAGAAACCAAAAATCAGTAGCATCAATAAAATAATCATTTATCGTCAGTGTAGTCACTTACATTTATAGTTTCCAGCCATGGGATCTATTTTCATACCTGATATCGAAGCAATTATGTGTGTATACACATTTCATAAAGGATTTCCTCGCTCAAACTTCTTTTGCAGCTGCTATCAACATTTTGGATGTGGTACTGACAGCATTCCTGTTGGGCGTGAATACTAACTTACTTCACTTGGTTTCTCCTCTCTACGTGGTATCTTATCAACCGAATTTTCTCAAAACTATTGGAAAAGGTCTCTTGCTGTTGATCGAATTATGCCCAAATTATCGGTAATTACCAGTGCAAGTTACATCTGCAATCAAATAAGACGTCTTTCGAAGTGAATGGTATCTTTATACATGGTGTTAAGCATGTCATTATGTGTATTTCATCCACATGATTGTTTAACATGCCATTGTTCGTACTTGAACAAATTATCGGATATCTATCAAATCTAATTTTTAAAAACAAAACGTATTGTTTTGCCAAACAAAAGAACTATGCTCTCCCAGTGTCCCTTCATTAATATACGTAAAATACAAATGACTATTGACAATTTTTCTGTGATTCCACGCAAATCATAAATTAATCAAATTTATTCAGAGTATTAAATAACGCAAATATTGATTTTGAGCATTAAGATGTTGGTGACGTCAACCAGAACGCCCTTAAACCTTCTTCTAACCTTAATCTAGCAAGATATGACTGCAATTTGGACGAAATTAAAGTGTAGTTTCTACATTCAATATCGTCTCATGATTGCTACAACTTCATGCATTGTTACTATTCATAACGACATTAACGACATGTTCTGTAAAGTCTCGATACTGTGACTTCAACGGAAATTAAAGTAGATCATCGAGATCATTGAACCAAAAAAGATATGAAACATCTTAAAAGTACAAAAATTTAAGAAATTTTTCTAAATTTTTGATCTTTTCTTTTATTGGAAGATTTATTAACGAACCGCCGGGCTTCCCTCCCATTTTGTTTTGTTTTGGGAAAAAAGTGTCTAACATTTGGGGCCTAGGAAGTCATTTGTCATAACATTATTTATTGTAACTATCATGAATAGTCACGTTCTTTTTCATTTTTTAGCCTTTGGGTATATCTCCCGAATCGCTTCGTTTATTAAATACAATGACATACATTTTGAAAAAATAGGTACGCATTGCGTGTGTGTTGGTAGCCTGCAAATATATAGTAGATTAAATCAACATAGTTAAAATGAAATTATATCTTTAATATTATACGTCAAACCTGTTCAAGATTTGAAAATGCTCTTTAGTTATATGATCAAGTAATTTCCTCCCAATATTGGAATCCAATATTACCAAGTAATTGAAACTGCTGAAATATGATACTACAGTCGTTGAAGATCGAAGGTGCAGAATTCCAGAATAACGCAAACATTTTCTTTCTTCAACAAAGAAAGTCATTAAAATGTTTGATTTTGCATCTCCGCAAAATGACAACGAGCACGTAGCGTTGAAACACATCTCTTGGAAGTAACATCGCTACATTGCACATGTTTGTGGTCCGTTTACTTGAAGTTCCAAGCATCTATCAGTTATATAATGAATTTGTTCAAGAGTTTTTTCTATTCTTTGCGAGAAAAGTTCATGGACGTTCGATATTGTCTAATGGGGACGTTAAAGTCATATGTACACATCTGAATATAATATGACATTGCAATATTGTATCTGTTGTTTGTGGTGAAATCCATAAAATACCGTTGAAACAACTATTTCACCAGCTGATTTATTCATTGTCTTATGTAGAAAGTATAAATACCTGCTTTAGTTTAGCCTTCAGTCTGGGTTTATAAGAGTGCTTGTAGTTTTCATTTGATAATTCCTAGTAGAGTAAAATCGTGTTGCTTCTTCGATCTTGAGATGTAAGCTCGGAATATTAAACTGCTAAGAATTGTGATGTAAACTGTATACTTATTGTTTCGTCATTCTTGAAGTAAGCAGAATATGGACTGGCGTTAGTGTATTTCGATTTGTGTTCGTGTGCTTCTATTTGTGTTTGTGTACTAAAGGTTGTGTTCGTGTATTGTACTTGTGGACTGTAAAATTCATATAAGTACCTTTGACACTTAATTATTGCTGAAATTTTTTTTCTATTTTTTGTCTGTTGATTACTAAAATTTCTATCACACAAGCTTGCCAGTAAAACTCTTGAACTAATAAGATCAATACTTAAGTGCAACTTCATAAAATTCCTACCATTTAAAGATTTTCGTTATCTTCTTGTAATAGTTTTAATAAGCTTTATTAAAAAAGCTTTTTTGAATTTGAGATATCAAAGATCGAGTGGACCATATAATGTCCAGTCCAGAACTACTAACTTAAGGTAACACAACTTTCACAAGTTTTATTGCTAATATTCATGACTTTGTGTATCATTTAATCTATCACAAAAAATTCTGTTTTTCTGTTAAGTTTGTGGTTTGCAATAACAATTCAATTAACGTTATCAATTATCAAAATTAAAATAAAATTTAATTGAATCGTCGAGTGCTCGAGGAAGCAAGGCCATTTTTATTGCTACAAGAGTAAATTGATAAAAGAATTTCACATTTCAAGAGACGAAAATTGAAAACAGGTACGAAATGATGAAAATGAAAATACACTGACTGAATTCACGACATAATCAAAATAGAAATGTTTGTCGTTTATAACGACAAAAATACAATGATAAATTTTGAGCTTCACAACAATATGTAGAACAAATCTAAGAGATTTCGTGCTGCACAACAGCTAAATGTCTCTTAAGAATGTTTAACCACAATTCAAAGCGTTGTCAAGCACTTTCTAAAAAAGGCATAATTCGTGTGCTTGCTATATAAATCATATTGCACAACATAAATACAAGTTGAAAACCAAACAATGAATTTGCGGTATTAATTTTATTTAAATGTTATTATTTTTATGCACAAGTTTTGTAAAGTACGGAGCGTGCTTACGTTTTTGTTATAGATGCTATAAACGTGGCAGTTGTGGGTTGATCTCTATATCTACCTGAAGATGTAGTATTTAAAAAAAGTCCTTATAAATGTTACAGAAGTAATTATTTCCAACTATTTATCAATGTATACAATATCTCCTTCATATCTAACATTTGTCGAATAAAGTTAAAGTTGAGAAACGATATTATATCTTGACTTCAAGCTCCGAATCCTTTTATTGTTTAAAAATAACTCTACAAATGTTAAAATTTTTTATACTTTTCTTCGGCATATTGGAAATTGTTGCTAATGATTTCTCACCAAAACGAGATAGGATCAAGTATAGTTATGTCTAGTAATTCTATGTACCTGTCGCTCTTAAGTATTCGCCTATAATATATAGCGCAAAAACAGGCATCAATAATAACATTTTTGCAACTAACTATAGAAGTTGTATTTATACCATGAAAAATAAGTAAGTATAATGTAAAACCATTTTCTCTTCCTCTTCTCAATGGCTTGCAGCCGTCACTGAGTAAACTTATAATTGTTTAAGAAGTAAAATCAGAATTATTAAAGACTTAAAACAAAAATATTGTCACTTAGGAAAATTTTATCAATGATGACAGTAAACATCACAAATACAACTGAGACAACATTCGAGATATGTCAATTGCCTCAAGTTTACTACGTCATTGTGGCTGTGATTGGTTCGTTTGCATTTCTTCTTAATGCTACTTTGCTGTTTGTATTGTGGAAAAATAAGTCGCCAACGTTTAGACAGGGAACAAGTTATGTCATTGGGAATCTTGCATTAGCTGACAGTTTGACAGGTACGTGTTTTTACGTAAGTTTGCTCATTAAATAACCTGTTCACTGTCCACTAAAAATGTCACTTGAGATATTTTCGTCACGAAAAAATAGTTGAACACTTTTACTCATTCCAGGTGTCGCAATAATAATTTTTGCTTCATGTAACAGCATGCTCGTAAAATTTCAACTGTCAATGATCTGGACGACAATTGAAGCATCACTGATGAGTTTGGTATTCCTTTCAATTGAAAGAGTCATTGCTGTGTGCTATCCTCTCACATGCAAAATTATCGTGTCAGTAAAAAGGACTATTGTTACATTGTGCGTTATCTGGATCTTTGCATTTTCTTGTGGAGTTTTTATTACTTTAGATGTATTTAAAACTCAGTTCGCACTGACAATTGTATTCGAAGTTTGTGTTGTCGTCTTTGTAGCAAGCCAAGCTTACATCATTCTAAAAATGGGACAAAGAAAGCGAAGTCATTTGGTCTGTGATAGCGAAGTTTCGTCATACACGAGAAAATATCTTCAGACACAACGGACAAATGATCACGTGACAACGGTCGTTTTCCTTTTGGTAGTAATAATGGTGGTGACAATACTACCACATATGGTAGCCACTCAGATCTTTCTTCTTTCAGCAGTGAAATTTCGATCTCCATTGGATGTAAAAACACAGGGTACCCTTCGAAAGTTCATTAGCTATTATCTTCCAATAGAATTATTAAATTTCATCGTCAATCCCATCGTCTACGCGTACAGACTAAGGCGTTACAGGGAAGCCTTCATCAAAACCTTCTCTTTTAAAAAAACACGTGATGACTCGAAAGTGAACATATATGATCGAGAGATTAATCATTCAAAGAGATTGGAAAGAAACTCAAGACTGTTGAATAATTCAAATCAAGCAGGAACTAGTTTGACATAAATATTTCATTCTTTGCGGGTGTTCATTTTGGAACAGAGTTGATAAAGTTTATTCATTTTCCTAATTATTGAATAAAATGTCTACAAATTATAATTCTTGCCTGAATATAAAGACATTTAAATTATATTAACTTTCAATATAATCAGATAAAGTAAAATATTCAAATTTGAGCACATAAAACAAGCTGTTTATAAACATACAACACTCAAGCTAATAAAGAAGAGTGTACCTCGTCTGGGAAATTTTAAATTGCAGCAGTAGTAAACAAAATAAAGGTAAATTAATCATATTCCTCAAACGTATGTAGCATCTCTTATAATAAAATTGTGTTCCATCAGTTAAAGCCAACGAAAACTCAAATCTATAAATTTTTTTATGGCTATCTGATAAATGTAATATCATTGGCGTGAATGAGAAATTTTATAACACAGGAATGGCAACTGTTCAACATTTTTTCTTTGAAACCGTTTGCTTTAGGTACAATTCTAAATTTTGTGAACATATTAGGGGTTAACGCAAAAAAACATAAAGGTTAAAATTTATATTAAAACTTAAGGTTTTATTTCTCATCTATCTGTCTGGACAAAATGATGAACATGCAAGTAAAATATTAAAACTATTTTCTTTGAACACATTACCTTTCATATAAAATAATGAAGAATATCAGTCATTTTTATCTGTAAATTGACAAAGTTTGCATATTAAAGCTGCATATTAATGTACATATCATATGTTTTTATCGAAACAACGACAACTATCATTCGTTTTTATCTGCAAGTTGATTAATTCATAATTTTTTTCTTGTCCAAACAATAAAAGCAACGCATAACTCGCACATTTCAGTATGTAATTTAAATTGATGAATATATAAAGACTCATAAATATAAAGAAACGTTTGCTGATTGCTCTAGGTTCTGCAAAATGAGTGCTGAATTGAAACCATCTGACTTGCTGTCCTACACATTAGCCATGGTGGCAGTTCTTCTCAACGGCACTCTACTTGCTTCCATGTATAAAGAACGCAAAAAGATTTTTGTTTCCCGCATTCGTATCTCGTAGGAAACCTGGCGTTTGCAGATTTTTTGAATGGTTTATTTTTTGTGGTCCTTATACAACCCATAAGAAGCATGAGATACAAGGACCGTCTGGTTGCAATTTTATCATTACCTTTAACGTGGATGGCACTTTTCGCTTCTTGTACAACATTACTTCTCATGTCAGTAGAAAGACTAGTAGTCGTTGCCTTACCCATGACATGGTCTACACTCCTTAATAAACGTCGTACTCTGATGGGAATATTTCTTGTTTGGATCACATCTATTGCAGCGGGGTTATGGGTTGGGTACAAGAAACATTATGCACAGTTTTATGTGTGTGTTTTCATTGAAGTCAGCGCAACAAATTCCATCATTATACATTTCTACGTCCTTTGGGCATTAAGACGTGGAGCAAAACAACGCTTTCAAATGACCGAGGATCCGCAACAGTCGCAAGCTTTTTTGAAAGAGAATGTTGCTCACAAGAAAGTCACAACTGTCGTCACCATTCTTCTGGTCGTGTTAATCATAACATGTGCTCCATATCTTGTATGCACTCAAATGCTTATAGTTAATTTTACTTTTGACAAAACGCTTCATCAAAAAGTTAATGTCCATATCTTTAGCATCATCTATGATTACTCCGTCGCTTTCATGTACATCAATTTCCTGTGCAACTCAATAATTTACGCATGGCGTTTACGTATGTACAGAAAAGCATTTTTTAGCTTAGTAGGTCGTAGTATAAGTTTGTAATGTAAGATAGATCATCGCTTCCGACGTCTCCGATTACAACCAATCAAAAAGAATATCAAAATCGCGACTTTAATAAAAAGCTAGAATAGTGGTGACTAGACTAGAATCAAATTATTAAAGTAATTAAGGAGACACTTAAGATTTGGATGTGTACATGGTGTGAATGGTAAAAACATATAAATTATACTGAATGTTAAACATCCTCATGTTCATAGCAGGTGTGTATTATTTAGAAGTTAATTATTGCTTCACTTCATTCTACGTATTCCTGCAATGGTAACGAAATGACATTTGAATCACAAACCTGGTCTGTACGCCACACTAAACGTTAATATCTTCGCTGAGCCTGCAGCAAGGACAATTTAATGTGAACAGCTGTTTCACGTGTTAGCACACATCTGCTGTGAATCATTGTGAACGTTCATTTGGACTTTCTACAGCTGTCCACTAATTACGTCATTGTGCACGACAAAATCAATGACGACATGCCATTACCATGTGGAATGATTATGTACATTACGACTGAGTATGGATCTCACATCGGCAGTGAACCTGAGAGCATCTAACATTGGTAGTATATTCAAAAGAGCTTTATCAGATGGGTCAGCGAACCATGATTTTATTGGAATGGCATTATCTAGACATAAATACAACATTTTGTAAAAGATTTTCATGATAAAGATACAAATTTGGAGTGATCAACGAGTAAAAAAAATGTGCGCCAACGTACCTTTGTTATTCATGTACGCTCCAGGGGAGTTATCCAAAATAAAAATACTGGATAAATCCTCACTAATTATTGACAAGTCTTTGATGTAAGTTCCAAAATGTAATGTGCAATGCTAAAATATAAAAGTGGCTGCACTTTTCAAAAAAGAAATTGAAACAAGAAGAAACAACATGATATAACTTACATGTCTAAAATATCTTTGGCTAAAAAATTTCCTATTACCGTCAATTTTATCAGTGACAGCCGTACCATATCTCTAAAAAACATTGACTTTCATCTTTAACGTTATTTTGTATCATTGCTCTTTCAAATGAGTTAAACAAATTACCTCTAGGCTTGCTGTGAATACAACTAAATCAAACCACTGACAAACCTGGTGACAAACCAAAACCATTAAGATCATTAAAAAAACATTTATAAAATCATGATGTATCTGATTATAAACATACCAATTTTAAGAAAAAATCAAGATGAGGACGCTTATGAACAAGAAATCGAACTGTTTGATGCTCAACTGTAACCTACAAAAACATTGTTAATTCACAAAATAAAATGCACTAAAAATCATGTTAACATGAAGTCTTACTCGAAGAACAAAGTCAGCTGGCATATTGGGACACAATGATTTTCTACCAGTTCTAAAGTAATGAAAATTAAGATAGACTTATTCAAAGACAAACGTTTGTAACTTGATATGCTTAACAATACCCATCTCGTTGGGAATGAATCAATGTTTCATCTAAATCCAAGACAAATGTTTTTCTCCGTACAACACCTGTTCAGAATATATCAAAAACATAAAGTCATAAAACAAGAAAATTGCTTACAACAACATCACTATAAGAAACACAAATTTAAAATCAATCTACTTACGAAGTCTCTGCTGTGATAAAGGTGATAATTCAAATGTTGAATATCGTATTGTTTGATGCTCAATAACCTGAGAAAGAAGAAATATTGAAGAAAAAATATGCACAACTATAACAAATCAGGTCAAGATATAGCTATTACTTTGAACAATTTCCCAGCCTTTAATTAGAATTATACAACATGGGGGCACACGTACAATTTAGAAAAATGGGTAGGAGTGTTCAATGTTCTAGATTTAGGACTGACTTTTAGTGTAGTGTCTATTTTAATACACCAAATATACCCCTGATGTGTACCTCTGTATACAACAAACACAATGTAAAACACAGACTAGATTTTTTGAAGAAGTGTGAAGTCTTGGTAAGAAAGGAAGCAGGAAGACTGCCTACTACTTTACAAAATGCTAATATATCAAAAAATTAGACAACGGCAAATATTGTTTAGTGGGGCATACTTCCAATAATTTCCCAATCACAATAAAAAGACAAGAAAATTTAACAAAAAAAACAAGAGATGATATGACAATATGGACCAACCCAGGAGAAATACCTAATGATGAGCTATTTAACACAATATTTTCTCTAAAATATTGACAGACTTGCAATAATTTGAAAAAATTTGAATTTTTGCAAATAGCAACTATTTGCTTTGAATTACTTTGAATAATTAAAAGTCAACTATGACATTAAACACAAATGGAGAGCATAAAAATTAGTGATGTTGGTAAGTTCTGTTATTGATTTTATATTCTTGACAGTATAGTTTTTTACATGTTTGTAAATGATGATCGTCAAGGTTGGTATAGTCCTGAGACGGACTGTTTTTGTTGTTGTTGACTGACGTTTCGACAACCTTAGCGATAGGTTGTCTAACCGCTAAGGTTGTCAAAATGTCAGTCAACAACAACAAAAACAGTCCTTCTCAGGACTATACTAACCTGGACGATCTACATTTACAAACATGTAACGATACTCCCTGGTTCAAACCATTTACTTTAGTATAGTTTTTTGCAACATATTAATGTGTATTGTGACAGTGTAAAGTTGACTAACACAATGTGCATTTTGTAAAGTTGCCTCAAACTATAGTGTTCATAAAGCCTACTTACTAGTAAAGTTTTCAAGAACAGTTTCTAAAACAATGGCTAAGTTTTCTTATTGTGAAACTGAAAATTTCCAAACAAGTTGGAAAGAGTTTAGTTATAACTATATATTGATTTGACAGTAAAAAACTTGTTTGAGTTTTTGAAAGATGTGACAATGAATAACAAGTACATTTACAAAACAAAAATTCCAAATGATAGTTTACAACTGCTTTCGGTTTGGTTTTATGTATAAATTATTTGAATATAAATACAACAGGAAGATGGATGTAAGAAAAAGTTGTCTCTACTTTTAAAGAAGACAAAAATTTACACTGCTCCGCCTATAAAACATTGAGCACTATGCTATTTATTTATAAACTTATATATCAAGGTTTCCTTTCTCTTTTAAAATAAATCATTCATACCGCTCTCATATTTCGTTTGAGTATGTACACAATTAAACTCCATAGTTTTACAAAAATTGTAGTAATTCTCCGACATTTATGCAACGGTAAGAATTCTTTTAAGATCTTTAAAGCCATCTTGAGCTCCATACAGTAAGTGCATGTAAATAATTACAAGAATTTGATGATTTTTTCTGAATTTATTTCCTACATGATGGTTAATATTTTCATTCCAAACTTCCGCTTTATTTCTGTGTATTTCCTTTGCATTTTTCCAACCGAGAAATTAGCGAAGTTCGGTGTCACGTTTCTATGGTTACCGTATATGCAATTTGACAATTTCTCTCTTGGAGTTAAATTTGATATTAACTGATAACAATTTTGAAATATTTTTTGAAATGTCTGATTTCGATGAGGAAGAAGGAGTCGACGAGCCCATTTTGGATGACGACGACGATGATAATGGTAGTGGAGAAGAAGTGAGTTAAGGATGTATCGTTTTCTTGTACATTTCAATGCTATTATTGACTAGTCAATTGTTATCAGAAAGTTCCAGAGAATCCTCTCACAGAAGAAATATTGGCAGAATCTTTATCATTGTTGTGCAAAACTGGAAACGGCCTAGCCCATGCTTATGTTCGTTTAGATATCCACGACAGGTTGATAAATGTGTTCATTGAAAATCTATTCTTTTACAAATTGAAAATAATTTTCTGTTGTCATTTTTACCAGAGAGATCACTGACATTAGTATATTAAACTGCTTTATCCATCTTCGATATATAGTAAGTATCATAAACATTTCACGAACTTATAGATATATTGCATTTTTCAGAAAAATGAAAGTTTCATGTTTGTGTCATTACAGGACATCAGTAGTAATATGTTGAAGGACATTTCTTCTCTAAGCTCTTTAACGCATCTCTTGACGTTAAAAGCTGATAAAAATCTTTTAGCATCCGCTGGTTTAGACAAAGTATGAAAATCTTTAAGATAAAAATGTTTTTCTTTCATAAATGATCTTGACGTGTATCCATTTTATGTTTCAAGCTACCTTACTTGCAACAAGCCAACTTCGCCAATAACAAGATAGTGGATACTAAAGGCATTGCCCATCCTTTGCTGGAAAATCTGAATCTTTCATGTAATTACCTGCGTTCTTTAATAAAAGAAGACAACCTTATATTTTATTATCATTCTTGTTTTTTATGCAACTCGCCTAGCAAGGAAAAGTTGCTAATGCCTTCAGCAAGAACTTAAAAACCTCATGATTTTTGTCATGAACAAATTATTAATTGTTGACATGTCATTGCTTTGTTTTAGTCAACAACATCTATGAAATAAGTGACTTTGATTCATCAGCATTATCACGTTTGACAACCCTGGAACTTCGCAATAACCAACTGATATCTACACAGGGTATTGGAATGTTACCCAATTTACAGAAATTGTACTTGGTAAGTGAAGTCCTGACTGTGCCTGTGATTGCGTACATAACAAATTTAAATAAATCTTTTCCATTTGTTAGGCCGGTAACTCGATAAAATTTTTGGAAAATCTTGATCGTCTCGAACATCTGACTTCAATTCATCTTCGCGATAATGAGATTGAAAAACTTGACGGTTTTTCTTCTAACATGAAACATTTGCAGTATTTAAACCTTAGGTGAGGTAAACCATTTAATAGAAATGAACATGCTTTGAACTAAATCCCTTAAAATGTTCTGCAATATTTGTCTTTAAGAGGGAATATTATCTCCGACATAAAGGAAATTGAAAAATTGAAATGTCTACCGTTACTGCGAGCTCTTGTCATCATGGGTAATTTACACAACTGTAAATTCTCGCCAAAAAGCAGCAATGAAATTTTATTGTCTTACTTATAGAGAATCACGCTGCAGATGAAGATGATTACAGGATTGAAGTATTGATTGCTTTACGTCGACTAGAGAGATTAGATAAAGATGAATATACTGATGAGGAAAGACAAGAAGCTGAGGAGGTTTACTTTTGGATTTTATAACCATTTGCAGGATCTATGATTTTATCCTCTCAATAACATACAACGATTGTAATATTTTGCTTTTGTCTTAGATTCACGAACAAAGACGGCGAAATAAATCGTTGGAGGTAATAGATTTTTGAGTGTGGTCTTTTGCTTAAAGAACACCATCATTATTTTTGTCTTTTTTTCAGGAGAATACAATGGAAGTTATTGCAGATGAAGATGATTAGCCATTTAAGATGTTACCAACAAGAATTAGAAAATGACTGACTATCGATTTTGACAAAAGTTGAAGACATTTTTTAAAATTGTTCTTACTAAATAAGTGTTAAGTAAAATTTTTCCATTCATAGATTAAAAAAATACCCAAGCATTGTTATCAACAAAATACTATCTTCCACTTCTCAACTTTCTTCTTCCATCCATTTTCACAAGATGACGCGAATTTTTACTCTTTTTTTTTGTGTATATAAAACTTCTTCTTGTCACAAGTCTTGTTTGTGTGAATACCTTTCACATGACAGGCAACATGAACTAGTTTCAAATTTTTTTTTGTGAACAAAAGGTCATAGAAATATCTCCAGTTAACTTCACTATCTTTAGGTGTTTCCTTAATGGCTTTGTATAAAGATGGTAAAATCTCTCTCGATTTTTCAACTCTATGAATAAAATGAAAAGAAAAAATTAAAAACAAATTTCTAGTTAAACAAAAATATACAATATTTTTCTAACATGTGGTCAAGATTCCAGGTACTGAATACAATTCGTGCTTCTTTAGAACCATAAGGATTGATGGAATGTAATTTTGCACAATTTTCCTCATTAAACTTTCCCTCACATTTAAACCAGCCAAGTTTATCGCAAATTCGAGCATTACTTTTGGCAGAACGAGCAAAATAGTTTTCATAATAATTATTCTTGCACAATTCCTGATGAAAAAGATCCAATAAAGCCATTGTGTTATTGCCACCACACTCCTACAGTAGAGAGGAAAATATGAAAGAATTGTTACTCAGTACAGACAAATAACAAAATCCAATAAATCAATAGTGACCATTATGAAGCTCATACATGGTCAATGAGGTATTCCTTGGTACGTTGATAATAATTCCTAATTCTTTTCTTTGCCCCATCTTTCATGACAGAATTCTTATTCTGATATTTTTCATGTAATCCATCAAACCAACCACTATCATCCTCTCTCCTTTCCAAATCAATATTTGAATCAAGAGTGGTCACACAATCCAACAAAGCTTGATTGACAAGTTGTGAATGGTTTCCATTGAGCAACTCCTGAACTTGAATAGTGATAGTCTCCTGTCCTGATAGCTTCTTTGCAATTTTATTTGTCAGTACTTGCAACTTGAGAATATCTTTCAAATGCAAATGAATTAACATTAGTGAAAATGAAGAAGTCAACGAATACAGTTTGCTTCCCCCTCCCAATCACTGAAGCTTTCTCCAGCCAGATGTGTTAGAATCGAACATAACTCTTACCCATTTCTAGATTATCTTCATCATCGGGAAGGCAAAAAGTAAAACATGTCTGTGGTGGTAGACGTTTAAAATACTCCTCGGTCAAAACAGCTGTTCCATCATCTAAATACGGTTGGTGCTTTTCATGAATGTTTAATCGTTTTATCGCTTCTCTTTTTAAATCTTTTAGATTTCGAGCCGTTATTCCCACACGTCCGCAGCCATTTACTTCTTGTATTTTAAAAGGCTTTGTTGTATTTGTACCCATAAGAGGCTACTTATAACGAGAAAAATTCTATTATAAAATTGCCATATTATTTCAACTGATCCTGGTATGGACATTAATTAAGCATAATATTAAAAACTAAACCAATGATTAAAATCATTGAGTTCTTTTTCCACTTTGGCTCAACAAATTTCATTATTATCTTCTTTCAAATAATTGGTTTCCAACAGTAACGTCAGCAAAAGATCACCCTGTCAGGTAAATCAATGAATTTAACCATCAAACGAAGCACCGTCGATCTCACCATTGTTCATTCTGCTGTATGTGAACTGAACAAATATTAATTAATGTTTAGTAGATACAGCAGCAAGTTATTAAACAGTTGACATAGTTGCTTAGTTACCGCAAGTATATCTTCAAATAAGCTGATAATTTTCTAGGCTAGTTTCCTTGGAATTTGATCCCACTAAAGCAAAAACGTTCGTCTATTAACAATACGTCAATAGGTAGAATTTACGAAATTAAGATTCTTGAACACATGCTAGTAATCCTGTATTTTGAACGAGATTTTATGTGAGAAAGAAGCTTTCTTTGTCAGTCCATCTGAATCAACAATCATATGTCGACGGTGTAGCGATGTTGAATTATGTACAACGTGCGTGAGAAATGATGAGATTGAACAATGTCACCTCTAGCTCTACAAGACATGTCTCAAGATCGGTTAGTATTATCTTCATCTTCATTAAGCATTCAAAAACTCTTTTTTCTTATCTCTTCGTGATGGCCCAATGTCCATTTCTATAGAGACAGAGATGTTGAGATAGATATTGACCGACAAGAAGAAATCACTAAAAATATACCAACCCTTTTTCTATCACAACCAAACAACAAAGATCAGCGATCCTTTTCAAGTAACTCGAAACATTCACATGACTATGGACAACAATTTCTTCCGGCAAGAGCTGAGATTTGGCGTATTATCTTGTTTAAGCTGACTAACTGAGTAATTGATCAATCTTAAATTTGATTTTGTAGCTACCTTCGTCTAAGTATCGTTACACTAAATGGTATGATGTAGATTCTATGGAAATCAAGGGAAACATGTTGAAATCTCCAAGAATCAGACGAGGTAACAAGTACAGTTCCTCTCCGCTAATTGTAAAGTAAGATTATGTTTAAAAAACTTCTTCATGTGGTTTTAGCTCCTATTGGATACAACATTTCGACATTGCAACATGATCAAAAACAAAAACGACTCAACTATCAAAGCAAACTTGAATGTTGGGAGACGTGTGAGGTGTGTTGATTAAAAACTGTTCATTTTCCACAATTACTTTGTAATTACTGTTCATATGTTTCAGTTCCCGGTGATTAGGAGTCATTCAACACGATTGTAATAGGTCATCTTGATTTAGGCTGTTAATCTGTCGTTTCAAGAGCTTGGCCATTCGTATCAATTGAGACAATTTCTAGCTGTTCTTCAAAAACTAATTCGTTGTGAAAGTCTTCAGTTGATGGATAATGGACTAACTGATTTAAGAAATATTTACTTGCCCAGGTATAAATCACTGTTTAATACTTTAGACTGAAATGGGGGAATGTGTTTTGATTAAATTACACCTCTGTTCTAGATGTAAACACCTATGTCTTCAACGAAATTATCTGTCAAACTTTAAGGTCAGTTTTGAAAGAGCATTTTTCTTCTCAGAATAAAGAAGGCAAACTGCTTTTGTTTTTATCACAAGTATTCTAACGTTGGCTTTTGTGCATTTTTTAGAAACTTCCTAAAACTCCGATGTTGGAGCATCTATCGTTACAGAAAAACAACATAGCGTCTTATGAAGGCCTTAGCGCTCTAAGAAAAACATCGATTGTGTCTCTAAATCTTAAAGATAATCCTATTGAATTTGATCCATGGTACAGAAAAAGGTGTGTAGGATAAACATGTCATGTATAAACCGCCCATGTATGAAACAGCTACTGATAATCATCTTTAATAACTAAACTCTTTTTTCGTTGAATAGGGTATTTCAAATAATTCCAAGTCTGCAGTTCTTAGACGAAATCCCTCGACTTAACAATGAGGAATCTGACGACATTACCAATGACAGAAGTAAATGTTGTATTTCGTGATAACGACTAAACTTGAGGATGTTGTTGGACGATACATAAGCATTCCTTAAAGTGATGAAAATTTGGAGCTCGTCTTCATCTTCATCTAATATTAAAGTGAACAAGATAAATGAATTTTTTGAGTTTTCAGGACTCCTTAAAATACCTGACATGTGATGTTGTTGTGCAAATGTTTTAAGAATGACCGCAGGCGGTGGGCTCTTTATTTATTTTAAATAAATTTTAAATGAATATTGAATATATCGACAATATGTACATAACTGTTGAATTTATTTTACAACATTAAAAATGACAGTTAAGATAATTTTTTAAGCAGATGTTTTGAGACCTTGTAACCAGGCAATCTTGAAGACGACGATAAGAGAAAATTGAATTTGATTTTGCTCATTAATTTTTCGTTATGCCATTAATTATCCGACAGCTATTTCACTTCATCCATAATCATTCTTGTTTCCTCCTAATCCCCACCATAACCATCATCTTCCCAGTTAATCCCCGACGATCATCTCATGTCAGTAGTAGATAAAAGTGTTTAGTGACGCTGACGATGTTTATAACCTCGGTACTTGCGATGAAAAATTCACATTATACAATTCAATAAAACTTTTTGTTACCATAAACACGATGTGCAGCAACACAAAACATTTTCTTCCATAATAAACGTTCGGCTTCCTCTTTTGCCAACACCTCGGCCATTGCTGCACATCTTTCACGAAGCGTTGTTCGTCTTTCTCCAATTTCTGTGAAAGGTGTTTCTTTATCTTGTATGAGCTGGTTGTTGTAATCTTCTTTAGCTATTTTAATGTAACTCTTAAAACAAGCAAAAAAAACCAAATGTTGACTAGTCGTACCTCATAAAGCTGTATATTTCATTACCTGAACAAATTTCTTCTCGTCTTCAGCGAGACTTTTCAGTTTCCGCTCATAATTCGCCCTTCTGTCCGCTAACGCATGCGCAGTATCATTTCCCCAAACCTTAGTCTCTGTTTGCTGACGTTGTGCTTCCACACCAGATACAAACATTTCTTTAGCTGTTGGAGGATAATATTTGCTACGAATGAAGGTTATACTAGGCAACGGAGCGCTGAGTAATGTGGGAGATTTGGGCGCTAGCGTAACGTCACGTACATCGGTTTCCACCGATGAATTGCAGTGAGAGATTTTTACGTGGATAATGTTGCTCTAAGAATCAAATAAATAAATAATAATAAAATGTACAAGTCTATAAATACATCATTATTAAAAAAGTGACATTATTGGATATTTTAAAATTCTGGTTGTTAAATAGATACATGAATACACATCTCAAATTTTCATTTATATTGAAATAAGAATTTACGGTGAAATGCATTTCTCTTAACATTCTATCTTCTTCAGCTTTTGTACGAAGAACAGGGTCACGATCTATATAAACAGAAGCTTTCATACGTATCATCTACGTAAAAACCACTGAAATATACATGTAGCAGTAAACGTACTTTTATCTCTGATAGTAAAATTCAAAATGCCCTTTTCTAAGTCTTTTTCTTTTTGTCGAAATATATCTTCAAGAGTGTCCAACTCTTGTTTTTTTTCCTGAGATAACATGTGGAAAATCTATAATAAAATGAAGTAAGCTAATCAGCGAGCTATAAAATCAAAACATACAAAGACACAATTATCCATTTGAATCCTTCTTGAACTATAACACATTTGAAATCAAAAAGACATTTCAGTTTGAAATCAATTCAATACCTTCCTCGATAGCACATAAAATTTTATAACTATTATTGTAAGTATCAGCTGGTTAATCGACGCAACACATCTTTCGTATATAAAGAAGTTCATTTACTTTAAATGAGAAACATGCAATCTTTAAAACAGATATTTCTATTCAAAGACGACAAAGTACTTCATAGTACTTTACAATATTGCACGGGATAATACACACAGAATAGTGTAATCTATGACTTTAAACCCACGTTCTCTACACGTTCCCATTACATGTAACAAAAGCGTTCATTGTCTATAGAAAATACAATAAGAGAATAATAAAACGAATAATGTTCCATTCACTGAGAAAAAATTGATCTTCTAAAACATTCATTTGCGTGCAAAATAAAATTGAAATGAACGGACATTTTTTCAAACACAAAATATTTTTAATTAAAGAAAGATAATCAGGATGTTTCACACAGAACAAATTTCCACGGAAAAGATATACATCCTTTTCCGTGGAAACTTCATATAAACACAGATTAAAGTATGCTAGAGATTTTCCTCCTTCAACATAGACATTAAATTTTGTCTCAGTTTTATGAGTAAAACAATGAATATCGAACAGGCGGAATACATTTAAAAAATTAATCATTTGCAATAAATTTCACTAAAAACACATTAAATGCTCACGTTTTAAAAAAACTTCGGTTGCAGAATTAAATCAGCACATGTATTGCGTCTAAAATATCAAGATGACAGAAGTCGAACCATACTGAACTTGATTTTTCTCAAAGCGACAGGATGTGACGATAGAAATGTCCACTTTTTTGACGACCCACGTTCACACTAACAATCATAAAGGTTACACAATCGTTTACAACGGTTACATCTGTTCAGGGATGAATAAAATATTCAATTAAAAGTTACTAATAGTTACATCTGTTACGATCCAAGCATGGATAGTTTGTAATAAAGAGAGCCGACAGTAATATCTTTGGCGTCAAAACGACAAAACAACTAAATTGAATTTTTAATTTGATCGGCAGCTCCAACACTTGCCATATAGATTACGAGTTAAACGGGATGTTAATGTAATGTTAAAATATGCAGATGAAGTAAATAGTTGGGATTTGCATGTTTACTTTTTGTCTACAGCTACCGTAAAATCTGTTTCTAACTACGACAAATAAATAAAAATGTTTAGTACTGTAGATAAATCATTAACTACCACACACGTACAAACTCTCTCACAAAAAAAATTAAATGAAAACCTGTTTCGTAACTCTATGTACGTCAGAATGGTAGAACCGTACAGGCGTTTTTAATGATATGACTTTAATCATGTGAACAAATAGTACACTTTAAAATGTATGAAATCGACTAGATTGACGTAAGGAAACATTCTTAATTGAAGATTATCTTCCTATTGAATCTCATTACTAATTCCCTACATTCATACCTATCTTTTTGGTCAAGAGACATAGAAAAGAATATTTCACGCAGTTAAAATTTTTCACGTTTAGTAAGGAAATAAAATGTCTTCGAGAAAGTTCATGACAAACGAAAGCTTTAATTAGATATTTTCCGGATTTTCAAATAATTAATTAATTCAAGTAAATGTTTTTGATGAACAAATATGAAATAATGAAGGAAACATGTTCACGCAGTGAACAGTCAAGTGGGCTAAAATGCAGACGACTATCAACGATCAACTTTGAAAATATTTCACAACTAATGGATAAAAATTGCGTAACATTTAATCATTTTCAAAGGCAACAACAACGATTTCAATTTTTACAAACATTTTGCTTTATTCCTCTTAAATAAATGTATTTTGATATAGATAATGCTTTAAATGATTACCATCGTGGTAAAATTAAAAAATAAATTAATCTCCAACAAAGAAAGCAACGGCAGAAATAATGAAACAAGAATTTATCCAAAGTCGTAAAATATCTCTAAAAGTGAACCTTTTTTTTTTCATTAAATTCGCAAATTTATAAACTTATTCCGTTTTTTAAAACTTTATCAACAAATACAAAAATTGATTCAGTTTATTTTTGCCATCGTTTCCTACTGTTTCATGGGATATGATAACATCTAATAAATGATGAAATATTTTTGTGAGAATATGTCGCTATTTTAGTTGCGTAGCTATCATCGTTATTGGAAATGACCGCGCTGCCTCTGAAACACTTTTTTTTGAATTGCATGGTCTTAGTTATGATGCATAATCAAAATGACGGACAGATGTTTGAGAATATCATCAGGATAAAAGACAAAATTCAACTTTTACTGACTTATCTCAAATTCAAGAAATGCTACAACGCTTCATCTCGTTACGTTGAGTCAGTCGACTGTAGCCTGTGAGCTGGAAACAACAAAAGAATACATACTGCAACTCAACATCCACAATAATACAGGGTTACATGTCATACACTCAATAATCACATACATAACTTACATTTTATTGGAATCCGTAGTTGCTGACAGTCGTCAATTATTGCTTCATGTAAAATATCACGAAATAAATATCTCACTTGAAGAGACTTGTCTTCACCAAAACATGGATCGTAAAAACCGCTAATTTGAGTCTGCAAATAGAAAAGGACATTTCATGTAGTATTTACAGTAATTTTATTTTGACAAAAATAAGAAATGACAAACCTTAGAGCCTTCAGGTAAATATAATTTAGAATCTTTAACAAGACATTGCAGGACTAAGGTTACATCAATTATTTTATTCATTCTGTAGGGATTGTTAAGATCGCTGAAAGCAAATTAAAAGACGGTTGAGTGGAACAGTATTTTGCAACGCTTTAAATACGAAATTCTCAGATTCGTACTTTTCGCTGAACGATAAAAATTTTCCGTAAAAAGCACTAACGATAATGAGACCTAAATACAAAAGAAAATAGAAATAATTGGATGATATATACGTGTGTTTAAGAAATCGCCTCAACCATAAATGGAAGATGTTTATAACTTTTCTCTTATAACCCCTCTCGACACCAAACCCACTTTAAGCATCGAGTAAGAACAGACAGTAACTGATGGTGGAAAGTTTTCATGAGTAAAACAGATTAGTTAGGACATCGATGGAGAAAGTCATGTGACTACTATCTGTCAGTTCTTAACTTCAACAGTAGTTAAATTTCAAAAAAAGGTTTAAAGTTACTAGAATACCATGCCGTTTGCGTTCACACTCCACGCACGATTCGTAAGTTTCTCTCATTAACTCAGTCTAAAAATTAAACAGTAAAAAAAAAGGAACAAAAACTTGTATTTTACGTCACCAACACATATGATGTCAACAGCGCATGGTTTTGCTTACATAATCTTCAGCATTTTTTTTCATCGTTGACAATTTTTCAGCAAATTTGTCCTGCTTCTCTTTAGACTCTCTTAAATGAACGTAATGAAACTAGCTGGAAACTGTGTCGATGCAAATCTCTGACTGTCAAAAAAATAAAACTACAGACCTTTGTTTGGCTTGCGCTAAGAATGGTTTGACAATCAAAGTATTTATGGAGTAGTAGAGGATAAGTGGGGTCACAGTTCCATAGAATATTGCCATGGGAGAGATGGACTCAGAAAGATAAAAAGGGAAAACAAAACTCTGATTTGAACGATTCAACCTTAACATAAACAATTCATGATCATATAAGGGAATTGTGAAATTTTACAATATCATAAACAACTGTGTAAGACATTACCTTATTTTCAATGTTACACCACTTAGAGTACTAACATTAACACTCATGCCAATATTACTACGTTCAGATATCTTGTGATCTGCACCATAACTCACATTAGATCCCAAAAAACCCAATCTGTGGTGAAGAAAAATAGAAGCTATGACAATAGAATAAAACTTTTGCTAAAAGCAACATTGCCTACTTTATTCCAGTCCTCACAGTCGTATCAACAGCAATCTTGTAGTTATAAGAAAATGAAGCAAAACAGTTTTTGATCCCAAGCTACGATAAAAAATTTAAGCAAAATATTTTACAAAAATTGCACAAGATTGTCATTCACCAAGAAAAGAAAGTAGACCTGAAGACCAAGCTGTAATCTTGAATTAGCACTTTCCTTCACCAGCGATGTCTCAAGAGATGAACCTGAACCAGCTTTCCATGTCATATATCCAGTTGTTTGGTTTCCTAGTTGCCTAGCAACCACTGAAATTGAAAAAGAAAGATAATGTTGAAAAAACTGTGGTGAAGTGTTACCATATAAAACATGAAATGATTGTTATGTAAAAAAGAAACATACTTGCTTGAATGCCAGCACCAAAACCTTTATTTTGTCCATGTAGAGCAACACATGCACTTCCATAACTAATTGAAAATTACAGATAACATAAATTGTCAACATGTAGAAAAGCTTCACTGACATGACTATTACTTACGTACCTGGACTTGGAGATATTTTTAAATATTCTCATTTGGAACAATGGTCCATTACCAGCAGCAAATTCAGCCTTATAATCAATAACATCATGTATAAAGATGAGCTATTCAGGAACATAAGGTTTCATGAGAACAACAACAAAAGCATAAACATCAATTAAAAACAATTTCTATTCTCACTTCAGCCCAAGAAAATGTAGAAATAACTCTTCGCCAAGCAGCAGACACATGACCTGTACCATTACCATTTTGAACAGCAAGATTGCCACCAAGTGTGATTGTATCCTTGCTTGTTAATGGAGCCTAGACACAGTTTAAGTTTGAAGTGACATAATTAATTATGAATTTTATGATGTGCTCTTTCATATATGGCTACCTCAATTGACTGGTTTATGTTCATCTTTGTTACTTCAATATTTGGTAACAATCTAAAATATACAAATATCATACAAAAAATTAAATGCTCTCATTAAACATTGAATTGCTTTATATGATTTAATTCTAGACCTAAATTCATCGTTATAATCCTCATAATGCTCAAAGATATCTGTTCCATCAATGCCAATGATAAAACTTCCCTAAAAAGACAAATGACTTTAATTTACAACAGAAAACCAAGAAGTTAACACTACATCAGTTAAAAAGAAGTCAATTTGACCTTAGGATTTGTTCTTCTATTTAGCATTTCTTCTTCCTTTTGTCGTTGTAATCTTTCATATTCTTCTTGAATCTAACAGAAGATAATACAAAGTATTTAATTCTGGAAAAATTATGAATTATATACACAGACAACAATAAATTTAATGTAACAATACAACATTATAAAAATCTAATAATCTTACCTCTGCAGGTGTTCTTTGTCTGGCAATAACCTTAACAAAAAATAATCTTTAAAGTCAACTTTATCAACATTCAACTAAATCACAATCTTAATTACACCTGCCAATCGGCATCCAACCCTTTCTGTCCATACATATCATATATTGCTCTCTTCTCTTCATTAGAAAGCACTGCAATTGTTTTATTGTTAATAAGCAAAAAGGATTTGAGTTATATCAATAATATATGACAGCAAACCTTCATATGCCTTCTGCAGCTGATTAAAAAACTTTACCGCTTGCTGAAATAGATATACATATATAAAAATCTTAGTTAAGTTTACTGTATTTTTAAAACAAGTTTACCAACCTCTTTTCTTGTTTGCTCAACATGCCGATCTGGATGATAAAGTTTACATAATCTGCGATAAGATGACTTAATCTCTTCCGTACTAGCCTGAAAATAACGTTTTGTATGACATGACAGGACAGCACCACTGGCTGCAAACACATTAAAAAATTCAAGAAACACGCGTGCACCAAAACGTAAATAACTAATTATCTTTAAAATAAATATATTTTTATGTGTTTTTGGATTAATAATAAAATCACTACCTCCTTGCTGACGTTTAAAACGATGTAGTAATTGATTTCTACAAAATTTTCTGACTCTTCTTCAGACGCCATTTTGAGTGCTCAACCTATCACCAAGCTTATATGAAGTATTGAAATAATTAGTCTTCTGAAAAATGGGGGAGGAAGAAGGAAAGAGGAAAAGGAATCCTTATGAAGATCTTGACCGTGAGGTAAAGGTTATGTGATTTGAAGGAAGACAGATCATTACTAAAACTTAAACAACAATGAACTTTGCAAATGATCAACGCGAGGATGGCTTTAATGATGTTTTTACTGCATTGACATTAAAATATATTCTTGTGAAAACTAAGATTTCTTTTTACTGATATGTCCTGTGACACTGACAACGAGGTCAAAAAACATATTGGTAATACTAAACTGCAATCACTTACATCAGTTGAAAAAGAGAATGCTGCTGTCAAAAAGAAAATGCTGCTGTTGAGAAATAGCATTACTCATTAAAAAGGCAGTTGTTTTACAAAACACATAATGCTCCTTTTTAGATTGGTTGAAAATTATATTTTGAAGTATTACATTGTTGACTGCAATCATTGTTTCGCAGGAGTTACTTGCAAAGTTGACTGAGCTGGAACACCAAAATAAGCTGTTGAGGCAACATCTTACATCAGTTGAAAAGAATATGCATACACATTTAACACCAGATAACTGGGAAAATGATAAAGGCAAGCCAAGTAATTTGAAAAAGAAACGTAAAGGTTTCGATTTTTCAAGGTAGGTAGTCATGGCCAAAATCAAACATGAATGGTAAAGATAAATGACAGGAATGTCTTAAATATATCACAAAATTTCCTCACTTAGATACAATGTTCGTCATGTTGCTTTGAAGATTGCCTATCTTGGTTGGGATTATCATGGTTTTGCTAGCCAAGAAAACATTGAAAATACAATTGAGGTTTGTTTGTCTTTTAATGTGACCTTGGAACCAAACGTATGTCTTTACAACGTTTTATTTTCTCAGGCACATCTCTTCAATGCTTTGAAGAAATCTTGTCTTATTGAAGAACGATCAACATGTAACTACTCCAGGTGTGGTAGAACTGATAAAGGTGTCAGTGCTTTTGCTCAGGTACGTATAATCGAGTTAAACATCTCCACCATCATTGTCACTGTGACTAGGTATATTTAAACACAGTACAATGCCTCAATGCCAGCTAATTTTCAGGTCATATCGCTTCACGTCCGCAGCAATCTCGACGAAGGAAAGGGAATTATCGTTAGCAAAGATCCAAATTTCGATGTCGATGACGCTAAGCACTCTTTAAACAAAGAAGAAATCAACTATCTTTATGTTTTGAATAAACTTTTGCCAAATGAGATCAGAGTTATCGGATGGACACCCGTCTCTCTGGACTTTAAGGCTAGGTGTGAAAGAGTTTCGACATATTCATATTTAATGAACTGGCCTCAAATATGACACGTACAATAAACTGAAGAATCATAAAAAATGCATCATATTAAATGAGATAGAGAGATAGATCGTAAGCATAAAGTGAAGTTATTATCGTAAATAGCTTTTTTACGTATATGATGATTAAAAGAGGTATAACATTCGTATTTTTTAGATTTAGTTGTATGCATCGAATGTACAAGTATTACTTTCCCCGTGGCAATCTTGATCTAAAGGTGAAATTTATCTGTACACAATGTGTATTGTATTCTAAAAATAATATTGATCAATTTCCTATCTTAGCGAATGAATGAAGCAGGACAAAAATTTGTTGGTGAACATGATTTCAGAAACTTTTGCAAGGTTTAAATATTTCGTTCTTGTATTACCAATCATGCATAAGAACTGACAATGATGTGTTATTTTCCTATCAGATGGATATTGGTAACAACATCTTGTCATTTAAAAGAAATATTCTTTCTGTTGAGATTGAACAGTTGACAGAATTTGGGTGAGAATAACCAAAGTAGCAATGTTCACTCCTCTTCTCTACAATACGAATTTTGAATTATTGTTCCTGCTCATTTCAAACAAAATATTTCTTTTTATAGACACAGTGAATACGAAACGTGTACCGTGACTATTAAAGGTATGGCATTCCTTTGGCATCAAGTAAGGTGTATTGTTGCCATCTTGTTTCTCATTGGTCAAAAACTTGAAGAAGCAGAGGTAATGTGAGTGATATAGATGATGATGAGGTATTTTTTAACACTTCTACAAATGTTTGTTTAGATATCGCTGTTTCTTATAAATCTATATTTTATTTTATTATATTTATTGTTACTGTATTTTATTTCCATTTTAATAGATCATTGATCATATGTTGGATATAACAAAATGTCCTCGTCGTCCTCAATATAACATGGCTTCAGGTTAGCTTGCAATTTTTATTACTTTAAACTCTTTCGAAATGTGAGTGCTGCATTTTTTCTAAGTTGATACGATGTCAAGGTTCCTTTCTTATTGTTAAGAGATTCCACTGGTGTTGTATCATTGTGAATACGAATCTCTAACATGGCAGTACGATGAAGGTTGATTTTATTTTTGTATAACTATACGTAGCTACCTTTCATGATTTCATCGTATCTTGTTGTGCACAGCTTATTTATTTTTCTGTTTGTTTAGATGAAATGCAAAGAGTTTTCAACAACTTTCAAAAACTGTGGACCACTAGCATTATCAGGTACTTAATCTAATTCAGTAATAATGTTCATTCATCCCTTCTTACGATAATTTTCTTTTATTAGGACCACTATGATACGAACTTTACTGGATGATCTAAATTCAAAAAAAGGTAATATAACCATTTTTTGTTCTATCAAACGTGACACTTTGTCATCTGAAATGTTGGCCTGTGATGAAAATTATCTGACCAAAGGTAATTGTGTTTTGACTAGACACATGCAGTTTTTAATTTAAGCTTTAATAAACCATTGCAATTAAGTACCTATGTTGGGCCGTTTGAGTTTTGAACCAACCTGTGATCTGATCTTAAGCACCTTGGATGGTATGGCTTATGTGCAGTTTTTGTGCTTTTTTTTAGATGTCGAGACGAAAAAAACATTTCGAGGAATGTGTTTGATCCCAGGTCATCACGTTAATTCCTACAAGAAGATTTTGACACGAGCTTTGTGTGGTAATTAGACGTTATTTAAAATTTATTATGCTTCATTATTGACGTCACAGTTCATTGTTCATAGTTTAAGATAAAATTATTACAATGAATGTATTAAATAAAAAATAAATCATTTAAGAGTTCGACGTTTCCTCTTTCTCTAATCTATAGATATATAGATAAATGGATAGATAGATGATAGTCATATTTATTGTGTGAGCACAGACTTTCCATTGAAACTAATTTTTGCGGTCTTTTTTTCAGACAGTTTAGAGACAAAATTAGAGAATTTGGCTTCTAAACGGGACAGACGGAGGAAAAAGCTCAGCAAAGTGTAGCCTTCTCTATAATCGTGTGGTTTGGTGGCTTTTAGTGATCTCGGGTCCTTGCACGGTTCATGACCAGAACTATAATTGTTAAGATATTTAATTTTTCATGTAAACGATTTCAACTGTAAAATAAATTCTATTTTGTTTGTTATTTTGTGAACAAAACCATGCATATCATTGTTTGCTCAAGCACATATTACCTTAATGAAATGTCGCATTAAGTCTGTATGTGGGCAACCACACACCCAATGTCATAAATCATTGTTCCATGAGGTCGTCAAAATTCTTCTAAACCCAGGTGTGAAAAAAGCTATTTATCAAAACCGCACAAACACTTCATATGAAGATCACACAGCACTCATCCATTTGTACATTTACGTATTGAACAGAGCAAGAGGAAGAACTCGAGATTTGTCCAACATACTGACTTGCCTTTTAATAGACTATTTAAAGAAGTCTACTGCTTATTCTTTGAAGATGAGAATTTCATTGACAAAGGGTTTAGCAATCTTAATGTTATGGCTGGCGATGTAAGTTGGTTTATAGGTATTTAATAAGCGGTTCACGAGTATTTATACATTTTTAAGTCTTACGTTTTAAATTCAAACAGTTAATCGATTTTAGTTTTTTCTTTTTGGGAAAAAGACTAAGCTTGTTCTGATTTCAGGATGATAGCAAGCGGTAGTAGATTGAGCAAAAGATGTCAGAGACGCAAGAAAGGTAGTATTCTCATTATTCAAAATCTTTCTTCTTTGGAAATGCTACGTTCTTTAAACTTAAGCATAAACATGTAATCTTTCTCATCAGTATATTGGTAGAGTATTTTACCGGGCAATGAAATGGATGAAACTGACACATGAATTACTGAGGAATTTTTTCGTTCTAAAAATTAAATTGAAGTCCGAATATTTTCAGTTTTATTATGCATTGTACGTACATCTTATTTTGCGACTCCAAGTACGATTCTTTCATGTTCCAAGATTTTTTTCTACCCAAGATTTGTAGGATTTATTAATGAGCAGCTAAATATTCTAATATTTTGCGTCATTTGTGTTTTGCAGTTTAATATACTTATTTCAAATGCGCTCAAGTTTTATAATTTTGGTATTTTTTTTTTGGTTCTTTTAACTCCGTAAATTTTAAGCAGTGACATTTTCACGTGACTTAGTAAGTTATTAAGTATATTGGATTTCATTCTTTTTTATCTGAATATCAGGTTGGTATGAACGAAATTTATTGTCCAATATCATGGTATGTTATAGGATTAGTCTGACAAGATTGCGTCTCGGTGACTAGTGTTTCAACTACTCTTATATTACTAAAAGCTTAAATCAAATACGCCCGTAATTACTGCATTAGGATTAAAATAAAATTGAAATCTGATTTCGATCAAAGAAGGACATATGCATTTTTATAATTTGTGTTTGATTAAATATCTTGTAAAATACTTTGTGGCAAGCCGTGCTAGACAATGCTTGGGAATTAGGTTGGTGAATTAATAAAGAGTAATTAATTGCAATGCTAAAGCAATATAAAGCAACAGCGGTCGGCAATGAAAGAAATGACCAGCAAACTATCATAAATCATGGCCTATTTCCGCTACTGAATAGAGGCGTGATTTCTGTCAGCTGCAACAAATTGTTCCGTTGAAAGTTTATGCAGAAAATTCCAATCGGGAATTTCATCTAATTAAAGTTTATGGAACGGTGCGATAGCGGGACTATTGACGATCTGATCTGTTTCCTTAGAGTATTTTATAACAGTTCCTGTTGTTTTAAGGCATGCCGCCGTTGCATCTAACGTTATTAAATTGCTGAAAGTTGAAATCATAAATCACTTAAATGTTAATAACATACTTTTCCTTCTGTTAGATTACGCATGGTGGGTACTTAAATAGTGCCTATCGCCTACTTCACACTCGTCAATGGACCTCGTTGAACAATTGTAAACAAAACATACATAACATGCAACATAAGAGAGTTATACTGTGACAATGCCTTTTACTGACATGATTACACAACTCAATAAAACTAAAAGTTGTCTCCCAGAAAGAGGCGCAAATTATGCTAATCCGTCTAAACGTTTGAATAAGGAAAACCGTAAATGAGGTCATTGTCGTCAATCGTCATGAGAGCGTCTGTTGACCTGGACGAGAAAGAGGATACAGACAGACTGGCGTAGTAGTCTACGTTATATTGGGTGTGAAAATATCCATTTTTCTTTGACACCCTATCGTCTATTCACTCACGAGCATAAGGAAACTGCATGCAACAAATGTCAACGAAGTTTGCTTTTTCAAAATGTTCAACAGATTTTTCACAATTTTAAATTTTTAGGAACGTTGTCATTTTTCTTATTCATTTATACGATGCTTTTTCTTATTTAAGGCATATGTCGAACGTCCGCCATTTTAACAAAAAGTTTTGGCAGCTTTCACTCCCCTGGTTATCCAAAAAACTACAGTGATAACTCACAAAGCATGTGGTATATCCGTGTATCGAAGGGATATCGTATCAAATTACGACTACGAAGGGACTTTCAAATAGAAGATTCCACTTTGTGTCATAAAGATGCGCTCATTATTTCTTTTGACCAAACACAGAAGAACAAAAAATTACTCTGCGGAATGAAGCGACAGAGGGGAGTGACATCATCAACCAATGAATTGTGGGTAATGTTTCGCAGCAATGACGCCATCACAGCCAAAGGATTTTATGCTACATATCGGGCAATAGGTAAACTCTTACATAACCAATTTTATTTATTTTTTTACTTTCTGTTTTAGCATCATTTTCTTTTTGCTGTAGATGTGAATGAATGCAAGAGAGAAGTTTGCAAATTTCCTAGTTTGTGCAGGAATACGGTTGGAAGTTACATGTGTGACTGTCCTAATGGTTATAAGCTTAGAGGAAGAAAGAACTCTGGACGATGTGTAGGTTAGTCTGGAAATATGTAGTAAGTGTCTAAACATACAGTATACGTATTTTTCACAAGATAAAATATCGTTACCACTGTGCGAAAACACTTTAACAACTGAAATCACTAATCCAGTCACTTGTGAATATTAGTTGTAATGAAATGTTAATTTATGCTAAATTATTTCATTTTATCATTTTAGATATAAACGAGTGTTCAGATAGTCAGATGAAATGCGAGTTTAAATGCGTCAACACCGCAGGAAGTTATTACTGCACGTGTCCTAGGGGTTATAAATTAGCTCAAAATGAGAAAAGTTGTCGAGGTAAGAGAAATATTTTTCATCACCGAATGTTGCTTTGATTAGTTTATCTCAAGTATGTTTTAATGCTTCCATGTTAATGTATAAAATTTTTAAATTTTGTTGTTGAGATGTAAACGAGTGCTTGAAATACAATGGTGGATGTAGTCATCAATGTCGAAACTTCAGAGGATCGTACAACTGTATTTGTCCTCCTGGCTACAAATTGGATAAAACAAGAAAGATATGTCATAAAGGTTAGTCGGTGCGTGTCCATTTTTTATTTTTCAATTGATTGATAATGCAGTGACGAAAGAAAAAATGCTTTCATCTTTTTTTTGATAACTTGTCAGGTGTTGCGCGCTACACATGGTTTTCTTTTCCATTTTAGAAATATTCTACGATAATTATCAGCAAATCTATTATATTAAAGAAAATGCTAACATCGGGACATTGGTAACTAAAATAAAAACAAAGTTGAAAAAAAGACGAAGTCGGAAGATTCTGTTTTCGATTATAACGGAGAATCTAATGATGAAATCAACGACGTTCAAAATGAACCGGACAACTGGCGAATTAAGAGTTAACGATACCCTAGATCGTGAAAAAACGGCTGAATATCTTCTTGAAATCGAGGTGAAGCATTTGAATGAAAGACGAAAATGGACAAAAGCAAAGAGTTATATTGTTGTACGACTACTGGATGTCAATGACAATGTACCAAGATTTGGTTATCCTGCCTATACGTTAACTGTTCCTTGTAATGTCAAACCCGGCAGTATCATATACCGTATGGATACATATGATGCAGACCAAGGCAAAAATGCTCGTGTGATCTATAAACTTGAGCCGAAAAACTTATATTTTACTGTGCAAAAACACAGTGGTAAAGTGAAAGTCTTAAAAGGACTTAGAGCATTTTGTAACGGATCTCTCAGTTTGCCCATGAAAATTTTCAACTATAAGATTGTTGCAAAAGATCGTGGAGCACCTACATTGAGTTCAAGTGTTAACGTGCGTTTCATCATCGCGGGCGTCGATCTGACGTCACAGTCAATGTTTGTGTGGTATACTGAGAACCATGACGTTAAGTTAATACAGAAATCATCACGAAAGTCACGTGATCCTGACGATAAGTAGGTTATGAAAGAATACGATTGATGTGACTATTGTATCCTGTCTCCTGAGTGTATGAAGAACTTGTATATATAAAACAATGTATAAAGTTATAACAAGATACTGGCATATTTTGTTCATTTGAAGATACACACGTATTTTCAAAATTGTGGTTATGTGAAATAAAAAATCTTACGTCTTATGAATTTGCTAAGTAATTTTAAAGTAATGTCATTAAAAGAGCTTTTTACAACACAATTTTTAGCAACCCTAACGTAATTTGCTGTTAATAACCTGCTTCGGTAAGATTATGTCTTATATAATAAGGATTATTTGCTTATATTGATGTGTTAATCAGCAACATCTCTAGAGAATAATGAGTAAAGTCAGCTGACTAAGGATGTATTTCGCGACAAGAAAATATTTGAAATTAATGTGAAAATTAAAGAACGAATTAATCATTTTTGCTAAATGGACGAAGAGACGTTTTCCGAAAAAAACTAACAGCTGCAACTATGGAAAAATTTGAACAAAAACTAGCTACCAAAATTTTTTCCAAATGATTTTTTCTTCGGCTTGATCAAGAATCTAAACCTAATAACGATGCAAACCTTACCGCAGGTCCCAGACATAGTCACTTTTTTTTCATGATGGAAACCTGCGTATTGAAGAGTAGTTGAATTGTTCCCCAGGAGGGAAACCGTCATTTATACTGTAGAATAATGTTACAATATTTATATCTTTACACGGACTGACTTTTAGTATTCATAAATAACCTTACTTATCGATATTTACAAACTGGGATGGATTACTGCTATGTTTACAAGATTGATAAAATTGCCTCACAAAGCTTTACAGTTCGATAACCTACAACTATACAACCAACGAAAGAAATATATCACTCTAAAAATACAAATTCGCCATTTTTGATACCGCTTTTAAATGCTGTGCTTTAGTTTGCAAGCAAAATTTTTTTTAGTTTTCTTAGTTTAAATTGAAAACAAAACTTGAAAATGGAGATAAATGATGGTTAAAGTCAATTAAACGCTATTCGTGCACGTCGTTGCTTTGCTTTTTTTGCCGAGGTTTCGCATTGCAGTAGTGATTTCCGCCATATTTTGTGGAATTTTTCCACCATTATCGAGTCAACTACAAACGCTTGCGTCAATAGTGTTTGATTGTGATTTACATGCATTAAATAGAATTTAATAATACGTATTTAAATTTTTGAACTGACTACATACGACAAAACCTTAAAAAAAAGTACTCGTACATCCTGGTAACCAAGAAACAAAGACCGGTTAAAACATAATTTCCGACATTCCTTTTGAAACCAAAAGCTATCAATCGCCAGACATTCACACTTTTCAAACATATCAGACAGCTATCAAAATTCACACGTTTTTCGAATGTGTGGGTGGTGGTTTTGTCTTTTTTCCTAAAAAGTTGCCAATCCATTAGCAACACTTGAAGACAAATTAAGATATTATAAAAAATGACTTCGTTTTGCTACTCAACCAAGTTTTAATAATCTTTCTGTTAGTGTTGATTACCAGGAATCTGTACAAAAAATGAACTATCGCACCTGAAACGTCGTCTTCATTCGTTGATTAACTTAATCCTCAATGTTCCACAACAACCAACATTTATCCACTCATAACAAGCATTCAATGTAATCCCCAAAAACCATGATGTAGCTATCCAGTAATCCGTTTATGACACAACAATAATAGAATCCACATTAACCATGATATTATTTCACAATAACCATCAGTTGAGTCTACTCATGACTTAATTTACGACAGCCATGATTTAATCTACAATAATACATTTGTCTTGTAAGAAATACAAAAAACACAGACTAAAAATCAAGAGACATTATTGAAACAGTTCCCATGATCTTTTAGCTTAGGCAGCTTTGCAAAGTTTATGTTTTTGTTGATTTGGATCACAAAAACTTATGAATGAAAAAAAATTATATTTTGTTGTGCCTGAAACATCGTCTTTAGTCTTTATTCGTTTATTTATGTATTCTAGGACAGCCATGATGTATTACACGACAGACATGAATTCTACAACAGAAAACACCAATGGCAGATCTACGATAGATCAAAGAAAGTTATGAAGCTAATTTTCAATCAAAGATAATTTTTTATAACGACGTTGTCGGCCAGAAGCCTCTTAAGAATACTTAAAGCTAAATTACCAAGCCAATAGAATAAGCTTTACAGCAGAGTGTATCGAAAAATCTAATCATCTTTGAAATGAGCAGACGTCTACAACTCAAGAAAGCATAAATGCAAATAAAACAATTTATAAAACACAATTCTAAGGAACTTTGGAAATTATTTCGAATTTCGTTTGTGCTAACTAACGAAGATATGTACAGAGACAGATATTAATATTATTACAACACGTCAACTTCTAAACGTCTTCTCTTTTATACACTTTGTGCAGCAGCTGCAATACGCAATGAATTATATTAATTTCAATAGCGTTTATAGGGCTTTGGGAGATCAATTAATGCTGAATCATATAATTTCTAAACTTGGGCTGATTTCAAAGATGAATATAGTTTTTTGATTCACTTTGAGCCCAAGGGAACATATATTATTGTCAGGTACGTGCATGTAGTAGTTTTGTGCTTTGCAAAAACATGCATTGTAATGAACAAGTAGGATTATCACAGTTGTCGAGAATCTCCCTTTCCGACGGTAAACACTCGTGTCAAAAATACATGACTAACTACGTGATTAAAAATTCGGACAGTCAAATGGTCGGACACAATATTGTGTATGTAGAGAAGTAGCAAGAAAATAGAAAGAAGAAGCTCTTTGGGCATTTGTAAATCTCATTGTTTGCAGTGGCTTAGGGTCCAGACGTTTCGGGTCGCGACCGCACTCTCCCTGCGTACCCCGAACAAAGCCTATAGCAGGTGATCTCGGGGTCTGATGGGCGGAAGCTTGCTATTGCATCTCCCAAGTAGGATAGCGTGGAGGGGCCGAAATCTCCTACCGAAACGTTAACATGCGGCGTTCTAGTGCCTTACGCTTAAGAAGGTATCGGGAAGCATGGACCGAAAACGGGGTTTTTTATCTTTTTGTTTATCATAAAAGAAACTAAAGCATCCAAGGATACTGCAATGGTTCAAACAACTTCTGCGTTCTTGAATTATAATTTAAGCCAACTCTAAACATGTTTATACGTTTTTTACTACCCTTTTACAATGTAACTTTCTCCTAACTCTCTCGTGATGAACGAAAGCATCCATGGGCTTCATGGAAAAAACGGGGTTATCTTCCTTTTTATAATAGTTTCTACAAAGATAACATTTAACTTGTCATCTGTTCACGAGCCATGCAACTTGTATCGTCTAAATTGAACCTCGTTTTCAACCCTTATGTTATAAAATTTTGATACATTTTGACAGTAAATTTCTTTCTACTTAACAATATTTTCATGACTCAATCTAGAAAGTAACTTCTCTTCTCGAGTAATTTTTCGATTAAACAGAACACCTTTTGGATTCAAGGCACTTCTTTTGATCGGATAGAGACAGCCGTCCAATTTACTACGTAAATTCATGTTCTATATATTTCGTTGTAAGAAACCACCCTACCAAAGAATATCCAGAACTGGTTTTAGCTGCATCGAGCGAAGAAAATTGAAGAATTTTTTTAACTGTTTTTTATGATATTTATGATTCAATGTATCACATAATTCCAGACGCGATTTATGACTGCCTTTGAATACAATTAACACGTATTCTTAATAAGACAATGTTTTATGTTATCATTTAGCGTCATCGTAATTTCATACATTTAAATTTATAGCTATAGTTCAATTTCAAAATTCCATATTTACGTATATAACATGTAAATGATTCTGAAAAGCCAGTTAGGGAGATTTTATCCATCAATAATAGTAATAGTGATCAGTGATTATAAAACAGTGAAAGCAACATGTAATAAAAATGACAGTTCAAAAATTTGTATGGCTTGCTCTTTGTATGGCTTGCGCTTTTTGCGCTTTATCCAGTTGGAATTCGTTAGGATATTCTTATGTCACGCCGTAAAGGCCCGTAATAATCCTTACATAAAATTCATTAGCGCGACAACTTGCCAGTATTCAAGCTCTCCTTCGATCATTATGCTTTTTTCTAACCCAAAATGGCTATAATTTACTGTTATGCCTTCTCCCTTTATAAATAATCGTTCCGAATAACTAGAATCAGATGCACAATTGCCCCAAAACTCAAAAGCATCTTTACCACTCATTTGATCGTCCGAATTTTGTAATTTTATCTCGTATTTTAGACACGCGTGTCTATCGTCAGAAAGATGGATTTAAATTTCACAATATGAGGCATGGTTTTCTTTCCTAGGACATACCCTGAAAGTCTTTTAAATTGGAAAAACAAATTTAGTAATGTATTAAGACTTACCTAAAATGCATGACAGCCAAAAAGGCAGACAACCATAACAAAAATGACTACCATGTTGTATTCCACGACTGTAAAGATGCATAGCACGATAACTAGCTACATTGTACTCTACGAAAACCATGTTGTATCTCATGACAGCAATGATGTGTTCTAACACAATCATTATGTATTTCACGACATCAAAAACATCTACCATTACAACTAGGTTGTGTTCACGACATCAAAGACCAGTGATGCGGATCTATAGTAAGTAGAGCTTTATTTTAAATTCAAAATACTTTTGTACCAACGCTATTCGTTAGAAATTTATAAAGAATAATTATTTATTCTTTACTACAATTTTCCCAGTGGGATTAGCTGTAAAGTGTTTTTAATTTGGAAAAAAAATCGAGCAATGTATTCTGATCTTACCAAGATTCCATTATTAATGTGTTCCATCACAGCAAAAATGTCTATCATGAAAAGCAAGTTGTATTTCACCACAGCAGATGTGATGTGCAGTGCAGACTGGAAGAGCGCGAAAACTTTAAACATTACTTCAACACGTGTCTGTCACACCATCTAAAGTCCACTCTTTCCCAGCCTCTTCATCTTGAACACGGACATAAATTGGCGCCTGATTTGTTTTGCTCGCACTTCAAACAAAAATTTTCCCCAAAAAACTTTTCGCAAAAGCACTCTCAACACGAAAAAACCAGACCAAGAGACAATGCATGCTCGACACAAACGTTTTTTACGGTTTACTAACATCCTCTTGCCTTGAAATCTTCGCTATTTTGCCAAAACTTTAATGGCAACTCGCTTTGGCAAGACTGTTAGTTTACAAATTCGTGTCAAAACGTAAAATATTCGGCAAAACTTTTCTTCCAAGCGTTCTAAAACTATGCCTAAGCTATAAACTCATGTAAAACTGTCAAAAAATAATGGTACCAAATCGAAATTTTTAATTTTTAGAGCGTGCGGGATAGACCACATGCGAACGCGGAACAACCAGCACGCTCTAGAGACTAAATTTCATAAAAATACCAAAAAATAAGGCTTATAAGATACAAAAACCTTACCTCCATGTCATACATTGTCGTTCAATTCGAACTAATGGACTTTTGAGTAATTTTATAAGTCTTTCAAAGCGAGCTTCAACCAAATTCTCTCTTCGAGCGCGCAGTAAGAAATGAAACAATAACATTTAACAATATCATTCTAGATCTTGTCAATCATTTCGTCATCTCATAGCACTGTTTTCATTGGTTGGCTTTACTCATTGGATGACGCAAGCTACTTTACGATAAGCTAACGTTTTTGGAGCCTTTGAGTTACCAAAGATAAAATATCAAAGTAAAACATGATTATACCAATTTATTGCCAAAATATACTAGCACACAGAAAAACACAACAAGTGATTTTCATGTAAGGGCTATTGATTCACCCACTCCAGTCAAAGGAGTAAACAGGTAATTACCCTTCTACCTAATTTATCGTTACATCTTCAATACAGTATATTGAATGTGTTGAGAAGATCAATTACAAAATGGTAATTCGAGGTCACCTTCAACACTGTCAGTTAGTATTCTGTCCTATTTACTACATATATAGACATAAGCTTAAATAAACAAAGTGTTACACTTTGAAAAATCCTAATGGCTAATTCTTCAAAGTGTTAATGGTTGCAATGTTTACAGTTCCTTCTCTCTGGTGATCATCGCTTTGATTCCGTTGTACATATCTTGAACAAGCTGAACCTCTGATCGACCCAAACGCCTCTTGTTTGAGATATCATAGACGCCTCCAACAGATCCTGAGTGTTCACCGTGTATTCCTCGAATCTGGACGTAGTATTTATCAGCAATAGCTTGAAATTCATCCTTTCTTTTAGCCAGCTTTGGTAACTTGATGTGAACAGAAGCTCTAAGAGCAGTTCCAAGATTCGTTGGACATGAAGTGATGTATCCCAGATGTTCATCATGAGAGAATTTTGCAACTGATTCAATATGATTAGCTGCACGACTTAGACGTTCAAAAACTGCCAGTATATCAGCGCCCTTTTGCATCGAAATTATTCTCAACTGATCTTCTTCGTTCACCCAAACCAAGAACGTTTTATCGGCATTATGAAAGATACCACGACCAGATGGCCAATCTCTGTTGCAACCACATGCTTCAAGGAACCTATCACCTTCCCTAAAACAAACAGTTAATGAAATGATTAAAAAGTTTCCTTTCCTGTTATTGAACAAGTTGATCTTACTTGAAAAGAAAATGATCAGCGATCAATTGATTTTTTGTTTTCTCATCCATTCCTTCCAATGCATAAAAAGTTCCTTTCAAATCTCCAACAAAAGTCGAGCAAGCCCTAACAACCTTATGAAACAAAAGATACATGCAGTTACCATCGACCAAAAAAGTAATAAAGCAGAAAGTTGCATGGATAAATAAATAGAAGAATTAAACCTTTTCCATTATTTCATGTCGTTGTTCTTTTGTCACGCCAGGAGCCAAAGGATAACCTTCAAGGTTCCGACCAACTCTGATGCGTGTAGAGACAATCATGGCTGCTTCATCAGACATTAGTGGTGGACATCGAAGTTTACTTGCGTCCATATCTGACACGTGCTTGTCTTCCGGCTTGTGTTTGTGATAGTAAGCAATGATCTGATCCATGAGATCGGAAAAGACTTTGTAACTGTCGTGTGAGCCTGCATACACTCCAATGCCGGAGTCAAGATTCTTGACACCAGAGAAAATGCACAACTTATATGGAACATTATAGGCGTCTCTCTTGTCTTTATACTTTTCCCAGATTTCACGAGTATTGAACTTAGACAAAAGTGATTTAGTGCCTTCAGGAAAAACTGGGTACCCAGTTAAATCATCAATACTGTTTAAGTGAAGCCCACATGGCACATTTGGAGTAGACATAGTTCACTGTAGAAGATATGAAGAAAAAGAACTTGGCGTTTGACTAATTAGTGAACAGCAGATATCAGAGTACAACATTTGATATTCTAATCAAGTAAAAGAGTGTATAAGTTAGTATTTGAATGGAGACGATAAACCTTTCAAAAACACCTTAGGTCTCCAGGGTTTCTTGACTTTCTGCTTGTTAATCAGGGTTATTCGTGCATTGTTGGACAAAGTCTACAATCCTACTTTCGCATTATTTAGTCAAAAATTTAGACAGGTAAGTTTATCTTCGACAAACAAAAAAGGATGAAATCAACTTAGTAGAGACATAACTAATTTGAATGGCTTTCATAATTGAGAGAATGCGACAAGAGCAGTGAATTTATCCTTTCTAAAGTCCATCTAATGAAAAAGATCTTCAGGCAAAGAGTGGAAATTTTTTGTAAGGCGAAACGACTTTATGTATTCATACCACATAACAACATACATCCAAGGAATGCAATACAAAACGAAAAACAAACCAATAACGTACTGATAACCGTATGAAATGAATATAATTACGATTCTGTACATTAAAAGAACGAGCTCATTCCAATCATCAACCTACCACTTATCAATCTTTATACATTATGAAAATAAATATATTTCTATTACATACGGTCGTCCACAAAAGAAAAATTATTGAAAAACAACTTTCAATACCATTATCTGCTGCGGGGTGCCATCAAAGAGAAAGTGGGGCAAACGACGTATATAAGAAAAACACTTACCTAGTTTTCTTTTTTGGAGAAATAAAGACAAATATCAACAGCAGTAAACAGATGAACGCACCTTCAAGTATAAACTGATCGAAATGATATCGTTAATTAAGCTACGCAGAAAAGTCTAACTTGTTCTTCAAGCTCCGCCTACAACTGTCAATCCTACCTTGAACGGCTTGAGGTGTCCACTAAAGTATATGAAGTTACTCTACCTATCAATAAAAAGTCTGTGTATTCTCCACAAAGACATTTTATTGTTCCGAAGAAAAGTCAATAAACTTGCAAACTTTCGAAATAAAAAGTAAGTTCGGTATTGTACAGACGTCTCTTCAATATTTCCATTAATATTCCAGTTAAGACAAAAAAAAAAGCTAACCATGGGGGTCAATAAACACGACTTATATTTTCAATCAATATTCATGCAGTAAAGCCTACTAAGTCCGCTAAAAAGACGAGATAATGCAAGCAGACGTATTAAACAATACAAGGATTTGCAGTAACCAGGACAAGCAGACAATTTTAAGTAAAACAAAATAAAACAAATTCCGAAAACGGACATCTCGTTTTCTTGATATTCAAGATAATACAAGAGTTTGAAACAAAAGATGGTGTAATATTTCGTCTTTGTTCCAAAGACATCATCAATCATTAGTCTGATGATGTCTTTGGAATAAAGACAAAGTATTACACCATCTTTTGTTTCAAACTCTTGTATTGTCGTGAATATCAAGAAAACGAGATGTCCGTTCAGGATTTGCAGTGATTTACAATTATTTGCATTAATATACAAATAGTTGGCAATAATGGTAATGTGTGCTTATCATATCAATAGTAGAACACATAACATGTTTTTTGTGACTATGTTAGTTGAACTGTGAAGTCTTAGGCTATATAGTAACCGATTTAAAGACGTAATATCACATACCAAATTTATAAAAAATAACTGGCGATTTTTTTTAAAATAAGACGATCACAAAAAAACTACAACTACAGGACGATCATTTGGTATTGCAAAATTTCAGTAAATCTTTAGTCTTCATTGACAAAAAGTGTGATTGTCGACATTTTATTGAGCCGACTTTAATAGTTCTGAGGACAAACAGGACGGTAACATAAGAAAACATGGCTAAATGAATGTTTTGAGAAATACTTCCACCAATTTGAATAATTTTACCTCTTTCTCGTCACTACCCTCCCAATGTTCAGATCGCGAACGGTTTAAAGATCTGCTTGTAGAGCGCACAGACTTTGGAGTAGAGCCTGGAGAAGGTGAGTAACCACGTCTCCCAAAATGTCTTAGGACACCGCGAAGGAATGGCTCCTAAGGAGAAATGAGTTATGGTACTAATTTGATGCAAGAACAAGACAAAACTAGCCAGTAGCTTACCAATTCGCTTCCAAGTTTTCGTTTCAGAAGTTGCTTGTTTGCATGTTCAACTCGTGGGTCTTTGAGATAGAGCAATGCTTGCGATAAAATAAGTATGATGGAATTGTCCATGGCAAAGTTAACAGAAGATCTGTAAGTAAGACAAATATTATGTCGAATCAAGAAAAAATTCTTTCAGAAAAAGGAAGGCAAAAAAGAAGACGATGTAATTGAACTTACTTGGCTAAAGCTGAACTTAAAGCTTGAAATTTCCAAGGAGATCTATCAGGAGAGGAAAGAGGTCTTGGATCAGCCTATATTGACACAAAGAGTAATTTTTTGATTATTGAACATTTCTCTCTCCCATCCATAGTCCTACAGGTGACACACATATCCCATAAAATATACAGGAAGATTATTGAACATTTCTCTCTCCCATCCATAGTCCTACAGGTGACACACATATCCCATAAAATATACAGGAAGATTATTGAACATTTCTCTCTCCCATCCATAGTCCTACAGGTGACACACATATCCCATAAAATATACAGGAAGATTATTGAACATTCCTCTCCATCCATTGTCCTACAGGTGACACACATATCCCATAAGATATACAGGAAGATTATTGAACATTCCTCTCTCCCATCTATATTGCATACAATCCAGAAGAAGACCCACCTCCTGCATGTATCCTAGACAGAGGTTTAAACAGGATAAAAGCGTCCCAAAACCAGGAGATCTTTCATTATCCAACGCAGGCGCACTAAACGTTAGTGTGAACAGCGGTGTGTATTCATCAATGTCCATGCCTTCATCAAGGAGCAATTCACAAATATTTGGAGTGAAGTTTCGTTGAAATGCCATTACATTACAAACGATACGAAGTAATCTGAGAAGGGAACGTTTCGTTTCATTTTAAGTTGTAAATTTTGAACAAAGATTTCAACTGCCCTTCATAACATTAAATTCAACAACTCACTCACGTTTTCTGTGTTTCAACAACAACAGGATTTTGTTTTTCTAGAGGTTCATCAGGAGAAGAAAATGGACGTAACAAGTCCCTGGTCGTCGATAAACTTTGCGACAGTTTTCTTTTTGATACAGAGCTTGGATCAGAAAGTTTTGAAAAATCACGTGGTTTCTATTAGATAATCATTTTCAAGGCAATCCGTCAAATACTTTAGTTTGAAGTGAAAAACAAATTGAAAAGCTATTTCTTGCCTCTATAACATACGCCAGAAGTCGTGGTCTGATCAAAACAGCAATACAATTATGAAGAAGACATGATGATGAATGTATTATCTGTTGAAATGCTTGAGGTAAAGTAAGTTGCCATTCCTTACGATATTCTGACAACTCAATGATAAACACTGTGATATATTCAACTTCTTTAAGACATAAGGATTTGAGCTCGTCACCTACCATATCCATTACCTAAATAATAAGTATTTGTCGTTGGTCAGCAGTCAGTTTCATTAAGGAAAAGAAGCAAAATAAGAGATACTGTATATGATGTTACAACAAAATACATTTCTAACCTCGACAATCCTGCAGCAATGGACAGCCACGAAATCAAGACATTCTTTCAAGAACTGATATCGTAACTTACGAAGCAGAGTCGCCATGACGACAAGAGAACAACACCAGATTTTCAACCACTTATCACGAGACTCAGAACATTTATCTGACTGCAACAACACAAAGAAAATTTTATGCTTGTGATAATCTTACAGATATGAAACACGAAACAAAAGACACCTGAGATGAATTTTCACAGTCGATTTTCTTCAGTAAAGAGAACATTCCAAGACAAAGAGGTTGAACAAGTTTGTTTAAACAGAGTGATTGGGATGTCTGCAGAATGAGTTTATATAATTCTTTTCATAAAATAAAAATAAAACAAACATATTGAACGATTTTGTCTTTACTTGTAAGTAGTTTGCCAATGAAAGGATAAAATGTATAGCAGAGTCAATAACTTCAACATTTTCCATTTTCTATAAAATGCAATAAAAAAAAGTGAAGACAAAGGATAGTTACATAAATGAAAAACAACATTCAGAAAATTTACCTTTAAATTAACGTCAAAGATATTCACAATATTGTCATATAACGCATGCTCTGTGAAGACTTGATGCCATTTAACAGGCTCCTTGACAAACGTCACAATTTCATTAAGAAGACTTAATGACACTGAAAAACACTACATGAAGAAGAGAAACGCTTAGTTATATGCAACAAAAAGAACCATTATTTGAAAGAGAAACTATGTAAATGGATTGAAAAAAGAATAACTATATTCAATTCATAATCATACATACTCACCCTTATTTGTTGATGGCACTGTTTCTCTTCTTTAGGTTCATTGCGATACTGCAACATTTCACACATTAAAGGCAGCAGCAACAACAAATATTCGCTCGTTTCCTCTACGATAACAGAAAATATTATCCCATCACGTAAAATACATCATCAAAATACGCACACATTTGTATTCAGAGCTTACCCCGGTCCTCTATTTTCGTGTTTTGTAACAAGAGAGACAACGAGGAAAAAAGTGAGACACGCAAGTGAGTTACTATCTTTGAGTCTGTTTTCTCAGCAGTTGTGATTGTGGCAACGATGGACTCTATTAGATCTAATGATGACTGGGCAGCTCTGAATAAAAAAAATACACTATGTAATAGTTGTAATCACAGACAAAGAAAAACACGCCCAACATATTTGGAAGTTATAGAAAATAAACTTTTTGAATGCAAACATGTCTAGATATAATATGTGTCATAAACAGCTTGACATTACTATTGTAAATAAATCCTTCCCTCTGCATTACTTGTTTTTTTGTATATGAAATATTACGTAATATCACTATCATAAATTATCATGTATTTAAATATTTTATTTGCTATGAGCTGAACCTATGTATGGTGAAACAAGATTACATCAAAAAGATTAGACATATATTTAAGATGTCTTTTTCATGTCATGGTGCCACGCAAATATAAAAACCATTTTATTTCATATCAAACATCCATACTTGATCCATTTTCGAAGCAACATTAAGAAAAAGGAACATTTTTCGACAATCATTTTCATAGTAGTTTCGTCAATTCCTTCTTCGAGCTAAATAAATTTTAATCTTGATCATTTAATAATGTTAAAAACCCTTTACGAAATCATTTATCCCTACATGATTCCTTATAGATCTCGTTATGTCCATCAATATCATCATTTGAGCATTTTTATCGTTGAGCAGCACACTGGAAAACTGGATGATTGACATTTGTAAGAAGCAGATTTTGAGATGAGAAATAAAATTAATTTGAGTAGAAAAACCTCTGTAAGGACCATCAAAAATGTTCGCCATGACTTTTGAAAGTTTAGACATGCTTCAATCATTTCTTTCCTTTCATCGACGTTACAAAACAACCACGGAGAGATAGAATACTTGTAAAATATAAAAAAGATCTGTCATGACGTCATGTCATAAACCGAAAAACAAAGAACAGAAAAAGAATGTTATAGCAACCTGTTTCATCATGTACTCATATCTTCTTTTTGCTTCAAAAATTTCCAAGACCTTCTTCAACTCTGCGTCTAGTTCATCACTGACGTATATTAAAAATGATTACAGAATTACGTAGCAACGAGAACTAAACATTTTACAATGTCATGGAGCTAAACACCTTTTGATGTAAAACAACTCATGCGCAATAATCTGTAACACATATGATCGGATTTGAATGTGAGAGATCAACATCTAAAAAGTATTGAAAGTTAACAAAAAACGCTCACATTTTATGAGAGCTATCGTAGCAACCTTTTTAGTTCAACCTTGTGAGCCAGTACCTTATCTGAATCATCAAGATCTTCCATAAGATATTGTGATAGTGTTGTCCAAAATTTTTCTCTATAGAACCATAAAAACAAAGAAATAAGCATTCTTCTTTGTTATTTTCATGGTCATTAAAATAAAGGCTTACGATTTCTTTACTGTCGTCATGGCAACATGACGTCGGTTCCTCCACAAAGAGTAAAGAAAGCTGTAAGAGGCTGCTACAACAGGAGCAGGATTCTGATAAGGAAATAGAAACATGAACTCAGGGAAAAAAAGAACCAAAACATGTTACAACATGCAATGATCGTTTACTTTATGGTTTAAATTTGTAAGAAGTGACTTGAGACAACTATTTGAGCCAAATTCCTAAAAAGAAACGACACATTTATGCATATCAATAATCCGTTTTGCAGAAAAGTGACAAAGCAACTGCGTTTAAGAAAAATCTTTGATAAATACGTTCACAATAATTGACGATGAACTGAAATCAAAGAAGATTTCCAATAATCCAGGTTGAGTAGACACAACGGCTGATAAAAAATCCAAAATGGCAACTTTCAACATTGTATCCTAAGAAAAAACTTATTTTAATAAAATAAATTATTAGAAACGTGTTACTGTTTTAGATAGTCACCTCAGTATACGATGTCAATTTATTGATGATAGCATCTCTAAGGCTCTTCGTTTGAGATCCCAGATTACACAACATTGACATTGGAGATAACTAAGAGAAACACAGGAGTGAAGGTTTAATTGAAGACCCTAGTTTGGGTGATATATGTGTACTTACGAAAGATATCTTTCGGAGTAATTTCATCGCTAATACTGGTATATCATTATCTTCTTTTATGTACAAATATGAAGCAACAGTTCCAATAAGGTGAACTCCATCTAGCGTACATAAAAACAGGCTAACATAACGTTTTTGCTGTTTTAGAACGTTCTTACGGTTAATCAAAATATCGACTAATGCCGAGTTATACCTGAGCTATCACCGTTGAACTTTCGAGTGACTTGTGTAATTAATGAGTTCTCCAAGGGTGAAATGTCTACCTCATCACAACGATAAGTCTACATAATTACAAATAAAATATAATAAGAAGTAATTATGCACAATTACAAAAGACTCTTTACCTTTGGTCTTCTGTCTAAAACTTCATTTACAACCATTAACGAGAACTTAACAAGATTTAGAACAACTCCAGCTGAACTGAAATGTAGACAACATATAAAATGCACATACATGTCTTAATATAATCAAAGTCCACCATGATAACGAGGCTTTTTAATATTGATTTAAAAAAACTTTGATATTAAATCATGAAATGTACAATGTTCATATCGTTGAATCAAACGAATCTTACCTTTGTGGCAATAAAGAGACTTTATCGACAACTTCAATACCTATTCCAACAATTTTAATCAACGTTTGTCCAACATCTGACCACAGCATTCCTTCAATGAGCATCCTAGCGACTCTCAAAACGTGAGTTTTACTATAAAAGAAACAATCGATAGTTGAAAAGGGTTAAGAACAATAAACAGAGGTTAGGAAAATTCCTTCACCTTTTGGATTGTGTTACGTTGGTAAATGAACTATCAAATGATGTGCCAAATGTCTTCTCATTTTCATCATTTTCTTTTAAACATAGAATTCCATGAAATATTTCTAAGCATTTTAAGCCTGGGATGAACAAAAACGAATTTATTTGATAGCAATTATAAAATGAATTTGTACAAGCAGTGACTCATTAAATTAAACTCTTCGACATAATTACCTATCTCTTGCTTCTCTTTAAGGTTATTGTAAAACCATTTCTGGTAACCAGTAAATATTTCACGACACACAAACACAATACAAGCAACAAAATCATTGATTTTTGACCCATTCGTTGCTTCTGCACAACACATTCCTGGCAAAAACTCTTTGATGATGTCCAAAGTTGCTAGGGTTACTGGATAATGTCCACGTGAACGTTCACGAGGCAATACGTGGCCAAAATGTCCCGGATCAATTGTCACTGAACTGAACAAAAAAGAAGCATGTCAGATACAACAGACGTCAAATGTTAACTGGATTAAAGCTTCTACGTAAAAGCTCCAATGAAAACATAAATGACAATGCGCATTTAAAACACCTCATTAAAATTTTCTCGTCACTCGGTTGTAATGAAGTAACACAAAATGGAAGAAAACCAGTCTGTTGAAAACTCAACCATGACTAAAGAAGACGAATAATAATTGTATAACAAAACAATATGACACAAAGAGAAGCAGGCAGAAGGAGAGAGGTGGGTGCAGAGGGGGAAGGATAGTGAAGGAACGAGATTCAGGAAAGGGAAAACTGGGAAAAGAAAATAAGAGAAAAAGAGTAATGGAGGGAAGGGGAATAAAAGATAGAAAGTGAGGAGATGATATGGAAGGAAGGACAATGAAAAATTGCTGCTGACGGAGTGAGAATGAAGCAGAGTGAAAGAATAAAAATGAGAGACAAAAATAGGGAAGGTATTGTAGGGAGAGTAACAAGATGATGAAGATTGAAGAAGAAGAGAAAGAAACGTAAATGAAAATATACACATTACCTGAACGGTTTCATATGATGTGACAATAACAAGACACTTTAAACAGGAAACAAGCAACTCAAGAGGACAGTTAGGGTTAGCAGAGAATCTGTAAACAAATCAACATAAGAAAATGGCAAAACTAAATTGAAGAAAAATTGTGTGTGATGACTTACTTTTGTACGATATAGTAGACCCTATCGATAAGACTAACCAAAGATATTATCTTACTCCAGTTATATAGCAATACATTATGTAATATTTCAATAACATCAAGTACTTTCTTCACCATCTCATGTCTTTCACGATCTGAACAAAATCAATACGTATATGCATCATAGAGAACGTGGAAACCAGTTTAGATTTTTAACTGACCTGAGCTGTGAGGTACATATTGAAGAAAATAATCTAGTTCAAGTAAAATAACTGCCAACAAGAATACTTTAAAGACCACTGAAGTAAATGGGCGCCTGTATAAAATCAAATCAAATCATACAAAATAATACTGTGAACACCAAGTTCCCCTACTAAAACATTGAAGCATTTCCTATGAATATATATTTAGTAATCAAACCTTCATTTGATGTAGTAACTTTTCCAACAGTTCCCATTGGAATTACGATTTTATCTGCCGTTGACACAACTATAAGTTAAACGCACAAAGTTAAAATCTTTTTTTTCAAATCTACGCCAGCTTTCATACATTGTCAGCTATATGATTGCTATTCAAGATAGCAAGAGTATGTTCTGTTGTCTTAACCATAGAAAAGTTTACGCAATCCTGAAGTCAATAATGTTTTTACCAGACTTGTAGAGAATCTTTGCATTGATCAATTTCCACGATGTTTTATCCGAGTCAACACAATCGACATCTTCCAAACTGTTCAAACTTAAGAGTTCAGTGTAGAATTTCATGTTATCCAAGTAATGAAAAACCTTACAAGAGATAAAAAAAACAAGTTAACTATTTTAAAATTTAACTTTTGTTAAAATCCTGCTATAATAACACACATTTTCACTACTGTTCTCATCCATAGCAAGCGAAGCCATAATCTGTGCGAAAGGTGAGAAATTATAGGGAAACCTGGTGAAAAAGGATTTGTTCTAGTTTTTATCATGTTTTAAATAACAATATAAAACAGTAAACTAAACTTTTACTTTTCAGTGGCGGACTTTAAAAGCATTGCCATACCACAATTTAGACTCTGTGAAAACAGAAATCAAATTTTGAAAATTATTGCAACGTTTAGACAAAATATTTCATTCGTAATCTTACACTATTCCAAAATTTTCACACAGCTCCGAGTTCCGTAATGTTTCCTTTAACACAGCAATTATCATCTAAAAAAGCGAAGATAAAGCAGGGAAAGTTTAGTCCTAGAGAAGAAAAAATCTGAAGAGAAAAGAAGAAAATAATATACCACAGGATCTCCTAAGGTCGTCTCATGAAACAATGTTAAAACAATAGACAGTAGGTCATAAACAGTAGATCTTGATGAATTTGAGAGGATCTAGCTCAGGAAAAATAATACAAGAATAAATAAAACAGACATTGATATATTTATATAAAAGTCTCTTTCCTTACTTCATCATCAAGAAATGGAGAAGATTTGATAAGATTAAATAAGTAAGGAAAGACGCCACATTGTAACGCCCGACTTCCCAACATTTGTACAATCTTAAATGAAAATGAAATATTCATTAATCGTGTACTATTTTAAAAATGATTGTTGCTTCATTATCTATGTACATTTGGCGTGTCTACGTCATCGTCCATCACTGTGAATCTGACCGCAGCCCACGCTAGCATAACTGGAGAGTGATGTACAAGGTCTCCCCATTTAAGAAATATTTTCTCCAATTGCTGTTAGGATAAAACAAAAGTTATTGTGTACACATATCCATCATCATCACCCATAATACACACATATACCTTCTTGTCTTTTATTTTGCCAATTACATGATCTTCAAGACTAAAAAGCAAAATTCATGACAAAACATAAAAAACATAACAAGTCCTCAATCAATAAAAATCTAAAATGGTTCAAAAGTACCTTTGCTCTTCAACATGCTTGATTAAAGTATGTAATTTCATTCCTTCCAGCAAAATCATTACTTGAAGAAATCTAATAAAAGCAATGAATCATTTGTTAGTCCATGTCATGTAAAATATACATGATCAAAGAAAGGTTATAATGACAAACCCGATCTGTGGAATCATGAGCTTGGTATATCCATCAAAGGAATGTCTGTTCAGTTGTCTGGTACCAAATACCTGAGACTATTAGAAGAGAAAAAATTTTTTAGTTTACAGCAAACCTGTTTCTCACCACTCTTCTATGATTGGCCAGACTAAGTCATGAATTTGACAATGGAGAAGCTGCAATCAGTGATTAGCTCCTTTCAAAAAATTTCATAGTTTCAAGAAACATATGTGTAATGTATGTCTTATTGTAAATGGGACTACTTTCATGATAAATTTAGAATAAAATAAGAAAAATTTATTAAAAATTTATACATGTAACCATGGATGGATTAACAATGGTGTGTGTGTGGGGCGGGGTGAGGCGAGGGTGTAGGGTGAGGTAGGTGTGTGTGTGGTTGGGGTGTTAGATAAGGTGGGGGTGGGGGTGAGGTGAGAATGTGTGTGTGTGTGTGTGTGTGAGGAGGTGTGGGGTGGGGTGGGGTTCTTCTCCAGTTTATATATTAGTTTTGGAGGCTTCTCCTTGCCTAACCTTGTCCAACTTTTTTGTTAAATTCTGTAACCTTTTTATATTGATTTGGAGATATTTTAAAGTACAATCTTTTGAAAACTTATCACAATTGTTTTGCTTAATTACTTGCTATAAAAATCAGCAAACCTCCTCCAAGCCCATCCTCTAAATCTTCCCTGCATATAATACAATCAATCTAAATATATTTTATGACAAAGTTAGATAATTACCTGAAACAAGGCTACTACTGAAAGCAAAGATTTTGAAGGGTTATCAAAATGTTTGTATAAAAGATAAAGAAGACGAAGAACACCAATCTACAAAATGTAAGACAACAAGAAGTTATAAAACTACTCCTTGAGAAAATCATCTACTACTTTCATACACCTGTTCATTAAGTAACTGCCGTGCAAATCTGTGTGAATGCCTTTTGACCTACAAATATAAAACAAAGGACCTTTTAAAGGGATAAAATATACAAATTGAGAGGAAAGTATCAGTTAAATATGAAGTTTACCATATCTAGATGATCACCCATAGGTAAATGAATAGGTGTTTGACAAGAAGTCTGGTAGACATGCCACATCTGAAACACAAGGAAACAGCAATAAAAAAAATATTATATGAAAATTACTAATTCCTTATCATGTTACAAACTGTAAACTCTTACCTCTGTAAATATTTCCATATCTTTCATAATATCATCCAGAAACTGCACAAAAATTTCCTGAAATGAAGCAACATAAATTTTACGTCCTGTAAAACATAACAATAATAAAAGAAAATTTAAACCTGGTAAGGATGTGAAGAATTTTGTGATTGGATAATTATCACTTCAAGACATTTTAATATAGAGTTTCTCTCGTCAAAGTAATACTCCATTACCTAAATAATGAAATACAGCATCAAAAAATGTACAATTAATCTTTAGACATAATCAAAACAACCTTTATTAGTAAGGTCTCCATGAGAATCTCATGTTGAAGAATTTCCTTAACAACATAATGTAAAAAATTGAGAAACATTGAATCACATGACAAAGTAAAAATTGAAAAAAATAACTTGAAGTTGCTCTTTTGATTCTCTGAATGAGTTTTGAAGATAACTATAAAACAACTTCAGACTCTGTAACTCATCAAGATCCTAAATCATAAAAAAGTCTCATTGAGTACATAAGCATAGAAATAAATATACATTTTAAAATTTCCTTACAATAAACTTGCTGAGTTTCAATGTAAAATTCCTTTGTAATTGTTTCACTTTTGTCTCTTGTTCCAACTTTTCTTTTGATGTATTACTAAAATAATATATCATCAATTTGTATAATTGCACTTATTAACTCCTTTCAGAGATTTTTTAATGACTTGAAATCTTTCCTACTTTGGTTTTCTGTAATATGATAAGCTCTTCAACAGTATATCCTTATTCTTCTTCAATTCTTCTTCAACATATTCCTGAGTGATATAAAAACAGAAAATGTTTCAGGAAAATAAGTCAATTATTTTGAAAAACTATCATATTTTCAGTTGTGATAAAAATGTAGATTATTGCCAAAGTTTGTCTACAAAACTACACAACATTAATAATAATCATAAATATCTTTAATTTTCCATGAAATTATACTAAAAAACTACATAACAATAGTTGGTTACACAGTACCATCAAGCAAAACTTAAAGTTAGTGACAATTCATTGATAAAAACCATTGTCACTTGTCAGATGAACAAGTCAACAACAGTGAAAACATACATACCTGATTTCTAATATCACACTGATTTGCAAGAATATCCAAAAGTTCGGAAGACCTGGAAATTACTAATTTTAGTAGTTGTAATGTGTAATTTTTAAAGTTTCAATACTGTTTTCTAGACAGTTCATCAGTTTCATACTTAAAAACCATGACCAGCCAACAATTTAAAGAAATATGGTATAAAGCAAATTCCGAAAAAACAAGACATCTTGAGACTGCAAAATATGCATCAAAACAAGACGAGAAGTGAACTGTAAATTTTCGACTTTATTTCAAAGTCATCCTCAGCCAGAATGATATTTGAAACCATACATTCACATAAATATTTACAACGCATGAATTAAGTAACGGAAGTCAAGCAATAGAAATTAAATAGTTTGATATTTACGAAAGCGGAGTTGGAAGAGCTGTCATATATTAAAAGGATGAATTGAAACAAGAGACCAGACTGGTGGAATGAGTGTATTGTAATTTAAGAGAAGAGTTGCAATTCTTTGCTAGCCTTAAGTCCCATGTTCAGAAAAGGTTTGTTGTGTTTGATGAGAAGTGCTTCAAGAAAAGCAAGAATGTGGTAGTTGTTAGATTTGGTTGAGTGAAGTATTTTATAGTTGTTGAATATAAGGTTTTCTATAGGAGGGGGTTCTGGGAAGTGGAGGGAGATCATTGAGTTGTGAGAACTGGTTTTGTAGAGTAGCCAGGAATTGAGCGTTTCATATGTGTATGTATGGTTTTACATATCATTCTGTCTGAGGATGACTTTGAAATAAAGTCGAAAACTTACAGTTCGCTTCTCGTCTTGTTTTGATGCATATTTTGCAATCTCAAGATGTCTTGTTTTTTCGGAATTTGCTTTATACTATAGTGTCATACTTGTTATAAGTAACTTATGCACAGGAAAAAATCTCTAAAAACTATTGAATAGCTAATAAAAAACATACGATATATAATCTTCCATGACTTGGAAAAACTCGATGATTTAATTTTCAACGTAACAATAAAATCGACTGCAAGATAAGTCAATTTCTCTCATCTTGTTAAAGTTTGTACGGCGTCCATTTTCTTAATGCGGTTGATTGGTGTGTCCGCTGTACAGTTGGAAAGACAACTCAGAAGTAAATATAATAAATTATAAAACAGGACTCCGCTCAGAGCCCCACGAAAAGAATAAAAAAATGAAAAATAAATCCTTTGTATGAAAAATTCAATATCTTTTATAGCAGAAACTATGTGATTATAAAAAATTTTCATTCAAGCACATTAAGAAATTTTTCTCAAATATCTCTCCATGATGTGAATCAGGGAATGAAACATTGGGGTGTAAGAAGATTTTGTCGAACAATTCCATTCCATTTCCATCATAATTATAGTCTGTAGAAACCACAAGTAGAAACAGCAGAATATTTTAAAGAACAAACGCATGATGTCATAATCATAAGCAGGTACTTGTAGTCTACAATTATCACAAACATTAAATCTTCCGTTTCTTCTTCCAACATAAAATATGAGGATATTTTTCACTGTCCTTCTCTTTTTCCTAATTGTTCAAGTTTACGGACGACAGAGATGGATGAAAAAACATCGCAAAAATGGAAGGAATGGTTATACCAAAGACCAAATTCTAACAGCAAGTATGTAAGATACAATTTTATGTTGACAGTTGTTAACTGTCCATAAAAATCCAATAGTTTTTTTCTGATCTTTGTTATTTTGATTACATAGGAAATTATAAACACAGTAAGAAAAACCGTTTTGACGAACTGGATGCTTTGCCTTATTCATCACCACTCTCTCGACCTTATAATTTTAACATGTACATAGATGGTCCTTACGGCTGGGGGCCTGCGAGACGTCGACGTAACATTAACAGGTATAGTCAGTAGAAATTTTGATCTTTATCAGTGTCTAGAACTAAAGGAAATTTTTCTTGGAAATATTTTCAATAGTTACCAAACAGGTTCTCATCCAATTCAAAACAGTCAACAGTTCAATAATCTTCCAGCTCTCCCTGCTGTATATCATCAACGTCAGCCATATAATTATCAAAATTTTCAAAGTCGCAATAAGATAAATCATCCTAGTCAATTGTCTGTCAAACAACTGCTACCAGAGGCTCCTAAAGTGCAGCAACCTGCAGAAAGGACATGGGTGGACAAGATGGGAGTGACGTGGACGACAAGGAAGGTTAATGATTACAAATGGGGCGAACGAGAACCCGGAATAATGATGGATGAGTACGCAGGGGGTCCTTTTGGGTTCGATGACGTCAAGAGAGATAACATTGAACGGTTAACAGCAAACGAGGTATTTTGTTTTGTATATTTGTCTGGATTATCATGGGGCTTAAAAGCTCTCAAAGATTCAATACCATCTGTAAAGGAAGATTATATGTTTACTGTCTGGCGATATGAAGTTAAAAACACGTTTAACTATGTTTTATACCATTTCATTTTATTTCAGAGATGATCCAAGATTCTCAAGGAAGATATAAGAGAATAAGGAATGCTGTAAACAACGGGATAGTAAATTATTTTAAATGGGGTAAAGGTGAATCTAAGGTGAAAATTTAAAAGATCATTTGGCCAAAAAGATGGGACAAAAATTGCAATATACTTTCTCACAGGTTACAAAAATAGAAACAAACATGTTTCAAAATACATAGAACATCAACATTTAATTTTCACATTTTGTTTCAAAGGATCGTTAAACTTTTAAAACCATGATTGCAATGGCGTCTATGACGTCATAAAAGTAGGAAACATAATGCAACAACAGACGTGGCCTTAATTAAAATTTATGCAAAATTGACATCATAATTATAACAGCACCAATATAGTATCATATGATGTTATTATAACAACAGATGCAGCTTCATGTGATCGTTTCAATTTTCTATTTTTTCTATATTTTGAGACGTGTGTTCATTTACAATAAATATTTGAATATGAGGTTATTTAAATTTCATCATACACCTATGATCGTGTTGTAACAGTAATATGGAAGATTCTCAAGTCTTAAGTGAAGCTGGTGATTCGGCTTGTAGTAAAGAAACAGACGAATCGACACCTTTAACAGGAGAACTCAAATCACAGCCTCCTGGTGGAATAACTACATGGCTTTTTCTTACGACTTTGATAACAATATTTGGATCGTCTTTTCAGTTTGGTTATAATGTCGCAGTTGTGAATACACCAGAGAAGGTGTGCAGTCGGTTTTGAAAAAAATCTTTATTGACATTACTTCGTTTGCCATGTTTATAATTGTGCTATATGGAGATACTTTCTTAGATAAGTGAATATTCTGGTAGCTCATATAAATACACGTAGACTAGATATGAATCATGTGATATGACGCAACTATTTTGTACAGTTACAGCACCCGTAACAAAAATATATGGCTTTTGCTTTTATAGAATTGAGAAAAGTACAAAGTGTTTATAGTTGTAACTCTTGACATTTCTTAAACCCTGACTTTCGATGTTGAATCACTGTGTTTACAATATCATTAATGCCTTTAGATTGATATAAAGAAACAACCATAACGCGTTGAGAAAAGATTATTTTAGCAAAAGAAAATAAATATTTTCTTCTCAACAGCATTGTCAAAAGCAACCTTATTTAACTAAATTTTACTCAAAATATTAGCTTTCCTCCTGGAAGGTTAGCGCTTTGGCACGCTTTTATATCAATCAGTTATGTCATCATTAAACTTAAAACAGATTCGCGTAATAAACGCGTGTGGCATAATTGGTTAAAATTCATTCCAATTTTGATTTAAATATCTGATTTCTCTTGAAGGAAATTCGTCATTATTTTAAAAGTCACAATGTCGCAATAAGTGACATAATTTGGTCGACTGCTGTTTCCATTACATCATTTGGTGGTTTGATTGGAGCAATAATTGGTCCAATTGCAGCTGACATGTTAGGAAGGTAAAATCACATCAATCAAAGTAAAATTTAACATCTCTCTCTTTCATTCTTTCTCATCTTCTTGATTAGGAAAGCGACTCTTCTTTGGGATAACGCAGTTATCATTGTTGGTTGTGTTCTTGTATTTTCCTCTCGTTTTGCACTTTCGACTATTCTTCTTATTTTTGGCCGTTTTATTATTGGCGTAAGCAATGGTAAATAAATCGTTAACTAAGTGTTATAGCAAAAATACTTGAAGAATAAATGCTCTTATTCATAAATTTTACGTTCAGGTATAGTTACCGTTGTAGTGCCAATGTATTTGTCTGAAATATCTCCCACAAATTTACGTGGTGCTGTTGGTACATTAAATCAGTTTGGTATTGTTTTTGGAATGCTTATTGCCAACATTCTTGGACTTCATCAGGTATTTTTACCATTTTTAATCTTCTGAAGTGGAAAATTTAATTTTATCAATGTTCACGATGTTTATTCAGATTCTTGGTACATCAAAAAGTTGGCATTATCTATTGTCATTCAGTATTGTTCCAGCTCTGATTCAGATAATTGTTCTTCCCTTTTGTCCTTTAAGTCCACGATATCTTTTAATTACATTAAATAAAGAATCCCTCGCCAGGACAGGTTTGTCGTTTCGTCGTTTGATGAAAACTTTCTTCTGCAAGAAATATTCATGAATTCATATAGTATGATTATGTTCTGTTTTGTAGAAGTTATAAAACTTCAGGGTTCATACAATGTTGAAACAATCATTTCTGAAATGAGGGTTTGTTAATTGATATATCAAATAAAATACTTATCAATCGTATTTAAGAGGATGATTTTTTCTTTAACAGCATGAGAAAGAGACTATATTACAGCAAGGAAAGTTGTCAATATTGCAACTGCTACAAACAAAATCGTTAAGACGCCCTCTGTTGTTGGGTGTTTTACTTCAACTTTCTCAACAGTTTAGTGGTATAAATGCCGTAAGTATTTTTGTATAATTCACATGTTCAGATCACAATATCAACAATACGCTCACTGATTTATACAGTTGATGTTCTACTCAACTTCTACGTTCACAAAAGCGGGAATGTCGAATCCTGATGTGGCAACTTGTGGTGTAGGAACCGTCTCTGTTGTTATGGTCGCTGTATCAGTAAGTTGTCTCTGTATATGGCTATGCTTCTTATCAAAATGCAGTAAATCTCTGGCATTGACTTTCGCAATACTTTTTTTTCACAAGGTGTTTTTGATGGATCGAGTTGGTCGACGTAGTTTGATGTTGATTGGTCTAGCAGGAATGTTTGTTTTCTATGGTATAATTACGATCAGTTATGCTCTACAGGTAATTTCCATAAACTACTAGTCTGTAGTTAAGAATGTAAAAGATCAGTTTCCGACTTTCTCTACGATTCATTTAGGATAAGTATGAAAACTTTAAGTATTTGGCCGTTGCATGTACATTCATCACAATGGCTTTCTTTCAGATTGGACCAGGTAAATTAATGTTATTCAATAGCCTACGGGCAATATCCTCAAGTACAATTTACTACTTATGTTTCATACCAGGTTCCATACCATGGTTCATGGTTGCAGAGTTCTTTTCTCAAGGTCCAAGACCAGCAGCAACTAGTATTTCAGGTTCAGTTAACTGGCTTTCGGGTTTTATCGTGGCTATAACATTTCCTTCCATTCAGGTAGACATCATGGTATTTTACCATAGTATCTTCGTTATTTCACCACAGGATTGTCGGAGGATTTTTCTTATTTTAGGATGTGTTATTTCCTTACGTCTTTATCGTGTTTATGGTCTTTATCCTTGTACTATGGACGCTCATTTTCATCTACGTTCCAGAAACAAAGGGGAAAACATTTGAAGAAATTTCACGAGAATTGTTAATTAATTCCTACGAAGTAAACAATGATACAAATCATAGCGATTGAAACATATTTGTTAAACAGATATTGTTTATCGCATTTTATACGTTAAAATGAATATCTAAAAAGATTAAGAATTTTATTTATATCAGATATTTACAAAATTACAACAATTGTCTTTAGTGGTAATTGTTGTTCTCTGATGTATTTTCCACCATGTTTATTTTAAACTGTTGTTACCAAAGCTGTGGAAGTATTTACTGGCAACATTCCATCATCGCCAACAACTTTTAGTGAATTTATTGACGATGACCGCTGACTGGCTAACGATGACCGCTTACTGGCTAACGATGACCGCTGACTGGCCAACGATGACCGCTTACTCGGTAAAGACGGACGACGATTTACCGAGCGACTACTCGATTGATAATCGAGACTACCAACAGAGTTGTGTTTACTTCTTCTATTGTTAATTGTTTGTTCTTGAGAATAAGATCTTTTCCATAAAACGTTAGCGTCATTCTCTTCATTATCAACAACACTCTCGTGTAATTTGTCATATATTTTATCAAGAGCAGCATAATCTTTGCTGATGCCAGTAAATGAATCACTATTTAATGAAATAGTGTCTTCATTTTGTAAACGTAGATGCTTGATCAATTTATCTGATATTTCTGCGTATAAATGAGAGTCGAAGTCCGCGGTCAAGTTCTGGGAGACTGGGCGAGAATAATAGTCTTCGAGCAGTTCTTCCGACGACGATTGTTTACGAGAAATATCGAAGTCATACGAGCTTCTATTGCTATGAAATGAGAAACGTTTCACGGAATCATGTCGTTTGAAAGGAAGAGGTGGAGGAACGTCGGCCTTTATGTTTTGTGGTACATCATAAATCTCAATGTTCTCGTAAATCTCATCGTGAGAGTCATCTTCATCACTTTGATAGTTCTTCGAATAAGAAACGCGTTTTCTATCAAGTGTGGGGGCTGATTTTACTTTGACTTTGTCGTATAATACATGCAAAGTCCTTTCTTTTTCCATTGAGAGACTAATTCTGTTGTTGTTTCTGTTTGTGAGTTTATGTCGCAAATCAAACTCTGGAAAACTATGACAACGACCATTTGTTGGTACATGAAGATATTGAGAAGTAATTGTTGGTGTATCATAAATGGAGTAATCGACGTTCACAACAGGAACACTGGACCGTTCATTGCTTCGTACGTTATTAACATAAATATTCTCAGTGGAAGAAGACATGTAGAGATTCGATGGTTCAAGGTTATCATCATAAGAAACATTAGATGTAACATCTGATACTTGTGGAACAACGTAAACTTCTTCTGTTACTCCTTGTGATTCATTTGAAAGCAGCAAGGATGACCTATCAATATTTTCGTAAGTCTTCGCTATTTCACTGATGTTTTCATAAGGATGTGCAGATTTTCTATAATTTTCTTTCGATGTTAGATTACTATAGTAACTAGTTCGTTTCAATGGAAGAACAGGACGTGAATCAGGTCCAAAAGAAATTTCTGAATTCATTGAGTCTCTATGACTTTGTTGATCTAACTGCGTATTCATACCAAGAGGAAATGGGAAACATTGCTGTGATGACAATAAATTTCCTTTGTAATTAATTCCTGGAGATATTTGTCGTCCTTGAGCACTGCTACCCGGAATAGATATGGGTTTACTTCCGCTCATGAGCTCATAGTCTTGCGACATCAACGTATCACGGTTGCTATAGTAGCCAGAGTCAGCGCAACTCCTGGGGACGAGTGACGATGAACTGCTATCTGAAATATCCGGGTTCATTACGTCAAAAGGCTCGGTGTTTTCACCAGCTGAAAAATAAGAAAGGAATTGATGATAAGCAAAAACTTTAAAATGCTTTTGCAAAAAAAAAACTCACTTTGATTGTTGGAAGAACTATTTAATGGAATGAGCTTGGTTGGTAAGTTCAGTGGTAACTGTTTTTGAATCAATTGTCTGATAAAAAAAATATTTCACATGAATTCACATTATAAATTGTCTGCTCGAATACAAATTTCGATGATTCTGACCTTTCATCAGACATAACAGATCCCCAATCTGGGGTATCGCCATTACCACGATGAGCGCAATGGGAAAACGAATTATCCAATGGAGGACTGATATCTTTAACTTTTGCAACTCTATAAACAAAAAAAAATTCAATAGATTGTGAAATCTCCAAACTACAACAAAAACAGTAAATGGTATACCTGGTCTTGGACATCGAACCTTTCCTCTTCAGTGTACGTGTCACTAAAAGTGAGATGAAAAAATGGTGAGAAACCAGAACGAGGACACAAAAATAATGTTGCTATAGTTACCTAGTGAAATAGGAAAATAACCAACTTGTGACGTCCTTTTATTTTGACCTTTAGCAAACTCTGTTCCTAATCTTGATCTTAAAAATAAAAATTTTACAAAAAAAGATTTAAAAAATGAAAAACCCGAAAGAGAATTAAAGTGAACATCATTTACGATGTTCGAACATTTTGCTAGAAATAAATCATTCGATATTTTTATCACTTTAATGACTTACTTCCACGAAACAACTGTGATCAAATCCCCAGACTTCGCAAGCAACAGTTCAGTATTCTTCTTGTCTTGCAATTCAAAACAACACGTAACATCTTCAGGAGTGATCTTTGATAAATGCAAAACAAATATTTCACATGCAAAATTAACAAGACGACGATAGAAACCCTCCACTCTTCATCTTCATAATGCCTGCACAAAAAAAATTCACCTCATATAATCTCTCTTGAATTGAAATAAATTTTCCACGATCCTTTGGATTTGGATCCCAACAGTGTTCAATAAGAAGAGAATATAATCTATCAGGACAATGATCTGGTTTTCCTGGTCGCCCATTGGCTGGTTCGTCAATGATTTCAAGGATCTAACATATGAAGAACGTCACAGTGAACTTTTCATTCTTTTTACACTTAAATAAATATTTTTCTAACTTTACCTGAGAACCGCTAAGTCCTTCCCAAGGCTGTCTACCATATGAAAACATTTCAATAACTGTTATACCGAGAGCCCAAACGTCACTGGCATGAGAAAACTCGCGATTCTTAAGGCATTCAGGAGCACACCTAGAAAAGTTTATAAACATCATGACCAAAGCAAAAAATAGTGTTCCCTATGCAGTTCATAACTAACCAGGCCACAGCAATCCTTCCACTTGATTCCATAACATATACGTCGTCTTCCAAGGCAATATTCGCATCAAACCAAAATCACCAATTTTTATCTGACAGGAAAAATGATATATTTTATCATCTTAACATGTTAAGCGTGTATGTTGATATGTTTTACGAGAGAAATATAAAATCAACATTACTTTATCATAGGAGTAAAGAAGAATATTCCTCAAAGCCAAATCTCTATGAACAAATCTTTTAGATTCCAGGTAACTCATTCCTGATACAATTTGCAAAACAAAATCAAATAAAGTCGATATCAAGAATTTCTTGGGTTCCCTTTTCAATCTGTGAAGTAACGATCCTAATGGAGCGAGTTCCAGAACAAGCATAATAGGTGTCGCGAGGACAATGCCGTACAAACGGATCACATTAGGGTGGTTAAGGTCACTCATGGCACTTGCTTCACGCATCAAATTATCTTGCTCTCGAAGAAAAACATCTTTGTCTGAAAACTTTAGATATTTGACCGCCACAGGGATCTATGAAACGTTCAAAAGTACCTTCATCATTTATGAAGAAAATGATAATCGATGACATGCAACACCTCCGGCATCAAAATACAACATTACATAACAACACGCAAACTCCTGTACTTACTTTGGAACCTTTCTTTGGTGCCCATTCTCCTTTACTTACTACACCAAATGCACCGTTACCAAGCTGTCCAGTAAATTTAAGAGAACTTTGACTAATCAAACAAGAATTTCCCTCGGTGAGTTTGTCATTTGACGACTGTGGCGAACCATCTTTCTTTTTTCTCTGTGCAACATAAAACAAAATGTATCTATTTAAAGTTAAAATTCTCTTCATCAGTTATGTAGAATAGTTCATAAAATAATGAAAGTTAGCGATAGTCGTTGGAGAACTTCATATGCGGTACTTATGTTAAAACCACACGTTATCACGAGAATTGCTTTGTAAACAAAGTATGTCATAAGAGATCTTTGTATAAAACAACATGGGTGTGTTACTACATGTGACGGAAAAACACATATTCCACAACCAATATCGACAAACATGCGTTTAATACTTTTCTTATTGTTAGAACAGTTTTACTACATTGATATAAACTGCAATAACAGATTATTATGTAATGAGCAAAGCATTCTTATAAACTACAATAGTCACGAACATTTTACACCGTGATTAATGACCTTCACAAACTACAAATAATTAACGTCAGTTGGCAGTAATTACGTCAAAAAAAAAGGGTTTCATCACATAGGAACAGGAAGATGTAAGGGTACTTAAAGTCATCGATAGTAATATCAAGATTTTATAAGTGAAAACGACCAATAATGATGGGCAAGGTTTTGCGTCAAATATAAACTATTGAATCTTACTCCGTAGGAGGTTTTCTCCTTAGATCTATCAAATACAACCGGAAGTCGTTACGCTTCGTAAACGATGTACGTCACATGATGATATCGTGATAATGAAAGCAGAGAAAATGTTTCAATTAAAAATATTACGTGGAAAACGTGTGCAGTATTGACGAGTATTGTTAAGAGGAATATAGTTGGTTGCTAAAATTAAATAATTATTCCATAACAATATTATGTTTGTACCAAGCATGGAGAGCAGATTTATACGGCTTTAGAAGACATCATACCTTAATATAGTGCAATAGACATATGTGTGACGGGGGATTTTTGTTAAATGTTGAAATAAATTGACATCTTTCTATCAAAATTCTGGAGGATATTTTACTCATTGTGGGAGGAAAAAATTATTCTTCTACGAATGTATTCCTTATCAATCTTTTCTACAATTTTCTAAAGGGAAACTTCATTAGTGACTTTTCATTTCATTGAATGAAGAACGATATGATTTACCTGCATAACGCCACATACACACACGTGTTAAGAAGATCTCAAACAATACAAAAAAACACGTAATGAAAAAAATATTTAAAGAAATGTAGTCACACATAGGCAAATCGATCAACAAAAATGCTTGAGAGCAAAGACAAATAAAAATTTAAAAATCTCAAATGTGAGTGACCACGAATACTTTAATACATTAGCGTTTAATAACATTAACTTTTTGTTTCATTTATAATTGTCTCAATCTACAACAAAATAGTGCTTTTTCCACACAATAATCCTTGGAATAAAGATAATATAGAATTAAAATATCTTAAATTCATCTTCTACATTATCATACCGTAATCAGCTGGCAAGTATAAAACATTAAGCGAGGTATGAGCTGTATTTGTTACTAGGAATGACCGAAGTTTTGAAAGAAGTCGGTTAAAGATATGAAATTTATCATCGCTGTAATAACATTAAGTTTACGATAATACAACAAATTAAAATATGCATGAAAAGTGAAACTTACTCGAAAGCTTATTCTTATTTTGTGTCCTTTCTTCTTTTCTTTCTTATATTTCTTAACAGCATCAAATAATCTTCGTTGTTCAGGTTTAGACATATTGATATCCTCTAAATCACTTTCAGTAACATGATCGAAGTGAGACAATCGTGTCAGATGTAATTCATAATTTATCTTGTGGTAAAATTGTTCCAGTTGTATAGATTGTAGGAATACAAACACATCCACTTCAAGATCCCTTCCACTCATTCTTCGTTTATATATATATGAGATCAGATGATCAATATTCTCAAATCTTCCTCATTACTATTGTAAAAAAAAGCCATCATCTTCAATATCCAACGTCAGACTTTTATTCTGCTTCAATGATCCATATTTCAAATGCAAAGCAAATTCAAAATAACAATAAAATATGGACACGTTATCTCCTAAACGAATGTCTAATTTTAATTTAAATATATATATTAAAGCGTTGGCATTGTTTTGTATTTACGTAGTAAGGAGAAAATGCACTTTGGTCAGTGTTACTAACAATAAAGGAACAATAAGATGACAGCACGTATAAGCTCTACAGAAATATGCAAAGAATGTTAGTGGGCAACAATTTAAACACATACTTTATTTAAACATATCTCACTAAACTCCACAAAAAATGGTATTATCTCAACTTTGCGAGATTTAGTGTCTAAACTGACGTTAGCCAATCATTATCGCCAAGACAACTCCTTTCGACTGTAAAATTAATTTCCGTAGTCTCCTTTATATAGCAAAAGCCGCAAGTGCGTTGGAATTCTGGAATTTTTGGCTTTAGTAAAAAGCTTTTTGTTTACATTGAGTTTTATTTCAAACTTGAAAGAAATCAATATTGCCGTTACGCGGCACCCATTTCGCTTTCTTAAAGGAATTCTATAGAAAGATTTCTTTTTTACTTCCTTCTAATAATCATAAAATGAACGAGAATTCAATTCGTAAATCGTGAGCAACTAAAAAATACCACGCAAAATTTTTTGATCAAAACTTTTCATCGAACAAAGGATTTCAATGTTGCGGAAGTGTTAATGAAAAACAATTTTGTTGTCACGTTCTATGATATTCCATTCATTTTTTCATTTATAAAGGTAGAGGACCTTACCTACACCCTGACAATTTGAAAATGTGTGAAATCCCTCATTGTCCCTGATTAGAAAATCCCTCATTATCCCTGATTAGAAAATCCTTCAATGTCTCTGATTAGAAAATCCCTCATTGTCCTGATTAGAAAATCCCTCATTGTCCCTGATTGGAAAATCCCTCATTGTCCCTGTTTAGCAATAGATATAAACTAGTATTGAAGAACGAGAATGATAGCCAAATCTTGCCTCACGATAATCTGTTGCCCGTGTTATGTTGAATGCATTTCACTATATATGGTAAAAAGAACGCAAAGTTACCATCTTCCGGTAGTAAGGAAAGAAAAACGGTAGGACTTGTGAACTTTGATAAGATAACTAACGTTTCTATATGAGAGAGAGAGAGAGAGAAGATGGAGAAAAACATGTAGGTGAATTTTTTTGTCAATATAAATGGTCAATTCAGTATTGTGTATAAAGATGATTACCTTTAATTATGTCGCAGTACTTTGTGCTATCCGTGCGGTTTTTCTCAGTCAATACATGAAGAAGACATCTCCACTAAAACAGATAATGATCACTGATCAAGTACATATAAGAGATATCGTCTTAAACATTTCCTTTGTTAAGTTTTTCAACATATTTACTTTAGTACAGCTGTCACCAAAATAATGATTCACATAAGTCATTAAAATTGACGAATCTATGAGTAAGATTGTTTCCACTGCCTAAAAGTTAAAATAAAATACCAGAGCGAGGAAAGGAAAAATGAATAACATAATGGGAATAGAGCTATATTAAACCTTCTCATATTCAGCAATAAGTGGTAAACATAACAATGTGATGGAAATTTCCCAAGATTTTCCCACCAAATTTTTAAGTACCATACGGCCGAGTTGTTCATCACAATATCTTGAAGATAGTAATGACTATATGAGAAAAAGATAACACCTTTATTTTCAAATTATCTTCACTGTTGTTACCAAGCAAATCCAAAATAAATTTAAGGAAGAAAACCTTCGGTGCAGATAAAAAAACGCAAAATCTACAAAAAATTTAAGAAGACAAAATTGCATGGACGATAAAAATGTATTTAACCTGTAATTTAAGAAGTGTTTGCCAACAATAACGACAGGAACAGAATGACGATTCTCCATTTCCCTCAGTGATAATTTTATTATTCTTTTCTCGAGATAGACCTCGCAACCTCATGCCTTTATTTGGGGAAGATGCAGCCACGATGTTAGCCCGGGAAATCGGGCAGGGTTCGGTCACATGACCTGCAGTAAAAGCATTTGCTTTAAAAAATGATTGAGACGCATTCAACGTCGTTCCAATGTTTACTTGCCATTAAATGGCGGTAATTTGTCGAGCCAGGAAAAACGACGCGCAAAATGACCTGTGCCTCTAGGCTAAAGAATGAAGTAGAAAAATCTCGAACAAAATTCATAAAAAATGCACAAAAAAATTCTCTTACAATGTGGTAATGTGGGAACTGAAATTGCTGTTTTTCACGAGAACATGGACGATGTACAAGTTTCTTCAAATAAATATCAACGAGTAATTTCTACGAAAGGCGCAAAAACAGTAATTAAAAGATGGGAAAATGTCATAAAATATGATACAATTTCATCTTACTCGAGCTTCGTTGAACGATCTAGCACCTTTGGAATCTAAAAATTAAAAATTTACTATGAGAACTAAAGAGTTGTAGTAAATTAAACATAAATATTTGCTTCAATAAAACTATAACATTTACGAATGAATAAAAAAAAACAATAATACCATTGAGTAAGATCTCTAAAAATCCCTGTAAATGATTGTTGAATTGTGTCTCCCTATCCTTTCCCTAAATATATATATAAATAATTAATGATAAGAATGTAAACTTATGCTTAAATTATGACTGCAAACCTGAAGAAGATCTATAGTTTTCGTCAGAGTTAGAAGATGGCGAAGATGAAGAAAGACAAGAGTTTTGGCAAGCACTTCAGGAAGATACTTTCTCAGAAGCTAGCAAATAAAATGAAAGCAATTCATTAATAATATAGGCGTAGATTTTTGCATCAAATCAAGATATCCATTTTACCTGTCCTAGAGGATTTAAATATTCTTCCTTCGTGTGAAGAACGTAATGATACTTCACGCAAATATCCGCCAACTTTTCCTGGTAAAAAATAACAGAAATGGATTTAATAATTTAAGTGAAGAGAAACTGTGATATTCTTTAAATTTACTATACTTATATAAAACAATGATGTGAAGAACACACATTTTGGCCTTACTTTAGAGATATGAACAATTTCATCGATTGCTTCATCCAACATACAAGATTGCAGATACAAAATACATAATGCTAAATGATCTTCTCGACTAAAACTAAAGGAGATAAACGGTCAAACACATGAGAGTTTTCCAAGAATACAGCTACTTTGATTTCTGTAATTCTTCCTTCCTCTTTATCCCTTTATTCAACCCAGTCCCATCGTGCATATTAATTTTCAAATCATTCTTATGTGCTTTTTCATACACCTGTATCCCTTTGAACTCTTCAACTGTTTAAAAAGTTTTATTGCAAAATCCTGATTGTATCCATGAAGTAAGGACCTAAGAATTAGATTGGCGAGTTGTGCGGGCTCACTGTGGTAATATATATGCATCACTTTGTCAGCTGCAACCTGAATAAAAAAACTATTCTATGGTCATCATCATTCCTACAGAATGTAGTTTATGGTGAATGGTCTACCTTAGACAAGTCAATGCAAGTCTTTTCTTGATTCTTCGAGAAAAATATTGTATTGAGATAATGTAGTAAACCTTTTCCAAACTTCATTTCTTTCAACTAAAAAGCAAATGATGAACATGAGAGCTAATGAAAACAATTCCTCGAAGCTTGCTAGCCAAACTATCACGTGATCATCTTTTCATACATACGTCGCTATGTTTTAACCATTGAGTTCTATAAGACCTGGAGGGGAAACGTAAACAAAATTACTATAAATTATCAGCGCTGCATGGCGGATTTTGGTTGTCAAAGTCAGCGGAAAGACGCGGGCTCATAAAATGAAATTTTTGCCCACCCGGACAACCACAATAGCGATTATATAAAATATCAATGCCAAACACAAAACTTTTAGAAATTTTATCTTTAAATTTGCAAACTTGTTTGGTAGACGGATGCTGAAGTAATGCCAGAAAAGGAAACATTTCATGATACCGGTAAGCAACGTAAGATTGTTTACCATTTAAAGTGTTCAGTGTTTTGTTTTAAGTCAATACTTGAAGTGTGATTGTATATATTTTGTGAATGTTTTTACTCCTAAGTTATAATTTAAGTTATGTTTATCCATTCTTATTTGTTATTTACTTAATCGCTTGCTAGACGAGGCAAAGCAACCAGTTCTTATCGAGATATGCATATCTTAAAACTCCTTGTTTCAACTGAGTTGAAATGGAGGATTTTTTCATGATATTTTTCTGAAAATATGAAGCAAATATTAAGGACAGAGCTGTATTGAAATCAAATGCAGTGCAAGATTAATTAATGAGCTCTTTGGTACATGTCGTACAATAAAAAATACCTGTATTAAACAGCTAGCCTGGACAATTTGACAGATTATGGACAATCATGATGATGGTGTGTAATGGTTTGCTTTATGCTAAAAGTTTTATGAATGCCATCTGGTGTTTCTGTAAATGAATTGTTTGTTACACAGTGTAGTAAACAGGTTAGTACATCAAAATCAAGATAAAAACTACTTTGTTCAATAATGTGCCAAATTTTGCTCCTACCTTGAAATATTTGCTCAAGCAAAGCTTATCATGACATGCATGAAACATTAAATACAGTACTGCATCATCTGACAAAGTCCATATGTTTTCAATTCCAGGTGATTAAAATTCACATAAGATGCATTGGTTGCAATGAAGTTGAATGTGGAAGAAGCAAAAATTGATGACAAAGAACTTTTTATGTCTTTTGAAGAATTACGATATCATTTAAAAGAATAAGAGTAGCAATCTAGTAAAAGAAGCCACATCGGCCTTCAACATGAGACTTTTCCAATTATGTATAGTTTTTTGTACAAAATACTATTTTAGATAAACTTGATTTTAAGTCATTTACTGATATTTTTAAAAGACAAAAGAAAAATTCAAGGCATAATGTAAAATTCAAAAATTTGTCAAGTTGTTTGAACCTAGAAAAATTAGTATAGGTAACTGTAATTTGTAAGGACACAAGAAAAAGTAGTGCAAGAAGGTTAGCATTTTGAGAATTAATAAGTTCTTGACATACATTACACAAGGCCATAATATTATAAATAATGTCTGTATAATAACAATTATACAACATGCTAAATATCTTCACCTACATTATAATTATTTAAACAGGTTTGCCTTCATGCAGCAATAAGAAAAGTGTTATGTCAGAGAAACCAATGCACTTTAATTTAAAAATCGTATTTTCAATGGGAAATTAATGTAGTTCTGTTCAATAGTAGATCCATGGTTGTCAATGACAATCCAGTTACTAATATCTTGGCTCAAAACAGAACCAGCAACATGATTATAGAATTTCTGAATTTCGTTCTTTTGCTCTCCTAGTTCGAGATATTTTCTTCATAAGTTCTCAGTAGATTTATCAGAATATCATAATACCTTATAAGACACCCAGAATCAATCCTACCAAAAAACTCAAAAAAATACATACCTACTTATAATATATTTCCAGTCGACTTAAGTCGTAGGGTAAGCTAACTTTTCTAACTCCTTTTGGACATTTTAACTAATATTTACCCATCTATTCAAGAAAGACAGTTGCACGAAGCTGTTAAAAAATAGTCAAAAACACAAGTATTGCGCATGGGATTATGCATTAAAGCTTAACGACACATTGACAGTGTAAAGAATGCCGTTTGATATTTATTTCTAACATAGCTAAAGCATTATTTGACAACATATACGCTATTTTACAGTAGATTTACCTCATTTAAATGTGTGTGTCTATTTCACAAAAACCTGAAGCATTATTTTCAATATTTTATGCTTACGGTATCGTGGTTGTTTTCGCTGGTTGTCATCAGTGAACTCGACATTTGAATAACTGGAATGATAACCGAAGCCAAAAATTGAAGCCAAAAAAATATTTGTCGTCATCATTCGTCATCACACGTCAGGCTCTAGTCTCTCGCGTGTTCATTTTAATTTTTTTTAATCATTTGTCCCTTGGTAATGGTAGAGTTCGGATCTTGATCAGAGCGTAAAAATAACGAAATTTTTGGAATGAAAAGGTTCACGGAAAGTGAATCAAAGTGATAAATCGAGAAGCAGGGTGAGGTGAACTTAGTCGATCTGCTTTTACGCTGCGGTTTTCCTTTAAAACATATCAAAGTCTTTAAGGATATTCAATTACTGATATCGAGATGACAACCATTTAGTATTTCAAGCACTATCAAAATCGATGAAAGATACAATCGCTCTGTAAAAAGTAAAATGCGAGTTATCGACTCAACATTTTTTATGAACCGGGATATTCAAGTTTCTTTTTTCTTCGGAAAAACAGATCTTTAAATCCATTGAAACGACAAAAAAGACAAACACTGTCTGACACCGTTTGAAAATTTACCTTCCGACGAAAGAAAAATTTATTCTTGAATATTTTCTCGTCATATTTTCTTATTGTATTGCGTTTTTAGCATAAAGTGTAATTTTCAGTTGGCTTTTCCTCGTTACAAGTTGTAAGTAACAACGAACTCACTGTAGTAAAGTTTTAGCTGTAAAAAAATAACCTTTTGCGAGGAGTTGGCCTAGTGTGTTGTTTGTCGTGATGTTGTTTATATGTTTATGCTTTTGCAGTTTGTATTCAAATTTATATTGGCCGTGTATGTTTGGCACTCAGGGGAATGAAACTGACGTACAAACCGCGTGAATATTCGACTTTGAAGGACTGGAACTGACGTACAAACCGCGCAAGAGACTAGGACTTTGGCTTCAATTTTATATCTATAAAATGTATTGTAGTTATCATTCCAGATATATATATATATGGAGTTCACTGGTTGTCATTGATATAAGCAGTAATGGAGTTCCGGATTCGGGAGGGAGCGAATGTTAAAAATTTTTCTCAAAGTGGAAGTTTTGACAACCAAAATCCGCCATTACCGCCATGTTTTTGACCACGGGGTCCAGGCCCCTTTGCCCCTCCAGGTCTTATAGAGCTCAATGGTTTTAACTAACCTTTCCAATATCACCAACAACATTTTCATTGACTACATCCTCCAGACTAAGGTTTGCCATCTTGTAATATTCGTTAACGTCATTTTCATTTTCCATTGAATATCTTAAACATAAAAGTCACAACATTACCTAAGTTACGAGATTGTTGACAAGGATGGGGTATTGGTATAGAGAGCGAATTTTAAAAATAAAAGTAAGATATTTGGAGCAAACGCAATAGCTTTAATGAGCAAAATTTTCCATGACAATATAGGAGTTTTATCGTTCTTGTGGTAAATCGTTCAATTACTTGTGATCAAATCATTTCTAACCGTGAAAAATAATGACCAAGGTTTCTATAAGAATTCCTGAGAGCAAGAAGTAATGTTTGTTGTTGACTTTTGGTCATTTTACCAACTTGAAATTGTGTTCTTAAGATGAAATGTTGTTCTTTCAACAATCGTAAATCAGCTGTCAATGTGTCTGACTTCTCTGTCAAGCTCTCCTAAAAATTCAAACGTAACTAACAACAAGCAAGTGTGATAAAGAGAAAAGAAAAAAAGTTCAACATTAAAATGATCGTACCATTCTCTCGTAAAGATCATTTAATTCCATTGATGTAAGAACATGAAGCGTCCAATCTTCCACACAATCCCCATTATGTCCTTTTGATTTTTTCCTGTTAAAAACAGCAGAACTACAATATAAATACCCACAAGATGAACAATTAATGAAAAGTACAATTATTCCAGTATTTAATTCCTATAACATATATTATCCCTCAATACCATTTCTTCATTGATGGACTTGAAGGTGCATAAGACAACGTTAATATTCTCTTGCCAGCTGCAAGAATGGAGCAGAGACCTGGGATCTGGTCAACTCCAATCATATATAGATCTGTGGAAGGTGATGGACATGGCTGAAATAAAATATAGAACAGATGGTTCATAAAATAAGTAGCAATGTCACAATTACAATTTAAACAATGTAATACACATATATGTTCAAAATCAAACCTTTTGTAGCATTTCATAATCATAGATGGGAAAGCCATGATAGGAAATCTTTGTTTCATTATTAACTTTATCATTTGCATCTAACATATCCTGTACAGTAAATCCATCATCTTTGCCATCAATGATCGACTTTTAATGTATTTTGCAATAGTTGCATATAATGGTATGGTGTATGTTTCAATTAAGTGTTTTGTAATTGAATAAAGCATATTATTGCAAATAACAGCGGAGGTTACATCAGCAGTATACATACAACGAGCTATTAATTCTGATTCACCAAACACATTGTAGAGAAATCCTTGTTTTGGTGATGATATAAAACACATCATTCCAGATAATTCAGGAGTTTTCATCTTATTATGGTTAAAAGCTGTCAAAAAACAACAACAAATACATATATTAAAAAGAATAGCAATTTGAAAAGTTAAATTTTTATTTACTGAACATATAATTTCCTTACCAGTGAAAGTTGGCTGCAGTTGTAAGGAATGAAGTTCCGTTTCAATCACATGATCTTCTTTTATCCAATCAAAATAACAATATAGCATTGTAACAGATTTTACTTTTTTCAATGTAGTTTGTACTCTAACTGGATGACCATGTACTGTGTTTACAGGACCTAAAACCTCACATGCAGTCTGGGAATAATCAATAAAAGGAACTTCGTCTTTTAAAGAAGGAAGATCAATGACATCTGAAGAGAAATTCTCATCTTTTACATCTTCAACCCATTCTTTGCTACCCAAAATTGACTCCCAAAATGCAAACTTGTCTGTTTGATTCTTTTCATATTGATCAAACTTCCAAAGAACATAACTCTCATCAAGAACTTCTTTTTGACAAGCACTTGCAGACAATGTTTGCTGGGTTACAAGTTCTTTTGCTGTTCTGAAACAAAATAAAGATTGTTATACATTTATTGAATTTCTACAATTGGTATGAATAGATTTAATTTCTGAAAAATATACCTATGATTGGCCAAATTCTTTTCCATATTGATCAATATTTCCTCGTTATCAAGCTTGACTTGCAAAACTCGAACTTCACAAGTGGAAGTAAATGCAACATACTGTTTGCAAATAGCAAGCTGATTCATAGAAAAGCTAGCTTCAATTGTGTATAATCTCTGGAAATCATAAGAACATTGTTTACATTGTTCATACACAGTAATTGTTGACTCTGCAGCCACAGCAATGTTCGAACTAACTGGGCAACAACAAATGGCACAAACAGAGGACTTTGACGGTACCTCTAATGCTACAGGAACACTTTCATCAACAGAATAATTTTCAGTTAAGGAAAAACCAATTTGAACAGGTTGTATTTTAGCAACATGCTCAACCCATTTTGACCAATTGAAATAAACTCTTGCAGTAAAACTATTTCTTTTATCTTTTCTTATCATTTCCTTAGTAAACAAAAAACATCCAACGTTGCCAAATATTATCTCTGTTGCGACAGAAACAGTTGGAAACTGACAGAGTAAAGGAAAGCCATCCTCAGAAAGTGAATAAACAAAAACATGACCTTGTTTTGTGCTTATAAATACTGCATCTCTTGATATTGAATACGCAATTGCAATGGCTTCGTAAGCATCAGAAAATACTTTACGTTCTTGAAAATTATGGCAAATGAGAACACGAACCATCTTGGCTTCTTCATAAGCTAGCTCATTGATAATAAAATTTTATAATATAAGTAAACACTACATGTATATCCAGCAACGGTACCATCGAGGCACAAGACCAACTTCGGAACGCAATCGGAAAATCATCTTCGGAAATGTTTTCCGGATGCTCCTCCTTTTGATGGATGTTTTTCTAGTTCAATTTATATTTATAGTTATATTGTATTTCGCTTTAATTTGTCATCCATTTATTTCATTTCTGTACTTAGACAATTCTTTTTCCAAATTTTATAAAAAAAGGGATTCTCATATCTCAATACTTGCATATGAAAGTATGTACTTAATGATCAAATTCTAAATAATTGTGTGTCGCTGCATGATATGACAGTTTCCACACAACGAAATGATCTCCAATTCAAATTTTGTTTACCAGCGGAAATATCCATGAAAATATCAAATCTTGAAAAGTGAAAAAAACTCGACCGTTAAGTTTTGAAATAAAGTGATGAATTTTCCCAAATTCCAATTTTATTCTGCAAGTAAGTATTTGTATTTGTTACAGCATTTCATTTTAAGATTTTTAGAGAAACAGCGATGAAATTTAAATGTTTACAATAGTATTACTATAATAGTGAAAAGATTTGTCACCGATTCTAGTATGTACACTAATTTTAATTAATACTGTGGTATTACTATAGAGGTTCTAATCCTTTCGAATTTCAACATGGAAATAATATCGCTCAATTTTTTCATTAATGATTTAGATACTCGTCTTTGCTCATTTCGTACTTACAGTATGGTAAGGAATTATAAACTTTTATGTCTTAAAACTGTGTTGTGTGTTTCTTTTGATGTTTTTATGTCAGATCAAAACCAATGAGGAATTCGTTTAAATGAAATCACTTTATACGCAATAGAAATACTGTGATGACCTCATCTTCCTTATACCTAAAACAATGTATTATGCAAATTTTACTGAAGTATGTATTGAAAGAATTTCTTTTTCTCATAAAGGGCCAATCAATGTACTTGGCTTCCAACGTCCTATATGTTCTGTAACTTTTTTGTTCTGGCTCTTGGAGTTGTCACTGTTGTCCATTCAACGGATCACACCATTTCAGAATTGGTGAGAAATGAGAAATCAATGGCAGCAAGGAAGACTTACAACATATAAATAGGAAGCCTTTGGACGATAGGAAAAATACGTCCAGCTTATTATTGTTTTAGAATTCTTTTCAATCAATTTATGTTTTAATGTATGATACATTGTGTTTTGTTACTAGTTAATCCTAGGAATGGCCTTTTCCTTGTTACATGACATTATTATAGTTGCTGTGACATACGATGGTGATAAAAACACACGTATGTATGAAGGTTCAAAGCAAGAAAATTTTATTTCAAATATCTTAAATGAACAACGATTTTACAGCTGGTGTTTGCAAAGAAAAAGACCACTTTCGTTTTAGTTTTGGGTATCCTTTCATAGACACTTTCGTTAAAACGTGATGTTTCCTAATATGAAAAAAACTTTTGTTTCTTTTGATGTGAGAATGTTTCTTTAACACATTATGAAGAATGTCCATCTTGAATATTATCCTTAAGGTAAGTTTGAACATTAAAAGACGTACTGATAACTGAGTTAAAGAAAACAATATTTTCTCATGATAAAAATTGGAATCATCTTTTTAGCCAGTTTCCTTGGTCGCTATAATCCTGAACTACTTACATCGTGGTGATGGTGGATTCAGGGCAAAGGTGGCTGAATTTCGCGCCAACAGAGGTGAGGTTATTCTTTACTGCTAACGTTCATGTCACGTGCTTTCTCTCAGTTACCTTTTACCCTTGGAATCTGGGTTTTAATGCTCAAGAAACCAGAAAAGTTCGAAGCATTAATCGAGAAGAAATCTTTAAGAGCGAATTCAAACAAGATGTTAAAGATAGTTTTTGCTTTTTCAACTATAGGTGAAAATAACGAACCTCCCAATGAACCTCTTCCTCCAGTTGCGTATGGTAATCAAACATACTGATAACAAAGCCTATCTACGATATCTTTTGAACAATCTTTAATGAATTTTCCTTTAGAATAGTGTCTTAGTCATTAGCCTACACGAAATAACCAGCATATCGCACGTCTAGAAAGAATGTTACCATGTTGTACAATAGCAATATACAAGAAATATAAACAATGAAGTTAGCGTAAACCATTGTCGCTTGTGTCATTTTATTCTCACAGTTGTGTGTCGATACTGTGTTTCTCCTTTGAAATCATTTGATCCTTTTCACAGCATGAAAAATGATTCGCATATCACATTACTTCGACCTGTAGTACATGTGATTGGTTCGTTTGAGCCATAAAAAGGATGTGAATGCGCTTCGCGCAATATTATTGGTTAAAAGGTGAATTTGGTGGAAAATGAGGTCAACGAGATAAATCTACTCAATTTGGATTGAGCTGAAATGGTTTGTATTTGGAGTGCGTATTAAACAAATAATTGAATTTTATGAGTAAAGAAGTCTTAGTATTAAGGGTGAAGAAATGTCAATACATAAAGCGGATCCTCTTAACGATGAGAGAAGGGTTATAGGTAAATATATTTTAAATATTTTAGAAAATATAACAAATAAGAGCGTTTCTTTCCATTTATTTTAATTCATCATTACGCGTTAGCATCCATGAAGCAATTTCAAATCAATTCGCTAATTTCGTTATTTTTTAAGTGGATTGTTACGAGGGGTTATCGCCGCTCTAATTAACTCTTAATTAATTGATGTTTGCATTTGTTTAACAGCAATATTCAAAACATTAGCTTCATTTTACTATAGTAATTGATCCTAACTATTTATGAATGCGCGCGTTCTATTCATCCGCATTTTATGTAAACGGCTGTTGTCAAACAACAAAACTTGATTCGCTCAGCCATGAAATAGCGCAATTTTTACTAAACATCAAATGCGCCTAAATTTTCACATTTTTGCAAGAATTAAAATAATATAAAGAAGGAATTGTGAAAAACTTATAAGCAATAAATTAAACGCGTTTAGCTAAGGGAGTGTCGATATAACAAAAGGAAGTTTTCGGATACATTAAAAAGTTGCATTATCAACAATTTTTCATAAAAATGAATTGAAGGTCAAGTGTATCGTTCACGATAAATAAACTTTTTACTAGATAAAAAAAAATAAACAATTTTAAAATCGCAACGCAACATGGCAAGCAATCTGCTTCAACATGCGCGCAGTAAACAGGTTACACGTTTTTCTTACGTGAATTCAAAAAATAGGAAATCATCCAAATTTTGTTGGTGATTTGACAACACACCCTTCCTTGCGAAGCAATTACAGACGTACGGCAGCCAACTTATATAGAAATATTTCAAATTGAAAGTGATCCAAATAACAGTTGAAAAGTCTAAAGGTTATTACGAACCAGTGGTATTATTGCTGATGTGAAAAAATTCTAGTTTCGATAAAAGGACCTTTTCCTGTAAACTCATTAGCTGAATTTTGAAGTCTACGTTATGATGAACACTCGTGTCATTTTAGCAAACTTATCTTACAATTTAGATAATCTCATAGCAAATAGTCAGAACTTGATGGGAAATAATGAGACCAGTTTGCAGTACACACAATCGTCAGACTATCAAATGACGCCAACCAAATCAAAGATGTTAGCCAAATCAAGACGAGGACGAACATCGTTTACTCAGGCACAACTGTCAGATCTTGAAACAGCTTTCTCTAACACACATTACCCTGATTTTCAAACAAGAAAAGAACTAGCAGGTCGCTTGAAGATTCCTGATGATAGAATTCAGGTAAGAAAAACAAGTTTTTACAAAGCAAAACGTCGATAAAGATTTTTACATGATCATGCTCTGTCCTGTCTAAATAGGTATGGTTCCAGAATAGACGGGCCAAGTACAGAAAGATACAACGACAAATGGTAAATGGATATCGCGGAAGTCCTGGTTCACAAAATAATGCAACAATTATGTTGGTACATAGCAACCAAGAAGGAATTGCAAGAGCAGCTCAAGTAAGAAATGGTGATGTTATGGTCAGACCATCTTCAATACAACAGACCTCAGTAAAAGAGGAGAACACAGGTAGGTTATGTTGTAAAGATAATTTCTTAAGGTATATTTCTGTGTCACAAGACTTTCTTTAACCGAGAACGTTTTCTTCTCTACAGAAACAATGACTTCAGTTTTAAATGCTGTGACAGCAATAGAGAACAAGTCACAACAACACGCTACAAGACAGGACCACTTCACAAGTATTTACAGCAAAATGCCAACAGCCCACAGGTTACAAGAAATGTTACCTGAAAATCAACGAGTTGCACCTTCATTGTATTCATTAAGCACAGCAGTTACATCAGGACAATACATTATTTTAGGAGGAGGTAATGCAACTTCAATGCCAGCTGGACATTTTCAAGCACAAATTCCCACAACCTCTGCCAACTATTAGAAAAAGAAACTATTTTTTACATGTTCAAATACAAAACGCAATTGCTATTGTCAAATAAGACAAAATATTTTTTTGCATTGTAAATATTTGGTGGAAATAAAGTTTGATTTATTTGGTTCGAAAGGTATAGATTCTATGATTTTAAATTTTCATGTAAAATGTTTGTTTGAACACCAACATACTTTTGTACATATATTTCTTCCAATTTTCGTAGTCGTTCAGTGAGTTTTGGATGTTCCCAATCTCTGAGATCATTTCCTTCGTAGGAAAAAAATTCCTTCTCAACATCACCATGGAGAGCTCTCAATGCTTGATTTAGTTGCATTCTTTTTAACATCAAGCTCATCCCACCTTTTACATAACTCACATCAACTAAAGCTGCATTCTTATCTGCTGAAAATTCTTGTTTGTGATGAAAGTCAGACATTTTGTGGTTGAAAAACCAGTAACTTAAAATCGACAAAGAAAACTGAAGAAGTAATTTTGCTACGAGATTTGCAGGTGAGTAATTTGAGATAACAAGGATTGCTCTATAGGTGAAATATAACCAGCATGGTGGAAGAAAACAGTTGGTTAAAAAATCTAGATGTTTTAAATGACTTATTTCGTGTGCTAAGATGAACTTCAACTCGTCGTCGTCAAATAGCAAAGACTGGCTTAATTTCTGTCCAGCTTTGGAGGTCATATTAATTTTCTTCCCCTCAAACGTTAGCCCTGATTCTGACAGTTCAGTGACGTTAGAGTAAAGAAAAAGACGCGATACACCAATAACAGCAGCACCAGGCAATAAAGTCGTACCTGCCGATACACTACTTGATCCATTGTTTATAAACAGTTTTACCTTGTGTCGTTTGTATAAATCCATGTTCTTGGCAACGACTTGATAACTATCTTCAATTTTCTGTGGCATTTCAACGTTGTTGAATCCATAATAATTGACAACTAAACTAGGATAAATGTTGGGTACAGTATGAACCAAAGCTAAACCACCAGCTGTTGCAATAATAATTCTATGAACAACTCTTGATGAAAGCATCCAGCAATAATTTTGGTACTTTTTCCAACACAGTTTCAGATTAGAATGCTCTGAAATGGTCGATTTAATGACTGTTTTCCATCCGGTAAAGAGACATAATTACACCAGAAAAATAAGAAATATCTCAAATCTACACAGAAGAGAATTAAAGATTTCTTGTTTTTCACAGAGAAATCTTTCAAATAATATACATTAAGAAGTTGAAAAATAGCTACAGTAAATACAATCATCTTTATTCAATAAGTATGATATCTCCAGACTTCTTCGTCTCGTTACTCCCAGATTCATTGCTGTTTGCCGATGTTTTTTCTTTCTCTGTTGAAATCTGCACATGACTAACTGACTTTTCGCCATTCGTTGCATTAATGGCAGACTTAGAAGACACGCTGGTTTGAGGAATAGGTACATGTTGTTGACCTGCAACAGCTTGTTTTGGATCCTCAGAAACAGACTCCGGTTTCTTCTGTGTCAACTTGTTCAAGATACTTCTCTCAGTCATTTGAAGTCGAGATGAAACTGGAGGAAGGTTGATTAAAGTTGCTGGTAAACGTCCCACTTCATTTTTCATCTCTGACAGCAAATCTTCCAGCTGGTTGAGAACTACATAGTCAATATTCATAAGAAGAAAAGAAATTAAATTTAACAAGTTATTGATAAATGTAAGTTTTGTTTTTTATACCTTTATGTAAGACAGCATTAGCAGGTTTATTTCCATTTAATGATTCTTTAGATAAATGCTGATGACTTTCAGCTAAACACTGTACTTCAGCAAATCTAACACACCAGACACAAGAAGTAATTATACGAAAAAGCAACTAATAGAAAAATTCTCATTGTCCGTTTCTCGTGAGATAAGTACTGACCAATAATATAAAACATATAAATTATGGAACAAGTAAAAAAACAAAAATGCAATTTACTTCGAGTTTAACGCCATAACTGGAAGTTTTGGATCTTGATGTAAATTCAAAATTTTCGCTCTTTCTATCTGTTCTTCGACAATCAATGCCTGTTCCAGTAACTAGAGAATATATGATAGGTATATCGCCGTTTGTAAAATGTCAGAATAAGAATCCTAAATAAGTTTTCTACCTTGAATCGTCTAGATATAAACTTGTTTTTGTACTCTAGAGAAACTGTAAAAAATATCAATTAAGTAAAATGTACAAAAGGAAGTAAAAGTTCATTATAAGAGATACAAACTAGATTACAAACCTCTTCTAAAAGGTTCGTTGACTACGGTAAATTTTGGATCATTTGCAATATCTTGCCATCGACCATAACCATGACTAACACCTCAAGTTAAAGGCAATTCGCAGAAACACTATGAATTAATTCATTCTCAAAAATATTGAACCATAAGTTATGTTTCAAAGAATGTTTAAATGAAAGGATACACAACTAGTCCCGCAAGTAGCCAATAATCATGTTTTCTCCACCAAATATCATCTCTCTTCTGTCGTTCTTCCACCTCCCAGATAGTATGAAGTTCAGTAAAGCCACCATCAGCAATATTAAAAACAAATTCTTTAGAGCGAAGACGTGCAAAATCCTCAGGACTTAATAAAGCAAATCTTGGATCTTTCTTTTCTTCCAATGGAGGATGTTTAGTAGGGCCTTTTTTCGGCACAGGATTTTCAACATTTTTTGCATCACCTTCTCCAGCTTCTTTTTTATCGCTTTCGCTGTTTTTATTTTCAACGTCTTTATCAATCTTCGTATCTTTGATAGGAGGAGGAATTTTATTATCTTGCTTAGAAGTATCTTGACTGTTATCTTTATCAATTTTAACGTTATTCATAGTATCTTTGCTGGATTCAGTAGAAGATGGTTGTTTTAAACTATCAACATTCTCTCCATCTGTTGCCTCCTTCACCTCCTTTACATCCTTCACATTATCCTCATTTCCAGTTTTCTCTCCAGTCTCCTTTGCTGTTTCCTCGGACAGCACTCTATTCTCATCAGTTTTCTTTTCTTCTGATTTTTTCTCCTTCTCTTTATTAGATGACTTTTCAACAACTGCAGATAAGATAAACTCAAACTACACGAAGTATGACGGATAATAGGTAGAGATATGGAGAAAATCAACAAAAACATCGGCAAACAACTGCAATCATGTGAGAAACATACCATTAACTGCAGGATCTTTTATCTCGATCGTTTTATTTTGTTTGCTCTCCTATAAACATCGTGTTAAAAGAAATGGTTACATTTTATAAAACAGACACCAAGTAATAAGACATAAATTTTACCTTTACTGGACTGGTGATGGTCGGCTTTGGTAAAATATTATATGGTGAAAATTCGTCAACCTAAAAGAAAATCATGTTTTATAATTTTTACATCAATTTTAATAGTCTTCGAAAGCTTACTCATTTCCATCTTATCAAAATCTAACCTTCTTCCTAATTAAACTCATGATACCAATTCTGTTCAATACGACATGACGTTGTACTCCCTCTTTAGGAACGCCATCCGCATAAGTCGGTACAGTATCTGGTGTGGGCTCACACAAATGACGCATAAACATTGACACATAGGTCCTGAAAATACAAAACAACTTTGGAAAAAGTTAATTAAAAAAAAAAGGTTTTGCTTGTTTGAAACATACTGCACTTCTTTGTCAGTCTTTCCCCTCAGGTCACGAACAAACCTAAGATGAAATTTATACAAACAAATTCAAACAAACAATCATTTAATAAAAAATCATATTTATTTACCATTGAGTTCGAAACGATTGCTTTGGAGGCAGACCATATCTCATTATTGCATTTAAAAAAGCCCGACGTTGTCGAATGTTAAATCCATGTACCTACGTAAATAGCAAATTTAAACACGTAGAATTACAACATTAACAAAAAAAGAACAAGGAAAGAAGAAATTAAAAATCAAATGATAATTTTACTTCAAGATTTCCATTCACTTTAGCCAATAATGGTGGAACGTAATCTGAATCAGGTTTCGGTCTTTTGTTACGACCTAAATATTCACAATGGACGTTTTGTATGGATGAAATATTTTTATAATGATCTATGATGCATTGATCACCTTGTCCTTCCGATTTCTTATATTCATCTTCATCATCAACACCTTCTTCTCCATCAGAGAAATTTCCAGCAATCCATGCTTCAACAAAGACAAAATACAAAATAAATAAAATCATCAATAAAGATAACGATGATAATCATACCTTTGTCTCTGCCATCATCCACGTGAGAGTCGAGGTAGTTCACCTTAAAAATAGAAGAAATATTTCCTTTTTAATAAAGGTAAAATATAGAAATGTTACTTTATATTAAAATGTTTTTATTTCAACATTGAAATAAGATGAAAATGAAGTTATACATCAGTGTCAACAAAACATTACATCAATAATACACTGATCAATGGTTCATGCTACAAAGCACCAATCACATACCTGTTTACGTATTCTTTTTCCCTTTCCAAGTTTTGATTGGATGTCTTCTTGCTGTTGTTCATAATGATGACGTAATAACTTCTCCCAATACTCGGGATCAGGTTTTTCTGCTTCCTAATCAGACGATAAATCATTTTTCATAATCAAGGCATAACTAGTCATTTGTCATGTTTTTCTTACCTTTATAACTTCCACTTTATCTTGTTCATCATCTTGTTTGACGATATAACTAGCAACCTACGCAGGTAAGACGTAATATTAGCAAAAAAGCAATATTAGCAAGAAAATATTAACAAGAAAACAACACCTTAAATGAAGCAAGATATTCATTGGCCAACAAAGATTTCTCTTCCACTCCCTCTCGATTTCTGTCCAGTAGATTGTCAATTGTCGCGTCATCATAATGAATAGAGCCAGCATCTCCAGGTTCTCAATGTGGTATAAACATGTATTTAATATTTGCTTTTATTGTTTATATTTCACTGTCGATTACTACTGTCTGCATTTTATTGATTTTTTTGAATATATATAAAGCAAAAATCACCTACCTCCATCTTTAGCGTTATCATCTTTAAACAACTCTTCAGTTCCAAACTTCAATATATCATCGAGTTCTCTCTTGGACATACTTGCTCCTTTATTAGATCCAAGTCCTGGTCTCACAACCAAATGAGTAAGCATCATTTTCTTCTTAGCAACCTCAGTAACACGTTCCTCAACAGTTGCTCGTGTCACGAAACGATAGATCATCACCTTGGAAACACATTAATAAAAACAGTTTATTCTCAAAATTATTATTCGAAAGAATGAACCAATGAGACACAAAATCAATAAAATGCACAAAGCTATTGCCATGCCAACATATACCTTGGTTCGTTGACCAATTCGATGTGCACGTGAAAAAGCCTAAAAATATGATTGGAGATTATAAAATGAACATATGTCTACATTTAAATAGATCGAGCAAACAGCCACAGATATATGATAGAATAACATAAAGTAGTTCATATAGAAGAACCACTGACCTGTATATCATTATGTGGATTCCAGTCTGAATCAAAGATGAACACGGTATCAGAAGAAGCCAAATTTATTCCCAGTCCTCCAGCTCGAGTGGAAAGTAGAAAGCAGAACGCCTCCGCCTCGGGAGCTTTATATAACGACATTAATACGTGTATGTTGTTTTTATAACTATAAACCTGATTAATTTATATAAAAAATAATAAGTTTTACGTACCATTAAACCTGTCAATACTATCTTGTCTCATTTGACCAGTAATATTTCCATCTATACGTTCATACTGATAACTATGACCTTCAAGAAAATCTTCCAGTAAATCCAGCACCCGCGTCATCTAAACGTAACTCACCCCAGTCTTTACAATATTCTCCATCGACATCTTGTGCAAGTACTATACCTGAGAAAATATTAAAACTCGATGTCCTTGTTCCTTTAGTTTTTTCAACATTTTTGCCAATAAAACAAACTTTCCAGACGCTTGGGTCAACTCGTTCACTTCAAAATGACCATTCTCGTTTTTCGCGGCTTCCTGTAAAATAAATGACAACAATGAATAAAACACATAAAATACACAATTAAATACAGAAGATTCCTAATTAAGAATAGAGATATGTAGACCCTACTCACCAATGCAGCTGTCGAGAAAAGATATGGATGATTACAACATTTCTTTAGTTCCATCATAACGTTTAACAGGGAGACAGTCTGAGAACCACGAGCATTTAATGCCTCATAATTTCTCGTTAAAATATATTTGTAGTATTTCCTAAATGATACAAAAATTCTTAAACTCAAGCAGCAGGTTCTACACATCTATCTATGCACATGAAAAATCTGTCAAAATTATATATATAATGTTAGGAAGATTACAATTGGAAGCTAGCTGGAGCACATGCAGTTAATTGTATATCGTCCAACGCTAACGGCTAACTTCATTAATAAAAATTCCTTACTTTTGCAAAGGACTAAGTTCCACGCGAACAATCAATTCACTTTTGGAAGGCATGTCGTGAAGAACATCTGCCTTTAAACGTCGTAACATGTGAGGGCCAAGAATCTCATGAAGTTTTTTGATCTAATGTGGATAATAATGAATGTAATGGGATAATTTAGGTAAGGTTTTCAAACAATGAGTTCATGTGGATAACAATGAATGTGATGGGATAATTTAGATAAGGTTTTCAAACAATGAGTTCAATACCTGGTCCTCTTTAGCGACATCTTCAAAATCTCCAAGAAATTTGTTTTTATCGCTGAAAAAGAAAGAAAAAAAGGGGGGGGAAATATGGCACCAATTCAAAGAACTGAAAAATGCTGTTTTTGTCTTACTTGAATAAATTGGGATCCAAAAATTTAGAAGATGAAACAATTCTTCAAGATTGTTTTGTAGAGGTGTGCCAGTTAACAGCAAAGTGTAATCAATATTGTAATCGTTTAACACACGAAAAAACTACGACAAATGAGAACAAACATGAGTTAGATGTATAGCATAAAAAAACATTTCAACATTAAGATGAACAAAATGTATTTAATAATTGCATCAAATAGTGTGACGAACACTAACACGTGACTGGTTGTTCTTCAGTCTATGAGCTTCATCGACGACAAGTATTGCCCAGTCAATAGACTGAAGAATTGTACTGTCAATAGCCACTAGTTCATACGATGTCAATAAAACATTGAATTTTACAGGTGCATCTTTCTAGAAAAAACAAAAGTGCATTGCTTATTGAAAACTGTTTTTGAAGAATGAAATTATGATTTGCGTAATACAACCTTCATACGATAGACTTTTGTACCAAGGCGAATGGCATTTTCTTCAAAAGAGAACTCGTGTTCTCTAAGAAAAAAGAACACTTACGTACGTTAGTAGAGTATATTTGGAAAACTTGTCGTACATATAAACCTTAAAGTATATTTCTAACTATTTTAACATGAATACAAATTATTTATACAAGAATTTACCATTCACCACCACATATGTACCTTATGGAAGCCCTACAATCTTTATCACCAATATACGTCACACAATACATGTCAGGAGCCCAGAATTCAAATTCTCGTTCCCAGTTTATTAACGTCGAAAGTGGAGCGGCGATTAAAAAAGGACCATTACAATGACCCTACGCAAAAACAAGAATGCGTAAATCATTAATAAAAAATTATAACTTCTACATATTTTATGCTGTAAGATATTAATTTATCTACTGTATTGCTGTACCTCTTTGAACAAAGAATAAATAAATGTTATAGTCTGTATTGTCTTCCCCAGTCCCATTTCATCTGCAAGTATCGTGTTGGTTCCTTGAGCCCACGAGAAACGTAACCAATTCAAACCCTCCATTTGATATTTATGTAATGTTCCTCCAGTGGCGTCAAGATATTCTGGTTGTTTATGGAACTTTTGTCGACACTATATGATCACATGTTTAAAATATAAGTAAACTAATAAAAATATCAATAAATATGTAAAGGTGAAATTAAGTTTCTTATAATTACTGGACTTTATCTATCAAAGTACACTAACTGTAACACATTATTTATCCTTACATCAGAACTTGGCTTTGTTTTCCTAACTTTCTTTCCTTTTTTACTTTTCTCGTAAGCCTCCCTAAATATACGCAATTATGAATAATATCAAACATAAACAGGATAATGTGATTGGAAACAGAAAGGTAGCATAAGAAATGGCGATAATAATTTATAATGTACCTGAACTTTTCGTACTTAGTGATATGGTCTTTAAAATTACTTGAAAAAATAAATAAGTAACACACATGAACGATGGTTTACATCTACACAACATACTTTTTATGTGTTAAACGTTTTCTTACTTTATCAGAGAATTATATTCATCATCAGGATCTTCCCATGTGCTTAAATTATAAGCAAGTTCTTGCCATTTCACAAGATATAAAGTTTTGCCTTTTCCCGTTCTACAAAAAACGCCAAACGTTTATTTGTAAAGATAACATAAAAGATAGTAACATTTATCCAGTATTTGACTAAAATACAATATTTTAAACAGCGATTGGGAAACCAATAAAAATAAAAGGTTTAAGACCTGGAGTTTAAAATACGCTGAATTTGGAGATATTCAGGCCTCACACCATAACGATAAAATCTTGCTTCCAAATCATTTTCGTTCACTTTCTTACGAGCTTCATGCAAATGAATAATCTCATCGCAATTGACGTCATCGAGATCAAGTTGCTGATTGGTTGACATGTCATTCTTACGGACGTAGGCACTCAATAAACCTGGATGATGAACTTCCAACTACAATCATAATAGTCATAGTTCACAATGAGATCTATGTGGATAAATGGGTACTTAATGAATATATGTAAACACTTGGAGATCTATGTGGATAAATGGGGTAGTTAATGAATAAATGTAAACACTTGGAGATCAACACAGATTTAAATTAACTTTTATCATCATTATGATACATGGTCAAGTAAAATAAAAGAAAGTTTTATTGTATGCACAAAATGATCTCCAAGTTTGTGTAAAATGTATCATCTAACATTTATCAATGTATAATCTAATTAATGAAAATAAAACTCTGTAATACCTGCATTTCTTCAACCCAAGAACATTTCCAATAGGATTTTTCCTGCCATTTAATAAAGAACTGTCGCACAACATGTTCCTGTTATAAAACAATGAAACATTTAACTTGTCATGTAGTAAATAATGACAAAAATAAACATTTTTACCTTTGACTTTATGTCACTGACAATAGTTACGTTATTGCCATCAGCTGTGGACGCTACACAGTAATAAAAATATTTATAGACATGCTACTATGGATATGGATACTTTAAAAAGATAGCAAGAAAGCCAAGAAAACATAGCAAGTTATGAGCAATGGAGAGTCAAAATGAGATGTACATAACTGGTGATGTTACTTATTGAATGGTTTATATTTACATAAATGAACACAAAACGAGTATGCTTTGTTTAATTAATACTCACTGTTACTTGGTAATTGCACAAATCTCCAAAACAAAATCTTTGCTGCCTTTCCATCCAACGGAGCAACCTTAATGTATAAAAATAACAATTTTAATATATATTGAACACAGGTGGTTCTTCTCTCACAATTTCATGTCTTATGTTTAGTGAATTCAAACTTCTAGAAAGGTGTTTTGTACATCAGGTTTTATCCAATCAGCTGTACTTAATAATCCATGTGTTACCTGTATATGTAACCTGTGATCATTACCTTACATCGTGGACATCTCCAGTCTCCTTCAGGTATTTCTTTCAAAGGTGGTTTCAAACAATGAATATGATACGAAGATGGACATGAATCACAACACAATAAATCCCCGCCGTCTTTACAAACACGACAGAAATCAAAATGAACATCAGATTCCATCTGTTCGGCATCTTCTTCTTCCTGTAAATCAATCAAATATAAAAAAAATACATTGAAGATTGTCGTCAACATCATAAATTATACAATAGTTCTTACACATTTAGGACAACTCCATATTCCTTGTGGTGCTTCATCCAATGGTGGATCAAGACAATGTAAATGGTAAGATAATGAACATGTATCACACAGTAAAAGTTCACCACTTTCTTCACAAACTTCACAATAATCTTGATGTTGATCATCTTCATCATCATCATTTACATCATCATCATCATCAACCTGCTAACAAACATTATACAATGTCACTCTCCCCTCTCTGCTTATAATTTTGGTATGAATGAATAAAAGTTTCTTCGAACCTCATCTTGTTTCATTAAACGTCGTCTTTTAACCACTAAAAACAAAGGAGATAAAGATTGAGAATTTTGAAAATAAACATGAGATTAATGATATATTTCTCATTTCACCTTTCTTTTTTTCTTTTTTTGTTTTTGTTCGATCACTTGCTTTTGATTTCTTTTTCTTTGGTTTTTCATCTTCCCCAGAATCTTGTTCTGTTACCAGTACATTTTTCTTTTTTGAAATAACCTTACGTTTTTTTGTGCGACTACTGGTACTACCGGCATCACTTGACCTATCAGTGTCATCACCTAATTCTTGAACTGTACGATCTACACGGCGGGAAATGGATATTGATCAAAATCTCATTCATACACAGCATATGTGTTTTCCACAACAATTACTTTTCAACTTCTTCCTCACAGGAACATCTTCATTATCACTGTTGGAACCATCAGACTGTTCCTAGACAAGTAAGTAAATCATAAATTATGTTTTGATGATATGAAACTACAACATAGCACCTTGTACATTGTATGTTAGCATAAAACAATAGTCACTAACCAATGCTTTGTTGGCTTTCTGATTAGCTGGTATCTTTGCAAGTTTTATCTTAATTGGAGCAATAACTCTCTTCTTCTTTCCTGACTTTTTTATTTCTGTTTTACTCTCCTCAGTATCCTGTATATCAACATTTGTCCTTCCCTCAGCATCCTGTGTACCAGTGTTGGATATAGATGCTTCACAAACTTTATTATCAACACCTTTTAGAGAGAGACAATGAAAAATTCAGCAACAATATTAAGTAATAAATTCATCACTAAATTTTTAGTTTATATACCAACGAAATTTAATACCTTTATTTAGCATATGTACTTTGTAGTCTTTCCAAGCTGCAGCCACAAGTGAAACAATTTTTGAATTAGGAAATCCAGGGTTTACAGAAGAAATTTGTTTGTGAACAATTCGAAAAAATTTCTGGTAATTCATGTCATTTGTATCATTTGGAGGTATGCTGTACTCCAGTTTCATACCAAGGTGCTGTGCCAGCGCTTCTGATGGCTACGAATGTCAAATATAACTGTTGTCAATCTACTTTTTGAGAAGATTCTGCATGCTTACAATTTGTGACAAATACCTTCTTACATATCTCCTCTTTAACGTCACCTTCAACATAGGGAACGTCAGTGGATACCAATGAACTCCCAGGTGATTTTCCATGTACTTTCTTTTTCTTTTTTGATCCATCACCTAGTGGATAGAAAATCGAAATACTATATGATTGAATAATATAATTTAAATTTACATTTTAGATTCATTTTAAAAAACGTAGTGATCCTCAGTATTTATGTCTTTCTGGCAAGTCAGAAGTGAATTATTGAACAAACATTGAACAATCATACAAGTTTAACAACTTAAAATGAAGCAAGCTAGTATCCAATAACCAAAAGGTTTAGTAAAAATGTACAATTTGCCAATATTTTAAATTTTGCACTTGTTACCAGGAAAATGCTATTAGAAAAAAAATAAATACTATAATATAGAAGACAACAATTCCAGTTTTATAGTTCAGTGTAGTGATCGGTAGTACAGTTCAAAAACATCGTTCATCGGTTTTAGAGAAACCCAAACAGGGGGGGGAAAGCAAATGATAATATAGTAAATGCTTTCGTTCACAAGTCCAATGCTGTTTTTGTTTAGAAAAAACGATGATATTGCCCAAATATTACGTACAATTGTATGTCGTATTTTACGACATGAATAAGTTACGATACATCAACAGTTTAGCCAACATAAACTCAATGATTTGAATACTTTCCCACGCTTGTAATTTATAATTTACCGCGCCATTTGAACACATAACAAATAAAACACTAAAATATTACAACACAGAAACGTTGATTAAAATTAGACAATGACACAATGAATAAATGGCCATGTTGTCAATCTAAGAAATAAAACAATCCAAATAACGAAATTAAACAAATATGACAAATTTTCAACTCAGGGACTCACCAGACGTAGTGGGTTCCGAGGCTGACGGTTCTTTCCGCTTTGAACTGTTTCTTTTCATTGTTTAACCATAAATTACTGGGGGTTTTTTTATCAAAGAACGTATTTCTCTGGGGGACTTTGTCTTACGGGGACGGGCAAATTTTATGATGTCCACTGCGCATGTATTTTACTTTTCACCAGACTTCCACGGTCATTGTCAGGGGGGAGAGGTACTCATACTAAAGACAATAGCTGCACCCCTCCATTGAAGACATAGAGGTGCCAAAAAAGTACCTTTTCACCTCATAAAAACTGTAGCAAAAATACCCTGGGTGTTTCAACCTCCCCTCCTTTTTCGGCAAACATCCAACACCCACAAAAAATGTGTTTTTCCAGCAATTTTGACAACACTAAATAAATTGTAAAAACTTCACACACATGACAACTTCAGGCATTTTATTTGTTAAAACTTTCAAATCTTAAATTGAATTAGCCATGTCACGAACTTCCAGAATTTGATGTTGAAAGAAGGGCAACAAATCCAGAAGCGGCAGCTGTAGACATGACATAGTTACTATTCCATGATGTCAAGGATACATACTTTAGCAAGCTACACAATATATAACAAGTTGGATATGGTTATAAATCGAAACCTAGGAGGGCAATGTTAACACATAAAAAAAAAATTAAAAAAGGATACACTCCAGGATTAAAGGATCTCAACAAATAAAAAGACATAATCAACATGAAAAACAAGAACAAAGTGTTATTGTAGAAGATAGAATATGTTGTTGCTTCCATGTCTGCCACATTGTTCTTCTTCCACAAAATTCTGTAGTTCATATAAGACATAAAAAGTGAATGAATTAATTTTTTCATGTTTATTGATATAAAATATCTTGACTCAGTGTGTTTATGCTACTGAGCAATGAAATTATCATTAGTAAAATAATAAATTGTGCATTATACTCAGGTGTCTAAGAATATTTACCTTTCATCTTTCTCTTGTCTAGTCAACTTTTTTGTCTCTGGTTTTGAGTCAAGCACTTGATTGACCTCACGTGAGACAGCATGCTCTATCTTTAGAGCTATCCTATAAAATAAATAAAAAAATTTAACAATAAATAAGTATCATTATTATAAACATTTAGTATCATACAAGGATTCGCTTACTTATGCTTTAGTTGAAATTTGATGTTTTTATAAGCAAAAGAAATCAACCAGGTACATATTAAGGTCATCACAACAAACAAAATAACAGATTCTTGAGGATCCATTTCATGTACACGCCAGAAAAGCCCTTAAAAAGAATAAAAATAAATAATATAACCAAACAAGCCACAACTGTACAGTACACTGAGTATGTCTAAAACACTATGTTTATTGTTCACAATGAACTAAACAAAAGTACAATTTACAATTCATAAATAGATTTATAAAGCACAATGGCCTTCAAATATAAAATAAAATGGTCTTTCTAACAATTTATTTGTGAAAAGAACATGAACCGCAGATACAACTTAGATCAACTTACACAGAGGAACTGCCGAAACAACGAAGGCATTGCAATAAAATAAAAGAGAAGATTTTGTCGAAATGTTCCTGCCAAAATCTTGTAACAACAATTCCTCCTCTTTTGTGAGCTTCTTGTTCTTCGACATGCTTAAACCAAGGAGAAATACGAATTAAAACAAGACGTGTAAAGGATCACTTTATGGTAAAATTTTAAAAGATCACAACAACACGTAGTTGTTGTTGCCTCGTTTCCACGTGCTAGTTACCAGGCCTAGCAACTTGTCGGCTACAAGCGTACCACTACGTCATTATTTGCAGAAGAAAAAGAGTTCTATGACGTTTCTATGGTATACGAGCCTGTCTGCAGGTTTACAGTAAAATTAACTATGATTTCATAGTAGAGAAGGAAATGTTAGTTTAAACATTGCTTTTTACTTTTTGGATTATTTTAAATCTATTCGCTAAAATATTTAAATCATTCCAGATTTTTAAATACTATGTACAATACACTTTAATCATACATATATTCCTCTAATTATTGTGATATCTACGATCTAACTCATCTTTACTGAGTCATTTACGAGGAATTATAATTCATCATTACTTCGTTTATTAATATTTGATTCAACAACATTCTCTTCTTTACCAATTCCAACGCTATCTTCATCTTTCTCCATTGATTCCTCGATAATTCTTCCATCTTCTTCAGACTTTCCTTGGCTTTTACTTGATCGCCATTCCTCTGTTATCAGTTTGATTTCATTATCATTTAACTCAATTTCAAGAGCTTTATAGTTAAGCAAAATATGGCGAGGATCATGGGAACGAGGTATGACTGTCACATTCATATGAATAGCCCACCTAAAATAAAAAATAAATTGAACTAACATCATTTTTATTGATTGAGTTTTTATCAAGTTCAAGAGGAAAATTATTTTTTTCAAGTCAACAACTGATAGATGAAATTTTAAACAAAATGCACGAGTTCAACAAAAGTAAGCAAATATTTTACTTGTATATGTGATGAATGAATGAAATCCACCTTACGTAAAACGTCGTCATTTTTTTGGGAACTATATCTACCTCAGGACAACTTGAGCAACCACAAATTCATAATGACTTGCGATGTCAAAGAAAACTGGAGAAGTGAGAACAGGATTTGATTGAAGCCCTCCATACATCGTCCACTGAGAACCTAAAATATTTTCAAAAAAGTTTACTGTCTAAAGTGCGTTTACTTTAAGTAAAAATAATGCATTCATTTTCAAACCTAGGGTAGAATATCCCATGTAATGAATATGATGTTTTGCACAAAATGCACGAACACTTTCATCTTGATGGAATGGATCAAACCAATTTTGAAGGACGGATACAGGAACTTTTTTAATGTTTACTAACTCCTTCAGGTCAACAAGATCAAAATTACTGACACCAAGACTACGTATTTTTCCATCATTATGTAAACGTTCCATTGCTCTCCAACTATCCTGCCATGTACCTTGTGGAACTACACATTTTATAAATAACAGCATTTTACAAAGTTTCATCAAGTCAATATTTTGTATAAAAGAAGAAAGATTAAACCTTGTTGACACTTGAAGTAACCATCGTCACAATATTTGGTATGAATAAGAAAAACATCAATGTAGTCAGTTTGAAGATTCTTTAAAGAATTATAGACGGAAGAAATTGTTGAATCAAACCCGTGATTCTCTGGATGAAGTTTTGTTACTATCGTAATTTCATCACGTGAAATGTTGCGTTCTTTGAGGGCTTTTCCTAATGGAACTTCAGTTCCGTAAATTTGGGCAGTGTCGAATAATCTAAAAATGACGTAATTCATGAAAAATGACGTAATTCATGAAAAATGACGTAGACACCTCTGGGGCACCAGGCACGTAACAAAAAAGATAATTGGGGGGGGGGCATATTCATGTATTCATTTTATAATATGTAAAAACAATGGATTTCAAAAGAAACTAATTTGGCATATCATGAATATATGATCATGAATATATGAATATGCCCCCCCCCCTGCAATTATCGTTCTGGCTACGTGCCTGTGGGGTACTATAAAAAATCACTAGTTTACCTGTATCCAGAGTCTAATGCAGCAAGGATAGATGATAAATGTTCAATAGGATGAAGTCCTGCTGTTCCAAAGCCTAGAGGTGGCACTAACAAGGCAAGATTCCAATTTTAGACCAAAACTTAAAGTGAATAACTTTAACAATGACATGAATCAACATACTTGTATAGCCACTGATCAGTTTAAAATCAGGTGGATGTTTTGTAACCTTAGGTATACGTAAGGATGCAAAGGAACTATCATTGATAGAAATTTTTAGGACTTGATCAAGACTGGGTGATTGTTCTTTGCATTCAATTGTGGATGATTGAGTTTTTACTAAGTTTTCAAACATTTCTGCAGTCTTAAAAACAACAAAAAGTATGAGAATTTGATGAAAGCAAAACTAATGAGCATCAACTAAGTTTCTACATATACCTTGACTACATGCTCATTTTCCTTGTAACCAGCTTCGTCAAACTGCTTTTGAAAGTTGAAGACTTCAAACCATATGTTAATAGCAATATTTGGAGAACCAGAGGAAGTCACATGATGCCACCAATATTGGGGAATGTATAAAATATCTCCTGCAACAGTTATAAATATTATACAAAAATGAAAACCAAGATCTCATTGATGATACAGCGCATTTCTTTAGAAGTTGTTGTACCTGGATTCAATTCTGACTCATAAAATATGATGTCAGAAAATTTGGGAAATTTCTCCAAATCTACCTTATGTGGATCAATAGGCGAGAGGCCAGGTAGAACATTAAACTGATCTCCATAAACATTCTCACTGAATGAACTATTAAACAGGATAACTTTCTTTGTCCCTGATATTACTGCAAGTATATTTTCATAACCATCATGATGAATTGGTGAAGAAGCATTTCCACTATTTATTAAAAGATTAACGTCACTAATAGTTCTACTGATCTCTGGACACTGAAGCATTGAAGGAAGATTCATTTCATTTAGCATATTTGAAGCTGGGAATTGTGAATCTAAATAGACACTTTCTTCTTTGTAAATGTTTAGAAAGTGAGAAAGATTCATGTCATTACGTACACACAAGTGGTCTTTGTAAACTTTGCACATATGAACAGTAAATGGAAGATCTCCATAAGTCGAATTCAAATATGTCTCATTTGACCATTTCTTAATGGCGAGCCAATCACGTACAGCATTTCGAATCATAACTGGTTTTCGACCATGGATAAAATGATGGTAGAAATACTTTCCATCTGGGACAAATTTCAATTCAGGTATTTCATTTAAAAATCTTCCCTGAGAGCCAACTGGTTTCAAATGACCTGAACAAAAAAGAAATCTATGCAATGTAATATATCAATAAATTCTTGAGTAGAGACTAGAGAGATGGGAATAGATGATGTTTATGTTCTCATAAATGACATGCTTAGCTTAAAGATAGTAACTTTCTGATACAGCCTAGAAAACTGTGTTAAAATCCCTTCTTGTCATTACTTATCAATTTATAATGAACACATTAATGATCATGAACATCTGCTCACAGGTTTTTCGCGTTAGAAGACAAAATCATACAATGAAATGCAAGTTTTCAACAAAATGAATCTGTTTTACCGTCTAATACTATCGCAGCGTCTTCAATTTGATTTCCATATAAATTGTACAATTTCCCCATCAAACATACAAGAAAAAACCACATTTTGAATGCTCTTAACCTCGTAACTCCTCTCCAAATCAAACAATGTTACTATGTAAACACAATTTTTTCAATTTCTTCGCTTTGTGCAGGGGGGTAGGATGATGTACTAATGTACAGGGGTGTGTGGGAAAGCAAAGAAAACAATTAGAAAATTTATTGAATAAATGTTCAATAATGAATATAAAGCTATCTACATAGAACAATAAAGTCCTTCAAATTAATGTCATTTTTCTAAGTGATTTTGTTGAAATATAATATCAACGGCTGCTATATAACTATGAGTATTTACTACTTCCTTCCCTTTCGACGTTGTTGTCTAGCTTTAGCAAAAGGTTATTTGATTTGTTTGAGTTAGTTTGGATTGGCGTTGATGATGTAAAACCACCAGATAAATTAAATCCACCTGCAGGAGAACCTTTAAAAAGAAGATGTAACTCAAATATCACCATGGATGGTATTAAAAGTTATATCTTACCGAAATTAAAGGTAGCTGGTGTTGTTTGGTTACCAAAGTTGAAGCCACCAGAAAAAGATGAAGGGTTTTTTACAGCAGTAGTAGAGTTACCCAATTCACTAGGAGTATGGGATGTAAATGATGAAAAATTGACATTACTGTTGGTATTCGTTCCAGTAAATACGTTGGGTTGAAAACCATTGCTTGAATTCGTTGTTGTAGGGCAATAAAGTTAAAATTACTGCTGGACTTTTGAGTTTCCGATACAGATGGGGCTGAGAACGTAAAAGCACCACTGTTTATTGGTTTGTTTGTAAAGGTTGAATTTGACAATGTGAAAGAAAAACCAACATTATCTTTTTGTTTTACAGGTGCAGCAGTTGAAGAGAATGATGTTACATTGCTGGGATTTGAGACCGCTGGCAAAGTAAATGAAAATTTTGGAGTTGAAGATTTTTCAGATGGTTGTTTTGGCTGTGACATCAGCGTAGGTCCACCGCTGACATTCGTCCCTGAGACAGCAGGCGCTTTAAGAGTGAGGTCATTCTTTAGATTAGTTTGATTGGCAGTAGATAAAGGAAATGAAAACCCAACAGTCGGTTTAATACTGGTTTGTGATTGATCAACATTAAAGCCAGATGTAAAACTGTTTAGACCAACCGTCGTGCTTTTGTTGACAAGTGCTTCAGTTGTAATAGCGTTTATATTCTTGTTCGTATCAGTAGTAGAGTGTAAGTTAAACGATGATGAAGTGTTTGATGTGCTGGAGGACGTTGAAATGACCTGGGTACCAAGTACTTGCTTAGACGTGGAGGTATTTAAAAAGGGGCTTGGGTTCGAGACAAGTGATGGTACAAATGAAACTGACGTAGGTTCAACAGTACCGCCAAACAATGCAGTGTAGGATTTTATCCCGCTAGAAGGACGAGTGATTCCTGCTGAATCATTAGATATCCCACTTTGTAGCTGTGTGTTCTTTAACGTCGTTGTAAATGATGTAGATGAAGATGTTGATCCTTGACTTGTTTGTGTAGTAATGCCTGTCAATGGGTTTATTTTATCTTGTTGATTTCCTGGAATATTGCTGCTAAATGACGACGGTACTTCTGACGTAACATTTGACGTCACACTTTTTGCTTGACTGTCAGAAAGCTTCTCGGAAATTGTAGGGACTACAGTAAAGAATAAAGGAAAATTCATGAAAACGTAAAATCAGTGCCAACTAAAATGACATCAAGTCTTTTATCTTCTGTACACCAGTAAGTTTATAATAGTAACATGAACTTACTATTTTCTTTGCGGAATGATTCTTCAATGTCATCAAGAAGCTTTTGTGATCGTTTCCAGGCTTCGCGCCTACTTTCCTGTATATCCTTCCATGTGATGTTCCCACGACTTCTACGTCGAGATGAATTTTTCTTCTTTCAAAATGGAAGTACATTTAACAATACGTCAGACGTTTTCTATTGATATTTGTAGAAAATTGAATTGGAAAATGTGTCTCAGAAATTACCTCAACGCGTTCTGATAAGGAGGAAAGATAATTTGGCGAAAGGGATTTCCTTGGAGAAAAAGTAATCTAAAAATTGAATTGTAAATTTAAATCAGTTGCAATCACATAATACCAACATTATAACAACGATGTTATAAATACTTACACGAAAAACATTTGCATTTACTTCTTTGTCTTTTGTTGAATCTTTTTATTAAGATTGTGATGAGATACTTTTTCTTTTTTTCTTGCATTTTCTGGTAGATATTCATCAATAAGTTTGTCAGAAAATGATACAGACTTTCTTTTCCTTGCTTTGATCGATGTAAGCTTGTTTTCTGAAATATTTTATTGAAATGAAGGCATAAAATTATTGTATCCATAATGTTATGATCATAAATACATTTTATGATTGCAATGAGTACAACAAACCTTGAACAATAGGATTTTGTGAAGGTTTAATTGGTGAATTAACATCAACTCCACTGTCTTCGAATGAATTCCTGTAAATATAATAAAATATGTAATATAATGAGGAGAAATGAAAAAAAATATAACAAAGTTAACGATCATACAATGGTGGACTAGGTTTCTTTCTTGTTTCATTTTCTTTCATTTTTTTTGTGCCAGTTTGAGTTGACGGTGTCTGAGAACCAGAATAAGGTCTCTTGATTGTCTTCGTGACAGGAGATCTTTTCAAAGGATTGTTGACAACTTCCAAAAACTCATCTAAATCATCCCGACGACTAAAGAAAACAAATAATTGTAAAATAGAAAATTCATGGAAGTTTGTAATGTAGTCCAAACCTTTTCTTTCCCACTGGATATGAATCTACCATTAAATTATCTGAGTCTTGACGATTGCGTTTCCTATGAAACATTTGAATGCTCAGTAGAATAAATCAAAAAATGTTACACAAATATTTCTCAATAATTAAGACTATCACTGCATACCTGGATGATCTTTCATCAAGGGCAGTCACTACTGACTGACAACTACATGGATCCTTAGTTCTTTCAAAACGCTTATGAAGTAATGATTCTCTGCACAAAGCACGAAAACCTTTAGCACTAGCAGCACAATCAGTTGTACATTATATGAATTTAAGAGAAACAAGTACAATATCAAGAAACTTACAACGCAAAACGTGAATCATATTTACTATCACTAGGACGTGATATTTTCACCTTTGATGTATCATAATTAATTCTTCTTTGAGGACTTTGATAAATTAATTTTTCTGGATAGTATCCTTGTGTTTATAATGAAAGACATAAAGTGTTATGAATGTTTTAACTATGATAACAGAAGATTTAGTTCAACTGTACTAACCCTTGGTGGTGATGTTCAGTTGCAGGTGAGGTGATGTTGCAATTTCTGGATAAATGTACGATGAATTACTAAAAACAAGTAGAACAATTTCAGTGCTGAGCAAAAATAGTTAAAAACATGAAGTACTTGAATGGTGATATGAACCTGAAGAAGTAAAATGATGAAATGGATCATGCTGTCTCTAAACAGTGGCCACAAATTATTGGTTGTGGGCAAAGACTGGAACTAGTCAAGTCATTATACCCCATGAAATCACAAGTCATGCATAAATTTGCTGATGAATAAATTACATCCCTCAGAAGTCCTTCAAGTGCTTGTTTATGAATTTAAGCCTCATACATTGAGTTTATATATAACATAAATTCTTACTTGAACGAAAGACGTTTGGTAACTTGACAAAGTAAAGGCTCCCTGTGAAATGGTAATGTGTCATTATGCAGCTTGCCTCTTCTCATTTTTCTTCCGTATGTTTCATCTCTGCTCAATAGTGTACCATTCTGACTTGGCTCTATCAAAGTGTCTCTCTCGTAGTTGTACTCATATGATTCATGTTCAGTAAAAGTTATGTTATTCTCCATAAATTCCTCTTGATTTTTAACGATATTATTATTGTTCTTTGAATCGAAGATGAGTTTACTTAAAAATAAAGTTATTCCAATCAATATTCCCCATTTTAAGCCGTAGATTCCTGAGCACAAAACCACAGAAATAATAAAGAGTAAATCTTCGAGGTTAGCCATATTGAATTATTTAAAACTACTGCGCATGCGTTTAGTTATGAACTTCCCGCCGCTGCTTTAAACCAATCAGTAATCAGAATGAATATTTACGAAAAGCAGCGTCAGCGATATGAATGGAACAATGAAACAATGACAAAACCAGGGACAAAACTGACCAAACTTTGAAAACTTTGACATTAAACATTGACAAAATAACAAAACATCACGACATTATTTTATTTATTACTTGTCTAAACACACTTAAGAGAAGAATTAATTAAAAATAACGTTTTCTACCATACATAGAGCAAAAATGAAATAATTACTGGATCAAAATTCTTTTTGGATATTTATAGTTATATCATTGCTTCTCTAAGCCCCAGTCTTTTGTGCTTATTCATATATACCCCATAACTAAAGATGCCTACATGACTATATCTATACATGTTGGTAAATTTACCAACATGATTGTACTATATCATTTATTATATAATATGAAGAAATGAAATAAATGGTGCATTGACTAATTATTTCACTAATTTGAAAAAGTGGAGCTTTTACAAGTTACATAAAAGATTAAGATAAAATTGAATTTTATACAAATTTTGGCACGTGTACCTGATGTGATTCTAAAAGAAAAATATCACACAATCTTAAACATGGAACAAAATATATCAATTTGTTCAAAATAATGTACACATCTCCAGAGGAATTTAACAAAATCATAAAAACACAAATCATCGTTTTCTAAAATCATACCTCATTCATTCGTAGAAAAAATAAAAGCAGCCAATATAGAAATACAGATCTAAGGACAAAATGTAAATCTATCTAATGGCTGCTTGTCATTTATGTCTTCCACCATGACGTCTCTTCGATGGAGTTTTCTTTTCAAGTTTATGAGCAAAACTTTCACGACAAATGGGACAGCGTGTTCTAAAGGACAGAAAAAATATTTCTCATAATCATAAAATAGACTGTTGGACAATGTCAGGAGATGACGTTTGGTATAACGTCAGTAGCGCATAAATGACGTTTGGTTTAACGTCAGTAATACATAGATGACGTTTGGTATAACATCAGTAATACATAGATGACGTTTGGTATAACGTCAGTAATACATAAATGACGTTTGGTATAACGTCAGTAATACATAGATGACGTTTGGTATAACGTCAGTAATACATAGATGACGTTTTGTATAACGTCAGTAGCGCATAAATGACGTTTGGTTTAACGTCAGTAATACATAGATGACGTTTGGTATAACGTCAGTAATACATAAAGTTGGATTCATTTTTGGATTTTCGTTCAACTTACATTCCTCTTCGAATCATTTCATTGGCGCATTCTTTATGAACTTTATGAGAACATGGTAATATTTGACAACCTGTGAAAGCATCCTACAATAAAATATTGAAAATATTTTAAAGATTTGAATATGAATTTGACTAAACATTACAAAATGAAAGACGAGCAGCAACTATAATGAATATTTACCATTTGTAGCGGGGTAGAGATACAATGAGATAGATTTTATCGTAAGCAGAAGCAGTTTTAGTTTTGAGAAAAGAATTATTGAATAATGATAGTGAGAAAGTAAAAAAGTTGATGGTAAAAAAGCAAGTGTCCAAAAAAAGGTATCCACTATGGTGACGGTTGACTTGAAGAGAGATATATCATTTAAAGGTCGATAAAATTTACCTAACAACGGTGAAAGTGCCATACACACATAACAGCAACTCGTGTATATAACACTGAAAAGTCAAGAATCATTTGTTTTATTCTATTCATTGTGCCTGAATAAATCAGCAGGAAAACTAAAGTAAATGTTTACCTCTAAACATATGCAACATTCATCATGTGCAGAGTTTTCTACATTTATGATTACCACGCAGTTGTACATCAAGACACACACCACAAACATCGCAATGAAAAGAACGATCTCCGTGAACTCTAATGAAATATAAACGTGTCAAAAATCAGTTTAGTGCTTAATATTTATGATTATCTAACAAATGAGATCAATCAGTTATAATTGGAGAACGTGTTTTTATTTGGGTACATTTGAGTACCTGCAAATTCCACATTTCTCGCAATGATAAGGATGGTCGTCTTTGCCAGTAAGGTGTTTACATAAAGCGCAGAAATATTCGGCAAATTTAACACCACAATTCGTGCACTTTTCACCAAACTAGCGAATTTCAAATGAGAATAGGAAAAATTAAATGAAATGTTTTTACGACCATAACAAACAAATTTCATTTAACTATTCTCGTATGTTTAGAGTAGTTTTTTTGTGTTATTTTACAGCATAAAAATATATTACCTCTTGTACGTTGCTACAATAAGCACATTTGACTTTTTTTACATCACGTGATTTAAGCTTCTTGTTGCCACACGCACTTTGATTGTTATGACAACGATGACAGGGATAAAACTGCTCACAACAATCAAATTTAACAAAGCAATGTCTTTTATAGTGACTACATAACCAGTTACCTTCCCGAGACGTTAACACCACTTCAGAATTCTGGGAATTATTATGGAGCTTTGAATGTTTCTTACCATTACTGCCTGAAAATGGAATACTTTTTGGGAGACCAGAAGATCGCAAAGGATTGCTTGCATTGTTGAATGACGTATCTGTTGAAAGTTAATTATAAACAAAATTTTGCATTAGTAACGTAGGAAATAAAATCAATGAACTATATTGTTTTCAAACATTTTTTCTCAAAGTTTCTTCTCATATTCACGATCATTGAAATGAATATAATTAAAACACAAACTCCGAAGAGAAGGACATCTTGGTTAGGGATATTATTTTGTTTTTTAAAATGTATTAATTTTATTTCATTGCGTTGTTGCGATTTTTGGGTGGAAATTTTCGTGTGTTTGTCGCCCTATTTCTTCGGCGTCTATATCGTATGCTTTTCACATGCACTATGGGGAAAAAGAAATGAAAAAACAAAAAAAAAGTAGAAATTGCAAAATTTAACTTTCCCGTAGGAACAAGGTTTCAAGATATATTCAGTTTAATGATCAAGATATATTGACCAAATGATCACAGCCATCGAGAGCTAAAAACATGGTGTTGATGTTGTTGAGTACTTTAACATTTTAGGAGAAAATCGGAGGCACTGTCAAGAACTGCTCAATAATACACATTTTTCTTTTTGGGCGACATTACAATTCTATTCTCAACGCCGAAAAGCACTTCACCATACACCGTAGTCATTACCATACCATATTCTTTGGTGCCTCCACAGTTAAGAGTAGCAACATGAACCCACGTCGTGACAATGTCGATGACATCGGGCGTGGTGTTTCATGGGATATATGAAAATAACGTTAGAATGATTACTTTAAGTACTACTAGTGTAATGTGAGGTTTACAACAACGTATCAACAACTGCAGTCTCTTAAATTTTTATAGCTGCTGTGATAAAAATTATTTACTTAAAATATACCATGTTGTGCATCAAATATTCTAGGATAGTACATTTCAGGTTGTAAGAGTAACAAAATAAAAGAAATAAAAATTATTTTAAACTTACTCATTGCATGAACTGCATGCACGATTGTGTTTGTTGTAATTGATGATTTCGGTTTCTGAGTTAAAAAATCTTCTGATTGATTTTCATGGGGATGTTTAGCAACAGGGTTGGAAACATTGATGTTTACAGGCGACAAAGGATTAGAAGGTCGCTGAATGGATCTATGAGAGCTAACATCGTTGTTTCTTTTGGGTATGGGTTTGCTTGCAGTTGAGGAATATTGCAACGAAAGACGATCATTTGTTGACATTAATAAAGATTTATAACTTGATCTTGTTCCATGATTTTCTCGTCGAGGTTTTTCATTTGCTGAGCGTTTTTTGAAAACACTGTAATCTCCGGCCAGATAGCCGTCAATAATGTAGATGAGGTCAAATCTGATGATGGATTCAAAAAACGAGTGAAGAACACTTAAATTTGAAGCACTAATGATCAAACGACGATCAAGTTGATGTAAGATTTCTGTTGCATCTTGAGCATGCTCAATTGAGAATTGTCGACGTGCCCATTCTTTCATTGCTGTCACATCAGAAGACAATAATCTTTCAGGGATTGTGAGCAACATCATTTTGTAATTAACAAATAAAGAAGAAGCAACTGAGATTGGTGGCGCACTTTTTAATGATATATTTTCATAATTATTGCTCTCATCTTGTTGAACTGAGAAAGGTAATACATCTTCTTCATTAAATGGTGACATGTCTGAAGATCTCATCATTTCTTCATTATCATTTCTTTCTTGACCACCTTCATTGTTTCTCATTCCTTCATCATTTATTGTGTCATTTTCAATGTTTCCTTCAGGTTTCATTTCAACATTTCTTTTTCTTTTATCACTTATTATGTCGTTTTTTACTTCTACAGGACGTTTTTCCTCAGATTTTCTTTTATTGTAGTTCAGTTCTTGATTTTCATCAAAATATCCATTCATATCATTTGTCGAAATTACAACTTTAGGCACGTCTTTTAAGTCTTCATTACTGCAGTTAGTTGCATAATTACAATTCTTAAAATTTGGGTAGCCGAGCCGTTTCCCATCATTTATAATACCAGGATTATCAATGAAAACATGCTTACACTCTTTAACTTTTTCGGTTGCTTGAAAAAGTTCAATCATAATAGCGTTATGTCGTTCTTCTAACTCTGAAATTTTATGATTCAAACGATTGTTTTCAGAATTAAGACGATCTAAACGTGCTTCGAGCGTTTCATTAGCTTCACTGCCGCTTGTAAGCAAAGCAGTAACGTCATCGTCTTTTTCAAATTTTTTGATTTGTGAAGATTTACTGTTGGACGAGTTTCTAATTTCGGTATTCACATCGACATTCTCGTCTGAAATTTTGGCAAACAAGGTTGAAATGTCTTTCGCTGATTTGTCATTTGGATTTTTCAAAAATTTCTCAACTATGTCCACCGAAACAAGTAATCCTTCAGCTATTTCTTTCATGATTGAAACGATGAGAATACAATTGGAAATAAAAGATTTAGTAGAAGAAGACATATTACTACCATTATCAACTTCCTTCAAAAACGCAGGATTTAATGGAAATGGATTAGAAGCAGGACTTTCAGGAGCAAATAAGAATTGTGTCGCTTTCCGCCCGTTCATATTTTTATGATTTTTTCCCCTTTTTTTCGGACAGGCTTGTATTTTATCGTCATTGAATTTCATGACACCTTTCTTTCCAGTTTCATTTTGATCATTTTATTTTCACCAAATGTTAGAATCTCCACAGACATTTCTGATTTCGTAATATCTTCCAAAATCTTGGAAAAGTAGCCACTTTTCTGTTTCCACCAGGCAGGGCACAATACGTCGCCGGACTTCATATTTCAACTTTTCTCGATTGTCACTCATTGAATCTTGGAACTTTTTCAGAACGAAATTTGAATGTATGAAAATGAATGACCGCAATAAACTGTTTCAATGTCATACACTTGTACAATATAAAATAAGATGTGCTACGACAAGGAAGAAGCTCTACAAGTAACTAAGACCTTTCATAAAATGAGTTCAAAAGCTTTCACTTTCGTTTTGATTCAAGTTCTACGTTCATTTGAATTAGAAATTTATCTTTTAATACTAACTGATCTCTCTAACTTTTATGTGTTTGAGAAATGTTGAAAATTGCTAAATGTTGTCTAAAACGTTGAATAAAAAAATAGAACAGAGAAAGACATACCGACGTTCTTATAAAACACCAACTCAATTCGTTTATTTAAGCTAGTGTTAAAATATCGTCAGCAGCAGCAACAGAAGATGAACCAGTTTGTCCAATAAATATCATTGTGAAATAAGACTCTGTAAGAAAGTAGTTAACCACTTCAAAATTCCCAGACATCAATAAAAACAGTAAAGACAGTTTGGACAATCATTACAAGTTTAACAAATACACAATGAATTTGGTACGAAATATGTTCACAAATAACTCATACATCTAGATTACTGATCATAAACAAATATGAACATTATGATACCGTGTTGAAAATGTTGAAATTTCGAACGTTGAGAGTTAACGTGAAGCAGCGACAACAAAATGCAATGAAGCGGAAATTTCTAACGAAGCAAATATATTGTTCGAATTCAAAATACTAGGAATTTCTTAGCAACGGTCATGCAAACAGTGGGAGTTTCCCATATTAAAATGGGAAAGCCCCGATGGAAAGAGAAACCTGCTTTTGAATTTTGCTCGATTTGAGTGGAATATTGATCATAACCCGAATCATGGGAACATAATTAATTTAAAAGTAAGCCACTTTTTATCGAATGATTTCGATTGGGAATGACCAATTTGCTTGACTAAAACTTTTGTGGGAGTTCCCTAAGAAACCTTGGGAATTACCCTACAGAACCACTCTTGTCAAATAATACTTCAAAAAGCTTACACAACTATATAAAATCAAATCTTAAAATAACAAAGCATTTTGAAAAATAGAAATAAATAAAACAATCAGACATGTACAAAATTAACTTTTTCAATCACACAACACGCTAAATAAATGTTCAGAGGGGTTTCCCCGTAAACAATTTCAACCATGCTACTATATAAGTATACAGAATCAACCTCGTGTACATGCACAGAATCAAGGCTTTGAACACATTTTTAAAACACAGAGGTTGAAAAGGTAAATGAAAATATAAGTAATTGTAAACACAAAAATAATTATGAAAAAAGGTCCGTTGGATAATTGTTTCAACCTTCCATAACAAGAAAAAAATTCAGGTACTCATGCATTAGTCTATATTGGGCAATCATTTTCTTTGTTGTTTCTTCGTAGATTTCTTTTCTAGTTTATGAGCAAAACTTTCTCTACATATTGGACAACGAGTTCTATTATAAAAGAAAACAAGATATTGATTCAGATAGACAAATAAAAAATGTTCAGTATATTTGAGACAAAACCTCACATGCCAAGGTTATAATCTGTCATATAATTTCATATCCACGATCCATTGGGAAAAATTTGAGACAACGAAACATTTAAGTCAGCCACACAAAATGCTCATTAGTGAGAGGTATTAAATATCTTATCAATGAATCACGATATGGAATTTAAACATGGCAACAACTCAACTATAAATATTTAAACGGATATCCTCCTTATTTAGAAAATACATTATACATTTTCTCCCACCACCTAACCTTACAATTTGCATTTCGATTTCTTCTTTTACTTCTCATTAAATTTGGATTGAGTAAAATCAAGAAACAAAATTTTAGCCTTCACCTTTTACACCATCAACGTGGAGAACCAATTCTTCGAGTATTTTCAATTTAAGTTGGCTATATCAACCGATACTAAAGTTTCTGTTATTATTTTAACTCAAGTTGCACATAAGTATATAATATAGACATACTTCTATCGTATATCTATCATATAATCAAAAAATACAGCATGTCCAAGCCCTTTTTATTGTACTCTATGTTTCCTCTGACACGTGATTACGAAACTTTGTTATAGATATAAATGAAAACCTACATTCCACTGCGAATCATTTGTACAGCACATTCCTTGTGAACTTTGTGAGAACACGGCAAGATTTGACATCCAGTGAAAGCGTCCTTTAACAGGTACAAATACACATTTTGATTAAAAGACACACATATAACTAAGAATGAATGAAATTTGTTATTTATATACACTTCATTACCTCTAAACATATACAACATTCATCATGTGCAGAACCTTCTCTACATTTATGATTACCACGCAGTTGTATATCAAGACACACACCACAAACATCGCAATGAAAAGAACGATCTTTGTGAACTCTACATTTTTTCAAAAAAAAAAAAACAAAAAAACGATGTAAATGAGAAAAAGATAGACTGAAATAAAATAAAATAAATTATTGACTGAAAGTTAAAGTTTGTACCTGCATATACCACACTTATCACAGTGATACGGATTATCATCTGTGCCGGTGAGATGTTTGCAAATAGAACAAAAATATTCCGCAAATTTTATTTTGCATCGTGAACAAAATTGTTGAAACTGAAATATTAAGAAAAATTTCGCATCAGTGTTGTTACTGACGTCATCAAAACAATGGCTGACCTGAGTCATCAAGTACACTAATATTTATTTATCATGAAATACATACTGGTTGTTCTAAACCGCAACGAGCACACTTAACACGCTTCGCGTCACGTGATTTTAACTTCTTCTTTTTGCCACAACTGCTTTGGTTGTTATGACAACGATGACAAGGCCAAAATTGATCACAACACTCAAACTGAACAAAACAATGACGTTTGTAATGGGTACACAACCATTGGCTACCACTGCTGACCAATTCATCAAAAAATGACTCCAAACTACGTCTGTCTGAATCATCAGGTCGTATTGGTTTGGATAATTTCTGTCCATTGCTTCCGTTATTGTGTGAAATATTTTGTTGATCACTATGTCCAGTTGATTGAATGATACTAACTGAAAATCAATAATTATTACGTCAGACGTTCATCAACATGACCATAATCAAAGATTAATATAAACTAAACAACAAAATTTCATGCCTTACCATCATCACTTCTTCCACCATCTACCACGATTGTATCACGTGGTAATGTCGTGCTAATATTTCTTGACTGAACTTTTCCTACCATGGGATCACGTGGTAGGGGACTAGGATGGTCCGTATTACCTTGATGATACGTGTGTCGTGATGTTGATTCACGTGATTCTCTAACGTTAGATGTTGCAAAACCAGACATCGTACGTGACATCTCATTTCCAGCTGTAGTATTAAACCCAGAATCTCTGTGACGTTTTCCTCTTGAAGTGGAGTGATGTCGCCAAGATGACACTCCAAATGATGAAGGTCTACTTTGTGAAGTTGATCCAGGATGAAATGAACCCAGTTCTGCGATTGGTTTACGTATTCTCAATTGAGAATAATCCCCAAGAAGATATTTATCAATAAGAAAGATGATATCATATCTTAAAAGCGTATCAAAAAATGTTTTCAATCGACTGAGATCGAAGATATTAATAATCCTTTTACGAACCAATTCTTGAAATATCTCTATCACACTTAAAGATGAACTTATCTCGAACTCGGTCCCCACCCAATTTCTTAGAGCAGTTATCTCAGGCTTGAGAAGCTTGTTTGAGATGCGAAGAAGCAGAAGGTGGAAATTATTTTCAATATTTTGATGAACACCAATGTGTAAATCGTCAGTTAAACTACTTGGTGTGGATGTAAGAGTTTCTTGATTACCATGACCATCAATTTCAATGTTTCCTACATCTGATCGCAACATTCTTTCATTTTCTACTGCTTCATTAACATTGAGAAATTCTCCAGATACAACTGCATCTGTTTGTGTTGAAACTACTTGTGAAGTATAAGTATTTTGAAATATTTTATGGCGTCTGCTTTCATTTCGAATCTTGCTCATTTCAAAACTCATACGACCAAGTTCTGTAAAAGTTTCCTGTAATTCAAGTTCACGTCGCGAAATTTCTTCTCTCAATTCATTATTCTTACGAGCTAGCTCATTGACCTGTGACTGTAAAACGTGTCTTGTATCTCGGATTTCCTCATTTAAAGATTGAATAATTTTTATCGCCCTTTCATTTTCTTCTCTCAAACGTTCAACTTCACTAGAAGAATGATCTGTGTTTGTAAACATATCAAATTTTCTTTCATCATTTTTATAAGAAGAAAAATTTTCTTCATTACATGCTGCCTTGAAGTCGTCAATGTGATGTTGTAGTAGAACATCTAGTGAATTATGGGGATCATGAGGAACATCATGAATCATTTCAACTTTGTCTGTCTTATTATAGTTTGTTTCATAGTTTTGGGTAGACAAGGAAAGATCATTAAGTAACTGTTTCAAAGTTTTCAAAACCAAGACCAAAGAGGAAGACTCTGATTGGGAACAATCTAAAGAACTATCTTGGGATCCCTGTGATACGATCGAAATCAGCACAGGACCAGGTTTGGTGACAAGAATATTAAAAATATTATTGTTCAATATTTGGGTGTGAAAGTCTTTTGAATGATTGCTGACAAGACTTCTCAATAAAGTTTGAAATCTCTTAAACTCTTCTAGTGATTTTACATAAAGGTGTAAAACAACTTTTTCTGTTGGATGCATTAAATCTTGAACATGAATGGTCCATCTATCGACATTTTTGTATGCTTTATTTAAAGATGATGCCAAACTCCAACGTTTCAATAGCTGATCAACCAAATTTTGTTCTTTCTTCTCCTTTCTTTCATCAGAATTTGTATCCTTGACCATCCATTGATATCCATTCTTTAATACTTTCACACAACTTATCATCAATGAATCCATTGCTAATGCACAAAATACACTATACAGACTATAAAAAATAAATCTTGTTTCGTAACATCTGTACATCAATAATTATGTAACAGGCACATAACCAGGGGGGGTACACTGGGTGCCTGTATATCAATAATTATGTAACAGGCCCATAACCAGGGGGGTACACTGGGCGCTTGTGTACAACGACACTAAACCACTATTTTATGGCAGATACATTGACAATATTTTTTGAGTCCCCATATTGTTGAAGTCAATTGGGTGTTTGATTCTCAGTATTCATATAAAAGTACAGGTACCAAGTTGAGCCAGACTTAAGAAAGGGTGTTGGTAGCATACAAAACACTAACATCAGTTAAATTGCCAAAAAATGGGCATTATGTATTTATTTTTCTTCAAATGTGCACCTCCCTTCTTTAACCTTTCATGATAAGGCAGTGTAAAATTCTTTAACTTTCAAAAAGAACATCAACTTATCATCTGTCATTCTGCTACATCAAGTCTCATAAGGTCAAATGTGAATAAATAATTAATAATTTTATCCGCCCATGGAAAGAAAAATTTTATGAATATTTTTTTACAAAGTCTATGATTATGATCATGATGGGAAAATGATTTTTATTCCGGCTATAAGTCCTTTCTTTCATTTGTATCTTGAGTGAAGAACAATTTAAAGCTGATGAAGTGTAGGGTATCATGTCTTATAATCAATTAACCGGAAGAATCAAAGGTTAATTTATCATTTCGTCAGAGAAAATTAACCAATAAAAAAACACTATGGTATATATTTAATGATGGTCATTCATGATAATTCGTTGATAAAGAAGACGCTGATGAATGACACTGTACGACTGAAGGATCGAAGATATTTCTGATTAATGTTTCTGAACTTTATATTGGTACACCTTTGTTAATCACTGTTCAAAATATTCTTCAAGCTAGTTCTGTTCACAGATATACGGTAAACTTAGTATCATAAACACTGTTTAATTAAAGCATTGATTCTGTTTGGAAACTTAACAGTTATACAAAGGTAAAATCTGAAAAGTCCTTGAAAAATCTTAGAGAATATTTTCAACGACATATGCTCTCCTCATGAACTAATATCGACAATATTTTGAAAGCAAATTCTTATCAAAATTTGTAAATTATTTGCGAATAATATCATAGTTATAACAAACCTTTATCAAATTCAACAACGAGAATCTATTGCTCTTTAACTTTTTCGTAAATGCAGCGAAAAATGATGTTGTGTAAGCAATATTTTTAAATAATTTTCCTTATACGTACTTGGTTTGCAACGAACAAACGACTTAAAAACGCGAAGTTCAGAAGCATTGCGCATGCTCGTTGTCCCTCCCAAATCGTCCCCATATTCATCCCGCACACCTGCGCACATCACAAATGCCACCACCACCACCCCAGACACACGCACACAAAGCTTAATATGGATCATTGAAAACGTTCATCATAAATGATTTCTAACGATGATTTGAGCCAATCCTTTTAATCCGCTTTTACCCGTTTTTAATAAGACGTTGCCGCTTAATGTTCTTTGAAAGTTACCTAATTTCTTTCCTAGAATGATTCTTAAAGTAGAAACGTTTCAAAGGTTAATCTTGGTAATGCATGCCTTGTTTAACTTGGACATGAATTTACTACAAGAACTGCAGCATTTTAACATGAATAATGACGGTAATGGCATCGAAACTGTCATAACTTCTCTTAGGGAGAATGGACAAAATGATGCAGCTGATCTTTTACGCATCACCATTCAAGGTAAAGTTGTTGAATTTTGGAAATACATTTTTAGTGTTTTTAATAAATTCACCCAAATCAATGTTTCAATGTTTAATTTCCTCGCACTCTTTTTTAGTACCAGGAAATCTTTATCCATTAGAAGAACAGGAAAGAAATCTTTGTTCTAGGTTGGAAAGTGCTTACGGCAGGAATAGACAAAACACCGATAGCTTGCCCGAGATTTGTTTCCGGTTGACACGTAATGGAAATCTTTTACAACAAGAGCAAGGTTTCCAACAAGAAACACAGCCAAGTAATGACAGGCATCTTCCTCAAGCAGAAAGACAAGGAGAGAATAATGAACAATCAAGACATCACGGTCAAAACAATTATAAAAAAACTGTTCATCGTAATTACGTACATTTGGAAGAAGATCACTCTCGTGAACCTGTTTTTGGTCAACCTGTAGAACCAATCAGTAGCCCTAGACTAGAATGTACTACTTGTGGAAGAAACTTAGAAATAGAGGTATTTTGATAAAGGCTGCAAATGAATTTTTCACAGTTGTAATTATAAAAACACAGACACCTAGTAGACAAAGTCAACTTTTAACAATTCTCTAAAGGACAGAATTCACGTGGCAGATCGTACCAAAAATCTTAACAATCATGGTTTTCTACTATCACTATGTTTTACATTTAACTTACAGTTTCAATACTGCACAATTTTTAACAATACGACTTAAGTCTTTGTAAGAAGATGTTGTAAAAATTTAGTGTCACAAACGTGGACGATGTAAACTACTTTAGAATGAGTTGAAGACGTCATTAGAAGTGTGGAGTGCTAGAGTAAATAAGTAATCGTTATTAGTAGATCATTTGTCAAACCTAAATCCAAAGTAATTTATTTTAGACATCGGACAGTAGTCAACGCAATAATCTGAAAAATGTGCTGTTGCAAATAATGCAAAATTTAGACGAAAGGCAGAGGACTAGTCTTTTGCACGAAATATGCTCGTGTACGGAGATAGAAAATCCACGAAGATCTATGCAAGGAAGAGAAGTCATGGAGTTTTTGATGGGTCAGTTACACCACTTGCGTCGTCAGGGAAAATGCATTATATGCGTGCTAAAGTATGCTTTGCAAAGAATTGGATGCACAAATTTAGTAACGATAACAAGATTATTGGGCTGATTGCACGAAGTCATTTCAGTCAAAGTTTAGTTGTAATTTAATTGTGTAAAAAATTCTAAATTAAAAAAAACGCTATGCGTCGAGAATGCGCTAAATGTAAATAGCTATCGAGATATTTTCAAACTCAGGCAAAAATATTCTTTTTATTCAAATGCCTCTGCATTCTATTGTATTTTTTCATTCTGTTCGTTGACATGTAAATAAACAGTAAAACCGATTGCGATGAATTTAGAGGAGAAATCAATATCAGAAAAAAACAACTTTTCTTAAGTTTTCGAATTTTAGAAACAAATATTTATAAGTAATTTTTTATAACAGCATTAGATAGAAACAATAGCAAAAAGGTAAAAAAGGTATATTGATATAATCAAACATGACTTTTTTGTTTAACATTTGGTATGAAATATGTTCACAAATAACTCATACATCTACATTACTGATCATAAACAAATATGAACATTATGATACCGTGTTAAAAATGTTGAAATTTTGAACGTTGAGAGTTAATGTGAAGCAGGGACAACAAAATGCAATGAAGCGGAAATCATTGCGTAAACAATTTCAACCACGCTACTATATCAGTATACAGAATCAACCTCGTGTACATGCACAGAATAAAGGCTTTGAACACGTTTTTAAAACACAGAGGGTGAAAAGGTAAATGAAAATATAAGTAATTGTAAACACAAAATAATTATGAAAGAAGGTCCGTTGGATAATTGTTTTCAACCTTCCATAACAAGAAGAAATTGGATGTACTTAGTCTATATTGGGCATCATTTTGTCCATTCTCCCTAAGAGAAATTATCACAGTTTCGATGCCATTACCGTCATTATTCAAGTTAAAATGCTGCAGTTCTTGTAGTAAATTCATGTCCAAGTTAAACAAGGCATGCATGACCAAGATTAACCTTTGTAACGTTACTACTTCAAGAAACATTCGAGGAAAGAAATTAGGTAACTTTCAAAAAGCATAAAGCGGCAACGTTTTATTAAAAAACGGATAAAAACGGATTAAAAGAATTGGAGCAAATCATCGTTAGAAATCATTTATGATGAACGTTTTCAATGATCGATATTAAGCTTTGTGTGCGTGTGTCTGGGAGGGGGCATTTGTGATGTGCGCAGGTGTGCGGGATGAATATGGGGATGATTTGGGACAGACAAAGAGAATGCGCAATGCTCCTGAACTCGTCTTTTTTAATCGTTTGTTCCTTGCGAACCAAGTACGTGTAAGGGAAATTAATTAAAAATGTTGCTTACACAACATAATTTTTTGCTGCATTTTCGAAAAAGTGAAAGAGCAATAGATTCTCGTTGTTGAACTTGATAAAGTTTGTTATAACTATGATATTATTTGCAAATAATTTACAAATTTTGATAAGAATTTGCTTTCAAAGTATTGTCGATATTACTTCATGAGGAGAGCATTTGTCGTGGAAAATATTCTCTAAGATTTTTAAGGAATTTTCAGATTTTACCTTTTTATAGCTGTTAACTTTCCAAACAGAATCAATGCTTTAATCAAACAGTGTTTATGATAGTAAGTTTAGCGTATATCTGTGAACAGAACTAGCTTGAAGAATATTTTATTGCTGACAGTGACTAACAAAAGGTGTACCATTATAAAGTTCAGAAACATTAATCAGAAATATCTTCAATCTCTTCAGTCGTACAGTTCGTTTCGACAGCGTCTTCTTTATCATGGTCATGAGCGACAATCATTAAATATATACCATAGTGTTTTTTTATTGGTTAATTTTCTCTGACGAAATGATAAATTAACCTTTGATTCTTCCGGTTAATTGATTATAAGACATGATGCCATACACTTCATTTGCTTTAAATTGTTCTTCACTCAAGATACAAATGAAAGAAAGGACTTATAGCCGGAATAAAAAATCATTTTCCCATCATGATCATAATCATAGACTTTGTAAAAAAATATTCATAAAATTATTCTTTCCGTGGGCGGATAAAATTATTAATTATTTATTCACATTTGACCTTATGAGAGTTGATGTAGCAGAATGACAGATGATAAGTTGATGTTTTTTTGAAAGTTAAAGAATTTTACACTGCCTTATCATGAAAGTTTGAAGAGCAGAGGTGCACATTTGAGGAAAAATAAACACATAATGCTCATTTTTTGGCAATTTAACTGATGTTAGTGTTTTGTCTGCGACCAACACCCTTTTTTAAGTCTGGCTCAACTTGGTACATGTACTTTTATATGGTTGAAATTGTTTACGGGGAAACCCCTCTGAACATTTATACTTAATGATAGCGTGTTATGTGATTGAAAATGTTGATTTTGTATATGTCTCATTGTTTTATTTATTTATATTTTTCAAAATGCTTCGTTATTTTAAAATTTGCTTTTATACAGTTGTGTAAGCTTTTTGAAGTATTATTTGACAAGAGTGGTTCTGTAGGGTAATTCCCAAGGTTTCTTAGGGAACTCCCACAAAAGTTTTAGTCAAGCAAATTAGTCATTCCCAATGGAAAACATTCGATAAATAGTGGCTTACTTTTAAATTAATTATGTTCCCATGATTCGGGTTATGATCAATATTCCACTCAAATCGAGCAAAATTCAAAAGCAGGTTTCTCTTTCTATCGGGGCTTTCCCATTTTAATATGGGAAACTCCCACTGTTTGGACGACCATTGCTTAGAAATTCCTATTATTTTGAATTCAAACAATATATTTGCTTCGTTAGAAATTTCTGCTTCATTGCATTTGGTTGTCGCCACTTCACGTTAACTCTCAACTGCAATAAAAAAAAATCTGAGGAAAAACGTCCTGAAGAAGTAAAAAACGACATAATGAGTGATAATAGAAAAAGAAATGTTAAAATGAAACCTGAAGGAAACATTGAAAATGACACAATAAATGATGAAGGAATGAGAAACGTTGAAGATGGTCAAGAAAGAAATGATAATGAAGAAATGATGAGATCTTCAGACATGTCACCATTTAATGAAGAAGAGGTATTACCTTTCTCGGGTCAACAAGATGAGAGCAATACTTGTGAAAATATATCATTAAAAAGTGCGCCACCAATCTCAGTTGCTTCTTCTTTATTTGTTAATTACAAAATGATGTTGCTCACAATCCCTGAAAGATTATTGTCTTCTGATGTGACAGCAATGAAAGAATGGGCACGTCGACAATTCTCAATTGAGCATGCTCAAGATGCAACAGAAATCTTACATCAACTTGATCGTCGTTTGATCATTAGTGCTTCAAATTTAAGTGTTCTTCACTCGTTTTTTGAATCCATCATCAGATTTGACCTCATCCACATTATTGACGGCTATCTGGCCGGAGATTACAGTGTTTTCGAAAAACGCTCAGCAAATGAAAAACCTCGACGAGAAAATCATGGAACAAGATCAAGTTATAAATCTTTATTAATGTCAACAAATGATCGTCTTTCGTTGCAATATTCCTCAACTGCAAGCAAACCCATACCCAAAAGAAACAACGATGTTAGCTCTCATAGATCCATTCAGCGACCTTCTAATCCTTTTTTGCCTGTAAACATCAATGTTTCCAACCCTGTTGCTAAACATCCCCATGAAAATCAATCGGAAGATTCTTTAACTCAGAAACCGAAATCATCAATTGCAACAAACACAATCGTACGTGAAGTTCATGTAATGAGTAAGTTTAAAATAATTTTTATTTCTTTTATTTTGTTACTCTTACAACTTGAAATGTACTATCCTAGAATATTTGATGCACAACATGGTATATTTTAAGTAAATAATTTTTATCACAGCAGCTATAAAAATTTAAGAGACTGCAGTTGTTGATACATTGTCGTAAACCTCACATTACACTAGTAATACTTAAAGTAATCATTCTAACGTTATTTTTGCATATATCCCATGAAACACCAAGCCCGATGTCATCGACATTGTCACGACTTGGGTTCATGTTGCTACTGTCAGCTGTGGAGGCACCAAAGAATATGGTATGGTTATGACTACGGTGTATGATGAAGTGCTTTTTAGCGTTGAGAATAGAATTGTAATGTCGTCCAAAAAGAAAAATGTGTATTATTGAGCAGTTCTTGACAGTTCCTCTATTTTCTCCTAAAATGTTAAAGTACTCAACAACGTCAACACTATGTTTTTAGCTCTCGATGGCTGTGATCAATTGGTCAATATATCTAGATCATTAAACTGAATATATCTTGAAACCTTGTTCCTACGGGAAAGTTAAATGTTGCAATTTCTAAATTTTTTTGTTTTTTCATTTCTTTTTCCCCATAGTGCATGTGAAAAGCATACGATATAGACGCCGAAGAAATAGGGCGACAAACACACGAAAATTTCCACTCAAAAATCGCAACAACGCAATGAAATAAAATTAATACATTTTAAAAAACAAAATAATATCCCTAACCAAGATGTCCTTCTTGTCGGAGTTTGTGTTTTAGTTATATTCATTTCAATGATCTTGAATATGAGAAAAACTTTGACAAAAAATGTTTGAAACAAAGTAGTTCATTGATTTTATTTCCTACGTTACTAATGCAAAATTTTGTTTATAATTAACTTTCAACAGATACGTCATTCAACAATGCAAGCAATCCTTTGCGATCTTCTGGTCTCCCAAAAGGTATTCAATTTCCAGGCAGTAATGGTAGGAAACACTCAAAGTTCAATAATAATTCCCAGAACTCTGAAGTGGTGTTAACGTCTCGGGAAGGTAACTGGTTATGTAGTCACTATAAAAGACATTGTTTTGTTAAATTTGATTGTTGTGAGCAGTTTTATCCCTGTCATCGTTGTCATAACAATCAAAGTGCGTGTGGCAACAAGAAGCTTAAATCACGTGATGTAAAAAAAGTCAAATGTGCTTATTGTAGCAACGTACAAGAGGTAATATATTTTCATGCTGTAAAATAACACAAAAAGTTCCTCTAAACATACGAGAATAGTTAAATGAAATTTGTTTGTTATGGTCGTAAAAACATTTCATTTGATTTTTCCTATTTTCATTTGAAATTCGCTAGTTCGACGAAAAGTGTACGAATTGTGGTGTTAAATTTGCCGAATATTTCTGCGCTTTATGTAAACACCTTACTGGCAAAGATGACCAACCTTATCATTGCAAGAAATGTGGAATTTGCAGGTACTCAAATGTACCCAAATAAAAACACGTTCTCCAATTATAACTGATTGATCTCATTTGTTAGATAATCATAAATATTAAGCACTACACTGATTTTTGACACGTTTATATTTCATTAGAGTTCACGGAGATCGTTCTTTTCATTGCGATGTTTGTGGTGTGTGTCTTGATGTACAACTGCGTGGTAATCATAAATGTAGGGAAAACTCTGCACATGATGAATGTTGCATATGTTTAGAGGTAATGAAGTTTATATAAACTTCATCAATACTTGGTTATATGTGTGTCTTTTAATCAAAATATGTATTTAAAGGACATTTTCTCTGGCTGTCAAATCTTGCCATGTTCTCACAAAGTTCACAAGGAATGTGCTGTACAAATGATTCGCAGTGGAAAGTAGGTTTTCATTTATATCTATAACAAAGTTTCGTAATAACGTGTCAGAGAAATCTAAATGCAAATTGCAAGGTTAGGTAGTGGGAGAAAATGTATAATGTATTTTCTAAATAAGGAGGATATCCGTTTAAATGTTCATAGTTGAGTTGTTGCCATGTTTAAATTCCATATCGTGTTTGATTGATAAGATGTTTAATACCTCTCACTAATGAGCAATTTGTGTGGCTGACTTAAATGTCTCGTTGTCTCAAATTTTTCCCAATCGATCGTGTATATGAAATTATATGACAGATTATAACCTTGGCATGTGAGGTTTTGTCTCAAATATACTGAACATTTTTTATTTGTCTATCTGAATCAATATCTTGTTTTCTTTTATAATAGAACTCGTTGTCCAATATGTCGAGAAAGTTTTGCTCATAAACTGGAAAAGAAATCTACGAAGAAACAACAAAGAAAGTTACGCATGACCCTTCAAGGTAAAGTTGCTGAATTTTGGAAATACTTTTTTAGTGTTTTGAATAAATTAACCCAAATCAATGTTCAAATGTTTAATTTCCTCGCACTCTTTTAATACCAGGAAATCTTTATCCATTAGAAGGGCAGGAAAGAAATCTTTGTTCAAGGTTGGAAAGTGTTTGCGGCAAGAATAGACAAAACAGTGATAGCTTGCCCGAGATTTGTTTCCGGTTTACACGTAATGGAAATCCTTTACAACAAGAGCAAGGTTTCCAACAAGAAACACAGCCAAGTAATGACAGGCATCTTCCTCAAGCAGAAAGACAAGGAGAGAATAATGAACAATCAAGACATCACGATCAAAACAAATGTAAAAAAGCTGTTTATCGTAATTACGTACATTTGGAAGAAGATCACTCTCGTGAACCTGTTATTGGTCAACTTGTAGAACCAATCAGCAGCCCTAGACTAGAATGTACTACTTGTGGAAGAAACTTAGAAATAGAGGTATTTTGATAAAGACTGCAAATGAATTTTTCACAGTTGTAATTATAAAAACAGAGACACCTAGTAGACAAAGTCAACTTTTAACAATTCTCTAAAGGACAGAATTCACGTGCCTGATCGTACCAAAAATCGTAACAATCATGGTTTTCTACTAGCACTATGTTTTACATTTAACTTACAGTTTCAATACTGCACAATTTTTAACAATACGACTTAAGTCTTTGTAAGAAGATGTTGTAAAAATTTAGTGTCACAAACGTGGACGATGTAAACTACTGTAGAATGAGTTGAAGACATCATTAGAAGTGTGGAGTGCTAGAGTAAATAAGTAATTGTTATTAGTAGATCATTTGTCAAACCTAAATCCAAAATAATTTATTTTAGACATCGGACAGTAGTCAACGCAATAATCTGAAAAATGTGCTGTTGCAAATAATGCAAAATTTAGACGAAAGGCAGAGGACTAGTCTTTTGCACGAAATATGCTCGTGTACGGAGATAGAAAATCCACGAAGATCTATGCAAGGAAGAGAAGTCATGGAGTTTTTGATGGGTCAGTTACACCACTTGCGTCGTCAGGGAAAATGCATTATATGCGTGCTAAAGTATGCTTTGCAAAGAATTGGATGCTCAAATTTAGTAACGATAACAAGATTAATGGGCTGATTGGACGAAGTCCTTTCAGTCAAAGTTTAGTTGTAATTGTTGTATATAATTTAGGATATTTCATTTATATTTTTTATTGCATGCCAGATTTTATAAGTTCCCATGCAGAGTTTTATGTGTGCCAAAATTATAATTAAAAATTAGGGTGTATATACTTAACACTTCCTAAGTATTTTCTCTCTTAATTAATTCATGTTGTAGTAGTGCACGTAAGTCACGAAATGTAAACATATAAATAGACTCAAATTTGTAATAGTCGGGGAGATTGTGTAGATTGTTCATTGCTAATAAACTCCATAAAACAAACCGAATCAGAGTGCAGATCAATTTTCTGGACGAACTCAGTGAATTCTGCGACAGTAATTAAAATTGTGTAAAAAATTCATAAATTAAAAAAAACGCTATGCGTCGAGAATGCACTAAATGTAAATAGCAAAAATGTTCTTTTTATTCAAATGCCTCTGCATTCTATTGTATTTTTTCATTCTGTTCGTAGACATGTAAATAAACAGTAAAACCGATTGCGATGAATTTAAATGAGAACTCAATATCAGAACAAAACAACTTTCCTTTAGTTTTCGAATTTTAGAAACAAATATTTATAACTAATTTTTTATAACAGCATTAGATAGAAACAATAGCAAAAAGGGAAAAAAGGTTAGGAGTTATTGATATAATCAAACATGACTTTTTTGTTTAACATTTCATACAAATCTTCAGTTTCCATTTTTTCTTCCATCTTTATCTTTTTTACATTTTGGACACACTGTCCTAGAAAGAAAAAGATAAATAAATGAAAAACAACGATATCAACAATTATTTTGTTTCATTTTTTTTTTGTGAAATTATATATGATGGCTGACAACATACTTTCCGTTTTTCGTTATTTGTTTTGCGCATTCTTTATGAACTTTATGTCCACAAGGAAGAATTTTACAACCAGTGAACGCATCCTATGGGAATACAAAATGAAACTTGTGTCAAAAAAATGACAAAAGTCAAATAAGGAAGCAAAATTAAATAAAAATTTAAAAATATATTATAAGTTAAAAATTTATCAAGGATGGATTGTATCACAGCACAGCCACATATGGAAAATTTTTTTCATATGTTGATCGACTGAGACATCCGGGAAACCAAACTTACTTCGAAACACACACAACATACGTCATGCGCAGAACCTTCTCTACATTTATGATTACCACGCAGTTGTATATCAAGACACACACCACAAACATCGCAATGAAAAGAACGATCTCCGTGAACTCTAATGAAACAAAACATTTAAAGATCACTTTATCAAAAAGTAAATGAACGTATATCAACGAATTAAATTTGTTAAAGAAAGAAAAATGAAAAATTTCGTTTAAAAAACCAACGAACCTACAGATTCCACACTTATCACAATGAAATGGATGGTTTCTTTTGTCTGTCAGGTGCTGACATATTGCACAAAAATACTCTGCAAATTTCAAGTTACATCCAACGCAATGCGGTGATTCTTTAGGAAAATCTTGAACAAGACCACATCGTCGACATTTAATTTGTCGTATATCACGTGATTTAAGTTTCCGCTGTGCACAAGTAGTTTGGGCGTTGTGGCATCGATGACATGGCCAGAACGATGAACAGCACGAAAATTTTACAGTACAATAACGATTATAATGTTCACATGGATAATTTCTGCCTTCAATCCACGATTCACTATTATTTTCGGTACTTGTAGCAGAGGAATTACCAATGGTCATCGTACCTAGGGCATTGGTGACAGGGGTTATTGTACCTGGGGTATTGGTGCCTAAGGCATTGGTACCTGGGGTCATCGTGCCTAAGGTACTGGTACCAGATGTTATTGTACTTATGGTATTGTTGACAGGGGTCATTGTACCCAGGGTCAAGGTGACAGGGGTCGTTGTATCCTGAGAATTGGTACCAGGGAAAGCTGCGATCGAAAGAGGTGTGTTTTGATATGAAGAACGACCATTAGCAGTTTCAGAACCATTGAAAGAAGCATCAAACTTTCCCTCAATAGCATTCAATCTTTCAGTATCAGCAATATTAGCAGGTCTATTTCTTCCCATCCAATCAAAGGCTTCCGTGTTAGCCTGGACAGAAGATGCTGAATGCACAACTGAATCCTCTTCATTATCTTGTTCTTGCATAGAAAATGATGAGTACGTTGAAGTATTTTGTGCATTAGTTCGGTATGTTCTTTTTAAACGTCTATCAACGGTGGCATCAGATGTCATAGTAAGTACCGATGTGACAGGTAATGAACCACCATCAACGACGTCTACACCACTAACATCGTTACCATGGTTTCTGTTGCTCGATTGCGATATAACATGGCTATCATTACGTTCATTACTTTGCTCTCGGTTTACAAGCAGAGTTTGGGGAGGCAATGATTCTTGATGGCGAACTTCTTCATTAAAGCTGCGTGATTGTGCATTAGGATCAGCAGTTATAAAGATACTCATGTCACCTTCTTTAATACAGTCTAACATATGAACTAGATCAATACGTTGGATCTCAAAGAATGCATTTCTCATATAATCTGTGTTTTCATTATGTATCATATCACGTCTCACTAATTCTAGAAAAAACTCAATTCCATTTGGAATTACCCTTATCACTCTTGCTGGTACATCTCTCTCCACAAACTGTCGTAAATTGGTCCAATCAGATTGTGTTAACCTTGTTACAGAATATTGAAAGAAAGTTCGTAATGGTAGTGATTTATCAGCACCTGCTCCATTATTAATGTCAGGATTTGACTTATTTTTTACTGACGATAGTCCACCTGTATCCTTTAGAGTACATAAGAGTCTGTGAAACATTGTGTAAAATGCTTTATATATGATTTTTTTTTGATACATCATTTCATTCAATTCCTTCTGAAAATTATGCTGACTCATTAACGGTTGTGAACTACTTAAATCTGTTTCATCCAAACAAATACGAGAGTTGATAAGTTTTGGTAAATCATCATTTATTTTCTTCAGTTTTCTAACTTCATCTTTTATTTTATGAAAGTCTTCAGTGGGAACTATCCTTTTTTCATCAGATTCAAGTACATATGATACACCTTCACATATCCATAAACATACCCATTTATCATTGGTTTTCAAGTTTAGAGTATTCCTTAATGAAATAAAGTTTTCATGGCAATCACAAGGTCCACTTCTTTCAGTAAAACTTTGTAGGTTGCATAACACAAATATATCCAAAAAAAATGTGTTGAAAGACTCTTTAAAGTCTCCATTTACCAAAATGATATTGTGACCACTATTTTCTATTGTGTTTTTCCATTTTTCAGGTTCCAAGCATTTGATATGTTGTATTATGCCATCTTGGTCTTTGAAAGTCTTTGACTGTGGTATGATAAGACAGTTACACGACTCAAGATTTTCCCAAGATGTTGCATGAGAATCACTCATAATTTGACAACACTTTTTCTTAGGTACACAAAGTTCTTAACACAAAGTGCCAAATTAAAATGACGAATCAACGAGAACATATTTTTTAAAAGAAATTTTGAAAGATCAGCATGAATAAGCAAAATTATATGGCACATGATTATAAATTTTTCTTATCAATATATACATATATATTAATGTATATTACATAATATGCATGGCATTTTTAAGTGTGGTGCAATTAAGGTTACATTATTAATGTTTTCATTGGAGTTTTTAAAACCAAATTTGGACCTTTGTTATATATGAACACGTAGCACTTTTAAAGGGGAAAATTATTTTCCCCCAAATAAAATTCTTTTCTCTCTGAACACTTGCACAAAATTTTATTAAAATACATCTTGTGTTAACATTACCGATAAAATAAAACTCAAATGATCCACAACATTTGATAAAATTATTCAAGATATTTTTCTCTCCATTCTTACATCAACGACAGACAAAATGGCCGACATCACAATGAATTTTAAAATTGTACATTTAAAACATTGATTTGAAATTAAAATTGTTTTTAAAAACTGAAAAGAAATATGCTCTTCAAAAGGCCTTCATACCAAAGAAATTGCTGCTTCATTGAAATAAACCCACGAGAACAGAGAGCAAAGTCATACTTTATATGTGTATAGCTCATTTTAAAATTTAATAATGTATATACGTCAGCCAAAAAGTCAAAAGTGCTGCGTCATTCGATTGGCAAAATTTACTCAAAATGTTAATTTACCGTCAGCATGCAACATGAAAGCGAAAATTTTCGATAACATTGACAAATTTGATGATTTACCTTACTATTTTGACACCAGTTGACAAGGTTGCTTTCCTTGTTTTTAGATAGTTAAATATTCTCTTTATGCCATGATGTATCTATACAAAAACATACCAAAATAAAATACAAGAATTTAAAATATTGTAAATTTCAACAAGAAAAAGGAAGTTCTTTTACCTTCAAACGAAATGCGCTTATTATATACTTAAACGGTAATTTAAAAAATGCAAAATTTTATCCAATCCGATGTCAGAATTAACAACGACACAAATTTAAATCATTCATAAGACCTAAGCTTGGTATAGCCAAAATGCTTATATCTTTACTCTTTCCGTTTACATCATTGGAAATTGAGGAAATATGATATTTAATATGAAGTCATACAATACAGATGTTTCCTCTTAACTAATGATTTGTAATCACATGAAAGATGAATGAGATGTTTTTAAGGAACACTTTTTTTCGAGAGAGTTCAATAAAGTTCTAACTCAAAAGAGAGCTTTTGCTCAAAGACTAAAAATATTGTAAGAAATTTCACTATTATTTCAGGCAGTCTGTTTAGGTTTATACAAAGACTATTTGCACCATTATTTTCGATTTCCTTTTACACCTTTGTCGTCCAAAAAATGGTATGAATTGATTGAAAACATTTTCATTTTCCGTTTCTCCACACTAGTAGAAATATCATCTGATGTCTGATCAACAAACGTCCACTATTTTATCTACATGTTTAACATCATTATTAACAAATAAATAAATAAAAAAAAATAAAAAAAGCAAAATCTTTATCATCAAAAATTTGAAAGGGTATCACAAGACTGCAATATTTCATGACTGCTATAATTTAAGAGTGAGAAATCTCATTCGTTTCGTGATTTATCGTTGTCGTTGACGTCACTTGACCCACGAGTTTTGAAATCATTTCCCGGCTCGACTTTTAAAAAAAGGAACATATACAATTGAAAAAAAATTATTGAACTTAGAAAGACATATTACGCGTAGTTTGAAACCTTTATTATATCTTTGGCTCGTTCAGTTGCCTCATCAGCTCGCCTCCGTTCTTCATGTAAAGCTTTATAATGATCAATGTTATCCTTTTGTAAAACATTCTGAATTCTTCTGCATGAAAGATAATAAACAGATCAACAGTTATCATGACAAAAAAGAGAGAGAGTTGTACAAAAATTATTCACCTATAAACAAAGAACTATCATTTACCTTGACTTCTTCAATTCCGACTGAAGATTGGTGAATTTATTTTTAAACCAGTCGTGAGCTTCTTTTAAATTAACAGCGACCTTAATGTGTTAAACATAAACTTAGTTTTCTTGAAACTTTAAGAAAGCCTACAGGTAATCTTAGTATTGACTGGAAATTATAAATGAAATATCTCGCCTAAAATATTGAATATAGTTGACCTGATGTGACTCAAAATTAGCTTCATTTAATTGTCGTTCTGTCACATCGTGTTTCACTTTAAGATGTTTTTCACGAGATTTCAATTTCTAAAAATTCGAATAACAAAATCGATGAAAAACAACAATTCACAAGAAACTAAAAAATAGAAGAAAAAACTATGCAATCAATGATGTATTTCTTGAAATAGATAATATTATAAATAACAGCATTCTCACTTCACAAATCAGTTCAGTTTCTCTTCGACGCTGTTTTTCTTTTTTGATCCTCTCATCTTTTTGCCTTGACGATGTAGAAAATTGTTTTATGATTAGGATAATTCAATTTACTGCATGGATAACACGGTTGACTATATGGATAATATGGTTCACTACATGGATAATACGGTTGACTATAGGGATAATACGGATCACTACATGGATAACACGGTTGACTATATGGATAACACGGTTGACTGTATGGATAATACGGTTCTCTACATGGATAATACGGTTCACTATATGGATAATACGGTTTACCACATGGACTATATAAAGTCCACCATATAAAACAGGGTGACTTTTTTGGATATGTAAATTTATAGAACTTTACTTGCAAAGTAATTTTGTCTCATGTTGAGCTTGTGCTAATGTTTGAAATTCCTCCTGAAGTTCTGTTAATTGTGAAATGAAATCCTGTAATGAACGGGCCTAGGAAGATATGGGATAAAAGAGAAGATAAAGAAGTAAAAATTTGATGGAAAATGGGTTAAAAATTAAGCAACAAACCGAACCTGTTCAATATTATTCTGATTGTATTCAATTTTCAAGTTTTCCAATGTTGTAAGTTCACGATTCATTGACTGAAATGAAACGATTTTCAATCAGACAATTTCAATAAAAAACTTTGAATAAAATAAAGTTTAATGGATCTTTGAGTACACCACATGATAGATTGAATGCACCACGTGATAGATTGAATACAACAAGTGATAGATTGAATACACCACGTGATAGATTGAATACAACACGTGATAGATTATTTACCGTAAAAACGTGTCACATATACACAAAGTTATAAACAAAGTTACTCTTACTTCAATCTTATTATGGGCAACTTCCAACTCTACTTCTTTATCATTTACTCGTTTGACACAATCATCCAGTTGATGTTTTGTTTGTTTTAATTTTTCTCGTAATTTCTTAATCCTACCATCCATCTCTTCTTTTTCGCTTTTAAACCAAACATTTTCCTCTTTCAGAGAGTTCTTTAGCTTCACTATTTCCTGAAAATCTTTGCGAATCTAGAAGAAATAATTATTTGTTTATTTTTTCATGAAAAAAAAGTGAACAAAAAAATTGGCGGAATGAAATGATGAGCAATCGACGTTGTTTAGTTTGATCAACGTCATACGTACGTAGACTTAAAATTTATTGAGTATCCATTTTTACCTTACCAATTTCCTTCTTATGATGCTTCTGAATTTCCTTTATTTCAGCATCATATGTTTTTCTAACCTCGTCTATTTTCGTCTCCATTGTAACAGCTTCCACTTCCATCTCGCGTTTAACGTTAACGGACGAAGCTCGAAGTTTTTTTATTTCATTATTTTTTAGTTTCAATTCGTTTGCCATGCCTTCAAGAGATTCTTGCAAATCTTTATTGGTCTTCATTAAAGGTTCTATAGTAGCGAGTAACTTTTCACGATCTTGCTCAAGTAAGTGAAGTTTATCTACATCTTCAGACTTATCATTAACGTTTTGCACGAGTCGTATCTTCAATGTTTCCACTTCTTGATTCAAATTCACAATTCTTTCCTCAGTGTTTGACCTGCGAGTTAAGATTTGAGTATAAAGTGTCACGTAAACATGTTTTGAAAAAATTTATTTACTTTTCTCTCTCCAAATGTGCCAAGCGACTGTCTCGTTTGCCAAGCTCAGTTTGTAACTGTTCACACAGAGACTGGAGGTGAGTATGTGACGTCATAACGCCATTGAGTGTTTCTGCCAATTTCTTATTGTCTTCTTTTGATTGATTTAAGGCAGAATGAAGCGTTTTTATCTGTACGAAAGTAAACAAATTTTTCGGAGCACAGTAATTATTTCCGCTTTAATTAAATACCTGTTTTGAATGTTTTTTTTCGTAACTTTCTGATTCTTGTATGACTTTTTCTGCAACTTTCAAATTTTCTCTCTTTGTTTCATTAATGATTCTATCTCTTTATCCTTTGTCAATAGAAGGTTCTTTAGCTGCATAAGAAATTTACATGTTTTAAATGGTAGAACACCAAAGTCAATAAAATGAGCAGAGATGACAACCTCATTGAGATGTTTTTCAACGGTCTTCTCCTTTTTTTGTAACTTCTCGTTCTCTGTCTTTAAAGCAGATATTTTCTGGAGTTGAACTAATCATAACACACAGATGATGAAAGATTCAGTTATGTACTTACTGATAAAACACCATTTTCATATGCCAATCTTCTTTTATCTTCAACCATGTTTTGAAGAGCAATGTTTATACGACTGTGATTTGTCTACGAAAATCAAGTGATTAATAATTTTATACGTTAGTTGATTATGATGGATTTGAAGATAAAATTGATGAAAATTATTCATTCAATATGTTGACCTGCTGTTGTTCAAGAGTATCAACACGAACTTTCAACATCTCACATTGATCAGATAATTTTTTGTTTTGATGATTTAAGGATTCATTCTCAACCTCAAAAAGTGAAATAATTTCATGATAAAACAATTTGGAAATGGTTACTACAGGAAATGACGTATGTACATACTACGTTTCTCTACATCGTTCTACACTGTATTGGACTATATAACTATATTTGAAATCCTCTACTTCCTCATACATAACTACAATCACAATTGCTACATAAAGTATACTACATACTCAATTTTACTATAAAATACTACTCAATGTAATACCCAGATCCCTTGGTGTATACTTTTCTACACAATGATTGATTCCATGCCCTTGACTCCATGCTATCCTACACTATCCTACTCTGCTCTATTCTAGTGTAACTTTACCTGCATCTGAGAGCAATCCGACAATACCTTTCTGTCATCAAGCTCCGCACTAAGGCAAGTCTTTTCAGAAACAAATTTGTCCAAGTCACGTTTGATCTAAAAAGAAACCACATGAAATGAAATAAAGTCAAAGAGTTAAATATTGTTATTGTAGATGATATGTCAAACTTACTTCCATTAAAACTTTATCATTTTCTTCAATCATATTTTCACGATCAGTTGTTAACTTCTCCAACACTTCTTTGATGTTGGACAATTCTTTATCCTTTAAAACATTATTGAAAAAATCATCATTGAAAAAATTGTCATTAAATAAAATAAAAGATAAAAATAAACAAACCTTTTCATCCAGTAAAACTTGTTTTGTATCTCGATCTTTTTGTAGAATGACACTGTGTATAATTTGTTTTTCATTAAAATATGATTAAAATAAAACAACATTTATTTTACGAAACTATACTCATTTTACATTTCTTTTTCTTTTTCAAGTAATTCTTGTTTCTCTTTTCTTAATTCCTGTAAAATGCTTTCTTTTGCTTCATCCAGTATTTTATCTTGTTCTTGCAGTTTGGCAGCAAATGCTTTCTTTTGTTGTTCAACAGAATCACAATGTTTGGCTACCAAGATCTTATTATCATCTTCCAACTTCCTTTGAGTCTCTATCATTTCTTTAAAACGTTTCTCTAATTCAAGATTGGCATCCTATTTATTATGAAAAAAATGATGACATGATCAATTCAAAGTTATCATAAGTGGATTTCATTTATTAAGCAATGGAAATAAAGAGGAAAATAAATGAAATGATGCTGTACCTTAAGTGTGTTGTTTGATTGTTGTGTGAACTCCTCTTTCTGTTTTAACTCTTTGTTCTCATGTTTCAACATCATCAAGCTCAACTGTAACGTCTTAAATCAAATATCCAAACTCTATAAGACTAAATAGTTCTAGACAAAAATATTCTAAATATAACTGCAAAGAGTATACCTGTTTGTCATTTGAAATAGCCAACAGTTTAGATTCCATATCCTCTGAGCAAAGAAGCAATATCTTATTTCCATAACAAAAAGGAAAGTTTATGTATTAAAGAAATTTCTATTATTATACAACCTGTATCATTCCTCAATTTATCTACATAAGTCTCCAACTTTATTCTTGTTTGATATTCTTTATCATATCTTGAACTTGTCTCGAGCAACTCTCTTTTTAATTTCATACAATCACCAGACAACATTTTCATTTCATGATTTTCTCTTTCTACAATTTTCTCCATTTCTGTTACACGATTCAAAAGATCAGATTGTGAATCTTCCAAGTTCTTCCGCAAATTTTTCTCCTTATTCAATGCTCTACTTAACTATTTAAAGCAAAAAATGTGTTTCATCACACAAATGTACAAACACTTTAAAAAATAAAATAATTTCACTTACATCATCAGCATTTTTTGCAACTTCATCTTGTGTGACATACATTTCTTGTATCTTTAATACAATATCTGAATTTGTCATAGCATCACAATTCAATATTTTTCTTAATTTTTGAAAATCCTCCTCAGTTTGAGCACGAAATCTTTCACTTTCCCCAAGCGATTTTTGTGTTTTTGTCAAATCTTTCTTGAGTTTCATAAGTGTTTTCTCATATGATTCGTTTGCATGTAGCGTCTTCGTGGCACTATTTCTTGTCATTAAAGTATTCTCTGCCTCAAGACTTACTAAAGCAAGTTTTAATGACTGAACTGTACTTTCAACATGACAAACTCGACTCACAACATCTTCATAATTCTTCTTCATTGTGTCATTGTAACCAACGATATTTTCACTAGCTTCAAATGGTGCTATTGTTTCGATAACATTCTTTCTTTCAGAATTATTTGCTGGAGCAGCTACGCTACTAAAACCATAGCTAATCAAGTTATCCGATAGGTTCTTCACTTCAGATTCTGCTTCATCTAATTTCTCGTGCAACAATTTCAAAGTCCTTTCAGACGATGACTGCCTTGCTTTGGAAGGAGATAACACTGCTTTGTTCATCTAAATATTTCTTGTTCACAATTCTTCTTAGAAAGTCAAACATACACTACACATTTAACTGTTTATTTTTGAAATTTGCGCCAAATCATTTAGGTTTACGTTCTTCATGTTTTGCATGAATCTCACACCGATTTTTTCCGAGTATTTCCGAAAGTTGACGAAGGAAAGATAGCAAAAGAAGTGTCGTAGTTATGGATAATATTGCTGAATTTCTGATAGGTTCAACTGCTGCTTGTGGAGCATGTCTTTTCACAAATCCATTAGAAGTTGTAAAAACACGTATGCAGCTGCAAGGAGAACTGCAAGCAAGAGGAACATATGCCAGACATTATCGTAATGTTTTTCATGCCTTTTATACTATAGCAAAAGTTGATGGAATCATGGCATTGCAGAAGGGACTGGTACCTGGTCTACTATATCAGGCTGTGATGAATGGTATCAGGCTTGGTTCCTATCAACATATGGTTAGTTCTTCTCTTGTTCGGGATTCCGAGGGAAATCTTATTGCATGGCGATGTATCCTTGCAGGGGGTATATCAGGATGTTTGGGGGCATTCATTGGAAGTCCATCTTACATGGTAAGTTGCTGAATGTAGAGCTTTTCCTCTTAATATTTAAACAAGATTCATTGTAGAGAGGTTTATATATACATTTGTATTCCATGATTTTAGTTCAAGACCCAGCTACAGTCAAAGGCTACGGAAAGAATTGCAGTTGGAACCCAACATCAAATCACAAGTGTTACTAGTGCTTTCAGGGATGTTTATGGACACTTTGGGATAGCAGGACTGTGGCGTGGTGCAAGTGGTTCTGTATTACGTGCAAGTATTGGTTCAGCAGCTCAACTTTCCACTTTCTCCATCACTAAACATGCAATTGCTAAAAGGAAATTATTTGAGAAAGACAGTTTTATGTTAGGAGTAACAGCCAGCTTTTGTAGCAGTTTTGTTGTTTGCATTGCTATGACTCCATTTGATGTTGTCAGTACAAGGTTATACAACCAAGGGATTGATAATAAAGGTCATGGTTTACTGTATAGTGGACCTTTAGATTGCATAATTAAAATATTCAAACAGGAAGGGTTTTTGGGTTTCTATAAGGGAATTGGAGCACAATATTTTCGTCTTGGCCCACACACAATACTAAGTCTTGTCTTTTGTTATGAATTAAGGAAACTTTATTACAGGTTTCGCAAGGCAAGGAGTGAGTAGTTTTTTCAATTAATATAATCATGTAATACCAAATATAGAATTAATTAAAAATGCAGAATGTAATTTCTTCTTAAAATACATTTGTTATGTAACAGAACATAGACATAGAAATAAAAAATTTATTGATTCAAAACAACTGAACATTTCAGTGTTGTTGATACATTCTCGTTTATAATAATACCAACAACATGGTCACCACTTGTTGTAATTGCTTCCTGCATTTCAACGCAATCAACAGGAACAACGACACCTAATTTTTTACGGCATTGTGTTGAGATATCTTTGGCTGTATCTTCCAAGCTTCTCCATTGTCGTTGATCGTAATTTTTAACAAAGTCTTCTCAAAGAAAGGAAGGATCTTGGGATCCTCAACTTCATTTTTAACTCCTTTCTCTTCACGAACTTTCAAATATTTCGCTTTATTTTCATCAGTTGCATATACTGCTCGCCTGTTAAGGATTAAGTCATTTCTACCGTAGCCACGTTTTACTTGCACAAGTTGTCCAGCAAAACCTAAATTTGGAACATCTTCTTTCAAAATCAAGTTCAACCTCGGTTTCTTGTTCGCCTTTTTGTTAACTTTAACCAACTTTTTATAGTCAAATTTCTGAGTTCTTTTGTTGAAATTGCGGCAAAATGAATTTCCTAAGTAGTAAGTTGAACTTCTAAAGATAACTTTTCCTAAGTTCATGACAAAAAAAGCTGCTAAGGCAGCAGAAATTCAACTAACAAAGTTTATTAGACTTTCGCCATATTGAAATCGACCGCGTGGAAAACTGGTAACTAAAGTGAGAGTGAGACATACAGAAATACAGATGTCGTTACAAAGTAGATTCAGACAATTTTTCACTGTCATCTAGCAGCTCAACAACAGCATGGTCCCAAATTAAGAGCGCAGATGTTCACATTGAATTCTACTCAGGTAATACGTGTCTTTCACCCACGGCAGAGTTTCATAATTAACATGTTTTGTATTTTTGTTAAATAAAGACGCCCTATGAAGAGAAAGAAAAGTCAAATGAAGAAAGTCTAGGGGGAACTTTCCGTCAGTCAGACTTGTGACTCATCAGACAGACTTTATAACAGCTCACATTTGTTATCTTACTTATCAACAACACATATATATACAAGACTATAAAAAGCAATGTTACTTTGAGCTTTCGTTATTTCCTTCAGGAAATGAAATGTCTGAAAATTCTATTAATTTTTCCATTTTCAATTACATTAAACATAGCCCATTTCAGTGAAAATATGATGCATCATTATTTTTTTGAAAAGTATACATGTCAATTTCCATCAACGTTCTCTTGATATTAAAAATGATGCTTCAAATGACAATGACGACGATGATGCTACAATGAAACGAAAGCTGATATTTTTAATTAAGAACATGAGTGCTTTTGAGTGATCATCATAGCAAAAAAACAGATTTCGATTTGTATCTGTACTAACATACTTGAGCAATTTTATGAAAACAGCCAACATAGTTTGTGGCTATTTTCTTATAGAAAAACGTCACAAAACTTTACATATGTAAAGTTATTGACGTACACTGAACAAGACATATGCTTCTGCAAAGCGCTAATGAATAAAGTTAAAAATATCTCCATGAATATCTTTGGTTGCTATTGCGCTCACGAAACATGCTGTAAGAAACCAAAATTACTTATTTTAATGCTAAAGCAGTTTCTCCGTGGAAAATGCATTTTTTGGATGAAGAGTATTATTGACATAAAAAAATAAACGACATCAAAAAAATAGTTTACATTTAAAATAGCCATTGTAGGTAATCATAAAAGCAGCTGCAATGCAAGGAGAGCGAATGTTCTTATACTGATGTCTTGATTGGATAATACATTTCCTTTACGATGTTATGATTGGGCAGTTTTATCGATGAACAGCACCTGTGTTAAAAGGATGTACACAGGACAATTTATAAATCTTACTTTGCGTTTGTTACGTTCTAACAAATGTCTTGACAGTCTGACTGAACAGCATGATAAACCATTCGCTCGCAAGAAGAAACTGCTAAGAAAGGATATAAACACCAAATTATGGAACAACGAGAAAAAATGTAAAAGTGAATAAAAACAAGATGTCTGGATTGATTGTTGAAGATTTAAAGACGAACTATTTTCAATTGAAGTCATCAAGTCTCTTTGTTACTGGCAACGGACACATCGCGACTACATTTGCATGCTTATGTTATGTGAATGGACATGACGATAAAGTGAAAGCTGTGTTTGCTTACGACAACAGCAAATCCTTTATCATAGATTTCAGAGCGACTATAAAACAGCAAAATGTTAGCACTAAACATCTTCAATGTTCAAATGAAATCGAAAGCAAAGATCAAAATTATTTAATGATAAATGTCGGTTATATTCCGCCTCGTGCATTAGTCATGTTAGAGATAACTGTTGCAGGAGAGTTGGAGGTTGCAGAACAAGCTTTGGTCTACAAAACTCCACAGACGTTTACACCATCCTGTTTGGACGAAGTGATAAGCAAGGAGAGAGAGTGTCAATTTCATTTGATCATAAAGATGACTTTTCCCTGTCAATTAGCTGGCTGCTTTTCATCATCGCATGCCATTCAAGTTGATGGAGATATTGATGAAACTGGCGCTAAAGCTGTCATTATCACATTGGCTGAGGATTATAGATATGATAGAGATGTCGAAGTTCATTTTTACCTTGCAAAACCATTAGATTTGTTTAGTAGCATAGAGCATGGCTACTTAGTTGACGATAAAAACTCTACAAAAGAATTTCTGACTGATCATTTATCTGAAACTACAAAGAACAGGAAAACAGACGAAAAGTGTAAGAACTTTCCAGAATATTTACTGAGTGAGGATTTCTTGTACAAAACAAAATCAAAGAGCAATTCAACGCAGGATTATATGAAAGCAAAAGATAGTTTTGAGGTTGAAATAGAGAGAATGGAAGAGAATATTCGTTGCTCAAAGAGTAAGATAAACTTTTCTCAGCAAAATAATCAATCACACATTCCAACTTTTATTGACTCAAAGAATCTTGCTTCATCTCCTAAAACAAAGATTTCCAACAAAAAGATTACAGACAGCACACTTCAGTTGAACAGCTGTGAAACGAAAGAAATGTTTCGAGTGGGAGAAAAAAATGTTTTCAATAGATGCAATGTTCAACTCGATGGAAATGACACAAAAAAGCCGAATACTTAGTTCATAAAAGTTTGTTAAAAATTTATGAGTGTTGCAAAGAGCTCAGACAAAGTTCGAAATTAAAACACGAAGAAAAAAACTTTAAAATGGACATAAGTGAAAACAACAACATAAATTTAGATTCTATACTTGCTGTAAGTTTAGTCCTCCTTTTGTCAAACTATCCTGTTTGTGGAGAATTTATCTTTATGCTGGACAGAAGTGGCAGTATGAGCGGTTCTTTTATTACCAATACAAAAGAATGTCTTGTTCTTTTTCTCAAAAGCCTTCCGACTTCTTGTTATTTCAATATTGTTAGCTTTGGATCATACTCACAATCTCTCTTCCCCACTAGTCAGCGATACAGTGAAGATAACCTAGAAAAAGCTTGTGAATATTTAAGTGGTATAAAAGCAGATATGGGAGGTTCTGAGCTGTTGCAACCATTGAAGGCCGTGCTGGACGCACCAGAAAAAACTGGTCATGTGAGGAACATTTTTATTTTTACTGATGGAGATGTCGCTCAACCTTCAACCATTCTGAATTTTGTAAAGATGAAAAGGCGTGGAGCAAGGTATGGAGAAAATATATACATTTACATGGATGATATCACCAGGATAAGTAAAGCGTTTAAACTAAGATTTCTGAAAGAAAATTACTTTTATGTAATTAGCTCATCTATACAGTATTTAATAAGTAAGTTATCTTAATTAATATTTTACAGGATATTTACGTTTGGAATAGGTCCAAATATCTTTTATGAAACAGTCAGAAACATTGCAAAGCTTGGTAATGGTAAAAGTTACTTTGCTCAAACTGATGGCAAAATTCAAACCAAGGTACACTGAAAGAAAATGGTTTTATACTTTATCATGAGGATGAAGGAGACTTTTTTACCTGAGTAGGATTACTAATCAGTCTTACCCTTTATTTTTATTCTTTACAAACTTTATTTTTTCAGATGATTGAATGTTTAAAAGAATTTTTAAGACCAACTCTTTGTAATGTCAAAGTTGATTGGGAATTGCCACATAATTGGTGCGTAATACGACCAGCTCCTACGATACCTTATATAGTCAGTGGTCAGCGTACTAACTTATATACAGCAGTAGTTTTCCCAGATAAAATCACTCATCACCAGTCGAAGAGACGAAATCAAGTAGTGTTAAAGAGTTTTGGTTTGATGAAGAACTCGAGTCTTGTCAACTTGGAGATGAGCTACAATGTTTTAAGCTTGAGAAGAGTACTCTAAAGTCATTGAGAAACGACATTGATGCTTTGATGGAGTTGAATAAAAGCCAATTAAACCTTGATGATGCAATAAAAAACTGGAGAAAAACAACTCAGTTCCATTCAACTTCAAGTGATACTAGCACAGATACCGAAGATGAATATTCTCGATTCTCTCCTCCTGAAAGGGATCAGTCTGGGATAACTGTGGATAATAGTTTAAATAACAATGCTCACTTTAAATCCAAGACAAACATTGTACAAGAGAGGGAATACCTGATAAGTGAGGACAGACCAAAGAAAGTTTTTGGTGAAATGAATGATGTCATAACCCACTACATGACAAACAACGCGCACTTTCGTAGCGCATTTTATGCAAATGATATAATAAACAGAACAAAAAGAGAAAACACAATTGACGTTTATAAATACGTTAATTCATCAAGTGATGTTAATGAAACAGACAATCATATGGATTTCGGCTGGGGATGTGTTTCTGTTACTGGATATATTGGCTCAGATTTATACAGAAAAAGAATAGAAATTCCTTCACAACCAAAAGTGTGTCAAGGAGTTGCACTACATCAGTTTGCAGCCGAAAATATCTTTGTTGCTTTGGAAAACACGTTGGAAAGAACGCCTGACAGTTCACATTTAGAAAGGAGTTCCTTTGTTTTGAGTGAAGAATCAAAATCACTTTCAAGTAAGATGTTTGAAGACACTTTAGATGATCCAGAAGATGTTATGGTTTCATCTAGCAGGTAAAGTGTTTAAATGTAAACAAACTTTAATAACATTTTCATGTCGCTAGAAATGCATCCGTAGAGGGAATTTCAAAGCTGAAAATTGCAAACCAAGCAATCACTCAAACTTTATTTGTTTCATGTTCAAAGCTTCAAGTTATCAACAAGAAAACCACCATTAATGAAAACTCCAGAAAACATTTTCGAAAGTCAGGATATTTATAATGTAGAAGTATCTCCGGCGAAAAGAACGTTTGATATGTGCTTGGAAGAAGATGTTATACTTGATAATAAAAAATATAATCGTCTTGAAAGACAAGAACCAGAAGGTTGTGATCACGTGACTTACAAACCACGCCATGCAAGTCGTCGTACAAGTCTCAAGGAAAGACAAGTCACTTTAATAAATAAAGTACATAGAAGCAAATTCATTAATGCCCAACTGGCTTTACTGACAAGGAAAATGAGAAGTATCCAAAAATTGAATGTTTTTGCTGGTAAAATTTTCTTCTATTTCCACACATAGTAGCTGAACATATACTTATTTTGTTCATCCTTCTAGGTCCCTCATATATCCGTTTGATCCTACTGCAATCATGTCAAGGCTACTGGCAATTAAACTACGCTTTTGCGCGTATTGTTGACCTACCTCTCACACAGCTTGAGCTGTCTGCCCCTTTTGTAGACTCGACAATGATTCCGTTGGCAGAGCAAAATGGTGGCCTGGGAATAGATAATTACTATGATTCTCTTTCATTGTGGGCAACGGCTTTGGCCCTGATTTATCTTGAAAGGAAATGGCCAAGCGTTAAAAGAGAGTGGGAACTAATTGCAAGCAAAGCCGCAGCTTGGTTAGAAAGACAGAAATTTCCTTTTGGATTTAATTATTTAGACGTAAACTTGGCAGCAAAACAGGCTATGATTTTACTGGAACAAAAATACAGAAAAAGAGCAAACAGTAATCTCTTGTAGAAGCAAAATTAAAACAGAGTTCGATGTAAAATCGTCTCACAGTTTATTTTCTTATTTCATTGTAAATAAAAACAATGGACGTTGTATTTTTCCTTTCCCATTCGAAATTGCTGAAGTTAGACAGCACATAAATCTATGTATTTTTGAGATTTATCATCAGATTTTCCATGTTCTTCGTCATTTCCTTGATTCGTCCTTCTCAGATTCTTTATTCTTTACAGCATATTTTTTACTTTTTTCTTTATTGTCTTCATTTTTTTCATCATTCTTTTTGTCGAGTTCATCTTTCTTTTCTGATTTATCCCCTTTCTCAGATTTTTCACTCTCATCTAATTCATCATTTTCTTCAGATTCACCACTTTGTTCAGATTCACCACTTTGTTCAGATTCACCACTTTGTTCAGATTCACCACTTTGTTCAGATTCACCACTTTGTTCAGATTCACCACTTTGTTCAGATTCACCACTTTGTTCAGATTCATCACTTTCTTCAGATTCACCACTTTGTTCAGATTCATCACTTTCTTCAGATTCACCACTCCCTTCATCATCGTACTTAGATTTTTCCTTTTTGTTTGATTGTTTCTTATCATCTGATTGCACCTCATCATTACCATCACCACTATAATCATCATATTTGTCTATCTCATCAGTTTCCCCGCTATTAGACTCCTCCTCTTCATTAGAGTGATTCATGTCTTCATTCACAGCAGTTTCGGCAGCAAATTTTCCCAAAGACTTTTCTTTCTCATTTCTCTCATCTAGTCATGCATAATAACATTAACCTTTAAGGACATTTTGTAATTCAATTCAGCAAAGGATATAGAACTTACACTTACCCAACAAAGGTTTACCAAAAGTGAGCGATACGCCGAGAATAAGAATAAATCCAGTAAAATATATGATTGTCGTCATATTTAAAGACGATAAAACCTACAGGAAATGAAATTTTTCATGTCAAGTAACACAATATAAAAGTGCTTTGTTTCAATAAATTTAATTTAGCACCAGGTAAAGGTGCTAATTCTAGATACTCTGATATAATTAATTTCAATACAACTTTAAGTACGAAAACAAACCTTCATATCATCGGAATAAAATTTGAAATGAAAGCAAGAAAGTTTTTTAAAGAAGTAAATATTTTTCTTTTTAAAATAAAAACGTCTCAATAACTGTTCAGGAAAGACGCATTGTTGAACACACAAATGTTAAAAATTACTTTTTTAACGTATATACTTATATAAACGAAATAATATATGAAATTGGCTTTGATTATTTAAGCAAATCTGCCAATATTTGCAAAATAGAAAGATGTTATTTTATTCTTCAAGGAGACAAAAAAAAATGCAACAAACTTTAAAAACTACTTTGAAGAATATATAACAAAAAATAAAATAGTATATAAGTATAAGTAAAATATCCACGAACCTTATATAATGTTTATCCAAAATTACTTCGCTCAACCTTTCCGTGCAATAATCAATAATAGTACATTGAATAGAAAAGAACAACTGGTATCTTATAGTAGACGCAATGGGACCAGTTTTAGATTAGCAGGTGTCACAGACCGCAAATATTATAAACAATATTTCAAGTATAAATTACTTCTTCATTAAATCAATATAGTTTAATCACTTATAAAACAATAATAAATAACAATAAATTGCAAAGTTTACTGAAAGTAGACACAATTTTCAGTTAAAAATTCACGAATTCAAAGCCATTTAAAATTTAGCAATAAATATCATAAATACTTAATGAAAAAATGAGGCTGTTCACTTGTAACCCGTGAAATCATTTAACTAAACACGTTTATCGGTCATTATGAAAACAAAAAAAATATTTGGTAGTACGTATTGAATATGAACACGTGTAGTTAATATTTTTATTTCACGTATATTTGATTGGTGAGAGGCTCGTCACTAGAGCGTTGATTAGGATGGGGTGAAGACTGGAGGGTCGTTGTGGGTGAATATTCATGTATTCAGTTGTGCTCAATTGATTTCATTTGTAAGCAAATTCACTTCTCAGTCTGGCAGAGCTGAATGCATGAATTCTGGCACCTTTCCTTTAGATTAAAATGTTGTAAGGACAGCACTGGTTGGTGGCTTTCTACTTCAATGTGTATTCACTAAAAAGTAATCCATGATATTTGTCTGATTTTCATAGTTAAATCAAATGAAAATGAAAAATATAGAATGATGACAGTATCTTTATAATTTACGTTCATTTTAAAAGTTGCTTCAGTTTTGAAAATAATGCTAAACTAGTCTCAATAGAAATCACTTACATTTCAAGGATTTCTATTAAAAATAACAATGATCTGGTGCATTGTACAAAACTACACTTACTGCAAAGTAATTTCATGAAGCAACTGGTTTTTAATGACCTTTTGTTTTAACTGTCCTTTTGCCTTCCTCATTTTCTTTTCTACATAAATTCACTTACTCAGTATCATACCCTGTGTACAAGTCTTTCTTGTTATAATTGGCTTCTATAGCTTCAATCGCATGTTTCTATAAGTTCAATTGAACAAAAAATATGTTCTGAGGTTTTTAAATTGATACTATGCTCATGTATGAGAGTTTAAATTAGAAGACACGAGAAAAAGTTTAAGATTATATGAATAGTGAAAGACATTTAGTGAGATCTTAAAGGTAAGTGGAAACACAATAAGTAAATGAATATACATACTCGTTCATCAACAACCAGTTTAATCATTGCCATTGATTTCTTAACCTTATGCAATCGCTCTGGCGATGGCATAACAACCTGCAATCTTTTTGCTTCCTCTTGAACTGTTAATAGCATGTTTCGTTCTTTTAACAAAACATACCTATGTTAACAAATTACAAAGATAGGCTTTATTCTCAATGACATCAATATTCTAGTTATCCATGGTTATCCTTCATCAACTCCCATTATCATTGGCAATTTAACCTTAACATTATTGCCCATGGCTCCTGTATCGGAGATGAATGATATGGCTAGAGAATACCAATTTCTATAAAACCATGTAATGCCTAAAAAAATCTACTATTGATCATGTAATATCTCTAACTTTACCAAAGTTTATGCAAGTCTTCATTGCTTTTCTGTCTCAGCTCAGCAGCTCTCCAACGTCTCCCTAGAAATAAAATATACAATTTAATATTCTTAATTAAAACATCTCACTTTGCAACAAATGATGTAGAATATATATTTACCAGATTCGACCTGCTCTGGTAATGGTTGTTTATTCTGTAACACTCCAGGAGGAAAGAACTCCTCAATACCACAATACTTTTGACATATGAATACATCTTGGCTGTACTTTAGTTGGTTTCAATGGTAATATATAAAAGTGTAATTGACTCAATTTTTTTTTCATTGAATATGAAAAATTATTTACACAAGATTTTGTGAACTCTAAATGTAGTAAACGGTACCTTGACAAGGAATACCTGTAAACCGTATTTACTGAAATATTTTGGAATATTGAAACGGCCGCCATTACTTTGGTATCACTGACCTCAATACAATACATGGAGTATGCACATTGAGTATGCTTCAAAATATTGGTGTCGAAAAAAATCCTCTAGGCACAGGTTTTATCAAAGTGAATACTTTTTCATCATCCCTGGATGAATATTATTCATTGCAAAATGTTTTATCAAGTAAAAACTTATGTAATGAGTTGTTTGCAGTGAGATAAACGAATATAAGACAATATACAAGTTAATTCTTAATATTGAAAACTTCGATGAGTTTGTATATCATCGAGTAACTGTTGCAGATCATCATCTTCAAATCTTCCTTCAAGGCTATGAAAAAAATAATCAAATCACATAAAAAAAACATTTTATTTTCTCATTTCATCTCATTTAACTCTTGAACAAATGGTAACCTACCTTGGTATTAGTGATTTTGCTTCTTCAGCTGATTCTGGGCAAAGATTAGCAAGACAAGCCAATTCAAATCTATGAAGCTTCTTTTTACCCAGCAAACTGGGGAATGAATATTATCGTAAATATACACAGACGGTTTTAATGTGTAAATTGAACAATGAACATCAAAACATGATCAACCAACAAACCTTCTTACGCTAGCTATAGTTTCACGGTTTTTGTAGCGACTAAATTTCTCCGTATACTGTAATGTTTTCATAAATACTTCAGAAAGTTCTTGTTCATCGTCCGTTTCTTCACTTTGTTTCTTTCGATGTTCCAGTAACATGAATACCTCAGAGTTTAACAAGGTTTCCGCATCTTCAAACTCTATACAACAGAATTAACTAGCATTGAACAAATATTTTGAAGAAATGAACGATTCACGAAAAGTGACACAGGTCTTTTACCTTTCGTAAATTGCAATTCAGTAGCGTCTTCTCCACCACCATCTGAGGAAACTGCCGCCATGTTTACTCTCGTTTCAGTTTCCCGCGCCAACTTTTGAACTGAAAGAGGACTGAGGAGGACAGGAATGGATCATGGATGTAAAAGGTGGATATTGCAAGATAAAGGTCATTAAGCGAAGAATGAGCATCTTTGGTAGAAATAATTTCCCCTTGACTTTATGTAACACTTAAAATACTAACAAATGTGCTTGCTATGGAAAGATTTCACGTTTCAACAACTTTCTCATTGTTGTCATTATTTTATCAATTCATCTTGTGCTCATTGTGATAAAGTTGAAATAAGTGTCGTTACCGCAGCCTACATACAAGACGTGATAAGATAGAACCATTTTTTCTGAGGAATTGAGAAACAGTATGATACAATTTAAAATGTTTTCTCACATTTAATTCATCCTATATCGTGAAAATATGTTTGTTCAAATCATTATCTAACTTATCAAGAAATTGCCATACAACTGAGTCATTGATTATGAAGTAATAATGATAAAATTACATTCACTAAGTATAAATAGTACAAGAACTCGCCTGTCATTAATGGGTGCCCTTATTGTTTCAATTATTGCAAAAATTGCTAAAGAGTGTAATTACTCCCTCATCATTAATGAGTGTTCTGATTGTTCCAATTAATGAAAAAATTACTAAAGAGTATAACTTACTAATCAATAAAGAGTGATATAATTCATCAAATTAATGAAAAATTACTACATAGGTAACATTGTGTCATCATTATCATCATTTTCTAAACTAAAGTCATCATCAGCAATAGCATCATCCATTGGCTGAAATTGAAATATTCAAATCATGAAAAAAATTGACAAATACTAAATGTAATATTTATGATACATACTTTGTATCGAGTTGGTTCTTTTCTACCTCGACCTCTACATATGTAATTACAACCATCCTGAAGAAATTAAGTGATTACAATGAAAAACAAAATATCTAAAATCTTTACACAAATTTGCACAGTTTTGCTATAAAAAACATACAGCTTGTAATGCTCCAAACTCTCTCCACATTAAATAATTAGGAATCTGTTCCATTCCTTTTGCACCAACAATAAATCTTTGATAAAGAAATCCCAACAGCAAATAAAGAAAAACAATAATCGCAATGCTGCAATGAATGAAAAATAAGATTCATAAGATTATTGATTGCTAAAAACAAGAGTTCTATGTATTTCACAAAAATTTTAATTTCATTATAAGGATAGAAAAAAAATGAGCACAAATAATTATGTAATGACGTACATTATAATAAACACTGATCCTGGGCTGATTTTACTCTTCTCTGGAGGACATACACCATTATGTTTCATTTCAAATAAATAATAACAGAAATCATTATCAGGTTCATTTGGTCGATACTCTTCGATAATTCTTGGTTTTCTTTTTTTCTTTAACAGAACAAGAATGGTTGAGATTCTGAACAAGAATTACAAATCTAGAAAAACTTCAGTGATTTCAGGGAATAACAATTAGTTAATATTCTACAACTTCCATCTAGTTTTACATTGACAAAATAAATACTTACAGGAGTGGTAGCAGATTGATCACATCCAATATAAAATATTGATATTCTGTTTTTCTTATTACAATGGGTAGTATACTTTTCACCTGTATACTGAATAATTAACCAATCATCTATGAAAAGTAATAAAAATACGAAAAATTTACTTTTAAATGTTATTCAAGTAAATCTAGCTGTAAAAACCAAGTAAACTTACTGCCGCCATAAACGTGGGCACTTTTGAAGTTGCCAAGATCATAAATGTCCTTTGGTTTTTAAGTCATATTGTTCAATTGCAATATCATCTTCGCCTTTTTTGCAAAGATTTATTATGTATTTATATTTCTTGTCTTTGTCATATATCGTAAATTCGCTATAAATGAAACATTTAAAAGAAAATCCACATTAAACACATCCGATAAAAATTGTCATTGATGAATTTTGCAAGCTCTTCACGAATCAGAACATGAGAAATGCACTACCTTGTTCCAGCTAGGTTTCGGGCTTTTTTATTGGCATCCTCATTTCCACCCTTCTGTTGAGGACATACATATTCTGCATGAACAAAAACAGCCAAGTAAAATACAATAAAAATGATCATACATCCTCGCCATTTTTCCGCCATCTTGCGTGATAATCTCGTGACTCCATCCAGTTACGTATAGAGATCATCATAACAAGATGGTGGTCATCGAAGGTAAAATCGCACTTCTCACGTTTCTTTTGTACGTCTTCCTCGTACTTTATGTATTTTTGGGGGAGAATATTGTTCATCTTCAATGGATGGTATCGTTTAAATTCCCTCTGGCTTTATCTCTGACATTAATTGGTGTTTTTCTTCCATATTCTCAAGTGACAAGACGAGCAGCTTTGTTAGGTTGTTTATTTGGCGTTGGTATTTTGTTAAATATGAATTCAACGTACGATTCTTGGTCTTGCCTCGGATGGTACTTATGTTCATTGTCATTCTTTCATTTCTCGGAGTACATAATGATGGCACTGTATAATGAAAATAAACTTTCCATTGACTCATTTTTATTAAATCATAGTTTTGAGTACAAGATGGCTGCCGTAGCCAGTTGGCTGGAATTTTTATTGAATACTATACATTTCCATTCTTAAAATCTCAATTTACTATCAGTTTTCTGGGTCTTATCTTAGTTGTGTTCGGTGAACTGTTGCGCAAGATTGCCATGGTTACAGCGAAAACAAATTTCACTCATTTAATTCAATACAAAAAACGTGATCAACACATTTTGGTCACGTGGGGTGTATATGGTTTGTGTCGTCATCCTGGATATGTTGGTTGGTTCTTCTGGAGTATTGGTAAGTTCATTTCAGTGTTTATAGAGTATTTACTATCTATGTCTTCAGGTTTTAAAATTCTACTTTTACCACCTGTTTTAACTGTGTAGCGTACCTATTTTTTATAACACTGTGGTATACTTTCATATGATTGTACGTCAGATATTAGTTAGATCTAATATCATTCTTGGTGTTTTCCAGGGACACAGATAATCCTTTGTAATCCACTATGTGTCCTAGCCTATACCTTGGCATCTTGGCAGTTTTTCAAGGAACGCGTTGAAGATGAAGAGTTGTCATTGATTGAATTCTTTGGTGATGATTACCGCCTTTACCAGAAGAAAGTTTCAACAGGATTACCATTTATTTACGGTTATAAAGATGACAAATCATAAAGAGCTTGAAGAGGATTGAAATTAGTTTATGATCGTTGTTTCCTCTGTAAAAAACTTCTAATTTTTCATTTACCTTCAATCATAAAAAAACAGTCATGCGAAGAAAGCACAAATAATTTTTATTTAATATTTACATTATTTAGAGTAGACGCAACGCAACTCGTCTATTTTCAACTTTAGTTTTAAAGCAGGTCCCAATTTCATGCCCATTTTATTCGAGAGATGATCTTCAGTGAGTAAAATCAATGCCTGTCCATCGATTTCTTGCTCACGAAACATGTCACAATATTCTGTTGAACCAATAACGGAGCTAACAAACTTACAAACTTCTTCAATACTCCAACCAACTGCAACTATATCCGAACATACGCGACCATTTGATGTTCTTTCTTCTTCCTCAATGCAAAACTTTGAATTTTCGTTTGATGAACAACGAGATTTATTTCCTATAGCGACAGGTTTCGTCATTGTTTCATTATTTAGAGAATTATTCTCCAAAATATCAACTTCGCATTCTTCTCTTTTCTCTTTTTCGTCTGCTGGAACCTTCTCCTCTTGTTCATTTTCACTCTCTTGCAAGGTGTACGGTTTAAAATGTGATGCAAGAATTTGCTTGCCCGGTAATGGATGTGTAAATGTGAAAGGAAACACCGTCGGCATGGCACCAAAATCCTGACGTAAATGCTGAGCGTAAATACGCGACGATACAACAGCTTGATCACGAAGTACCCGCATCTGCGCAGGCGAGGCAACCGATGCTCTAACGAAAGACGGCGACAGTAAACGGGGTGACGTGACGTGACGATGTAAAGCCATATGATGTTGACTATGACCGTATAAGGTATTTGCTGAATACACAGAAGACGGGAGTGTCAAGACAGGGAGATCTAATTAAAGATTGAAGAGAATATTAAAAACAACACAGTACTGATTAGAAGTCAACAAATAACAGATATTAATTATTGTTGTTGTGTTGTTTTTAAATTGACAAATCAATCGTAATCACTAAATCACTTCCAACCTCTTCTTAACGGATCATGAAAAGACTGGACTTCACTGCTACGTTTCACGTCAACACCTATGACGTCATGTTTCCTAGAATTTTCAGCATGATTTTCTATACAAGTCAAACATATACATTATTCATGTTAGTATCATATACTAATACATAGACAACAATGAGGAAGATGACACTGAAATCAAAACAAAGGTTGTTAGAAATACATTTTCTATCTCTCCATTTATCTATTCATAACCTTACATTACACTCTTCCTTACCTGCTGTAGTTTCACTCATGCGTCGTCTTTTCGTGTTAACACGATTACGTTCAAGATCTGGTGAAGAACTACGGGGTCTCCGTACAGAATTAATATGATCCACTGCTGTGTAAACTCTAGGTTCGTCCGAGTGAGATCGCTGGGGAAGGGATTCTTCATCCTGGTTTTCCGACTTCACATGTTCAATTTCATCACTACTTGTCGTTGACGTTGAGTTTTGTCGCCACATTGAGGGGAAACGATCGGCCATCGACTTGTCCGTAAGATATGAAGGTAATTTAGAGAAACCACATTTGTCTGCAAGCCGGGTCCGATTCTAATCAAAGAAAAAATGTCAATTTATGCGTTTCCATAATTTCCACAAAAGACTAAGTATGTTGGAAGATTGGAAAAAATGGAAATGAAACAAAAAGTAAGGAAAACATTTTCCTTACTTTCATACTAAACGACATGTAAACAGATTGCATCACATTGTTGCTTTCCTTTCTTGAGTTTATCAACAATTATTTCTTCATAGCTCTCAAGTTATACACGAATGCACAGTCTTTATCGAATCAAATTGGAAATCGAAGTGGAGCGCTGGTATTTGACTCAAAATGCGACAATAAAACACTTCAGCATGACTATAACTTATGATTAATTAATCACTCTTCATGGCAAAACATGTACTTCATACGGTATCTTAATCATCGAAATAAGCAAGCCTTATACAGCCAAGCACACATACGTGGGCAGGTGGCGCCTACGCTTTGTTGACAACTCTTATTGTAGTCATGCAAGTATAAACAGCAGGCTTTGTTATTCATATCAATGGACATTTCTCGAAATTACGGAGATCTTACTATCAAACTTAATTTGTCTTGTTTGGCTGTGAACATTGCAGAAAATGGCAAAAGTTTAGGTAAAAATAACAGAGACAATGTAAGCGACAAAGCATACGTGACACTAACAAATACAGGTATAGTGGTACCTGTGTCGTTGACAAGACAATGTTTTTACTATTTCATAACTAAGCAGACTTTCGTGAAACCACATAATTTTAAAAACAATATCATTTTTATGAACAAAACAAAGTTAAATCAGACGTTTGTTACAAGGCTTGCGTAGGAGAACTGAGTATTCTTACTCACCACAAATGAAGAATCGGAGACAGAATTTATATACTGAATGCTACTCTAAGATCACGCTTTAAATGGTTCTTGTGTAAGCATTTCACTCAATTTCCGCCTGTCGTAAACACTTGTGGCGTGCTTATATCTAATCTTTGCGAGCTAAAAATAACGATAAATTTCGAACGATTCGCGTGCCTCATATGTCAAGGGTCATCGTAAATCACTAGGGCTATTTTCCTGCTAGAATTTTCTATTACATGGGCGAGGAAAGATGAAATTTCTACAATTTTTTAGTGCATTTTCTTTACGCATCGTAATGAACGTTAATACTTCAGTGTGCAGATCGTAAAAGACTAGTTTAAAAAATCTTAAATCACAGTTGTTGTAAAAAATACCAACATAAAATGAACTTAACTATATTTTGAACAGCAAAAAAACAAGTTACAATAAAAGTGTAGTAACATAATTTTGCATTCATGATGGAGAACACTTCTAAGTTAGGTCTTGCACTCGGAACAAGGTTTAGACTAAATAAAAATGAACTAATATGAAAGCTATGATAAACAAAAGAACTATTTATCAATTAACGGATAGCAAAGCTGTGATTTTCATATTTGCTTTAACGCATCATTACATTCAAAGCAAAGAGAGAGAAACCGTGTCGCTACGACATGTAAATAAACCTTGAACATTTAACGTGCAAATGGTTCTTCCAATCAGTTATCGTGGGCGTAAAAGAAAGCGTGGTATGATAATGACGGCAAAAGTTTAAAACAAGATCTATAGCAACCATATAAACTGCAAACGGACAAAATCGTTAAGTTTACATAGCGTTAAATGTATTACTGAGAAAAACCTTCCTCTAATTTAGGTTGTTGGAAGAATCGCTTGATGGATACAAAATTATTTCATGGAAGTTCTATCTTAAACAAATTATTAATTAAACAAAACAAAACGATTTACTCATTCTTATAACTGTACGATTGTAATTAGTAGGTGAAAAACAATTATGCTCCTTCAGTAAGTACGGAGGCAAGTACCTTAATGCAGGTGGAGAATATAAATCATCCTGCATCCAAAAATGTCTCTTCCAATTACCAAAATATCAATATTTTCAGCTTGAAATAAACCCAGCTGTTTTTTTACGAACTAAGCAGTTGTTTTGATTGTCATAAAGCAGTGCAAAAATTACGCTAATTTATAAGGTGTGTATAGAAAGCTAAAAATACAGGATAAGCCAAAGATAATTAAAATATCGAGAATAACAACTTAAGAATAAATAACTTACGACAGGCGAGGAAACACGACATCCAGGACAGTCACAAATCGGTGGATGAACTTTTAAAAATCCTTGAGCAATTAAACTTTTTAACGACTTCCCTTTGTGTCTAATACTTCGTTTCCAATCTTTGGCCGTCTCACGTCCACAAATATATTGTAGTTCATTTGGCGTCAACCAATCGTTGTCATAGAGAATACAAGGCCCTTTGCTTCCCTGACACAGCTTGGATACAAACAACAACGCACTCTTCTCTCCGCATTGAATTTCCAAAGGTTCTTCACTACCAACGTTGTGTAAGTGCGTTTTGCCATTTCTCTGAAGGGATCCTTGAAGCAACGACCTTGTATTTTCATATATTTTTCCGTTGTCTGAGATTACATGCGTCGAGCTAGCCACACCAGACGAGACGGACGACGGGGCATTTATAACACTCTCACCGTTCATAACGGGTCCTTCTGTTCGCAATGTGCCGTAGACGTTTTGTCGGCAGTGAATTTCACAAAGTTACAAGACGTACAATTGATATATCTGTAGCGTTATCTCAGAGCGCGTCAGCGGGCACCGTGCAATTTGTGGGCGAAGAAGCGAAAAACGCCGTAAAGTCCGTAAGATTAAATACGAGTTTGACGTCACAGATAGCTTATACATGAATAATTAAAGATTTGAACCAATCACCACGCTGCGTGTGGGTAAACACAATAATCGTGGTATTCGAACGACGCGTATTTGGCATAACTTGGATAGCATTCGAGCCGACAATGACAAGTGAACGGGATACCATGTCCGATATAAACATTGACATATGTGTTATATTGCACCTAAACGAAAATATTGGCAAAATAAACAAAGAAAAGTTGAGTTGATGTGACTTACAGTAACACAACGATAGACACTTTTCTTATCTTAATACTCCTCTTCACAACCTTATCCGCTTTATCTTTTCATCAATATCCAACGTCTTCGTGTGATATACAAAATATTGTAGAAAGAGAATGATTTTATTGTTATACAACACAATATTGTATCATGAAACGACAGTTTGTTCTGGACTTTAGGAAAAGAATATTACCAAAGATGTCTTTCATCTTCGAGTGCATTTTCACCTTCCAGAGAAAGAAAAGATGAAAACAGTCAATGAGTTATACATCGAGTGCTTGAAATTTAATACGAGAAAAAGATTTTCTACATTACATTTTAAGCACATCGTTACTTCAAACAAGCATTAAAATAAATCATTTAAATTTTTTTTGGAAGAATTTACGAAGAACATTTTATGAGCGATGAACTGTTGTCATCAATATAAATACAAATCTCACGACTATTATGAGTACAGGGTGTACATACACTTGTCTAACGATTAATGACCGCCTAGACTATCGTTCGATGCCCTTCTTCGGACATAAATCGTCTTCGCCACAAGTATGACAAGAATGTTAATTTCATTAGAGTGTTCAACAACGTTGCCATGGATACATAGTTATCTTGCCGCGTCGCCACAACTGAAATATAATTTACCCTTTGAAATTTGGCCCATTTCTTTTTCTTAAGTTGTAAATGTTAGAAAACTAAGACGTCGAACAAGAGTATATTGATATCAGCTCAAAACAATGACACAATGAAGTAAATAAGAAAAGAAAAGATATTTAAATGTTGATGTACAAACTCAACAGGGTATTACATAGAGGCAATGTTACAGTCTATAGATATATAATGAATAGCACAGGAAAAGTAAATACTGTCGTGTATTACGCAATGTTCACATTAATATGAACGATCTAAGCAATGTTTAATTTAAACCAATGTGTACTTCGTCACATAAATACTATGAGCTTTACACTTGTGTCAACATGAGACATTTCGCCAAATACGGCATTCTAATATACGATGACGTCGTTTAACCACTCATCACCTGTCGCTTCCGGGATATTCTAGCGGCTTCTATCACATTGCAACGATAAAAACATCTCAGGGAAATCCTACGTCGCCTGTCGTCGCCTGATGACGTCATATGAAGCGGAACTGACCGCGAGCCGGGTGGAGTACGATTTCACAGAGATATACACGACAAACGATTGATGTATTAAAAGTAAGCGGACATGGAGCTTAGAAGGAACTGAGCAATCATTTTCTTCAATGTTAAGATATCGATGTAGATCATCCTCACATCAGCCTAGTGATCTCTTTAAATTGCTAAGTTCGTGTTCAATCATTGATAACGAAAATGATACAACTGTTTCGTTTGTTTTATTAAATTCCTAAATGATTGCATGATTCATTGTTTTTATTAAAGATAAAATCAGATTTGCTTAACTTTAATCCAATCGATTAAGCATGCAGAAAAGCTGTATTTCCTTTTATTTCAAGGCGAGTCAAGTTATTAATATCGTCATGTAGAATGACCTTAGAATTTAACCTCACCAAATATAGAATGAAATAGAAACCTTACTTGAAACTTTTTAAGCCCTTTGAAACATATAGAAAAAAACACACCTTCGTATAAATGATCCTTTCTAAGTAAATTCTTAACATAACAACATATGCATTGACCAACTTTTATATTAAAAATATTCTAAATCATATTCGAAACCAGGAATCAAAGATTAATACAAAGTTTCTTTTCGTAGGATCGCAGACGTATGTGTGAACGTCACTCTCCCTGCGTACCCCGAGTACCATAGTGGATCTCGGAGTATGATGGGCTTAAGCTTGCTATTGACATCCCCAAGTAAGATAGCGTGGAGGGGACGAAATCTCCTATCGGAACGTTAACATGCCTGTCCCAAGATGTCGGGAAGCATGGATCATTTTTTGTTTTCAAATTTTTTTTCTGATATGTACGCGTTTTTTATTTAAAAATAAAAAGCGAAAGGCTCACAGCTTTAAGCTGTTGCTTAATTTCTCGTAAACTAAACAAATCTTAGTTAAAGAGCTTGACATCAGTAGATGGAAGCAAGAAAGCTACAAAAATCGTAAAACATCTTGTTTCCATTTTACGTCGTCTTTAAAGGATTTTGGCTCAAGAAATTTACATTTTGCTTTCTGTAGTGCTCTATCTCATAGTGTTTAACGTAAAAACTTGGTGACTTAAATTTTAAATTGAACGCTTTAATCATAAAAGATCGATAATGTTTAGAAAACCTCTTAACATTATGTATATGTTCCATAAATAACATTTAACAATATATATACATATTTATATATATAAAATAGCACGCAAATATTCTTGTGTTTGTAAGTTTTGCCATAAATTTCGTAAAATAATCATCTCTGCAGCGCATGAAAAACAATAAAGTGTAAAGTCACTAACCTCATTATTCCTGTGAAACAACAATACCTCTCAAAAGAACATGATATTGCGTCACTGTTTCACCTTTGACTGTTACTGTGGTGGATGCACTAACAACTGCATTAGTATCATGGTCAGCGGTAGGCTGCCATCGAAATACAATGTCTTTCTTAGCTCCACTCTCCACACTTGATTTGATGGGGTCAAAACTGAAGCCTTTTTCGTTGCATTCTTTGAGACTATCAAAAACAAACTCGCAGGATTTTCGATTCACCATACTTGACTTAATACATCCAACCAAAATACGTCGTTCTATAGGTTTGAAGGACTCCCCTTGTTTGCTTTCGCTCTTGAACATCAGAAGAACTTTTTTTTGAAGAGGCGAGCCTAGTAACATCATGAAATGACTTGAAAGAATGAAGTAAATAGTTGCAAAACTAAGATAATTCAAAAAGAAAACAGGATTTAGACAGACAACACAAGGCTCAAAAAAAGAAATGTTTCCATCTTTTCTACCTTCCTCGTGTTCACTGATGATTTCCGTAAGTGATTTTTCTTGTTGACGAAGTTCATCCCATCCTTGAAGATACATCAATGTCGGAGATGCCCTTGCTCGCAAACGCACAATCTCGCTTACATCATTGTTAACCTCGATACTTAGTTCGTCAGCAAAATATTCACTGGCATGATCAGGGGTAAAAGTGACAAAAATATCCTGAGATTTGCCAGGTTCTATATTGCCTGACGACGGCACACAATCAAATACAACTTGACCAGAATAGTTAGAGCAACCTAAAAAATTCGACATGAAGCCAGTACTTTGACGAAAACATTATAAACGAGAAGTGTACCTATAGCTGGAGATTCTGTTTCAAATGGCATGGTGTTTCGTAATATCGACCGCTTGGATTTCGATAAACTTGCAAAGTTAAGATCGTAGGAGACACGTAATTCAGAATTGTTCTCCAGCTATAAAACCCACAAGTTTGTAGACATTCAACAATGGATGAACTTCACAAAATAAGATCATGAAAAAATTTCAGCACAATCACCTTAAACATCGCAGTTACTGAGTCGTGAACCAATGCATAGCCAAAATCAATGACAGAATTTTCAACATTACTTGCGACAACGGGCGTGACACCTTTACCTCGTAATTTCACATGCAGGCTCGAACGAACACAATTGAACTCCAATACTTCATAAAACTGCAAATGATGAAATCATAATGATGGTAATTTCAACACAAATGAACTTTAGAGAAGACTGACATACCTCTTCTGCTGACTGAGGTGAGAATGAAATGCAGCAGGAGATACTCTCCATACTCTCTAAAGTTCGATTGACATTGAGCAACATAAAAGGACCATGAGGATCAAGGATGGATGTTGATAACTCCAACGTATATGACGAAATGTTTTGAATGGTCAAATCTCTGACTTCTCGCTGTCCTGAATAATTAACATTTGTCAAAGGTTAATCGAGCAATGGGTATGTAAGGGTGGGGGATGACAAAAAGGATGAATGTATGCAAGATTTAATGAAGAGGTAATGATTATATTTAAAGGAATTTTGTCTTACCAACAGAGACTGGACCAAAATCAACAGAAGATCTTCCATAATTTGAAACAACAACCAGATGAGGCCTAATTGCAGGACAATGTACTTTTAAGAACAACGTATTGTATACACTATATTCTAATGTTCCAGGTTCACTTGACTCTCCACTAGCAACAAAACACGGTATACTGTAGCTGTTAAATTGGTTTTCAAAGTTTTTCAGAAGGGAGAGTTGAGCTGCAGAGTATTCGTCACTTCTAAAAATATAAGACAAAAGATTTACGTGTAAAAGTTGGCTATCTACAATGACTTAATAATTTTAAAGAGATTCATTCGATAAACATTCACCCTTTCATATCTTTGTCGTCGGTGCTTGTTTTCATTGATGTCGATTGTGTCTTAGATGCAACTGAAGATGTTTGTCTTCGTTTTGGTGAATCTTTTCCACTTTTCTTTCCACCCAACTTGGTTAATTGTTTCTTTACATTAGATGGTGAGGTAGTTGGAATAGTTTCCTCCACTTTGGAGGAACTTTCTTCACTTATCTTTCTTTTTACCATCTTACCAGCAATACGAAAAGTTTCTTGAATGATTTCTTCTTCCAACAGTTGTGGTGAGAATGTTACATCAATGTTACAGCTCTAAATCACGTTATATCTACGTATCAACTGAATGAGTAACGCAACCAATGGGAGTAAACCATTTGTTACAATACCTTTCCTGGCATGACAACACCAACAGCGGGAGATATATTGATAGGAGAGCCCGAAGGAACAACAAACTCAAAGGTAGTTGGTCCAAACTTAGCCACAGGCCCCTTCCCAATACGCGGTACTTCATGTGTAAAGCCATTTTCATCAGTGAGATGATTGGTGACTTTCAGTTTAGCAACTGAACTGTCACCTATGCTCGTTGCACGAAATGATATGCTTGATACTGATAGTTTTAATGGTGGGTAGACACCAGTCCCCTGCATGAAATACTAAACTCGGTCCCAATGCCATTCTTGCACACAAGATCCATATTATACTCCTAGAAGAGAGGGAATTTTACGAAACTGAAAATAATTAACTAGGGAAAGATTGAAATACATGAAATTGCTGTATCGTAACTGATTGTAACATTTTATTGAAAAGTATAAATAAATGAGACAAAAGAACTTCACCTGAGCATTCTTCGGACTAAATATAACATCAACATCAAGACTTTCTAACGGAAGTAAAGTACCAAAACCATCATTTGGTTGTACTTCTAAACACTGAAACAAAATGAAATGAATATATATACATGAGTAGTTATATTTCATTGAGCAAAAATTATAACCAATATTACCTCGGGTACACGACAAAATCCATACATTTGTGCAAGAACTGATTTGTTTGTCATGGTAATGGTCTGTTTTACAGACTCCACAGTTGTACAATAACCAAAATCAATTTTGGAGACATTGAATTCAATATCGGATGGAGTTACAATAGCATGTACAGTGAATTGGACTGGACGCGTCTAAACATCAAATCATATATTAAGATAAGATACTGTTGATCTTGGAGAAAATAAAAGTTAACAAACCTTATCAGCAACACATATTGTAAGTGGCGCTCGAAGAATTCCAGTTTCAGCGTTAAAATAATTTGGACAATCTTTAGACAATGTCTTTCTAGAATGTTTAAAAAACCATTATATTAATGTATCAAGTATTGTACACAAAACAATATTGTTACCTTGGTAGGAATTTAAGTTGAGCAGAAAATTGGGACTGTGCCTGAATGTAAGCAGTCTTTGGTAATAACTCCAGGTGATTACTAACATCTTTATTTACTTCAAACTTTAGTCTGAGTGCTGATGTTGCTCTAAACAAAGACAAACATGAAAGCAATTTCTTTTTGAGAATTTTTCCATGTTTCGTGGTTTACATTAAGATAAGTTACCTGTTGTTTATGACAATAGCATCTTGATAGAGTCTGTCATACATACAGATTTTGAGATCCACTATCTTAAAACAACACAACATAAGTGTAAACTTTCATAGTTAGCTACTAACACTTTATCTAGTATACCTCACGTTCAACCCACACAGGAACGTCGATACAAGTCCCATGAACATTGATGATGATCTGCAAGTAATTAAGAGTGAGAGTACAAAAAAAAGTATGGAAAACGCAATAGCAACTTACAGGCAATAATTCTCCATCTTCAAATGTAATTTCGAACGAGCAGGTGCTGTCACCAGGCTTAAGAGGTGCAAATATCACTTCGAGTTGAAATGAAGTTTGTGGTCTCAATTCTCCACATTTCACCTAAGAAAGAAAGCAAGTAGGAACGAGTTGAAATGAAGTTTGTGGTTTTAATTCTCCACATTTCACCTAAGAAAGAAAGCAAGTAGGAACGAGTTGAAATGAAGTTTGTGGTTTTAATTCTCCACATTTCTACGATGAAAGCATGTAGGAACGAGTTGAAATGAAGTTTGTGGATTAATTCTCCACATTTCACCTAAGAAAGAAAGCAAGTAGGAACGAGTTGAAATGAAGTTTGTGGTCTCAATTCTCCACATTTCACCTAAGAAAGAAAGCACGTACGAACGAGTTGAAAGTCCTTAACTTTAAATGTTCATGATTACAAACCTCGCCAAGCGTGAACTCTTCTGTTACGATGTCATCAGACTTTTTATGTATAGGTGAAGGTAAATCTTCCATCTCTTGTTTATCTTCGATATTTTGTTTTTCAAAGTGTTTCTTATCCTGAGTTTTGTCATCAAGTTCTTTAATCAACAGGAATTCACCACAGCTATCACTATTGTTTCATAACATTTTTTTTTAACAAACACAATCATACCTTTTAACTTTTCTTGCTTATTAAAATCGTCTCCAACATTTTCCACAACATTTCTGTCAGTTTCCTATAAAAAATATTACATAAATTGTTCAAATGATTCTGAAAAATAAAAATAATTAATATTTTCACAATTCTATCCAACTTATCCGCTGAGCCAATCTAAATCAAAGATAAGCTGATCCGATGGTATTTTAAGTATACCTTAAATAATGGAGGATTGACGTCAACTGACGAAAGACATTTCTTCACGTAAAACCTAGTGCCCAATGCTCCGTCATTTATCAACGTGACTATTTTTTTACAACTCTCTCCAAGAATTTGAGAGCCAAAGTTGATGTGTTCTTTATCAACGCTGACCTAGAGGAAACACAATATATCCATGACACAATGATACGATGAATCAACTATGTTTATGTTTTATGACAATGTGCATAGGCAAGATCTTTTAAGTATAGTATTGCTATGGTAAATAAGATCTCATAAGGATAGTATCACTATGGATAAATAAGATCTCATAATGATAGTATCACTATGGATAAATAAGATCTCTTAAGGATAGTATCACTATGGATAAATAAGATCTCATAAGGATAGTATCACTATGGATAAATAAGATCTCATAAGGATAGTATCACTATGGATAAATAAGATCTCTTAAGGATAGTATCACTATGGATAAATAAGATCTCTTAAGGATAGTATCACTATGGATAAATAAGATCTCTTAAGGATAGTATCACTATGGATAAATAAGATCTCATAAAGATAGCATGGATAAACATGATCACGTCCAATGTAAGAAGACACTTTAAGATAAACCTGACACTTTTTGGAGAGACATTTCACAGGCACAGAAAATGGACCAGTTTGAGCAAGAAAATCAATTTGACCAATAAGATCTTCATTCAGCTTCAAAAGAAAATATTTTACAATAATTTTAGTCTTTGCAAATTGACAAGATAAAATTTTGAGGTATTCTTTACCATAGGTTTAAATAAAACGGCAAAATGACATGTAAGGCCAGCAGACATCGCTCCTGGTGGATCATAACTGAATAATAAAGAGTAAGAGGGGATAAACAGGGGAACAATATGATTACTTGGTGATTATATATCCACGTAACTTACATGACGTCAATAAAGTCAAGTAACTGTTCAGACATTCCAACATATTTACAAAAATTCTGAGTAAATGAAACGTTCGTGAGGATGATTTTCTTCCGATAACTTTTGCCGACATCGAAATCCTGAAATACACATTTCAACAAAAAGATTGAAAAGGCATAAGAAAGAAACATTGATTCAGTTACCTTAAAGATGATAACTTCAGGTTTGCTATAAAAAGCCTGACCCTGTAAAACACAAGAACGCAATTTATGCAAATTATATATCTGATACAAAGACGTTAATTAAGAATGAACTAACTTTAAACTCTCTTCCAACAGCTACTTGTTTTGAACAATATTATCCCTTTGTTTCTTTAAGGATCGTTCTCTTATTTCCTGATAAGCAAGCAACCAGTAAATAATCAATATTTTAACTACAGTAAAAGAAAATGTGTTCTTCTTCACAAGAAAATGAACGTAGGTAATTAACCTGTTCTGTTTTACTCATGGCATTGTTCACTGTCAATTTTCTTTCCGTCTGACATTTGTCAAATTTCTAAAAAAGATCATCATAGGTGATGAAAATTCAATCCATATAGCTACGATATAAGAAAGGAGGAACCATCATAAAAACCTTGTTTGCACTCTCTTCAAAATCATTCCATAATCCAGGAAATTCTGGTTCAACAAGATCGTCTTCGTCATGATCAGAATCACTAAATTATTGTTCAAGTAATGAAAATATGAAAAACTTATGATCATGGACGATGACAACTCAATATCCTAAATTAAAATACCCATCTTTTTCTTCATCACGACTTGTGTGACCAAATGGAGAGAAATCATCTTCGTCATCAGATGAAACTGGGACGAGTTTGCTGGGTAAAAATCCTCCCTAATGAAGAAAAGAAACTTGTCAGTTACTTTGTTTTTTTCTGTAACCAAATTACCGTTGTGCCTACCCCAGCATCTTCAGCATCTGCACTGTATTCCATTGAAGAGGAACCGCTGTACACTTTGAACGGTTTTGATTTCGTTCTTCTTTTAGCAAATCTCTAAAGTAAAATATTATAAAACACTAAAGACCAGAAATTCGAAAGATTAGGAATTTAAAGGATGTAGCAATCAACGAATGAAGAAAGTGAAGCTTCAAATGCGCAAAGAATCGAGATTTGAGAGAACAAAGACAGTGGAGTGCAAAAAATTACAGTTTAAACCTTGTTTCTATCACGATGTTTCTCTGGCCAAAGTTGTGGTTGCTGTTGAAAACGTTTTTTCATTTGTTTTTCCTCTCTCAGTAACTTATCGGCAATTTCGATCTTAAATATAAGAAAAAATCGTTTGAATTCCGAGTACGCAACTTCGAAAATAGGATTGGAAAGAATAGTCGCAAATTACGAAACGAAACTAGTATACAAGTGTCGTTGATTATATTTTACGAGAAAAGAAGTATACAAAAAAATTCCGTACCTGTCTTTCCCGTTGTCTTTTCTCTAATGTTCTTAAAAACAAAAAATATAATGTATATCGTCAAATCATTTGTCTTTAAACACAACATATCAATGACCACCCATTTACAAAGTAAATTCATAAACAGAAAAAAGCAAACAATTGAATAATTGACAGTTGAAAATGGCATTACTCTTTATCTTTTTCAAACTGTCTTATTCGCTTTCGACGAGTTAATATTTCATCAGGATTCAATCCATCAATAAGAATTTCTTCTCGTTCAAGTTGATCTCTTTGTTCTTGCTCCTGTCTCATTACATCTCGTCTTGCTTCAATCGTACGTAAACTGTCCTGAATAGCAAAAATGATATGATGTCATCACATGACTTATATAGACTGATTTCAAAATAACATGACGCCACTCACGAAGACAAAAAATTACCTTGTTTTTCTCAATGTTGTTCTTCAAACTTAATAAATTTTTGATTCTGATTTCCATATCAGCGCGGTGATGATCTTCGTCTTCAGCTTCCTTCAAACGAACTCTAAAATGTTAGTAAGAGTAAATTTAAAGGACTATGATCAGAAAAAATGTCAATTATCTATAATTTCAGGATAAAAAGATTGATGTAAGCCCACCTAGTCATTGTCTCTTTTAAAAACTTTGAAGCTTGTTCTCTACTTTTTTTAGCCATATTGATAGCATGTCGATGTTTTCTTTCTCGTTCACGTAATGCTGTGATATTCTCCCTACATTTGCACATATATAAATGAACCATTTGTACACAATATGGTCACACAATATATTATCAATTATTTTATATTACTAGTATATTTTATACATCATATTATAATTTACTTCTCGCGTGTTCTTCGACGTTTGTCAGCAGCCATTGCTGCTATATTTTCTTTTCTGATTCTCATTGCACTGGCTTCTGACTTATTTTTTACTTCAAACTGTTCCTCCTTTTCAAGTTCTTCACCAGCCAGAAGGAATCGACCTTGTTCCATTTTTGCCAATGAAAGGGAATATCTGAAACAAACACAAATGCTCTCAGGGTCATATCACACTGGAATAAAATGAAGGTTTAACTATTTACTCAGCAGAATCAAGTCTATCTCTTATTGCCATTTCTACTTTATGTTCCGTGTCAAGTTCACAACACAATTTGGTGTAATGTGACTTGAGTCGAAATATTGGTGCCCTGAAAATAAGATAATTCAAACTGTAAACATAGTTTGTAGCTATCAAAAGAAGAGAATCGCTCAATTGAAAACACAACAAAAATACTTGTTTCCTTTTGATTCATGGCATTCAATTTCCTTTTCAACTTTCTGAATTTCTTTCTCCAATGATTGTATATTTTCACGACATTTCCCCAGCTCCTCCCTGTTAAAATAAGTAAGAAAACATTATTTTTGTTAAACAAAATCAACTGATCCATAAAAGAACCTGGATTGAATCACAAGATAATCATTCTGCACCACTTGATCACTTAGAGCATCAAGGTGTCTCCTCAGAGCAAGCATCTCCAATTTATCCTTAATTTGTACATATATGCATGTAATTTCTATCAAATATATCAATATTCACAAATGATGATTATCTGTTTGATTACCTGTCGAATGTGTCTTGTGACAGAATCTGAATGGTATTCTGTATCATCACCTGTCATTTCATATTCATCACCACCAGTAACACCATCCAGACTCCTTAGCACAGAATATTAATTTTAGCAACATATTCATGCAAAGAAACATTTCAATAACTTAATGCTTACCCAGTCAACGACTCTGTATCTTCATCGCTCATTGCATTCTGTTCAAAATCCGAAGGAGAATCACTTTCATGAACTTTAAAATCCGCTAAAAAAATTTAAATTATGATAAATTATCATATATAAGTGGATTTTTAAAATCTCCAAGACGTTCAACACAAATTGAAATTTTACGCTTTACATGTTCCTTCACCTTCTTCGTCAGAGTCATAATCATTTTCATTCTTCAATACTTCATTTTCAGCATCAATCAAATTGCTCATCTTTTCCTTTGACTCGCTACCCATCAACTCCATTTACTTAAAGAAATGCTGCAAAAGCATTAATGAAATATAGCTTTTACGATTATACTAAACTGATATAAATTATGTGCATAAATACTCTGACATACTTTCATCAAAAGCAAAAACAGAAACTATCCTTGTACAAAAGAGAAATATTTTCATTTCAATGCAGTGGATTTAATTAATTTTATTTCAATTCGATTGAATCAATTGCTTGTCTCACTCACTGACGCCATCTTGTATGTTTCGGAACGAACTCGGAAGTTTCCGTACGAGCTTTTCAACTTGACACTCGACCTTGTATAGATGAACTTCAATATTCACCCTTATAACTGGTTTCTTTCCCCTAGTACTTCTATAGATTGCTGAAAAAAGTTATTTGAATAAGAAACTTTCCTGATTTATGTGTTTCTGTGTGTAAGCTTGTTTTCTAACTGGAAGATTACGTTTCACATGACCATTTTCGACCAATTACATTTAAATATTGATTATAATCTTTGCCATTGATGTGCACGAACTCAACAAGGAGGACTGAATGATAACAGTGAACTCCATATATATGCATCTGAAATGATAACGACAATACATTTATAGACATAAAATTGAATCCTAAGCCTCCCGATACCCCGAGATAGTTGAACACAAGAGCGTTTCATATTAATTGACCAGACAATCCTTGTTTGCCATGAAGCCCATACAATACAAAAGAATACTTTATTTCAGAACAACATGTAAATACATCATTATTAAGAAAAAGGAAACCCAGAGGTTAGCCCTATCTCAAGGGTCTCCTATTTATGTAAAAAATCTTACAGAACTAGTTAATAAAAATAAAAAATAATAAATAAATAAATAAAATAAATAGTAAATAATAATAAAAAAAAAAATGGACTCGTGATACAGGAGAAACAGTAAACGAGAGAGTTAAATCAGAATGATATAAGCCAATAAAAATTGTTTAAAACATGTTTAAAATTTTATTAAATTATAAGTAAAAAAGGCAGAAGTTGTTTGAACCTTTAGTGAATTCTTGGACTTTGTAAACAAAAAGATAAAATTCGAAAGCAAAAAACCCCGTTTTCGGGCCATGCTTCCCGATACCTTCTGATATGTAAGGCACTAGAACTCCGCATGTTAACGTTTCGGTAGGAGATTTCGGCCCCTCCACGCTATCATACTTGGGAGATGCAATAGCAAGCTTCCGCCCATCAGACCCTGAGATCACCTGCGATAGGCTTTGCTCGGGGTACGCAGGGAGAGTGCGGTCGCCACCGAAGTGTGGGCCCCTAAGCCACTGCATACTATATCGCACACAGCTCGAACGCATGCGCAGATGATTTCTCTATTAAATTGTTACTAAGCATGCTATTTACTTTAAAATTGGTGCTAGTAGATGCAGTGCGCAGATAATTTATCCTAAAATTTGTGACTGAGCGAGCTAATTACGCCATAATTTGTACTAGTACATACAGTTAGTCGTTGCCATGACCATGAACTTGAAGAGTTGGTGCAGTTGGCTACGCATAATAAGATTAATTCTCAATTAATTTGTGACGGAGCAAGCTCGGAAATTGGTGCTTGTATATGCGCTTAGCAAATTTCAATCATATATTTTGACACTACTTAATCTATACCCCAACTTAATATTATTGTCCAGACAGTTCTTTCAGTTTCCCTGCATTAACTCAACCCCCCCTAATCCTGTCATGGTTTTGTTCAATATGGCGGTACACTTTGCTAAAATTTTTAATATGGGTAAAAATCTCCTTTGTTTATGTTAAAGTTTTTCGATTGATTGCTTGAAACTTTTCATCTTATTTATATTTTATTTAACAGCTGGGACTCGACGTTTTCAAAGAATACGTTGTTTTGCGATAAAAATCGAGCAAATTAACAAGAACCACGGATTTTATGTATGTAATGTACTATACATCACAAAACGTAGTAAAATGTTTGAGAAATTCGATAACAATAAACACATTAACGGTAATTTATACAGTCGTTTCTCGTATACTTAGAAATTGTATGGATGTCAGTTATTAAAATTGACTAATACAAACTGAATTGCCTCTTTTAAGCTATTTCATAATACCTCAAAAGTACAGTGCAGGTGGTTGTGTGATGGCTTTAACAAACAATCAAAGAAGGCTGGTTTTGTCAGCAAAAGTAGTATGAGCAGTCCAATAAGATGGACTGGCTTCATTGTTACTGTAATTATTGGTGGAGCTGCTGTATATTATGTTAAAAAAGCCAAGGAAGAAATGGGAAAAAGTTAGTACTATAATATTTTGTTATAATATGTTGAATTTGTTCTTTTCTCAAACCTCTTCCATATGGTTACTCTATTTTCCATCCGTCAGAACGAGAAGTGGAAAGAAACAGATCGATAGGAAAAGCTGCTATTGGTGGGCCATTTACATTGGTAAACCATGAAGGAATTACAGTGACTCATAAGGATTTCTTTGGCAATTGGTTAATGTTGTATTTTGGTTTTACCCACTGTCCTGATGTTTGTCCTGAAACTTTGGAAAAACTACAAAATGCTTTGGATAAGATTGGTAAGCAATGTGAACAGGAATCTTTATCATAAATTTTAATTTTGAAATATGGCAAACCTAAGCTTGTTAATCAAGATTGTACAAAAGATGTTCCTGATAAAGTTTTACCAATATTTATTACCGTGGATCCTGCCCGAGATGATGTTAACACTGTTGCTGAATACATTAAAGGTAGTTGGAAATTTTGTTGTTCAAGAAAACAGTCCACATATCCATACCAAAACAAACAATTTTTTTTTAAGATTTCCATCCTAGATTGGTGGGTCTAACTGGGACAGATGAACAAATAAAGGCTGTATGTAAAGAATATAGAGTTTACTACAGTGCCGGACCTGCAGATGCTGACAATGATTATATTGTAAGGAACAACAAATGATCAATCATATTTATAAAAAGATTTTACTACTATTTTTGTTTATGTTTTCATACAGGTTGATCATTCTGTGATATTATATCTTGTTGATCCTCAAGGAGAATTTGTTGACTACTTCGGTCAAAATATGGATGAAAATGAGATAGCAAATACAACTATCAGTCACATGTTAAAGTATAAATTACAAAGTAAAAATAACAATAGATGACAACTGATGTTATGACTTCTGCTATCATATTACAAAATATATCTTATGTTGCTACTAATGGCAAACTAACATAGCTAGTTAAGTAAATGTAAACGAGAAACTATTATACAACCAAGATATCGTCTGGATGATGATGTCATTATAAATTTTAACAATCATCTATCTGCCATAATAAGAACAATACCAATCAATGCCATAGCAACAGTTGTCCATCCAGCACCGTACGACCAACTGAAGTAAATATCTTCATCCCAAAATTTGAATGTGTATATCATCATTGCAATAAAAGCGGAAACAGCTGAATAAATTAATGATTTAAAAATAAAACAACTTGTATGATTATTTTACATGAAAGATAAACGATTGACCACACATACCTGCGATACCAATTAAACTACAGTTTACGACGATAGGATATTTTGTACGTCTTGTGTAGAAAGAATAAATTGCAGCAAAAACAAAGGCCAATATAAAGAGAAACATTGAGATGGAAAGTAAGATCATTACCATCACATTCCAAGCTGTTATAAAATAAAGGAAAAGAGCATTAAAAAAGTAAAGTAGGAATAAATTATGAAATATATTTCCTAAAAATGAACGATAATATATCCATCAATTTTCAAAAGGAAAAGTATTCTGTGTGAAAAAATCCAGAGATTTATAAACATACCTGCGACTTTAAGGTTCAAACAATTACTCTTACTTTCAACATAAGTGCCATTTTCGTAGACGTCAAAACATCTTTCATACAAGCCTTCATAATGATAGTGAACTTGATTGGCGTTTAAACCAGCTTTCTTTATTGTATGTTGATTCCAGTGAGAAGTCGCAAATGCCAGAATCAGCATTAAAATGGACACAAAAGAAGTGACATAAGTCACAATTATCTTGATCATTGTTACAAATTATTACGAAAAGTTGTGAAATAAATGTTTCAAAAGTCAATAATTCTTTGTCGTTTATTATGCCTCAAATACGTTTTCGACTAAAGAATGTGGAAACCGCGACGAGTTATTCATTGGAGGAATGAAACCGAGTTGCCTGCATACGGGCGTCTGAGGCGGAGGTGCCCACTGCTGCCATGTAGGTGGTTTTGAAATTTGAATGGTACTATAATCAGTGGCATCAACCACTGTTAAGTGTTTACCAAATATTTTCTACTCAAATAAATATCACGTATTATATTATTTGTTGCTGTTTAGGTACGTTACCGTAAAAATTATCTGCCAGCGATTGTTTATGTTGATCTGCTTGTTATGATTATGAGCATGAATATTCTAACGAATAAACTCACTGGGTTTGAATTTCTTTGTCCCTTTTAAATCACTCTTTATTTATTCGTAAAACCAAGGTAAAACCTTACCAAAAAAAATCCATGTCACGTGGTTCTTTATCAACGGGACCAACAACAACTATCCCAAATTTTGAGTATATGAGAGCTATGATGTATTTCAGTATATGAGAATAACGAGAGCTTTAAAAATATTTGTGATTATTAGTTACAAGTTGTAAAAAACATGCTTGCAACATTGAAAAAATTGAATACTGATGTTGATGCTGAAGATTGAAGGCAACCATCGTCAATTCACCAGTTCACTTGGAAAATGAACGAACAGCTATGTAATTATGTCCTTTACAAGAATCGTCATTTGACAGGAGTCATCTTTCTTTCGTTCTTTTCTTACCTTTGTGTCTACTTTTTTTGCCCACTTTTATCTCTAACTTAATGTCTAACTTTTTGTATCTTTGCCTTTAAGTCTTCCTTTGTGTTTACCTTTATATCTAATTTTATGTAAACCTTTATGTCTACCTTTATGTCTACCTTTGTCGACCTTTATGTCTACCTTTTTGTCCAGCTTTATGTCCACCTTTATGTCTACCTTTATGTCTACCTTTATGTCTACCTTTATGTCTACCTTTATGTCTACCTTTGTCTACCTTTATGTCTACCTTTATGTCCACCTTTATGTCTATCTTTATGTCTACCTTTATGTCTACCTTTATGTCTACCTTTATGTCCACCTTTATGTCTACCTTTATGTCTACCTTTGTCTACCTTTATGTCTACCTTTATGTCCACCTTTATGTCTACCTTTATGTCTACCTTTATGTCTACTTTTATCTCCACCTTTATGTCTACCTTTGTGTCTACCTTTATATCTACATTTATGGACACGACCATTTTATAGCAAATCATTCTGCAGTGCTCCTAAGCTTCTACGTCGCGGATAGAATTTGGTACGCGTCCGCTAGTCATAATGTCAGCTGTCCCTTTATCTGCCACCTTGAAGCCATTCACTGAAGATGAAGGAACTTTATAGATCGGATTTCAGAGCTCCACTGACCTTACCAAACATCATTGGGACCTGGACGTAGCATCTCATGCAAAATTGATATATTTTACTATCGCGCAGTTTATTATTAAAAATGTAGATGACGTTATGCCATGATTTGTTAATTTTGGAAAAGAATGTCAATAAGGAGCGTGTCGTAGTTAAGCTCAAAGAAATTTAAGAATATTATAGTTATTCATTTTTTATAAATCGATTGTTTTCGCAATGAGCAAGCACGGAAATATTCGCATAGCAGGAGTAAATAAACCTGAGAACGAAACGGAAGATAGAAAATGCAAGAAAGATGAACCAATAAGAATTTGTGAAGGATGGAATGTCAAAGAATGTTGTCATAGAAGTGTATTGTCTATTCATGTATAATTCATTCATTACAACGGATGCAGGCACCCACAGAAAACACAAACATTTCACGATATGTATCAAATTTACCATTCATGGTGGTAAATGTGAGAAAATAACATCATTGATCATACAGAATAAAAACCAACAAATTGTGAAAGCAAGATAGAAAAATAATGTTTCAATAAGATAATTTTTGAAAACCGTCTTTTATCTCTTTCAATCGTGCAGCATCCTAACAATGTCGCCTATGGTGTTAGCCACGCCTCCAGGCGATAACACACATTTCATATTAATATCAATGAAACCACTGAGTCACAAGCAGCCTGTATCTGTTACATAGCTTGCTGTAAATATGTACAGAAGCACTGTTGCTATTTCTCTGTTAGTGGCGATTATTACAGGGACGTGCAAGACACAAGATAATGGTAAGTCAATGTTTATTTTATCTTATGAGACATTTGTCTTTCGTAAAACCATGTGTCTGGATACTATTTCACAGCATTTTTTAAATGACTAAGTTAAAATATTTAGCTAACAATGCAAAACTCTCTCTCTTCCACCAAATCAAAACAAATGCAAATGTGCAGAAAAATAGGTAACAGTGAAAAAAAAAAAGGGACTGAAGTATTCATATGAATGGAACCAAAGAGTTGGAACATTTTCCCTGGGGCTAAAAACTGAAGATGCATATTTTATACCCAACCGTTTCAATAACAGTGCTTGCATGAGTTAAAATAAACTTTAACTTGATTATTTATCGACAGCAGACACTTGCTCTTGTCCTTATAAATTTCACCTTTGTTTCTAACAGCCAAAAATTTCAAGACGAAACATTAAAGCGTGTCGACATAAATAAACATAAATGAAAAATTTTGAAATTAAAAGATAATCGCCTATATTCGTAAATAATGACCAATTTGGTATCCAAGTAACATAACTTTGCCTATCGTATTATATTTCACGTTCTGGTCTCATCCTAATGTGTTGAGCATAGGAATATTTTAGAATTGGCGGGAATCGTTAGATAACGTCATGAATTATTATTTCATGTGTGAAAGCATAAATGACTCATATCTACTTTTTTCCTTTTCTGATTAAATTCACTACGTGCTATTACAGAGCATGGCAAGATGAAGATAGCAACAGACACTTGACCTTTGATTTGATTTGCTTATTTTTTAAGAAACATATCTTAACTACACGAAGTGAAAAACCAACAACACGCTGCTTACAACGGAAATTAATTGTTGTTTAGTAAAGAAAATATTTGTCGGTGTTCACAAACTCTGGTTTTAGTATTCAAGTTAAATCTGGTGTAAATTAAAAGCATGGTAAATGGTTTCATATTCTTATCTTACTTCGAATGTTGCATTAGAGAGCTATCAGTATAACGATTGATAACAACCGCGAAGTGACAAAGTCACAATTAAGTCTGTTTCCGGCGTGTCCATAACTTCATTCATTTGTTCTGGTATATTTATCAATAATGTCATCTTATCCTAACCCTTTTTCGATTCATTTTTTATGCTTTAAACATTATCCTTGCTCGCTTTGTCATATTATTTTCATGTCACAACCTTATATTCCGAACAATTGGTAAAATCTTAACTTGTGTTGAAACTACGCCAAATGTCAGACATATTTTCAAACTGGCGGACATTTTCAAGAGATGTTATTAAAATGACAGAGTTTCAAACTTGATAAAACATTATGTATACCAAGAGGTAAACACAATAAATAAATACTTAAAATTTAAATTTAAAAGAATTTTTAAAGTATCTTCCAAGGATACTTTTTGTAAATTCTTCTAAATGTATGAATGTTGACTGCCTGTATATTCCTGTGTAGGACGTATGACCTAACGTTATGATGATCGTTAATATCAAAGTATGCATTCACATGATTCTTAGTTAAAGCTTTAAAATGTCCTTTCTCATTTCATAACATGGAAAAGAGTTATTTACCTTAAATGGGACCAATAATTCTAATTTATCTGTCAATCGTCACAGAAAGACAAAGCGAAAGTAGATCACTGGAAAATTATCGTTAGTATATGACTTAACAGGGTGTATAGAAGGACGAATAAGATGTGAATGCTTCATTAAAATTAGTCATCCATCCAGTATTACTTGATTAAATAAGAAGGTTTGTTACTATTGAAAAGATAGAGCTTAAGAGTGATTCAAGATTAATATTTCGTTCTAAGAACATGACGGGTCATTCTTCTACTTGAAAGCATGAGACCAGGATGAATTTTGAAAGCCTGTCACAACGCTATTGTGAAGTATTTAATTTAAAGTTCATCCATTTTAAGCTGAATTTCTTTGACATACAACAAAAGAAAAAGAACAGAAAATGAGCATATGTCAATTAAAAGTTCAGAACAACGACGCCAAGATCCCATTTTAGCTGTTTTATTAAAGAACGACTGACGCCAGCATTAACGTTATTTGATGAATAACCTTTGTCTATGGTAATCTTAGGCTTATTCTCTTTCATTATTGTTAATGAAATAATAATATTTTTCAGAGTACTTGCAATGCAATACTTGCGTTAGCGAAGTCAATTATGCCAGCAGGGATCCCGGATGTCCCATCTCTGGCGAGAACGTCAACATTCAAACATGTCCACAAAATTTCGATCGTTGTATCTCGTATCGAGCACGTAATATACTCACGGGAAAGATGGTGTTTCGACGACATTGCGCTAATCAAAAGATTTGTAAATTGCAGTGTTTGTTTAAACAGCACTTTGATTGTGAAAAAAGTTGTTGTATAAATGACTTGTGTAATGACAGGAAATTGGAAGTATACAAGGTAGGAACTACGACACCTAGGACAATAAAACAAACCATAACGACAAAATCAACAAAAACAACTGCTACAATCAAAACCAAGATACCCTCTACACCACCACCTACAAAGCCTAACGTCGCAAAGTCCACGTCAACCACTGCTATCCCAGAATTCACCACGACCAGTAATGTTCAACACAGTACTACTAAAAAAGGAAAACCCACCACACAAGAATATATAACGACAACAGAAGAACAATTATTAGGAGGACCAACAGACCAGGAAATATCAACAGGTACAAAGTTCAACCGACAGACAAGAGATTGAAGATAAACAATAGACATTCCTTTTTTCTGTCCATGCTAATTTGAAAATATCCTCTAATGTAGGGAAGCCAAATCCCAATTGCAGAGATCGTAGAAAAGAGTGCCCGCTATATGCTAGTTATCCAGCGTATTGTCAATATACAAGAAACTTCATGTTAGTCCACTGTCCAGAAAGTTGTAAATTTTGTGGTAAGTCACAAATACTATAACGTGTTGCTTTAAGAACATTGATGGTGATGGAGGACTGTTGGTGAGGTTATTTAGAACTGCGTTTTTAATTATTTGGAGACGTCATTTTCGCAGAAAGAATTCCAAGAGGAGCAAGAACAAGACCAACTACAAGTGGTACAACAACTGTAAGTTTTACAGAAGTACAAACAACCAGCAATCGTGTGATTGAAGGACCAAGTAAAGGTAAATTTTTATCTAATATAACTTTATGACAAAATGATGAAGGAAATTTTCCAATATTTTATCACAGGTTGTGAGGATAAACGTAAAAGATGTGGACATTTTTCAAATTTTGATGGATACTGCGGGTATCATAAAGGTTTTATGATGACATACTGTCCTCTATCCTGCAATTTTTGTGGTACGTACTATTTTTTAAGGTCTACTTAAGAATAAAGAAGGAAAACTAGTTCACTGTGTTTTCTTCTAGATGAAGTGCGCCTTCCAGAATCTCCAACCAATCCGAAAACAAAAGAACCTGCGATAACCAAGGAGCCAACAAGTGGGATATCTTTTTCTTTAATAGGGAGAGGATGATATTAACTTGGCTTTTTTGTTGTGTTTAAGGTACATCAAAGACAACAATGGCTCAACAAGAAACAACTAACAGTTTTGATGGGGAAGGTAAGGGATGGCACAGGATAATGAACCGCGCACAAAGATCACGAATTTTATTTTGGGAGTTTTCAAAACTGATAAAATGTACTATTACTTAAACGTACACACATTGAAAAAACTAGCGAAAAAAAAACAAAAAAATGTTATTGCGTGAAACTCAGTTAAGAAAATTTTATTTTTAGACTTGAATGACGGATGTGTTGACTTAAGAGAAAACTGCACATTTTACGCAACAAAATATGATGGATATTGCGAGTACAATAAAGATTATATGGAGATTTATTGTCCATTTTCTTGTGGATATTGTGGTAAGTTTAAACGAGGAAGGCAAAGATCTCCATACATGACCAAAAAAACATAGTCGTTTGCCGCGAGTGCGCAGTGACTACTCACACAAAAAATTTGTTTCGAAAATACATCATGAGAGCAAAGTACTTTGTACAAATACAATTTACCTTTGACGACGTACAAAGTGTTTTTAATCTCTCAGGAACAACATCAATAGAGAATGCTTTTCCTCATCCTCCAATTTTCCATAATGGCCATAACGTGAGAGGTACTTATTGCAAAAAATGAATAAATTTCGTAGATTTTTACCTTGAACAATAGAATATATATTAACTTAAACTATTCCCTTCAGATTTTCCAGATTTTCCAGCACCCCCCGTCAGTAAAGGTAATGTTTAAAATGTATTTTTACAAAAAAAATCAGGACACATATCATTAATATTTTCGTAACATTGTACCCAATTATTTCAGATGCAAGATGGTTAACTCTATCTTGCAATGAGGTAAATATATTTATTTAATACTTGTATAAATTTTATCAATAATAAAACATGTTTTTGGTTTGTTGTAGTGTAAAAATGGTGAACAAGAATGTTTTTCCAAATGTATTGTTATTCTCAAGGATGGTACATATGAACCAACAGGAAATAACGTATGTAAAAAATTGCTTGGGCAGCCAGAGAAAATTATACCTTGTTAATAAATCTATATAATGGAATGTAGAATAATGACTTGTTGAATACTCTACGTTTTCAAATGTAATCTTCAAACAACCATGTATGGATGACTAGAGACGATGTAATATTTTGTTCTCCAATATATTTAAGTCCAGCGTCAATTACCACAAACCTTAAATTGCCTTGTTTTCTTTTTTCAAAAAACTGGAACAAAGTTTTGCTCTCGAAGATGGATATTTTATTTAAATAGTAAATGATTTACCTGTATAATAGAGATAGACATCATAACTTTTAAATTGTAACTTGCAGTTATATGATATTGTGCAACCACAATTGAAGATCTTTTAAGTCATTCTCATCATTGCCTTTGGCACTACATTCAATAAAATCAACTTTCATTGAACGTATGTCTTCAAAACTGAAATCTTTTCCTTTCTGTCCAACAAAAACCTCGTCACAATTGACAGATTTCTCGTCCAGAGCTCTCACAGCTGCAGCTCTTGTTTTACGCAGGGTATTACTTAGATAAACAAGTGAAATATTAATTTTGATTAGGTGTCACTTTAATGATGAAAAATGCAGTTACATTAGATGAAAGATTTAGAGAAAGAATTACAATACAAAAAAATACTAAAATATGTTCAATTTATAATTATGAAAAACTCTTTTTGTGTCAACTGTACAAATTTGGAAGTATTTCAAAGTTAAAAATGTTATCAAAAAATTCTCAAAGAAAAAAGGTAAATATACTCACATTTCTTTAGCCAGCTGTGATTTGATGACATTCATTGACTTTGCTGTAGTTAGATCTGATTAATTCAGAGATTTTTTAGAATTTAGATATAAATATAAAGCTTTCCACTTTACAAGCACAGTACATACCTTGCTTGTTGCAGGCAACAAGGACTTTTGGAGAGATTTTGTTAAATGTCTTATTACTTAGTATGTCAAATAAGCATCTATGATAAGAAATTATTTCTTGTTACTGTCATTGTACAAACATTTCATTTCAAAAAAAATCACTTACTCAGCAACAGCATGAAGTTCTCGAATAATGTTGGCACTGTCCACAACAAAGATTATACCTCTAAAATATTCAATACTTTCATTTACTCAATGGAACACCAAGTTATCAAACCACAATAAAATTATCCTACGATATGGTAAATTTTTAACAACTTCAAGATGGTTTCAATATACCGTGCAGAATCTTTAAATTTATCAGTAAATTTTGATCTTAGTTTTTCATTTCCAGGTATATCAACCAATTCAAGTAACTTTCCATCTTTCATCTAAAAATATTCATTATACGTACATTACAATAAAATTGAACTTTAAGAAAATAGAAAAATATGGTATTTACCTGTTTAGAAGAGTAAGGTCCTTTGTTTTCTTTAATTGAAGTGTGAGTTTCAACAAAGGTACCATAGTAAAGCTGCAATTGAATGGCAAATTCAAAACAAAATTTATGAAATATTCATTATTTTCGGAAGTTTTCTTACCCTGGTAAACAGAAGAGTTTTTCCAGCGTCAGATAAGCCCACGAGAATAATGGTATTTCGCTTATTTCGTCCGAAACCCATGACCCACACAATAACTAAAACACATTCGCTGTTCAGAATCTTAAACTTTCTTCTAACTGCACGAAACATTTTCATGAACAAAATTATTATTAAAAATTGAAATCTCTACATACCTAAAGAGATAATAACAACAGTCACCGCTGATATCAAAGCAAAAATTGTTCCATTGTCACCATCCAGAATGAAAGCCACGTTTTGTAAATCAATCGCCATATTGGAATAAGGATAATTTCCCATCTGTCAGAAGGAGAGAGGAGCAGCATTGATAGAACGATGTTTAAATGCGCAAACAGGGATATATTTTTTAATTAAACATAAACATAATTTTTTTAATGAACATTTTAAGTTATTAATATCGCAGTTATCTCAATAAATGAATTGATGGTTTGATTGATTTAGCAATTTCGACTCTAGTTCTAGGATATTTTCATCACGTTTCCTGTATATTCTTCTGTTTTTCTAAGAATTCGTAGGGCAGTCTTTGTATTCCGAAGGTTTATACCCAAGTTTATGTCGACACACATATTTTTGAACAAGATAATCATGGCCATTTTCTTTGCTGAAACATTTTACGATGCGTCTTCGAAACCCTCCATGACACTGCTCAAAGAATTATAAATTTTAATGAATCTCTAATGAAGAATCAAGTAAATAAATATGATACAGAAATCATACCTTCAACCATTCTCCAACAAGCCAAAATAGTTCTCTTTTGATTTCCACTGTAAAATAAAATAATTTTTTCAGTTACTTTGTGTAATTGATGATGGAAAACACGACTGTGAGAGATTTCGATGGATACAAACCATTGCAAAATCCACAGCTTTTTTCACAGCTTGCTTTCATAAATGCTTTGTTGTATTCACAATATTCAGGAAGAAAAGCATAAAAACTACAAAGTTCATCTCCATATTTATTGAAACAGTCTAATATGAAAGTATAAAAAAACGTAATGATTATATCAAAGATATTCAAACAAATGTCGAGACGTTATTTTACCTTTTACAACTTTCCGTTTCCTCGTCCTTCGACAAGATGGTCCACTTTGACTTCTATCTCCATCAAATCCATCATTACTACCTGTAATCCCTGGAAGCGATAAAAAAATCACAAGCCTGTGGCTACAACCATATTTAACAAAGCAAATCCTACCTCTTGGGGCAACATTTCTGACATAATCATCAATAAATCCAATATTTCCCAGTGGATGAAACCTAGCAACTGTTATAACACCATTACGAGCACTGGTACCTACAGCAATACCAACTTTTACTGTGTCTTTCCAAATAAGCTGAAAAAATGAAACCGAGAAAGAAAATTACAACGATTAAAGACCATCATGTAAATTGTAAAGTAAATAATGTTTTCATACCTGGGTAAAATGTAAGACTGGTTTTGTACCATCTAGAGAATAACCAGTAACATAGTTATAATAATTTGATTCGTTGTACCAAGAAGCAATGGTATCTCGGCATGCATAGCAATCTCCAGATGGAGGGTATGTACGACATATTTCCTTTGCAGGCAATAGATAGGAAACAGTTTCTCCCTGACCAAGTATTTGTAAAGACTCGATGTCGTTGGTGAAAACGTCATTTTTTGCTAGTTGATCGGCACGAAGTTGAGCGTGATATTGTAAATCCTTACTCCAACGTAATGGATGAGATCCATGGTATTTACGATATTTATTTATTTCAACCAAACAGTCTTTAAAGAAATTGTTTGGTACGGCTGCGGAAAAAAACAACAACATAGTAATATAAAACTTTTCAAATTTTAATATTATAATTATTATTTTTCCACAAAAATTACGAGAAACTAAGAGACATTTATTAAAACATGTTTCTCCTTATTGACGTTGTTCTTAACGTTTTCTTTGACAATTTGCATAATCCTGCAACGTTCATCTCACCTTTTATAAGAGGATGTGAATTTACGAGACAGGCAGCAACTACAGCTTATGCCGGATTAAGTAATGTATCACATAACGAAAGACCAAGATTGTTTGCGCAGGAAAATGAATCATAGAGTATAAGCTAGCGCTATTAATCGACTATAACTCTGACTTATAATACCAGTCTTTGAAACACTTTCCTTTTATACAAACCAAGAGGTACGTTTTCTACATTGTATCTAAACTATTAAATACATGTCTGTGAATGTACTTTCTCTTGTATTGGGAATAGGATAAACAGGGATAACGACGGATACTTATACTTGGTATATCTCTAGATTTTCTCGTTCATAAATAAGTAATGTGAAACACGAAAAAAAATGTAGACAATGAAACAGGATATGAGTTAAATCATAAATTAACTAGATGATTTTTTAGTAATGACAACAAGTTAAGGTGCCGTATGTGTATTGGTTGATGACAGCAATATCCTTGTCTTGAAATAAAATGATGCATTATTAATATACGGAGCAAAGTTGATTAAATTAGAGATGTTGATGTCTATTCATAGTGATGCAGTTTTTAACAATGTATTTGGATATGGGCAATGAATGGTTACGAAGATAATGACATATAGACAATTCCCTTATCAAGATAAATAACTACAGCTAGTATAAACATTTCTTAGACCTCACCTTCAAAAATATTTCGTTGGTTACATGTGATGAAACGAGTGATGTGGCACATAAAAAGAAAAAAAAATACAACTGTCTTCCTCATGGCTTATGTTCACACCCGGCAGTGTCGAATTGTAAAAGAGATACGCTTTCTTTGGTCGATAATCAGTCGTCCTTCGGTCAATGTCACCAAACGAAACTGCCTCTTTACAGCAACTAGTAAAGTAGGATGGATTAATCAAAGTAAATAAAGATAAATAAAATGAATAATGTTGGTTATCATATGGCGCTGTTGATCGGTAAAAAGCTGTTGATATTTCGACATATATAAAATATATTTCATACACTCTATTCAACGCATATCCCTATAGATCGCACAAAACATACATATCCTAATTGCAATTTTTAACATCGTTTTCCTCCCATTTTTTGCGAAAATCGAAGACCGACAATGGGCAATACGACAAAGCCCTTCAGGAAGACTTTAAAAGTGTCTGCTTTCGGTCGATAGTCTGTTTTATCATAAGACAAATGTAAAAATTCATGTATGAAGAATCAGACCATAAAACACACGACATTATCGCTTGCAATGTTAAGACAAACTTACTGAGGTTATGGAAGCCCAAGTAATGAGAATGTAGTTACTGTAAACTTTGGTAAAAAGCAACTCCAGACATCATTATTTCAAAGGAACTACTTAATAAATCATCACCAATATTTTTTTTTAATATCGTGTATGAATGATGTTAACACAAAATCCAGGAAATAGCACATTAAGTTTCATATCCTTATCACAAAAATATAAAGTTTCAGTCAATTTCACTAACAATGCATAACAATTAACAAGTAAATTTTCGAAAAATTCAAAAAGCATGTAAGAAATTTAGAGTTTACCACGGGTAATAGCAAACTAAAATTCACTCACAAAAATGTTCTAAAAAAACTAACGAAACAGTTCAGAAAAGCTACAATATAAACTCTTACATAAAGTATGTCAATACTCAAATCCAAGATGGCTGACAATGTTAATATTAACAAAAACAGTACTTCTGGTTCTATTTCGACAAACACAACTCATGCATCCACTAGCTCATCGAAAAATACCTCGGCAAATTCAAGAGATATCGACGTAAAACAAAAATCAGGTGGTGCCTCGCTTGCAGATTTTTTATTGCATTTGGATGATTACACACCAACGGTATAAAAAATTCAGTCGTGTAAATCATATTTTGGAAAAAAATTGTTCGTGATCATGTTTTGTTATTTGAATTCTTTAGATTCCAGATGCAGTTACATCGTATTATTTAAACAGATCTGGTTTTGAGACTTCAGACCCGAGATTGTACTAACTAAATACTTCAATTATTTGATAATTGTTAAATTGTTTATCTTAACGTTCGTACATTTTTTAGGGTTCGTTTGATCTCTTTAGCTGCTCAGAAGTTTGTTTCTGATATTGCAAACGATGCTCTACAGCATTGCAAAATGCGAGGATCTGTACAAAGTTCAAGAAAATCAGGAAAAGTAAGATTTTTAACGGTTCTTTTTAATGTTATTTGTGATTTTCAGTGACGAACATACCTCTCTTTTTTTGTAGGATAAACACTACACATTGACCATGGAGGATCTCACTCCAGCACTTGCAGAATCTGGGATTAATGTAAAAAAGCCACCATACTTTTTATAATACATTGCTATAAATGGGTTGAAAGGTAGAAAATATTAAAAAGAAAAAACTTGCGCAGAATCATTTGTCAGAAAAGAAAGCATTTTTATCAACAAGTACTTGCTGGCAACAACATATATTGAAATGAAACGTTTTATTTTTTCTAATTATTGATGAATAAATTACTACTGTCACGTTGTGTATAAGTTCCCTTTCGTTAAACGAAAAGGACAAGAATCTACGAAAGATCTATCTAAATGTAACGATAATACAAGTGGCAAAGCCAATCCACAAGTTTGGTTGTGCTATGTAGATGTTTCTGTGTTCAATCACTGTAAAAAATACATTTCTAACGAAATAAGCAATGATAATGTCTGAAATTTAAATAGCACGACCAAACTTGTGTCGTTTACGGCACTGCATAGCAAACTTGATGTCGTCAGAATTTTAACTAAATTCTCCGTCATGGTCAATAAATGACAACGTTTTCCGGCAATTTTCACAGTAATCTCAATGAATCTGATCATAATATCAAAAAAATCATATAAACTGTATGTTTTGTCGTTGTAAACTTTCCTCCGTATATATTTAACGTACGCAGTTTAAACACGAAGCAAAACTATTCTTAGTATGTTTTGTTCACGTGACTTTCTACATTTTCCGTGAGTACATTTCAACCAAAAATGGTTCTTCACATGACTCCTTCCTTATGAAGGTCCCGAGTCACTATCGTGATGATCATCATAAAGCATTTCACTTCCCTCGACGGTTTGACGGATCTAAAATAATTTAACAAGAAATTTTTGGAAAATCTCCGGAAAATAAAAGAACAAGCGATTCTTCTTTCGCCCTTTAATTAATAGAATTTCTACGAGACTGCAGTTACATATAGAGATCTCACTACTCAGGAGAAATAAAATAAAAGAAATGAGAAATTACCTCAGTAAGTGCAACAACACCGACTAAACGACCCAATGAAGTCACGTATGCATGAGAAAGATTTAATAACGCAAACAACTTGTGCACCTGACACGAATAAAAACATTAGAAAGTCGTCATAAACTCCCTCATCGTCGGATATAAACCATAGAATGATGAATGTTCCTTTGAAAAGTTACCTTCAGTAAAGATGTTCTTTCCACAAGTTGAAATGGTGCAGCATCAATTTGACATAAATCATAGTCAACTTCTTTTTCGAGAATTTCTTTTTCCCATTGTAAAAACTGTCAAAGAAACGAAAAACAAAGAGTTGATGCTGTGATTATATTGTCCCATTTTTTTTTATGTTGTGTGACAATGGTAAACATCAAACCTGTTCCTGCGACATACTATTTCTTGCAGAGTTAGGACTAGACGTACGAGTCTAGCATAAAAAATGTAGTTATAATTAGAAAGAATATACGTCGTCCACACCATAGTTATGTAAGGTTCACAAAAATACGTCATTATATTTTATCACCTGTGAATCAAGAGATGTTGAACTCGAGTTGAACAGACGTTGAAGTTGCAATGAACCTAAATGTTGAAACATTAATAAATTAAACAGTGAAGATGCTAAAATTCATTTTTTGATCTCACCAGGAATTCTTTCCAGTAATGATGTATTACTGCTGGATGGTTGTAATGCAGTCTCATTTTGACACGACTAAAAAAATTTTGAAATGTTCTTGACATTTATTTCCATAGTCAAAAATTTATCATTCTATATTGTCTATGTTTGAAGTAATATTAATCATTTTCATAACCTCATCGTTATCAAACTCGCTCCCATTTTGCCTGCAACAGAAAAAAGACATCTTATCTTGCAGACAACTAAAACAAATATTATTGTTTATCACTAACCTGCGTTCAAGCAATAAAGTTGTTGATGAAGATGAAGGAGATGAGCCAACCTCACTTTCAGCTCGACTGTTTGCCTCCTGTTTTGCCCTACTCAAATATCGCGTCAGAAGCATTTGAAGTTGAGTTCGACGTATTGAACCAAGAAGAGTCATGGTTTCTAATGAATGAAAGATATAAAGAAAATAATCAACTTATGATTAAAACACACACAGATGATAGCATACATTATCAAGTAAATGCAACAGTAATGATTCACTACACTTGATAACAAAATGAATTATTACTCCATTATATTAATTTTCAGCTTACCTTTGCTGTCAACTAATGGAAATGATGTTAACTTTGTTGCATTAAGTACATGTTTAAGATCGCCATAAGTAGAACTTCTTGTAATGAACTTTAAATCAGTTTTCATAATGTTTGCAACAGTGATTTTATACAATCTACAATCATATAAAATATAAATTTTTTTAAACTGTACTAGGACATTGTAACTTTGATAACAATATCAATATATTGTTTGTCAAATTACGCATTATAATTACCATAACGATGTACCTTGAGTTAGTTATTTCAGGAAGGTAAGGAAGTTTCTTGATTTGAATAATACTATCATAAATCGAAGGTTGCAGCCATTGCGCAATTCCATTAGCAATCAATACAGCAACCTAAGATTTTATATTCGTCAATAATCCAAGTTCATCATATAACTTTTAACAATAATCCTACCATGACAGGAAGTATGTGAGCAATTTGCCCAGTAAGCTCGAAAACGATGACAGAGACAGATATTGTGTGAGTAACAGCACCTGACATGGCTGCAGCACCTAGCATTACCGCAATGATTATGAATAGCATAAAATAATTGTGATGTCAGGAAAAGTTTATTATCAATGTTTGTATTACCTACAACAGCATATCCACCAGGCAATATTTTACTGATAACGTCATTAGGACCTTTGTCATGGATACCATCTGGGAACCAGGTGGCCATGGCTTCACCAACAAGTCGACCAAAGGCAGCACCTGTAAAGAATAATACCATGAAAGATAAAGGTATTTAGTAAAAGATAACGGTGGAATGTTTTGGAATGATATTTTACGCACCGATAACAAAAACGGGAAAGAAAATTCCTGCAGGAACAGGTAAGGTTATTGCGATAGCTGTCATAACAAACTATAAAATCATTTAAAATGTTTTGATGCGTGGAATAAAAGGACAAAATAAGAAACAAAACACGATGTTACGTACTTTAAAAACGATGAAAAAAACTAAAGTAACGTATATATTATGAAATGCTCCATTCCAATGTTTTAATGTTGCTGCAGGAACATCGGAGTCTTCACTTTCTCCCAATGACCATGTTGTGTTGGAGAAGAGTTCTTCTATAGCTTGTTTTTGAGTTAACTACTCAAAGATAATAAGAAGCGAGTTGAATATACTGTAAAAGAGTAAAATTTCTTGGCTATAATAACCTCTCCAGCAATGAGACGTCCAGGTCCTGGTGGAAACATTATAGTTGACACAAGTAATGTGACTATGACGGGATAAAGAAAACGACTGGAAAAAAAGCAAAATGGTAAAATAAAATTGTTTTTTTATGAACGAAGTTCTTAATTCAAAGAAAAAATTTCATGTGGTTAACCTTTTTTCAAGGAAACGAGAAACGGGATTATCCCTATGATCTCGCCTTATATCCACAATCTTCCTGTGAGTATACACAAACAACGCTCCTCCAAATCCACAAAAAACCCTAGAATAAATGCGTCATTATACGTATCAACGATGTTGAAACTCAGAAATAGATAAATATATTGTTATGTCGATCGTTAATGTTGTTAACTCACCCAATCAGAGAGAAAGCAATAAATTCTTCTGTATCAAAGGGAAATTCAATCCTGAAGTTGGTCTTAAAAAGAGCTGTGATTGTTTCTGGAAATGAAAAAGTTTCAGAATTAATTGACCTTGGCGATGTATTTATCCACAAAATCATTGCTGACACATGCGTTATAATGCCATGTATCATTAATGTGATCATACGACCTTCTTCATTGTCCCACACAGAAAGAAGACTAAACACAAATGCACCACAAACTGCAGCAAAGAATCCTCTCCAATAATTTCTTACGGCAAAATATGTACTAGTTACTTCAATACTGAATAAGACACCTAAACATGAGACGTTAAAAAAGTTATATCAATGTTTGCACTTTGTCAGGTAGGCAGTCAAAATGCTCAAGACTAACCTCCAATTGGAGATGCAAAACAACTTGATACACCAAGAGCACATGCGGCAGCAAGTATCTCTGTATTACGTGATTCATTCTATAAATACAATTCATTGAATATGAACTTATATTTAGTCAATTGCAACCCATTTCACTATGTTATCAAAATGTCGTAATACCAATATAGTACCATAAATATTCCTTTAAATGAAGTAACAAATTTTCCCAGAGCCCTTGCAACAATACAAGCAATATGAACAAATGGACCCTACAAGTACAAACATTAAAATTGATGATTTATAAAACTCAAGTCTTATTGTAGTTTTACTTAGTTAATACATGTAAGTTTTTAAACAATCACCTCTTTTCCAATGGGAATGCCACTTCCTATAGAAGCTGTTAAGCCAATCTAAACATAACAATTTTATGGCCCTTGACCAATCCTGTGTTTTTGCTTTAAAAATAATTACTCCAATAAAAAAACACCCAACGTCTACAACCCTACATCTTTCCTCCCAGCAATTTTTTTCTCTCTACCATCTACCATTCTTTCCTGCTCTTCTTCTCTACCATCTGCCCCTTTTCCCTATCATCTGCCCCTTCTCCCTATCATCTGTCCCTTCTCCCTGTCATCTGCCACTTTTTGCCATTCCTTCATGCCATTCGCACCTTCTCCCGGCCATCCGCCCCCCTGCTTCTACCCTGGTAAAAAAAAAACAATGTTTATGGTCATATGTACCACTTTGGAAATTAATGTTGGTATTGAGAGATAACGTTTTAAAACAGTGCCACGCAAAATGGTCTTCATTTCTGGTATTCCAGAACCTACAAAAATAGTTAAAGAAACACTGGGTATTAACAAACTAAACACTTGGATATTTATAATTCGTAAACATTATTACCGATAGCATGTGGAGAAACAAGATGCGTAAAACCAACAGAGAAAAATATCAGTGAAACAGGAAAGAAAACCCACAACAAATACTGAACGAAAACATTGTCAGAGACATGAGAATACATCCAGAAATGTGCTAGATAATAAATCAATGATATGTTATCATTTTGAAGTAACTGCTTTGAAGTTTAACCAAAGACATTCTTTGTTACCTTGTTGACATTTATCTATTGAGTAATCCAAACCAAAACTAATGAGGGCAACAATAATTCCCAGAACAAGAAGAAATAACCAATCACTGTCAAATTTCTCTTCAATTGACAGAAAAACTTGTTTCATTTGTCCTGGTAACAATGTAAAACATGTTGCAGTACTAGCAAATGAAAGAATTTCCTTCTCAACTTATCCAACATTTTATGTGTGTAAATAAGTGTAGAAAGTTTGTATGAAATTGATGTTTGCTTGCATGGGATGAACAACAAAATTGTGGTTCGTAAATTACAACATATTTTCCATAACAAAGAGAATACATTGTCTACTGTTAATTTTCTACACGATTCAATAGATACTCTTACTCACAATTTCCATCTTTCCATCATTTACACTATATTGATCCTCTACTTACTCCTAATTATCCCCCATCTGGAGGTACTGTATGCGTGAAAGTGATCATCATTTGGTTCTAATGGTGCGGTTTCATCTTGAGAAGTTTGACTTCGTAATTCAGCAGCAAAATTCTTAGCATAATCTTGTAATTCCTGGGCTGTATGACTGCCATACATCTACACATAAAAACTTTAAATGAAATATTCCTGCTCATATAAAAATCTGTACAAGAATTTCCTTGCTATAAAACATATAAGACTCTGTACAAGAATTTCCTTGCTATAAAACATATAAGACTCTGTACAAGAATTTCCTTGCTATAAAACATATAAGACTCTGTACAAGAATTTCCTTGCTATAAAACATATAAGACTCTGTACAAGAATTTCCTTGCTATAAACATATAAGACTCTGTACAAGAATTTCCTTGCTATAAACATATAAGACTCTGTACAAGAATTTCCTTGCTATAAAACATATAAGACTCTGTACAAGAATTTCCTTGCTATAAAATATATAATGCTGAATATATTTTTCTGTTTGAGAGTACTGTGCACAAATACTTTGCCTCTGCCTTTTATCGATATAATTCCCTGGCCTCAACTGCCTCTACATAAATTGTACACTCTTGGCAATGAAACAAGGAAATTCAAGTTACATTTAGAAAGATTTTTGCAACTAACCAATGTTTCTTGATAGTTATAACGACTTTGTTCATCCTCAACTCCAGACATGATTAAAAAGAAACGAAATCGTCAAAATAATATTTCAGTACAACTTTAAAATTCAGCCATATTTGCGTTTACACTAAACTACTTTCCATCCACCAAAGTCATCTAAAGGTATTTTTTACAGAATGATCACAAAACGACAAGACCCCCTCTTCAAGTCTTTTGCATTAACATAAACAACATCAATATTTTGTCAGACCTATGTTTATAATTTTTTGTCCAAAATCAAATAAATGTTGAAGAAGAAGAATATGTTGCATTCGTGATGAATGGTCAAAGGAGAAGTACGGTAAAACCACTGGGTATAACTTAATGGAATTTGGTTATTGAGAACAACAATGATACAATTGCCATTACCAAGCTTACTTAAATGACTCAACTTGTCAAGATCGATACAAGTAGATGTTTGTAGAAAGCACAGAAATTTAAAACATGTAATTTTATTCCAGAAGTAATGAAAAAGACTAGCAATTTCTTCTTAACCGACGATTTAATGATCTTCCGAGAACAATAAAGTATTTTCATTGTTCCCAAATCACAGCTCAACCTGGAGTTCTCAGGAAGGTCACGATGAGAAAAAATGAGAGCAGCATATTTCGAAATTTCTCGAGAAATCTGTCTGTTATGATAGATATTCTCTTCTTTCTTCACTACTGGTCCAATACAGGCAATTCTATAAAAAAATAGCAAGTGAAATAAAGCGTCTTAGTTGTAAAATATTACATGAGTATTTTAACAGTTGGATGAGCATAAAGTGATGAAATGTTACAAAAATTGCAACTTACAGTACAGATTGGACAACACCATATAAAATTCCGTCAACCTAACGTAATATCACTCCGTCATTATGACGATGTTATAAAATAACATTAAATATCCGCTTCTTTTACGGAGGACTTAACGACGCCTTGTCATTCATTCCTATCATTGCAAACAAAGACTTTGTGTTAATTATATCGTATAAACTGCTTTCCTAAACTCAAAAACTCATAAAATGTAGTTCTACCGTTCCTTGTGTTGTGTAAAAAGAAAAATTGCAAGTCGATTTTCTCTCAGTAGTTGAAGTAGTTAGTCTTGATACGTTAGCGGAAGATTTTAATATTCACATACATTAGAACCCAGGCTACGTCGTTAAAAAGATTTAGGAAGAATTTAGAGGTTACAACAATAGTAGTCCTATGTATTTTGTAAACTGAACTAGATCTAACAGTATATGATTGAAACATCACGATAAAACTATCACAAACATTGCCTTGGTTTGCCATAAACTTGGTCATTGTAATACATTATGAAAGCTTATTAGTTACTTGAAAGAGTCTTTTATGATTGAAGAGCCTCTAAATCTGTTACACTAAGTTTTTCCATTTTTATATGCTTAAAAATAACACCTTGCTTTGAGTAACTCTCATCTGCGATATCATTGTTAAGCATACAATACAGTTATTGTTAATAAAAACACCTTTTCTTGATAATTTAGAAGATTGTGAAGAATTTCATTTATTTTTTTTTAACGTTAATAAGCTTTATATTGCCCAGTCGGAAGCACAGTGAACCAGCACATTTGGCGTAAGTAATTTAGATGAACAGAGAGAGTGACAGAAGAAACACAGCAATATTTAGCGAAGATAGAAAAGACAAAGTACTGTTATACAGGTATCGTTTACCAAACAAAAATAAAATAAAAATAGTATATATTGTATACATATCTTTCATCGATGTTGTGTCTTATTTATACAACAATTTAATAAATATTCTTGGTAAATGGCTAATTATTTAACAATGAGATTGCAAGACTAATTTAAAAAAGAGGAAAAAAACGATAGAGTAAAGATTTAGTGATAAAAAATAATAGTTTTCTTATCTGCAGAAATATTACTTATTATTATTGTTATCTTAACTGCATATTAAGACGTTTAGCCAAATGTGTTTTAAAGAACTACTTGGAGGTTCTACGTCAATTGAAAATATTCAAAACACGGAGGAGGATGGATTAAATAAATTTCTAAAAGTTTGAGCAATTAAAAAGCGATGTATAGAAAGCAAAATATTCTTCCATCTTCAGGCTTTTCAATTTGTATTTATGATAATTGGGCAATTTGTTTTTGTTAATATCGCACAATTAAGGTAGAATTAAGAAGAAAAATTATGGGTTTTCCATCAAAGAACACATTATTTTTTTTACCGTCTATTTCCTTAATTATCTTCGATACAACTCTTGAGTGTATTTCCAGAACGATCAAGAAAAACAGTTTCCTTCTACAAGTTTATAAACTTTTCGTGATCATGAAAGATAAACACTTGGTCGCCATATACACACAAATTTTTTTATGTTCACGAAAAATCTATTGTGTTAATAACGCATTCTTGCAATTTATTAATAAGTATAAAATAAAAAAAGTAGATAAAATGACAGCCTAAGGCTACACTTAAAAATATGATTTATAAAATAGAGTTAAGAATCTTAAAAAGAATCTATAGCCCCCACGCATTAATGTCATGGTAACACTCAAATCAAGTGGGATTGTCATGTGAAAACGAAACATATATAACTAGAGACAATCTTTTCATTCAAACATGTTAGTTACAGTGATCTGTCGACGTTCATATCAACACAAGAAGTATCAAAATACGAAGATTATAAACTACTAAACATAAGGGTAAGTTTGTTCCATATTATTTACACTTCTTTCATTTCTTCTTACAACTTAACTATCTCTCTTTCATTATAAAGAAAATGTACCTTTGTAACCCACTATGTTCACAGGAGTAAAAACTTCCGCTAGCAAAATGAAAATTCTTCTGATCTATTGTACTTTCTACCCATAAAACAAAGGGAGGAGTTTTTTTTCCAATAAAGCTAAATAAGTGTAATACATACATAATAGCATACGCACTTTTCGAGCACATATTTATAAGAAAGTTATATTATGGTGCATGTTAACTTTTCCTGTTGTCAACAACCTTAGCAATTAACGTGAAAATTGTGGGCGAATATCAAGAAGCATTTAGCGTCTTGATGACGTCGTATCATTTAACATGCTGAATAACAAGATAAAATTTACTTTTAGAAAAGTCGTCAACTACAATAAAATTTATGATGAATAAAAGAACTTGCGGTGTCTGCATCATGCAAGATGACATACTTCATAACTACCACGTTAAATTTTTTAGTTCATTAAATTTGTTTACAATATTTACCTTGCATGAAACTCGTTGGCGTGGTAGGTGTTTTTGATCATTGTAGCTTACTGAGCATGCGCACGTCAATTTCTACATTGATAAAGGAACTTTGTTTTTGAAATCAAGTCATAAAAACATCACTAGAATTAATCGGCTGTTCAATCGTCAGCAGAATATAAAGAGGATTATAACCTAACATCATTTACCTTACATGTTTTTAAATGTTGACTGTAGTCAACAACAACAAAAACAGTCCTTCTCAGGACTATACCAACCTGGACGATCTACATTTAAAAACATGTAACGATACTCCCGGGTTCAAACCATTTACCTTGTTTACATAGATTGTACGAACAAGATGAATGCATCAGGATCATTGTTTATATTTTCATTGGCAATGTTATTACTCCTCATACAAAATGCTGAAAGTAGACCAAATAATGTCAACAAAAAGAAAAAATCGTTGAAAAGTATTTCACTTTTTCCCAACCGCACAAGCTGGTGTCGGGCTCAAGATATAAACCACGTGATAGATCACGAGGGTTGCGAGTCTGTAAGCGTGCGAAACAAGTTTTGTATTGGTCAGTGTTATAGCTACATGTCACCTGACGTCATGCCAAGAAATTCAGTCATTCGTTTAAGCCATTGCGAAAGATGTGTTGCATCAAAGACAACTTGGCAGAAAGTTCAGCTCAATTGTAAGGATGGAACTAAAGTGGATAAAATAGTTCAATTTATCCTGGAGTGCAAGTGTAAAAAATGCAGAAACAATATGTAATAAGAGCAACGATTCACTCTAGGAATAAACTTATATATCGACATTCAAGATTGTAAAATACTCTTGAAGATCTGTAATTCTAAGGATGCTACAGTATATTGAAAAAATTATCAATAACGCAGTGTTTGTGATTGTTTAATACACCCACACGTCAACTGTTGTTTTTTCCTGACTCGTCGACACATTTGCTTGTATTCGAAGATTTTTCTTGCAAATTTTTACAATAAAACGTTAAACGTTTAAAAATAAACGAACGTTACAAATAAAACGTGTAAAACATTGTTTTTTACATGTTTCTCTTTAAAACCCTCATTATCCACCAGAGTCCTCATCATTATGACGTCAACATAATTAACAGACATTTTTGTTTTTGAATATTTTACGAGTTGCCATAACAGTTTACTAAAATATACAGAAAAAGCTGGACAACTCTCCGTCGTTCAGGTTAGAAGCTCCAAAAAATGAAAAAAATCCCGAAAAACAAAAATTCACCACAAGGATCCAAGAAGAGCTCAAAAACCAAGATAATTTTAGCACCGTTAGTTGATTTTGGACGACCACAAATATTGAAAGAACCAAGTCATCCATCTTTGATTGCATTCAAAAGAAACTGTGAGCGACCACCTACTCCATACGACGATATTCGAACGAAAAAGTCTATCCCAACACCGGAAACAAATTCACCACCATCTTCTCAAGCAAGTTTATACAGTATTGAAACAAGACAAACAAAAAGAATTACAAAAATACCACCTATAGCAATGGAAGCATACGAGCATTACAATGAGGATTCAAAAAAACACAATCGTAATCGCACAAAATCATTATTCTTGCCAAAAATTGACAATAGTATACCGACCTCGTTAATGAATCATTCACACTGTGGCAATACTCGGTCGACAATAGTGAAGCTCCCACCAGCAGGTTGTAGAAATGTTATAACACAAGGCAATTACTCTCATGAGATTCGACCACAATCACCAGCTCCCGGTTCGTTGACGAACATTGAAGGAAACAGCAAGATGGCAAGAAAACGAAGAACAAAATCTCGAAACAAACAGTTTCATAATAATTTAGAAAACGACGATGCTGAGATTACGAAGAAAGCAAAATTGTGAATATTACATTTCATAACAATTAATGCTTCGGCCAAAAAAGTCATCATTAATATTTTGTGAGACTGGTTCATTTTATTAAAATGGAGACGATTGTTTTGACAAAACCATTAACTATGATTACATTTTCCAGACTTGTCATGATACAATAGAATAAAATTATAACTGGGAGCATAATATAGAAAAAAAGAATACCGTTCCTTTACTAGGTCAATTTGTATATACGTCTCTTTCCTAATGAACCACAGGATATGTTTATCATACTATAGAAAAAAATGCTTACGTTTCAAAAAAGGTTTCTATTTTTCACGACTTAAAGCATCGATAAATTGCTCTAGACTTTCTTGGATATGTCTCACACGTTCTAAGATACAGAAAAAATTCATTACTATTTTGTGTTGCTGAAATCTTGGGATATTGAAATATTGTTATATAAATAAGCTTGAAGCCTTGGACTTACTTAACTCTTCGGAGAGATCAACTTGTCTTCCAGTAATCAAATTCATCTTTTTATTTGGATCAGAACAGATGTCATCTAACACAATTTTAACATCTTTCTCAAGACGTCGCGCTAAACCAAGACAGTAAATATCATTGATAAAATAAGTAAATCACGATGTGTTTATAAGAAAATTATAGTCAACGTGCCTTCATAATTCATGATTTGTTGTCGTAATGAATTGCTGGTAATTTGTAACATTTTTTGTATCCTCCAAAACAACACAACATCATTGCATTGCAACTGAAAAATATTGTAAAATTTACCAAAAAACTATCGAAATGTCATCAACTTGCTAGCCCCATGATATAAATTGAACAACATGCTTACATCGGTATTGATAGAGTCTTTATGATGAAAACCTTTCCGGCATTCTTGAGCATTGCGAATGGCTCGTTGTATAAACTGCTCTCGCTGCATATGCCTCCAGGTACGTCTGATCTGTTCAAACAATTAATAAGATACCACCATGAATAACAAACACAACTATATTTAAGAATGGTGCGAGTTAAAAATAAACACTGACTTTGTAAGTTAAAACAATCAAAATCAATTTTTCATTTCATTAAAGTATCATGTGGAAATAAGCAGTCGATAATTCAATTACACCACTTTTGAAGTAACTAGCTCTCTAAATCATAAATTACTAGAAAAAGCATCTGAGCAAGAACAGTCCGCTCTTAACCAACGGTTTGAGTTGATAATCATGGCTCGATCGTATTCGAAAATATTCGAGAAATCATCTGAGCATGCAGACAGTCCACTTGAACATGCATGGTTCACTCGCTCAATTGTTCGAGTTCATAGTCTTAAAAATGACCATTTAGATCCACTTGCACAGCTTTTGGACTATCTAGCTCGTTCAGTCACAAACTATTAAAGAAACCATTTGAACACGCGCAGTGGACATGACGAATGTTTCATAGTCACGGCAACGACCAAATGGTTGTACTTGCACAGTTTTTGCAGTAAATAGCTTGTTCAGTCTTAAATTAACAGAAAAACCATCTGAGCGTCAAACATCTAGTTGATGTCAACTAGCAGCGAAGACAGGATATCATTACGTAGTGGTAACTTAGGATGAGAAACGTATGTCGCAACGTCACTCTCCCTGCGTACCCCGAGTGCCATAGTGCGTCTCAAGGTATGATGGGCTGAAGCTCGCTATTGACATGCCCAACGTTAAAATGCGACGCTCTAGAGCCTTTCCTCTTCCATGGTATCGGAAACATGCACCGAAATAGGATTTTTTGTTTTCGAAATTTCTTTTGACAAAATAAACTGTAATATCCAACACAAATGCAAATTTTCAAACAATTTCGGTCTTTTAACGTCAACCTTACATCAAATTCTATTTTCTCCGCTAATAAAATAAGCCAATTTAAAACATTTTTCATAAGTCGATATCTTTTATAACTTAACTTCCTCTTATGTAACTTTGTCAAGAGATATCAACGACAATTCATACCAAATTATGATCCACATTAACATTTAGAGCTTCCAAATTCTTACGAACAGTTGTCAGTTCATCTTCTGCAAGATCAGGTCCGTGTTTCTTTAAAGTAATAACAACGCAGCTCATATACTTTTTGACAATGATATTTTAAATGCAGTGTTATGTAAAGAAAAGTAAACTGACCTCATCAATTTGAAGAAGTTTTTGTAACTCATCTCTTGCATACGAACACAGCTCCTGAGAAATGAAAACTCACAATTATAGACGCATTTTATACACTTAAACAATTGAGGATTGATCACATTTCTTCTTAACATCGAGAAGAAAATAAAGAATACGAGAAAATTATTCAACCTGTTCCTTTGAGCGATTTTTCCAATACAACCATCTCTCTGCCCTTCCCGGTCCAGTCAATTCGTACATTTTTTTTGACGCTTCAAGACAAAGTAGTGAAAACAAACATGTTTTGTCTGATAGCTGAAGAATATCAAATCTACAGATCTTAGTTAATTAACAAGATGAGTTTGAGATGATAAAGTTAAAAACATTTGATACCATCATCCAACTGATGATTTAAGGTCTCTTCAAGGAATTTCGTTGCCGAATTCCATTCCAACTGATCACTAACTGACCAATCTTCCAATGCCGTCATTTGCATCACTTTCTATAATCCACAAAAAGGCCACTAATATTTATAAATGAAGGGAGTAATTCAAAGCAAGGAAATCACAACCATTGAAGTAAATGTAGAACTGGAAAATATAAACATGTCTCTACTTGCACGAGGCTAAATTTTACCTACAGACACAAATCTCACAGTTTAGCTTATTGTCGTAAATGAGATTTTTGGAGCGGTGCGTGTAAAAAATCGTGAATAGCTAAATTGCTGGCTTCAAATTTACGCAAAGTAGCATTCCAGTTATGCATGTAGAGCACAAGGATCACATCACATCTCACCAAGCTTTCCTCTGCTTTATGCAACCATTGATGGTTTGTCGTACAATAGCTCTTCACCGATGATTTCAAGTTTTCAAATAAAACACTGTGACTATCTCGACGATTAAACGTGTTCGACGTCTAACAAATAAACAAACATACAGCTACATTTACTATCGTAAGTATAAAGATGTGTGGCTAATATAACTGCTTATGGTAGACTAACCTCGAGAGACTTGGAAACTTCATAAAATAATGTATCCCAGCCAACCTAAAACATATTAAAACAATCATAAAAGTAACATTAGAATATAAGAAGCAAGAGGGCATAAGAAAGTCACATTCTACAGCACCTGTATTGAAGTGGTGGCGAGACTTTTCTCTGCCCAATGTTTTAGTTTAATGTCGACAATTGTATTAAATTTGCCAGGATCATTATTCTGTGCAGCAGGAATGTATATGTCGTCAATCACACGTGATGATATTGTTTGCCATAAATTTTCATAGAGTTTTTTCTCCCAATCTTTTGGCCTAATATCATGAAGACTTAGAACATCATCCAAGATCTCAGCTCTACCTTTCTCAAACAGTTCATCCTACATGAAGTAACAAGAGAACATTACTACATGAAGTAACAAGAGAACATTACTACATGAAGTAACAAGAGAACATTACTACATGAAGTAACAAGAGAACATTACTACATGAAGTAACAAAGAACATTACTACATGAACAGAGGAGTAAAAAATTCTACAAAGCTTCGCAAGAATGAGCGCACCCGATCAAGCTCACGGATTTTGGGAAATTGATTCTTCCATTCTGCCTCAAGATTAAACTTTTTAGCTAAAGATAAACATAGAAAAATGCAATGGTGAGAAGGACCGTTGACTGACGTTTCAACAACCATATAAAGTCATCTTAATAGTTCATACTAATATCAAAGGATTACCTACGTATTAAAGAGAAATTTTATGAAAGAACACAACTACGTACCTTTAAAGAGATCAGCTTGTTGTTCAATAGATTCTCTCACCATTTTCCAAAAACAATTAGATACAGCAAAACTCAAGTTTTGCGTGGTCATCTGACTGGCTTTGAACACGCCAGTTCTTCAAAAAGAAATAAAAGACATTCAATTTTTATCTTTGCTTCAACAAGAGGACAGTAGACTACAGACAAATAAAAACTTACTTAAAAAGTTTTGAATGTCGGAACATTTCTTCTTCATAATTCTTGATTGATTCAATACTTTCACTAGGATTTCCTGTTCCCGTAATCACGGCAAAATATCCCAAAGCCTTCATTGGAAAGAGACGGCCTTCCAGAATTTGTTTGATCTATAAAATATAAAAAACTTATATTTGAAAAACTATTATGCAAATAAATAAATTTCAATGATTAACTTTGTGATAGCTACGTACTCGACTTGGGCTTGTCTCGTTCTTCTCTGCCAGATCAACCTTAGTTAGTACAAAAATTGTTCTCTTGCCTGTAACATTGTGATAAAAAACTTTATCGTCAAAATCAATATCTCTCATGAAATTGAAGTTGATGGTTCACCTTGAGGATCCATGATATTTGCAAGCTCTGTTACATTGCTGCGTTCGGCATCAATGGAGCCATCTGGTAAAATGTAAGATTATTGTTCATGTCACAAAATCAAATTTTTACAATTTATAAAGTTAAAAAATGACCTTGAATACATAAGATTATCGCGTTAGGATTCTGCATATATAACCTTAAAGAACAAAATGAATTCCATTTAGAAACGTAAAGTAGATGCTTGCTTGTCAACATGAACATCAATTTTCCAGGTGGGAAACGAAACACTCACGATAGTTTTACAACAAAGAGAAAAAATTTATTTATATTGCTTACTTGCACATTTAATATAAACGACAACTTTTTTGAAAATAGACATGTTTCGACATCTCATGATGCCATGCTCTCAAGATGGAGACACGTTTATATTAAATGTGTATTGGCAATAGTGCTTTTACGAAATTATGGAAACATTTCTTACTTGCTCATATTGTAGATTGAATCTTTTGTATCAGCCGCCATACCACTCGTTCGTGTCTAACAATAAAATAGTATTGTCAATAAACATACAGTACATTTAAAGTAAAATAAACGTAACTATGTATCGATGTTACCCCTATAATCCCTGGAAGATCAACCAAGACCATCCGCTGTAGTCCAGGTCCTTTAACATTCATTGAGATCACCTGGGTAAAGATCGAATGTAATTTTCAAAAGGACATCGATGACGAGTTCAAGAACTATAACACACCTCTTGACTAACTGTTTTGCCTTCTTTAACACTGTTTTTCATTCTTCTTTCAACTTCTTGTCTTAATGCCTGCAACTACGTAAAAATAACATCCTTTCATTCAAGGTATTTACGTTAGTTGAAATAAACGCGACAGGTGTGTACGCAGATATGAGAAATAAGAACTAAATATTATACTTACATCATCTTCTTTACTTAAATCATATTCATGAGAGCTTCCTTTAAAATAAGCCAAATGATTTGGACCTTCACTTAACGTCACCTTTCAAAAATACAAAATTAGTGAATAAACTACAAGACTTTAAGAATTATAACACAAGACTAGAAATGTTTCACAAACCATAACAGGTGCTCTTGTCATCATTTCACCAGAACCCCTGAAATCAGAAAACCAAAATAAAATGAAGAATTGAACTGGATGATTCATACTTGCCAAAATTACCTAGGAAAAATCCTCGCTTGAGCAATCATTTCAAGAACACTCGTTTTTCCAGAACTTTGATCACCAACAACAACCACCTAAAGGGTAAAGGAAACAATTCATTGATAATTTCTAGGAACCATTAGAAACATAAATTTAAGTGAATAAGAATTACATACACGAGGAAGGTTATCAGTTGTGTTATAATTGGCATCATATTCAGAGAGAAGATCCAATACATCAGAATACATATCAATCAATGATTTCTAAATGATTTAAATACTTCATGAAAGCAGTTCATAAGAATACTCTCTATGAAACTTAGGTACAACTATGTACCTTGATGTGTCTGCTGGATACTACAGGTTCCCCTTTCAACAACAAGATTTCTTTACGAAGATTTTATTTTCTTGAGATAATCTTTCTACCTCATGCTGATACTTTTGCTAAGAATTTTTTGTTTGGAAAACATGACATTATTATTTTATAATCATGTCAGACTAATGATTGAGTTTAACTTACCTGTAAATCTAGTAATTCTTCACTTGATTTCTCAAGTCTCCTATGCAACTATATGTTTTAAAAATGAATGCAAATTTACGTAAGCAAGAAGTATTTAGTACTAGCATATTGTGCATGCAAAATGACTATATGACGAAGAGAAGACATTGATGTGAGTAATGAAGGCAATCGCAAACATAAACAAAAACTCTTACTTTATCTTTTTCTTCATTATCAATCTTTACATTGTTTTGTTTAACTGCTGCTGCAATAATAGGGGGACCAGCTTCTAAGAGAGACACATCATTAATATACACAATCTAAATTACAAATTTATGAATTCACAAGAAAAAACGACAGAAAAAAGCAATGATGGACCTGATCCTAAGGAATCTTCAAGATACTCCTGAGCCGCAACAAAGAAATTTTTCAAGTCTGTACAAAACATCATTTGTACAATGTGAGCTCTTGTTATTTTTCATCAAAAAAATGATAGTAACAATGAAAAAGACACTTACCTTTGTTTAATGATAAATCTGAAAGATCTGGCAGTTTTTCTTTGGAGAAAAAATCTTTCAACCATGTGATATTGAAAGGAAGATTGGGGATATGACTTGTAAACTTGTCCCATTTATCTTTATAAGAATCAAACATCTAAAACATTAAATAAATTAAAAACATGATCATTTGTGAATGTATTGTGGATACACACAATATCTCACCATCTTTGAACCAATAACACCAGCTCCAGCTGTACCCAGCAAAACATATCGTAATCTCAAAAGGTTTGACATGGTTCGAACAATATTTGTGACATAAAACTGTCTTCTGTACATTCCCTGGTCTACTAAGAGTCTTTTTGTCCATGTTCTATGTAAAGTGTTCAAATGACGAATGGATGACATTTGTTTGTAGACAATGCAAAAGTTCTTCTGTTTTACAAATGATGTTTGATTAGGGCAAACTAATGTAGTTTTCATCACTTGTTTTGATTGGTTGGTGCAACTTTTTGCTACAATGCACACAAGACGCTCTAAAATACGAAAAAAACATGGCATTTCTTATAAATATTTAGTTGAAACCTTCAAGAAATCTGTCAAAAAAGTCCTATGTATAGTCAACAATATTTTCATATTAGGTTGGCTTGTATGATACAAATGCTATCTGAATGCTTTGAAAATCGATCTTTTCATCAAACACATAAAATAACAGATATGCACTGGGACTTCATACTATAATATTACTACAGGATATAAATTCGCAATGCCTCATTAAAAGCAGCATTTAATCATTTTTAATGTCGTGTTTTTATGAATTGAGTTTTAAAGATATTTCACATGTTAACATACCCAAATGTCCCAATGATACGCTGCATTTTTTGACAACTTAGCTATAAAGTTTTACTAATCATAACTGTGACAAACTTCCTTCTCTTCATTGCTAAAACTTGAATGAACAAAAACTGTATTGACATCAGGTGAAAGCAGCCATTTTGAATTTTAATTAGAACGCAAAGTAAGACGTCATTGGCAATGGCAATGGCTTGGAGATTTTGTTTTTCAAGTACGAATTTTTTCTTCAAGAATGAAAAACCATTATTAAAAGTTTAATATTCTCATGTAATTTTTTTAAAGAAATTATAACATGAGAGTAATAATTGCTTTGAAAGCATTTTCATATGCGTTATTGGTTATTTGAAATTATTCATTCTTAAACTGCTGACGTAACTAAACACAAAAAGCCCAGAAAACATGTATAGTTTGACATGGATAAAATCTTACTCTTAACTCTGCATTTGTTGAAACTTAGCACCTGAAGACGGTCACTTATCTGACTCACACAAAACACAACGAATTTCCAACATGTTGCAAACTAACTACGTCCATAAACCTAATTTTTAATTGGTGAAAATGAAAAAAACAAACTAAACCATCCAAGCACACCATAAAAACATCTTTTAAAAATATAAGAAAATATACAAAACTAAACATGCATAATCGTCGTATATAATATATGATAAACCATCTAATGTCATAATAATCTATTCCCATTCAGTAGTTCCAGGAGGTTTGGCTGTCAAATCATAAAGTACACGTGATATTCCTGGAATTTTCTTTATTTGTTTCGCCATTTCAAGGAATACCTGAACAAAAAGACGATAAACTTTGTACATCTATTGTTGAAGAAAAGCTGAACAATCAATGTTTACAGTTAAAATGTGGTCGTAAAATTAAAGTTGAATAAGGAGGATACAGAATATGGATTAAAAAAACATCAATTGAATGATAATAAAATGAACCACTAACATGCTCTGGTATTTCTTTATCAATCGTAGCAGGGACTCCTGTCATAAAGTCATTTGTTATGAATGTTCTTATCACAACAGACCGCTGACACGAAGGTATTCTTGACAACGGATCGCGGTCAAAATGAACGGGAATAAGAACTACAGGCATTTGACTCAAGGACTTCATGTGACCTATAAGATTCAATAGAACGATTATACATCATCTTTATGTGAGCTCAGGGGATTCAATAGAACAATAGTACATCATCTTCATGTGACCTCAGGGGATAACACAGAGCATAAAGGATGATTTTTTACATTCAAAATGCAACACCTGAGTCCCGTAAAACTTTTCGAGCGATATAATCAGCTTCTTTAATCAAATCCAAAACACAAGTCGACAAATACGTTGGTGTAATATCATTTATAGGATAATGAATACGACCACCAAACGCGTACACAATTCTGAAAAAACATTTTCTTCATAAACCAAATGTTCTACAGGAAAACCTACTGTGATAAATCAACAAGAAAATTTGATGTTAATTAAAAAACCTGTTAACATTGTGACAAATACGGGGAATCAACTTTGCCAACGTCATCAAATCGTTATAACTAACATTCTCATCGCTTGATAGAGCTACAACATAACTGTATGTACGACAGTCACCCTGTGACAGATGACAAGTTATCAAAGGTACACTTCTTCATATACGTTTATGTTTTAATTACCTGAACGCCCACAGTCTTTATGGGCAGCAGTGTAGCCGTTACTTTATACTTATCACTAAAAAACTTCATGAATTCTTGTTCTTCAGGCGATGATGCATTTTTGATGGCTATCAATGACGTATGAGGCTAAAACAACAAAAACACGTTTGTTTGTATAAACACAAAGTATTTGAATAATGTCTTTGACTTACTTTCGTTAAACTTTCTGAATAATTCACAATAGTCGTTACAATCAATTTCGTATCGGCATAATCATCCTTATGATAAGGTTTCTCACCACAGATAACACGTATTGCAAGACCAGGACCAGGGAATGGGTGTCTATCAACGAGATTCCTCGGTAACCCAAGTTGTACGCCAAGTTCCCTAACTTCGTCTTTATGAAAATCTTTCAATGGTTCAACAACTTTTCCCTATAAAGTAGTCACCAAAACAGATTATTGCCTACAGCACACCAGATCACCCCTTCAAACCCTCTAAACTCCTACATACGTACATGTAATCATTGCCTACAACACACCAGATCACCCCTTCTAACCCTCTAATCTCCTACATACGTACATGTAATCATTGCCTACAACACACCAGATCACCCCTTCAAACCCTCTAAACTCCTACATACGTACATGTAATCATTGTCTACAAGACACCAGAGCACCCCTTCAAACCCTCTAAACTCCTACATACGTACATGTAATCATTGTCTACAAGACACCAGAGCACCCTTCAAACCCTCTAAACTCCTACATACGTACATGTAATCATTGCCTACAAGACACCAGATCACCCCTTCAAACCCTCTAATCTCCTACATACGTACATGTAATCATTGTCTACAAGACACCAGAGCACCCCTTCAAACCCTCTAAACTCCTACATACGTACATGTAATCATTGTCTACAAGACACCAGAGCACCCCTTCAAACCCTCTAAACTCCTACATACGTACATGTAATAATTTCCAACTCAATTCTTACCTGTTCTCTTAGAGCTCGGACAAGGTTCGTATCGTTATGATGTGTTTTGATGGCGTCAGCTTTGCAGCTGGCCATTGCTGAACCACTTTCTATAAGGTCTGGTCGTAAAGTTCCTAAATTTCAGATAGATGGAAGAATGAGAGAAAGCTAGAGAGAATACCTTAAATGAATGATAAATGACTTGACCAACCTTGTGCTAACATCGTAGTTTTAGGATCTAGTTTAAGTTCTTTTATTGCATCGTTAGCAACCTGAAATAGTCAAGAAATTAGCCGTTTTTCAAGACTAGTTAATTGATGTCTTTGTTCATCACCTGTATAAAAGTATCACCAATGATTTTACGTTTCTCCTCTGGATCTGAAGAATTGTTTAAAGTTTGTGAATACCATCTTTTTACAGGATAATCCATGTCACTGGAGTTCTGTAGTGTTTTAGCGTTGTAGAATGTGTGACTGGCATTGATTACTATCAACAAAATAAAAATTTATGATATTTTATGAGAAATTACTTGGGCAAAAATACATGTCAATCCTATACTGAACCTGTTAACTTGAGTCCTAATGCAGATAAAGATTGGGTGACCTGTTCACTTTCGTTTTTACGCATAAAGCCATTATCAATATGAACCGCATACACTGAGCTTGCACCTAAAGCCTGGAGTGATACAAACAATAAATTCATGTGATACCTAAGATTGCGCAATACAAGCTGTCAACTCCCAAAAAACACATGATGAAGTTAAATATTGAGAACTTGAGAATGTGAAAAACTTCAGTTACGACTCACTTGACTTAATAATGCTGTACAAACAGTTGAATCTACTCCACCACTGACTAAAGACTAAAGAAATGATTTATATGATAATGGAATGGACTTCAGAAAAATATGTGATGTAAAAATTACTGACAAGGATTTTTGATGATCCACATATTTTCTTAATTTCATCCATACAAGAATGAATCCTACAATCCATTGTAAATTGGCCAGAACAGCCTGCTATCTATAACAAAATGTACAAGAGAAAACACAATATAACATTTTACTAAAGTAAATGGTTTGAACCCGGGAGTATTGTTACATGTTTGTAAATGTCCATTGTTCAGGTTGGTATAGTCCTGAGAAGGACTGTTTTTCTTGTTGTTGACTGACATTTCGACAATCTTAGAAGTAGACTCTGAAGATGACTACCGCTAAGGTTGTCGAAACGTCAGTCTACAACAACAAAAACAGTCCTTCTCAGGACTATACCAACCTGGACGATCTACATTTACAAACATTTAATAACATTTTACTGTTGGCAAAAAAACTTTCTAGCTACAGGCTATCAGCATGCTTATACATAACAACTTACTTTAAATAGAAAATTTTTAAACATATCCACACCATGTACAGTGAGGTCAACCTCAGGATGAAACTGTACTCCATATATCATTTTAGCTTCATTATCAATACCTAAAAAATATCACAAATATCCATGTACTAAACGTTTTTCATCTCTAAATACTTGGAACGAATGTAGTGCACACCAGCAACAAGATTTCCTGATTTGGCAATCTCTCTAAAACCAGGTGCAACTTGTGTGACTGTATCACCATGTGTAAGTAACACATCTTGAGTTGATGATAATCCACTGAACAAAAATAACAAATCTTTAACAAGTTTGATAACATGAATAGATGGGGCAGAAAAAATACCTGAATATTGGTGATGATGTATCAACAGATATTTTAAATTGACCATCCTCTCTTGAAGTTTTTTTCTCAACTGCTCCACCAAAGATTTTGTTTATCAACTATATCATTACAAAAAATGTCATTACCAAAAACCTTCAAATATACAACATGCAAAGAGCATATTTATTATTTAATCAAAAACCTGAATGCCATAACAGATTCCTAAGATAGGAATTCCTAATTCAAAGATGTGAGGATCACACAATACTGGTTTTGTGTCATTTATACTACCAGGTCCACCTGAGATTACTATAGCCCTGAAAACACCACAAATATTAACATAGGAATGAAATGCAGTGTGAGAAAAGTGAGCACCATGTTTCTTACTTGTATTTTCTCTGTTTGATTACAGAGGCTGTCGTCTCAAGAGGTAGAAAATCTGTCTCAACTTTTAGTTCCCGTATTCGTCGATCAATGACCTACAATAATTGAAGATTTACATTTACGATAATGTTCCCACTTAATATGTGTATCAACTTTTTGAAGCAGACGTTTTTTTTCACAATAAACAATTAAACATAACAAACAGCTAATTCTTTCATCAATCAAAGCATATGTTATAATACATTGTCAAAAACGAATCTATTCCCATGTATTATACAAGCTTACTTTTCCATATTGAGCTCCAGCATCCAATATTGCAACTCTTTCTTGTTTCAGTGATGTCGTGTCTTCTGTCATTTCTACATGACCGTTCGCAGAATGATGAACACTTGTGTTCATCTTCGCCGCCATATTCTGTGTTGATATCTGCAGTCCCCAGTCTTTTACATGGTGAGCAGATGACGCGTCCAGTGTTGTGAATTTGGGATTTAATTTTTTCCATTAAACATTTTTGCAGCTATTTTACTCATTGTAGCATTTTCTAAAATACATAGCATCCATCACATGTTATGTAACATGCAGACTTTTCATACTTTGCCGTTTTTAACTGAAATTTTGTCAAACTGTATGGTACGTTATGAGCAGTCCAGACGTAGTAGTCATTTGAGATCAGTCATACAACCTTTACAATATGGCCACCAAGACATCAACATTTCTTCAAAGTGCAGCAATAGAATATCAAAATAAATGCCCCGAACTAGCTCGATTTTTGATGACAAAGTGTTATAAACGTTTTAACGATCACGTTTCTGAAGAAATAGACAAAAACATGCATTCAATTGCTTGCGAGCATTGTGGAAACATATTTTCAGGAACAAACTGTGTATTCCGAATTAAACCCAAAAGAAAACGAAGAAAGAAAATCCGATACAGAAACTCTCAAAACATTAGAAAATCCTGCAATTTCTTGCAAATCCTCTGTAAATACTGCGGTTGGAAAACAAGATGCGAAGGTGCAGCGAAAAAGAGAAGACAGTCCTCGACTGACAATAATAGTGCTTTTCGTACTCCAGAATGTAATAAATCAATGAGAGAACTAGATGGTTCATCTTCCAGACAAAGATATACAAGTGGGAGTAAAAAGAGATGTAAAAGTCGATTGAAAGAAATATTGGAGAAAGAAAGATTAGATTTAGATAAAAATAAAACTCCTCCAAGCTTGAGAAACTTTCTTGCTACAATATAACAATGTATGAATATGAATAAATACTATCATCTTATCATGCTTTTTTTACAACTTTTTTACAATTTTTATAATTTAAGTGAGCTTCACAACATGCGCACTCATATACAATATGTACATGACCTTCAAAGCAGAACCTCATCAACTGTCAAACATTTAAGACTGACAAATACGTAAGAAGAAACATTAAGAAGGATTATGTCGTTTCATCCATGTTCGAAACCATCTTCTTGAACGAAGAATTATTATTTCTTTTGACAAAGCTTTACTAGCTGAGGTACAGGCATACCAAGAAGTAAATGCCTAAGAATGATATAGTATTTATGTTAAAAACCATTAAAACAAACTCAGTCGATTGTCATTAAATATTTACTAAGAAAAAGAGCAAAGAATGACTGGAACTTTAAAATTTACTTTTGAGAGAACAGTTTGATTATCAAGATAAACCATGGCAGATGAAACTCTTTTCTTAACGAAGTTGTGCCGCCAACGTTTCCAATATTTTGAACGTAAAATCTGTTGTAACTAAAATACCAGACATGCCATAGTTTGTAAGACATAAACCATGAACTACTGTGAATTTGCTCTTAATACTGACGAATACGTAAAAATGATTTCACCTGATTATCAGCTTTTCTTGATAAAATCCACTTAGTCTGCCATATTTTGAAACATTTCATTATCAATCCAAAGTTAGTTCGCTTATGTGAACGCTGAAATTCACGGAAAGAATTCGATAGACTTTTTTTCTTGGAAAAGTAAGCATACCATGCCAAAAATGAACTGAAATCAGAGATAGATAGAAGTCAGATATCAATGAAACAAAGAAAAAAATTTACAAAAAGCTTTATACTTCCTAACCGTTGCATTGACCGTTTTTCTTTAAAGTATTTTGCTATTTTTGAATTTTCATAGTGATGTCGCCAAAGTAGAAATTTCTTTTTCATTAATTGAATATGAGAGTTTAAACAAAAATTTTGTGCAATCTTATATTGTTCTTTATTCGCTACAAAAGATAAAGACATTCTATAAAAGAAATCGCAGACTGAAAAAGATGATAGTTAAAGCATGACAAAATACCACCAACCTGCAACCTTAGTTTTCCACAATTGAAAATGTTTCCGCGTCTTAACATTAGTCGAAATTTAAAGTCAAACTCGTGATTGGCAAAATATCGATATATGAAGGAGAAATGTCTAACCTTTTGCCATTTAGAAAGTTTTTTGCACCAAAAACGAAATGCCTGTGGAAAAAAATCAATAAGTTGACGTCATCGAGATATTCCACAAAACAAATAAACGATGCGTTAAACAATGATCGTCAACTTTTTACCTTTTTAAGAACGCATCTAGCACAATATTTCTCACCATCTTTGTTCATTTTTTCTCGATGCCAATGGTTGAAAAAGAACTCAAGATGTCGCCTTTCTCTTGCTGCAGTGAATTCCACCAAAGTTTGTTGATTTCTTGTTGTCGTTCTCCAAAACTTTAATGTTGAATGTAGCTAGAAAATTATGAAGAAGTCAAACTTTTGCGAATAAATCAAGTCGTTATTGAAGGTCAATACCATAATTCTTGCAGTGAAGAGTTTAAATGCTGCCGTAGCTTTTTGTGTTTCAGCCTTTTGTATCAAAACATATTTCCAACCTCTGAGAATTCTGTTTGAAATCACACAAAATGAAAAATGTTATTGTGCTGCATGCATACTATCTTAAAATAATTCCATTTTTTTACTTTTCATGAATAATAGAAGAACATCTTTCTTCACCTAATTTGAAGAGATCTGTGGTAATATTCTCTCAATCTTCCATATTCCTTTGTAACAGCAAACCACAATAATAATTTTTCTTTTAGTTTTCTTTTTTCAAGAACGTAGTTATAATCATGCAAAGATTTTCTCAAAAATCTGGACTCTAACAAAACAAAAAGAAAAAGAAGATAAGACTTAAATTACCAAAATACTGAGAAGTTCAAATTAACTGTTTCAACATATTATGATAAACTTAACATAGATCTTCATAAGTATTTTTTTTTTGAATGCATTATACCTTTAGCCCACAGTAGCCAAGCGTTAAATATCTCTTTAATTTTCCTTTTTTTCGAAACCTTCAAATAGAGAGCATTAAATTGTATGAAACAACAGAGCCAAGCTTTTTCTTGAAAAGTGTTACGTACTTGAAAAACAATCCTAGCAGTCTGTATATGTTCAAAGCGTCTCTTCCATTCATGAAAAACCTGTGAGCAAAGAAATGGAACGCCGGGATCATATAAAGCAAAAGCAATAATTAATACAAAGTTTTTGACAACCTTCAACTGAACTTGCTTAGCCCTAAATGTCCACATGTTTTTCCTATGCAGAGCTCGATGTAACGCCACAGTCTTCCATGAGAGAAAACATCTAAGGCGCGCATCAAAACATGAATTAATAGGGAAAAAAGAAATTTAAGATTGTTTTAAAAGGAAAGGATACCTTTTCAGTAAGACATTGCTATAAAGCCTTGTAGCCATTTGTAATTGTCGTGTGAAATTTTTCCATCTGTAAAACGTCTTTCGCAGGCGGTTCTGATGATCTATTTTTTTGCATTGTTCTATCACTAACTTGTCCATTTCTCTTACTAAAAATATAACAAGGACAAATAACTGTTGCATTAATTGAAGACATTAATAGTTACGTAACTTACCTTTAACCAATCGTTGCCAACCAGAAATAATGCTTAATAAGCGAGTTTTAGTTGTCCCCTACATGGAAGTTTCGAAGAAAATTAAAAGTTTGCAAAATGAGGTATTTTTACGTACGTTAAAGTTAAACAAACCTTTTTTTTCCAAATTTTGTAAAACTTCGTTATTAAAATACGTTTCATGAAATCATTAGCATCATTTTTACGTTGAGAGCACAAATTTTGTTGCTTGTTATACTGTTGCCATATTCTCAAATATTTCTTCTTCATCATACAAACCTGAATAAAACAAATAAAAATTGTTACACGAGACGTAAAGGTATCGCTATAAAGTGTAAATATATCGTTGTCACAAAGTTATGAAGAACTTCTGCAAAAAGCCTTTTTACTTCATTCACGTCTCATTTATATTTAAAACATACCCAATATTGCCGACAGAGCACAGAAACAAACAGCCAACGTCTCCAAAGATGAAAATATTTCCCAAAAAGTTTATTTTTTTTCCTGATAATCCATTCACCATAAATCCATTGAAGATGATGAATATGCTGCGTGTATTTGAACCATGAACGAAAGGCAACACTTAAAACAGAGATCTCCAATGAATAATAGTATAAGCAAGTAACAATTCCCGTTTATTTGCTGCCTCGGTGCTAGGAGTCTGGTACGAGTGTAGTGATTGCGCATCACTCTGGGGTTGGTACGAGTGTAGTGATTGCGCATCACTCGGAGGTTGGTACGGGTGTAGTGATTGCGCATCACTTGGAGGTTGGTACGAGTGTAGTGATTGCGCATCACTCGGGGGCTGGTACGGGTGTAGTGACTGCGCATCACTCGGAGGTTGGTACGAGTGTAGTGATTCCGTTATTAGGAGTGATGCAGCAGAGTCCTGGAGCAAAGAAAGTATTTTTGAGTCATTTTATTGAATATGAATTTGTAATAAGGCATTTAAACAAAATTGATTGATTCAAACATTCTTACTAAGTCATTTTCTTCTCCTTCATAATGAGGGAAGGAGATGTGAGCCTCAGAAGAATCGACATCAAAAGATAAAACATCTGAGAAAGGAATCGTCTCCTCTTCACTTGATCGTGGACATTCTTGTTCATAGTTGAATAGTTTGACTGTTGAATATACACGTCGACTTACTGGGTGATAGGTAGGAAGCATTGAAAATCCTTTATACACCTGATCACCTGTTGGACTAAATGGTCGTGATCGTGATGTTGACTTTGGTAAGAGCAAAGTTTGTCCGTTCTTGTCTGAAGTAAAGAACAGAAATGATGAATCAGAATTCTTAAAGGAAGTTTGGTAACCAGAGGTCGATAAAAATGTAGAACCACTTGACGTTTTCATAGCAAGGTTGAAGGTAAAGTCACAAACTTGACGATCAAATTCTGATTTCGCAAATTTTTCCAAGTCAAAAATATTCTCGTAAGGCACTTCTTCTTTGAATGGTCTCTAAAAAAAATGAAAATGAATTTTATCAAACTATTGGTGAGATATTCCTTCTTTGACGTCTTCATACTTTGCTTGGCATTCAGCAAAATATTGTCTTCTCCATATTAGAAAAGATCGTCGCATTAGTAACGTTGTTTGATTTTTATCAGCAACTTCTACGAAGGATGTCATCATCTGAGCATGCTTAAGATGACGATATTTCCAGGAAGTAAAAAAACTCTTGAGAATAAAATGACTTATAAACTATAGAAAAGAAAAGAGTCATGTTTAACCATACATTGTAGTACACAAACGTTAAAATTTCCTCTTTACAGACCTTATTAACAAACATTGTTTCCTTATACTCTACTTTACATCGAGCCTTTTCTTTCCATATTCTCATTTGTTTCCTCAATAAATTATTCTTCCCCTGTAAAACCAGTCTTTTGCTCTCTCGCATGATCAAGGTATACCCTGAAGTATCAAACATTAATGAATAATTTTAGAAATAATTTAGACATGAAGTAACGAAGTCAAACGAACCTTGCCACTTTAAGAAATGTCTTGCAATTTTTGAACGTCTCAACGTTTCTTCTGTTTCTTTTTGTTTAGTAAGATACCACAAGCTTAAGCTACAGAAGAAATTGTTTAGAAAATCACAAATGATAAAAGAAAATAAGTCAGCATTTTAAACTGAATAAACAAACCTCCAGTTTTCAAAAACATTTTTCTTTAATCGAAAAGATTTCTTTGAGTTAAATCGTTCAAGTTTGTATCGAAGAGATGAATAATTTTTCCAAGAATCAAAAACTCTATAAAAATAATTGCTGTCAAAATATCATTCCAACTTTGTATGATCAAAGAGTTTCTAACCTAGCCATATTTCGACGTACACGTCTCTTTAACAACGGTTCAATAATGCAATCTTCCTGGTTCACAACTCTCCAGGATCGAAAAATACGACAAAGTGTTTTCCTTTGTAAAGTTCTCGAGGCATTCGCAGATCTCTGTCTTAAATCGTCAGCTTCCCGTTGTTTAAACTTCCACATTTTCAAATAACCTGATTAACATTGTTACAAAACAAAATTGACTTTAGAAAAAAACTCTAGTTTTTTATAAATGGTTTTGACATTTACATTACGTTTTTTCAGAAGAATACAAAAATATGGAGAGCTTTCTTCAAGCTTTCTTGCAAGTTTACATTTTTTTGTCACCAGTTTCCAAATGTCATAATACTTTTTTACACAACGCTGCCTTCGTTTCAATTCAGAACGTCTAGCCATCATGAAAACTGTCAGTTGAAATTTCCACTTTAACCAATGTTTACGCACGAGACATTCTGATCTCGTTACTCGAAATTGCTGGACAAAAATCCTGTTTCCAGAAAGACAATGAGTAAAACTAAAATACAACAAAAACCACACACACTCAAAGGAAAATGTCTTTACTTTATTTTCTTGGTCTTTGTTGCTTCTTCTTTCCAACATTGAAAGAAGGAACGGATGAAAAAAATTTGCAATCGTGAGATGTATCTTTTGCGAACTTGTTTTAGTTGGATGACAACATGTAACCATTTAATAAAATATCGTCTTTTTCTGACCTGTATAAATGGACAGTACAAAGATATAAATAAGAAGTGACAACTATGCAATATAATGACACTCAAGACAACATTGTCAGTTCACCTTTCTCGCTATGGCTTTACATAAATGTTTATGAAGATGCTTTCTTTGATATCGTAAATGCCATAATTTCATCACTCGACTGTGTAAAAATAGAAAAGTATTTCACCATGTTTAGTGAAATGTGCAAAATATAATCACAAAGTAATAGCACATTACCTTTGCAGTTTTCTCCGACAAAAATGTTTCGCCTGTTTGATACTTTTAGACTGTCGCCATAGTTTAAACAATCTTCGCAGCAACATTTTCCTATGATATTCCTTGCACATATTAAGCAAACGAAGATGAACAAGTCTAAAAACAGCAATATAAATGTACACATGCATAAACACAAGTATACGGACAATATTTCTTACAATTATTCACTTAGTATTGCGGATTTCATAAACGTACTTGGCATACTGAGTCCAATGCTTCCAATGAAAAAACACTTTGATTAACATTCGTCGTCTAAAAAATATGGATGTAGAATGACTCAAGTCTGTCGTTCAAATTTGATCATTGAAGAAGTTTTAAACCTTGACAAACGTCGACACAACGAGGATTTCTCGCTCCTTTTCTTCCAATAGTTAAAAACACGATGCAGACATTTTTTTTCGTAAAAAAATCTGAAGAAAGAAAAAATTTGATTTTTGAAACAAAATATAAAACTACATATATTGTACAGATATTGTTTAGCAAAGCAACAGTTTACCTTGCTCTTTTCCTCAAGAGATTTTTTACCGAACGTTCTTTGATATAAATCACCCAACAATTCCAGAACTTATAAATTATATTGACTCTAAAAAATTCATGAAGTTTCCTAAATTATTAAGATAAAAGAAGTGTTATGAAAAAGTATATGGCTCTCACTCACTTAAAATGAACATTGGCCAGTCTCGTTTTCTGTCTTAAATCAAACATTTTCTTCCATTTGTAGAGATTTCTGGACAAAAAATGTCGTCTGGCAATATCGTGAAGCAAGGAAACTCTGGTTAAAATATAAAATAAACTTTATCCGGTCGGTGAAGAGGACCAACATCAGAGAAAATTTTTATAGACCTTTTCATATTAAATATATAATAACGCCATTTATTGAACATATCCAAAATTTTTCCCTTTTCTTCGCACAAGTCTTACGTCGCCACTAAAAAATATCATTAAAAATCTATGTTAGTGATGAAAGGTTGTTTAAACTAGCGATAAAGACAAAGGACGAAAAACATCATATCTTTGTTCACCGTTTGCCAACATTTCTTCATCAAAGCTGCATTTCGTTCATAAATCAAATATTCATGGATCGCTTTTCGTCTTTTCATTGCAAAATTTAATCCTTTCATAGCTTTCACCAACAAATGTTTTCTACATAATTTATTAGCTTCGTGTCTAAGAAATGATCGTTGTTTTCGCCAAGCAATAAATATATTTCTTTGTAGCTTCATTCTATAAAAATCTTCAGCTCTGTAAATAAAAAAAATTATTGAAATTTTCATCCGTGCTTGTAACCAAAAATAATTGCATCTTCAAGTACCTTCTTATTTTCTTTTCATGCTCTTTTTGAAACAACTCTTTAACTTTGTCTGTTTGATATAAACACTTCTAAAATATGAACACAAAAGAAAATAAATCTTCTCCCATTCTTCAACAATCAAGTAAATAGCTATTTTTATCACTTTACCTGTTTGTTTGATGGCTTAAAATGTGTTTTATGATAAGATGATCCCCAAGACTTTGACAAACTATGAACAAATAACAAAATTGTAAATTTATCTAGTTTTATAATTGAGCTGAATAAATATTGGTAATACCTGTACGACTTTACCGTTGTCATTTTGTTTTGAGATTCACTGTTTTTTGACCTAACAGATCTCCTTGGTGTAGTGCTATGTACTTTGTTTTCCATTAACTTCTCAAAATTCTCGTTCACATTGGTTTGAACAAACGGTTTAAGACATGCAGTGGACGAGAAAGATTGCCTGTATCCACAGATATCATCTTTGTACGTCAATGGAGAAGAAGATCCCAATCCTTGATTTTGTTGAGGTGAAAATGTGGTTTGCGGTAAATGAGTTAAGCTGGGGAGATTTTGTTTGAGATTTTCAGACCTACTAGTCATTGGAGAGACGTTTGATTTGGACATAGAACGACTTAGATCCAATACAACATCTGGAATCTCAGAAACTAAATCTATGGACAATTTAGGATTTTTCTGGAATGCAGAATCACTTCTTGATAAATTTGGAAAAACGTTTGCTGTTTGAAAATCCTGAAGAACAGCGTCTCCCTTTTCTTCTACTCCATGTTTAACACAGCTCGCTACTAAACTTCCACCATTATGTTCGTCTCTTACGTTTCTGTAGAGATGAGTGAAGTGATCATCATTAAAATTCTTGCCGCTGTGAAACTTCTCAGAATTTCTTCGAGTCGCAGCATACTGCTCATCCATTGACCTACCAAAACAAACGATACATCATATTTGAGAAGTACAAATGTGTGCAAAAATTAAAAATACAGTAAACGAGCATTAACACTAAACAATCCAAAACAGTAAATAGGTTTACAAAACATATTTTTATTTCTTCAACTACACCACCTTTTCTCTACATGGATATTAAGAGCTTTCAACGATCTTTGTAATTAGAATGAATAGTCGTGTTGACTGGGAGAAAAATATAGTTTTAGTTCATGGCTTTATTTTAATGAATACAAATACTGAGCTTAAGTAAAGCAACTTGTGATTAGCATTCTTTTTTGAAGAACAAACATTGGCTTAGTGAAGTTAGTTTTAACAATAAACTACAGTCAAGTAGTCGCTAGCTCTTCAATGCAACGCATGACAGTTTTTCATAAATTCCTGTACCCATTGTTTCGTTAAATAGTGGTTTTTATCGATGGGAACGAGATGAAAAAAAGCAAAAAACAAACAAAATTCTTTAGTTGCTGTTAGAGACAATAGAGTCTTGCATTTTTAAACAATACATATCATTTCCACGAGATTGTGAGGGTGAGCAGTTTCATTTCTCAAAAATAAATTGCATATGCTCTTCAACAGTTTTGTAATTCTAGACAACAAAATAACGTGTTTTTTTCCGTCTGCCTCAAACATTTATCAACCAACACGTCATCACCTCACAAGGTGAAGTGCGACGTCACAGTAAAATGTAACAAAGATCTAGGGTAAGAGCAAAAATCACAGACCTTTGTCACCAGTGATTAACAGAGTTGACAGTTCCTACGACGTTCGCTTGAGTATAAACGAATGTTCATATCGGTACTATTAGGGTATTATAAAAAGTTTTACTAAACGATTGAAACTATCAATGTTAGTATACACGGCCGCCACCTCTAGAGCGGTCTTTCTGTAATATTGAATGAGCATCGAACGCTGATCAAAATCACAATATTTACAATCATTAATATTATTGTTCCATTGATATCGCACATTTCAACATAAATCCACTTGACTTTATAATAACATATACACGTTGATGTGGGATATATTTTATCACATGTAGTAGTTAGTACATACCTTAAATATTCTTTTGTAACATATTCAACACGGGATAATTATAATATCAAAAATTTCACAGACTGCTGGGTCTGTGGCAAATAAGAATAACTGAGTTTTCAAGTTTTGAATCGTATGTATTGTTTGACTCACAATATAGAAGAAACTCCTTTAAAATTTCAATGATTAATAAAGATACATAGATCTTATAATCGTGAGCGTAATAGATAAAATACGTGAGCATGTATTTTAGAGGCGCCATATAAATGCTGAGAAATATGATCGGCTGATCAGCGGGATGTCTACGTAATTTATTGAGTTAACGTATACATCGAGAGGGTGATAACTGGTGGTGTTAAAAGAACAAAACATAAAACAACATGTGCTTCAGAAATACCACATTCTCTCACAAAGGTGAGCGGTATCCGCCAGCCAAGGCGAATGGTGATTTCTTCGTCACAAGCAATATTAATAACTTGATATTACTATATAAGCACACACAATAATCATAAAATCATAAATGTGGGACAGCATGTTTTAAATACATCACATACGCATGCGTATAACTGTTCCTGTCGATTTATTGTGCGTTTTAAATCTTGCTACTCTACCGTATTTCTTCATCATTTGATGACAATATATATGTTTTAATATGAACTTCATCCAAAACGTCAAGTTTGAAGCCAGTGCCTGCTAATTCTCATCACATCCAATACGACAGCAACGAATAAAACTAAAAGAGCACCTTTTATCCAAAACTCAACGTTTGATTTGAGAGAAGTTGTAGAAAAGGATTTCGATGTCTGAAACAAAAAACATCAACCTAACACACTAGCGTAGAACGTAATAACTGAAATCATTGAACAATTAATGTTTCACCTTTGAAATGCCACTAACAACTCCTTTTGATAGCGGTGGTGCAATACTTGGCGTAAAAATAGGATTATCTTTAAGGAGCCTTCCTTTCAAAAAATGCTTTCCAGTTTCTATTATTTTAACTTCCACCATTTTCCCCATTAAATCACCTTCATCTTTACGAACCAGCACCTATAACAACAAACAATTATCGACTTAGGGATTGATTACATGAGCCAGGGTAGCCGGGATTCAGGCAAGCGTTAAATGATTTTGGCAAATGGAAACGATTCAATACTTATGATCAGATATATCTTCTCGAGCAACTTCACATTATTCTGATTTAATAACTGCTCAAAACATTTAAAAATGAAAGAAACCAATTCGGCCTAATTTGAGAATAACAACAGCAATGACTTGTGGTGCTTAAAAAACAGTTGTAATTTTTAACCTTGAAGTTTTGGCCTCTTTCAATCCCTCGAAATCACTTCCCGCCTCACTGAATCTCGGCTAGCTGGGATCATATAAACAGCCCATAAGAATACAGTATTAAGGAGAATAAAGAAACATTTTATACCTGATCATAACTTTTATTGTGAGCAACGTAATGGATTCCATCGTGAGATTCTTCTGTGATCAAAACTCTTTGATTTTCTCCTAACTAAACAAGACAATCAAAAGCATTTGTATTTTGTCATCGTAAGTGCTATAGTTTCAATTTCATAGAAAAACCTTTCACTTTGTCGTAATCAACGAAAGTAATTAATGAAAGAAAACTCAACAAAACTTTGATAATTTTACCTTATGATCATAAGGTAGATAAGAATTGAATAGTTTTGTAATTCTCCGCGTACGTCCTTTCACCTAAAATATAGCGCAAATTTTGTTCTAATGTAAATATCATATGTATATGTATTACATCGTGTTTATAATACATACAATGGCCGTATCCAGTCTCTTCATCCGCGCTGCAGGAGTTCCCGGACGAGGATAAAACTGGTTGATGAACAGACTAGGAAATTTAAACTGTTCAACTACTTTCATCGTTTCATCAAAATCCTGAAAAATTCGAAGGTGAATTTTATATCTCTGACAATAAAATAGTCACATGTTTGTAGATGTAGATCGTCCAGGTTAGTATAGTCCTGAGAAGGACTGTTTTTGTTGTTGTTGACTGACGTTTCGACAACCTTAGTGGTAGTCATCTTTTGAGTCAATGAGTCTTTTTGACTCTGAAGATGACTACCGCTAAGGTTGTCGAAACGTCAGTCAACAACAACAAAAACAGTCCTTCTCAGGACTATACCAACCTGGACGATCTACATTTACAAACATGTGACGATACTCCCGGGTTCAAACCGTTTACTTTATTAAAATAGTCGCTGAAAGCTCGTAATACAATTAAAATCAAATAGAATGAAGAATCCACACATTTCATTTTCCCGTACATCATAAATGACGATGAAAATTTGTAAAATACCTGCTCAGTCTCCGTAGGAAAACCACAAATAACATCAGTTGCAATGGTGATATTGGAAACTCTACATTAGTAAAGAATACATTAAGAATACAAGATAAAGTAAAGAAGAAAAAAAAAAGAAAAATTTTGAATTACCTTTGTCTGAGATATTGAACAACATGTTTAAAATCATCAATACAGTATTCACGTTTCATGTCCGCTAAAACACTGTCAGATGCACTTTGTACTGGACAATGTAAGAAAGAATACATCTTAGAACTGTTCATTATCTTTGCGATTTCCTAGAGAAGAAAAAACATCTGCATTGATAAGTTGATAAAATACACAATTTATATCAAAGTTTGATATTACCTCCAAGTGCTCTAAAATATACGGTGGATTCGTCATTCCAAGTCTCATCATTCCACCTTCAGGAATGACGTCAATCAGTTGCCATAGTAACTCAGGTAACGATGATCCAATATCTCGTCCGTAAGCTCCTGTGTCTTCACTGGTTAGCCAAATTTCAACAACACCCTCTGTAAATAATTACACTTGATAAAAGACATTTAGTTGTCAAAATGAATATCACCATCTTGTACTCCATACCTTGGAAAGCTTGTTTAGCTCGAGCAAGAATCTCATCAGGAGAATAACTTCCTAATTCCCTCTTGCATGTTTTGTTTTGCAATATGTACATTGATTTAGGCAACTGTCAAGTAAAATGAACAAGAACCATCTTGCTTTTTATTTCTGAACAAAAATGCTATGAAAGTAATATTCTTAAAAATATCATTATTACAATCCATTATAATGCCCTACAAAGCACTCACCCTGTACTGATAGCAATAATCTCAATGAGTGGATTTTTTCGAATTTTCGGCAAATCTAACTTTGCTCCCCCAATTTTTCTTCCATTCTCTTTCTTTTGTTTAATTATCCTAACTGTATGACCTTAAGGAGGGCAATTGTGATCACAGTGATGGTGTATCTACAATCCAAATAAGTATTTCTTTCATACCTTTCAATGTCTCTTCTACTGCTTCAACTATTCTGTCAATTTGTTGCACCTACATGTACATGTACATGATGACAATATTATGACAAATCTTCCACTTCCCTTGGTTACTTTACTTGGTAGAAGTATAAATTGCTCAAAATTTACATTTCTTAACAACATTTCTCAACAGTAAGCTCAAAACACAATAAATATGTCATAGTTATATGAAATTATAATAAAGTATTTAAACTGTAGTTAGCCCACATCAATGCCTCAACAAACTATCACACGTACATATTAGTGCTTTTCCAACATTCACATAAAACATAGAAAATACTCAATACTTACCCCTATTATACTTAGACCACGTAGGCTTGCATGATTTGGCTGTCCTTGAGAAACACAACCTGCCAAAATTACATGTTTACCCCATTCTTTTGCTTTTTTATACTGTTTCTAAAGTTATCTTCAGAGGGATTTTTTACAGTACAACTATTCAAAAGCCAAAGATCTGCCAGAGCTGGTTCATCTAGGAATTGACAGCGTAAGAGTTTATGTAAAACCATAATTTATATAAAAGTGGATGTCCGTTCAAAGATTACCGATAATTTTATATCCAAATGCAGCCAATTGACCAGCCATATATTCGCTATCACTATTGTTATGAGAACATCCCCAAGTTTTGATGTAAATCTTCTGTGTTCCAGGTATAATACTATCTGAAACAGGTTCTCTAACATCAAAACTCTCCTGATTTTTACGTTTGCCTTTTCTAAATTTGGGCAAAACATCGTTTCTTACTAATTGTCCATTATTTGTAGTCACATCACCCTTTTTTATGATATCTTCTATATCATTTACATTCTCCGAGCACAACATTATATAAATCCTCCACAAAACAATGAAGGATTCAGTTCATTCAAGTTTCTTTACCAAACGTCTTCTCTACACCCGATTCGCACATAACCAAACAGCCGCTAATTTTGGCAGTTAAGCACCGGAGAAAAGACAATTGTAATCTTACCACCACCAAGGCAAAAAGCAGGGACAAATTACCAGAATTACATTAACAAAATACAATTAAAACAGTAGAAATTGCACCAATATTTAGAGAAGCAAGATTCTGATGAATTAAAATCCGACATATTTGGCATGTTCAAGCCACAAGTAAATAGAATAATAATTTTATCAAAAGACAGATGGAATCTGACAGATACACATATCTAATAAATGACTTTGAATAAAGAAATGAAATAAAATGAAATTCCCCATATATATATAGCTGTGATATCGTCTAAGCCACAATTGCCAGCAATAATCCTCCATTGTTCCAACACGTTCCCACACGTAAAAGGTCAATGAACAATAGATCCATCGGTGCCAATGAAGACATGTCTTATTCACTCATTTATAAATCATCATTTAGTAAATCATCGTCGTCCAAATCAAGATCCTACAAAGAATCAAAAACATTTATCAATAGAAGAAATACAACTGATTCACAAGAACATGAAATATCTAAGGAGAAAAGTTTCGTGTCGATTGATACAGGTTTCACTTAGTAGAAAGATAGAAACACAACGCTATGTCTAATCTTATCATACAGAACAAGCAACAATATAAAAAAACGCCTCAATATTATTGTCACAAAAATATTTATATAACCTACGTCATCATCATCATCCAGATCAACGTCAACATCGTCATCATCACCAAGATCGTAATCCTATGCGAATGAAATCAACAGTTTATCAAACCAAATATTTCAAATGTCATTAACAGATTCATTTACCTCATCGCTCGTTAAAGACGCCGCTGGTTGTTGAACAGCTGGCTCGTTTTCGGGACTTTCGACATCAGCGAGAGGAGGTTCGGGGTCAGTGTTGTTGGTTAGATTCATATTCGCTACATAATCCTGACAAGATAAATACGAATCATACAAACAAACAAAGTGACTGAGTTATGTTACAACTTCAATAAGCAATTGAAAATGGGCATTGTAAACAATTTTTTTTATACTCACTGTAACGTTATCAACATTCGCTTCTACTGAAACATTAACGCCTTTGATTTCTTCAAAGATATTGCGATCAAAATTGTTCTAAATCATGGCATAAACATCCTTGAGAAGTGAATATTATGAATAACTCCATGAGAATATGACTTACTGTTACTTTAGTATAATCTGATGCAGGGAGAAGATTTAACCTTTCTTTCTTCAAAAACTGAAACAAAATTTTCAAGTACTGAGCCAATCAAACTTTGCTACCAAACCATCTATCTTTTGCTTCCTAGTCCAAGAAGCATTAACACAAATCCAATAAAGCCTTACTATCAAACTAAACAGACATTACCTCTTCGGCTTTTAACGCTTCTTGGAATTCTGGGAAAAGATTTTCATAATCAGTTGGATCAGCAAGAGAATTCGCCGCTTTCTTGTTTAGTTTAGCTAGATCTTCTTTCCATAAACCAACAACTCTACAAAAGATTATGAATAATTGACAAATCATTGAAACAAAAACCATTGACCCAAGAGAATAGTCATACGTATATATATACCTGGATACATGACTTGGTAAATATGTCCTAGCCATAAAGGCTGCTTCTGGATAGCGACCTGTATTGCACAAAACTTGAAGACAATCCTCGAGTCTAATGAAATGTGATATATAAGGTAGCTAAATATGTTAAGAACTTACAATTATTAACAGTGAAATTTTTCATACCTTCCCAAGAGGAAAAATGCCAAGAACGCAACATTATTCTTTCCTTTTTCTAAAGCAGAATCTGCAAGTTTTGCAATCATATCAGCATGGCCAGCAGACGACGCTAGTAACAGCAGGCCTCCAAAATCTTCAGCTCTATGTAGGCATTCTTGAGCCAAATGAAACTCACAATTCTTGATCGATAATTCTGCCAACTGTTTCCACTTCTTCTCATTCTGATAAAAGAAAAAGGAAACGCAAGACAATGAAAGAGAAGTACAGTAAAGCCGTTATGTACATCACCGATAAAATAATTTGTATTAAGTGTTCATATAAAATCGATATGTTTAAGGCAGCGATTGAGTTTTTGATCAGAGCTTTTGATAAAATATACTTTGTTACATCGTTAAAGTAGATGAATGACACTATATAAGGTATGCTACATAGCTAGAAAAAGACAACAATGTTTAAATAGTGAATATTTCACATCCAAAGTTAAAAAACAATGAAATCAAACGATATAATTTACACATGTAACTATGTCTACATACGCCAAACAAACCTGATCTTCCAAAGCGATATCATAAGCAATCTTTAGCTCTCCCAACTGTATAGCAAGCTCAAATCTTTAAACAAAACATAATGAATGTTAAAAATAAGTACTAGAAAATATTGCAACTAAGCTTGATGAAACATTACTTGTGCTCAGGATCACATGACACGGATAAAGCTTGTTGCTTGTATCCTTGCTTCTCAAGAAAATGAGCCACGCGGTTACGTTGTTCCTTTGGAATAGTCGGTAGCACCTGTACGTAGGCAATGTTACGAGACCATTCGCTCATCATCAGAAGAATAAATGCACGCACACACAGAGAGAGTACAGTATTATACCTGTTTAGCAGTTTCAAAGTCTTCTCTCATCACAGCAGTCTGATACTCGAGTACAGAAAGAAGAAGGGAATAACTAACGACATTAAGATCTTTATCACCAAGATAAAGACGATTATCTTTAGGAATGTAACCAAGCAAGTACATCGTACTAAATAAAACAAAAAAAATGTCGTAATTGTTTTAGCTACTAACGAGAAAATGCGAATGAGTTAACATCTTACCCATCCAAATGAGCAATCGTGACAATTTCTCCGCCAACATAATAGTTTAAACGATTGACTGGAAAGAAAGAAAAAGACTTTGGAATCATACGCGGCATTACAATCAAAGATATGTTATTTATTCATAAATATTTTTTACCTGAATTAGTGTAAATGAAACAATCACCAACCCAGAGTCCAGTTTTTACAATATCCTCAATCTCACCAACAACCTTACATGAAAAATTGAATTATCATCACTACAGTCATATTTTAACATGTTGGACGTCGTTAGCTATAACAGAATATAGAGAATATCTTACATCAAATGCATCTTCAACACCATCTTCTGAAATCTCATCTTTATTCTCCATCGCTTCTTGAACTTTATCAGGATTATATTTAAGTATATATATTGTATCATCTGCAGCAATTGCACATAATTCTCCGCTATCGGACCAATGAACCTAAAAAGACATTACGTTTTATTGAATTTGTTTGTCTATTCTTATTTGTTTCATAACGTTATTTAAGATTAAACATTTATGAATATTGAAAATGAATTTTGATTTTCTGTTTCCTAACCGACTTGGCCGTGATGTCTATCCTTCGTATCAACTCGATATTTTCCCAATCATAAAACGAAAGTCCAGCGGTTGAACGAACTCCAATAAGATTACCACCAAAAATATCTAAACATAAATTCAAACATTAGCGGGAGATTTATTATGCTGAAAAAATTAGAACAAACTCCATATTTCTTAAATAGAAAACAAACTCACTCTCAGCGCCATAGTCTGGTTTGAACGATTTTCTTTCTTTAAAATTTTTGTAAATGGATATTTTGTTGCCGTCACGAATAGCGTATCTGATAAAATAAAATATGAACAAGAAGATGAAATGATATCAGAATATGAGCAAGAAGATAAAATGACATCAGAATATGAACAAGAAGAAAGAATTTGGTGGTAAACTTACTCAGAAGAATCACTGGCCCATATGAATTCCATAGCATTACCAAAACTTTTATTCCGTAAAGCCATTGCTGTATATATGATGTACTCGCCATCACCACAAGCAACCACAAATCTTTAAAATGAAATCATGCGATAATAAAACAAAGAAAATTATGAAAATCTCACCCCCTCAGTCATTATGGTACGATGGTATTGTACCGTCCATTGGGATTGTGACATAGCGTCTGAGGAAATATTTCGCACGAGCCCATGTCCTTGATTGCCAGCGGAATTTTCTCACCATCTTTGATTTCATAATCTGTTAAGTAATTTATAAGACAACATCGTTAAATAATAAGACACGTTAATCAATCAAATGTTGAACAATAAACTATCTTATTAAAAAACTTCAATCATCTCACCTGCTAAGTTCTTTAAATTTGCTTGACTTATTTCACTGTGCTTAGCAAAGATAATCTTGCCATTGCTGTCCATAGACATTGCAGGCTCTTCTCTACCCAGCTGTAAAAGACAAAGGTAGGAATATGTTAAAAAATATCAATATATTAGTTCAAAGAAGTGCCAAGTACATGTCAGTTGACTGAAAAGCAACATTTGGAAAATAAAAAGTTGATTTGTCTCATTGAAATATACATTGGTTAAGTTAAAAGTGAGCAAAGTTAGTTAAAGAGTGGATTGGTTTGATAAACTAGGAATCCAAAGATAGCACACAGCTTGCTTGTGATGTTTGTGTTATATTTATTGACAGTAAGCTGATAAGTAAAAACAAAAAAATGCTCATCAAAGTTGTTAACTATAAATGCTTATACAATGTGAAATTTTACATTAAACATTGTTTAAAAAGAACCAAGTAATTTTGTACTAAAAGCAGCTTACGTACAATTCATGCATTTGATCATGTTTGTAAAAACCTACACCTGGGTATACTGGTTAACATCCTTTAGGGAGATGATTGATACATTTTTCAAGGTAAATTAAAGAGTTGATGTATATTTACCTTAACAATCATACTTCCTTCATCATAACCGAGTGCAACATTATTTGATCCTTTCATCATAGAGATAGTCCACACTCTCTCAAGGCCATAGTTGAGAGTATTCTCAAGACGATATGTGTTGGCATGCCATATTCTTACAGTACCTAGAAATTTTAAATTAAAGTGAAAAACAAATCAAAAAGAAAAATCATATTGAAAAAAGACAATATTACCATCTTCAGAACCAGAAAGAATAATTGGCAACTCAGGATGAAAACCAACACAAGAAACATTCTGTGCATGACCTTCCAATGTTTGTACGCATGCTTTATTCTGTTGATTGATTACAGCAAGAAAAAAAAATTTACTTCTTATTATTAAAGATTGATGAGAAAATGCAAAGTAAATTTTGTCACCAATTTTGGGTTTATTTATCATAATCTCAAATATTGGTAGACAACAGTGAGTGTACCTTATAATCCCATATTTTCAAACAGTGAGTGTACCTGATAATCCCATATTTTCACAGCTTTATCATCAGCTCCTGAGATGAGGTAAGGTTTCTCTCCTCCATGAAAATAATCAACACAATTTACACCCTTTGAAAAAAACCAATAAAGTGTTTGATTAGTTATGCATCTTACAAGCAACAGACTTGTACATTACCCTTACACTACCTTCTCATGTCCTTCCAATGTAAAGTTTGGTGCTGTAGATCCTAGTTGCCAAACCTTAAAAGATTTTTAGTAATTTATTAGCATGAGACAACAACATTTAAAAAAGAATATTGCATTAAATAACCAAGTTGTTTAAAATGTCATTTTACCTTAATGGTTCTATCCAAAGAAGCACTTGCAAACTGATTGTTATCTTTAGGATTGATGACAACTTGCATCACATAATGTGTATGTCCTTCAAACACTTGCTGAAGCTGCCAGTTTTTGTCCCAGTTCCAAAGCTTAATGAGCATATCATCTAAGAAAAATGGTAAATGAAAAAATGTTGACATCTAAGTTGTTCAAGATGAATATATCACTAAATACATGACATACCACTACTGCTAAGGATGTATGATTGAGTTGGGTGGACTGCAATGGATCGTAGGTAGTCACTATGAGCTTCAAAACCATGAATCTATAATGAAAAATTATGCGATAACAATACCAACAATATTGAAAGATTCTTTGTTGTAATTAAGTTATTTTACTATGAGTATCCCACCTTTTCCAAAGTATTATAGTTATAAATGCGTAGATGCATGTCATCCTGTATTAAAACATAGCAATAGATAAGAAACTTTACTAAAAAATCTTTGTATGAAAAAAACCACAAAAGTTACCGAGCCAGTGATCACCCAGTTTTTGCGAGTCACAAATTTTGCTACTCTCACTAAAAACATAGAAAATGTTTATAATCAAAGATTTTGATCAGTAATGAAAACTCACACAATTTCCTTACAGCAACAGTTACTTGAAACTGATAACAGTGTACAAAAATATAAATAGGTTCCTTAAAAAGATCTATTCTTTAAAACAGTCAATGGAAATCAATGATTTTATATTGTTCATTATTACCTGGCAAATCAGTAACTTCAAAAGTTTTGATTAATGTTTGTGAATCAATATTCCAAATGTGCACATTTCCATTGTATAAACTTGCTAACATCCATGGCTCACTTGGATGTAAATCAACACTTTTAACACGGTCTGAACGTGCTGATAACTTGCGCTGAAAATTATAGGAAAAAGTTACTGGTAAATTATATAAATGCTGTGAAAAAATAAAATGACACGATCAAGTCCCAAACCTTAACATCGAGACGAAGAGGCTGCAAAATACAAAGGAACTCATATTATTTTATTTAACACACTAAGATCAACAAAGCAAAATAAATTAATAAAATTATTGTATATCACTCACTCAGTAAACATGCTATAGAGTGATTAGCTTTAACGAAGTTGACGATTTCATGATGAAATGATTTCAAAGAAAACTAAAGCACTATATATATTGACTATGAAACCCATGTGTATTTATAGTACAAATTAAAATGACCGAGGACCTCGGACGCCATATTATTATACATGCAGTTTAAATTTTTAAGATTTTTATGAACATATAGTCCATTTAACATATAGCACGTCTAACTCCATCTAACACACGACTTCAATAAAAAAAAACTCACCATGATGAGAGAAAAATGACCAAAGAAATAAGAAATTTTAAAAAGTATGTTCCACAAAACCGACGTGGCAAAATAAAACTAAGAGACTGGAAATGACTCTGAGTTGGCATTACTTTATGTAAGAACACAGAGTGAGTTCAGCCAGTTACGACGCATGCGTTCATATGTCGTACAATCCTTTGTAAAAAGGAGGTAATACATTACTGCAATCACTTTAAACGTTAAAATCTACACAATAGCAGTCTATAGGATGTTTTGGGATGTCATAAAATATCATAGGTTATCACAGAACGTCACAGGATCAATTGGGATTCTATAAGATATCAAAATACACCATTCTTAAATTAAGGCGTACATCGGTGATCACACCCAGCAATTAAAGGATTTTCTAAGTTTTTGGACCAAATTTTGTAGTGTCTGTGTTTGATAGAACAAACCACAATTTTAGTCAGGCCTTCTTTTAACGTTCTCCCTCATCTTCTCAAGGGAAGTTTTAGAGATATTTTGGGTTATGCACCAATCCACACACACTAATTGGCGCTTCAGTTCCTAATAAAAAGCTATGAAAACTTAATGAAATTTTTGAAGAAAGAGAATGAAAACAATTCATTATGCCATCATCGACCAAATGTCTTATTTTCAACATTTCAAGGATGAACTAATGTTAGAGCACTTCAAGAACGACGACAAACCAAGGTTAAAGTTCAAGATACATAGATTTCAATAAAATAACTACCATTTTATTCTGCTGTTGAAAGAAAAAAAACGATGAACTTTGAATGATTGAAAATAATGAGAACGAACATTTGAAAATCGTTCGCAGTTGTAAACAAACAACTATAGAACAAAAAGTGTTTGTGCAAGCTGATGTTGCATAACAAAAACAGCCGTTGCTCTGTTTCAATTATGTCTCTTGTCAAGTTGATCAACTCAGACTCCCAAAGCAATAAAAATATTTGTGTATCGTTCAATTGTTCTATTCATTAACGACACATGATAAAATAGATATTTTTTAAGGATATTGTTGCAACTTGAAAATTTGTTTCCATGGCTTCTTGAATGTAATGTATACAATGAAATAAATTGCCCTTGGCACTTAGCTTAAAAGTGATATAATGGATTTTTTGAAGTTGATCCGTCGCCATTATATTTTTCCTAATTGTTCATAAAATAAAAGCAATTGACTTTTAATTTTATTTCTTTCATTTAAACAAACCATTTCTAAAAAATGGTTTACAAAACATTTTAAATATTTATGTAAAGAAAGCAGGTAAATTTACAAACATAAAACATCCATTTTTGAAATTGATATCTAGTTCTCGGTTTTCACGAGAATATTGTGTGATCGTAACCGCTCAGACACATTTTAAGAAGTTCGGTAATTCGTCTGTATTGCCTCAAGTCATAAATGAATACTTTCATTTTTCAAAGTTTCAATTTCCGATCATTGAGACTATAATGCTTAAACCCAGGTGTTTGTTGAAAACTGATACAAACATTTGTCGAAACAAAAAACCTTGTTTTGACTAAACAAAAATTCCAAATTGCTATTAGAAGATATAGAATTATATTTTCCCTAAAGGTACAAAATTTGGTGTTACTTATAGCTCCAAATAGCAAGCAATTATTTTCTTTACATATAATAGAAAGTAGAAAATACAACGAAAGGAATTTATTTATTAAAGAAGCAAATTGGCCGCACAACACACACATAAAAACAATTTTATTTTTTCACTTCATTCTTTTTCACTTCTTCACACTAATACAAGCATTCCTCTCTAAAAACTGATGGATAATAAATGTATTCCTGGTGTTTTAAATAAAAACATAAGAAATATTGGAGTATTTTTTGCCATCGTTGAAAATATTTTAGGTATTGTAGAAGTGCGTTAAGTACTACTGATCTATAGTCGTCCCTACGTAATTTTAAAACATCATATGATATCAACGCAAATATTTTGATAACAATCGTCAACCAACGGACGTGTAAACTGCCAAAGTCATCAAACTGTGAGAGGAGACTATAGTTTCGTGTACAAAACCCTGAAAATCCCAATATATCAATTATAAAATAAATGATGAATATAAACGGTATTTGTCATTTATTCTCAAACATCAGAAAACAAAGTTAGTTATCGTTAATGGAATAGATTTTTAGCAACTGTGAATGGTCTTTACCATGACACCTGGTCTATCTGTTCTATCTATATGAAATAAGTTGTTTAAAAACGATATTGCCGGCTGTTTTTTGAAAAGACTTTTTTGACACTGCACTTAGCAGGAACTTATTGACATAATACAAAACAAGTCATGTTTTAGCGTTCGTGTAAATAGAATAATTTAAAGCAAACGGTTTGTAATTATACACAAAATGATTATTAAAGATGAGCAGGTGTTAGATAGTGTTTAACAGACACGAACATCTTGATTAAATAAATAAATTTTCTCTCAAACTTTACTTAAGTAGTTATTCTAGCTAAACTACTACTTTTTAATATAGGGATATTTAGATCTTTTTGATGAAAATCTTTCGCGTCAATACCATTAGAAAAATATCTCTAAGCATGTATACAAAATTGTCTAGGCTAGTTAGATTAATGACTGTACTGTTTGCGTCTTATGCTAGTGGTAGGCCACAATCTTCCATCATATTGCAATGAATCATCATAACACATGCATTATAAAGATCAGTTGGAGTTATTTTTCATAAAACTTCTTACAAAGTACATAGTGAGATCATTATATGTCCCGATGTTCTCATTCAGGAGCCCTGTTGTAAAATAATGTCACAGCGCCAATAATTTGCACCGCATCGCTATTATTATAAATATATTGATATATTTCAAAAATACTGTCAATATAAATGAATGATAAGTCAATGGCAATAAAACAAAGCATGATTCAACGATATGTATACAAATGGATGAATGAGGTTTCTGTAGATTTCTTTAGACCTGGAAGCTTCTTTTTCAACACTGCAGCTATAAGTGACGAAGTGTTGGACAAATGAAATTTCACACTGTTTTAAAAACTTGATATCACACGATTTAAACTTTGCATCTTTTTATGTCATGAACAAAGCAGAATTGAAGACCACGATCTTAAATAATTTTATGTGTTATATAAAAAATCATAAACAGCTTGTACATGCAATATTTTGATAAATAACAGCAGAGGATAACAAGCTCCATTGAACAAGCATCGATGCAGCAAATCATAAATAAGTTTGCACAAAAATAAAAAGGTATACAATGCATCATATAGAAAATACTCGAAGAACAATTCAAAATATACGATAATTCGCGTTCCTATATGTATATAATGAAAGATTCATAATTTCATCTTGTTACATGATTGTAAAGTAGTTCAAACAAATTTAGATAACCGAGCTTCTTACTAAAACAAACATAAAATAAGGGACGTAAATGTATGTGAAAGGATTCGGAGATAGAAATATCTCGCGCGATGAAATGCTGATAGAATCATTATTATGTCAAACAAAGAAAACAAGCTAAGACTGTCATGAAACATTCCTTGGCTATCATTTTTCTGACAGATTTATGGTGGACAATAAAATGCATTTCCAAAATGTGTTCATTGTAACGATAAAGTTTTGAATATTTGTTTACAAAATTTCACGTCAATGTAACGATTTCACAGAACAATATTATCTTTTTATCAATGCAAACATTTATGAAAGAAGCAAAATATTTACATTTAATAAAGAATCTGAGCAACAATTTCATTTGGTTATCAACTTTAATCTTTAGGCTATGCATTATAACATTTACTGAGAATAATTGGAGAATTTGGACATTTCATAAGATTAGCAATTGTTTATTTCTCATGTCTTCGTCAATCATAAAGCTGGCTAGCTCCTTACTAAACCTTAACACTTTATTTATAAGCACAATTGACATTTTAACTGAACAGAAAATATGCATTTATCTTGAGTAAACTTTACAAAACAAATTCATGATATCGTGTAAAATTCAAAGATGTTTTAGTTTCTCCCGCAGTGTGCTCATTATTTCCAAGATTGGATAATTAATGAAAGAGAAATAACGTAAGTAGAAGCTAAATCGACGTAAAACGTGGCAATTTTTACAATTCTATCTTCATATAGACAAATGACACAGATCTACACTCAAAATGCAATACAGTATAACAGATGAATTGCATTTGAAGTCAATACAAGGCCATTTATTGCCAGGAAAGTATAACATTTGATAGAAAAAGCGGATGAAGTGAGAACGAAAGGCATGCATTGTACGTAACAAGTTAAAGTTGTCAATGTATAATGGAGCAAACGGATTTGACAGGAAGCTACGGTGTTGTCTTAATCTTACTAAGAAAAGGGTTTGCCATTCTTCAAAGAGTGCAGTTGAAGTGGCACGTTTTTCCTTTAAAACTGGTGACATGAGTGTAATACGATGAATGTGGATAATGGCAATTTTATAGAACGTAACAATTAAATGGCATTGAAGAACCAGCTGTAGCCATCTAGGTGGTCGACAACGTTGACAAGCAAAGACAAAATAAGCAATCCAATTGGCTTTAATATCTGTATTTTGATTGGACGATATATGACAATAGGCATAGCGGGATGCCTTGTGAGTATTTATAGCTGTTTGGTTCTTAGAGGCTGCAACAATCAATGACTCTTGTACATAACACAATCAAAATACGCCGACAGAAAATCTTCAAAAATGGGTTCGAACGAACATGATTTTGAACAGAAACATGTAATCTCCGAGCGAAATGTGAACTTGAAAACAGATAATTCAAACTTAGATGAAAAAGACCTTGATAAACACAATGACCCTAGCGTCAAACCACCGTATTCTTATGTCGCACTGATTGCTATGGCTATTAGGGAATCACCGGAGAAGAGACTTACTTTAAATGGTATTTATCAGTTCATCATTTCCAAGTTTCCATTTTATGAGAACAACAAGAAAGGTTGGCAAAACTCTATTCGACATAATCTCAGTTTAAACGAATGTTTTATAAAAGTACCTCGAGAAGGAGGCGGAGAACGTAAAGGGAATTATTGGACCTTGGATCCTTCAAGCGAAGATATGTTTGAGAAAGGAAACTTTCGTCGAAGACGACGTATGAAAAGACCTTATAGACAACCAGCTCTTCCACAGAATGGAAGCTTTGCTTTCGGTGATCCAAATCATTATGGACCAGCAAGTTATCACGGCCTTGCACCAAACTGGTCGCCGTATGGACAGCCTCAACTCAACCAAAGTGCTTGGAGAAGTGCAACTCAACCTTATTCACAAACAACTCGAATACAAAGTGGTTCATTTGTATCACCCTATATGAACATTCCTTCAATACCAGGCGTCTCAAACTATGCTACTGCTGCGTCTTCCTATTCTACTCATCTTCAAAGTCAAATGAATGAACAACATCCTTATATTCCTTTACCAAATATGTCAAATTGTAGACGAGAACACGATCATTCACAAAGTCCTCATTATCCTTACTAATTGTAACATTCAACGAGCTAACATATAATAATAGGCCACGCTTTGTTACACTTCATAAGTTCTCAACAATCCATTGAATTTCCAAAGCACGATTGCCGCCATTTTCACGAGAACTTTACCGGCTGAATATTTACCAATCTGATGATTAAACTGGTTTGACAGAAACGCACAGACTACAATCATTAAAAAAGCAAAAGTACGTTGACTCCCTTAGCTTTTCACAAACTTTAGATATTTTATGTTTCCTTATGTAGAGAGTATATTGTAGGTTTTATCTGGCCCCTGTAGGCGTTAAATGTTTTCCCAGTCCACAAATTGTTTCTCAACAAATGTTTATATAATTTAAATTCATTGCACACGGCTATTTTGTCTATGGACTGTATCGAAATGTCGAGGCTAAGACTTTAAAATCGCCCAATGCGAACATTTTTCTACTTTGGTTAAAGGGGATTTCATATTTACGTATCATGAGAGTATGATACTAAGAAACGACTTCACATACTTCATGTGAACATTACTTATATATATATTTATATATATATTATTGATTGCAAATTTTAATTTAAAAAACATTCAATGTAAATATTTAGATGATTTTATTCACATTCATGTCAATAAAGAGATTTATAACAATAGATGAGTCGTATAAAGATCTCGAAGTTTAAATAAGACGAAAAATTTGTGGGGGTGTCAACGATGGTCGGCTATATTCCGGTAACTCGCAGTCTGCATTTCACCGTATATAAATCATAATTGCATCTTGTAATTGTGTTGAAAAACTGATCTAGTGTACGGTAAGGTCATTAAAGAACTGAAAATTTGGAAGTAAGCGACGCCTATCAATGCATGACACGCATATGGAAGGCAAAGAGCTTTTCATTCAATTTCTTTACAAAATCGATTTAAACGTTTTTAAAATGCTTAAGTGTATACAATCATTCCGTGAGCAATTTGCATAAATTTAATTAAAGAATAATTGAGTTGGTTGTGTTTCTATTTTGTTTTGTAGTATGAAATGATTCTCTAAAGACTAAAGTTGTTCCTTCGCCATTCAAGGGCGGTTCTGTTTTACCATCACAAATGTAAACTAATTTTTTCATAAACACTTGTTTTGAAAAATAAATTACGCTTTTTCAATTCGTTATTGTGGTATAAATCATTTGTCTCCTCACATCACGGAAGGTTTCGTTCATCGACCAAGATTCTAATCTTTATCCGTACCCTAGACTTACACATGCAATGAACAAAATGCAAAATTACTGAGGATTTTAATTTAAATCTACTATATTGCTTTTAATCTCAAAAGTCGCGTGAGAGATATCTATTGAGTGAAATTGTTTTGCGGTAAATGAATTACGTAGAGTACAAGCGATAAACTAAAATGTTCAATACGAGGGAAATTCTTGTTTCAAATGAAAACGTAAATGATAAGTACAGAAAATCCCATCAAAAGTACAGTGGAGTATCTTATTGACAAAAATGTCGACACATACGAAAGATACAAGCGACGCCTTTAATGCTATTTATTAATTTTGTTTAGATAAGAATTTCTAATATAAACAAACGATTGACGATGACGAATCGTCAAAATGTACAAGGTGAGAGTTATGAAGTATTGAGATCATCCCGCGAGAGAAATGGAGAGCTTTGAGCGGAAAGAACGCATCCACGAGCCAACGCAAGAAAAGAATCAATGTCGAAGAGATTTTCAGAGATTTTTATCAATTTTCAGCTGTTTCTAAAGAGTAAATGCTGCGCTAACGCTAACTTGAACAGGTGACACAAGTGAATATCTGCAAGATAACTAAGCCAAACAAACATCAATTCAACGGAGACAGAAATCGGAAATGGTATCGGAAAAAAGCAATTTGCGTCAGCCCGCAAATGATACAGCTTGAGTTCCATCATTTTATCCAAATGAGCTTTGTAGCGTATTTAAATTTGTTTTTCTTATCAGTAAATTTCTAGGGAAAATATTTTGCATATATTGATTTTATAAATATAATTGAAATCAAAGCAAAAGATAGAAAAGATGTTGAAATACGAGGTAACTTTAAATGTCAGGCAAGTGGTCGCAGTTATTGAGAGAAATCACAAAACCATTAAAAATGATCGCTTTAAAAGTTTGATCGCTACAACTGGCTCTTGCGGCAAACAACATTAAATATTTAACATTGGCCATAAAGTAACTTGGAAACGCGAATGTCGAACAAATGAAAAATATAAATATGAAAGAAACCAAAAATCTTTTAAAATAATTTTTTGCTTTAATAAATATTTAAACTGGTATAGTAAAAATGATGCAAAAATAAAGAAATGAAAAGGAGATATCTAAAATGGTTACGTTGGGTTTTTTTTCTGTAACTGTTTTTTCTTCGTGACTCAATACTTCTAATGGTGTAAATTTTTTCCCAAACTCAGTAGCTGTGATGAATGAAAACACGCAAACGATGCTTATTTTTATTGCTAGACGCTTTGTATAGCTACATCGTACGTGCAAAAGTTATTATGAAAACAAATTAAAGTTGTCGTCAATATTGTTGCAATTAAGATAAAGAATATTTGAACGAGCATGATTGTTGATGGGAACCATCTATAGGCGCAAAATCCAAGAAAACATTCCGGAAAATTATAACTGGGTGTGACAACCACAAAAAGTCGGTTTTTTTCATGAAATATTTTTTGTTCATGAAAACGTATATTCTCGCCAGATGTAGATTGCTTCTAGAGATTAAGATGAACATTAGAAAGCTTTCATGTTTCACTTGTGCTTAGTAATATATAAATATGAAAACAAAGAGAATTAAATCTCATTGTTTTGCTCCTCAGTGGTTAGTTTTCACCGACTTAGGTCAGAAGACAAAAAGACGATGTAGAATTATGATTTGTTTTTAAAAGACCGCACATCTAGTTTGATTTTTTTTAAGTATGGTTTGTAATGTATCGTGACTTTAGCTGTCTTAAAGCAATACCATGTAATCTGTTATACATTCTTAAATATTTATACGTCTGTTTAGGATGTGGTTTCAATCTAGATTGTATCATTGAAGTTGTTGTTTTGCCTTTGTAGTAATTTTTTTTATGAACTTATTGAGGCTCTCTCTAAAGATGACAGAAAATGGAGGACAAGTGATGAAAAAGACTTTCCACCACATCAGAGTGAAGGTACAGATGAGTTGAACCGCTAAAGATGTAAATGAAATGAATCGTCACCTCTACCCAAGGAACGAATAAGGTGGCCACACCATTCCTATGTTAAACCAAACAACATCTAACCATCTACATGGTAAATAGAGTGAACTAAGAGAGGAGAGAGGTTAAAAAAAAAGAAAGATTTAGTGAAAGATGAAGAACACTTTGGTTGGTACTTATTTGGGCATAAATTTCACATGTCACACAAATAAATTCTATTACTTTTTACATGAATTAGACGCGAGAAAAAACTTTGAGTTATTTATAATCACGTGTTGGCATGATTTCACACTAATGACGTAATGTTCGTAGAATAGATCTCTCGCTCTTAACCATTTAACGTTGACAAATGTCATGTTTCAAATGGAATATTTTAAAAGGTATAAAAGAATCACGTGGGATTTTCTCCATTACTCTTTCGCTCTTTTAACATGGAACAAATGCATGTGGCTGTGTCTTGTTTTCTAGCTTCCTTTCCATCTTCTGAGTGAACACAACATCATCATCTATTTCTACCATGAACCATTTTGTACTTTGCAATTCCTCGTTACCAGGCCATTCTCAATGAAGAACGAAACGTTATAAACATAAAGCATTAAATTTCTTCAATCATTGATGCTCTGAATTTCCCCCATGTTTACTCTCTCTGCAGCTGCATTTACACTAAAGCCAAGGATACTTGGATCAACTTTTTGCATTCGCTGTTTCTTCTTCTTTTTTGTTTTGTTACCATTCACTTCATGATCACTTTGGGTATTCTTGCCAACTCCTCGGGAAACAACGGGAACAGGAGCATGCGCTTTAGGAGTCACGTGTTTCCACTCGGAATTTTGACGTTTCTCAATAAATTGTTTTGCAAAGTTGTTCGCTCTCACGCTGTCTCCAAAATATTCGCGAACATAAGTATGAACCTATGACACGAAATTAAACAAAAACAGAAACTATCAGATATTAAACTCGTATAATTCGTGAAATACCGGATGAAAAAAGAAAAAAAAATTAGAAACATACCTCGTACGGCGACTGTTGCTCCTTTAAAAATTCGATGAATGTTGGTACTAGACGAACGTAATGTAATGTGAATAAGGAAAATAAGCGAACATGACGTAACGTCAGGGCTCACGTGAAAATGACGGAAAAAAGATGTACATGCCCATATGTGGATGAGTTCTCGCCATTTTTTTACACTATTTTCTTGCTAAATTTTTCTAATATTATTGATGAAATGCAATGGTAGAAATGAAAATAAAGGGTTTAAATAAAGGTTTGTCTAATAAAATAAGTCACATGACTATAGAAGAATTGTCTGTTGTCAACATAAACAAAAACATAAAAAAACAAAGATTTCCTACCATCAACATCAGTTGAAAAACCTTTTAAACTTTGACTACACCATTCAATAAATGGATCGTCACTGACAGCTGATTCTTGAAATATTCTACGCACGCTCTCCTATATATGAATTTTTATTAAATTGCTTCGAATTGTTCAAACCAACGAACAATACATAAACGAGAAAAGTTCATTTGTTCCATATCATACGTTACCTCATCTTTAGTCAACTTTTTCACAACTTTTTTCCCATTATGGACGGCATTTGTTGGACTAAAAATTCAACACAAAAATTACGTGAAATTTCGTGTTTCACCAGAAATCATTTGAAAATAAACATACCTAGGTTTAGTCGTCTGATGACTTCTCATTGTCTGTTGGTTTCTATTATTGTTTTTTATGCGCTCGTTTGCAGCCTCCTCGAAGTCATTACCAGTCCACACATTGTTGTTGCCCGCGGTCCAAGCCATGTTCCATGCGGGCGAGACCGGGGCTGCGGGCTAAACAATCCATGGAAAATAATTTCAATTTTCAAAGGCAACATTTCCATAATAGAAATAGCGCATTTACGTAAGGATCTGTAACAAACCTGTGAGCGATAGGTTGTTTGCTTGTTCATTTTCTGTAATTGACGAGCTTGTTCATCTTGGATATCTTTTAAAGACTTCACGTTACTTGTAGGAGATACCCTTATATAAAGTATGGAAAACTTTATACAACCATAGATAATCAAACAAATCTCTAAATTGCATATTAACGTACTTTTGAGATGACCATCCACTACTTGTGGTAGCCGACTGGAGTTGACGTTGCCTAGCTTCCAGTTCCCTCATTTTTTGCTCGTGCGCGCGGCGATTTTTTTCTTCCTGATTTTGAATCTCAGACAAAGATAGAGTAACAGAAGCATGTGATGTCATCCAATGGGAGGTACCATGTGACTAAAAAAATAAATATTCAATGCATGGGAGGTACCATGTGACTAAAAAAATAAATATTCAATGCACAGGAAGTACCTTCAGTGAATAGCTTTCAAAAGAATCAGTACGGCAAAACATATGAACAAAACACACCCCCACCCCCAATAATGTTCTAGGGACAGCCCTGATTCAATGCTAGAGGTTGGCCATTCAAAACGATGGCAAAATGTTCAATATGCAGACACAAACCTCGGAAAAATTTTCTTTTTGCTTGTTTTCCTTCATTTCATCATTTTCGGCTCTTTCTGGAATACCTTTTGATCGTTTAAGCACCTTCAAAATAGAAAAGAAAACATCCAACGCATGAAGATCACGACCAAAAACGTCAAATGATCAAGATTTCACTACATCTTCTGTAGGTTTTTGTTCAGCAACGTTATTCTTCACGATATTTTCTCCTTTCCTTTGTTTAACTGCATCATATTTCTAAAATGAAAAATATCCCGAAGGAGCGCTCACCAGGTATATTGACATACTACCACACTTTATCCCAAGTAATCATAACCTACGCAATCCATTGAAATCCCACAAAATTCAGTGTTACCTGCATACGTCTAATTTGTTCATTCTTTTCATTCTTTTGTAATTCATCGGTAACTATCCCTTCGTCTTTCAACATGTGACCAACACGTGATTCCATCGTGTCATAGAGCTTTCCACGACCCTTACCCACCTTACCAGGCACAAAATCTTTACTACCACTAACTTGTTTGTTTTCTACTTTTTTATTTACTTTCTAAACAAAAAAAACATATATATATAAAATTTATTCAGCTTTATATGGAACGGTACACGAGATGACGGTACATTGATAGGGTAAAACAGTATCTACAGGCAAAAGATGATGTAGGATCAACTGAACAATATAGAGAGCAGGAAGTACCAAGCGTTGAATAATGTACGATAAGAGCATGAAATGATTGACACCTGTAGTTCCTTGTCCTTTTTTTCTTTCAGTAATCTTTCCTCCGCAATACGCTTTAATTTTTCCTCATCTGAACGTTTTATCGTTTCCTCCTCTCTTTGTTTTAAAATCTCTTCTTGTTTCTACCATAAAGAAAGCAAGAAAATAAATGTTCTGTCCTAACATTCATATTCTCACTAAACAACTATGCTGACTTTTCTTTCTTCGTCTCTATCGTTAGTTTCAGTCATTTTGCTTTGATCATCGTCATTTCTGGGGTAAATCAATATTTGCTGTTAACAAAAATTTAAAAAACAAAATTCTACAAAAATTGCGAGAATCCTCATACCTTATTGTATTTTCTTTCCAAGGAGAAGTTTTGCCATTTACTGACCAAGACTCTATCGTAAAAAGACATGATAACGTCTACTTAATACTTGGTGATTTACGTAACACATGCGAATCTTGCGATTTAAAATGTTTAAAAAAACGATGATTTAAAAAACTCAAAAATATTCACAAGAAATAAAATAGTACTTTCTAAGAGAAAGATAAATGATACAAGGAGAAGTTCAGTCGAGATGTAAAACATTATCATCACACACAGTTAAACATAACATATTCATTTACTAACTAAAGTGCAGTAAACACATACGAATGCAAAGGTTCTAACACATGCGTCTTCCACGATAGGTATATTCCCAATTTTAACTACTTACCTTGCGTTGTGTCCGGATCTGGTCCCCAAATCATTTCTGTTACGTCAGTGGGAGATCCTGAATGCGCCTGAGTAAGTAATGATCGTGAAGCAACAGCCGAGAAAGACGACGAGTTAGAAGATAAGTTTAGTAATGCTGACTCGGCAGCTTTTTGACGCTGCTCTTGTTGCAACTGTTGCTGTTGCTGTACGTTAAATAAAAATAATTTTAATTGGAAAATTTTATACTATATGCTCAACTAAATGGCAGCGATTGAAACCTGTATTTGTTGAAGAATGGCTTGTTTTTGAAGTTGCTGATAATGTTGATTTAACAATTGTTGCTGCATGAATATTGTTTGTTCATTCAACACTTGTTGACGCTAAAACGAATGAATTCAGGACATAAAAATGGACACTTCATAAAAGGGGAGAAATATTCCTTTACATGATCGTACAACGGAACAACGCACCGTAATAGGAGGAGGACTGGGTCCGGGTAAAAAGGGAACGCGACTCCAGCGTTTAATGAGATCACCTGATAAAAAAGTCGTAAAGAAAATAATTATGAGAATATGAAATACGAACATACATCACAGCTGAACAAATGTCTCTTTCGTTATGAAATGAAATTTTTAAAAAGAACAGAGTTTCAAAAAACTAACCAAGAGAAAGATAAACATTGTCGCAATTTCTTCTTACAGATAATTGCATGGTAAAATAACCATGATGGAACCATTCCACCATTTCTTCATTACTAAAAGGGCCTTGTTCCTGACCCTGGGGATCAAGATAGTACCATGATACTTGATGTAATGTTGACGAACTTTCCTCTTTTTCTTCACTTATTTCTTCTTCCTTGAAATATAAACTTAATTTAGTTTAGCGCTCGAGAAATTATTGTTGGAAAAAAACACACCTCAACATCTAGGCTGGCAATACAACTTTCAGCAACTCTCTCTAGGTTTGCTCCAACTTCATCATGACGAGATGCAACAGATGGACCATCAACATCATCAACTGCGTCTAAACAAAGATAACAACAAAATTATTTTTTAACACAAATCAAAACATGAATTGACACACAATTTTATTTACCTTCTTTTGACAACAGCCGTCCATCAGATTCATTTAATATATTTTTTATGTGACAAGGAACATTCTCAACAACATCCTCAACATTTTCCTCTTGAATCATAGTGGTTTGGAGATTATCTATATTGAAGATAGGATAATGAGAATGATGACAATTACTGAACAATATGATATTTCAGTCTACACTGACCTTTCATTGGTAGAGTAAGTGGAGTATCATTGTCATTTTTCTTACCATTGCTATTCTATTTGTATGAAGACAAAATCAAAAAAAACAAAATTGATATAAACAACTAAAGTATAATATATGAAATACAAACTTACATCACTGATTTCTGATTCTTTAGCAAGATTTCGATCTGAGTCCTCTTTAGAACATTCATTGTCATCTGGGGGTTTTTTATCCTGCAACATTACCACAAATGTACCTCTACATACACATTTATCTTATTAAAAAGATCATATTGTACCTTTGAAACACAAAATGCTCCAGATGCATCAAATGTTCCAGAATCTGGTTCAAACACATCATCAGTTTTACTCCATTCAGGAATATTTTTATCATTGTGCCATCTTTCCTTTTGTTGATCTTCTCTTGACCAATGTTCACGTGATGATGCTAAAACAATGAACAAGTTTCATACAATCATTGAATGCTATGCCCAAGATACATGTCATGCCTACATCTCCAATGTTCGGATCCTCGCTGCTGAATCATCCATGCAGCAGGTTCATCATCAGTCTCTGATGATCGCCAGTTTCCACTAGCAAGAGCTCGACTATGACGACCAGATGACATTGTTGATTCATAAGCTCCACGAGATGTTTCTGAGAAAAGAAGTATTTATTTGTAAAATGAAGTCATTGAAGTTTTGTATTTTAAAAACCATTTACCATTGTCTTTTTCATTTGATCTCTCACTAAATCCACCTCGCCTATAGATGAAAAAAATTGTTTATAACTATACAATATAAATAAAAATAAAATAAAGTCAGCTTACCCACTACTGTCTCCCCAACTTTGCTTGCGTGATACACCCTCTCGTTGCCATGATTCTTCTGTTTTTATTGATGCTGAGTCCTCTTGAGAAAGCCCACGTTGAAATGCAACTTCCCCACCTCGTCCACGACCAGATCCCCTACCACCCCTCAACATCCCTCTACCTCCTCTTGATCCTCCTCTTCCCATCATTTTCAACACAGCATTGCTGTTTAAGGATCCAGATGAATTTCGCTAACAAAATAACATATTTCATGTAAAGTCAATACTCTTAAGGTAAAAATAAAACTTTCAGATCTCACTTGTTCTTCTTCAGTTAAAGGTTGCATGGCAAGGGGATTGCGTGATACTTTCTTCAAAATAAAATCTGCAATATCTGTATTAACAACAGGAGGTTTAGTAGTTTGTGAAAATAAAGCCAACATTTCTTCCTTTCCATATCGATACTTTGCAAGTTTATAGGCAGGACCAGGTGATGGTGGCGGCACTAAGATGTTGCTTCCATTTGAAAGATCACGAATCCTTGAAATGCACATAATTTGATCATACCAAATTTTTTGATACATTTTTGTCAAAAAAAAAACAATGAAAACATATCTTGAAAATAACTAGAAAGGCAAGCCTCGACTTCTTTAGCTGACAAAAAACCCAAGTAAAGCAAACATAGACGACCAAAGTCATCAAACTCGTATCATTATATAAAGTACACAAAAATTCTTAGGATTTTAATGATTGTAAGTATCAATACTTCTTCGTTAAGTATGAGACTTACCACTTTGGTCCAAAATTTAAAGCTTCAGTGTTTTGGTCGGACATTTTCACCTAAAAAACGCATTTATAGATAGTTCCTGTGCTGGAATATTTACAATTTCATTTTATTGAATAGTATGGACAATTGCAATAAGAAACGAGGCAAAAAAAGACAAGCAAAAAGAACTGATATTAACAAGAACATACAACATAAAACAACAAGCAAATGACGTACTTCTTTCTTTAATCTTTCTAGCACAGGAATATTGGTAGACTTCTTTCGAAATACCACGAAATACGACTATTATTTTTTTCAAGCAATATGGCGTCCAAACGATCACGTGTCAAATTATGTGTTACATAAGAGAGACTGGGGAGAGCCAAAGGAAGAGAAGAAAAGTTGAAAATATTTTCAATTTATTTAATCCAAGTTTCTATGTACACAACATTTCAGGGAAATGCAATGAAAAATAGTAATATAAAAAACCTAGATTGCTGCTACATTTCAAAATATGCCTACAATTGATAGTATAGGTAGGAAAATCGTTAAGATAATGACGTGAAAAATTTATGTTATGACGGTTACATATTTATGGGGAAAATCAATGAAACCAAAGAGAACCATCTGGTTTTGGAATACAAAAGTAATCTTTCTTGCATCCTACAAAAATGACCAAAACAAAAATACCGAACAACAGCAGCAACACCCATAAACCTACTAAGGAAGCCTTAAAATTGGCTCGGAATCTTGATGGACCAAAAACACTCAAAAGAGCCATAGTTAGTGTAATGGTGTAAAATAGGGATATCGCTGTGTTAATTGTCACAATGAGACCAAACTTTGCAAAAAGTTGTATTTGAGTAAAACATAAAGGTACCGCTGCAAGAATTGTAGTGATCGCCGAGCTGATGATTGACATACCAATGTGTGATAAAGCTGCTCTTGCCCTCCATTGACGTGCATTCTAGAATAATAACAACGAGAAAGTCAGTGTATTATCAACATTATTATTTCAAAAATATTGTACAAATGACAACTTAAAAGAAAGTCACCTTGTTCGATAGAGATGGGTTAACAGCTTTTCCAGCAAGTATATACCCTTCAACAAGATGGAAACAATAATCAACAGAGGTACCAACTAGGATAGAGAGGGATATAGCTTCAACACCGCCAATTTGCCAACCGGTCAAATAAAATATTGCCATTACAGTTGATAGAACAGCTGGAAAAGAATATTTGTAAAATCATTTTCACTGTAGGTTAATCATTGGTCGTAAAACTACAAACATACCGGTAATTGTAATTGTTAGGACGAGAAAGAAAATGATGTGTCCAGTAAAGATTAGTACAGCAGCTACACATAACACCAATGACGTAGCAATACCATATATGGCACTATCAAGCACAATAATACCGCTGAACATCTTCACCCACGTCTCGCTGGCTATAAAGCCTCTCTTCAAAGACTCGGGAGCATCATGTAAAACGTCTTCAAGCTGTTTCTTCCATTTATTGTAATCTTCGTGTTGAGACTTGAAGCTGGATGTCTTTGATGTCGTCTGTAATAAGAACATATCAAATCACATTCATAATAATTCTATTGTTAGATACGTCATTGCATCCATGGCAACAATAATTGAAATATTTACAGATATAAAGGCCATTGCCATCCATTTCAACTGACGAAGACCTTGGTCATTCTTTTCAAACATAACATAACTTTTGAGTTTCGACGAAGTCGACTGAGGAAGATTTTCACATTCGTCAGCTATTTTTCCTAAAAATGGTTGAATGCTTGATGGAAAGCACTGGGACCCTCCACTTTTCACAAGATGACTATTTTCGTTAAACTTCTTGCAAATTATACAGGCAGCCTTCAGCACACGTTTAGTATCGCAATTGACTTCACGTAAAAAGTTTTTGTCGTATAAAATTTGGCCCTGAAATATAAGTAGATTGGACGAGATGTAAGTACATTGAGTGAGACATAAATACATTGGGTGAGATACAAGAATATTGGAGGGAGATACAAGAACATTGGAGGAAGATACAAGAACATTGGAGGGAGATAAGTACATTGGGTGAGTTGTAAGAACACTGGACTAGAAATAAGTACATTGGGTGAGTTGTAAGAACACTGGACTAGAGATAAGTACATTGGGTGAGATATAAGAACACTGGACTAGAGATAAGTACATTGGGTGAGATATAAGAACACTGGACTAGAGATAAGTACATTGAGTGAGATACAAGAACATTGGGTGAGATATAAGTACATTGGGTGAGATGTAAGTACATTGGGTGAGATATAAGTACATTGGGTGAGATGTAAGAACACTGGACTAGAAATAAGTACATTGGGTGAGTTGTAAGAACACTGGACTAGAAATAAGTACATTGGGTGAGATATAAGAACACTGGACTAGAGATAAAAACATTGGGTGAGAGATAAGTACATTGGGTGAGATATAAGTACATTGGGTGAGATACAAGTACATCGAATGTAATAAGAAGTACATTGGGTGTTTAGTACAAATGCAGTGGTGACGCACGAGATTAAAAATAAAAAAGATATTTGAGTGAGTGACATAAAACGATAAAGAATGTAATGATCACCTCGTTGTTCTCTAAAACATGTCTTCGATCAATGGAAGACTTGTCAATTCTTTTAATACCAAAAACAATATAGACAAAAGCAAACGTTTCATCGGGCGGGGGTGCAACTGTTTTACAACCAGTGGAACAAAGAGGCGAAACAGTCGTCGATGGAATGATGCATTTTTCAAGTTTCTTAGCATGACGTTGGGTACCACAGTAGGTACCAGACTTCTCGCCCAATTTAATGCAACTATAATGTTCGATGTTTTTGTAAACGAATGGAAAATTGCAACAAGTTTTGTTTGGTGTTTGAGTCTGAAAGAGACAGCTACCTAAAAATAGATAGAAATCACAACAAACAATCAAATAAAAAGTTATAAACGATGGGATAATAGTGAAAAATAAAAGCTAGTTGAAAAGTCGTTAAATCATGGGTTGTTTTTGTGTTGTTGCCTTTTATTGTTACCTTCAACAGTTAGATTGCACATTTTTCTATTTTCTTTGGTGTAAGTGTCCTTAACCGAACACCACGGTTTGCTATCCTCCAAAACACAACCCAGACGTTCCTCTCTTTCGTATTTGAAAGGAATATAACAACAATCTCCGTCCACCGTCTTTATTGGACAGTATCCTATAAGAAATAAAATGAAGTCAATGGAGATTGATGTAATCTTTACATTCATATCAGCAAAGTACAAAACTTTAAAGTGATACAACGAAAAAGAATTAGATACGGAATATTGTAAAGTTGTTGTTTTGATTGAATAAAAGTGAATTAAATCTTACTGGAGCAGGACGGACCAGAGTATGAATGATGACATTTACATTGTCCTGTTTCATTAATACATTCACCCATAATGCATTTCAAAGGACAACCTATAAAAAAATGCAGAAACGGTAAAAGTATTTCATCTATTTATGCAACATTTTACCATAACTAAAGAATGAATAAATATACAAAAAATTACCAGTTTTTACAGTTATTTTGCTTCCAGTGGTTGGTGCATAATTTGAAGGATTATATGTAGTGTTAGACCACGATGCTCCCTTAGATGGCTTGCGATTATTTACTGTAGCAGATATCGTTGTTGCTGTGATGGCCTTTTTATGAGTTGTCAAGTCAGATGAACGAGTTGTCTGCTCAGACTGTGAACTAGATATAGTACATCGAATAGTACAATAAACTAATAGAAATAATACATAAATAATACATTCACGTATTTTATATCACTTATCACAAACGAATAATAATAATACAAATATTATCTCGCAATCGAGTTTAATCATACCTTGCCAGCGATGATGCCGTTGAAATAGTTGGGCGTTCTGGTGTAGTAGATGTTGTATGGTCAGATTTGGTGGCAGAGGTTGTATGGTCAGATTTGGTGGTAGAGGTTGTATGGTCAAATGTGCTGGTAGAGGTTTTATGATTAGTTGTGGTGGAGATTTCACGGTCAGGTAAGGTGGACTTTTTAGGCTTAGATGTAGTAGAGCTTGTACGACGATCATGTAAAGTAGAGGTTCTTCGGTTAGGTGTGGGAACATTTGTACGCTTAGATATTTTAGAAGTTGAACGCGTCCAAGGTGTATTGGTTGTTCTTTGTTCAGTTATAACGTCATGAGGTTTTGTGATTTCCGTCTTAGGAAATTTTGTTGGAATGTTTAGAGGATTTAAATTCTCGATATCATTGATAAGAGTGCTTGCTTTCAGTGAAACTTCAGGTAGGTCCAACCACCTCTGCAAGTTACTGTCTTTTTTGAAAAATTTTGGTTGTTCTTTCGATATCTATGAAGATAGAATAAAAATCAAGCGTTTAAGGAAGAAAATAAACATTCTTCAACTTTCTCAACTATCTTTCAACATGCTTTGGATATAATATAGTATATGAATATATGTTAAGGGTTGTTTTGTCAATAAAGCTGAAATCTTTAAACTACGTTTCTATTATCATGGCGTAAATAAAATAACCAGTGACGTCATTACCTTAAGCTTGCTAGTAAGAACAAAAGAGGCAATTAAAATGGAGACAAAAATCATCATAATGGCATAACGACCATTGGTTACAGGGACTGAAATAAAATGATATACAAGACCCTGCAGGCGGAAGCCAATGTGATCTGTATTGTTGTAAGAAGAATCTGTGACATCTTGGTTATCTGTGGTATCTGTGGTATCTGGAGTATTCTCCATTTCAAGACTAAGCAATGGAACATCATCATCATCTACTTCAAAATTATCATTATCATCATTGATAGGCATTCGAAAACTTTCCAATTCCAATTGCTGTGGAAATTCATTATCATTTCTTCCAGAGAGAAAGTCACGGATACCATCTAGTACACAAAAATAACAATAATGAATAGCTCATCAGCAAAAATATCATAAAATGACAATCTCATTCCCAGGCCCCTTCCATGCAAAGGCGAATGACTTAAAGGGGAGCATATATAATTGGTATAAAGCTCCAGTTTTTTTCAGCCAATGGTCTTACCTGGCAATCTTAATCTCTCATTTCTTGTAACACCAATTGCCCGCAAACAACTTCTCCATATAGACAATTCAATTGATCTAATTCCAGCATGCCATAGGGTAAGGGTCGGTGAAATTATGAACACTACGCTCAACCAACAAGTTGTAACAAGAATAGCCATAAACAAACCAAAATCATGAATAGCAGGGATCTAAACAACAGTAAAACAAGTTTTATCCTAAACCAAAACAAACAATAAAGAACAATGAGAATCCTACCGGTGATAGTACATTTGCACCAAAGGCAACAGCAGTTGTAAATGATGTAAAAAATGTTGCCTTTCCAGCAACATAAATGGTGTGAGCAATTCTGCTCTTAACATCCTCGTTGTCTTGTGCCTGACGAAATGTATTGACAAACACGAATATATCATCAACACCAATACCAATGATGACAAATAATGAAACACCATTTAATATCCCAATGTATTGTACACCAAATACAACATGGTATACAAAATAGGCCAATGCAACACTGGCAAGGATTGTTATGATAGCCATTATGGTCAAAATAAGTGAAAAGAGCAAGATTAACAGCAAAAAAAAAATCAGTATAAGGCTAATGAGAGCCAGTCGAAGATCTGAAAACAATGCTTTTTTCACAAGATGATCAAATAAATCACCACCACCATAGAGAACAGACACCTCGCTGTAAGAAAATATTATGAATAATTTAAGTGGGAGAAAATGAAGCACATCACAGCAAGAGGCAAGTGTATTCAAATGATAGCATGCTGAATATTTTCTTTGTGAGAAAACAATGAAATATATGAAAGTTAGAAGTTTACTTTCATGATGAAAGGTGTTACATTTGTGTTTTTGTCATGAAAATAAAGCAAGTTTTTCACATTCTTACTGATAGTAATTAAAAAAGTACAAATCCCGAAGCAAAGGGTCTTTATAACGACTAAAAATATTTAAATGTAAATGTTAAAACACAAACATACTTGACAAAACAATTGATTGCTCACAAACAAAACAGAGCTTACATGTCAATGTAAAGACAAACACAGGAATTAAGAAGTTTTTAACGTGGATGAAAGTTGTGCATAAACTGTGGTCAGAAAATTTAAGTGAATATAATAAGGGGCTATTGAAACAAAGTAAAGAATCTTAAAAATCCTACTTGTTATTGTTTAGGTTCTCCAATAAGCCCTCATACGTAGTTAGAAAACGTTTGTATTCTTTTTTCTGATCTTTTATTCCTTTGACTGGCTGTCCAAATAAAATCTGTGCTCTCAATATGTTACTCTTTCCTGTACGTCTGAAATTCGAATCAACGTAGAAATAGAAATAGCTTTTAGATTTCAAATATGTCAGCGTTTCTTCAATAGGACGCTGCATTTTGTCGTTTTGACCATCAAATACTTTATCTCGAGCAAAAAAGAATAGAGTCAATGAATTTGGCGGTGTACAGTTGCCGTACTTCCTTAATGATTCGTCTTTAAGCGAGAGGTCTGATTTATAGCAGTGTTTCTTGTACGACTTGTGTTCCATTAACGTTTTTTCAATTTTGTGAATTCGCATTAAATTCTGTTCAGTGAAAATGTTGCCTGTACCTTTGGCTTTATAAACAAGATTTAACGTGCCAGAAAGCTTTCGTTGATAAGGGTATTTTTTGGAAAGTTGTGCCACATTTGCTGCATATGAACTTCTCTTTGATCGACTCTTTTTCTTAGGTAAATCATTAGTAATACAGGATTCACCTTGTAACAACGACTGAAAATCCTTCTTGGAAGGTCGCTTTATTTTTGCTTTTGCTGCACTAAAGGAGGCGTATTCGTTCGACACTTTTATATCGGGCACCATAAATGAATTAATGGATATATCTAAACGAAATCCGCGGTACTTTCCAGATAAAGATACCAAAAACAAAGCCACGACCAACACAAGATAAGAAATTAAAAGAAAAAGAGCTACCTTCCACCTTCCAAACGCATTTTTCAAACCAACATTGAAAAAATTAATTAATGTCAGAGTCATTTTAGAGAGAGTCGGTCTCAGCAAGGAATACACACTTGGTTTAGGACCAGGAAAGTCGACTGTAAAGCCATCTAGTCTGTGGTTCTCTTCGCCCCCGTTTAAAGACTGCGTATCAAACATATTCGTATCTTCAGTGACATATTTTGATGCTGAGTCCAAACGAACGTAAGAATTTCTTGAAACAGGCATTTCTACTTAAGAATAACAACCGTTGTTGAAAAGCACATTAAATATAAGAACTGATGGCTTAGACGAGCTAAAGATAAAATTTCTCACATTCCAACAATATTGAAAACATCATCAACGTAACAATTTTCGTTCTCAAAGTCTTTTTGTTTGTTGTGAGACCAGTGATTATTCATCATCCGTCAGCATGATGATAATGGCATAACCAAAAAAATTCAATTTTAAACATGTCATATTTTTTCGTAATTTCATTACACCTTGAATCTCTAAACAAAAATGAAGTGAAAAAATAAGAAATACAATAAAAACACTTAAGCACCCACCGTGAAAATTGAAGAAATTATTCAGGAGCAGTCCAAGCATACAATGCAAATGATAAGATGCTAACTCCGCAGATGGTAAATAGTAAAGCGGGCTTCGGATCTACGAGAAAATTCAATTTACGAAATGTCTAATTTGTGTGAAAAAGATCAACAAATTCTTGATTGTATCTTTAACCCAAATCAATCGTTCGGTTTTGAAGTACATTCACAAGAACCCGAAAGCCATAAATGTACGATAACACATGACTACGAAGTAAGTGAAGAGGTCAAAGAATTGGAAATTTCTGCTGTAAAGTATGCTGAAGAAGGAAAATTGGATTTAGCTTTAAGTTGCTTAAATAAAGCTGTCAATCAATGTCCCTTGTGTGCATCCATCTATAATAACAGAGCACAAGTTCAATTGCTAAAAGGTGAATAATTAAAATCTTTCGTTGAATTTATTTGCAATTGCCTGGCAGTAACAGCTGACATTTATCATACAGCTTACTATTCCTCTTAAAATTAAATTTTTAAGGCAACAAAGAGTTTGCTTTGTTGGATATTGAAAAAGCTCTAAAAGTGAGTAATGGTTTGGGTGAAGTTGCAAGCCAGGCATTCACACAACGAGCACTTATTCATAGATTAAATGGAAATGACAATGCTGCTTTGGAGGATTTCAGACATGCCGCAAGTTTGGGGAATTTATTTGCCAAATCACAAATTGTAGAGATGAATCCTTATGCTGCATTGTGTAATCAAATGTTGGCTGAAGCAATTTTTAAACTAAGATACTCTAAAGAAGCATGAGTTTAGATTATTATGAATGTAAAATCTAGACTAGTTATATCCTGCCTAGCGCATGTTTAATAAATAATTGCAAATTATGTTTAATGCTAAAAGTTATTGTTTGTTTTGCCAAGAGGTTTTATGCAGGTCTTTGTTAAAAATGATCACATGTTACATCAGAATAGTTGTTGATGTCTAGGTGATATTTAAAATTGATGTTGTGATAAATAAATCATGATTGAATTTCAAACAACCGTTATGATGTTTTCCATGTTTTTGGATGTTCATCTTGTAGTTGAGACACAGCTTGACGTTTCCATTTTAACCACAGAAAACCAATAATAACACTAATTACAGTTTCTATGTAATATCCATCAATGTTTGTTATGCATTTACCACCCAGATCAGAACACATCTACATAATAAGTGAAATAAAATTTTCTGAGATAAAAAACAACTGGACAAGCCTTGCTTTTCAATGTAACTCATTAAACTTAATACTGTACCTTTTCACCAATTTTTGAGCTACAGTTAATAGAACTATCATTTTTGCCAACACAGGATTTCCAAGTTAAGATATCAACAAACCAAAGAGCAGTTGTGCTTGTCCATACTCCACCAAGATTCGATAAAGTGTTGAGGAGTGTCATGTAGGTCCCACCAACAGTAGGATCACTGACACGTGCAGTGAAAGCCATCATTGAGACAAACATACAGTTTGTTGTAACCTAAGAGTCAATCATAACAGGATTATATTAATTACTTTTGTATGGGCACATTTAACATTGATGTATATTACCTGATGTAGAGCATAAAATAGTACTATGGTAACATAGAAATATAAAGGAAAGTCAACTTGTCCTGGTGCTCTGACGTGATGCGCCCACCAGACACATAGTGCAAACACAATGCCCATTAGCAATCGAAATGGCATTGCAAATAGGGCAACATCCAATGGCCTTGATCCTGAAAAAAATTAAAGAATGAACATAGTTATGTATAAATCAATTGCCCATAAGAAACTATAAAAACTGTAATAATAACCTGAAACATATCGACTTATTATCCAAGGTAATGTAATCTGTAAAGGAATCATTGGTATAGCTAACATTGCAAGTGTCTCTTTGGGAACACCAGCTTCAATAAGTTTTAAACCTGTAGCAGCATCGGTGATAGCAAAGCCTACCTGAAAATAAAAATGTCTTGAGAACCATAGTTTACAAGAAATATAAACTGTTAATAAACCGTTTTACCTTGATGGTAAGAAGTATCACAAAAAGCTTTTGAACATTTGGCAAACAAACTATTTTCCATGCCATCTGATATGCAGCAAACACTCCTTTTTGAAGAGTGGAATCTTTGCTTCTTTTGTCTTTTTCATGTTTAAAAATCCACACAAGAGTTGTCGTAACAAGGAACAACAAACCCCAACAAAACAGGAAGCTTGATGTTTTAATAATACCTGTTTCCTTGGGTACTATTCGAAAATATTTATTTGCAAGATCAGGTGAAGTTAATGCCAAGAAACAAAGATTTCCCATAAAATATCCAGCAGTTTGGCCAACAGAATTGCAGGTTGAAGCATAGCCAACATTTTTATCTGATAACATAGTTAGGGCCCAACCATCAGTTGCAATATCTTGTGTTGCAGCGAGAAAACACAATGAGAAAAATAAAGGTGTCAGCTTATATATATTGATGTCAGCATTTTTATTAACTTGTCCAAGTAAACTGTCAGCAGTCTAAAAAAACATTAATTCACAAACTTAGCAGTACAACACAAAGTTTGACAGAGTGAACTAAAGTCATCCTTACCTGAGATAACAAAATAATAAATAGTCCAATAAGATATTGAGTTGGTATTAACCATGACTTTCTACGACCCACACGTCTTGAAAAGACAGAATCAACTATTGGTGCCCACAGGAGTTTCACGCTAAACGGCCAAAATGCAAAACTAAAAACAGCTTGATCTTTGTATGCTACATGTTTTGTTTGAAGAATCAAGGGTATGCTTCCAGTCAAACCTAATGGCATCCCTTGTAAAACGTATAACAGCAATAAGAGTGCAATACTTCCGCGGTCTGTTTTCATACTTTCTTCTTTCCTTACAACATGATTCTCTTCTAAGCCGTCGGGTTCATCTTCTGGTGATATTATTGCACGCCGTGAAATAGCCATAGTAAAATGAACAGTAATTAACACACTATAGAAATTACGTCAATTCAAATGGTTTAAAAAACTCAACTTTGTTGTAATCAGTTTTTATATTAATTCTAATTTTATTATTTCTTTGTGAAAAAAGTCATACAAGATTTGATTAACAAAATAGTACCAAGCACGACAACTTCGAAATTTGAAAAACGTGTCGAAGTTTTATTGTGGCATGTATAGAATATATTTATCAATCACAGTAATTATGAATAAATTATAATATTTTTCATAATTAAAATGGTTTGCGGATATTATGATAATCTTATTATTTTACACTTTGCAATGGCAAGACTGGTTTTTAAATCATGGTACTAAACTTGACACCAGAAATGAGTATAGAGTCTGCAAAAAGGACTGAAGCAGCTGTTTCCAGAATATAACAAAATGAAGTTTTTTCATGTCTTTGAGGGTTAATTTTCGTGAAGAAATTTTCCATTTTTGCAATATCAGACATGATTTTATTTTAAGAATGATGTACGATTTCATTTGAGGGTCAATTAATCGGTTCAACGTCATGGACTGTTGTACATAGAAATATGCATATAACTGATTAGTAGTCTATTATAGGGTGTATCAAAAAAAGGAAAGCTTTCGAGCTTGTAACAAAGATATGTGCTAGATATGTACATACACATAACCAACAAGACCTGGCATATAATTATAGGCAGTGAAATTATATTATTAATTACAATATGTCTAGGTTTTCTTTTTTCATACACACTCAATGTATATGAACTATGAATTATTATGGACAATTTTGAATGTAAAAGTTGAATAATCGGAGTTACTTGATAACCATGAGATTTATAATTTTAAACTTTTGTCATTAATATGTGATATATACATTGTGTTTTGATTAAATTTCTCAAAAGTGGTTAACTGTTACAACTGTACCGTTTTATGAAGCTATTGATGTTATATCCATTTGTGAAATTGCTTTGGACAACAGTGTGATTTTCCGTGCCATCACAGAATCACCAGATACAATGTTTTCACATGAACTTCTTGCTTTATTTAAGAAAATATCTGCCTAAATGATATTCACATATAATTTTTCACAAGGAAATAAGATAATGTTAGAAACAGAAGAACTCCAGACACCATCTCACCTGTTTAACATCATTAATGATAAAATAAAGCATAACAAGTGTAAGATAAATTTTACACATTATAGAAGCATTTTGTACTGGCTGTTGTTCACGTAATTCTAAAATAGCCTTCAACACCTGCATTGCTTCCGCTTCTCTTGCTTCGCCTGTTTAAGAAACATAAAAAAATAATAATTAAATCAATTTATGCATCAAATGCATTTACATGTTTAAATTTAGTTATTACTAATGCTATCCTGGTTACATCATCATACCAAGAACGTCAACGTCATCAGTGACGTCACTGTTTATTTGTCCAATTATTTCAGTAGTAACCACAGGTTCCTGAGTTCTCTGCTCCACTAACTGACTGAGATAATCATTCCAGATATCAATAACCTAGAGAGAAAGATGGCCCACTGGAACATGTTGTAAATAGTGTTCCTTAAGAACAGAACCACTTTGACAATTACCTTGTTGTAAAGAGAAAATCCCACATCAAGTCTGTTTTGTTGGTAAAAAATGTTAGCCATTTGAAAATATCCTCCTGACGTTTGAATGTCTTCAGTACCATAAGCACATGAAGAATAATAAACCTAGAGATGAAAAGTCATAATGGATACCAAGTCAATAATTGGGAATTGTTGAAAAACAGACAATGCTGTTTTATATATTCACAAATATTCATATTGCATTATTACATCATTTGAAAGGTGACTTAAAGCTTGAAAGTAATTCTTTTTAGCTGCTTCAAGTAATCCAAGGTTTCTGTATAATTTTGATTTCATTTCATCACTGCAATCTGGTGTCTTTATAACTGTCCATTGTGCTTGAGATAAATACTCACTTGCTTGAAATAACTTTTTCAAGCCTTGAAAAGCAAATTTCATTATTTAGTTATATACTGTCAATGTATATTGTCTAACTGAGAAATTTTACCAATACTAGCTTCACCAAGAATAAGATAGGAAGGAACCAACTCAATACTTGACAGCCCATAAACTTGAATGACAAACTTTAATGACGCAAGTGCAGCTGGTATAGCACTTTCATATTTTCCTTCAAACAACAATTTCTGACCAGTTGTACGACATAATTCTATCATTTGTTTCTGAAAGAGTAATATTGGTCATTACATGACATACATGCAGATCTTGCAGAAGATATAAATATGTCATTGCTTGTCACTTGTCAGTATTTACTTTTAAAAAAATTAGTCCAACATTGATTTTTGTTACAGTTGTTGAAAACTTCAAAACCCAGGTTTGCAAGCTTTAATTTTCCACTTCTATCACCAGCTTGCCACATTTACCTGTCTGATAACTCGTTGATTATGACGATGTTGTCGATCTTCTTCTGATCCAATAATTGGTAACGGAGTCCTCAACGGTATCAACAATTGACATATCTTTTCATGAATACCCAGCCAGTCTGCTTTTTGATGTTCTGCAGAACTAATTTAGAGTAGAACGCGTTGAAAATCAAAGGAAAATTTTTAATTTTTAAAATTAAACGCCTCGAGAAAAATACATATGACAAGTCAGTCAAGTCTTACCAATAATAAGTCACCCTACATCGTGTGCATAGTTCAAAAGCTGGTTTCTGACAGAGTTCACAGAGTAATTTTACTCCTTTAGGATTGGCAAGAGGATTCAAAGCCATTCCAGCCAATATTTTTTAAGAAGAAATAGCTTGCTAATCGCTCGCCATGTTTGTATGAACAGTTACTAAGCAACGTGATGCTTGCATAAAGTTGTCGAGAAAATTGGTGGAGAATGAATGAAATATACTTAGGGAAGAGCGAGATGGCTGTGAAAATATGTGGTGATATATGTTTCTAACTTATATTTAAGTCTTTGGACAGTTTTTACAAAATCCCTGGAAAACAATTACAATCGCTTCCTTGGAAGCCAAGTTGGCGCAAAAATTGGAAAATACCACGAAATAAATGTCGGAAGAACAATATGGCTGCCAAAGCAAATGATCAATTGAATTCAGGACGAAAACAATCAGATGGCTAATTTAAATCAAACCGTTTCATTCAAAGAAAACGAAGGCAACGATCCTGCTTGTTTTCTTCCCGAAGGAAGTGAAGCCTTATTTCATTACATCCAGGAAGATTTATTGAATGATTGTGATTCTAATTCTGAGGACGAAGAGTCAAGTGCAGAAGGGTACACCGTAAAAGTATTTTTAAAAGCAGCTGAAAAAGGAAAAATAGATGTCGTTTCGAAGATTTTAGACTCAAACGAAAGTTTTATTAACTGCAAAGATTGCGATGGCTACACAGCCTTACACAGAGCTTCTTATAATGGTCACATTGAAATGGTTAAATTACTTATTTCGCTTAATGCTGATGTAAATAGTGTGACAAACAATATGTGGCAACCACTGCACAGCGCTTGTAGATGGGGTAAGGAAAAAGTGCTTTCATTGATTATATTATTAGGGAAAAGGCATTGAATGTGTATATGTTGGTTGAACAAAGTAAGTCGTACTTTGCTAGTTTAATTTATTTTGTATTTTAATTGTAGATCAAACGGCAGTAGCATATATATTATTGCAAAATGGTGCAGATATCAACGCTCAAACATGTGGAGGACAAACACCGTTACATCTTGCTGTAACATATGCAAGAGGAAACTCTTTATTAGAAGTTCTTTTGCTGAATAAGAAATTGGATGTAAATATTGTCAATTGTCAAAATAAGACAGCTCTTGACCTTGCCAAACCATTAGGTAAAGAGTCTTTATTTGAAGTTGTAGAAGATAGCATAAATGTACAATGGTAATTCTTTAAGTGCTTTAAGCATCAAGTTAAATACAAATGTTGCAATCATAATGAAACTTTACTACAGCAATTATTTTGTTTTCTTCATTCCCAAGACTGATATTTTATTCAGGTGCTCAAACAAGATGTTCTATTTGTAAAGGTTTTCATTCCAGTCTTGATTTAGGTACAAACAGAACGTGCATTCATACTAAGCACACTGGTGTACATTATAGTACCCGGTGCTTCACAGAATGATTCCATTAGTCACCGCACTAAAAATGAGGCAGTGAGGAAGGTTTCCTAGCAAACCTAAATGAATCATGAATAGGTACCCTTAGACTGAATCTGTCCAGGTTAAAGCTGTCTTGAGAAGGACTGTTGGTGTTGACTGACCTTTTGACATTCTTAAAGGTAGTCAACATTCGAATGTGAACATGATTACCACAAAGAATGTCCAAATGTCACTAAATACCAACTCATTCTCAGAACTGTACTAACTAGGATAACCAACATGTACGAACATGTAAATTTGAAATATAATTGGAACAATAAAATCCATTTGCTTTCTCAGCAAAGATGATAATTAAAAAAATCCTTGACTTGGCTATATCTGTATTTTATATTTTTATTTTTTCTTTATACTTATTACATTGAAACAAACTAACTTGGTGTCCCACTCAATGGTATAAGCAGAGTTATTGGTTTGTTACAAAAGTGCATAGATTAACTTTGGTAACACAACAGCTCAGAAAGGGAGATAATTTCAAATGACAAATAATAGCAGTACACATTAAAACATTTAAAATAAAATAATATTTGCCCATATGTTGGGTATTCAAGGTGTTTGATTTAGCTGAGAGAATTTCCAACATCATTCTGATCTCATCCCATCTCTAGGTATCAACTTATAACACAGACAAAACTGTGTTCAATATCGTGCTTCTCATGTGGTAGCCTTTTTAGGAGGAGGTCTATGTGAGGAAAAAAATCAATTAAATAGCCTCAAACATGATGGAATAAATAACTGAAAGATTCGCTTTGAGAAAATCATCAAAAGAACAAAAATAATTCACCCAACATGATACGGATGTATAAAATTGCACTATTACAGTTCTAGCATACCTATAAATACCAACGACAACAGCATGATCTCTTTCATAAGGTTCTAAAGTAAGTTGTTCTTGTGGTTTCATCTTTTCACTTAACATCTTTTTAACTTCCCCCGCAAACACAGCAGCAGGCTCAGCAGTTGAGTCAATACAATTTGCCTGTATAAAAAAATAAGGGAAAATGACACCAACTAAAACCTTACAAATCATCAAATTCAGTTTGAACTATTGGACTTGATTTTGTTAAAAGTCTTTAACTTTTACAATTCCTAAAACCACAATCTGACACATTGAAAGCAATTTCAAAATGTTTGTTAAAAAAGGAATGATCCCTTGGACATTCAGTATTCTAAAGCCAAGCTATGCAACATAAGTATTTACCTTTATGGATATGACAAAGTGTCCTTCATTTTTCAAAAAATGGTGAGCATTAATTGCAACAATTCGAGCTTGATCCGGCTGAGCTACATCAGCAAAAATGGTATCAACCATTCCTGGGAAAAAAACATTGGTTTTATTAATAAGGAAAAAAACAAAACTGGCAAAAATTAAAGAGAACAATAATTACCAACAAGGAGCCTGTATTTATGAGGATGACGAGCATCTTCAATTATAGGGATGACATTTGTTCGCTTTTTGGCAACATTTATTAAGTCTCGCCCTGATCTATGGGAAAATTCCACTGCATATACAAGGCCATCCTTTGAACAAAGAAAGTATAGTATTTATTTTCTTGTTCCATAACTGTGAAATTTGTTAGAACTTGACTATTTCACAAAATAAAATGACGATGGTTAAAAAGATCAAATTTTTAAGGCACATACAGGTCCAACGATATCAGAGACATGAGAGACAGTTGTTCCGGATGCTGCACCAAGATACAAGACTTTACTACCAGGTTTCATATGTATCTTGTCAATTCCACCTAAGATGGCAGCTGCCAGCTTGGAACGAAATGGATTCCATACTCTATATTCAACTTTGTTTCCTTCTGCAACCTTCATAACAAGACATATGTATCATACAAAAACAAAATGCAATATAAAAATTACAACCTTACACCTACATCCACAGATATTTTTTTTTCTCCATAAACAGTTTCGCCAGGAACAATATTCTTGGTAACCAAAGCATCTTCTTTGCCACGAGCAATAAATACACCTAAAAAACCACTGACCATCATCATTCCAACATATAGAAAAAGTAATACTTTCTTATTACACTTTATTAATCTGTAAATTTACATATGTGTTCAACATTTATTCCTGAACTACAAAAACAAATTCAAACCTTCGTGTCTGTGGGGTTCAACAAAAACTCTCGCACCGCCTTTGAAACCACCTGTTAAAAAAATGTTCTACACGGTAAGAGAATAACAAAATAATTTAACTAATACTTTTCAATATCATTAGAATATGAACTAATATAAAAAATATATGGTTTATGTCATTGACTGCAGCATTTCTGTAAACATCTAGAGTTTAAAGCTTCAGTATTGGACATGATTCAAACAAGAGCTTCTTTACAATGATATTAGAAATAAAAAGAAAAGTTTATCACTTATTAATAAGCCAATAATTTGAAAATGACAATAAAATTGTCCATATACTAAACATGACAAAAATTGAGCCTCACCTCTTCCTCCACCACGACCACCACCACGACCACCACCACGTCCTCTACTACCACCTCTACCACCACCTCGTCCACCTCGTCCAGGACTCTTAAAACCACCTGAAAATATGGATGTAAACCATGTAATTAGAAACTATGCCAAGAAAGACATCGGTACAATTTCTGCAAAACTCTCTCAAATAATTATTAGGCTTCAATACTTGTGCTCCAGTATTTTGGTAAAAAAATTGTCAAAACAAATTTAATAATCAAATTATCAGGAATGTAACACAACTTTCACACACAATTTCTGGAAAGCTCAGATTGATAGATGCAAGGAAAATGATGTAAAACGTCACCTCTACCACCACGGCCACCACCTCTACCGCCACCACGTGGAGTACCCGATCCTGAAAGAAAACATTGATTTGATGTTTCTCTATCACAATACTTGACATAATTCACAAAATAAATCAAGAAACTTCGTCCATACCTGGTCTGCCCATCTCGAAATACAGCAACGAATCTTGGCTGATTACAATCTTTTAATACAGATTGCAAAAGATTTATGTTATGACTTTGAAGTGGGTTTTTGCAATTGCGCATGCCTGAAGACAAATATTTCAACAACGCTGTGGTCACGTGGGTAGAGTTCGTTTATGTTATATAAATAGGTACGTTAAGCGTACATAAGAGCACGTACATAAGAGTTCACATGTCACCTGTCTACCTTTATGTCTACATACATTTATGTCAACGATACCTTTTGTCTACCTTTATCTACCTTTATGTCTACCTTTATGTCTACTTTTATGTCTACCTTTATGTCTACCTTTATCTACATTTATGTCTACCTTTATGTCTACCTTTATGTCTACCTATGTGTCTACCTTTATGTCACCTTTATGTCTACCTTTATGTCAACCTTTGTGTCTACCTTTATGTCTACCTTTATGTCTACCTTTGTATCTACCTTTATGTCTACCTTTATGTCTACCTTTATGTCTACCTTTATGTCTACCTTTATGTCAACCTTTATGTCTACCTTTATGTCAACCTTTGTGTCTACCTTTGTGTCTACCTTTTGTCTACCTGTATGTCTACCTTTATGTCTACCTTTATGTCTACCTTTATGTCTACCTTTATGTCAACCTTTGTGTCTACCTTTGTCTACCTTTGTGTCTACCTTTTTGTCTACCTGTATGTCTACCTTTATGTCTACTTTTATATCTACCTTTATGTCAACCTTTGTGTCTACCTTTATGTCTACCTTTCTGTCTACCTTTATGTTTACCTTTTTGACAACTTTTGTACTAACTATGTCTAACTAAATGACTTATTTCCTTGTTCATAAGAGTCGACATTTGGAAAATCAATAATTTCATGAGACCAGATTTAATGTATACTGCGGGCTAATTGAAGTGCATGTAGGATTCTGTCGTATAAAATTTTATTACGAGAGGATGGAAGTAAAAGTTGAATCATAGTGACTTTTTATTTTTACTGCTTTTTTATTTTAATGTTACACAAATATGAAACTAAGGCTTATTTTCCACAACATCACCACATGATAATGAATCCTTTACATGTCTTTAACAACTCTATGCTCAGTGCCATTCTTGACGGACTTGGGGAAATTCCTTTGAGGAGTTCAAGGAGACAGACAGAATTTGAACATTACCAACACAAAAAAACTGCAATGATCACAATATCACAATTGATATTGGGAATGTGTGCTGGTGCAAAAGTCCTGCCAGACCAAGCAAACTTTTCCACGATTATAATTTTATATATAAAAATAAAAATCATAAAAAATCTTATGTTTACAAGAAAATAATTCAACAACCATATATCGTGTATGAAATGGTTTAAATAAATTAACCAAATTATTAATCATAAATATTTTTTTGTATTACATTACTTTAGTGGTTATAACTGAAACAATGGGAAAATTTCTCTTTTGGACGTTGAATAACATAGTTTGCATAGTAAAGAATAAAAGCAACACAACCATACACAAATGTTTCCTTTCTATTCAACTTTAAATCAATCTTCAATTTTCACACATACTCTCTAAAGTAAAAATAACATTCAGAGTGGGGATACGACTAAATGTGATGGTATTTTTATTGAAAATAACAATTATTCTACTTACGAGGAGTCTCTTCTTTCATCATGTTTCTTCTCGTTCAACTCTTTTTCAGCGAGCTTTTTCATATCTCGATCACGATGTTTCTTTATTTGTTTACGATGATTATCTTTGGAGTTTGTACGTGTTGTATCTTGCTGTGAAATACAGTTTTCATTCAATGAATCATCTTCACAGTACAATCCACTCCTGTTTCTCTTCAATTCTCCGCTCATTATTTTTGATTGATCAGAATCCATCAGTTGTCGCCGAGAACGCATGAGAACCTTTTCAGATGCACTCTCGGAGTTCATGGATTCGTTTGGAATATTTTGAAGATCATTTGAACAATCGTCAGGCATGACGTTGTCAATAATGCTTGCATGTCTTGACTTGGACATTAAAGCATCAACAGGAGTGTCAGCCTCGCTTCTAGCACGGCGAAGTGGAGGAGAAGACCTAGGTTCTAGAAGTTGATCATCCATAGATTTTCTCAAGACATCACTGGACTTTTTAGGCAGCACAGGAGAACGCTTTGGTAACTGAGCACGTTTTCGAGAAACATCGGCGCCATTACTTCCATTTCTTGAAACAGGAAGGTTTGTGATCAAAGGAGCTTTAATAGGTGGAGCCTGGTGACTAGATCGTGAACTCTCTGCTCCGTCAAGTGATAAATCTTCATTGTATTGAGCTCCATCAACAAACACATTCTCGTCTGTCTTCGGAAGATTTCTCGGTTTGTTAGAGAGGTTATTCGGATCAGGCAATAGTCTGTTACCGGAAAAGGAACGCGTAATCTTTGATTTATGTCCTTCTTTCATATCTGACGTCATAACAGTAGATTCACTATTCCCAGCATCCATCGATAGTTTACGCTCACTCAATTTTTTTGAACGATCAAGGGAAGAATTTCGTGGTACACGCTTTCGTTCACCATGACTTCGTGCCATTCGCCTTGTATTTCCTTTTACAGAATTGTCTCCTGTTGCCTCACTCAACTTTTGTCCACGTAATACTTTCTGTTTAGCTTTGACATCATTCGTAACGTCACTCGGTGTAACCTCGGAAAGATTTTCGCCTTCGGAAGATAGTGACATATGTATTTGATCCGTATCCACACTCTCCAATAGTTCAAATTCAGAAATGGCTGTTGTTGGTCGAGAGTTGACGTCGAAGGAGGTTTCTTTGAACAGGTTCTTTTCTCCTGTATAAGTGTTCGGTTGTTTGGCTGAAGATGACCGCGATAACCTACCTGAATGAAGAACGTCATCACGTGGAGTCTTATGTGGGTCAGATGTCGACCGCATGATCTTACTGTCGGATCGTTCTCGACGATTAATGACTTCCGGTCTGTTTCTTGTTTTATGTTCGTTGCATGACGAACGCCTAGATAAACTACTAGATTTCTCCGAAAGACCAGCAAGAGAAAGGTTTCCTTCAGAACCAGACAAATGACGACGTAATCTTGGAGATCCTAAAGACGACGATGGATTTTTTACTTCGAGGAAATCAGGTGAATTTTTTGTGGAATTTCTTTTGTGTTTTGGAGATTGAATGGGTGTCGATTGGAGATCAGCATCATCAGACGTTAGGACTCTGGAGCCATCATTGTGAAGAACAGCTTGAAACAAAGCCTATAGTGATAAAAATATAACATACTAAAACAAACCACGAGTTGTTTACAATAATAGTTTAAAATCAGCTCACATACGACACCTTTCTAATTTTTTCTGTTTTTAAATTCTATTTTTCTACGAATAGCAGAATTTTACCTATTCTTACAATGTTCAGTAAAATGCAAGCGTTTTCTTAACTCATTCATTTCAATGTTTTGTTTTTGGGTCATAATTATACCTTTGCTTTCTCTATTTTTTCCGTCCATTTTGTTAGTGCGTCAGAAGAAGGTGCTTGAAGTACATAAGCAGTAACCATGATGTAATATTCGTTTAAATAAACCATTAAAAACATGCCAGGATCTTTCAAAGGATGTATGCGCACTTTGTCTACACGCATGGGCTATGTATAAAGAAAACAAATTTGATGTTAGGAAGATGAATCTTCATATGAATCATCAAAGGTGGTAGAGCAACTTTTGTTACACGACTACAGTTTTTTGTAGCTACTTATTTTCACTTCTGTGTATATTTTCATAAAAAAAAATGTGCCAAATGATCTTAGTAGCACAATAATTAATAAACAATTTAGATAAACGACAATATATATACGTGATTGTAAATGTAGATCGTCCAGGTTGGTACATGGACGATCATGTTTACAAACATGTAACGATACCGGGTTCAAACCATTTACTTTATACATACGTGTGTATAGTGCTTCTTTGAGAGTGAATGCAAAAGCACGGTGAACAAAAATGACTTACGGTTTAAGTCGAAACATGTATGTGACTAAAAATTTTAAACTGAAAAATAATGTCGTTTAATCAAAAATTTTTATAAATCATCCCAAACATGGCAAACTTTGTGTAGCAATGCACAACTTTATGAATCCATGGAACGTCAAAAAATATTACCGGTTTCACAATCTTGAACTTTTCCGTTTTTTTCCCTTTTGTTAAGAGAATTATGTCGGTGAAGAGAAATATATGAAGATCCATCTACATGAAGCAAGATAAACGCAATTATATATAAATATATAAATAAGACATTTTTCATGTTGTATACTTAGTTCAAAAGACATACCCGTCCTTGTTTGTCGTACAATCTTAAAGGTCCATGATATAACAAACATCTATGTTGATCAACTGATGCACCAGGCATTACTCGCAACAAATCAAAGTCACAATAATTATCAACAAGAAGCTATGGAACAAAAAATTGAAACTCATTATATGAACATTTTAATCTAGTCATAGGCTTTCGTTTTGATGGATAATCTTTGTAGTTCTACTGACCTTTTCAACTTCGTCAGTGACAGGATCAACAGGCCAATAACTTTCAATTTTTAGTGAAGTTTTACTTAAAATCTCTTTTTCCTGTCGAACTTTCATACTACTATCAACTTTACTAACAAACTTTTGTACCGTTAAAATCTATATCCAATATAAAAGTTGAAAAAATAGTAAGTAAACAAATGATTTATAGCCACCTTTCACGCATGATCTCTTACCATTGTTGATATTTCCTTTCGTTTTTCTTCATCCGAAGTTTTCTTTAATATTGCTTTCAACAATAATGGGTATTTTGTCAATCTTTGCATTGGTTTAACAAGAAGATCACTGAGTTTTAAACGTTTACATTCTGGTCTGCTCTCGCACCACTAAAAAAGTTAAACAGAATATGAGTATATGAAACAGAGACTTTGCAGTGGTAACAAATCTAAACATTGCCTTGAACAGCGAAATTGCCGGGGTGAATGAACAAAATAGAGTTCCCAAGGGTTCTGAAACCCAAGGCAAAACGAAGAAAAACCCAAAATTACTGAAAACAACTGTTTTAGACGCTATGGACTTTCAGCAGAAAACTAATCGGGTGTAAACGTCTGCTGCCAGATAAGAATGAATGAAATTGTATTTATAAAACTTTTTATCATGACGATTTATCCAGTGGGAGATGTAGTAATTATCTCTTCTATCATCTAGCAGACGTTGTCATGTTGTCTGCCTTAATACATAGTGTCCAAAAAAGTTCTTCTCAGAACTATTGGAAAATCTATTTTTTCATCATTAAAAATAACAAATAAGAATACAGGGTTTATTCTACCTCAACATAAAGTCTAAAATATTCGTCTTGCGACTGTTTTTGTTTGAAATATTTGGTACAGCTCGATTCCTCCATACAATACTTAAGATAAGGCTCGAATTGACTGTCAAACTATACATGGTAAATATAAAAATGTTGTAAATAACATTACTTTAAAATCGACCAACTTAATATTACATCATTATCGAAATGAAGGAAAAAAGATCCTTCGATGAAATTTTTACCGTGGCAAAACCATCTGCCATGTCGAGTGAATTCAATAACTGTTTTGTATGTCTTGCCTAAACTCAAATGATAATATCGTATTTTGAAATATAAATATGCTTTTGGCTCTAGCTTTACATCACAAATATATACTGACCATATTTATGACTGGTTTCAACGAATTCAACCAAAACGACACATTTACAGCATAAATCTCTTCGACATTACTGAATAAGTTTGTGAGATCAATCTAAATGGAAGAGAGCAAGGATGTGACTTTCTTGTAGGTAATTTAATGTTCATTGCATATAGCTGTACCTCATTTAGATAACCTTCATTTTGGATGTTCCGCAGGCATAAAATAAATATCTACAGAGATTAAATTAAAAAGTAACTAGTTGTTGCAAAATGGACAGAAATAACTCATCCAATGTTGCCAAAATGTTTTACTAGCCTTTTTGATAACCTGAAGTTTGTTAATATAGGCAATCTCAGTGGTTAGTAGCTCCCAAATTGCTTCTTGTTGATCACGAACATTTTTACTCAGATTCTAAAGTCATCAAGTCAAAATACACGGGTCATCGTTTAAAACTATCATTGCATTCACAAAAGAATACTTCGCTTAGGCTACCTCATAGTTTTCAACGATATCACTCCAAGAATTTTCCTAAACCAGAAATGAAATAAATAAAAATCTCAAATTGCAAACTGATGAAGAATAATTTTAAATGCTTTCCATATCAATGTTAAGAGAGTTCGTACAAAAAAGTTAACGGCATACCATATAAAACTGTTGTTGGTTTGAGTTGTTAGCTTTTGAATCATTCTCCAAACCATTTTCAGAGTAATATTGTAATAAGCGAGGTAGAACTTGTTCAATCTTTTAACGAAAAGAAGAAAAAAACAGTATAGATACCATCAAAAGATATGAATTCTCATTAAGATCGTTTTTATAAGATCTTAAAAAAAAGAGTAAAATTTCAACTTACTTTCCCTTTAAGTATAGTTGGATTGCCAGCAAATGTTCCTGTAGGTTTTCTTTTTTGGAATACTGTTGAATTACTGCTGTTTGTTGCGTTCATATCATTATCCATTATGAATTTTTTACCTTGTTTCTAAAGATATTCATGAAGAAATTAATTACACAGTTTATTTCGTGCGACAATCCAACATTTAGGTATATAGACGAATAATTATAAAATCTCCAGAAACCTCTACATCTTTTTCGTCTTGTTTCAGCGTTGCGTCTTCTTTTTTCTTACCAAATGATGGAGTTCTTGAAACAGGATTTTCAGGCGCATTTCGTAATTCAAACTTTTGAGAAATATCTTTTACTCTTTTGTCAACATTTGAGTGATCTAGGGTTAAAACAAAGTTTTTAAATTACAAATACCTGTGCACAAAAACAAGACGTTAACACGTTTTTCAAAACATTTACCGCGGACGTGAAGGATACTGCCACTGAGAGGAAACGTTTCAAAAGCAAGAGGCAGAGGTGTGTTTGAAGAATCAAGAAATAATGAATGACTATCAAATGTGATGTTGTATTTTTCCAGAATTGGCTCCAGTGAATCCCTAATAAATAAAACTCTTCTTAAATAAATATTTCAAAGAAAAAAAGTTGCAATAATGTTAAGCATTTTTTACTTTAGAGTTTTTCCTTTCAATGCAGGTATAAGTTCAAGGTCAAAATCCTCGGATATTCCAGAATATATCTTAATTCTTATACACTCACGAGCAGGATCCTACAACCAGAAAGAAAATTTAAAACATTGGATTGTACGGCTTTGGTTAATGACGAGTTCAACATCATACATCGGTGTTGTGTCTTCGTGGTTTCTTCTGCTTGTCATTTGGAAGCTTGAATTTTCTTCGAGTTGAATGAACTTTACCTTGCTTAGACTTTTCTCTGCATGGGACATAAAATCACATCTTTATTTTTTAAACTTAACACATACAACAATGAAAACGAAAATGAAGCACCCACACTGGAAGAATGTCGTCTTCAGCACCAGAATCAGATTCAGCAATTTTACTTGCAGACATTTTTTCTGAGGTCACGTTTCCTGACATTTAATGAACAATTAGCACAAAGTAATACTTAAGTAATGGATCGTAAAACATACGTTGTCTAAGAAATTGATAAAATGTCTCAAATTCATGCATGGTTCTTGAAAGATTCCACACGAAACACACTACACAGTCTGAACAAAGTAAGTGTGGCTGAAAATTGTTTAATTTCTGACTGTCTTTGTCATGATAAAACCTGATAAAAAAAATAGTCAACCTCACAAGACGTCGTCGTACGAGTCATAAACATAGGCTGTGACGAAACAATGACAATATGGAAACGTAATCCTTATAAAGAAAATCCACATAAATATTGGTATCAAAAATTAAATACCTTCTAAAACATTAAGTGTTTTGAAATATACATTAAGTTATACTAAGTCACTCACCTTTGAATCAAAGTTTTTGCAATAAAATTTTTATATAAGCATCCTTGGCTTAAGAGTAAGTCTGCAACATAAAATACAATTCCTGGTTTTACCAAAAATTAAAAAAGTTTATTTTTCAAAACAAATCCAGTGTAAAAGGACACTTTAAGAAACACACAAGCTCAGTCGTATGAAATCACTGACCTCAATCAAACATATGATAAGGGGAACATGAAGATACAAGACATCCATGTGACATTAAAAAAACAACTCATGTAGGTATCAATTCTCATGACTTTCATTAAAGATTATGATTTAATAAAATGATGAATGCTAATTTCACATCAATTACTATACAATTTTGTTTAAAATGAAACTTAGTGAATACAATATTAAATAAAAACAAAGACAAAGTTTTTGATACCATAATGCATTGATAATTTTGTGCTGAAACTTGACACTTGCTTAATCAGCCAGTAGTTTTAACCAAAGGATAGATATTTACTGTTTAGGCTTGCCAAAATAACAAATTTGATATTGAATTTCTATATGCAAGACTACTTAAAATCAGATATTACCAGTGTTGCACAATTTACGACATATTTTATAAAATAATTTGCATACGAGTTCAATAAACGTAGATTTTTCACTTAGAGGTGACAAAATAAATAAAGGATAATTATGCCATCGTATTCTCATACTTTACACTAACGTCAAGCGAAAAACTTTAAGATAATCAAGTCGATCATGAATATTTTGACGTGCGTTTTAATAAATATTTGCAGTGCATAGCCATGTTTAGAAAATTAATGTATAGCAAACGGCTGCACGAACGCCGACCATGAACCTTATTTGTTTTTTGTCACGTTAATGAACATTTCATATTAGTACAACTTTTTTTAAATTGATAATCATTGGTTTGTCGATTACATTTTGAAGCCTGGCAGTTCCTAAATTCTTAGTGTTATTTGCAAACTTGACCGTAGAAATATAATAATTTTGCGTTGCGATGCATCACAATAGAAGTCCTGACTGTCATGTGTCTAGTAACTTTAGAATGTTTCTAATTATAGATTTTCCTTACAGATATAAACACAATAGATCATCAAGTTTAACGAAAGCTTTTATTTAAAAAGAATGTTGTGTTCACTACGATAAGGGCCAACACATAAAATGTTTGGTTAAACGTGTTTTGCGGAAATCGTTTCTTTCAAGGCTCCAAGTGCAGATACTTAAAGATGATATTATTCTCAAAGGATTAATGAGGCGTTTTAAAGTTCAAAATCCGGCGAAAATGTCGCAAATGACAATTAATAAATTGAAAATAATTTAGTTTATTGATATATTAAAGAAAATGTGGCAGAAAGGCGAAAAATTACAAAATGAAATCAAATGAGAAATCTTGTTTATGTTTCATATCGTATGCTCGTGTTTAATAAACACAGTCATGAAGACACGGGATGAAGGAACGTGACATATAACAAAATCAGAATTATACACCGCGTGCTAGAAACAGCACGTCCTTGTGGAAAAGCGAAACGACATAAATCGTAAATGTCAGTTTAAAGCATTTTCCCTAATTTTGCGAGTGTTTACAATACGTAGTTTCATAACCTTAAAACTTAGAACAGGGGCTAGGATGCAGTAGTTAATTCCGAATATTTATTTACAAATAACCAAATCTTCGCAGGTAACCACAAAGAAATTAGTATAATAGTTTATTTGTTGAAGTAAAGAGCGCTGTAAAATTTGGTTAAAGTAAATAATACATGACACTTCATACCTACCTTCATTGGATATTTGCATTTACAAAACAGGCATATTTTACACAATGTCCATCGACGCCACAAATTAACTTCCTCAAATATAATTGTCAGCTATAAATGCTTCTTGTTTAAAAGATATTTGTTCCAACTTTCATCAAGAGTTCTATCATACGGAAACAATGACCGGTTATCCCAAACGCGGACTAAGACGACACGATGGCTTGGCAAACACAAATTGCAACGATTCTTCTTTACAAACGTTTTACGTGGAAAGCAAATCTTGTCATTCCTAAAATAAGATGAAACTTTGGCCTCTAACCATTGAAAGTTTCTTTTAGGTAAATATTGTCGCTATATTTCTATTGCTTTCGGAACGTTAAATGATAGATTCCTTATGGGACAGTCTTAACTATAACTTAATTTACATATCATTTACATGTAAAGATATTCACCAATCAAAAGTCACTAATGTGATGTTAAACACACATGCGTGGGATTATATGCAAACATTGCAACTATTGCGAGACAATTTACAGGTTTTGAAACATCTTCAAACCATAAAAAGTTTCATAGTCAATCATCTGTATTGCAGATTTAAGATGATCTTACTGTTGGAAATGTTATTTTCAGCAAGAGAATTATCCACAAACTCTAATACTTCGTTACTTTCTCAGTGGCAGTCTGGTGAGCCTCACAGCCCTCACACCTCACTCATGTGAGATGGTATAAAAACGTGAGCATAAAAAGCATTTTAATAGAATAAAATTACAATTGCTTGACTTACTTTTGATTTGTTGGTTGGTTCTATGTGTTGTAAATAAAACATATAATTAGTGTAGTTCACTTCATTGGTTCCAGAAAAAGTTGCAGGAAATGGCTATAAAGAAATCCTGCGTACCCTCAGGTGACCATACACCTTCAACACATGATTCAAAAACATTGATTTTGTGAAGGTTAACCATGGGGACTAATTACTCTTAAATTACATTCACCATTAACTTATTTTACTGCAAAATTTTGTTTTGTACACATTCAATATTTACACTTTATCGTATGCTTCACTACAACAAGATAATGCACATTTGTATCCAGTGGGATTCCTTATAAGGAACTATGTTGACGTAGAAATCAATTCAACTCGTTCAAAATCATTCAGTTGTTTTCAAAACTACTTCCAAATCTTAATCACGCCATCACGGCTGGCGGAGACGAGCAAATGTTGTGGAGTTGTGACGAATGCTAAATCTGTGATGCAATCATGATGGCCGGTTGGAGGTTTATCTGGAGCACGTTTTGGCATGTCATCTTGTACGACGACCTGGCTTGATTTGCAATACATTTCTCTTAAAACTTTAGTGCCATCAATAAGACGTGAGCTGACAAAAAATTATTATACCAACATAAAAAAACATGCCACTGGTAAATTAGGGGTATATGCTACACAATCAACTCTAAAACCATAAAGAAATCTTTGCCATCCTGTATTGAGCGAAGAGATGATAATCTTATATCTATAACTGTTGACGTGCACGTTATCAAAACAAAAGAAGTATTTTGTAGGAAAATCGCGTGATCACCTGTATCTCAAGACGACATCGTTGAGATTGTCAGAAGACGATCCCGCTATAAGGCATGACTCGTTAGGTGATTGAAGATCCCAAAGACGAATTCGTCTATCTGAACCACCAGTTAAAATAAACTGACCGATGTCTGGATTACTTGTATAAATACCATAGACCGAATGTTGGGACACCTAAATATATTAAAGAACAGAAGTCATTGGGACTAAGCATACAACGGATAATGGAAATATTTAAATACCAAGACACCTGTGTTTGTGATAGTGGAGGAGCATTACTTGCCCATAGAGCTTTCTCGCATGCTCCAGTCTCTAAGTTCCACATAGAGACCTCATTATTGCCATCAAATGAACAAGTCACACAAGATGGTTTTGAGTTTAACAATGGTGCTGCAGATAATCTTCGAACTCTGGCACCTACTCATAATAAAAATATTTTACATTACATAATTATCGTGTTTTCATATGAAATAGAATTGTGTGTAACATATACCTCTAGGATGGGTTACTCTAGCAACAGGTAATTGAAATCTCAAATCCCAACAAATAATCTCTCCGTGACTTGTGCCAACAGTAAGCCAACATTGAGATGGATGGACAAAAAATGATGTGATCAATCCTATATATACACATCAAACAATAAAAAATCGTTTAAAAATCCAGCTGTTCTTATATACTATGAATTTGTAATGAAATAACCAAAAAAACACAAAAAGCGTGAATTTGAAAGAAGATTATTTGAATAGAAAAATCGCGGACGAAAGAATCACTCAAGTTTTATATAAACTCATCTTGTCAATATATCTTTTGATATCATGTAGTCAATAAATCTTCGGACCAATAAATCATGTCGTCAATTTATCCTGAATTCACAAAACTATTATTTACCAAAAGCAGGATCATTCTGTAATTTCCATATTGTCGAAGATACACGGACGTCCCAGCCATATATCAAACCTCGTACGGTAGCATATGACAACACTGAATGAGAAGCTAAAACGAACAATATAAAATCAAAATTTGTCACCAGAGATTTGCCAGTTGAAAAGCAGATTCTCATTATGAACATAATAGTCCAACATAAGACTTTTAGAAAAGCCATCACGACAATAAATCAGAAGTAAAAAGAAAAGGTTTTTCAATAATGACGTTTCGTCTTTAACTTAAAACATCTTCGATGATTTTAATGACTACTCAATTCTCTCTTCTTCCTCCGACAATTATATGACCTTATGATTCATGAAATTCTTCTCATATCTAAGCTTAAACCCTCTCTTAACACACAAGGCAACTCAATTCCCCTTTCACCTTCTCTAATACAGTACCCTTTCCATTCTGTCATCTAAACTCCCTGCTCTCCTCTTATGTCATTTAACACCTTGTAAATGTATGCTTATATTTAAAGCCTCTTGTAAAAATTTCTGTCATTGAATTATGAAGATGCGTTAAAGACGAAACGTCATTATTAAAAAACCTTTTATCTTTAATACTGATTTACTGTAGTGATGGCTTTTTGAAAGTCTTATGTTGGGCTAGTATGTTCATAATAAAATCAACAACATGTTGTTTGTACAAAAGCTGCTTAAGTAACGAGGAGGAAAAGTCCAAATAAAAGCTACTTTTGAATAACAAAACTTTACCGGTGTAAAAATGATGCATGTCAACAAGGTCCCCGCCCTGTGCTGTATCCAATCTTGTGCTGAGTTTTACGACAGGTTTATACATGGGACATTGTGTCATTTGTGTAGGAGTTGGTGTCACCTCTGGACTGAGGAGAAAGAATATAAATATACGTAATCACGTAGATACAAGATAACAACTCACAAACCAAGGATAGTACAAAAGTTTTCCAACTAACACTCCTTTTTTGAGTTGCTATTTTATTTTTTCTATATTTACTTTATTTCTTCATTAAATGCGATTTAATTCTGACTCCTGTATGTAAACGAGAGCATAACTTGACTTCATAGTTATCATTGTTTCCCTTACTTGATAATGTAAACATCTCCTTTGTCACTAGCACAAGCCAGATGTTGTTCTTTCTGAAGAAAAACAATCCCTCGTACCTTACCACCTTGAAAGAAAAAATTACCATAACTTTTCTGTAAATTTCTATTTCAACCGTTGAAGATTTTTTATAATAATGAGGGAAGTGGGGTAGAACAAGTCCTTAACGAGGGAGGTGGGGGAGAAGAATTCCTTTACCATGGAGATTGGGGAGAAGAATTCCTTTTCCATGGAGGTGGGGGAGAAGAATTCCATTACCATGGAAGTGGGGAGAAGAATTCCTTTACCATGGAGGTGGGGGAGAAGAATTCCATTAGGAAGGAGGTGGGGAGAATTCCCATGGAGGTGGGGGAGAAGAATTCCATTAGGAAGGAGGTGGGGAGACCATGGAGGTGGGGGAGAAGAATTCCATTACCATGGAGGTGGGGAGAAGAACCATGGAGGTGGGGAGAAGAATTCCATTAGGAAGGAGATGGGGAGAATTCACCATGGAGGTGGGGAGAATTTCTTTACCATGGAGGTGGGGGAGAAGAATCCCATTAGGAAGGAGGTGGGGAAGAATTCTTTACCATGGAGGTGGGGGAGAAGAATTCCATTACCATGGAGGTGGGGAGAAGAATTCCATTAGGAGGGAGGGAGATTTTCTGTAGGACAAGTAAAATTCCATCAATAAACTTACGTGTGGTTGTATCGGCATGTTGGAGTTGAAACGTAAAGCAAGATTTTACAATCATGCCGTGTTTTTCAACACGCTGTGTATCCCATAGTTTCATTGTTCCGTCATTAGATATAGATGCAAAGAGAGATGTGTTTGGACAAACTTGTAGCCTATGAACATACAATAAAAATCAATAAAAATATGATATCAAACCAACCAATATACAAAATATTTTATCATTTACAACACTCACTTTGTAACCGCGCTTTTATGTTCGTGTAAATGAATGATTAAATTTCCCTTTGGACGCCTTTAGGTAAAAATAATATCAATAAATATTTGTAGGAGTGGCTATTTAAACAAAATGAAGATCCACCTAATTTGTCCTTTGTTATTTGAGTAAAGAGCCTCGTTGATAAGCAGTCTTGTTTCTAACTCTAAGAAAGTACGTTTAAAATAAAAAGAAATGAAAAGTTATGTAGACTTCCTCCGTCAAACCCTTTTTATTTCTCAAGTCCGTAAAGACATTCAGCAAATGTAAACACTACCTTCAGAATATTGCTCTCGTTTGTATTTCACTAAATCATAAAGAGATTTCTTGAATGTTTCTGCCTTGGAGCTGCATGATGATGTCGGAGAAACGGGGGAAATGGTGACGTCATCCATAGCGCGAATGGAGTAAGTACGTTGTTTTGTTTTGGTCGTCTTCATTTGCAACCGAAACGAAGAGTATTAAATATATATCAAAAGGCATATACTTCATGTAAAAGATCTAATTTTTTTTTGAATCACTGTTGCAAGCAACAAAAATATCATATTAAACCTGTGGCATTGAAGCAGATCTTGTGAGAGGTTTCTTTTCATTAACAACATCAGCCATTGGTAAATTCCTAGAGTTGCCTTTCTCGTTCATGTTTCCAAATATTTGATTCCATTCAGCGTTCTTTATGATAAAAAAAATCAAAAAAAAGAACACACTCAACGTTAAATGCTCAAAATCATGGAAATAAAATTAGTTTAAGAGTAAGAAAACGTAGATAATGACCATAGGTGACTGATATTCACGCTTTGATTTTTTTACACTCTTCGATGTAGTTGCAACCACGTCCTGTTTCTGTTCTGATTTAACAAGAAGATCGGCATGCTGCCTTTCAACTTTAGTACCAAATTGTTTTAAATCGATAACCCCTGGATGGCGAGTAACCTTTTTGTTGACTCCTTTGTCGGATAAAGTGATGAAGCTAGAAGACAGTTAAATAAACCAATTATAAATAAGTATATTAATCAATCACATAAAACCGGGAATGATAAGCTGAAACAAATCTTACTTTATTTTTGAGTTGTGTAATTTTAAAATGACTGTCTTCAACAGTATTAAAGTATCTTCTTGTTCATCGTTCATTCCCTGGGCTATGAGTTTACGGAACATATGAGACAATACATCATTTTCAATTTTTGGATATTCCACTTTGACATGTGCCTTGTTTTGACGTCTCAAAACCTGACGTTCATGTAGGCTAAAAACATAAACAAATAGCGAGATTTTAGTACTGTTTCTATAGTCACAGTCGACAATGTTTTTCTTCATTTCCACGAAAATTTATTTTTTTATTTTCAAGGCGAAATTTTACCAATCATAGAAGGCTTTCACGTTCTCAGACCGTACGATGAAATCAAACACAGAACGCGACAATGGCTCTTTAAGAACACTTATTAGCAAAACATCTTGGTCTGCGTGAACAATTTTTTCTTTGAAGTACGGCTGTAGCAACGGTAAAAATTTACAATGAACATCAACTGCACTGAGTGTTTTTGCAACAGCAGTGACAAAACCAACAGCCCCATAACGAATCCATATATTCTACAAAAAAGTTTACACATTACTGCAAAATTCTAGATAATTATTTGACTGTGTATCGTAGACTAACCGGATGAGAAAGAAATACAATAATATCTGAGGTGAAGTCGTACAGTGTTGATTTCTGCAACAAGCCAAGCTCACCAAGATAAGTCAACGCGTTTAACGATTTACATATAACAAACTCTTCATTATCGGTCAAACCCTGAAAAAAGAAGATGAGCACATTGATTTTGTAATATTCATGAAGACGTGTCTATATAAGAGCATACTTGTTGTAAGAGCGGTTTTAACATGGCTAAACTCTGCCAACCAACATATGACGCAACACCAACAATGCTGTCAAAAAAAGACGCCCTCAAGTGCCAATCCTTTTTATCGTTGAGAAAGGTGATCATGTGAGACAAAAGGACATCATTTGCTTTCTGTCGTCCGAAAAACACACAGAGTCGTGTAATGCCTTTCTCTAGTAAAGTTTGTTTCACTATATTCTCAGAGTCACTGAGCAGTTTTACAACTTTTGTCTGAATTACTTCATGCAATTGTTGCAGCTCGGCATCGTAACTTCCCTTTAGAAGGAAAGAAAGTTAATCAAAATTGTAAACATTCACCAAAAACTCAAAAGCTCCATCTACAGGCTAGAAATTTACTTTTACCTGATATCTCGAAGTCTGTTCCTGACCTTCTTCTTCGCTAACCGTATTGTTATACCTTAGCTGTGCCATTTCCAGAAAATTCAACGCAATTTCAGCAATAGAAGCTATGTTCTCAGCGTATGCTATACGAACTATTACTTCCTCATCGTCCGGTAAGTTCATCAATGCAGGAAGAATATACTCAGGGAATATGTTCCCTTCATCTGGTGGTAGGATTTCAACGAGCTGTAATATCTGAGTTAAAGTCCAAATTGCGCGTGCTCTAACACGTGCAGCACTATCTCCGATAAGATACAATACATAAGGCACAACTCTTTCTATGATCAATTCATCATTGGAATTTTCAGCCAATTGCAGTAACAACTCTAAACATTTCAGCTTGGAATGACAATGCTGAAATACAAAGAAACCTCGTCAAGATTTGTCAAAACAATATTGCTAACAATGCACAGTTGAATACAAATTGTAGATATGTCAAAACATTGCAAAAATATGTAAAGTTCATGAATAACTGTTTAGCAATTTAAGCTCTAAAATCATCCAACCCACAAGTCCACAAAAATAAATATGTTACTTACATGACAGTTTCTAACACTGGATGTAATCAACGAAATTATCAATACAAGAGTACCTACGTAGCACAAGATACATAAAAGAAATTGTTAAAAAACATTAAAAAATGTTAGCTACAAATCTTTAACAAAACAAACCATTTTCCTTGATAAGATTTTCCTTTTTACCAGCCAGCTCTTTCAAGATAACAGAAATACAATCTGCAATTCTAAATTACACGTATATTAAACAATTATGATTTAACGAATGAATTGAGTTTAGTTTATATCAAATACCATGTTTGTCAGGTTAGTGGAGTCCTCAGAAGGAATGTTTGTGTGGATGTTGATTGTAATTTTCAGAGTCACGCGACTCTGACGAAATGTTGATGAAAAGTGCTAAGGTTTTCAAGAACTCAACTAACCTGGACGATCTACATCGACAAACATGAAGCAATACACCAGGATTCAAAGCATTCCCTACAAGCTATGTAATACCTGACAACTTTTTCATCTGGAGTAAGTACGGGTACTGAAGCAAAACGAACCATAAACGCACGAAGGAAAGTAAAAAATTCTTCAGGGAATAATGATCCTGTGACAGTTTTCAAAACATAATGATGTTGAAGCATAATTTTAACAAAGACCAAAGAAAATATCTTAGTAAACATTCACCTCTGTATCTCTCTAGATATTCAAATGCTTCACCACGTTTCTCTGGATCTTTTGATATCATCTCACTGATCAATTCCTTCAACAAACAACTATAAACTTGAATTCTACTTTCTATTACATATTTTTGTTAATTATATATATTTTAAAGGTCAAAAAACAAAGCTTATTAACATAAGCAACAATGAAATCATTCTATATTTACCTTTACATGAACATCATCAATTTTTTCCAAAGACAGCAAAGGATCATAATCATTACTACGATACGCAAGCAGTTTTGAAAGATCAAACAAAGGAATACCTTCACTAAACAATTCTGTGATCACACAACTGTAACACAAAAATATATGAAAGTCATCATAAAAAATATTTATATTATATGATTGGACACCAACCCCAATGAGAAAATATCCATTTTTGAAGTTAACTCTGAAACATGATCTTTCATTAAACCCAAGTCCATTGAATCTGGAAGTTCTGTGCTAGCAGTATTAATGACCTCAGCAGTTTTAGTGTCTATAAATCTCTCTGGTGCAAGGTAACATGTTCGTCTCCGTGACGTATCAAAGAAATAGGAAAAGTCTGCGGGATTATTTTTTTGTAGGAATGTAGGTTTGAATGAAGCAAAATCAGTAAGAAGAACTGATGTCCAACTAGTTACCATAATATTTTCTGTTTTAATGTCACCATGAAAAATCTACAAAGAGAAGATGAAGAATACTTTTAATTGCTTCATATAATGAACAAAAATAATAAATTTTCACATGTCATAATTACATCATTTTGATGACATTGCACTAGAGAACACAACAGCTGAAACACAATCCATTTTTTTTCAAGAGCATTTAGGAATGGTCTTGTACTAAAACATAACAAAATATAATATTTAAAGAAAGTTACAGCTTATCCACTGAAAGGTCATATAGTAAGTTTAATACTTTAATTTAGTACATTATACCATTATAATATCCTGACAGGCATTATTATCATTTCTAGTCATTAAATTATTACCTTATTCTATCATAAAGGTTATCCTTCATATATTGCCTAACCAAGATGCCAGCCTTCTCTGTAATGATGATTCTTTCAAAAGGCAAAACATATTGGACTGTTTGAAGTTTGTCTGAAATTTCCTTGATGTGTTTGTAGTATGTCTGTAAGGGTAATGATGGATCCTGGATAGCAAATACCTTCACAACACATAAACCTTCCCTAACAAGAATTAAAAAATTTTATGATTATCAAAATCAAAATAAACTGAAGGAACTATAAATATTAAATATACTTATGTTTTGCTCTTGCAACTTTGAAGAATCTTGTGCTACCTAAGCTTTAACAAATAATTAAAATGAAAAGTTGAATTTGATCATGATTTTAAAATCTACAAGAACATTTTTCTTCATTACACACATACATTATACATACAAAACATATAAAATTGTGACATATTTTCAGATATTATTCAATTTTCCAATCTACATTCATTCCATATAGCATACATCAAAGAAATTAGTCCTGGATTTACAAATCTGTAATACATTTTATAATAAATATTGGTATATCTGCTCCATACATTTTACTTCGATTGCCCCACATTGATGTAAGAACGTTCAAGTCTTTTGCAGTTTTTAGTTTAAAACAACAGTGATAAGTTAAGTACATTTCAGTTTATGTTTGCAAACAGATTTCCAAAAAGTTTTTTGAACAAAATCTCAGATTTTAGACTCATTTTCAACAGTATAAATATATTAATGTGGAACAATTACATTTCAGTAATCCAGTTTGTTTTGTTAAATTGGAGGTTACATAATGAGACAAATGTAATGATTCAAAATACCTTATATCATATTCATAATCACGTAAATCACTGAAATAATGATCTACACTCAGGATTTGGGAAGGTGCAATACTTGATAATTGATTTCCCATCTTACATCTTCTTCCTGATGATAAAGTTACTTTTTTTACTCGACATTTTGTTGGCCGTGCTTCCACTTTGCCCTAGAAAAATTTATCCTTTTTTCACAGATTTTCTTTCTCTGTAACGGCAAATTCCTTTTATGATGTAACAATTACATACCTACAGTTAAATTATGTATCAACTCTGGCTGAAACCATATTGGTGTTACCTTTCTTATGGTACAATGTTAGCCTAACCACAGTTGTCGACATTGTTGGTTATAATGGTTAATCTTCGTATGTAATGTCAGCCTAACAACGTATGTAACGCAAGCTTGACAAAGTTGTCTACTTTGTTACAACCATGGCTATGATGGTTGCAACCATAGCTTTGATGGTTACAACCATGGCTTTGATGGTTGCAACCATAGCTATGATGGTTGCAACAATAGCTTTGATGGTTACAACCATGGCTTTGATGGTTACAACCATGGCTTTGATGGTTACAACCATAGCTTTGATGGTTACAACAATAGCTTTGATGGTTACAACCATGGCTATGATGGTTACAACCATAGCTTTGATGGTTACAACAATAGCTTTGATGGTTACAACCATGGCTTTGATGGTTACAACCATAGCTATGATGGTTGCAACCATAGCTTTGATGGTTACAACCATGGCTATGATGGTTACAACCATAGCTTTGATGGTTACAACCACAGCTATGATGGTTACAACATTAGCTATTATGGTTACTCCTCGTTTGTAAAGAGAGCCTTCGTTGATAGTGAAAATACTGAATACCCAACCACCTACGTTGTACGTTGACTCGTGGAGAAATATACTGCATCTTTATGCTCATTTGTGTATTCATCAAAATAACGTCATCAAATTACAAAATTCGTGCAATCAAATGGTCGGACATAGTATTGTATTTGTAGATAAGAGCCAATAAAATAAAAAGATTCTCTTGGGGCGTTTTTAAATCTTATTTTAGAAATACAGGTCGACTAATTGTATAAGTAGAAGGTGTAAGAGTGAATAAAAACCATTGGCCGTCAAATCAAAGGAAAGCTTGGATATGACATGCAATATGCAGGTACAAAGTAATAGAGAAAAATAAAAAACATTTTTAACATTGTCACGAATATTACGAGTGCCGTAACAAAGTGTTGATGAGTTTCATATGCATTTGTCAAAACAAGCTTAAGAAGACAAAGAGCATGCCAAAAATATATGATTGAAAACTTGCTCAGTGCACCTACAAGCACCAATTTCAGAGCTCGCTCTGTCACAAATTAATTGAGAATCTGAGCATGCGTTGTCAATCCCACAAACTCTCCAAGCTCATGGTAACGACCGACTGGATGTACTAGTACCGATTTTGGAGTAATTAGCTCGCTCAGTCAGAAGTTTTAAGACATATCATCTGCGCATGCGCAGTCAACTTGACCAGCTACCCAAGTTCATGGTCGTGGCAACGACCAACTGCATCTACTAGCACCAATTTTGAAGTAAATAGCATGCTTAGTAACAATTTAATAGAGAAATCATCTGCGCATGCGCTCGAGCATGCGCAGTCCACTCGAGTAATTGTTCATAGTCATGACAACGACCAACTATATGTACTTGCACTACATTTGTGTCAATTAACTCACTTAGTCGCAAATTATCAAAGAAATCATCTGGGCATGCGCAGTAACGATAACAATTATCCCACAACTTTCGTACGCCTTAAAATTTTGGTATATATATATATAAAGCTAAAACTTCATATAGTAGATGTCAACTAGCAGTGGAAGCTGGGTGCGATATAGTATGCCCACACTTCGGTGGCGACCGCACTCTCCCTGCGTACCCTGAGCAAAGCTTATCGCAGGTGATCTCAGGGTCTGATGGGCGGAAGCTTGCTGTTGCATCTCCCAAGTAGGATAGCGTGGAGGGGCCGAAATCTCCTACCGAAACGTTAACATGAGGCGTTCTAGTGCCTTACATATCACAAGGTATCGGGAAGCATGGCCCGAAAACGGGTTTTTTTGCTTTCGAATTTTATCTTTTTGTTTTCATCTCATAAAAGAAACCAAGCAATGTTTCAATTAACTTCTTATGACCCTGTCTTTTTCTCACACTTATAATTAAAGACAACCTTAAACATGTTTTATACCATTTTTATCGGTTTATATCTTTCTGATTTAACTCTCCCATTTACTGTTTCTCATGTATCACCAGCAAACCATCCATATGCTTCATGGCAAACAAACAAGGATTATTTGGTTCCCTTAGTTAACATGCGACGCTCTAGTGCTCAACTATCACGGGTATCGGGAGGCACGGACCGAAAACGGGATTTTTTTTGTTTTCAAAATTTGTCTCTTTCTTTAGAAGAATTCTTCGCATAAAAGAAACTAAAACGTCCAAGGATATTTCAAAGGTTCAAACAACTTCTGTTACCTTTTACAATGTAGCTTTCTCACAACTCTCTCGTGATGAACGAGAGACTCCTTATACAATATGACTATCTCATTTGCTATGAAGGAAAGCATCCATGGGCTTCGTGGGAAAAAATGATTATCTACTTTTTTATAATAGTTTTTACAAAGATAACATTTATAAGCAAAGCAATTCTATCGTCTAAATTGAACCTCGCTTTCAACTCTTATGCTAGAAAATTTTGATTCATTTTGGACAGTAAATTTCTTTTCACCTTACAATATTTTCATGATTCAATCTAGAAAGTAACTTCACTTCTCGAGTAATTTTGGGATTAAGCAGTAAACTTGTCGGATTCAAAGCACTTCTTTTGATTGCGTATAGACAGCCGTCCAATTCATTACGTTAATGCATGTAGTATGCATTTCGTCGTAAAAAAACCACCCTACCAAAGAATATCCAGATCCGATCCAATAATAGTGATTAGTGATTATAAGACAGTAACCATTGCTAAGATGGTTACAGCCATAGCTATGATGGTTACAACATAGGTATGGTTACAACATAGGTATGATGGTTACAACATAGCTATGATGGTTACAACCATAGCTATGATGGTTACAACTATAGCTACGATGGTTACAACCATAGCTATGATATAGCAACATTAATGACAAGCACTACAATTAAGCATGTTTTTATAAATTATAGCTGACTAACCTAATAGAAGAATTCACGAACCACAGAATAATCATTGAAGAAACATAAAAGAAATGATTTTTTTAACCATTTTTGGGTTACTGTTCACACAAGGTACTAACTATTGATTGCATCTTTTAAAATTGAGAAAGATAAATAAGATTTCTATTCAATAAATCAGAGTTGTATAACGATCATTTACGACTATAAAGTGTTACAATAGTACAGTCCTAATACCTAACACGTTGCCTTGTTGTTTTATTTTGAAGGTTTTAGCCAAGAGTTCGACACAAGTGGAATAATCTACTACGAAGTAAATGGGACATTAACAACACATGTAGAAAACACGGTAGATGGTTACTCAACACAGTACAAAAACATTTCAAATCATCTCGCTCTAACGGTATAATAAATATAAAGTTTATCGTCTGTATGGTAAAAATTGATTAACAAGAATTTAAATAGAATGCATCTATCTACTAATAAATTAAGCTTTGGGTATTGAATGTTACAGGTACATCAAGGGTTAAATAAGGTAGTAATTATAGTTATCATTAACTCTTACTTTTTTCTTTGTATAGTTTGTGCGACTTTTCCCCAACCACTTTTCATGGCTTGATTATAACATTAGCGTGAAAGAAATATTCATTTGGTATATATGATCTTTGCATGGTCAGCATAGCTGGTTGTACATTGTTCCTTCGATCCCACGACTTTCCATTATTTCAACCATGAACTTTAACATTGCTTTACATTTACTACATGCCTAAGGACACCTATGAAGATGGAAAGAAACACAAGAAAGTTAATGTAAAGATAGTTAAATACAAACTAACTATCTCTTAAATGAATCGTAAGAAAGCGTAAAAATAATCAGTATCCACAGCTTCATTTTATTCCTTTACAGAATTTCGTTTACGTTAATTGTGAAAAACAAGTTCAAAACAACTGCACAAAATAAGGGACGTGCAGAGACTTTTTATCATACTGTTATTGAAAAAAACAGCAAGAACAAATTTGGACTAAATGTTAAATATGGCAATGCTAAAGTACGTTAAACAGAAAATATTGAAAATGAAATAGAAAGATTACTGATATAAATGAATGAAACACGACGAAGAATATGCACATTACAAATACATTTGTAAAGAATTTAGTTTAATTCAATGCAATGTTGATAATGACGGACAATTTTGAATCGTCTGATTTCAGCTTTTGCCAAGAGACATTGTAGATGTCACCATGCATTACATGGCGTTCATCGATACCTTCGACAAAGGAGATGAAGGAGGCAAAAAACCAACCTACAACTCCTCCATAACCGCATCAAGTCTGAATAACCTAAAGATTTCTATGGGATCCACTTAAATATCTTACATAGCGTACACCGGTATAACGATGTCAATGGTTGGCATGCTCATAATGATGACGTCATTATCAATTACAAATGTTACTGAAGGATATCTGACGCCATACATAATACGTTTTAAAAAATCACTTCAACACCTCATGAAAATCCTTTTTACAACCAATCTAAATGCAGAGACCGATTTCTTCTCTTTTCAGAAGACAGAAAAAATTCCGACGAAACCAAATTCTTGTGCATACCTGTGTAACTATAATGGCAGGAATGTTGCTCAGTGTTCTGGCGTTTAACTTTGACTGAGCTATGAAATATTGTTCAATTTTGGCTCAAGTTCTTCTTTGCTTCATCTTAGCTGCATTGCTATGGATGCGTGTCGATGCATACAATCTGTACAAGGATGTGGTCAATGTGTTAAAACACCAACATCCTCCCTCAGAGTATTTTTACTTTCCTTTCAGGGTAGGCATCTTTGCTTACGGTAATGTTAACTGATGAAATAATCACGAATGTATGAAATGAAATAAAATCATTTTATCAATTCACAAATTTATCAAAACGTTTTGAGGAATGCCAGCAGCAATCGTTGGAATAATGTCTGTTGTGGATATTGATGTTTTCGATCAAGTCAACGACGCATAAGTCTACAAAAATTATACTTCATATTACGTGCCATGTCTTATGTTCGCACGTGACAATAAACATTAGTTGGAATCTTAATCTTTTACAGTTGTTCGATGAAGCCATGGAAAGTTTTAATGAGCTTTCTCATCCCAGTCATACTCATACTTTCTGTAAACATTATATTCTTCAGTCTGATTTTGCACGAGATAATGAAAATGACAAAACGTGATGAGAAAAACATCGACCCCAGTCTTCGTGCAGCTGTATCGCTGTCAGTCGTATTTGAATATTGTTGGCTTCTCTCAGCTATCTCTACGTTAACGTCCAGTTTAATAGCAACCTATGATTTGTAATTGCAACATCGTTTCAAGGATTCTTCATCTTCATATTTCACGGTGTTGGGAAAAAGAATTTAGGGACGAGTGGATAAATTTGCCCATATTTCATTGTCAGTTCTTTAAGAGTACTAGCAACAATTGTACTTAACGACTGGATCAAGTATCCAAGATGCACGAAAAAAGGATAAATGTTTAACACCAAACAAGTCCAGAACAATTAGTTAGTGCAGATATATAGTCCAGAAAAATTTTGAAGACCATACTTATGATCTTGATACAGATTTTCACTTCCTTAAATACCTTAAGAGAAACCTACATTGCAAATCAAGAAACACGAAATGTATTGTAAAGAAAAAACAGTTCACTGGTAAGCTATCATAAAGAGTTCTTTCTAACCATGAACCGAGAATGAAAGATATGTAGCTACAAAAGAAATAAAAACTTCTATTGTTTTGCACTCTAAAACTGATTTGAACAGTCCAAGCATCATAAATTAAGCCCATCTTTGCACATACAACGCTTGTTCTCCAAGATAACTGGCACAAGACTTTATTCTCTTCACGATTGTTTCAATGCTATAATCAGGTTCGGTTATATTTAATATTTTAGGCGTGTCTTCTCCCCAATCCTGCAACCTTGCCCCCCAATAATGATTCATACGTAACATATTTTCAGGAGAGTTCATACTCCTCCCCTTTTTAATGCCATTATGGTGCACTTGAGCCCACATGATATCTTCTGGTCTGTATATAGGCTTAACAAGTGCGTTTGCAGGCTTGCGGGTTCTTCTTCTGATACGGGCCATTAATAAAGGTTCTATTGTATCGCTTATTGGTTTTCCAAGAAATAAATAATTCTTCATGGTAATCTCGGAAACATCAAAATATTTTGAAGTAAAATCATTCAGAAATCTCCTCATGAAATCCACGTCCTGATCACGTGGACTAAATGGATATTCATCAATGTCGATGGCTGCCATCCACGTGGTTTCTTTACCGTAATGATCATTACAATGTTGATAGGCAGCAACTTGAGTGCCCTGAATCGTGTACGGGTTCTTTTCACTCCAGTCGATATAAGTGGCAAATCCTGATTGGATGAAAGGTGCCATGACGTCACGTTGAGACTCAGAGGGCTGCACGTAAGCATCATAAACATATAGATGCTCAAAGCCAGCATAACGTAAATACTGAAACCATTGAATCATTTCACGACTTGACAACTTAGCCAGATCCGATTCATATATACGCACTAGTAATACAGCTGTTAAATAATATGGTGGTTTTATATTGTTACCACGATTATACCATAGGCTACAATTTTCGTTTATTGTACGTGAGTCAAAAACTTTTCATTGCAGTCTTATGTTCATATTTTGCATTGCTACCTTGTTGAAAACCATTTGGATTACCATTAAGTTTTAGCCTTGAGCCTTCGACAGCATTACGCTCAACATAAATTTCTTTCTTATAGCTCCGACTCGGAGTAATGCCCTCAATACCAGTTCGTATTGACAAACCACGATGTTTTGAGCTTGGCCAGTAATTATTTTCTTCGTTTTTTCTCACGGGATATAGGTAAGGCAGGATCTTTGTAGGATTTTTGAGGGTATCATTTTCCCAAGTAACCTGAGTAAAGAAATTTAAAATGGCGAAGAAAGTGAGCAACGACAAAATCACCAAAATTTTACGCAATTTAAAACAACGATTCTTGATAAATGGTATCATTTCGAATGTTCGCCATCCAACTCTTTAAAGCAGCTGAAAATGATAAAATTATTTACGTAAAGAAATGTTTACTTCGACAAACGTAAATATGCATTAAGTCATTCAGATACATGGACAATATACACACACACCTCTGAATGACAGATATAAACATCAAAAATATCCATGTATAAGAAATATTTTCACAAATATTTTCAATGCCTTTCGTATGAATTGATAAAATACTTTATATTTGATATATTTGTGACTAAAAAGCGTCAATAAAACAACACAAATTATTGCACATTTTAAGATAATACCAATATACAACAACTCATTTACAACTTTAGACATAAATAGTGAGCAAATTTCAATGACGACAATTCTTTAAATGCTTTATAAATGCACGTAAAATAATCATTTAAAGCATTTGTACAATTTTAGCAAACACCAGCAATCAAGTAAGAGTTTAATGGCCAGATACACGAAAGCTGACGCATTAAAACAATTATATTACGTGCAATGGACTATAAATTCAAATTATAAAGTTATAATGTATTGCAACAAAATGCATTTGAAACACAAAGTCATCAAACGGGGAAAATCAACAAAATAAGAATGCAATATATATATAATTAATAGAGCATACCTTTTAGTTAAACACATAATCCTGTAGTCAAGAAATGTCTTAAGAAAACCGCCAATCTCTTTATTCTTCCTTATCGATTCCAATTAGAATGTTTATATATGCATGTTGTTACGTGTACATAATAAACAGATGTCATACTTCAATATGTCAATATGAACAGAGCATAACATACTACTGAATATCACGATATAAATTGGGTATAATTTGGATAGAAGATTACATAAAACAATTTGTAATTTGATAGAGTGATTAATATCCGACGTATGTGCTAACCGGATCCACCAGGTCCCATATATAGCATCACATATCGGTGGGTTACGGTGGCCGGTACGGGTCACCAGAAAAATAATTTAGAATACACAACAAACAATAAGAAAACATCACTCAAAATCATACTACACATTTCAAAATACTCACTACACATTTCAAAATATTCGCTACACATTTCAAAATACTCGCTACACATTTCAAAATACTCACTACACATTCTTCCTAGTCTTACCCTGGTCTGGCCTGCCCACGGTCATCGTTAGTTTCCATATAGGAAACTGACATAACATAAAGTAAGCATATTAAATATATAATTCCGCATTTCACAAGACAAACAAAATGGGACATTGGGATAATAGCATGAACATATTGGTTGAGCTCTAATCAGAAATTCTTCCAGGGTTTTGCTGGACTTGGTCGGGCAACAACATTAGTAGACTTTCTACATATCGCCAGCAAATGTATTTGCAGTGGCTTTCGACACATGTCCGTACTTTAATAGCAAAAATTTGAGTATATGAATTTGCATTCGCTATGTCGCGTACGTACTTGTGTGATGCGTTACAAAAATAACAAGGAAACCAAAGAGGAAATTTACACATAGTGCTATAATTTGTTGCACAAGAAACGCCAAAGAAAATGAAAAGTTCGGTAATTTCGAGTAAACGCAATAAATTTAGAACTTCAATACCAGTCACGTCAATAAGTGCATTAGTTAAACTAATGATTGTCGAATATCACCAATACAAATACAATTACATGTAATCTGTAGATTGACCACTCATGTTGTGTTGTCTAAACAAGACCAAGAAATCCCTGGAAGAAATATTACTAATAGTTCATGTACGCGTATCGCATATTTTGATGCTATTGTGGCGATATGTTTGTCTATGTGCCGAATTCCACATAGACAACATATCGCCACAATAGCATCAAAATATCCTTACGCGTACTGAACTGTTAGTAATATCGGAAGCGTATATTTATATTAGCTTTCTGCCATCACGTCGTATATGTAAACTAATGACGACCGTGGGCAGGCCAGACCAGGGTAAGACTGGGACGAATATGTAGTGAGTATTTTGAAATGTGTAGCGAGTATTTTGAAATGTGTAGCGAGAATTTTGAAATGTGTAGTGAGTATTTTGAAATGTGTAGTGAGTATTTTGAAATGTGTAGCGAGAATTTTGAAATGTGTAGTGAGTATTTTGAAATGTGTAGCGAGAATTTTGAAATGTGTAGTGAGTATTTTGAAATGTGTAGTGAGTATTTTTAAATGTGTAGCGAGAATTTTGAAAAGTGTAGTGAGTATTTTGAAATGTGTAGTGAGTATTTTGAAATGTGTAGTATGATTTTGAGTGATGTTTTCTTATTGTTTGTTATGTTTTTTAAATTATTTTTCTGGTGACCCGTACCGGCCACCGTAGTGGGCACCAGTGCGTGGCATACACGTTATATCTGTTGTTGCTATCGATATTGAATGCGCGCAAAAACTATCTCATCAAACATCTTTGAATCGTTAAAAGTCAATTAAGCTCTTTTAACCTACACTGGAAACAAAAGAATGTGAGTTATTTTTTGTTTTTCTTTGTACTAAATTTCATCGTTTTAATCCGCTTTAATAAGAGCGTCGGAACGGGATCACTGTAATTGACACAGAATGAGTTTTTGAAAAAGGAAACTCGTGATGGTGAACATAATATTCTTTTGAGAAATAAAATGGAGCTTTTGAGGGATAAAAATACGAGATAGCTCAGGTTAAACAAAAAATTTATCACAAATATACATAACCTTACCTTTACAACAAAGGATTTAAAGCATCGTTGATTTTTTCTTTATCAATATTCATATCCTCAGACATTCGTTCACTTCGTGACCGTCGTCTTATACATCTAGGACACGATCTTTCCAGTTTACAATGTTTATGGAACAACGCTTTGCACCTAGAACACTGTGTTAAGGATGAAAATATACGTAAAAAAATGAAATGATATTAACCTAGCAACGTGAGAAGTTTTGGATGCAAGATGTTATAGCTAATAAAATCTTACAATGAACATAGTATTTAATGTTTACCTGTAATGTATTATGTACTTCAAACGGATAGAGAATCTTTGAATCCTTACAGATTTCACATATAAAACCTTTTTGACTACACACCTAAATTTACACCAAGAGAATCTTTTTACTAACAACCAGGGATGGTTGGAAAGAGCAGTAGACAATCCAGGGTGTATATATATTACGATAAACATATTTCTAGTTCATATACTTTTTCGCATTCATTTCATCGTATTTTATCCTTCTATATTCTTTAGAAATTTCCAACCAACAACGTTTTCGTTGTGGCCATTGTAAAATGGCCATTTTATTGTATTCTGACCTACACCAGATGACCGTTATGGACCCCCACTTTTTTCATTTCAATTATTTATAGACTTTTTTTATATACGTTAAGAGTCCGTGCATTGCAGTAAAGCATAGTCTTCACTTGGAACATAAGCAAAAGGACAAGCAAAGACAAAAAAAGATAAAACGCAATGCAACGAAGCATCTTACAAAATGATAAACATAAGCAAAAGCACCTCAACTTGGCACATGGGTAGCTTTGCCCAAGTGAAACAAGTGAAACAAAAGCATATTAAAGAAAAGTCCTTTTGTTTTGTTTCTCCAACGTCTGGAGGATAAACTTTGCTTTGTTTTCTCTTTTGTGCTTATGTCGATAGTAAAAACTTGTGTTTCTATTGAAATTTATTGTAAATATGGTTTGTAGTGGAAGAATATTGAAATATAACCCACCCCCCAGTCCCAATTATCAATTTTCCACCGTCCATGTACGATAAAGTGATGAAAACATGCTAAGATTGTAGGTAGAAATCTCCAAAGATGATTAAAGATTGTGATCTGTTTTACCTCGCATTCATAAACATGTTTCTTACAAAAAGAAATAATCTTCCTTATGTGATGATGCAGTTGTCCAGAATTCACTTGAATTAAGTCCTGTAAGCAAAAGTAATTAACCAGGCATGTTATAAACACAAGTCTTTACAGTACTTAGTTTCAATTAGTTAACATAAAAGGAGAAATGTTCTCATTAATCCTTACCAAAAGCGAATACTGGTGAATATCATCCCATAGATAGTCTCTAGGCCACATTCTGACAAGTAAAACAAGGTATTTTGGCGTTACATTACGCTTATAGCACTTGTAACACAACATATTTAACAGTGGAGTAAACTAAAAATTGTTAAATTGCTTGTATTCCTAAAATACAACATTAAATCAAACACAGTCGCGTAAAGAGCATTTAAGCGTGGGTGATATAAAAAATTTTGTACAAACAGAAATAACATGAGATCAAACTACACTTTTTATTTACGACATCAGAATGTTTACAAGGTTTAACTTCACTGAATAAAAATCTACATGTCATCGATCAATCACAAATGTACAGAAACTCTCTCAAACCTTCTTCTCACATCTTCAAAAATCATGGAATTTTTACACGTCATCACATATCCTTTCATATGTTGAAGTTGCATTCTTAAATGCTGGAAAAGAGAACATTTTATGTAAGATAAGAAGTTTGATACGGCGAAAAATAATTTTGAAACAACCTTCGCTTTTTTCATTTTCCCAATGGCATTGTACAAAGTAGAATTGACTTCATCAATATGAAACAAAGGTTCCTCGTCAATTTGCATCAAAAATAATTTCACATGTTTCGCAACTGAAAAACATCCAAGAAGAACACAAACTTTTAAAGATAAAAAGGGATAAAAGAGACAGTAATGGATAAAAGATTAATCACATAAATACCTTTGTATTTGGACAAATCCCAGTTGTGGACTATTTTTGATGGTATAACATGTTCATCGTCAACATGGCATTCGTAGCAGTAATAACTGTTGAAAATACTCTAAAACTTTATAACTGCAAGATGCAGTACTTATGGATTTAAAAAAACGTTTAATACTGGACAAGGGAATCATACTAAAGGAACAAAGCTCAAGCAAATAAAAATATTCAAGGCTTTTACAAAACCCTAGATTACTTTTTATGCATGACCAACCTACATGCAGGCTAAACAAAAAAGATAATTTGCCTGGATATATATCTGTATATCAGTTTTACAAAAATTCTATGAAAACTTGTCCATTGACTAACTTAGAGATGTACTATATCGACTTTTTTGTTGTAGAGAGTTTGCTACAATAAGACATACCCAACATCAACTGAGCAAAATGAAGATGATAAGTAACTCATACTAGCCTAAAATTACTATAAATTAGATGTACCTTCCATCAAAGCAACACACTTTGTACTGTCCATAAACTATAGAAAATAAATATATTTGAGTTATAATGAAAATAAGAAGTCGAGAATCGATTGATCATACTCATTCCAATTGGTCTGGAACAACCATGACATTTATAATTTTGACCATCTAGCCCTTTCTCTCGGGCTATATTGTTAATTAACGACAGTAACTTCATACGTCGTTCTTGCTGAACATCTTCAGGTGAAGTAGGATCATCAATAATCTATTAAGTATAAAAACAAAATTTATCCATAGAATTATAGCAAAGTTACGATGGAAAGATGAGAGTTATTAAAGCTATAAAACTTAAATTCAATATATCGTATAAAGTACCTCAAATCCCGAGGATTTCTCGTATCGAAAGGATTCTAAAGTAAAGATGAAAATTAAGATGAGAGATTTTGAAGAATTGAAACTAGAGAGTTTTTCAAGTAAAAAAATGTTAAAAATACCTGTACTACCACTAGATTCTTCAATGTCTATGCTCTAAAATAATAGTCATTAAAACGACAATTTCAAAAAACATAAAAAAAGCTAAGTATTTGTAACATTGGTGAAAGATACAGGATGAACATGAAACCTTCTCAGAAGACGATGCAACGAGACCATAACCACTTGATGTGAACTTCTTGCTAACAACGTTTGCATAATCCCTTAGCATACCATGAAAACTAACTTCTGGTTTAGGCGACGCTTTACTAGCAACTTCTTCAACGTCTTCAGGACAATTAACGTCTACTGAACTGGTGTCACAAGGCTCAAATGACGATGACCAACCACTAGCCATACCTAACATGTTACCACCAGAAATCTTTCTTGGGTAGATCAAGGTTTTAGGAACTTCAGACAAGGGTTGTGTTGAGCTGAGACCTAAAAAAGAACAAATATGGATAGATGATGAAGTGGAGAACAAGAATAGAGGTTATAGAAGACACACTACGTATGGTCATTGGTGTTTCACAGGGGTATACATTACAGGATAACTATGGATCCAACTAGTCTAAACAACTAGGTACATTTAAGCAATCCATCTTTCCCATGGTAAACACACGTGTCAAAAAAACGTGATCAAACTACAAAATTCGTGCAATCAAATGGTCGGACATAGTATTGTATTTGTAGAAGAGAGCCAATAAAATAAAAAGATTCTCTTGAGGCATTTGTAAATATTATTTTAGAAATACAGATCGACTAATTATTGAGGCAGAAGGTGTAAGAGTGAATAAAAACCATTGTCCGTCAAATCAAAGGAAAGCTTGGATATGACATGCAATATGCTGGTAGAAAGTTATAGAGAAAAATAAAAAACATTTTTAACATTGTCACGAATATTACGAGTGCCGTAACAAAGTGTTGATGAGTTTCACATGCATTTAACAAAACAAGCTTAAGAAGACAAAGAGCATGCCAAAAATATATGATTGAAAACTTGCTCAGCGCATCCACAAGCACCAATTTCAGAGCTCCCTCTGTCAGAAATTAATTGAGAATCTGAGCATGCGTTCTCAACTCAAAAAACTCTCAGAGCACATGGTAACGACCAACTGGATGTACTAGTACCGATTTTGGAGTAATCTAAGCATGTTTATACGTTTTTAACTTGTTACCTTTTACAATGTAACTTTCTCATAACTCTCTCGTGATGAACGAGAGACTCCTTATACAATATGACTATCTCATTTGCTATGAAGGAAAGCATCCATGGGCTTCGTTTATAATGGTTTTTACAAAGATAAAATTTATAAGCAAAGCAATTCTATCGTCTAAATTGAACTTCGCTTTCAACCCTAATGTTAGAAAATTTTGATTCATTTTGGACAGTAAATTTCTTTTCACCTTACAATATTTTCATGATTCAATCTAGAAAGTAACTTCACTTCTGGAGTGATTTTGGGATTAAGCAGTAAACTTGTCGGATTCAAAGCACTTCTTTTGATTGCGTAGAGACAGCCGTCCAATTCATTACGTTAATGCATGTAGTATGCATTTCGTCGTAAAAACCACCCTATCAAAGAATATCCAGATCCGATCCAATAATAGTGATTAGTGATTATAAGACAGTGAAAGCAACACGTACTAAAAATAACAGTTCAAAAATTTTTATGGCTTGCTTTTTGCGCTTTATGCAGCTGGAATCCGTCCTGGATATTTATACGTCACGCCGTAAAGGCCCGGAACAATCCTTACAAAAAAAAGTCTTTAGCGCGACAAGATGCCAGTATTCAAGCTTTCCTTCGATCGTTATGTTTTTTTCTAACCCAAATCCAAAATATTTAAAGTTTACTGTTATGCTTTCTGCCTTTATAAATGATCGTTCTGAATAACTAGAATCAGATTCACAAATGCCCCAAAAGTCAAAAGCATCTCCTTACCTTTTGTTGCCCCTATTCTACATAAACAATACTTTGCCGGTCATTTGATTGTCCGAATTTTGTAATTTCATCTCGTATTTTTGACGCGTAAGTCTACCGTCGGAAAGGTGGATTGATGCCACTGACTTTAAGCTCAAATGCACCGTACCTGAGTTCTTATTTTCTTGGGATAAATTGGAGTCTTCTTCTGAAGGAGTTTCTTTCTTCTTTGTTAAATGTTTAAGGAAAATATAAATTTAGAAAAAGATAATGAAACAGTTTAGAAATAAACTACAGACTAGCGAACCTTGGATATAGATGTGACCTTTTTACAATTTCAATATCTTGATCATTGCTATGCTCATGAGTTGTGTTTTCATCCTTTGATTTTGTTTCCTGTTGAACTATTTTGTCTTCAGCTAAATCATTCATGGATGAAACATTGCTCAGAATGGCTACCTTAGGAACTGTTAAAAGTTGACCCGACTTCTCTAAAACAATAAGAAAAATACCTAACCATATTAAACAGTACAATCAAATATGAATATTGTGTAAATTATTTTTTCTTCTAAAATATATATAAACAACTAAAGTCTGATATACCTGTGACTTTTGCTGAAATGGTAGCCGCTGGGGCATATGGTGGTTCCCAGACTCCAGAAAGCTGAAGTGATTGCCCGGTCCATTGATTAAGACTGGGAGTATTGTAATTGAAGTCAAAAGTTAACTCAATGAGACCTAAAAACATTGAAACTGTTTGTCTGTTTCATGTGCAACCAAAAGCAATGAATTTTATCTCACATTTCTTCAGTTAAATGTCCATACACTAATGACTACCTGACAGATGTGTTAACAAAATGGCCACAGCTTCATCATCTCTCAATAATGACTTGGACGTATAACTATGACTACAAAATTGAGGCAACATTTATCATAAACTGTCTGTAAAAAGTACATTAATTCAAAGTACATAAAAAATTCCTTAACAAAAACCCTCATTTTTACTTAAAATGTCTCATCAGCTATAACTGACTTCCGATACATTACGTACAAATTGAAAATAATGCACATACTGAACTTTCTTCTTGTCAGCTAATATAGCATGGAAGTAACTCTCTAAAAGTCCATCATTTAAAGCTAGTCTCAACCAAGCCTATAACCAATGCATCATAACATTAATAACAAACATTAGTTAGAGCATCCTAACAAAGACTGTTGTTTCTTACCCTACACAATCCAATATGAGATGTAATGTGCGATAAATGAGCCAGTTGATGAATAACATCATTGTGGGTAAATGAATGGACAAGTTCCCAGAAATCCTTGAAAAAAAACAGACAGCTCATACTTCATAGCATTGCAACATCAAAGTCTTGAAGAGTAAATACTCACTGGAGTAGGCATTGTTCCTGATGATGTTTTCTTGAAGAAATTTGTTCTCTAAAATTTAAACATCAAACAATTTCACATGAAACATATCCAATATCAAAGACATTTTACACCTAAAAAGATATCTTACAGAAGAGACTTGATATCCATGCAGAAAGATTGCTTCTATTACATATGTCAAATTCATGGCATAGTCATCATTCCTAAAAAAGGACCATTAAACTTTATAAGTTCTTTACAAATATCCTATTTAGTGCATACAATAATAAGAGAAAATTGCCATCAACTGTCTAGAAACCTTGAAACATCTAATGTCCCAGAATTTAATGCAAGCTTTGGAGCTAAAAAAGAAGACATAGATGATAGCAAAAATAAAATGTCAAAGTAGTAGTCTGGAAAGTTTGTACTACGCACCTGAGATCTTGAGTGCATGTTTTTAAGATAAAAATGCTTTTATGCAAACAAATCTCAAATCAGTTGCAAGCAGTTTACAAACTTTCCAGTGTGCATGATTAAAGCACTGAATACAAAATCCCACAGATATACATTACATACATCTTTTATTACTTGAGAAAGCTCCTTTAATATATTCTCCTTTGTTCTTTCTAATTTCTGATCATTGTCTAAACAGGAGCCAAAAATATGACTAAACAGATGAAAAGAAGTGTAGGTGAACGCCATGATAGTCAAAGGCACTTTAATAAATTTGAAAAGCATTATTTTAGCTGCCCCTTACCATACTTAATAGCATTACAATAAAAAGTAGATGCTGTGGGTTGACATAATGAACTGTTTTATAACATTTCAAGACATAAAATATCATAGTGAAAAGCTATATGGTAACATAAAACAACATTTAAACCTGTTTTGTGACTTTTTGTCACGTATTTGCTTGAAAAATGTATGAAATTCCTACATATAAACATGATTTTAAAAAATTTTATGGAAATTTAATTACCGCCTTTTTTCCTGTTCTGAAACATGTTTTAAATCTTTGTAATACAATGAAAGAGTAGAGGATAACGAAGGTTTTCAATTTTCATTCATGTATTTATGTTGCCACCATTAAGTACTATAGACCTGGTCACAGGGTTTTGCCAGGTTGCCAGGTTAGGAAAACTGATCGCAAACATCGGCCAAACTGGAGTAAAATAGTCCAAAATTGCTAAATAACCTAAACTTTTCCATGTTTTCGCCGAAAAACGGTTGATACTGTATTTATCGTATTAAATACACTGTTCATGCACAAGTGGACAATACATACATTTATGGCAGGCTCGCTTACAGAAAATTGTGTGGTGATGTGTAATCATTTGATTCTATTGTAAAGTAATTCATTGTAAATGTGAATGATCAATTGTATTTAATGACAAAACTGTGAAAATATAATCTTAGCTTTTAATAGCTGTTTTTTGTCACATTTTTTAATTCATATTTTGAACAAAACAAAAACATAAATGTACAAAATTTAACCCATTATCTAAACCAAATAAGTTCATACATTAACCCTCTAGGAGCCGAAAATACCTGCTAGAGTTGAAAATACCTGTACTACCACTACATTCGTCAATGTCTATGCTCTAAAATAATAGTCATAAAAACGACAATTTCAAAAAGCATAAAAAAAGCTAAGTATTTGTAAAATTGGTGAAAGACACAGGATGAACATGAAACCTTCGCAGAAGACGATGGAACGAGACCATAACCACTTGATGTAAACGTCTTGCTAACAAGGTTTGCGTAATCCGTTATCATACCATGAAAACTAACTTCTGGTTTAGGCGACGCTTTACTAGCAACCTCCTCAACGTCTTCAGGACAATTAACGTCTACTGAACTGGTGTCACAAATCTCAAATGACGATGACCAACCACTAGCCATACCTAACATGTTACCACCAGAGATCTTTCTTTGGTAGATCAAGGTTTTAGGAACTTCAAACAAGGGTTGTGTTGAGCTGAGACCTAAAAAAGAACAAATATGGATAGATGATGAAGTGGAGAACAAGAATAGAGGTTATAGAAGACACACTACGTATGGTCATTGGTGTTTCACAGGGGTATACATTACAGGATAACTATGGATCCAACTAGTCTAAACAACTAGGTACATTAAAGCAATCTATCTTTCCGATGGTAAACACACATGTCAAAAAAACGTGATCAAATTACAAAATTCGTGCAATCAAATGGTCGGAGTCAGATAATATTTTAATGTGTCTTCCTCAATTAGAATTAAAATAGATAATTCCTTCAGGAAATAAATACTTTACTAATTTTTTAAAACAGGTTCAATGGACATCCTAAAGTTACTGAAAACACTTACAAACATTAGTTATGAAACATAGCACAATGTATTACTTGGTAGTGTATTAGATTCCAGGGTTAGGAAATTACTTGGTCATATAATTAAACTGCATTTTCAAATCTTGAACAAGTTGGACGTAAATAATATTAAATATATAATTTTATTTCAACTATGTTGATTAAATCTACTTCATTCAATAGCTATATACTTGCAGGCTACCAACATGTACGCATTGCGTACCAATTTTTTAAAATGTTTGCCGTTGTTTTTAATACGCAGTGTTTTGGGAGATACACCCAAAGGCCAAGAAATGAAAGAAACATGAATATTCATGATAGCTACAATAAATAATTTTATGATAAATGGCTTTGCTTAGCCCCAAATCTGGACACTGTTTTTTCTTCCAAACCAAAACGAAATGGGAGGGAAAACCGGTGGATCCGGTAAAAAACCCTCCAATAAAAGAATAGATCAAAACTTTAGAAAAATTTCCTCAAATTTTTGTAGTTTTTAAATTTTTCATATTTTTGTTGTTTTCAATGATCCCGATGATCTACTATAACATGCAGCGCAGTCAGTCAGATCGTGCGTTACAGTGGTATAAAAATTTAAATTTACATAGCGACAAAAAAGTGGGCTAACTACCCTATTGACACAGCTAATATTTTATGATCGAACGAAAGAAACGCAAACTTTGGTAGAGGACAAAAAATGAAGGAGTACAGATTATTAACAAAAATCTTAGAAAATACGTAGACGAAAAACGAAAACAAATAGAAAACATATATGAATCATATGAAAAAATTATTCAGTACCAACGCCCTGACCATTAACCAGCCAATAACAATGAAAAATGAATTGACCAAAGTGACGTCATGACTTGCATGAATATCATTTTTGATGTCTACTAAACTTCAATCGATTTAAAATTTCCTATGTTGCTTTAATAATAGCTGGCTTTCACTCGTGTGTTTTGTCGGAAAAGTTAACAATTGTGAAAAATTAGTTTTACGGAAATTAGAATCTTTCAATAAGGACTCTCAGGATCTTCAGTCCAATTCATTGTCCAGCGAGGAGGCCTACAGACATAGCTACTCTATAAAAAACACGTTATAAATGTCAGCATAATGAATGATCAAAAACAAAACTGAAATACACTGAAAAGAACAAATCATTTATACCTGATTTCCAAGCGTTGTCGGGGTCAGTCTGATCCAGGCGACTTAGTCGGTCTCTTCCTTTTTTTTCACTTTACATGATATACACGTAAAAACTCTCACACAGTTTTATGTGTATATCATAGAAATTAATTGTAACCTTTTTATCTTAGAAACTCAACAAACCCTACTCGCAGCATTGCAATTTTTTTTATAAACGTTAAATAAATTAGTAAAAGGTAGCGAGTGAAAGCCAGCTATTTTCTCAAAGCAAGTGACATCTTTTCTTGACATTTTTTTTAATTTGGGCGTTTTTCATAATTAGGGTTCAAACTATAAAAATAGACCATCAGGATCCTTTTTTAGTATCTCATACAGTTACTCATACATGTTAATTTTAACACTTACGTATGTACTCAACTTACAAACCACAAGACATGGATCGTGTTTTCCACTCGCTTGTTTCCCAGAATCTTCGCAGAATATAGCCCGTTTTCTAGTCCAATCACTTCAATGTTAATGCTCTCATACGTACATATGCCGCTATGCAATGTCCATTTGATATGCTTAACCCAATCCATACACGAAGTAACCAGCATTAATAACCAATAAAGTAGATACTGACATCGTGAATCGCCATTTCAAGCGCCTGAAGGAAAAGGGATCACTTCAATACCCCAGTTATATCATCACTCAAAGAATGTTTAGTGCAGAGTTGATCTTCTGTGAGTATCAGTTGACCACCTTCAGGTGGGTTCATATAACAATGGGGCCCATCATCATTATATGAACAAACAACTGACATCCACAAAGAATCCAAACTACAAATCAACATTCTTGGCCATGAATCACCATGACACATGAGCAATGACAAACTAGTAAGAGTAATTGAAGTGAATGACACAGGTGGTAAAGGGACTTTCACAACTCCATCCATGTGGGATCTACAATATAAGAAAATATGAAACACATGTAGGACATTTCATGATGAAGAATTCTGCATATGACGTTAGTTTGCGTTTTTAAATTCTTAATCTGATATTTTGAGAATGACCAAATTGTAATATGTTTTCTGTTTGACTATCTAAATGGTAGAACATTCACCTACATTGCACAAATAGCTTTAGTGAGTTGAGTTTGAACGATGCAACAAGTTTCAAACAATCAAAGGCTTAACATCGCGGTAATTTTACAGCAAAGCTTTCATGTTGCAAGGCCTAAACTAAGACTAGTTTATTATTCCATGTAACTCATACTTACTTCGTCAGTAAAAAGAGAGAACTTACCTTTCTTACTACAACGTTCAAATGAAGAAGGCCTGTTTCAAATGTCGAACTTTAAGCCTGGTTCACACGAGGAAAGTAAGGAGAAGAACAAGCGTAGACAAAAGATAAAACAAAGATAATCAACGAAGCATGTGACATAAGCATCGACATAAGCGTCGACATAAGGAAAAAATTCCAGCATAAGCTAAGAGAAGAACAAAAGAAGAACAAAAAGATTTGAACAAAATCTCAATGTCTTTGTCTTGGTAAACATCTAGAGCAATAGAAACAGAGGGTCTTGACTTTCATGCTCATTTTACTCGTGTGAACAAGGCTTTACATGCACCGAACGCATTAAAGACAAAAGAAAATGAAATGAACTACCTCATTATCTTTTGTTTTAAATGCATTCGGATCATGTAAAGTTCGACGTTCGAACTAGGCCTAATTTTCGGCATTATTAACATTTCTTTAATTGACGTCATGACAATTGATTATTTCTGTATGATATTATGCAAATCATAAATTAATTAAATTTATTCAACCTATTAAATAACTCAAATATTATTCTATTATTTTCAGCTAGTTGCTCTTTAGCAATTCATTTGTGCTGCTTGAAACAAATTTGAAAGCTCTTTTTATTTAAAAGTTATGTTAACTAGAAGCACATAGTTATATTATTTTTTGGTTTCTTGGTTTTTATAATTTTTGAAGACTTTCAAATGGCAAACAAACAATGTTCAAACACACAATTTGCTCAATTTTAGAAATTTCATTGAACTCATCAACAAAGTTGAAACTTCATAAATGTTCACAACACAAGTATGTACCTTACCACAGTTGGGCAAGCATTGATATACATCCATTGGTGGTGCCAGTCGGTGGATGCACATTACTTGGGATCACCTTATCTATTTTTAATAGTTATCTTTACAAAAAGATTGTTTACATTTTAAGGCCTTAATTATGTTTACAAAATTTCTTATACTGCCTTTATCTTTACAAAGTTGTTGACAGAGGTGTCCTATTGGCATTATGCACCCTTCATCTTCGGAAAAAACCGAAACCGGCTCCTTTTTTATACATGTACCCACGTAGTTCACCCTCTTCATCATCACATAAATACATGTACCCACCTAGTTCACCCTCTTCATCATCACATAAATACATGTACCCACCTAGTTCACCCTCTCCATCATCACATACATACATGTACCCACATAGTTCACCCTCTCTATCATCACATACATACATGTACCCACATAGTTCACCCTCTCTATCATAACATAACTGCAATTCTCCCTCATATTTCAGGCACATAATGTCTCACCTATTTTGACATTCTTCTTGGAGATAAATTTTGGTAGAGTGTCATCAGTGGGCGAGAAATAGCCAGGAAACGATGAGAAAAGTTGTGGTAAGCAAGACAGTAGTTCATCACATACTACAGTGTCGAATTCAATTTATTTCAGTCAACCAATGAATAAAATCACCATCAACAAACTGCATCCCACCCTGAACATCTTCCTGAATAGCTTCCTTGAGTATAAAAATTAGTTTAGTACCATAAAATTTAAGAGAAAGCATCCTTGAAATGGCATCATCTTGTAAACTCAAGAATAGAGTTATGCTAGCAAAATTTATAGCTTTTGTGAACATATTGTGTACACAAAACACAAATCATGAGTAGATAAAATAATGCTTTTTGGAAATTGTAGGCAGGGAATGGTTTTTGTACCATAATTCTTCGTTCGCCATAAAAGATGCCAGTAGAAATTTTAAAATATTCACGATTGTTCGTTTATACTCTTGTCTTGACTTGCAATTCAGCCATGTTGGTGATATGATAGAAAAGAATATTTTATCAGTGTTATTTTAGGCACCAACCGACGTGGGCGAGCAACATTGTTTGCTAAATCTCAAGAGACGTGACCAAATTGCTATAAATTATTAGCGAACAGCCTGTGGTCAAAAACATGGCGGATTTTGGTGGTCAAAGTCCAAGTATGGTTTTATACTTCCGTCGTTAATGTCAGATGTTATTATTTTTTGGATAATTACGCATAATTAAAGTTAATTATTTACAAATATGATTAAATATCTTTCTATATTCTTTTCTTTGATGAATTTCTTTCTAAAGACAGTGGTAAAAAGCACAAAAGGACCACAACATTCTCATCCTTTCTTCTTCACCTTACACTTCATTGGGCATAAAAAGATATTACTGCATCGATTCATCACTGCATTAATTATGATTGCACCCAATCATCTAGCTTCTTTGAATAGAAATGTGATTTTGTCTCAGTATGAAAAATTTGAAACTGCCATGTTAATCAAATGACAAACACTATTGATATTAATATTTTCATGCATAATATTTATTATAAATTACAGAAATCTTTGGTCAATAATCATTGGATAATTTATCATATATTATGATTCAACTTAACAATAAATCACACTCGGGAAAGAGGTTTCCATTCATCACACACTTTTTATACACATTATGCTAATCTTTCCAAGAAACAACAAAAGCTAGCTTGAAATTAACAGTAATATTTACAAATTGTATTAAGCACTAAAAAGCACACATCACAATCTAGTCAACTTTGGGGATATGGTCTTATTGTCATTTGATGCACCCCAAAACACGTTACACTAGCAATAGTTTTATCGACTTATCAGCAATGATCACAGTTACCTCAGATGTAAAATATCCGTACTTTTGATGTGCTCACCAACAATTTGCCATCATAGAATTTTGTCTCAATTACCAAGTTGCCACTGTGAGAAAATTAAAGTTAGTTTAAAAGGAGAAGAAACTATACACTAATTATTTGATTAATTGCAATTGATCTAAAGAAATACACATGGCATTTGTACATACAAAAAGGACTTCTCCTCACCTCAGAACTGATGATGGCATCATTTGATCCTCCGGTGCTGCTTCAATTAATGATTGCCATGTATTCATGGATTCTGGTATAACAAATCCAAAGTCAAAAAACCACTCTGAAACAAATAAACACTTTGAGTTACATATAAATGACGAAAAAGGACCATATTATTTATCTATATTTGTCTCATCTACCTTCAAGACATTTTCCTTTGAATAAAACTCTCTGCTCTAATCTGAATTGTTTCATTTCTTGTAGTGATGAAAAATTCATCTCCCTTGACACGGCTTTGCATTTTAAGATTTTCTTTGGTACTCGTGCTAAAAAGCAATAACAAATAAAAAAACAAATACCACAATCAAAATTACTTACCATCAAAACATACCTTCATGTTCAATATCAGGTGAGGATCTAAAGTTTGTACAATGGCATTAGAATAATATCTTTGTTTTGCTATTTACTCATAGAAAAATTGTTTTAACAGCTATTTTTATTATTCAATGTCTTAAATATAAAACCACTAAAATATGAACATGAAGATTATGAAGAAATATAATGTTTTGAGACAGACTCTCATCTTATATAAATTCTACATCAACGACTTACAAATCTTCACTTGCTTGCCAAATTATTTTGCCACTTTCAGCATCTCGGAAGTTGATCCAGTTACTAACATGACGAAGTTAAGAATGTACTTTCTCGTAGGAGAAACACGTGAAAACTTGTACATTCTAGACACTGAAAAACGATCACACAATACACTATCGAGTCATTTTCAAGATATCAAGGTAAAAAAATTTTTTTTGCGTTTACTACAGCGCAAAAAATGTTTCACTACAACGTAGTGAAGCATTAAGTCTTTTCAGAAAACAACGCTACTCACGCCATCAACAAAAGCAACAGACACCTTAGTTACAACATGCCTTTTATAAAATTTATGTTCTCATTTCAAATCCGGAGAATGCCCTGTGCTGTAAAAAAGATACAGTTTAAAGCCATCCATGATTTTCTGTGCTCTTTCCATAACAAAAAATCGTTAAATTATTGCAACAAAAAGGACAGAAGTTGAAATATTTTAGCTCAAGCTGCTACCTTGGTAATGTTTATATTAAAGATGGCGAACTTGATGAGCATTGCAGTATATAATGGGATCATCGTAGGTTGAAAGAGGGGACATAGTAGAACCGATGAAGAATAAAATAGTACCCTCTTGACCTTTGTTTATGTGGTCCTAAGCCACGACGCCAGACCAAAATGGTCAATATCATTTTAACAACAATGTACGAATTCTTTTATTGTAAGCAAATTTAATAATTCATGGCATATTTCCGTTATTGCTAAGTGATTTGGGTTCGTTTTTTAAGACTGAAACCTATAATTTGACAAACCAATTTCTTGTGTTTCTCTTCAGAGTTTGGTGCTTATTTTAAAGTATGCATTTCTTTCTACATTTTCTGTGAAGTAAAACAAGTTTTTAAATGTTTAAGCATTGTAAGTGCTAGATGAGACATTTCCACCATGACCTGTCCAATTGGTATGAACAAAATCACCAGGTTTCGACAATAACTCGTACGTATGAGCTCCAAAGTAGTCACGTTGAGCCTATGGTAAAGAAAAAATATAGCTTTAATATAGCTTTACTTGATAATATAAATTCTTATGATCAAAAATATAAAAATACCCAATAATTTTTATAGTTTATTATATTTATTCGCAACAGTGTTATACCTGAATAAGATTTGCAGGAAGAGTTTCGGACCTGAATATAATGAAAAAAATATACAGTAAAATATACTTATTTACTTGTTGGCCTCAAAACAACAACCTCAAAAATTTGATGTCAAAGGCAAATGAACTTTTGTATTGTTTGATTTTTCGCAAGATTTTAAAAATTATTGTTTGGAGATGTAGTATATACAGCAATAAATTGACAAATATTCTCTACTTGTTTCTATGACTCGCCTGATAACAAAAAAATATGAATCAATGATATATTAGAAGTTTGATAATACCTTTACGTTTTAGCTAAAAAACGCTATAAAAATGACAATTCAATGTCAAAATGATAATTTTTAACACTATCAAAAACGTAGAAACTATACTGTGTCAAGTGTCCGACTAAACTTAAAGACTACCAATTGCTACTATAATTATCAAAATATGAAATATGAAATTTGATTTTTAGAGACTTTGGGATGCAGTTGCCTTTTTTTTGTAATACAGCCTGCTATGTTGAATCTTAATGAAAGCACTGAATCTTAATGAAAGCACTGAATATACCAAATTCATAACAGTTTTTCCTACCATTTTTACTTTACCATGATATTGACTATTTAATATATACGCTGATTACAAATTGTAATGACATTAATAATGAACACAAATATGCTAAATAATTATTTACAGTAGAAGATATTTAACAAACCTGTAACCATCAAAAAATGCCAAAGCTGAACTGAATGTTGGGGTAGGTATTCCTAATGTTACAGCTGTAGCAACCACCTTTCTCCATGAATCCTTCAAAACAAAACATTTGCAATTACGTAAACACAAGAATGGTGATACAGTGGACCAGTAATTGTAAATTCCATCAAATACCTGACAGTTTTCTATAGCATTCTTGAAGAAATCGTCAAGCAAGAGATTTTTTAAGTTTGAATCCTTGTCAAAAGCTTCTTTGATGTTTCCCAAAAATACACTAGTTAGGCAAATGAAACAACATTAAAATAATTGATAAAATGCCAAAGAGCAAGCAATTACCGCTATAGCCATTTCTAACCTGCGAATAATACACCCTCCTCTCCACATGAGAGCAATTCCTCCATAATTTAAATTCCAATTATATTGTTTTGCTGCCTCCCTTAGCAACATGAATCCTTGAGCATATGAGACAATTTTAGAAGCATAAAGAGCCTAAAAATAAAAAACGACAATTTAACATGAAGGAAATACAAAGAAAAATAACGTGAGCAATTTTATAAACAGTTAAGATAAAAGCTACCTTTCTAATGTGTTCGATGAATTCCTTTTTGCATCCTTTGTATTTTGTAACCTTTGGTCCTTTTAAATGCTTGCTTGCTTCAGCACGTTCATTTTTCAATGACGACAAACAACGGGCAAATACAGCTTCACCTATAATTAACAATATTTGAGAAGGGCATTTTGTTTCTTCAGTAAGCATATTTCTACCAAAAAATCATTCCAGTTTTTACCAATGAGTGTAACAGGAATTCCTTTGTCTAATGCAGATATTGCTGTCCACTTTCCAGTACCTTTCTATAAGAATAAAAGGTTCTGTATGCCGTTATATGCACATAGAAGAAAAAAACACGACATAAAAAAGATATTTCTACTAGGAATAAAGTATATAACAGAAGCAGTTTGACAAAACAGGGATCATTGCAAAAAGTAAAAGTAAAAATGTCTCTTGACATGACTACTTCTTCCATATGCTATGTTTTTCACATTGAAATCATGATAATTCACCTGTCCGGCAGAATCCCGTATCTTTGTCACTAAAGGCTTGCCATCTGTATCATTGAATGCTAAAATATCTCTGGTTATTTCAATAAGGAACGAGTCAAGTTCACCTTTGTTCCATTCGTCCAAAGTCTAAATCACAAATTATTACCAGCAAGATCCAGATTATATTTTCATGAATAAAAAATTAACCTACCTTGCTGATTTCACCTTCAGTCATTCCTAAAGCATCCTTCATTAAATGATACGCTTCACAGATGACCTAAAAGAAACATGTTACTAAAATGAAATTGACTAGAGCACGTAACAATAGCATTCCCCAATACACACATGGATACTTGCATATGTACCTGCATATCCCCATATTCTATACCATTATGAACCATTTTCACATAATGACCAGCTCCATCCTCACCAACCTGACATAAACATGAATACAATGAAAATCATTCCAACAATACTAACAATAACTTTTTTCGTTCTCATTGTGAAAACTAACCCAATCGCAACAAGGTTCTTTACCAACATGTGCAGCAATTGATTGGAAAATGTCCTTTATGTGAGGCCTATGTAACAGAAAGAAAAGCTACATAGGCATGTATCTTGATGTACACAAATCATTGTGTGCCACAAGTGTTTGAATTTGAAGAAATTATTTACCATGCTTTAGGAGAACCACCGGGCATGAGTGAAGGACCATAACGAGCACCATCTTCACCACCACTAACACCACTTCCCACAAACAAAATGCCTTTCTCTTGCAGAGACTTGCATCGACGCTGTTAATAAAATACATTTCATAGTTGTAAAATTAATCACTGCACAAATTGCAAATTTTTCATCATGGAAGACCAAAACAACCTGAGAATCCACATATTCTGAATTTCCACCATCAATAATAATGTCATCTTTCTCAAGCAATGGCACCTATCACAAAAATGGTTCAATTTAAAGTTGTCAAATCACCTTTAAAGTATAAAAATTTGTTTCATACCAGTTGATCAATAAATGCATCAACAGCATTGCCAGCTTTTACCAACATCATAACACGACGTGGTTTCTTCAACTTTGACACCATTTCCTCCATGGAATGCGCACCAATTACCTTAGTTCCTGATATTAGAACAACAAGCATCATATCATTGGGTAATTTTCAATGAAAACCAGTGACAATTATTAAATAATGTTGAACCTTTAGCTTCATTTGCCAAAAATCGATCAACTTTTTCCACAGTCCTGTTGTAGGCACATACCTGTAGAAATTTCAATGCAAAAAAAAGAATACTTCACATCTGGTCTTTATAAAAATATTATCAACCATTTCACAATCACTTTATGATTAAAAAAATAGATGTTATTGGTAAAAACAGAAAGGTTATGAAATTATCGAGATGCTTGAGTAATTTTAGAAGTTATATAACTTTAAAAATGACACTATGTGAAAATGAAGAAAAAATAGTGAAGTCTTACAACAAATCCATGATCATTCATGTTGAGGATAAGATTCTGTCCCTGTAGATTAAAATAATGACAGTTATTTGTCACTATGGTCTAAGATTGGCAGACAGTTTTTGATAAAACACGGAAATAATATTTCTACTGCTAACAAGGTCTGCATTTTTGCATAGAAATTCATATTTCTCTTAAAATACATCATACATACCATGACAGCAAGACCTATCAAAGCGATATCAGCTCTAAAGAACGATAAAACAAAATCAAACTTGTTTTATAACGATAAGAGGTAAACCTCTTCAAGGAGTAACACTGGGAACAAAACAAATTCTCTTATTTTGAAAATATATCAAATAAATAGAAAAGAACAACAAATTAATGTTTCTATATTTTTCTATTTTCTAACAAACAACTTACTGTCCTTCTCCAGCCATTTTATTCTTGCAAAATCGTTAAAAATATTCTGTCCACAAATGCTCAACGATTATGAAATTGTATTTGTACAAGCCAAACCCTAACACAGACCAGTGACACAAACGTTCGATAAAACCTTTTCCGGTGAAACAACTTCCGCTACAGTTATAAATTATGCAGAAAATTATAATAATGCAAATATATGTTCAGAGAAATATTTATGCAAAAAATAATTCCAAATAAAATAACATTGTGGACTTGATTCGTGAACGGTTTTGAATAGTTACGATTTGGGAAAAGAGATCGAGCCTCAAATAAAAGTTTATGAAACAATAAGGTAAATATATGACCAAATGGCCGAGGCTGATTTTAAAATATGTATGAAATGACAGAAACCAAAGCTTGTTTCTCAAGCATTGAAAGGTAATACTTTTAATTTCACAGCCCCATCACATATGTAAAAAAATACGAACATTTGCATCATATATACCAAACCAAATCCAGAAACACTTAGGCAGCATTCAGCAGCAACCATCTGGTGGTTATAAGACCGAAGTTGGCGATGAAAACCTGACGTCACGTGTCACGTGTTTTGCAAAATTGCATCTTTCTTCGTTTTATTTTAAGGTAGTCTCTGTAGTCTTATATAAGAACGCATTTACAAAATTTACCAAGTTAAGCCAGGCATAACCCAGAATATTTGTAACATATAAAACATTAACGTTAGTTATGATGCCAATAAAATTACTTGTGCGAGTCCATTTTCCTAAAAACTGCGGCTTTATACCACTTATATATGCGGGACGATGGGAAGTCTTGAAAAGTTAAGCAGGTTAATTTAAAACATAATCTCTTTAATTTTGTCATACAACTTTTTGTTATTGGCACACTCATAAATCTAAGATAAAGGACATTTGTACAACAACAGTAGTCTCTTTTCGACAAGTGTTCAATCTTTTAGCATTTTTTATTCTTTGTCTATGGATCTTGTATTCTTACTTCTTGGCGAATTTTTACGCGCAAATTGTATAACTGATGTCGCATTTGATTGTTGCTTTTTATTTCTTGAAGCAACTAAAACTCCTTTCGAATTAGTTGAAGTGAGATTTGTGGTGTGTATAGAAGAAATATCTGTTTTTTTTAATCTATGAGACTGCACATGGAATTTTAAATCACGATATTCTTTAAATGTCAAGCCACAGAAGGGACAAGCGATTGCTTGTGTATCTTCTTCTTCGTGCTTCAGTTCATTCATCATGGTGAGGAAAGAAGATTTGGTAGAATCCAGTGATATAAATTGTTGACGTATATCTTTTGGCAATGTTCGCCTTTTAAGATCATCCTGATTTTTAAAGACATTCTTTGATGTCCGTAGGACTTCGCTCCTCAACGGACAGTTTACTGTTCTCTCTGATGTATATTGTGGAGAATAATATCCTTCATATGAAATGGCGTTTTTACTTTCTTCTCCTGAAAGTTTCTCATTTGAAACACTATAGTTACTACACTTCTTTGATTTCAAATACAACTCCGAGTTGATACTCTTTGTTTTCGGTAAAGTGTGAAAAACGTTATGAACATGTCGAATGTAAGTTGTTTGATTTTGTGGATCAAACTTGGCTGCTTTTCTACCAATGTCATACAACTTACTTGACAAAATATGATCTCCTTTGCGCTTTAACTGTGTTTGAAATGTATAGCCGTGGTGCGCAGAAAACTTTGTATTAAGATGATTGATATTGTAAACGTCCCCTTTTATAAAAAATGGATTTGTCGATGCAGCGACAGGAGTAGAAATTTCTCTTAATTTGGATTTTCCGTGTACCATACTTTCTGGTTTGTCTTCTTCCTTTCTTGTTTCGTCTACCGAGCTTGTTTGTTCGTGAGTCATTCGTTGAAACTTCGGATTACTTAATTGACGTAGTTTATCCGTTTACTTAACGAAACTTTGAATTTAGAAGATTTCTGCAGAATTGTCACCGCCACTGCTGTTTTATAAATCACTTCTGTTTATACTTGGAAGCAAACATCAAGTGCTACCATGGTTTCAATACAGACATGATATGATAAATGTGTGTTTAAAGTCTTTGATCAGCGCAATTTACCTCGCATAAGTAGACATTTTAAGTTCAACGCCCTATTCAGGGTGGCTACGGAAATTATATCAATTCAAATGTTTTGATTACTAGATTTGATTACGTCAATGGTTTTCCGCTCTGCATGATTTTTCCTTAATAATGTCCAAGGCAACTGATTGATTCTATTTCCAGAAATTAAAACGTCACGCTGCTGACGAACCCAAAATAGCAATGATGAAAGACTACGATTGCGACATCTCATTATGTCTGGTTTTTTTCTTCAATGTCGTGTTGTGGATGAAGTCTGAAGTCGTTTACATGCTTCATTCATTTGCTTGTCAGACAGAATGTTGCTGTAGCTACGAACAGTTATCGCTTTAAAATGTTATTTATGTTTGATCATGATGTATGAACATAGAACTTAAGCTTTCCTACGTTGGAAAGTCTGCATGAATGTCGTTCATTTCAGACAATCACATCGGGTAGCCACAATATGAACAAATAATGTTTAATGCTGCATATCAATACGCTAGGAATTAATATTTTAACTCAGGAAAATTAGGAACATTTTGTTGCATGGATTTCCCATTTGCTGATGATAAATTTTCTTTTCTTTTACCGAAACGGAAAACTCAATTAGTCCGTGATTCAGCAAATTTAAACAATGCGGAACAATGAAATAAATTTAGGAAAATTATCAGGCATTTTTTTAAATGTCACTACTTCTGGCCGTTCACAGCACGAACTTTATACTCTGCAGCGCGTCAACACAATACAACTCCTTGCCAGGTAAAAAGATTAGCATATTTTGCGCGCATGACGCGAATGAGATTAAACTAATCGCATTATATGATGAAGTTAATCAATTAACGTCGTTTCAGTTTTGCTTGAGTAAATAACAAAAATACCTTCCATTATGATAGCATAGGAAACTCTTGACTCACAAAGAAAATCACAGCGCGGTAGCCTATGCAGATATTTTATAGCAGATTCTAAGCTCATCAATATATTGAAGAATATAATTCAAATACCTCGAAACGTCCAGAAACATTACATATTTTGTCTACGGATACTCCCACCGATTTATTGAAACTCTAGCATGTTAACTTTTAAAAAGTATGAAAATTCAAAAGTCAAATATGTAGCTGTAATCACTACTGCAATATAGTTGTCAGTTTCATCTCTAAAATTTTATTTATTTATTTACAGTAGACATTAATCGTAAACTGCATTATCTGACAACTAGTGATCACATAAACCAGCTTAAAGCTGTTATTATGACTGTTAATATACATTCCTTTTTCTAATAATCATACGAAATTCTGGTCTGTTTCATCATCTCTCGATCCCCTAGTAGCAGAATCAGTGATTGTAACACCGCTGTCGGTATATGTTTCTATTCTGCTTATTTTCTCAGGTAAACAACATTGCGCAAACTCGCGAAAGTTAATGCCACCTTTCTTGGGTTGGGCTACTGTGTAAGCCATTGTTACAGCTAGTCCAAGTTCTATCAAGCGAAACATGGAAACATAGACCCACCATAACCAGGGGTCCGGGTGAGTTTTTCCATCAAAACGAACTTTGAATACACCGACTAAGGCATAAATTTGTAACGCTGCACACGTAACCCCAAGTAACGCTGTCATCAAGGTTACACGAGCCACTTTCTTCGTGTTACTGGCTTTGGTTGAATATGTTGTTGCTTTTTTTGTGCTACCAACTTTTTCCGTGTTAACGCTCATACGTTTCAGCGTCCTTCTGTGTGTTTTTGATTCCTTCATAACACGGACACCACTGTAAAATACGCTTGCAGAAACTGCTAAGGCACAGATGATGAAATATAACATACAAATTATGACGAGTACACTTGTATTCGCAACGTATGATGTAACAATCTCAGCAACAAGAACCAAAATCCCGTGAACAGCTATAACACCAAGAATGAATCTCAAGCTCTGTATTTTACGTCTCGAAAAACTCACTTTAGCTGCTTCGAGAAATGCATAATGGATAAGGGTATAACCAGCAATGAGACATGGGAAACCACTGCCAAAGAATAATCTTTGTATAACGATTGGTGTTCCATTTCCATAATCAACCATTTCATAGGGATAAAGAAACAACGACAATGCTCGAGTTATACCGAAAACTACTAGTAAACAATTCACGGCATAGCAGAAACGCCGAGTGACAAGAAGTTTTGTATTACGGGCACGTATTAAAGCCAGAATTGACCAAAAAGCAACAAGTAAAAACATTATTCCAAAACCAATATAATGTAACTCCCATGCACCTTTCCATACATACTTTGCAGCAGGCCATTCTGGGACTGGTTCGGCATTTGGATGTCGTGGATAGTACTCAGCTGTCGCAGGTGGTTCACTCTCTGGTTTTGATATGTTCTTAGGTGATGGGGATGGTTCGCTTTCCGCTCGAGGAAATCTCATTATACTTTTAAAAAATAAATATTATTGATGCTGTTAATAATTTTCGTCTGTGCCAAGACAGATTATACAATCAATTATGAGATACAATAGCTGACAAAGAATACAGCGCATATACAAATTCTTTCATTAATGCTTACCTGTACGGATGCAACCCAAGTAAAAATACAGAACTAAACTTTAATACTTCACGTAAGTTTTCTTGTATTTGCTGTCTGAAATCTATAAGCAAAAAGTAATTTTGATATTTTTTAATCAGAAAAAAAATGTAAGCTTAGAAAAGAGTTTTAATAATATTTAAAAGTAGATCAACGGACGTGTTGTTGAATATAACTACATTACGTGAACAACGGCAAAAGTACACGGTTTCTTGAGATGCAGCCTTGACTGTAGCCACTTTTCTGTGTATTTTAAGTAGTTCAGAAGTTCCACAAGATCATTGCAACCAATAAATTTTATATAAATTTTCCATTTAACTGTTTAAGCTAAGCGTTCGTCTTAGCCCATGCAGAAAAATATAATTAAGATCGAGACTTTAATAACGTTGCTTCAAACCAACAGGTGAAGTTTCATCGCAGGTGTTTGTAAACTTTGTCGGACGTTAAAAATTTAACTTTTCCTTATTTAAACAAGAAATATTGAACTTTAAATTTTTTACCATCCAAGAAACAATTGATTTCTTTTCCAAAAAAACATTCATAAAATCAAAATCTTACCAATGCTAAAAACTCTATCTTTTGAGAGCAAGTACTTCAAAGTATGTATATGCATATATGTTATAAAAATTTTATGTTATAAACATTAGACTAGCATATAAATTGATCATTACTCTTATATCATACGTCATAAGCTTTCCCAGCAGGGAGTGATTTCCGATGTCAGTGTAACTGTAAAAATTCAAACTGTTGGTAAATTTGTAATGAAACATTTTGCACCTTTTTTGAGTTTGCAAAAAAAGACAAGATCAATATTGTTGACGTTTTAACAATATCAATTATAAAAGGCTTTATAATTTTATCTGTATTTTACTGGTATAAATTTTTTCTTTTCTGATTTTAATTATGAGAGTGCCTTGTCATTGCCAGTATCTCATTAAGAAATATTTCGATTCAATTGAATAATTCAATGTTTATTAAAAATTTTCGCTCTGCCAAGATTCAATTCGTTATATAAGTTTTGAATGCACAGATATATAATCACATAATAATTGGACTTCAAATAAAAATTTGGAAATCGGATCCGCTGATTTAACGTTAATCTATATACGTACGATACCATTATTAACTATTTGCACAAACGTCAATTCTCGCCACCAGCACTAAAGACTGATGCATAAGGTTGTAGTCACAAAGTCCAAAGTGGACATATCCATTTGCTAAATACATTATTTTAAAGACAATAGATAATGATTTATATTCCTTACTGTCCGTTGTCGTTATAAAGCTCCTGGCAACGAAAACGTTTTCCTTTTATAATACTAAAAATCTAGCATGGAGTTGAATTTTATGTTTGTTGAATATATCCGGACATAAGGACATCTATCAACAATGCTTGTAGAAAAATTGCAATTTCAATATCACTTTTATTATGGCGAATGAAAAACCTTAGATATTTTTCTCGCCAAAAAAACTTACGTAAAGTTTTACATCACATAAGAATAAATAATTTTATATATTGAAACGAATATTTACGTTGGATTTGAACCAAGGCAACTCTTCATTGCCAATTTACCCTTTTGTGGCGTAATGATTTAATTCATGTGGCGTAATGATTTATTAAGCGATAATTTAACAAATTTATCAGACACATATACCAAATATTATTCAATATATAAAAATTCTAATACGCCATGATCAGCTAACGGAAAATGAAGAAACCATTCACGATTTCATTTGTCTATAAAATTACATAAGTTTCTTCAAGATATATAAATATCCTTTCCCATCTTTAGTGACCCTTGTAGCTATGTACATACCTGGTGACAAACATAGAAAAGTCTAGCCGATGATTTTTTCTGTGTAATAACTCAGAGCTGAACGGCGAAAAGACAATGTGTTTACCTACATTAAAACACTCCAAACTACATTTACCTCTCACGTTTAAACAAAGAAATTTCGCCTTGTATTAAAGAATTGTAGTACTTCCTGTCTTTATTGCGTTAAACCTTGTATGCCCTTAATCACATGACAAGCACATTCCACGCATAATGACTGTATAATGTTTGCTAAAAATTATCATTGGTATACATGGAAATGACTAAACTAGCTACGACAGTATTTTCAAAAAATTATAAAAATTCAACACTTAAAATGCAGTCGCATGCCTTGTGAAAACATTACTGCTTTTTAAGCTTAAAGTGTCTAGATTAATTTATGTGGAAAAGAGAAAAAGGATTTGAGAACACTTGGAGTTGGTAAAATCCTTCCCGCAAGGAAAATTTTTTCCAGCTAAAACAAACTTTTCATAAACGTTCAAGATATTGAATGGTACAGTTATTGTAGAAATGACAATTGTCAAATGACAATTATTAAAAATACGTTACCACTAAAATTATTTACGAACTATCTCAACATACATTCCTGCACAAAAATCAATAATTCTTTATAAAAAAATCACACCACCAATATGAAACGTTAGTTTTGAATCCGAAAAAAACTATTACCAGACTAACATATAGTTACTATATTTGATATATATTCAGTATATAAACCAACTCTATTTAACTAAATTAAAATATTCCTTGGTAAATGTAAATGATGATGAATAGCAATATATGAAATATTTGTTACATTGTTACTGCTAGTAAAGTGTATGTATATCTACTAACCTACAAATAAATGTGCTTTTATATAGAACTAAAAGTCTTTTATGTATGAAACTGAAAAAGATTTTGCGTATGTCGTGATGATTGATAAATAGAATTGATTCTTGTTCAGTTAGCAGTTACGATATTTCAAAGGCATTGGGGAAACGTGTTCAATGCATGCTCTTATTGTGACATGATAATCTATCTCATTAAATAAATGATAACATCGAACCACTCTCCATTGCTGTCCATTTTCACACTAAAAAAAGAAACGCTTATTGATAGGCAATTTTTCAATGGTTACAGGCCAATATAGTTGTTACAAAGTGCAAAAATCTGACATCGTGGTGCTTAGTGCTGGATATTTTGAGTATTGGGTAATAATTAACATAGCCATGTACAATACCTCACTCCAAGGCCAAATTTTCCATCGCAGATTGTTTCCTAAAGATAAAAAATAATCTCAATTCACGATTGTTAAGTAATATCGATCGATAAGAGTAGAGTGAGCAAATACTGAATTTCAGTTGAATAATGCATTTGTGGAAAAAGTTTCCTCTTACCATACGGAGACGTTTCCGGATTGGCTGGTGTAAGAATTCGTATGTTGCCCGGATTGGAAACATCAGGTCCTAAAATTTAATAAAATTTCTTATCTATAGGATAAATAAAAAATTAAATGACTCTAACGTCTTCACAAACCTTGTTGTACTTGATTATCTACAAAGAAGACAATAAACAATCAGATTTAACAAAATATTGTACATGCAAAGAATGTGCAGGCTACATGAAAAGGGAGTGCAAAAAACGTGACTTCAAATCTACCTGTCGTGCTTGTATCACGTGAGCTTTCCGAGGTGGTAGATGTTGAAATCTTTTCACTTGTACTTTTAGATGGAGTCATGACTTGGCTACTTTCTGATGGTACTGTAGTTTCTGTTTTTATTACGACATTAGATCCATCTAAAAAGACAAGAAAATAATGAACAACTCGTTTATTATTTTTAGTTATCTTTATATGACGTAATGTACTCACTGCCATCACAAAATCCACAAGATTTTGGACAATTTATGCTCATAAAATCTCTAGAATATTCACAATATCCATCATATTTTGCAAACGTTGCGCATTTTGTTCTTTTATCATAGCAATCTGAAATAAGTAATACAAAGAAAGGTTTTTAATTATTTCTACTGTTCAGATGTAGTGTAACTTGTCAAAAAGCCATTAATCGTTTAACTATTGATGTGAATGTAAGACTTTGTCGTAAAATGTTGAAAGAGAACATTGCCTGAGAAAAAGATTTTTTAAATACCTTTTTGATTTATCTTTGGCCCTAGAGAGCTCTTTGTGACAAGTTTTGTTATGGCTTCTGTTGTACTGATCTTCGTACTCATTGATGACGTCACAGTGATATTGCTCTTTGACGTTGTTGGAGCTGTGTTTAGCAACTTGGTTGTCTCCGGAGGTAACTTTGTTCCTTCAGAGCTCTCTACAGTTGTTGTATCGGGTGAAAAATCTACACCCGTAGGTCCAGCAATAAAGTCTTCAGAAAGACATATCACTTTTAATAGAATTATGAATGATGAGAATTTGAAATATAAAGACACGCTAAATTACCACATAGTCCACATGTTTTACGGCAACCAGAATCCGATAGTAAAGAAAACAATCTACAATAATCCATCTTCTTGAATTCACTACAATCACTCCTTAAATCTTCGCAATCTATAGTGATGACAATTATTAATTATTGATGTGATGACAAGAGAAGATTTATAAAATCTGAGGTGATTTGAAACGTGATATTCAATTCAACACTTCAACAGAACTTCAAAATCATTTTAAAAGATAAAAAGACGCAGTAACATCTAATTCTAAGAGAGAGTCTACCTGATAGTACTTTTACTGTGAAAATTTCCGTTGATTTTTTTAGGTAGGTAAAAAGTCACCAGGAAGAACAACGGTGAAAAAATTCTCTAATTTTGTCATTTGAATCATATTATGGAGACAAATTATAATAAAAAAAATTATTAGAATCATACTTAGTCTTTGGCTAAGCTCCTACCTGATGAAATACCTGTTTGGGTCGAAAATACCGTTGATTTTCCACCTAGGTGACGAAACAGAAAAAATAATGAATTTTCATAAAGAAAAGGCATAAACTATGAATTCAGTGAAACAAGAAGATTTTCTAATTTTGCTATTGAAATTCGTATTGTTATTGAAATAAGTAGATTACTTAATTGTGAAAGTGGCTGTTGGTGTAGAAGGAACCGTTGATTTTTTAGCTAGGTGATTGAACAGAAAAAGTAAAAAATTGAAATAAAGGAAAGGCATAACTTATATGTGTTGTAAACTAAGAAGATTCTCTAATTTTGCTATTAAAGTTATTTTATAGATCAATTAGATTAGAAGGAACCGTTGATTTTTCACCTGGATGATGAAACAGAGAAGGCAAAAAACAATCATTAGTATGACTGTAAAAGAACAAACGACAGTCACTGATTTTCTAATTAAACTTATTTCATAGATGAATTAGAAAATGTATGAAATATGAAATTGATGAATTGAAAATGTATTAAATATATTGGTGACTTTTGCATGGTATATTACGTACTAGTGATAGTGGCTGTTGATGTAGAAGGAACCGTTGATTTTTTGGCTAGGTGATTAAATAGAAAAAAAATTAATTAGAATTTACAATGAAAGAAAGACATAACTTGTGAATGCAACGAAGCAAAAAGATTTTCTGATTTTGCTATTAAAGTTATTTTATAGATGAATTAGAAATTCAAAATGTATAAAAATATGTTGGTGACTTCTGCATGGTAGATTACATACTTGTGACAGTGGATTTTTGTGTAGAAGGAACCGTTGATTTTTCACCTAAATGATGAAACAGGAAAGGCAAAAAACAATCATAAGTGTGACTGTAAAAGAACAAATTACAATTTAAACATAACTATATTTCATTTACCAGGAAGGACACAGAAACCACAGGTCTTTTCACAAGCTAATTTCGAATATTGTTTATTTATCTCACAGAATGATTGAGCGTATGCTGAACATTGTGGATCTATATCACGACAATCTAAAAGAGCAGTAATTTTCAAATTATCAAAAAACGCTATTTTGATATTTCAAAATTTTGTATCGAGTTAAAACGTTGCATAAATGATGTTAGAATAACGTATACAAGTGCATGAATTGTTTGCAGTTTGTTCAATTGAAAAGTTTGTATTTTATCAAGTGGCTTAAATATTTATCTTTCTGTTTCAATAATTTGGAGCAATTTTTTGTAGCTTTGAGCGATTTCAGTTTTTAAGATTACCTGAACGAATTGTAGGGTCAAATTTCTTTGTCATTCTGTCAACTTCATTGGCTTTTGATGATTCTGTTGTAGATAGTTCTGATGATAATTCTGTTGTAGATGTCACAAATACATCATTAGAAAAAGTAAAATTCCATAAAAATTTGCTGTATGATTATTTAACATTAATCATGTCAGAAGAAATTTATTTTAACATCATTTTCACGACAAAAAATCTGTTAGTATATACATATAATTTCAGCATTTCCGTCAGTACATGTTATTTTGATATAACTAAATTATATTGTCTAAGCAATTGTATGATACAAAATAAATTGTCAAAGAATTTGCTAACTGTCCATAGATGATAACGAGAAAACAGACTAAGGCACAGTAAAAAAGTACCAAATATCTTTTTTGTTAATTTTTCATTTAAGGTAAATGGTAAACGTAAGCATTTGCTCCAAATTTTGTGAATTTCATTAATTCGGACTTTAGAGCTTACCTGAATTGACAGCTAGATTTCCTTTCTTTGTAGTCTTTGGTTCCGGTGTTGAAGGTTCTGGTGTTGATGGTTCTGGTGTTGATGGTTCTGGTGTTGAAGGTTTTGGTGTTGATGGTTCTGGTGTTGATGGTTCTGGTGTTGAAGGTTCTGGTGTTGATCGTTCTGGTGTTGAAAGCAATTTGTAAGCGATTTTTTTTCGTATTTCCTGTAAGTCTTAGTCATGTATTTTCTAAAAACGTTTACAACTTGAGTAAATATATTTACAGTGTTTCGAGGTGCAGTAACGTACTTCATAAATCTATTCAAATAGTGCAGTTACGTAAAATTAATCCTAACTTTTACAAAAAACAACTTTTAGTTTATGCAAACCGAAAAAACAAGGTCTCCACGAGATTAATTTTTCTGTCAGCAAAAATCACCATTAGTGCAAATTCCACATGTTTTCTTGCAAACCTTAGCTGTGAATTGAGATATTTCTTCACAATATCCCAATATCTTCAAAAATTTAAAATCTGTGTGCATATCCTTACAGTTTTTAAGACGTTCATTTATCCAATTACTTAACTTTATAAAGTTCGACTAAAGTCTATAAATAGTGCAAGTTATTATTTAATGATAGTTGCTTAGGATTTTGTTTACCTTCTGTAGAGAAAGACTCTGTGGGCTTTTCTGTCGTCTTTTCTACTTCTATCAAAGCACAAAGCTATTAAAATGGATTTCATTGAACGAGAAACAATGTTAAAAGAAAAACAATAGAATTACTTTCTTCAGCAGGTAAACAGAATTTGCAAGTCTTTCGGCACGCAAATTCGGTGAACTCGAAGTTTTCTTTGCAAAACGTATCCAAGTTTGAAGAAGCCACGTAGACTGGACAGGAAGGGTCTAAATCTGTACAAGCTGGGAAATAAAAAGTTTAACCGTTGATACAGATGAGACATCACGCATTTGTCGTGACAGATAAGATGATTATTACATACGGTCTCCTTCTGCTGGAATCAAAGTATTCTCAGGACCAGATAATACATCAGAAGGCTCTTCAGCTGACTTAACATTACTTTTTGTTCTTTCTGTGGCAATAGAAAGTCCTGCTTTGGAAGTTGTATGCACAGTAGACTTGTCATCTGTAAAATTAAAGTTATTACAAAGGTTACCAGAGCAACATTCGAAACGACAGTCACTTGTGATAGTGGCTGTTGATGTAGAAGGAACCGTTGATTTTTTGGCTAGGTGATTAAATAGGAAAAAATTTAATTAGAATTTATAATGAAAGAAAGACATAACTTGTGAATGCAACGAAGCAAAAAGATTTTCTGATTTTGCTATTAAAGTTTGTTTTATAGATGAATTAGAAATTCAAAATGTATAAAAATATTTTGGTGACTTCTGCATGGTAGATTACATACTTGTGACAGTGGATTTTTGTGTAGAAGGAACCGTTGACTTTTCACCTAAATGATGAAACAGGAAAGGCAAAAAACAATCATAAGTATGAACGTAAAAGAACAAATTACAATTTAAACATAACTATATTTCATTTACCAGGAAGGACACAGAAACCACAGGTCTTTTCACAAGCTAATTTCGAATATTGTTTATTTATCTCACAGAATGATTGAGCGTATGCTGAACATTGTGGATCTATATCACGACAATCTAAAAGAGCAGTAATTTTCAAATGAAAAACGCTATTTTGATATTTCAAAATTTTGTATCGAGTTAAAACGTTGCATAAATGATGTTAGAATAACGTGTACAAGTGCATGAATTGTTTGCTGTTTGTTTTGTTTAAAAGTTTTTATTTTATCAAGTGGCATAAATATTTATCCTTCTGTTTTTATATTTTGGGGAAATTTTTATATTTTGAGCGATTTCAGTTTTTAAGATTACCTGAACGAATTGTAGGGTCAAATTTCTTTGTCATTCTGTCAAGTTCATTGGCTTTTGATGATTCTGTTGTAGATGTCACAAATACATCATTAGAAAAAGTAAAATTCCATAAAAATTTGCTGTATGATTATTTAACATAAATCATGTCAGAAGAAATTTATTTTAACATCATTTTCACGACAAAAAATCTGTTAGTATATACATATAATTTCAGCATTTCCGTCAGTACATGTTATTTTGATATAACTAAATTATATTGTCTAAGCAATTGTATGATACAAAATAAATTGTCAAAGAATTTGCTTACTGTCCATAGATGATAACGAGAAAACAGACTAAGGCACAGTAAAAAAGCGTGTGCATATCCTCACAGTTTTTAAGACGTTCATTTATCCAATTACTTAACTTTATAAAGTTCGTCTTTATAGTGCAAGTTATTTAATGATAGTTGCTTAAGATTTTGTTTACCTTCTGTAGATAAAGACTCTGTGGGCTTTTCTGTCGTCTTTTCTACTTCTATCAAAGCACAAAGCTATTAAAATGGATTTCATTGAACGAGCAACAATGTTAAAAGAAAAACAATAGAATTACTTTCTTCAGCAGGTAAACAGAATTTGCAAGTCTTTCGGCAAGCAAATTTGGTGAACTCGAAGTTGTCTTTGCAAAACATATCCAAGTTAGAAGAAGCCACGTAGACTGGACAGGAACGGTCTAAATCTGTACAAGCTAAGAAATAAAAAGTTTAACCGTTTATACAGATGAGACATGACGCATTTGTCGTGACAGATAAGATGATTATTACATACGGTCTCCTTCTGCTGAATTCAAAGTATTCTCAGGACCAGATAATACATCAGAAGGCTCTTCAGCTGACTTAACGTTACTTTTTGTTGTTTCTGTGGCAATAGAAAGTCCTGCTTTGGAAGTTGTATGCACAGTAGCCTTGTCATCCGTAAAGTTAAAGTTATTACAGAGGTCACCAGAGCAACATTCGAAACGACAGTCACTAAAATCAGGATCTGCACAGGATTCTCTTTGTTCACAAGATCTTTGTGATGCACATTCGCGTTTGATGACTGTTAAATTTTTTGTTCGTGAAAACGCCTGTATGACAATACACTTGTCAAAATGATCTTCTAATGAACAATGTTCAATCTGAAGATTGTTTTCAGAAGAGCAACCTCCAGTCTCTTCTGAGCAGAGATAGCATTTTGTCGAAATTTCTAAAAGAACACATTTTCATACAAAAGTGCGGATACAAAAATATATAAATAGAGTACTCGCATTAGCAAGCAACCACTGAGTAATTTATGTTCAAAGGGTGAAATGGGCTGAGTTTTTCTGTTTGTTTTAAAAAGAAATGGATAAAAAGTCATGAAAAATAAAGTCCAATATTTTCAAGTAGACCGAAAAATTCGTGAAGGGAATGGAATGAAAACAATTTCATGAAAACCTTCTCGAATTTTCATTAGAAAACTTTAACATCGTAAATGAACGTCAATTCAATGCGGGTACAGAACTTTATAAACGAATTAAATTAAGATAATTATGATACCTTCTTGGTACGTTTATATAATATTTATTCACGTTAGGTATACTTATAAGCTATAAGAAATGCATGACTAATCAAGATCAAATAAAATACCGTCATATGCGCTTATTTCTCACATTCTTCTATATCATAGTAATCATGCATACTTTTTTATTGGGAATAGGATTACTCTTGTAATACAATAAGTTATACATTGACTATTCCACTATGTACAATTATACTGAAAAGAGTTACTTAACTTTATTGGTATGCAAACCACAAACATCCATTTTACTGTTTGTTGTGCTTTTTAGGTTTCTTAACCCAAGAAATAACAAGAAGTAATTATTGGATTATTTTAGGAAGAATTTGAATATCTACCCAAAACTACTTAAAAAACTGATTATGAAGTTAGAAATGAAGAAAGTTGTTTGTTCTTTAATTTCAAAACCCTTGTGCAAAATAGTAAACGTAATGAAAAGAAAAACATCACTCAGGTTTAGCTGAAAGAATGGCTAAAATTAGCCAAATGCATAAACAACTTTAAACGATTGAAAGGTTTTATAAAAAGGTCGAAAATGTTAGTGAGCATAGAATTTAAGACGGCATTTTGTGGATTGCGTCTAGTTGTTTTTCATTAGAGATAATCCATGCAAATTTTGTACCAACAACGGAACATCAAAGTAGGTCAAGGCTTGTCAACACAAATAATAAATTTCCGATTTGAAGAGCTACAAACATGCAAGATGCAAGTGAAATAGTCAATTTTTAGCGTTTATTTCAGGATAAAAATCAGTTATACGATAGAATTATCAAAGATTGGACGTTATCTTGGAAAACTGTATCCACAAATACATAAACCCAGAGTAATATGAGTTGAATTATGAAGAATTTCTAAACTTTTTCATTCATTAAAATTATGAATCGCAGGAAATGAAAAAATCTTGCACATCACAATTTAAGCTTTGGATTGACGACTTTACGATATTTTTCGACAAAATAAATTTCATAGATATTGTTGGTAAAGACCAACATGCAAAAGACCAATGAATACATAAAACAAAGAAAAACTTAGAGTTTTGTATGTGAATCTTACAATATTAACGGAATAGTTGGTAATCAATGAAACATTTCAGAAATAAGGCTGTATAGTCTATTTTGGGCTGAAAATATATTTTTGATTTCGAATAAATAACATTATGACGCAGTGACATAAACACGACAAAGCAGAAATATTTTAATTCATTATTATAAACATTGACTCGATGAACTTACCTTTATTGTTTAATGGAGCACCTTCCAAATCATAAAGAAATTGACTTATGATAAAGAAAAATATCAAGAAGATTGACATCTTTAAAATAGCTATTCTACACGCAAAAGACGCTATAATACGACGCTCTTGATCACCTTAAGGAATTTGCCCACCTAGTTGAGCGAGGCTCCCAAGCATATCCCAATGAAAATAAAGAATATTTGTCTTTTTAATTTTTACATATACTAACAAAAAGCTCAAGTACAAGCAATAATTTACTATAAACAATTCTTACAATTGTGAAAGTAAAATGTTTAAGTATTTATGCAAAGCAGCGGGAAGCGTGAGAATAAAGATAATGCTAAGTGTTTCTCTATACAAATATCCTTCACCTATGGTATGCTTGATTGTCGAAATGAAGTTGTTAGAAAAATTTTTCCAGTACACGTAAAAATCCAAGACAACAGCCATCGCCTGTTTCACTTCTCCCTGTGAGAAATCTCTGACAATTCAGCGACTTCTGTTTAAAGCAACTAACTCATGGGTTTTTTATATAAAAATTTTAAAGTTCGAAGTAAAGATCGTAACAAAACCGATCCAGCATTATCACATCAACACAAGGTCAAAAGCGTAAATTCGTGACATAGTTGTTATATGCTCTTACCACAAAGTGCAGTCTCTATCATGAATTTTTATTCTGGAACAATATGATCTATAATTTTCACTAAATGCTTTGTGCTTGTTAATCTTCGCAGACTAATGTATTGTATTAAACGTGTATTATGTCGAAATTCACCATTGAAGTAGGTTCCGAATAAACTACCATGATATCCAATTGGATATCAAAATAAAATTATTGTAATGGAGTGATTTTGACGCACATTGATAAGGATGCTTTTCTAAAACCATACGAACAGGAGCATTTAAAGGATACAGTGAAACCGCCAAGCAGAGCAAATTTCAAACATTTTCAATAGTATTTTCTCGAATGCCAAAGTAAATAGTTCGTGACATGGAATGCGTTCATGGTATTTAAAGAGAATGTACACAGTGGTTTATAAAGCTAATCAGTCACGTATCTTTAATTGTGTTTGATGAATGTGTGTAGGTGTTAATATGAAACAACTTACTGCTGCGAATTCAATAGACATTCTCGAGAATTAATACTAAAATTAGCTTTAAATAAGAAATAAATCAGGCAATATAATTTTATCAATAAGATTGTTTCAGCTGTGTTTCATAATATTATATGAATAAAAGATTGTATCTGCACACAAGAAATTGGAAAATCAATGCATTAAATAGTCTGTATAAGCAGCGACAGTTGTTGACATAATGATTTCCATGTTTTCTTGTAAAACCTTTGATTAGTGGCAAATTTATCGACAAATGACTTTGAAACAATTGATGAATTTTACTATTCTACACCCCGATCTTTTAGGACATCATCTTTGTGTTTTTGTCCTCAGATGTCCCCTATACACCATCATCATCAAGCTCATCCAGACTGTCCTCACTCTTTGTCAGTCCTCCTCCTTGGTGTTCGGCCAACGCTTGTTTTGCCAGGTAGGCCTCTCGTTTGATGAGTATGTCTAAATCTTTAGGAATATCAGGAACGAGAAGATCAATCATCGCGGATACAAAGAAGACAAAATGCTATAAAAGAAATATAGCAAGAGTAAAATAAAATTTACGTTAAAATATGACTTTGTACTGACGTGCATATTATTGATAGTTTAATTACCTCAAATATTATAACAAAACCTAGCTTGAGAGCAAGTAAATGCCAGTAAAAACCTGTATGGGAGCCATTATTATCGCGGAATTGTAAATATCTAGATTTTAAAAGAAAAACAACGTAGAAAACAATGTATACAGCTAGATAAGCATACGAGGATACAACTAGGATATGTAACTACCTGCAAGGCTCTTTCGTGGTATTAGCTGGTGCCCAAGCTAGAGAATAGTTTGTGTATCCTTCTAAAGAGCCATCTGGTGAGACCGAGTAACGGTACAAGAGCTTGGGTAAGAATGATGACGTAAACGCGATGAGAAATGCCTGAGATCAGGTGTAATTGAAAATTATTAAAAAATTTTAGAACTTGATAAATCAGAAATATTTGCTACGTTTAAACTGATCATGGCATACAATGCAAAGCAAAAAGTCGTCTATAATATCCATGAACATGAATGAAACAACAATTAGTACCATTTAAAAATCATAAATATACACGTTATCGTTGAGAAAATAGGAATGAAAAACTTACGTTGCTAATTACAGCAATCTTAGCGACTGCATCAAGAATATTAAACCAAATACCAATATCCTGAGCACGATCAGCTATTGGACGACGCACTTCGCATACAAACTTATCAGAGTCGATACGGATTTCAAAAATGTTATTGGCAAGCGCGAAGAATGGGGCGAGAGGAAAAGCAGCAACAAAAATTGTAATGAAACCAAACTGAAGAACTTAAAATGAAAAGAAGATTAAGTTATTTACAATTAAGATAAAAGGGAATTTCAAAAGAATGTCGTAGAGTGATGATTTTTATAAACCATTACATAAAACACAAAATCTTACCCATTTCAAGATATTCACCAAATAGTCCTTCATTTGGAATAAGTTCATAATCTTGTTCCCATCGAGTTTTTACTTCATCTCCCTTCTTACCCCTCTTCTTCCTCGCTATCCATTGTTTTACCACACTACAAAATTGACATTAAACACGATCAATTGAGAAGATCTTGCTGGGAGTTGTGGATAAAACGTTTATATTTACATAATTACAGTGTTTACAATAATGTACTTATGGTGTCATAAAGGATAAAGAGGATACTCATAGTACATTATTATTATCATAAATAATGTACTTACGGTATCATGAAGGAAAAAGAAGATACTCATAGTACATTATTATCATCATAAACAATGTACTTACGGTATCATGAAGGATAAAGAGGATACTCATAGTACATTATAATCATCATAAATAATGTACTTACGGTATCATGACTTCTTGTATATTGTTGATCAACTGTTTTCCAATCATTATAATGACCAACTGTTGGGCCAGTTCCATCAGACAGCCACCAGGAGCACACTAAACAAAACACATTAACAAAAGCAGTTTTTTCTCGCATGTTTCATTTAAACAAACTAATTGCATCATTTTACTTCTTCTTGACGTAAACCCATCAATCTGTTGTAGTTCCCAGGATAACCAATCATCCTGAAATAAAGACAAACATGCTGAAAAATTAGTTATAGATCTACAAATAATTCTCATCGCGAATGATTCTAATCTCACATACTTTCCCTTGAAGAACGCGATATAGAAGATCGAAGAGTAGAAGTTGACAAATTGGAAACAAAAAACTTTGAACGTCAGACTATCTTCATATTCAGTTTGTGTCCGATGCATTTCTGTAAAGATGTAAACCACCTCAATATAATAATGAAAAAAAGAAACAAAGAACACAAAATTTTACACACCCCAATGATTTAAAGCCTGAGCAACTTTTTCATAAACCTAAAATGATATGAAAAACATTTATCAAAGATAGCATGCAACTCATAAGGATAGAAGAAAATGTATGTCCTTACCCTACTTAAAATCATGATAGTCATTAAATTTACAATTGCTCCTGTCATGTTTGCAATCTGTTGCGCTTTTGCTTTTGTTGATGAATTTTTAGCCAGCGGTCTGTACACCAACAGTTTATATACAATTACACCGACCATAAAGACTAAAACTAAGGAAACCATAGTAAGTATAACAGCAATGCCAGAGAAAACACGATTTGATCGTCTCTCTTCAGGAAAATGAGGTTCCATGATTCCTGTAACTGGATTTCTCGCAACCGTGGGAGCTAAAGCTGCAAATGTTGGACGAGGCCGCTCCTAGGCGAATATAGAAGAGAACATGAAACATGGGATATTATGATTAAGACCATAATGACGTTGAACAAGACTTACAGCAGCCTCTTCATATTCCAAGACGTCCCAATGATAAGCTAACGTTATTTCTTTTCTTTTCCAAAACTCGAGGAAGAAAACAGCTGTTTAAAAATAATAATGAATTGGTACAATGTAATTTTCAATGACAATTTAGACATTCATGATTTCTATCATGCAAAACGCCTCACCAATACTTGAAAATAAATATTTACCCCAAAACGAAACAAAGACAGCATAAAATACAGTGGCAGCGTTATCGAACAGATAGGCGATCTACAATATATAGGCAGAAACTTCTTAGTGAAAAAATTCATATAAAATTTCAATTGTGGAATACATTTACCTTTCCCGTACCACAGCTCATCTTAAGATCCCAATATCTACAACCTAAATCCTCATCACACAATGGACACATTTTAAAAGTCCATGGAGGATATTCGCACACTTCCAAGCTATAAAACAAAAAATTTCACAAAGAAATTTAAAATCTAATAAATTAGCCCCTGAACATGTAATATAAACGGCCAGAGATGTCGACTCAAGATAATCTTCGAAAACAATTAATTATGAGACTTACGCAGGTCTGTTATCCGGACCGTGAATGGTTATCACTCCATAAAGAAAAACAAGTGTTCCAATAAACGATGGAGCTAACAGCCATGCCGTATATTGTCCTTTAAAACAGTAACCAACAAAATAAATGTTAAAGTTAAATTAACGAGAAGAAATATTAAGAGTTTTACCAAGCCATGCGAAGTATATTCCAATCTTTTCGCCAAAATATTCCCTGAAAAAAATGAGAAGTCAGTTTCATATGACATTTTATGTTTCAATGATATATTTACAATGTTTACCTAATGTGATCTAGAGGTTGATATTTCACCCATTTTCCCCATCTTGCCCAATATTCTTTTAAAACCTAATAAAATATTCATTTTGTGAATAGGAGAAATCATTTTAAATGTTTATGCATTCAAAGCAAAGGTGTGCAGGAAGAACAACAAGCAAACCTGTCTTTGATTAAGATTAATTTCCTCAGGACTGTCAGGTCCTTCCTTATATTCGCGTGGTAACTCGTAGGGGCCCTTGTCAAAAATTTTCAATCATAAATATTGTCTGATGATGTCTTGAGAATAAAGACGTCATACTTTTCAATAAATACAATTCTTTATAACTTTGTATTGGATGGTTTAATATTTATTATTAGAATTCTCTTCACGTCTGGTATTTCTTGGTCAATAATAAAGTAAATTCCCATTCTTAAACTTACCACATGAAGAGGATAGGAGGCAACAAAAACTTTCTCTTCAACTAATCTTTCAATACCTGTGAAAGAGGACACGTCGGTGGCATTATGCGAACTCGATTGTGGAGCACACACAACCAAACATGGCACAGTCAAATTACCTATCTCTCCCCTTTGTTTTTTGCCATAAGGAGCAGTCTCCAAAATTTCATATGCCTAAAGTTAAACAGAATTTTTTACTTCCAACCACGCTCATGCCATCATACATAGTGAAATAAATGATAATTATTGATAATAATAATTAAATATAATGATAATTAAATACAAACAAATAGTTACATTAGCAGTTAAATGGAAATTGCAATACGTTTAACTTACAATTCGGCTCCTTTCCGTATCTTTGAAATATGTATCACGATTTTCATTTCCCAAGAATCTGGAGTGGTAAAACTATAGTTAAGGACACAGCATTCTTATGGACATATGGAGAACGTCAAAATACTCACTTGTCTAATTTAGACGCCTGGAACTCAGCAGTAAAGTAGTCAGGAGGTTGATTAGGTACGTCATCTTTAAATATGTTTGGTAAACGGAACTTCGTAAGCATTCGATCACTCCAATTTATCTTTTTTGAACCTCGAATCTTTAGTAAGAAAGAAGTAATTTAAAGAAGATGGACTAAAAAGAGGAAAATTTTTGAGCATTGGCATAAAACTTGTTTAAGTCTGTAAAGAAAATCAAAATTTTAAAAATTGCCACCAACCTTAAGAGGAGCTCGAAAGCTTAGTTCCTCGGCGTAAAAGAGTAAAACTTCCCAAGGAACATGAAGTTTAACGAAATGAACTTTGCTCTTTCGATCTTGTGTTATATCCTTAAATGTATAAAAAAAAACAGTAGAGGATTAGGAGCAAGTAAACAGACGTTATAGTTTATCATTGTTTCTATACTTCTTCGAATTCCAGTTGAGATTTCGCTAGATTTTCTAGGAATGTTCTTCTAAACTCAGCGTGACGCGGTGGAAGTGCTTTTTCTTCTTCAACATAGACAAGAACGAAGTCTAAAACATTCACAACAAAAAGACTTAGCTTTTGAAAAGATAAAATCTCGGCAGATGTTGAAATATCTTAAAAACTTCATACATTTCTTTAAAAGTTATCAAATTTTCTATGACTCACCAATTCTACGTTTGCCATCCTTAAAGAAACACCCTCTTTCACCAATTAGATCATCTTCATCAACATCCTAACAATTGTAAATCCTTATTAGGAATTCTTAGGAAACCTTATAGGTAAAAAAATAATAATGCCTGGTTGTCAAGTCTGAGTGCTGTACAGTTCCATGATTTTAATACATCATATTTTACTGAATTTCATTCCTCATGCAAAAGAAATACTGTTTAACAACCTTATAGTAGCTATAGTTATGATCATCGAAAGTGTTGTATTTAGGAATCAATTCCTGAAAATACAATATTATTATCAATTAGAAGGCCACCACTGGATAAAGCGATATTTTCTCTTCGTTACAGATGTCAGCCACTGTTACAGCAAACAAAATTCAATGAAGAAAAACCACATACATTAAAACATCCATACAATATCGACGACATAAAGACAATGGAACGTATTTTATATAACGTTTTAAGAGAAACTAATTGAAATAAAAATTTTAAGCAAAAATATAGTGTTTATCTTTAGGATGATACAAAGCCAAAGTGATATTTTACCTTTCTGGATTTAAGGTCAAAGAAAAATTTCATTTTACCAAAAATTGTTTTACAGAATTTCAACAATCAAACGTAGATTTTTGTGTCAGTGTTCTTTCACATCTTCGTATTTTGAACGAATGTTATTAGAACATATAAAGGAAAGCTTAGCAACAAAAATATCACGCTGTTATCTTTATGAATTTATCGATAATTACTAAAAATGCACAATTACTGCAGGTAGCAACACGAAGTTAAGTATTGCAAATAATTTCAAAATTATTGAAATTGGAGAAACGGGAAGAAAGTTTACATTTTCAAACATGGTGTTCAAAATTTGTCCATCTTGACAACTATGATATAGATATATATATTATATTATACATTAATGTTCATCCAAGAGTAGTTCCCAGGGCTCCACTAGTTATATAGAGAAAGACGATTTGCAAATGTCATGCGTAAAAGCGACAGCTGCCCAGCTGTGTTTATATCAAACTTTTACACGTATATTTTCAAAATATTAAACGTCTTTAACTACTAAATACCCCAAAACAATTTACAAGTAGTTTAAGTCATCATCATGAATGTTCGTGTTGACAAAATGAAAAAGCAATAAGAGATATGTGGTTATCTCATCAGAATTGTATTATGAGTCGCTTGCTATACCTTCACTATTATCTATCACCTTCAATTGCATTTGGTCGACAAACAAGTATCATCTCAAGTATGTCAGATTTGGAAGAGATAGTTTCTTCTACTTCCGAATATATCTTAATCCATTGTTCGTTGACTTATGAAGCCATAAAACCAACATCATCGACATTATTCAAGTTGTATATATATATTACAATATATCAGCAGTTATATGACGTCTATTTTACTCGCAGTTATTTATTATTAATTTGTTAAATAATATTATACCTCTGAACTACCACTTGCATAATCAAAACTACTTGACAAGTTATGTCCATTGATCAACCTTCGTCTAGAATTACCACTAGATTTTTCTGTCAAGCGATAAGTCATACTTGATACATTGACAAAGTACGTACTCTGTCTTAAAGATTGCTTGACTGCTTATGAAACGTAATGCGAAGGCAATTAGCAAATCTAAATATTGTCCACAAGAGCAGTCAAGCCTGAAGCCTGTTGTTTTCATTTTGCAAGCTAGACGTAAAGTAGTTAATCCATTCTTATTTTGAATACAAAAGGAACATCCTCCAACCTAAAGGTTATCTGTTATCAATGCATTTAATTTCAGTTAACAAATATATTTGAGCCATCTTTCTTTCTTTCATTAAAGTCCCTAAATCTTATTTTCAGAACAGTCTAAATTTTTACAGAACTGAGGAGCTGTGTGTAAGCTTTTTAGTTATATACATCAGCTTCTATCGATAGCTAAAATGTCACGTTTTCTAAAGATCGAAAAGTTATTTCACATTTGTTTGAAAAGATATTTACTGAAGTGTACGATAGCCTACTGTAATTCTGCTAATTCAGTTCATCAGCCAATATATACACACACTTCTTGAAAACTGACATTTCATTATATCGCAACATGCTGCCTTGTAGAAGCTTTATGTTTGTAAGCGCAACGTGGTTTTGTGGCTTGAAAAATCATTGAATGCACTTAGAATTTGATCTCGATGAAAAGATTTCATAAAACTTAACAAATATATGAGTTATACTTCTTTTACAGGTAATAAATCTCTACTTCCTATAAATTAGGTGCTTGTAAAAGAACGAATAAGCAAAACTTCGCAATCAAACTCTGAAATAAAATCTTCATTAATAATACAGCTAGAGATATAACATTCATAAAAGACCACGGACGAATTGCATCTCAAATATATGCACAAATTTGATTTAGTGTGAAGATTTTGATTAATCCATGATTATTCCACAGAACAAAAAATTATTTTGGACTATTTTAAGACTTGCAGCAAAGGAAGATAGCGGAAACAGTGTTAAGGAACACATGACATTTTGTTGCTGAATTGATACTACATGTAGACAAATCCATCTTAAATAATAAATACTGAAGATGACAAACACCTTAAAAACGTTAGGAAGACGAGAGCAGCTACAACAAACATAAATAGCTACATAAGTCACAGCACAGTGCATACAATACCAAACTATCACTATTTCGTCTTCTTAAAGGCACTTTCGAAACCCTTTCCATTCCTTTCAGAGAAATATCAAAATTTATCGTCGTTTCTCTTGGCTAATTTTACTCGATGCTACAATAATATCATGGACCACATCTCTGGGCCATTTCATTGCACCACGGTAAGACAAAAATAGTCAAAAACATCAAATGAAATCAGACAAAATCCGCTTGATTCCAAAGATATTGCGAATCAGTTTTGACGTTGATAAATATATTCAAAAACTTTGTCAGAGTAAAGCATGTATGTATAAATTAAACTTGGGACATTGCTTTCATAAACCAATCAAAACACAAGCTTTATAAGGCAGATGTTTTTACGCTAAACTGAGTGAATACAAATACTTTGGAAGAAAAACATTAGCAGTACTTTTTTTGCAACTGAACAATAAACAGTAGCTATAAACGAGAACTTCTTCTACAGAATTTCAGAGATTTGAAAAAACGCTGTGAAAGTTTCTATCGTTCGTTTGAAAACTTTTATCTAATACAAAATTAATGACGAATATGAAAAGCCACTCAATTCGCGGTTGTTACAAAAGCATCAATACACGTGAGATACAATTCATGTTTTGTTGTTGTATCTTCCTGTCACGTACATGTTAACATGTACAGCAGACGTTTCACATGACGTTTTGAACACAACAAAAAACATTACCCTAAGACGCTAAACTTTATCTAAGTATGCAAGCATACTACATGAAGTAGACACTCAAGGGTGCAAAGTTTTATCTTAGGATACATAGTATTACCTTGGGATACAAGGCATTAACCAATGATATAGAGCTTTACCGTAGGATAGAAAGTATTACCTTAGGATGTATTACCTTAGGATACAAAGCATAATGCAAGGATACAAAACTTTACTCTATTACAATAAACACAACTGCACAAACCTCTTTATTTTTGAGAGACGAGTTATAGTATTTTTCCGCTTCTTTTTCGACAAGAAGTGATATCCTTCCCTGAGATTTCTGAACAAGTAAAGCAGCCTTCTCTTGAGGTACATCGCGAACATCTTCACCATTGATCTAAAAATAAAAGACTTTTTCAACAGTACTATTACTAATTTACTCTATCAACTAAGTATATTCCATTGTACCTGTCGATCTCTTATAATACACATGTATTACCTTGAGTATCCTATCCCCACGTTTCAATCTCTTATCACGGTCAGCTACCCCACCAGGACGTATAGACGTAACGAATATCCCAGGATTTCCCGCGAGGTAAGGAGCATCACTTCCCCCACGAACATTAAAACCAAGACCTTCAGTTCCTTTATTGAGTTCAATTAGAAGAACAGGACCACGATTTACGTCAACACTTCCTTCTTCGTTTTCTTTCTATTGAATCAAAATCAACTTTTATTCAAAGTTATCATTGACATTGAAAACATGAGTCGGTGGGAATGAGATCAAATCAAATCAACTTTATTTCATCAGGGCTACATCAAGAGATCCACGAAAGATCCTCAAGTCTCTAGAAGCTTGGAAATGCTTTGTTCGAAATGATAATCGATGAAGTGATGAAGACATGATCCAAGTGATATTTTCAAAAGTTTTCTACTATCTACCTCTACATTACGAAAATCTTTTCATCATTTAAACGAAAGTAGAAACATACAATCATATTCTTTAATGCATCTTTCAATAACTTAATGCGAACATTTTTCTTGGATTCGTTGATGAGATCAAGTAGTGCTTGTCTGGGTACTCGACGCACATCAATACCGTTAATCTAAATGAGAAATGAAAGATCATATGAAAATTGCGAATGAAAAACGTTTTAAACACTTCAACCGATACTGTCCACGAAGGCCTCAAACTTTCTTCACTCAGCTTACTTCAAGTATTTTATCACCAGGATGCATTTGACCATTTCTAGCCGCGACACCATTTTGCCTTACTGACGTAACAAAAATTCCCGGATCATAACTGAGATGTGGATGGTCCACACCACCACGAATGTTGAAACCAAGACCAGAAGCAGAGTCTGAAAGAACCAGTGATAAAGAGATTGAACTACTGGAAATCAGTAACATGTCTTGGCAATCAATACCTGAAGGATTTTTTGGTAACGTTATTTCAATGATTTTCTCGCTCATATCTTTGGGTTTCATTCGAATCTAACGAATATTTTTTCACATTAAGCAAAGGAAGTTCGCGATAAATGGTTCAAAATCTTTCAAACCTCAATTGCATTTTTTTCAATTTTTAATCTAACTTTATTGACGGAATTTTTCACTAAATCCACAGCAGTCTGAAAATTGACAAATCTGCAATCCCTGTCATTGATCTAAATTTACATAGAAAATATATTAAAAACATCATCTGACAATATAGACTGCGACTGGCATAGCGTTCGTAAAATCAAAACTTGCTGCAATATATGCAGGGCACCTTAAGACAGGGCTCTTGCAGGTACCTCCCTCCTGGAAATGAGTTTCGTAGCTGAATGGATTACTCTACTTAAATATGTTCATTTTCAACAATGCCCATTATACTTCAGAGAATAAAAAACACGATAATCAATTCCTGTTGAAATGCATCTTTGCCACTTTTCGTTAGAAATATTTTGATTTCTTTTCATATGTGATAGATTTACCTCAAGAATTCGATCTCCAGGTGAAAGTGTTCCATCTCTAGCAGCTGCTCCTTTTGGACGAATCTTTGTAATGAATATTCCAGTGTCTTCTCTAATGACAGGTTGATCCAGACCTCCTTTGATGTTGAAACCATAATTTTCTAAATAGAAAACAGAAATGATATTTACCTCACATGTGGACGTTACGGTTTCATTGACTTCATAATAAAGGCTATCTCAATACATAAAAGTTTTTATTGCAATCTATTTCACAATAGCAATTACAGTAAACCAAACTGAACATTTATTAATTCAAGTTAAAATTAATTATGGCATTGACGTCATCAACCGACATTTTCTATATATACTTTTTCTTCAATGTTTCATATTATTTGATATTGTCCTCACCTTCTGGGTTGGATTTAAAAAGCTCCACCACCTTTGTCAGTCCACTTCCAACGGGTTTAGCTTTGTTGGCTTTCACATAAATCTGCGAATCATCGGAAAGTTCTTCGCTCTGCAAACACAAGAGAAAGTTAAGTATTTTTTCCACCCTTGAAAGGCAAGACCGTGTGACAAATATTAGTGAAGCCATGAATAAACGAAAAGTCTGAACTTTTGCAAAGACTGAACATTTGTTAATGTTTTTAAGTCCTAGATGACTTCAAAAAATTATAACAACACTAAACTCATTTAACGAAGAACTCTCTACATTGTAGATTGGACACACCAGTAACGTAGCCTGCCCTAAAGCCCAGTCCCCTTTGCTCCCCAGTCCTTATATCTGTGTAAATATGTGGAGATGACACGCGGAAATATACTAGCTTACCCCAAGTCACCTAAGTCCTAACTTAAAAGTCAAAACAGAGTAGCCAACAATTCATTATTTTCGCGACAGTATCGTTGACATAACAAGTTATACGCATCAAAGTGCACGAGAACAAAATTTATAAGTACAGCACGGTAACTAACATGTGTGCATCATAAGAGATTATAATGGTAAAAATAGCGACTGCAATTCTTGTCTCAATACGATAATAACGTTAGAGTAAACTTTCTAATAAATCAAATTCACATTCACTGGTGGACATTCAACGACTTTCAGTCGTGTGCCCAGTTTTTTCATGAAGTCAACACATATAGAAGGCATGTATGTATAAGGACGTCATTCAAGGCATATTATTGTGGCAGTTCATACGTGTAGGCGAAACATCTATTTGTTTATTCATTGTGAATACTATGGATTGTAATAGATTGTTGTAAATACGAATGAGCTTAAAGTATGGCTCACTTCTCCGCACTAAACTAAGGCAAATCTTTTGTTATGTTACGCTTTATAAAACACTAATTAATTGGAACAAAACTTGGTAAACTGTGTATACGCTGATTAATGATTTTGAATCGTTTATAAAATGTATTTCAAGACAAATTACATGATGGAAATCATTAAAACATTGATAACAATATTGGCCTTTATGTTTAACTGACAACACAGATGAAGATACGTGATTCATGAATGTGAATTGCAAATATTTTATCAAAATTTGTAAGTTGGCAAAGATTGTTAAAACGGAATAACAAACCGTAAAAATTGTATTCTTCTTTACAACGCTAGTTCATAAATATATGTGGTAGCGATGACAATATTTTAAACACCAGAGACGAAGAAAAACAGTGAAAATAATTTGTTCAATAGATGCTTATATATACTTAGATGTACTTATATTAACTGAACTAATACGTTATAACACTTAACCACATACCGAAACGTAGGACATTTTAACACAGTCACACTGACTTGTTCTTTCTTATAAAGAGGAATTACGCAATTCTTTCATTCGTTTTACCAAACAAGCATACACGAGTCGAAAAATGGAACGGTTACCCTGAAACGCCACCATATCGGTAATGGATTTGTATGATTTTACCGTTGAAATGCCATCAGGTCGTTGAAATTACTCGTCATTCATGCAACATCGGTCAAGAATATTTACACACTGTTTGGTCAAGCATCATTAGTCACTTTTGTTATATAAAATGCATACAAAATATAGCAAGTAACCGTAGAATGTTCTTACTATTAACGAAGTAGCAATGAAGATGATATATTCAGACATCCAATGACTTATACGATCAACTATCAAGCTCTTTGAAAGCCTAACTAATAATATGGTTGATTTGAATCTATGATCCAAATAACAGCGTTTCAATGTTATAAGAAATTATTAAGGACTAGCAACCGGTAGGAATTTTTATTTCAGTCTTCATACCTAACTTTAACTAATGAAAAAATTTTTTTCAAAAAGTTGGCAGTTTTTACCAAAAGAAAAGAAGTGCTTTATTTTTTTTTCTCTTTTTTTCTTTAATTTTTTTTGCTAACAGAAGGAACGATAGCATTATTTGTGAAGTATTTTGCTATATATATATTAATATCAAAATACATCTGAGTTAGTTTTGCTTTTAGCTGACATAAATATAACGTATATTTCTGCTATGAAACAAAAAATTCTTCTACAAACACGAAGACAAATCAAATGTTGTCTTTGTACGTCTCAATCTCAGTCCGATTAAGTTTTTGACGCTTGAAGTTATTGTGGAGTACAACATAGTAGGATGGTTTAAAGAAAATTATTAGGTAGGTAATGTCATATGAAATACAGAAATCAATCTGTATTTCATATGACATTATTGAAAAAATGTTTTTGCTTACTCACTTTATAACGAGGCTCAAATTTTCTAGTGGACGTTTGTTGGCTATAATATTCATCAAGAAACTCTATGATCTCATCGTAATTTTCTCGAAGATTTTTTTCACCCATTTTTTCTTTCTTTCCAAACATTTGTCTTTAAGGTACTGACGAAAAAAAAATTGAAATGATGGATGTATGGGTCAGACAGCATCTATCTATAAAATTAAGATTGATAACTAGATCAAAATAAAATGAAGTACAATACACAATAACAATTATAAATCAAAATGCGAAAATAACCATATTATGTAGATCCCTACTGTGAATAACATTCTAAAAATTTATGTACGTGACTGATCATTAACGACTGCCAACAACATCCAAATATTTTCTTTGACACAAAAATCAACCAGTACAAGAAGTTCGTTAAAAAATGCAACATTTCCATGTTAGCAGTAAACAAAAATATGTGCTTTTTAAGTCAACTGAACTGTAGAAAGAGCTTCAATACCTGATTAGCAATGTGCGCTTCTATCGTCTTCAGAATTTCTTTAATTCTATCATGTCATTATTTGTGTAAGTGAACGAACACTCTTGATTTCTAACAATAAATGTAGAACCACAGACAGAACTAGACAGGAAAAAAGAGCATTTGAACACTGGAAAACAATTTCTGTTTAAGATCAGTTCGATGAACGACGTGCGTTTATCTGATGAAAGAATTGTTAAGGTTATTGAAAATTAAGTCCAACGACTGCAGTTTATCAATTTAATTGGATTCTCTGTGTATTTAAGGGTACTTTTCGTACACACACTCCCACTCGCACATCAAAAACATAAAATACACAAATAAGAATTTTGAGTATGATTATTATACTCGACTCGTGCATGCGTGAAATAATTCATTTGTCAGGTAAGAATTGTGTAAACATGACAAATTAAACCTTTCTGCCAATGGTGAAAATTCAACATTTGCATGACTATAAAATGTTTAAGCTCATGGGCCATGAGATTAAACGTTTTGTGTTAAAAATGATTTTTAATCTCCTTCAAGTCTAAACAGAGATTGTCATTGGTTGCCAGGTATTACTAATATAATGACCTCACCAATGAAAAAGGAAAAAGATGGTGATGGTAATTCACTGGTGCAATATTACAGAATTGTGCGCCCATAAGCACTTAGTCAGCGGTTCTTAACTGTGGCCATCTTGTTTTAATTTGTATTGGTATGAATCCAATGGTATATTTATTTTCTTCAATTCTCGAATTTTTATTGTGAATATCGAAGGAGACGCGAATTAATTCTACCGAAAATTTGGCTATGTGGAAACGCAGTTTTCAGTTATTAAATAGTGCCTGGAGGACAAAGTTTATTTGTAAAAATTTCATGGCAAAAAATGTTTCATTTTTGTCAGGAAACATTGACGATTCTCGAAGTAAGTATGGAAGGAAGAAATAAAATTCTAAGAGAATGAGGAAGATTATTCGTAAACTCAGCGGGGAAAAAGTTTTGATAAAGATCAGGGAAAATTTCTAAATAAAATTAATTGTAAATGGCAAATCTTTTTAATTGAATTAGGTATCTTCATGGGAAGTTCTACTGGTACTACGACATCTATATTTCTGAAAAATTCACTTGTTGGATTCAGTGACACAAAGACAGAAGTGTATTTTCCTAATTATACTAATATCGTCAAAGACATCCCAACTTTGCAAGTCAAAAAGAATGCACAATTGTTGACATTGTTAAAAAATAATATGAATCATAACTTATATGAGAATGGTAACATGCTGGTTAAGGATAAAATTGATAATCAATATTGGATGGGAAATTTATTGAAAAAACGGCGAAGGAAAATGAACAGGCAAAAATACAAAAAAAGACGCAAACGAGATCAATTCAAAAGAGAAGCTCTGAAAAATCTGCGTTTGAGGAAAAAACAAAGAAAGGAAAGAGCAAGAGAACGCAAACAGGAAATTCTTTCAAAAATGGTGGTTAATACATCAATATCAAGGAGAAGAACAAGATATTTAGCTCATAAACTTCAACCAGGTGTAATGAAGGTGATGGGCTAGCATAATTTTAAAAATCTTATAAGATTTCATAGATTTATTTCTATATTCTTCAATCATATGTCCATAAAGAGATCATCAAAAAAAAACAAGTCTATGGTTTTCTTTCTATCATCATAGTTACATAAAAAATCACGAAAGTAGCACCTAGGTATACAAAATTTTCTTCCAATAGAAGTGGATTTGTCAAATTGACTGTTCTTACCACAGTTCATATCTTTATAATTCTTAATCACATACTTTAAATCTACCAAAGAAAAGGAACAAACCTAAATGAAATATTAGAAAGAGGTCAGCACATTCCTTGCATTTTCTTAGAGATATACCTTACCTTTAAAAAAACATTTAATAAACAGATGGTTGATGTGTGGGAGCAGTCTCTGGTATATTCTGATAATCTTCATGTCTTGGACCTAAATAATAATTTAGAAATCATTTTTTGTCAAATATCACAAACAAAACGATCTCAAATATTTTCATATTCTAATTTGACGTGAACAACTTGTTTGTTTTAGTATAGTCAAACATCCCTGTATGTTCCTGATATCCCAACAAACTACTATCGTACCTTGAGATGAGGTGAATGCCTGTGTTATTTTACTATAATCAAATGTCCCTCCACGTTCCTGATATCCCAAGAGAAAAAATATAATTGTAACTGGCTGAAACAAATAAAAACAACTGAATGTAAGAAAATTACAATAAGACTTTGATAAAATGCCATTGAACCATTTCTTACCTTCAAGAATAGATTAAAGAAAGAAAAACTAAATTTGTTAAAGAAAATTTTACCAGTCAACAACTATGAGATGTACAGAATAAAACACACTTCAAATAGACTTATTTTAAACTCAAAATTTGACATGTATTGTACATAATTATTTATCATCTGTAAAGGGTATTTGGTATTAAGAAATCAAAAATATAAGGATACACAACAGCAAATTTTCTCTCAGATGAAATGTCATCTAGTGTTAAGAAAGACCAATAGCACTTTCACTATACGAATATCAAATGTTGAGACAAATCAGTAAAAAGTTGGAAAAGCTAGGCAACTTACTTAAGGTTGAATCAAAATATATCCCAATTAAAACACAATCATTTACTATGCCAAAAAGCAGCGAAATAAGAAACTAAAAAAAAATGAAAGAAGTTAAGCAAAAATATACAAGAAGTTCAAAGTTTAAATTTCAGTTTACCACTTGCGCTGCATCTAGACTATCTGGTTGAATTACCACCCAAATAGCAAACATCAAAATCATCAAATGTGAAAATAAATAACTTGTTGGTAGCCATGGAAATGCAAGAGCCCTGTAGTAAAGTGGATGATTTTTTAGGCATGATCAACAATCACTAACTACAAGGTAAAACAAACATAAATATTTCTTCACTTATAGACAGCATTTGCATTTATGTCATAACTGTATTTGATAAACTACCAGAATTACCATAGATCATTAATGTAATTCACAATCATTGATCATGACGTCATCAAATTGGTATTGAAGTATTTTAAGAAACAATATCAACAATAGCGAAGGTTAACAATCTTTCCCTTGTTTTAGTATTGAATAAATTGTTAAATAGCTTTAACACAAGCTTACCATGATGTGAACATAAAATGCGCCAAAATAAAAAACTAAAAACGCAAGAAAATGACTTATTATTTACAGTCATGTGACAAATCATGCAAAGTGTAAGTGCAACATATTAACATTTAATTATAAAAGACGTAACAATGGAACACAATATTCGTCGAAGTACATCTTTTTTTGCAAAGTTCTCACCTTTAAAGGTATCACTAGCATGATGTTTTGTGGAAACCTGTAACAGTCGTGCCAGAATATTGCGATTCTAAGAACTCCTACCTTTATCTAAAGCAATGACCGGAAATGAATGAAACGAATTTTTAAGAAACGCATCTTACATAAAGTATGTGAATTTAGGTGTCGTGATAATGGTAAATGTATAGTCACCTCGCATTTTATGTTAATTTCACGTAAGTAGGGAATAAGAGACAGTATCATATTAGAAATGTTAATAGAAACCAAATACAAGTAAATTATGTACATCATTACATAGTAAATGGCAGACTAGAAAACCATAATTACATAGAACATAGTTGACAAATTTCTACATAGCATTTCATCTGCTTGAATGATATTTTTCAATTCATTCATTCACTCATTCATTCAGGAATTCATCTTCATCTTCTGCTAAAAGAAATGATAAAAAAGCGATCATTTTTTACTTCCTTATAAACCATAAAAATCTATTTAATACCCCATCACCCTTTCAAGAAAGAACTGTTTCAATTTTATAAATTTTACCTTCTTCCTTCACAGCATCTTGAGGAAGCTCCATTATCTCATCCTTATGATTTTCTTCAACTATGTTGTTTTCATTTTTGCCTGAAAACATGTAAATATAATATGAAAGTTTCCCAAATTTATGACTTGTGAGGCCAAAATTTCCAGGGAACATTCAATACACTCAACACTCTTTATCAACACTATGTGGTATAGGACATTTTATGAAGCTTTATATTCAACCTCTTTCTTCATCCTCCCAATCTGCATTCCTTTTATCTTGTTTCAAATGCACCTCATCTTTTGGACCAAAATCTACATCTTCCTGGTCCTTGTTATCAACATTGAAATTATTCTCTTCTAGAAATAAGATCACAATTCTTTTTTTTCAAGATTAACTATTACACATAAAAAGTTTTATACATATGTGATGTACCTTGGTTATCATGGTCCATAACTTCAATATTGTCAACATTTTTGTCATTTTCATCATTAATGCTTCAGGCTTCATGTTTTCTTTCATAACATTAACTATTTCTTGGTTTTCCTTTTCTTCATTTAATTGTAGAGGATGATTTTCATTGTTTTCGTTTACATTGTTTATAACATCTTCATTATTGTTGATTGTATCTTGATTTTCAATTGCATTATGATTGATGACAGCATGAGGTTCAATAAAGTTTTTCTCATTTGGTACATTGTCTTCATTTGCGACATCATCCTTGTTTACAATATCTTCATTACTCTTACCTGTATCTTCAATTTCCCTTTCATTATTATTAATGACATCATAACGTTCAGCAAACTTTTCACTATTAGCTTCATGGTCAACATTAGCAACAAGGTCCTTGTTTATGTTGCTAAAAATTTTTTCATAAGTGTTGACTGGCTTGTGAAAGTTATTACTTTTCTTTGAACTTTTACCCCATGATGGCAAACTTTCATTCTCTTCTAAATTCTTTTCAAAGCCATATTTCTTTGGAACTTGGTGATTTCCTAAACTCTAGATAAAGAGGAAACAATTTTGATGTTCACGTCAGACAACATTAATAAAATTTCAAAAATTATTGACTTATAAGCCCAAAATCTCATCAAGTACTTCAATTTTTCTCTTCCTAAAAAAGAGACAAAACTCTTTTAACAAAACATATCAAACTTGTATGTATAACTTGCACAGCACAGCATTTACCGACGCCTGATTCTTGAATAAGAATTGTCTTTATGTTCAGTTAAACCTTGCACATCAAAACCAGCTGGAAAATCAAACCTTATATGTAACCAATATATTACCTACAGACAAACATTACTTTACAAGCTAAATTACAAAAAACCTGTCAACTTGGTTTTAGTTTTACTGTTAGGGTTAAAGTCAAGTGTTTATATTATACACAGATGAGTGGATGGTTATTTTGCAACTGCCTTCTTTACATAAAGGCTATTTACCTGATTTTGAAATAATATTACTATTCTTTGCAGTTTTTGCTGCAACGTTCTAAAAAAACCAAAATCACAAAGCTGGAAAGTTAAATAAAGATTGATTTGCTTTTGCTAAGTAGATTACCTGATATTTACTAAGACTTTGTTGTAAAGTATCTATTTGCATCTGCATGTTTTGTGCTTGCTTTTGGTACTTTTCCACTTCATCTGATATAAAAAGTAAATTAGGTATAGAAAACAGCTCGAGGTTTAATCTTCAAAATGATTACAATAAAAGAACTTCAGCAAAGCCATCAACAACTAATTTAAAGTATTTAACATACTTTGCAATGCAATGATAGTCCTAAGGTTTTTCTCCTTCAGGTCCCTATAGTTCCTAGAATGTTCTATGTTCATCCTACTATGGTCTTTTTTAAGACGATCCAAGGTTGCTTTATGATTGCTGCAGTCAACTTGAGAATCTTTGTGATATGCCTAAATATTGAATTTGTATCTGTATGATTTAAAAAAACCATGAACCATAGACCAAAACAAATCCAATCAAATACCTCAAGATTTTTGTACTCTGTATTTAATGCTTCATAGCGTGTCTGTAACAGATGAAGATCATGATATGAAATCATGTATAGTATGAGCAAGCATACATAGTTCCCATTGTATAAATAACACCTTAGCTTTGTTTGCATCATTCATTAAAGTGATCCTTTCATCATGCCAGGCTGAAAATTTGTAACATGTGAAAACCAACGCAATGAATAAAGAAAGAAACGTAGCATGTTATAATTATAAAAACCTTTCTTTTGGTCTAAAAATTCCTTAATCTTGGTTTTCAAGGTAAGTTCCAAGTTGCTTTTTTCTGCTAGGGCATCTACAATTTAACAAAATCAACTATGAATTAATCATTTCCAATTAAGGTGTATAACTAAACGTTTTCCGTTCAAAGATAGTATTAATCGCATGTTTTATTTTTATCAGATGAACTTTGTTCTGCCGGTTAGTCAATCAATTGATGAGTGACGACTTTGAGGCAACAGACTTAAAGCGATATATCTACCGTAGAATTGATAAGCACACGTAAAGTTGTTCAAAACCAATGATTCACAGGATGCAAAAAATGCCACCTACCATCCACTTGTCGAGTAAGAGAATTTCTTTCCTCCAATAGTTCATGATGTCGAATTTTTGCACTTTTAGCTTCGACTCGTTATCATTATAATAGTTGTATGCAGATCGTAGGGTTAATCCAAAATTGCAAATAGAAGTAAAGCTTGCCACACTGTTTTTTGACGACGTAACATCTCTATCATTGTGTTAAATATCAAGCTATGTTCATAATACGGTCGGAAAGAAAATTTACCAATAGAACATGATAAACATTGTAGCTACAGCACCAAAATTTGGAGAATGATTTGTGAGGTAAAACTCTTGAAATTTCACCCAGATTAAAAACAAAACATTTCAACTGAAATCTATGTGTTGTGTCGACGTGGAGTGTAATTACAGCAGTGAAACTAAAACAAAGAATAGTTAATGAAGTATCAAGTCAAAAATTTCCATAATCGTTTTAGGTAGCCATGTTATTGAGCCTGCGATTTTCTTTCCATTACTTCATTTAAAACAAAATAACAAAATAAATAAATTTTTGTTCTTAGCTTTGTCTACCTCTTAAGAAACATCTTTCGATTTTATACTATTAAGACATGGTAACTAAAAAACACTCGCCTCATATCTTAAAATAATGGATCTCGAAGCGAAAATTTCTTCCCTCAGAAGCTATGTGAAATTAAGTGCACAAAAAGATCAAAATGGCATAAAACAGAACGAGAAACCAGACAACAGTGGAACAGATGCTGAGTCTAATGGATGGTGGAGTTCAATATCTAATAAGGCACAGGAACCAGATCCATGGTTGCCTGGATTGGTAAATAAATCTTTATTTTGTACTTTTGACAATGATTATCTGTTTTTGTATTCAAGTATTAAAGATGTCCTATTTGAATACATTTGATAATTGATATTTTCTATAATTTACAAATGAATTTCTTTCAGACTAAGACACAACGAATTGTCGGGTTTTTTCTATGTTTACTGCTGGGAGTGTTTTGTTTTGGAATGGTAAGCATGCAGTTAACAGCCCTTTGCATTTCATCTTTGCAGTGTTTACTATCGTAACTTAAACTTTAGGCTGCAATGATTATTCCATTCATCATTCTTAAATCAAGAAAATTTGTTGCACTTTACACAATGGGAAGTGTATTTACCTTAGGAAGGTATGTATGTTTAACATATTGAATATGACAAATAAGTTCATCAATGGTATACATCAAATCACATCAATGTGTGCATCAACACACATCAAAGTACATTTCTTATTTAGTTTTTCTTTACTTTGGGGTCCTTATCATCACCTGAAGCATCTTCTGAGTTTGGAAAGATTGCCATTTACCACAATGTATTTTGGCTCAATGTTCACTACCTTATATGTTGCCATTTTTGTAAGTAATAATGTTGAAACAAATAAAACAAAGTGTGTTTGCCTTACCTTTCATTGCTGGCAATGTTTTTTTAGATAAAGAGTACGTTCTTAACACTAATTTGTGCTATAATTCAAGTCATCACATTGACATGGTAAGTTTAACTTTTTGTTCTTGACATGTATGTTTGCATAAATAAGTGCACCATTATCTTCAGTAATCAGAAAGTCAAAGATGGATTGGTGTGATTAATGTCAACCTATTTTAGGTACATAGTAAGTTATCTTCCTGGTGGAACAGCTGGTATGAAAATAATGTCAAGATTTTTCTCAAATGTGGCCATTAAAACAGTTTCAAAAACATTACCTGTGTAAAAATGTACATAAAAAATGAAGTAGAGATCAATGAAAGTCAAACTCTTCATTCCTCTTTTTAATTTAGGATTAAAATTGTTGGTACACATGAAACATTAAACATCAACTTGTATATTTTTAATTATATTACAGGGTAAAAGGTGTGGGAGAGTGTTGGTTAATGATCAAATAAATAATTACATAATTGTTGTCATACCTGACTTTCAAAGTTCTTAGGTGTTTCATTTTGTTAGAAGAAATCACTTAGAACCTGAGTGTAAAAGCTGGTACAGCTGTTTTTCCTTGAGATTTGCCCACAGGCATATGAAATGAGCCGTCACTCTTTTCACCATCTTCAGACTGTAAAACATGAAAGGATACACATGATAATAAAAATCTTCACTATATCAATTGAAGAATTGCAAAAAAGATACATGTATGTTTAATATAATAAAAGAGAATGAATTGCATACAAGTGATTTATAAAAATCTCCTCCTTCTGGTGCTTTTGGACTGGCTTTTTTAGCTCGTTTACTTCCTTCACTCCTGGCAGGCCATGATGGAAAGTGTGAAGGATCTACGGGACTTGGTGCTTCCTGTACATACATAACATTAAATAAAAATATTTAAAATTTTCTACAAAGCACCATAATTCAAAGAATGAAGGGCCGCTCATTGCTGAAAGAAAGTGTGTTCATTACTTTGAAAAAGTTGTGACGTAATGCTGCATCAGCCGTTATCCTTCTCTGAGGATCATATGTCAAAAAACTAAAAGAAAAAGTCATGAAGAGGTCTGGTACTTAAGCAATACTGTCTTATGACTAAATAAAGCAAAAATATTACCTGTTCAATAAATCAAAGCCATTATCTGTGAGTGTTGCTCCAAACTTGTTACGAAGATTATTGTAAGGATATTCAGAAAAAGTAATTTTCTTTACGGCTGGATGCTCGGAATATGCTGGTGGACCTGGCCATATCTTGTCACTGGGTGTTCCCAATTCTTTAAAGATTTTGTTGATTTGACTGATCTCAGTCTGACCATTAAATAATGGCTTCATTGTCAACAGTTCAGCAAAGACACAGCCTACTGACCAAATATCAATGGGCGTCCAATATTCCTGTGTTATAGAGTCAGAGGAATATAGAAGTAAATACTTTTGACAAAACATTGTACACACATTTACTTTATGCATAAAAAAGATGTATATGTTAAAAGCAAAGGTTATTGCTAGAGATAATAAATATATGTAGATGTTTCCACACATAAATTATATTTACCTTTGCTCCAAGCAAAAGTTCTGGTGCTCGATACCAGAGTGTAACAACAACTGGAGTGTAATATTTTAATGGTGAACCATATTCACGTGCTAAACCAAAATCCCCAACCTGAAAGACACAATGTACTATAATTTGAGAAGATATTAATGTTTAACTTAAAAATACTACTATAAACATTGGGAAAATGTGTGCAAGAGATGAAATTTGTGATAACATACCTTAAGAACACCTTTGTTACTAAGCAATAAGTTAGAAGTTTTAATATCTCTGTGAAGGATCCAATTATCATGGAGATGATTAACAGCACGTAGCAATTGAATCATTATTGTTTTAATCTCACCTGAAACATAGAAAAAGAAAGTATTGTTGAGTATGTATGTACACAAGGGGACATAATGTATTGTATGTACAGTTGGTTATGTAAAATGTTATTGTATGTACAGCAAGTAATGTTGAGTGCACAATAGAGGGTGGTTGTGTAATATAAAAGAAAATGTTTATCTTACCAGCAAGAAATGGGTGAGTCATTGTTTCCATCAATGCCTTTAAATCATGTTCAACAAAATCCATGACAATATAGATCTTATCCATGTTACTACCAACAACTATTTCCTATGTAATAAAATCCATAAATATTTGATATGAACTCCACAGGTGCAAAACATCCCATAAAAACAAAGCTTTGCCAGTATGTCAAGTATTGGGTAAACAATGGTCAATTCTGGAAGGATGAACTTAGGAAAAGTTGATGACTACTGACCTGTACTGTAACAATGTTAGGATGCTGAGCTTTCAACAAAGTGTTAATTTCACGCAATGAAGTTATTGGAAATCCCTCCTTTTCTTTTTCCATTTTCAATTTTTTTAATGCAACCACTTCTCCTGTAAGATACATGCAGACATTCATTGTATTGCCCTCACTTTGACAACAACTGTAATATGTCACCGTTTATTTCACCTGTTCTCTTGTCTTTTGCACGATAAACAACCCCATATGTTCCTTCTTCAATCCTATTTAACCACTGGAACTCTTCAACACTTCTACAGCCTTGGATAGCTGGAAAATAGGGTGGAAGCTTGGGAAGCTCAGGTGAACTTTCCGTTCAATCATGTCCTCAGCTTCATCATCTTGGTCACTATCTGAAGCTGAACTGACATCAGATGCTTGAACCTTTAATTAAACAATTAAACAAGAACATAGCACAAATTATTATAATCCACAGAAAGCAATTTCAACCAACCATATGAATATGCTGCGGACTTTCATCACTTTCTTCTTCAACAACTTCTTGCGAAAGACCTTTACTTTCTTTGAGACTCTGCCTAACCAGTTCCCTCATTGAGTCACTCATAATCCCCTTCTGTACTGGTTCTTTAGATACCTGTGCAGACTTTCGATGCTCTTTTGGTATCTTACTACTATCCTTAGATTCACTTTGATCCTTTGATATAGATATTTTACTGTCTTTAAAAGAGTGCCTTACATCTTTTCCATCCATTTTCTTTGTCAATTCCTTTGAACGATAGTCTTCTGTTGATTTCTTTAAATCTTTAGAACCTCTATTGTCAACAATACTCTTCTTTTCATTCCTCTGAGTTATATCCTTCCGTAAATCCATCCAATGACGATCCTCATGTTTGCTAGTTTTACCAGTTCTTATCTTCCTTGAATCATAGGACCATGGTTTATCAAAGTCAACATCATGGTATTTTTGTCCCTTCTTATCTTGACGAGTACCAAGGCTTCCCTACAAAAATGGCAACATATAAATGTCAAAAATGAATAAATAAATACTAAAATGTTTTAGAAGATAACACCTCTCTTCTACTTTCGCTGCGATTGTCATTTTTCCTTTGCTGTTCTCGTTCTCGAGTTCGATCTTTCTGTCTAATTCGAGTGTCTCTTTCACGATTTCTGTATTTCAGAAAACTTTCATCATTTTGATGCTTATCTCTTTTTCTATGATCTTTTCTACTTTTTCCTTTTCTACTAGATTTCTCAGTGATTTGTGCAAGTTCTTTGTGAATATCCTCCTGTAAATCCTCAAGATCTTCCATTGTTTTAGTGATGTAGTCACTTGATTCAAGTCTTTTTCTCTTTTCACCTGTGACATTTGTCTTTCCATCAACATTGTCATGAACATCCTTAACACTATTCATGTCTGACTTCATTTCATCATCAACACTTTCATTGTCACTTTCTTCATTTGCCTGAAGGACAGGACTGACATCATTTGAACTTGGTTTTTCATTCACTACAGAGAAGAAAATGAAATGCTTAACTGAGTTGAATAAATGCTTGTTTAATGTGAGTAAAACAATGATCGTGTGTACAATCTTAAAAAATCAACAAGAAAAGCTTCGCAAACTAAAATGTTAAACCCTCAAAATCATCCAGTACTTCAGATGATGCGACAAATGATCATGTCTGTCTGACATACCAACAACTTAGAGCAAATAACATTTACCCAAGAGATATGTTGAAATTATAATATGAAGCAATTTAAAAAATTTTACGTAAAAGATATTGAAATTGTCAAATTGATGACACAATTTTCATACACGCACAACGCACATCTCAGTGCGGAGCGTCATCAGATAGCTTTTATCTCAAATACTATGATTATGACTTTCCAACAGTTATATCAAAACCAACATATTCCTTCTTCTTTTGTGGTCGATTGCAAAATGGAAACAAAAATACTTATTTCAGTGGAATTTGAATAATTTGTAACTTACGCAGCGATTCGTCATTATCTGAACTCATTTCATAAATAACTACTCCAGGCGAGTCCCCTTCACCTTTTACAAGTTCAACATCGTTATCTTCCTCAGAAATTTCAGAAAATTCAGAAACAATACGCGCTCTTTTCTCTCGCTTTATGCCTTCATCATTGGCAGCCATCTTAAGTTTGAAAGAGGTCAGAGGGGAGGGGAGTATTAAAAATTCATGACTTCTCCTCGTTGCCCTCCACCCCCGGTTTTTTTTACCTTGTCATTGATCAAGAAGAGGAAAGAATTAACGAAGATGAAAATACAAAGAACTTGGCAACCATTACTTCTCGAAAACACAACTAGTACACAACTAGTACAAGGATTCAGGTAATTTTCAAATATGCCATCAAAAAATTTAACTGTTCTTTCGTTACCTTAAATGTCATTGATACAGAGCTCTGGACATAGGCGTAAGGGATGGGGCAGGGGCAGCTGCCCCCAACGAAGAAAGTTTAAAGATCAAAAGGTTGGGCCAACTTTTAACGTTAGTCGGGCGAAAATTCGTCGGAGCCTTCTTAGTGAGTTGGAGAAAATATTTTCTGCCCTCCAGAAACGATAGCCTATATGACTCTGGAGTTTTGTTTTGTAAGGAAATGAAGAAACAAGTACTTAGAAAGTTTGATGTAAAGTGAATATTTAACGTTAAGTAATCAAACATGGCTATAAAGTTCTGTTCTTTTCAATCATAACGACTCAGAAAGTTGTCAAATTAGTTTTTGTTTATATGCTATCTAAAGAACTTTACCTAAAATTGATCAGCACAAACAAACACAACGATGCACGTACATGTTTTATGTTTGCTAACCACAAATGTGCTCTTGTATTCCAAACTCTGACAATGTTCACGTGGATTAAACAAAGCAATACCAATACTGTATCACGTAAAATCATCAATGCTTTATTTCTTCTTATGTTTTGTCGCTGTTTTTTCATCAGAGCGTGCAGAATGTGGAGGAGAAGAATTCCTCGGTTGGACTTCCCGACGATTGATCTGGGGGTAATAAAAAAGGTGAATTTTACAACTGTTTTCATTAAAAGTGCTAATAGTTGTTCCATGAAGGAAGATATCGTTGATTTATACAAACTCACACTTTTCATTATCTTGTTTTTTAATTCCTGCGCTGTCAATGGACGACATTCGTCTTCACTTTCCTCCGTACTGCCTTCAGTTTCGTAATCATCACACGTCGTAGGAGGAACAATAGCTATCGATCCTGCAGCTATCTGAGGACCACCACCTAGAAGTCCAACAACACTCAAATCTACTCGATCCGGGTCTTGAATCTAAGAAAAATAAAAGTACGTGAACTAAAACATTTGATTTCTTTGACGAATCATTCATTACTAATATGGAAAGTATAGGTTATACTTACTTTGGCGTTTTTATACGCATGCGCTTGAAGGAGTTCATTGGTTCTTTGCTCGATTATGCCTAGATACTGAAAAATTAATTGCCATTTAATGAAATCTCTGGTGGAAATGTATATATTGACACATCTTGTTTACCTGCATCATATTTCCTTCAGTTACTCCAGCAACACCACCTAACATGTCTCTTACAGATGATTTATCACATTTGATCTTCTTGAACAATGAATCCACCCCTAGAAATTCACTAGACCTTATTCTAAAGTTCGTAAAACTTATTATGTTCTCAGGCCTCGTTCCCAGGTCTTCCTCATCTATCCCAAAAAACAGAGAAAAATTTCTAAACGCTCACTCGCACTCACTGAGTGGCTCTTAAAGATGGACACCTCATTGTCGTTCAAAAACGCCGTTTTCTTTCCACTGATTACTTCTTTTAAAATATTTAGCGAAAATCTTGCCATCGTTGGAGAAAAGACTTTCTCATTAATCAGGGAGAGCGTAATTATTATATTCACTATGTGAGTGTGAGTGACCTTTAAAATGTTGCTCACCTTCCTTTAGCTGCTCTATAATCTTATGCATTCCTTTGTAATCGCGATCACAATCTTCCCCAGTTTTAGATGCCTTGTGTAATTCATCCTCTAACTTTCTTAAAATATTCTTACGTTCCTCTTCAACATCGACGCCTTCACTTTTGAATTTATCAATATCATCTTGAGCCTTTGAAAACAATTTATTTAGTGAGTTAGGATGATAATGAAAATTGTTACCCTTCGAGGAAGAGGTGTCGGGATTTTGAGGTTAAACAGAAAAAAGCATGCATTACTGTACAATTATTACTTATTTTAGGGGCTATGGTATTAATATAAAACCTCGTAAAAATTCTCTTTTCTGAATAATGTTCAAATTCATTTTACATACCATGTTGATCTGTTCTTGCAATAATTCGATGTCGTTATTCAACTCGTTCACGTAATTAAAGAGAGCAAAATTTTTGTCTTCAACTTCCACGAATTTATTGACAAGAAGATCGATATCGTCAATATCTGTTGCTAATTTTAACTTCTCAAATGCTTCTTCATAAGACTAAACCATAGAATCAGTTGTAAAGATTGCGTTCAAATGTTGTTTCATATCGTTTAAAGAATAAAAAGATAGTATAGAAGTGTACCTCAACAGTTTCCTCGCGGTCCCCTTTATCCTTTTCTGTCTCTTTTTTTTGCTTCTGGCTAAAATCGCTATCAACAATGTCAGTGCGTTCCTCTCCTTTCACTCTCATGAATTCTTTCAGTTTCCTATCATGATCAATGATACGAATTAGTTCTTTTAGTTCCATGTTGTATTGAGCGAGATCCTTGTCCGCTTTCTCTTTGATTGCGATCATTTTTGACTGTGCTTCATCCCTGAAGAAGAAATTGTTCGCCGTTTATCAATGATTACGTGTACGCATTCATTTAAAGAAATTCACTTTATGGTTGACCTTGCGTCGTATGCAGCTGAAGACATCTCAATAATTTCACCCATTTCACGTTTTAACTCTGCCAAATTTTCTTCCAGTTTCTTGTATTCTCCGTCAAAAATCGCTCGGACTTTTCGTGCGTGATCAATCTCATCTCGAAGCTTGGAGTTTTTTGCAAGATAACTATTGAACTGAGTCGTTTTCTATACAAATACATTCAAAGCAAACATTTAAGGATTGGTATGTAGGAAGTCTTGGGTCGTAGCTACAACGCTAATTTCTTTAGATAGCCAAATCACTTTAAAAAATGTCAAACACAACTGAATATATAAATATACACCCTTCCCCCCAATTAGCGTTCGAGCTACGGCCAGGAGAAAGTCCACAGAACCATGATGTCCATAGAGTCTTAAAAAGGACAAGTCAAGATTAATTTAATCAAGGGAAGATGGGGGGAGGTAGGAGAGTAGGGAAGGAAGAATAATAATTGATACCATTGTGAATTTCATCAAGTTCACAACATTAATGTCATTTTGGTACACATAATTTTCTGGCGCCCCTAAATCTACGTCATTATAAAGAGTTTTTATATTCTTCAACTAATTTTAAAATTCTAATTAATTACTCACTTTATCAAGTCTATTTTCCATCACTCGTATCTGTTTTCCTATTTGAATGAGGATCTGATGTCGTGCATTTGTCCTACACACAAGAGAAACAAGCCTCAAAACTTTAATAACTTATATATCCAATTTAAACACATTGTTGATGATAAACCTACCCTCTCATAGTTTGTCTTTCAGAATTTTTTGATCTTTCAGCCAGTTTAATCTATGATGAATATTTTTTCAGTCATATTTTTACAAATGAGAAAAACTCTTACATCTTATACCTGTTGATCAAGGTTGCAAATAAGTTTTTTCTCCTCATTATACTGTACTTTTAAAGCTCCTAAATATGCACAGACTCTTTGATAGGACATTTTATTCTTAAAAGGTTGTAATTTTTATTATGCTTACCGTCTCTCTCTAGTAGTTTTAGAAGATAGTCAGTATTTTTGTTGTCCTAAAGACATAAAATGTCATAATGAAATAAACCTACTAGCAGTATACTCATGTAAATATTTTCTATATGATAACTCATGGATTGCTTTTTTTACAAACAATGGAATGTGTAAACAAACCTATCCTATTTAAAAAAAATCACCTTTTGATGATTCTGTTTACTACCAGCAAGCTCTAACTCCTTCTTTAATTCTTGGATTTCTTCATCAAGTTGAGCTATTTGACCTCTTTAAAAAGAAATATAGAAATTCATAATTTAAATTCATAATTGAGATATCAGAATAAAAATTATATGAGAATGAATATGAATATCTGAAACATTCAGACCTCAGTAAGGTAAGAAGTGAAAAGGCTTCACAACATGAAAAGTTTCACACATTAACTGACAAAACTGGTTGTATTTCTGCAATTAGGCAATTACTGCATTCCAATGATAACATACTGTTGTTTTCTGATGATATTCTGTGATTGTTCGCAGAATGTCCGACGTTGACCGTCCATGACACGATACTGGCGTTGAAGTTTTTCCAGTTCTTGCTCAGCTGTTTATCAAAATTTTTCAGTTGCAGATTATTTTGCAAATATATATGCAAACGTAGTGTACAATTTTATTCTCCTACCTAAGCCATCCATTTCTATATCACTCTCTACGGAGTGTCTACTGTGAATACGATGCATTGTTGGACGTTTTTGCAACCTCTAAAATCGAGTATAAAAGAAAACGATAAAGATTAAAATTTTATTAAGAAATGGAATGGATTTCTTTTGTTTATATTTGGAATTGGAACTAGATAATAGAACAATATTTTTTCACATAGATACAAAAAACCACAGTTAACATCATCCCACCTACAAACAGAGTATTGTGATTCTTTTCTTCTTCACAACTGATGTTTCGAATATTCCTTCTCAAGTTGTATATCTGCTATTGCCATGGTAACTGCTGAATGTAATAACAAATGATATTACCCGATTGTCGGGCAGGATCATAAAAGTATTTTCAGGCGTGGCCAATTTGGACAGGTTTGTGCAAGTTTAGGCAAAGTATGACGTCATTCCAATATGGCAGCCTATATTATATATTAAAAATGTGCTAGTTCGTTTTATTTCTTTGATATGTATGCTTCGTTTAGTTTCAATCGCGAGTCTTTCATATCATTTTGAAACTAGGGTATTGTTTAAATATTCCTGTTACTTTTTAAAGATGGGAGAACCGCGTTTTTTTGCAGAATATGCGAAGCAAGGTCGGGCCAAATGCAAAACTTGTAAGGAAAAAATTGAGAAGAATTATTTAAGAGTTGGTCGTTTGGTTGCTAACCATTTCAGCAACGATGGTGGTATGATGAAGGAGTGGTATCATACGAAATGTATGTTTGATAAACTGAGTAGAGCGCGTAGTACAACAGAACGAATAGAAACGACTCAAGATTTGGAAGGTTTTGATATTTTGGAAAATAGCGATCAAAAATTGATTGAAAAATACATCACTGGTAAAAAGGCGATATTTAACTTGTTGCATCTTTGTCATATACAGTAAAATCGAGTGAAGAGATTCAAATTTTACTTTATTTTTACGATCATTACCAATGTGAAGGACTTTGCCACTTTTTAAAATATACCCATTGACGTGATCTGTCCCCATGAACTTTATATTCCTTGCAGAGTTGGCCGAATCAAAGAAACATAGCCCTAAATCAAAGAAAAAGAAGCAGACAAAGTTAGCCTTTGCATTAAATGCCAGCATCTCCAAAAAAAGTAGGAAATAACAACGAAATTTAAAAAACAGAACGTTTTTCACATTAGTACAAATGTTCCGGTCTATCGTTCGCACTTTTAGGCCTTGATAAAACTGAGACAGAAAGCGTTCACAAAGGACTGAGCAACGTTGATAACTCGACAAGCTCAGTGACTCCGACATCTTTTTACCAGTTCTGCCAATTATGTGGAGATCTGTTCAATGAAACAAGTTACAAAGCAAAAACGACCATTGTAAAGAAATTTTTAATTAAAGGTCAATGTTTAATTCATCCATTCATCCTTTTGCGTTCATTTTTATATGAAATCATGTGAAAACGACAATCATAGCATGATATTTTAACGATTTGTGAACGTAGGAATATTACGTGAGAACTTGAAGACCTAAATTCTATTCTAAAACATTTAGTTAAAGAAAACGAAGGAGATATTTATCTTGTCGTCAAGCTGCTGTTACCCAGTGCTGTAAAGAGAGTTTATAATTTACAAAACAAACAACTGGTTAAATTATTCAGTCAGGTTTGTTAAAATTTGCAATGCACGTAGTGTTTACAGTTAATGTTGCATATTATATTTGTAGATTTTAGATTGTAGTTTGGAAGAAATGACTTCTGATTTGGATAAGGTTCGTTTTGAACATACATCATTAAATAATCATCTAGATAAAAGACTGAGGACTTTTTTGTTCGTTTTTTTTTTCACTATCTTTTCAAGATTCATTTTTATTTCAATTACCAAGGGTGATGTCTCAGAAACAATCAAGAATTTCTTTGAAACCAGCATCAACAAAACTCTGTTAAAGCAAAGTTGTTTGACTCTTCAAGAGGTTCATGTTGAACTCCATTTAAATGTCAGAGTGACATTTTAAATGTTTGTATTTTTTCCAATTTCCATCGTTTTCAGGTTGATGCTTTTCTTGACAAAATGAGCACGTTAACTAGAGAAGATGAACAGCAAAATGAATTGTCCAAAATGACAAGGAGGTATTCGTACATAAATTTTATCGTCAAAAATAATTCCTTCTTCTTGTGAATGAATTCTTGTTCATCTCTTTAGATGTACATCCACTGATCTCAAGTACATCATACGTTTGATAAAGCACGACTTGAAGATCAACGCTGGTGCCAAACATGTGTAGGTTAAAAGAGTTTAATATAAATATAGAAACTCTTTCATATATGATATACATCAACATAGTCTTTAATCTTCCGACACAATGACATATAGACTTGATGCTCTTCATACGGATGCTTACACCGCGTTTCACGCTTCTCACAATCTTCAAGATGTTGTTGAACGTTGTTTGAAAAAGAATGATGACGTCACTGGTGTGTCACGTGAGCTGAGCATCAATACTCGAGTCATGACACCAGTGAAACCGATGTTAGCTGAAGCATGTAAATCATTTGATTACGCCATCACGAAATGTCCAAATGGAATGTTTGCTGAGATCAAGTATGATGGTGAACGTGTACAGGTTGAAATGAATGTGTTTTAATACTTTCGTAAAAGCACTATTGCTAGTGCGCATTTAATGTACACAACGAGTTTTTTTAGAATAGACATGTTTCGACATCATGAGATGTCGAAACATGTCTATTCTAAAAAAACTCGTCGTCTATACTAAATGCGCATATTTTAATACGTTGTCAACGTGATGGTTAAATGTTTCATATTGGAGCGAATTTTGCTGAACATTTTTTTCACTGGAATTTATCGTTATTGACTTGTAGACGAATGAAGCTGTTATTGAGAGCAAGTGCTCAAAATTAGGCGAGGCCATCAATTTTTCATATGTTTTCTACAGATTCACAAGAGCGGCAATGATTTTCAGTTTTTCAGTAGGAGTTTGAAACCTGTTATTCCTCATAAGGTATTGAATTTGTTTTCACTGTTTCTTTCAAGAGAAATGATGTTAACACGTTAGTTCTCTTTTAACTATTCAAGGTTTCTGAAATCAAGGAGTTTTTACCAAAGGCTTGTCCACATGGAAATGATTTGATATTAGATAGTGAAGTACATGTTTATATATGTACGCCATTTATGTAGTATCAAGCTGTTTTAACGTGAACATCGATTTCAGGTTTTACTTGTGGATCATAAAACTGGTAATCCTTTGCCATTTGGTACACTTGGAATACACAAGGTATTCTTTATCATTCCAAATGTAGATTTGTTTTCTCTAACATAGTTTAATCAGTAAGTAATTCAAGTACTGATTTAATTATTTCTATTGCTAGAAATCAGCGTTTAAAGACGCCAATGTCTGTCTGTTTATTTTTGATTGTTTGCAATTCAACGATGAGAACCTAATGAAAAAGTGAGCGAACTTTCTTACGGTAGAATCATTTTATTATTATGTAGCTTTATGATTCTATCTCACAGACCAATGGAAGAAAGAAGAAAGCTTCTTGAACGAAATGTAAAGGAAATAAAAAATCACATTATGTTATCTGAAACTAAACTTATTCAGGTAAAATTTTAAGCCTCATGCTGAACTTTTCATATGAACGTGATTCGATTATTGTTTTCTCATTTTATATTTTCTTCAGAGTAAGGATGAGTTGTCTGATTTGATGATGCGAGCCATTAACGAAGGTCTCGAGGGACTGGTTATGAAGGATGTCAAGGTAAGATAAACTTCCACGACGAACTCAATTATTCCTATGCTCTTGTTTCCTAGAATTTGAGAATGATTTCAATGACTTGGTTTTCATTCGACTTTTTTTCTTGTCTTTCAGGGAATTTACGAACCAGGAAAGAGACATTGGCTCAAGGTATATTTGAAACACCATGTTAACATAACTATATCGTGTAACTCAATTTAACTAAGGCAGGAAAATCGACAGCGAAACCACAAATTTCCTATTTATCTCTATTTATAAGATGAAGAAAGACTATTTGGAGGAAGGGTCTATGGCAGATACCGCTGACCTTGTTGTTCTTGGCGCGTATTACGGTACTGGTAACAAAGGTTAGACTTTGAAGCTTCAAACTTTTTTGTTTGACTTGACTTTTTTTTCTGAATTGACTAAACGGGGTTTTTCTTCAAACCAAGGTGGCATGATGTCAGTATTTCTTATGGGAACGTACGATGAAATTTCAAATAGCTGGCTAACGGTGGCAAAATGTGGCAACGGTCATGATGACAAAACATTAGATGAAATAAACAAGACTCTAAAAGTTGTTAAAATTAGCAAGGTTGAGCATTTTGTACGCATGCGCTAGAGCATAAACAAGACTCTAAAAGTTGTTAAAATAAGCAAGGTTGAGCATTTTGTACGCATGCGCTAGAGCATAAACAAGACTCTAAAAGTTGTTAAAATTAGCAAGGTTGAGCATTTTGTACGCATGCGCTAGAGCATAAACAAGACTCTAAAAGTTGTTAAAATAAGCAAGGTTGAGCATTTTGTACGCATGCGCTAGAGCATAAACAAGACTCTAAAAGTTGTTAAAATTAGCAAGGTTGAGCATTTTGTACGCATGCGCTAGAGCATAAACAAGACTCTAAAAGTTGTTAAAATCAGCAAGGTTGAGCATTTTGAACGCATGCACTAGAGCAAAATTTAACTGTTTGGAAAATGACTATACGGTTTTTAAATCTTCTATTTCTTTATCTTGAATAGGACAGCACTAAGGTACCTTTGTGGTTAAATGTTCATAAAACTCTCGTTCCAGACTTTGTCGTGTTAGATCCAAAGGTTTGTTACTTAAAAGTACTCTTAAAACTACTCTCAAATCAACTCTAGAATCTCCTTTTTCTTCTAGGCAGCTCCAGTGTGGGAGATCACAGGCGCTGAGTTTAGCAAATCGACGACCCATACGGCTTATGGGATATCAATACGTTTTCCAAGGGTTACTAAAATCCGTGATGACAAGGATTGGAAAATGGCAACAAATCTCAAAGAGCTGAAGGTTATTGTTGAGAAAGAACGGAGTCTTTCTCGTATTTTTTCATGTTTTTTTCAATTCCAAAATAAATGTCATATTTTATCATAGAAACTTGTTGCAGCCTCCAAACAAACACCTGGTGTGGTAATGTAGTTCTACATGATTTTCTTCATAATGAAAACCAGAATAATTTAACTTTGTTTCGTCGTTTTGTGCTAGACTTCAAGACAAAAACATCAACATCATGTACTGACGTTATTGGCACAGGGAAAGCGCTCGGTACTGTCGACGAGACTTTAAAAGAGCACGATGGTCGAGGGGAGAAAAGAAAAAGTGACGAAGCAGAGTTAAAAACGTCAATTAAAAAGGTTTCTATTGTTTTCTGAATGCAGGACTAATTCATTTTTATGACGTTCTGATGAGAACATCAGTAAAAACGTAGTTTTTATTTAATGCTTCAGGTCAGATCAGAGAATTGCTTTAAAAAGAATCCTGTTGATATAGAAAAAGTCCCACATTGCAATCGAAAATTGCAAAAATGAAGGCAAAAGAAGAACTCACGTGGTTGGTTAAGAACGCATGCGTAAATAGTGGCAAGGAATCACATGATGTATTTGAACTGTGTTTTCTTTTCTAGAGTTTGCCTTCAATATTTTCTGGAGTCAAAGTATATATTGCAAATGATGTTGAAGATAAGAAGAAGCTGAGAAGATTTGTCATTGCGTATCCTCTTATTACGTAGTACTTTATTCATTATCCTTTTGTTACACTTTGTACATCTTCCAGTATCTCTTAATTTCCCAATCGGTCTTTTATTATCCTCTAAGTGCCCAGTCGCTCTTTCAGTATCCTCTTAATACATGCTCGCTTTTCCAAGATTTGCCATAAAGTGAACATGTATAAATCATGTAACGTTTTGTATTTTTTCAAATGACAAAGACCATGCGTTGATGTTTCCTTGACAATTTACACAGATATGACGGTGATGTTATTCCTGAATACGAAAAACATAATGCAACTCATACTATTTGTAACGAGGTGAACATTTTAGGAATTGATTCATGCCCAGACTTCTCATCGGTTATCGTTAAGAATGTGACATTGATAATTTTATTTTATAGAGTTCACCAAAAGAGAATGGAAACATCAAAATAAAGCCAAGTTGGGTGTGGAACTCGATTAAAGCAGCGAAAATGTTACCCGAGGAAGAATTTAAACCTTAGAAAGTAATTTTTGCTCTTATCAGCAATGTATTGTTGCGTGCAGCTTTTAACAGAATGAATGTATTATTTCGCAGTGATATGAGACGGTAGATTTCTATATTTTGATTCATATTTAACTAACAAGTGTAGGATAAAATGTAATATGTCTGAATCAAATGTATTTAAACTGATATAGCTAAGTATTAAAAATTGATTTAAATTTAAAGTTAGAAACATCACAGAGAATCATTTAGATAAAATCTTGTATATAAAGATCAAGGTAAGGTGACAAGCTGCTACATTTAATAACATTTTACACACTGGCATGGACAATCTGTTTAAGTGAATTCTGATAAGCCATTCTTATACTAATCGCTCGACACAACTATACTGGCAACTTTGCAGAAAAACACTTTGAAACACATTGCAAGGAAGTCTTACTCACATACAGGGCCATATAAGCAGCACTTTCCATGGCTTCTTCAATGCAAACTCAAGGTACTCCAGAAAAAATTCTTCCCAGTTGTTATAACATGCTGCAATATACAAGATTGTAAAAATGAATGTGAACATGTTTAAAAAGAACAGAATAACATGCAGACAATGAAATAAATATTTCTCACATACCTGAGCAATATAAGGATCCCGTGGTCTCGCCCTCTACAGGGTGTTTCTTCTAAATTTCATTCGTTGACCAGTCTTTATCCAAGTTATCGCTCTCTAAGTCGAATTCGAACCCTCCGTAGATCCATTGCAGTTGTTTCGGTTCACATTTAATCCGCTTTCTCACAGAAGTACTTTTATGTGCTTTCAATGCTTTATTTTATGTATACTTAACCGTGCTCAAATAAATCTCAACGGACCACAATTTTAATCTTTATGACAATCAGTGGTTTGCAAAAAAATGTAATAAATTTTTTCGTCCCATTGTTTTAACTAGTACAGGATGAATAAAAAAAGAAACTTTCGACAACAAATACTATATACGCAACAAGAAGTGCCAGCGGTCCACCGTCTATCAAATAAAATAAACTATTTATGGGGATTAATAAACGTCAAACAGTAATTTCAGCATACCATGTATGTTTGGAATTATTTAAAGCTCGTAATTTTTGTGTCCCAAATTCAAGAAAATTGAGATTCAATGACGAACTATTAGTACCAAATATTTGGCACAACAGTTGCACTCCTCGAGAGTTCACGACAAATGCATTTAGGCAATTATAAATATATAAAATAACATCACACAACAAAACAACTTATATAATTTTTTTAAGGTTAGATTGGAAAGGCAATAATTGTTTTAGTGTAAATATTTCTGCACTAAACTTGCCAGATGACGAGGAGGACTGGGACGATTGCGATGACGCATTGGATGATGTACGACTCAGTTGTGACAATTCGTTAACTTCTTGCGAGGACTGGAAACTAGATTCAAGCTTCACATAGCAATAAAGAAAAAGAAGTTAGTGAAGTCAAAATGACGAATGTGCTGAAGTTGCTGTTATCAAACGAAATATATCAAATCAAAAAAGACAAAAATATGTACCGAGGAATTGAAATGTCATGAATTGAAATGACGGTGAAAAGTCATCGTGAAAATATACCTGAATTTCAGAATGCACATCCTGTATCTTATCATGAACTCTTGGCAGAATTTTAGTGAATTCTGGAGGACTTCTTTCATCACTTGCACATCTTAAAACGATTAGTGAATGCACATAACATTAAAAATAATGACAATAATGTTTGAAGGTGAAAAATCTCTCGCGTGAAATTACTTGTTTTGTATTTGATCAGGTGCCTTTACACCATCTAGTAAATGGAGAGCCTCGTTGATTTTCGTTAATAACTCATAACGCCTCTGACCATGTACCTTTTTTAAAAAAAGTAAAATACCTTCGTGGTGATAATCATTTCACATAATCTCCAATTGTTCTCACCTTCAGATAAAACGTTTCATCGGAACTTGAAGATGAATCAGCCGCACATTCTTGGCTCCACTTTCCTCTCTTCACAACAAATCCATCGCTCAAATAAGGATTTACTGGAAAATAATGTCGATTAAAATCACGTGCTTACTGAATACAAAATTTTCAAAAAACATACATATCTCATATCATAGCACATAGGAAAAAAACTTTCTATGAATTCTTTCATACGTAAAACTTACGTCGTTTGCGAGGTTGTTGTCCTTGCGTGATAGAGAACTGGAAAGGTTTGGGTGAGCTGGAGTCTTTAACCGTCGACATTAATACACTCTGTCGAGGGGGGTATAATGTTGTTGTGGATGATGTGACGTCTGTCGTTGAACTGGGTTCGTTGTCCTGGTGTTTGTTTAGCTTTGAATTAGATCCCAGGTCCTTTTCACTGCTATCTCTCCCAGGTGAAGCACATATACGGAGCTCAACCACAGTTATACCTTCAACCCTAGAACTGACAGAGGAGAAAGTATGAGCCTTTGACATACATGTATATCACATATAATACATGTATGTACTATCTCATTCCTTATAATCCATCAAATCCATACTATACAATAAAAGTAATTAAATAACGTACCCACATTCCAGTCGAAAGGATAAATGTGTTGGTCGTCTGTTCATTCCTCCAACACAAGAGTTAAAGCATGTAAATCTAAACAATTCCTTGCGATATCCGCTATCTGCAAAATAATTTACAGCAAAATTACTAAATACCTGTGTATGTAAAGAAATTAAAGTGCTAAAATAAAATACAAGAGCAGCACATATACCATCTGGTTTCATAGCATTCAGCGGTATGAATATAGACAACCTTTTTGTCTTTGGGCAACTTTCGTATCTTGTTTGTGGATTATCACATCTCATTACATGCTCAGGATACTCTTTTAAAACAAATAAAGTCAATTCATATTAAAAGTCGTTTCATTCTCAAGTTTTAAAAAGTTAGATGAGTCTTACTTTCTGAGCACGTATTTTTATGATTTGGACAACGGACAACAATTTCGCGATAATGCTCTGGTTTTTTGTACATAAGAATACCACGAATTCCGCTACCAGACGGTGGATTGCCTAGATAAAATATTCAACATTACATTCGTCACAAATATGAGAGCAAAATACAGAAATCGATTCGATTCTTTTACCTTTTATTTTAAACATTATTGGAATGACACATTGCATCTTAACAAATAATTTTTTACGTTCTTCGACGTAGACACATGGTGTTGCTTTAGTTATTGGAAAAACTGTGGGCTCAAACTCAATACCAAAATGGTATCTTCCCGGATAATCCTTATTACTAAGAATTGGAGCCAGCTCTATTTCTTCATTTACGACAAGACTTTCCCCCTAGAAAAATAAAGAACAATTGTTATAAGGCTATGATAAATAATGTGTGAGGCAATATTTGTCATTTGTTTTTTCTGTTATGCGTGAAGAAAAAAGACAATAATGTAAGTTTAAAAGCTTAACTACTCACTACAAATTTATTGTTTCCTAAATGTTCAAATTCGTATAATAAAAATTAATGCCCAACATAAAGTTTTAATTAGAGCCATAGAATATACCAAAAGTTGTAAAATAGTTCTAAAGATAGCAAATACCATAGTGAAAGGTAAAAGTAATATAATAAGTTGATAGTTCTTAAAAGAACTGTTTTAAGTAAAGAGCACTAACCCAATAGTTCTAAAATAAATCTTAATGCACTAGGGAAGAAAGAAGAGATATGCTCCCTTTGAGGACAAAATTCCCAAACCTCTGAGATCTGGTGTAGTCTATTTATCCAAGTGTTGAAGCTGCTACGCTTCGTATGTGGGTCAAACCACACTTCATCTACACACCAGATTTTCGGAGCATTTGGCAATATCCCCCCTTTGTAGGCAACCAAGTTTCCCACCCTTCATTATCGAGCATTTTGCTCACATTAACGCAACTAGACACACCCCCAACCTAGACGACTTTAAAATAATCTCCTCTTCTAACGATTCTTATGAGCTCTCCATTCATGAGAGCTTCTAATCAATAAATACAAGCCTTCACTTAACGTGCAAGGAAGTTCCATTCCACTTAACCTCTTTTAATTTCACATTAAATTTTATTATACAATATATTGTACGAATTTGATTTCCACTCGGCAAGTCTCTCGCTACTATTTTAAATGTTCAAATTTTACTAAAGCTTAAAAAAATAGAATTGTCACAAAATTAGCTGTGTTACCCTCCATCTGATATCTACGATGTTATATCACATGGCAAAATGATCGAAGATTACTTGGCACTACTTCATCTAATTATTTTAAAGTTTCAACTTCTCACATGTTTTTTAATGTGCAACAACAGAAAATGTTTTGTTTATATTGTCACACAACATAAAACATACTGGTCTCAACCTTTATAGTTTTAATTCAAGTTCTCTTTTCCCACTACATACATAAAATATTCTTAGAATAACAACTGGTAGAAAATAGAAATACCATTTCTTACATTCAACATTGAACTTTCATCATCATGGCCATTGGTCGATGGCAAACTTTCTTTTTTTTCCTAAATTGACAAATAAATAAGATTCACAGAAATGATGCAAACTTCGTAGCCTTTTGGTTTTGGATAAAATATGAAATATCATCTTAACTTTTCTAAACTGCATCTGAGCTAAATAAATTAAACTGAATCTTTCTTTCAAAAAAATAAATCTCAACTTTCAGGGCACTTTCCTGAAAGCACACCTACATCCCTGATTGTAGAAGTATAGCTGTAAATGTACATCTTTAAAACACCACCCCCTTAACAGAAATATCTATTTTCCATCTGCTAAACCATTTGAATACTTTCTAACTATAATCAAACAATTTGATAAACATAATCACAATACAGATTTAAGTCACGGCTTACAAAATGTCTGTTACATGAAATAAATAAAGCAAGTCCATAAAAAAAACAAACCTAGCAGTATGTAATGTGGCACAAATTAGTCTACCTGAAAGTTATATTTGGTGTATGAAATTTCCACCTCATCATGATCTATAAGATAAAAAATAAAAATTTAACATCAACTTTGACTTCTCCCCCTTTCTAATGCATACATTAATCACTTTCCACTTTATCACCACATATACCACACCTAATCCTACATTGATAAAATTTTCATAAGTCCCATCTTGTTGACACTACAGAGTGCTGTGCAATTTTTCTTAACAGAAACATACATAAACAAACAGTAAAGTGATTTTGATTAGGCCACTAAAAATTAACAAGGGTAGGAAAACATTGCTTCATAAGCACTTTCAAGTCATGTTAAAAGAGCTTCCTTATGTCATGAATAAAGTAAAACATGAACATGTAAACTACATCAATGGAGACCAGTGCATGCATTAAAAGTCAAAAGCAGTGTCCATCAAATGTAATGTGGGTGGTAGTAATTATCCAAACATCCTAAATGATAAGTGCCACTTGACTTGTCAAGCCAATGAAATTGGGCAGATTGAACTAATTATTCAAAATTGTCACGTTGAGCTATCTAATCATGCATTACAATTGAACACAGATTCAAAACATAAGTGATGTTATAAGTAAATTTTGCGCACAACAACTGATCCAAAAATACAATACAAAAATACAGGCACAGAATCCAAACAGCAGAGAAACATTTACAAAACAAAAATTCTTTATATGCTTTGAAAAACATAGCCATATGTGTTCAGCAAGCTAATGACTTTTAGTATGTAAATTACAAAAGCCATTATCACAGCTGGTTATTTTTAAGAATAAAAAATTGAAACCAAACATAAATAAGCACACACAAAACTTTTCACTTTCAGAAAGACTGATAGGAAATATTAAAAGTTAAGTATATTCGAGTAATAACTTATAAACAAGAGAAGAAGAAGCCTTTCTAATTCTAGTTATCACAACAATGGTCATTTGTAAAACAAAGCCCACCTCCGTGACATATATTGATTTATCACCACATTAGAAGGGATAAGATTTACAATCTAAGGAGTTGATTGCATTTCTTTGATGTCAATTACCAAATAAGAGAACTTGAATGTTGAACAAATGCCAGTGGAAGTCAATAGAAAGATTGATTTTTTCAAGAGACAAAAGCTTATTATATTCTATTCAATTTCTATAACCACTCAAAAAATGACATGATTAGAAAGGACCGGAAGGATGAAAGCCACACAATACACAATATGGCTCATGTGAACATAGAAATATTTCAAGTGACTGTCACATCTCACACCTTTTTATGCTTCCACAAGATATCTAACTATATCAACTAATACCTACATTACTGGACAAGCAAAAGCCAACAAAACATTTGCTACAATGACAAAAGTAAAGACTAATACGGTAAACATGTGAATGGTTAAGGAACGAGCATACCAAGCACATGGTAATGCGTATTACAAAGTGTCCTCATTTTCTTTGATCACAGACAAGCAACAACTCAAGGAAATACTAACTAAAATAACCCCAAGTCAGCATTATTGACCCATACACAGGATGGAAGTAACTTGTAAAGCATAAAGGTATGACACATTGTTACTGCGGGCGACAGCACACAAAAGAAATCAAAGATATACTAATGTTGCAAATTAATATATTGCTATCAACTTGTGTTGAAAACACTGTTTGTTCCATGGTAAAACAAAAAGATGGCAACAATTAAGCATCTCGTATATTTTTGCTCACTTCACAAATGTTCAAGAACAACGTGCGTGCCACCAGGCGCATCGGGGTAGACAAAACAAAGTTGCTTCCCATAACATTTGTTAAAAAGCTTGAAAATAACAACAACAAAAGAAAAAGAAACATCATGCCCAACAACATTCAATTGAAGAACATACCCTTCAAAAAGGAAATTATATCCTCAAAGTTACACCCTTCCATCTGCTGGCTAAGCATGTGCAAAAAGAACTGACGTGAAATAAATGGCACACATTTATGCCACTCTCAATCACCGCTGAAAATGTCAAGACAACAAAAACCGAACAAGAAACGAACAACTACGATTATGACAGTTCACAAATGTGATTGGTTGTTCACATACAAGATTGAATGATAGAAGTCAGTGAAGGACAGGACATAGGAAAAGGAAGTAAAGATGATATTGAATGAAGAATCATATATTTCCTGAGAATACAAATCTAAGCATTCAACAGGTTATAAAAGTTAATAGCAATATGTAATACACAAAGTTTAAATGTTGTTACCTTTATAATCTTGATCTCTATACTCGATTTTTCTAGGAATTGTATCCAAAACACTAAAAATGCACAAAAGAAATAAGTAAATTTGCTACATTTTACGAAAATGTACTCAATCAGTAATAGTCAATATCAAATTCAACCAATGCAAATGGGCCACAATGACCCACACATTTTGAAAGATACTTATCAAGCTCACTAACCATAAATATCCCAAAACAATTTTAACATGAACAATATCATACCATGTGGGATCACTGAATGTCCTTTGCAAGGAAGCCCATATCTCTTGAAAGGTCCCCTGAGATAAAATATCTGACTCTTGTGATGAAGGTTGATCTGATTGAGACATCTAAAAACATACAAATATAATTTAGCACAACTATTTGAACAGTTATAAACACCCCCAAGGCATGGCTAATGATAGGGAAATCCTGATTATGTACTGGATTGTAAACAAAGTCATTAATTTTTCCAGATTACAACAGGAATATGTATTCTACAATGTCAATGCTAAGTTATATGTATTTTAGTAAATAATGTATTGTTGTGTCTAAACCCTCAATGAAATTGAATTACACATTATTATTCATCAATTTATGTTCATAAAACTGTGTTGCAATTTTTTCAAAATTTTTTTTTTTAATTTCTAGTGAAAGTTCTGGAATGGGACGACAAAACTCTGTTTATTTGTCACAAAAAAAATAATTTACATAAATGACCTCTTGCCCTCTTGAATAATTTCACGGTAGGGTGCTTGTGAACACGAGAGGTGTAATATGAAGCTTTAACTAGACACAAATAATACTACACTTACTAGTAGCTAATAATACTTTATTTAACCTATTATACTAACACATATACTTTAAGGCCAATGTTTTTAAAATATGATTTCAAAGAAGTAAACGGAAATTTCATCAAAATAACATTGTTATGAATTCTTATTAATCCAATCCAACGCATAATTCCTTCCATTGCTGGAATACTACCCAAAATTACGTCCAAATGAAAACAAAACACACATACGCAAAGGATAAAAGACAAAAATCCATTATTTCATACGTCAATCACCACGACAATTCTTAAATCTCGTTAAACTCGTAGCTGCAAGAATGCAATCTGTAAATGCATTTCGTTTCCTTAGCATAAAACAAAGCGCCTCACGATTCGTTTTGTTGCCATACAGACAATACAATTAAAGAACAGTTGTTATAGTGATTGCAGTGAAATTTAAACAAAAAGAAATTATTTATAATACAATTGCCTGTTTTTGTCCATAAAATATGTTAAACATAAAGGACAAGCGTCACTTTCTTGCATAGAGCAATAAAAAATAAAATATGGCGTCAACCACGTGCTTGAAATATAGTTATGTAAAACAATGAACAACAAAAATGCGATGCAGACGTAATTTTAAAAATCACGTCACAACGCCAATAGTTTTAGCATTTGACTTTTGATTTGTGAAAAAACCCTGATGCTACATGGCGATGAAAAAGTGCGAATTAAGCCTTCCCCCACATGTTTAAGTCGTAAATGAGGAAATGTGATTAATGCTTATTTTACTAAGGAAAACTTTCAAATACAGAAAATCGTGCAAATACCACCATAGTATATAAATACCTTTACAAATCACAGAGCGATTGCAGAATACCCGTTCACTCACACATTTAATACAAAACTTGACCTTAACCCTAACCCTAACTAAAATCGAAAGATCTTAGGCAAAAAACCTGTCCAAAAATGCGCACATTCTTACATCGTAAGATGGAAAAACACTTTGCATTGAGTAACCATTCAAATTGTATACTTTGGCAATTTTGATTAGCCACCAGATAACTATATAAACAAAATTACTCGCTTGGACTCAACTTACTTTCGAAATCACGTAGGTATATTTTAGGTAGTATTGAAAATAGCCTAATAACGCTGTCTCCTATAAGTGTTGAATTACCATCCCATATGTTCAACAATATCAGCCATGAATTGAAAAATTTGCGCGTAGTTTCACATTTGATAGCCCCCGTTATTTTGCGTAAGCGATGTAAATTGTAACGTTCTTTCCAAAACGAGCCAATCAAATGATAGAAACTGTATTCTCTTAACTTATGTCTATATCACTATATCATGACAGCTAGTATTACAAACACGTGGACAATAAAAAGATTTAAGGAATTTATCTTGCTGATTTAGATGTGAAGAGCGATAAATGTACATGCATTTCAATACAAAAAACAAGGAATAACCTCAAATCATAAATTATGAAGCAATCCCACAAAGACATAACCCAGATCAAATTTTTATGACAAATACAAGACACACATATATGTCGTTGTGATCCATACATACAAAAGAATTACATTTATTACAAGGAGACAACACACATACAAAAACGTATATAACTACACAATACAAACACACATTCTAACGGGCTATACACAAGAATTTTCTTTAACAGGCTTAACAACACAAGAAAGACAAATAACGAAATACATACTTTGTGTTAAGTGGGCAATCATGGACATTATATGACAAAATTCGCAGTATTAATCCAATGATGCTCTTTCTATTTCTTACATGTGATTGTTGGGCACGTTTAGACATGCCTTTTAGAATTTCGCTTTAAAATGTATAAACCTGCCCAAACCTGTTTATAAGATATACATATATTAACTGATGACGTCATCATATGGAAACCGTGAGATCGATTGTTCACAGTATTCATCACAAACAGTAGTGCAGACGGGCTGACTTTAATTCATGCTGTGCGAATATTTTTGATGATGGTCTTGCAAAAAACTAGACATTTTGTATTGCTTTGTGTTTGCTTTTCGCATAGTGTTGCAAAGTCATTGTGACATCACCATTTATATAAAAAGGACCGTAATCTTTGCAGTAATCTTTCATTTGTCAGGTATTGTATGATAATCATGATGATATAGAGGTATTTAGACATGGTTTGTTTATAGAAATTCATTTTGAGGAAACTGAACAGCTGCAATACATGACGTCTTCATCTTGCTTAATTGTGGTTATTAATTTAATTATTCAAAATTATTTGTAATATTTTACGCAACTTAATTCGATAAGTATATTAAACATGGCGGACAGCGCAGAAGGTAAAGCGGAAATTCGCGGACTTCTTTAATAAGTTTTTTTTTACGAAGAAATATTTTCTGTTAATTTTTCAGGCGAAGAGGAAGATGCAGGAATTCCTTTACTAGATAAAGACGAACTTGTAAGTAACACGATTAGATAAATAAGGCTGCGTTCTGTCAATCCATACAACAATCAGTAATTTGAAGGACAGGTCATAGTAGAAATGAGTGTTAGTGTTACTATGATGGCACTATTATGTATGATTTAGGATGTTGATTTGACACATAGACAAATTGAGAAGATTGAAAATTTAGATCATTTACATAAGATTGAGGTAATAGGTCTTGGTGATTTAACTGATTTTCCTATGAATTATCTGCACTGTCTGATGTCTGAATTATGGTCTATTGACAGACATTGTGCCTTCGAAGAAATGTTATTCAGAAAATTGAAGGTTTGGAGACGCTAGTTACTTTGGAAGACCTCGATCTTTATGATAATCAGATTGAAAAAATTGAAAATTTAGAATCTCTCGTCAATCTCAAGTACGTGATAGGGAGAGATTTTGCATTGTGAATATACTGCAAATGATTTACATGAATATATTATGTTGTAGAGTTTTGGATCTGTCTTTTAACACTATCAAAGTTATTGAAAACATTGGATCTTTGACAAAACTTCAGAAACTGTTCTTTGTTCAAAATAGAATTTCAAGAATTAAAAATTTAACAAACTTAACATCATTAACAATGCTTGAACTTGGGGCCAACAAGATAAGGGTTAGTATGAAACATTACCTTTGCTTAAGTTGATTTTGTGTGTTTTGATATATTTTCATTCACTTCTAATGTATGAAAGATATCTTTAATAGCATTCATAACTTGATTGATAAAGTATTTTTCATGTTTGTTTATTACAAAATACTTCAGTTGTACAAGTTCTAAGTAAATGGGACTGGGTATGAAAGCAAAATGTAATTATTCCAAGGGAGGATAGGAAGTGGGTGCATGCCTTCAAGCCTTGTATGAAATGACATAACAACACCCACAAACAAGCCACTGAAATCATATTCATACTACATTGACTGAGCCACATCATGTAAAAATATGAAGAACAGTCCCTTTCAACAAAGTTTTCTTGGATCCTTCCCTGAATAATTCAGCAATTTTTTTTAAGGTAATTGATGGCCTAAACTCATTGGTCAATTTGGAAAGTTTATTTTTGGGTAAAAATAAAATAAGCAAGTTGGAGGTTAGTCGATATTTTTATTTTGTCACATCAACATTATATGAAAAATACAACAAAAGTACCTGTTTCTATGCAGAACCTTGGTAGATTAAAGAAACTTAGACTGCTCAGTATCCAAAGTAATCGTATCACAAAATTAGAAGGACTTGAAGATCTGGAAAATTTAGAAGAATTATACATTAGTCATAATGGAATAAAAGTGATTGAAGGTCTTGAGAAACTGGTATGAATCACAAGTATTTGTGTAGACTAAGTGGCATTGCCAAAGAATATGTATTTTTTTTTGAGGTAAATCTCAATACACTGGATTTGGCATCAAATGAAATCACTAGGATAGAAAACTTGAGTCATCTCAATAAAATTGAGGAATTTTGGGTATGTGAAGTGATGAAGGAAATCCAATATGAATTATCGTATGTATTTCAATACTGGTCAAAATCAAATGTAGTAATTGAAAAATTACTATTTGTAGTTCAACAATAATCTACTGAGCTCTTGGAATGATCTTGAGTCGCTGACAAAAATTGAGACATTGCAAACCATTTACTTGGAGGGAAATCCTATAGCAAGTGACGTTAACTATAGAAGAAAGGTGAAACTAGCTTTGCCATTTCTTAAACAAATTGATGCAACACTCACCCGATAAATATTTACTTCTACGTAGTTGATTATTTGTTATATACATAGATAACTGCTGATTACTCTATTACTTTAATGTACAATAATATGCTTGTCTTTCCACATTTAATGTATATAATTTGTAGTCCATTAAAGATAAGTTTATTAAAGCTGGTTTGGGGCTACATGCAATATGCTGTTATTTAAATATACTGTATTACTTACCTCTGATATAATGTTGATGAATATTTATTAGTCAGTTGGGTATTCTGGAATACAGGTGTTTGTTTACAGTTCTAATGTCAAGATCACCAAGACGTGGAACTTGATCAGCTTGAATGTACTCTAAGTTCATTTCTTTATTATAAGGGACTTTTCTTGAAAATTGATCTTGGAAGGAAAAGAAAGATTGATGAGTTTATTAGTAATTTAAAACATGCTATGTAACCACTGTGTGTTACATCCTACCTGTTATGGTTGATATTGAGTTCAATTGAGGTGTTTTGAAAAAATTCCAAGCAATGTAGAAACATATGACAAATACCAACGTCATACAACAATACAATGGTCCTGCGAAAACCCAGAAACTAGAGTGAAAATAACTAACACTGTTTACATTAAACATAAAATAAAAATAAAACATGGATATATTGTTCTCACCGCTGTGGTAAATATGTTATGCCAATATAATTGAGAATGGAATCAGGCAAAAAAGCCCACATAATGTACAAACCTAGGAAAGGAGTTTAACAGTTTAATGTAACATAAACTGGTGTTAGTAGTGTTTTACGAAAAAAATGGAAGTTAGAAGCACTGACCAAAAACCAAATATGTCGTAATATAGAGAAAGAATCCATATATTGCTCTTTCTGGAGTCGGAGATGGAGAATGTTCAGCCATTACTCAATTTAGCGGAAAGTTTTCAACAGATTTAAATTAATTAACGTCAGCCATGTGTTCCAAATTTTTCATGTTTAAATTTTTTGACAAGAAAAGCTGTGAACTGAAAGATACCGCTGACGCCAATTAAAACGGCTCAAATTTCTATTTTGAATGTATTGAATCAGTTGGACAAAAAAGAAACATAAGAAAAGCAAGTCAAAAAGAAACAAGAATTAAAACTCGTCTAAATAAATCCATCCAAACTTTAAAGAGCGTTCCAGTTTTTTCAGAAAATTTAATTAAAATGGTTGAGCACTGAAAGACATACAGGGTGACTGACTACAACGAATATATGGGTTAGACACACACTAACACTCCTGTTATTCATAGCTATGCAAGGCAATGGAAAAACTACATTCAAAACAACGCAATTGTTCTTTAAGTTTAAAAATGACATACAAAATGGTTTTAATTCAAATGAAAAATATTATTGCGCCTTATAAGCACATGAATATATTTTTAGTCACTCACATTGAATGTCTGCAGAAGAAATCTTGCCATATTTTCTGTCATGAATACATAAATTCAATATGGAGCTATTCTATGAAGTGAGTGCAGCTATACATTTCATACACAATGGTATTAATTTACTAAGAGCTTGTTTAATCAGTTGTAGGATGCAGAGAATCATTATGTATTCAAGAAACAACCTATTTTTGTCTATTCTTCAGATGTTGGAATAGTTCTGCTTGCATATTTTTCATCTTTCCAGTATCTTCAAGACTTTGAACACTTCTACTCAATAAAAAGAAGAAAAAAATCAACGTTTTATAATGCAATACTTGAAAGAGAAGTTTGAGGTATGATATACCTTTAATGGTACCTAACAAGATTATCTCACCTAAGTGCATTGACTATATCCCTGGTTTTCCCAAAGTAAATTTCATTCAGAGTATTACGCATCTTATTTTCCATGTCCTTAAAAACAACTTGTAATTAATCAATCTTGTGTAAATCTCTGAGAAGTACACAATTATTTTACAATTACCTCGATAAGTTTACCCATATTTACTATGTGAGATCCAGCTTCTGACATAGGGCTGTCAGTCTCAACCTAGATTTAAAGAAAAACACGAGTATATGTCTTGTTAATGCAATAGAAATTCAGCATTAACTAAAATGTTAAGATTTACTTGACAAGCTTACCTGACGTGTCAAACTACCACCTAAATTCATGATGCCCGAGCCTTGTTTATTGGTCTGTACAATGACAAAGTTTAATTCAAAATTTATAAACTAAACAGCTTGAGACGTGAAAAGACTTAAAGAACTATACCTGTAACCAAAGCATGACTGTTGAGGTTAGTTTATAATGAGCCATTCGACCACCTGACTTCTCCTAAAATATACATAATTGCATTTATACAATGTACATGTTGAATGAGTGTTGTTGTTCTGTGTCATAATACCTGTACTTCAATTACATGAATGGAATCCCAACAACCTTTGATTTTTTTCGATCCATCACCAGCTATGTTACAAAAATCCACAAGTGAGAATTATTCTATGGATGGCATATCAGCCAATTAATCAATATAAACCTTTCTTAATCAAAATAACCCCTGCAAATCCATGGTCCAAATCCCATAAATAAACAGATGAGACACCACCTTCAAAATACCTAAATAAGATAACTTTCTTAAATACACCATTCATATTGTACACTTAATGACCAAAAATGTACATTTCACGATACTGATCGAAGGCAGCATTTGCATCTTGCTCCAGTTTTCTAAGTTTTTCAGATGGAATTGCTCCGTCGTCTAAAGGTGGGTCATAAGTGTTGCTCCATGGTGATCTGAAGTTTATAAAAATCAATTAGACATACATTAAATATCTGTTTAAGTTAAACATCATTACTTATATACCTATAAGAATCCCCATCTCTGTTATAATCACATAATAAGTAATCTTTTCCAGTAGCTTTGTCTCTGGCAACCTTCAGCGGTTGATCCACAGAAGATAACAAGTCTTCACACAATTCTGGCACCTACAAACACATACATAAGTCTTACAGTTAGAGGATGGAAGCTTGAGTACACAAAACCTTGCATTTCATATCTTACTAGATCAATAAGGTCACTAAGATTCTTCTCAATCTGCTGCGGAGGAAGACGTCTCATTAAATCCAAAGCATAATCCAACTGACGTTCAGTCTGTTATAAACAATGTATATTTTAGTGCCTTATCTAAGAACAAACAAATAACCAAGTGTTGTCCAAGGAAACTGTTTCATGTTTATTTAATTTTATTAAATGTCAATTCACGACAAACCACAATTGTTTAAAGCAAAAACATGTTGCAATAAAAATAAAATCTTAAATCTTTATCTTTAATCCTATGGAGCATAAATGAATTAAAAAAAACCTATACATACAAGTATAAAAATACATTTTCAAAATACAAAGGCTAAGAATACAGTATTACCGAATGACAATGCACCCGTTCTAAAACTCGCATATCACCTTTATTCACAAATAAACGAAAACTAAGAAGAAACAATTTATAAATCCTCGATAAATACGGCTTACCATGGTCTTCTAGTTTCGCAATTCAGGAAAATTCGAAGTAGAAACTAAAATACGACAAGTGTACTCCCTTCTTCCGCTTCTGAAATAGATATAAACTTAGATTTATGGACGTCAAACTATTTCCAGACAAATATGTCGCGAAACATTTCCGATATACCATCAGCACTGACCTTTAATAGCATCTGGACTCAAAAACAAATCAATTTGTAGCAATTTGTAACTATTGATGTTTTAATATAATCTTTTTATCTTTATTTCAAGTGGTTTTGTTTTTTGACAACCAGTTGCCAAAATATCTGCTTTGCATGGTGCCTGTAGTTTGAATTTTCAACATTCACACTCTTTTCTATACTTAACACATGCTATTATTTAGAATTTTTTCATGAAAAAAAGGGTATCATTCACCCTGGAGCTAAATAACAAACAAATTCAATATTATCAATTCTATGTGTTTACACCAATGGTTAACCCACGACCGCACCCTATACATGTCAGTGACGCACCCAGAGATATATCTATGACCGCACCCCAAAAGAAATGTCGGAAATAGCCGGAAGTCAAAACCGCCGACTCATTCCGATTGTGTCAAAATAGGAAAAATATCTGCAATATTCGATTCATCGACAAGATTTGTCAAATTTTAAAGGTCTATAATCAAGAAAATTGTATCGATGGTTGTGGCTAGCATCATGGATGATATGAATGCCATTCCAGTCAAAGCATTCTTTGATCGGTAAGAGATTTCAGCTTTAGAATTTTATAATTTTCTGTTCGTTTATGATGGAGTTTTTTCGAATTATTGGTAGTGACTCCTTGATCATCACATACAAATTTCTCAAGGTTGAACTTTTGTTTGAAAATTTGTTTCGTTTTGACTCAAAATGCTTTTTGGTATTTGTATTTTCCTTTGATAAACAAATCAAAATAAAAGTTTTATTGCCTACATTAATCATAAAATAACAACAATGAACAATATACCTACCAAGTTGGAAATCGGTTTTGATGAAAGTTGTGCTATGTAGTTATAAAATTTTATGCATCAGAATATAAGTATGATTGTTAAAGACTTCATGTTCTTACCAGGGATGTGATATGTGTGAATATGAACCGTGGTATGTCAGTTGATGACCTTTCAAACAATGTGAAAGAGTTATTTAAGTTCATGCCATCACAGGAATTAACAATGAAGTGGCTTGATGATGAAGGTAAATAATGCAATAAAAACTTAACATAACGGATCTTTTTCCTGTTACTATTGGTTAAAAAATCATGCCATATTACTATTTCTAGGTGATCCTTGTAGTATTTCATCGCAAGACGAGTTGAATGAAGCCATTCGATTGTTTGATATCAATAAAGAAGCACAGTTGATTCTTCATGGTATGATGGAAGGAGTTGATGGGAAATCGTTTAATGTTGAGTAATTGGATAAAACAATATTTTATGTTCTTTTATTTTTTTACAGTTTTTTGTGGCATTCCAGAAGAACCTGGAAAGCTATGTGCGGGAGAAACAAGTAAGAAACAAAAAAATTATTTTTAGAATATCTTAGATATTCAATGTAACGGGAAGTTTGCACCATTTATCATTGAAAACACTTTAGAATGCTCATGCTTGCTCACTCTGTCGTCCAAATGATCTTAATCAAGTGATTGATTTGAACCTGTGTGTATTGTTGTACATGTTTGTTTATAGATGTGGATTGTCCAGGTTAATGGAGTCCTGAAAACTGAGGGTGTTGTTGACTTATGTTTCAACACCATTAGCAATAATCATCTAGTGACGAAATATAGTTGACTAAGATTGTCAAAATTTTAACCCCTCACCAACAGGCCATCTCTGGACTCGACAAACCTGGCCAATCTACATACATCTGCAAGCATGCAATAATATTTCCTGTTTCAAACCATTCACTTTAATGCTCACTTGGTAATTTTCTATGAATTTGTATGTCAGGGATCCTTCAAAATTCATCAAATTCATGACTCTATGTTAAACCTGATAATGTTGTCCCTTTGCTTACTCTTGTCCCAACAAACTATTGAATTACTTTGATAAAATGCTACCAATTATTTCAAGTCATTTTTTGAAGACAAAAAATAGCCTTTCTACTTTGCGACTTGTGAAAACCAAACCTTGGACAAATTACGTAGAATTTGCACTTTGATGCTCTTCACAATGACATAATACACTTCTACATTGCTATTTCGATATTTCATCTTGTATTGTTGTACTGGGTGGATAATCTTATATAATGCATATTATAATGCTGTAATTATCATGACTAATTAGCTTATAATATTCTATTATTATGTGGTCAGCGACCTGATGTATTTTTAAGTGGCAGTGTGTCCAAGCGATATTATGACTGGTTGAGGAATTTTCATTTTTAAAAACAATAAGTTCATTTTAATCATATTCATATTGTATTTTATGTCGTGCAAAATACACGACAACCATTCTTATTGTACGTTTACAATAGAAGAGCTTGTTAGTGTCTAGTCAGTGACATTTGCTTCTGACGTATGCGCTTGTTAATAACTTGGCGTTAAAATGAAGTAGAAGAAGTAAGACTGTTCAATGAGGAAATTTTGGAGGAAAGAAACCACGTTAAATTGGTGAATATATCCTTCTCTTCTCCTCTGGGAATACTTTCATTTATTGTTTCGTCATTTTGTTTTCAACGTTAGTGACATTTGAATACTATGTTGTTGTGTGAACTGTGAATGAAAATGCGCTAATATAACAGCTGTTTCCAGCTCGTGGTTCTACTGTGTAGAAGATTATACTTTCGTGAATCGACGTTATTAATCATCAGATAAAAAAACACCGTGTTTGCCGTGAGCGATATGATTTTACTTCAGCTTGTATCACTTTTGTGATCAGACGCGCTCTGTTGGATCTCTGTTTCATTTACATAAACTGAAAATTAAGTGGTGGTGTGCCATTCAAATGTTTTTTTTTTGTTTGATAAAATGATGTTCTGAAAAGTGATGTGTTTATATCAAACATATCTTTGATGTTACTCTTTGTGTTGATGACGCTATACTTTAACATTATATATCACACAATGAGCGCAATTAAACAGAATGGTTAAAAATGATGTGCGATTAACAACCGTTCAAGAAATCTTTATAATAAACTGAAAACATCATTTCCAACAAATGATCCCTCATTCCTCTCCTACATTTCCACACACATGGAATCGTTTTCACAATTTGACGACTGATTTGGAAGTGAAGTACGAACAGCCACAAAAGCGTGTTACGATACCTGCAATCCCTAATGGAAAGCGTAAGAAAACAACGAAGGTTTCATTTGATGAAAACTCTACTCTTAACCCAGAAAATAAACAAACAGAGAAACACACCGGTACGACTGAGAGTAACCGACTCTCTTCCGGTTATATTTTGAGTTTGCCTCCAAAAGGACAAAGTAAGTTATCGGGGACTTGTGAAAATCTGTCTCGTGTCTGTAAAAACGAACGTGAAGATGATGTTGGGAATTGCGTGAAAAGAAAAGGACGATTACACACTACCCGTTCATCTCCAAACGTAAAAGGAAAAGCTGTTAATCAAACAATTGATGGTATTGTCATTATACCACTGAAATACTAAATCCAAGCACCATTTCCTTACAAATCATTTATTTTATTTTTTCTGAGTAATAAATTTTTAAGAAGTGTGGAATAAGGAAAATATATTTGCTCGTTCTCAGTCCTTATACTTTAGCATCTGCTTCAAATGCAGGATGTGAGTAGCGTTATGAAAAAGAGGTTGAGAGAGAAACTTTCGTTTCTAACTTCAACAAGGATCCCTGACTTGTCATTTGTATGAACGGGACTTCATAAGTTTCGGTCAAATTTGTGAAATGAATAAAACAATCTAAATCATTCATTTACTCTGCTTTTGAAAGATAACTTCCTTCACGTCTATTTAAGGAAATATTTATCGTCGTGGCGCTCGTAGATGGAGGAAGATTTACAAGATCAATGGACATTCTTTTGTGGCGAGAAGATTCAGTAGAGTAAGTGTGACATGTATTAATTTTTTTGTTTCCATTCAAATTTGCTATGAATTAAGGAAGAATTTTTTTCTGTTTTTAGCTTGCACAATGTGCCTATTGCACGGACATTATCTGGGGATTGGGTCGACAAGTACGTGTTTTGTCAGTGTGTAATGGTGACTTGAAATTTGTTATGATTAGTTATAATCGTCTTTTTCAGGGTTATAAATGCTTGGATTGTCGTGTTATTGTTCATAAGAAATGCAGTCGATTATTACCTCAAAGCTGCGAAGAGATTAGATCAGTAAGTTATTGAAAATCGTTGGTGTATTCAAGAATCATGTACAGAACGACTTATCCACAATATGCCTTATGTTTTCATGAAAGATCATTAGAAAAACATACAATTTCATCTCTTTAAAGAATCAAAATGCGAGGTACACTTCCTTTCCTACTGACTCTGCGGAAAATACTGGTAACGTTCATGATCGTGTAGTAAACCGAAGTAAGTTCATGTTGCATTTCCTACCTGTCCCTCCCCACCCACCCCCTATTATTATTACCGTTAAGAGATAACATTATTCTTGAAATGAAAAAATTTTCTTGTAACAGCCAACAGCGATAGCCCAAGTCCACATAGTAAACTGTATAATGACTCATTTCCTTTGTCGAAATCGGTAAGCTGATGTGATACAATTGTGAGAGATATCGTCTTTGCATATCATGTGACTGACATGTGTATCTTTTCATAGGGACTGGATACGAGCAAGTCCCACGTTAATGTTAACGATTTCGACTTCATTCGTGTAATTGGTCGTGGCAGTTACGCTAAAGTTCTTTACGTATGTCGGAAATTAAACTGTGTGTTAATTTTATCTCAGGAAATCAGTCATACCAATTGATAATTTGTGCTAAATTATCTATTTTAGGTCTCTCACAAAAATACTGGGATTAAGTACGCGATGAAAATCGTTAAAAAAGAATTAGTAAATGATGACGAGGTGTGTCTATAGTTATCTGCTTCTATCTACTATATTGACCCTTCATTTTGCCTTCTCTTTCTGTCTTTTTTTTTGTTAACCGTGAAATTTGTCTAAGTTTAGTCGTATGCACTGAACAATCCCCAAGCATATAGATTGTGTCCAAACATTGTTGTTTGAATACTCTAGGATATAGATTGTGTCCAAACATTGTTGTTTGAATACTCTAGGATATAGATTGTGTCCAAACATTGTTGTTTGAATACTCTAGGATATAGATTGTGTCCAAACATTGTTGTTTGAATACTCTAGGATATAGATTGTGTCCAAACATTGTTGTTTGAATATTCTAGGATATAGATTGGGCCCAAACATTGGTGTTTGAATACTCTGAGATATAAAACTGGGTCCAAACATTGGTGTTTGAATACTCTTACATATAAAATTGATTCCAAACATTGTTGTTTGAATACTCTACGATATAGATTGTGTCCAAACATTGTTGTTTGAATACTCTAGGATATAGATTGTGTCCAAACATTGTTGTTTGAATACTCTGAGATATAAAATTGGGTCCAAACATTGGTGTTTGAATACTCTGACATATAAAATTGATTCCAAACATTGTTGTTTGAATACTCTAGGATATAGATTGGGTCCAAACTGAGAAACACGTGTTTGAACAAGCATCGAATCACCCGTTTCTCGTCGGTTTGCATTCATGTTTCCAGACAGAAAGCAGACTTTTCTTCGTGATTGAATTCGTAGCAGGAGGTGATCTTATGTTTCACATGCAGAATCAGAGAAGATTACCCGAAGATCATGCCAGGTACGTGAAACTTGTTGCCTCAATTTTTTCATAAGAAGCAGCTAAATCTTGGAGTACTTGCTTTATTCCTGGTGATTTTTTGTTTTCATTTAACTGAGCATGTTTTTGTGTAGGTTTTATTCAGCTGAAATAGCTTGTGCTTTGAATTTTCTTCACGAAAGAGGTAGAATACAATTTATATTTCCTGGCCTAACATCTTCGTGTGTACCCACACATTCCCCCTGCTTATATCTTCATGTCAACATGCGTTTCCACACATTCCTCTATTACATCTTCATGTCAACATGTGTTCGTACTTATTCCTCTATTGACATCTTCAGGTATTATCTATCGAGATCTCAAACTCGATAATGTTTTGCTGGATAAAGATGGTCATATCAGATTAACTGATTATGGCATGTGTAAGGTATGATTATTGAACGTTGAAATAAGTCAATTAAGTTAGTGCTGTGAGAATATAATCATTTTTTATTCAATGATAACAGGAAGGTTTAAGACCTGGTGACACTACTAGTACATTTTGTGGAACACCAAACTATATTGCACCGGAGGTTCTGCGTGGAGAAGATTATGGTAACAAACGATTGCAGAAATGTTACCGTACTTTAATGTGTTTGTCTCATTGTTTATATTTTGTCAGGTTTGAGTGTTGACTGGTGGGCTACTGGAGTTCTTTTGTTTGAAATGTTAGCTGGACGATCTCCGTTTGATATGGTTGGTCAGGCAGATAATCCTGACGTGAATACTGAAGATTATCTATTTCAAGGTATGAAGTATTTCATTATTGCATTTTCTGTTATATCCTTTGCTGGCCTTTTGTAATTTATCTTACTTGTATTTACGTTTTTATCAATCACGTAAAATTTCCTCTTGTTCTCCAATAGTAATTCTGGAAAAGGCAATTCGAATTCCAAGGTCACTTTCCGTAAAAGCTGCCTCAATTCTTAAAGGATTTCTAAACAAGGTGTGTGAGCTTTTGTGTGTGTAATGTTTTTTTGTTTCTTTTGGGAGCACAACTAACCTTTTTTGCAACAGAATCCAGAAGAAAGATTAGGTTGTCATCCACAGACAGGATTTGCTGACATACAATCTCATTTGTTCTTCAGAGCAATAAACTGGAAACAGGTATTGACAGTTTTCCACTCAGGTATTAACATTTTCATTCTCATCTTAGAAAAATTATTTTTTTTACAGTTACAGGCTCGTCAGGTATGTCCTCCGTTCAAACCACGAGTGGAAGAAGGACAAGAAGTAGAAAATTTTGATCCTCAGTTTACTGAAGAACCTGTTGTTCTTACGCCTGATGATCCGTAAGTTGCTTTGAACTGAATTGAAAAAGGACGCGAGAAAAGGTTGAATGCAAACACGATAATTATTGCTTTTAGGAAAGTGCTTCATGCTATAGACCAATCAGAGTTTGAGGGATTTGAATATGTGAATCCATTATTAACATCAACAGAAGAAGTCGTATGAGTTAAGGATTAAATAAGAGAATCAAAAGGGGAGAAATATAAGGAGAGTAAGATAATATTTTTAGATTATTGCTACAACACTTGCACAATGTATAATAGCCATTTAATGACCACGGTAAGATCAACTTTAGTGAGCATGCTCCGTCGTGATTCCTGCCATTTCCAAGATTGCTTTATCTGGATTTTCGTCCCAGGTTCCCGGCAATTTGACCTGCATATACGTACGAACAGAAAGGTTCTTAATATACACAACGTACATGTATAATTACAAGGTGTCCAAATAATAAATCCATCGAATACCTTTTGTAATTTTTCTGCCTGTCGTTTCTCCCACTTTTTTTGTTCTTTTTGGTGAGTTTCGGCGTTTTCGCCTGCACAACCCCATACCTGTAGGTATATATATAACTAGAAGTCTGCAGACACATGCGTAAAACTTGCAGATATGTGTGCGGTGTTCCTTGATTTAGCAAAAAAACAGAATTATCCCTAAAATCTTTGCAAAGTTTGTGACGGTGTAGAGATAATGGATGAAATACCTTTATTCTATCCACTGGAATTTCTTCCAAACCAAATTTTGCCGAATTTAAACCATCCAACAACGATACGACAGGTTTGCTGGGATTACGTCCCAAGACAAGTCCAACAGGAATGCCACGCGTCTTCTCGTTGAAGAAAACAATACTTTCTTCTAAAATTAAAAGAGGAAAGATTGCAGTTATTTCACTTTCATTTCTTGAATATTTCAATGCCAATGTAATAATCTGTGCATCTTAATGGTTTCTACCATCCAAAATATTAAATCCCGGATTAATTTCATAAAGGCGAGTATTGGCTCCTCCGAAACATTTCGTTGACTCTCTAAAAGAGAAAGACGACGTATATTTAACGTAAAAGAGCTTTGTCAGTTACTGTTGTAAATACAAAAATGAGATTTTTTCATTGTTTTTACTTCACAAGTTACCTCCACTCCACGTCAAGAGCCAGCACTAATCTCTTGTCGTTCTCTAAAACTATTAACATAACAGTTGGGCCACGGTATGAGAATACATGATGTTTGAATCTGAAATGCACATGAAACATCCTATGATGCCCAAAATGACACGCAAAATTTTTTTATTGTTATACTGAGATTCTTGATATTAACCTATTGTGACTAAGACCATGTTCGTTACTGTTATAAAGATCTCTCCATTCACATATTGAATCTTGATCCTTAAAAACCAAAGAGAGATGAACATCAGTTTTTCTATACGAGTATGAGATAGAACAGCAGACGTTCTGTTTTACTTGTTTGACAGTTTTTCGTTTGTTTCCAAAAAAAACTGTTGGAATTGAGACGGAAAGCAGCCACAATATTTCCGGTGTAATGATAGGCTCTGCGTTAGTTGTTTGTATTGACCAGCAGTCCTTTTTGAAAATAAAAACGCACTTTTAAATGACCAATCATTTATCGCCAAAATTTATTGTCATACGTTTACTTGTTTTTTACGTTGATCTGTTTCATATAACTTGTCATGTTCACGTAAGGATGCCACTATCCTAGAATGAATACGATTAAACAGCCTTGGCCATAATTCGATTATTTTGTTGGCAGACGTTTCTTTGTCTTTGTTAACCTAGCCATTATTTTAACATGAGTAAAGCATCAATTGATACTAAAAGTTACTCCTCAATTCATTATTTACCAAACCCCTGGCCACTTCTTGAAAATAAGATGATTGTTCATATGCTGTATTTAACTCTGCTGCATAAACAACAGTCAAGGTGCGTTCGACATCTTAAATGATACAATGGACAACGTGAAAAGGTCGTAAAAGAAAAGGTAATTCTTGAATTTTTATCTAGTCACCTTGGGCACTTATTTGTTGTTTCCCATTATTAAAAACATTTAAATAATATGGGACCATCTCTTTTGCGCCACTATCTAAAATCATCCCAAACATTTCAATAGAAATTATTAAAGAGTGGTCAGTGGATAGTCACCAGTGTACCTAATTTCATTATTTTATCAAATGCTGAGATAAAAGAAGCGATTTCCAATGTTTTTGAGGTTTTATTGTCTGCTTCTGCCATGAGCATTGTATGATTGAACAGAAGTTCAATGATTTTCTTCTTTTCATTGGAAAACAACTCCTGAAAGAATCGAGATGAGTTGGAATACGTCAGCGCATGAGCAGAATCTGTTGTCACGCCCACCAAGAAAAGTTGAAAAAACCTGAACTCTTATAAAAAGTCTTACATTAAATCCAGACTCGTTCATAATACGTTTGCCATCGCAAATTGTGGACCTATCCTGGTGAATTAAACAAATTTCTATAAGCAAAGTGACGGTAGAAACAAATGAATGGCCAAACGCCTTTAAACCAAACCTGAAAAAGCTTTGACAGAAACAAAAAATTCGGTGAGTCTTTTAACTCTTGAGGAACATTTGATCGACTATTGCTAATACCCATCGCAACATTTGATGCGAAGTTCGTTCATCGACGTAATTTTGAAATTACGTCTGCATTCCTTTTAAACTGGTTTTCTCCTTATCCAGTTAAGACTACCTTAATTAATTTACAGCCATTTGAATCATTCCACTTCTTTATTGCAAATGTGACATAAATATTGTAGTGCGAAATATTGCGTGTGGGGTACTCGCGCGTTGTCCCCGATCACAACTTGTAAACAATAAGTCGTCTGCGGTCTTTGCTTCTGTATTTGTGGGATTATTCGTCAATTTCGACAAGAAATGAGCTCACCAAACTCAAGTCGAGATGAAAGTCACAGTAAGGACACAAGGTTAGCTTTGTTTGGCGTTATTTGATTCATGCTTTTGTGTGTAAAGTCGTTTCAACAATTTGTATTGTTGTTGCTATGGCATTTGTACATAAACTTCTGTGTTTTTGCATTATGATTAACTAAACATTATATTAAGATCAATAGCTTTGTAGCACTAATAATTCCTAACAGTCAGTGTCGAATTTCCATGTTTATTTTCAGTATATGGCTTGATGCTCATCATGATCCAGTATCATCCCTTAATACCTTTACATCTTGTTTGTCCCTTGCTGACCTTCATGCTGATGGTGATTACAAGCTTTTGGTTGCAGATTTAGGAAACTGGTCAAATGAAATGAAACTTAAAGTATTCAAAGGGACCTGTTTGATGGTAGAGAGTGCAATAATTGATCTTCCCACTGGTCTGGTTACCTTTTACATGGATACAAACGACCCTCGTACACCAGCGGTTGCCGTGGCATCTGGCCCATTTATTTATGTCTACAAAAACCTGCGTCCATACTTCAAGTTCACTCTACCACCTTTGGATGTGAATCCAATAGAACAAGATCTTTGGCATCAAGTTTGTGATAAGAAAATTGATGTGAAAGTATTAAGGGAAATGTTGGAAAGTCTTCAAAAAGAAGGAAGTGAGGGTTCTCTAACCGTACGTTCATTGAAGTTCTTACAATTAGATGAAGATGAGCTTGAGGCATTTGCACAACTACATAAAGCTGTACCTTTAAAACGTCAAACTGTTATCACATGCATAACAACAATAAAAAAGAGTCTGCCTGACGATGATGCTATAAGTTGTCTTGTTGTTGGTACAGAAAGTCATGAGATATACATCCTTGATCCAGAGGCTTTTACTGTACTCTCAAAGATGTCTGTAGCTAGTGTGCCTGTGTTTATATCAGTGTCAGGTCTTTATGATGTTGAGTTTCGTCTTGCTATCGCATGTCGTGATGGTAACATTTATATTCTAAAGAAAGGAGGAAGGTCATTGCGTCATGTCATTGAAGTTGCGTCACAGATAGTCGGCTTGGAAAGAACTGGGAAGACATTAGTTGTTGGTTGTATTAATAACAGTCTTGTGTGTTTTTCTTCAAAAGGACGGAAACTGTGGTGTGTTTATTTACCACATAGCATCACTACAATGACCAGTCTTAACCATAAAGCCAAAGGTTTTAAGGCTGTACTTGTTGGGTTAAAGAATTGTGAAGTTCGTTTGTACAAGGAGAAATTCTTAATCAGCACTCTCCAGGTTGACAGTCCTGTGACAGCAATGCAGTATGGAAGATTTGGTCGTGAAGATAGTTCATTGATAGTTGTGACACTTAAAGGAGGAATTTATGTGAAGATTTTGAAGCGTACTGCTTCATTTGAAGAGAAAGATATCATATCTGGTCCACCACCAGCACAATCAGTAAAACTCAACATTCCTAAGAAGACAAAGTTGTTCGTCGATCAATCGTTACGTGAACGTGAAAACAGTATTAATATGCATCAGATATTCCAACGAGATATCTGTTTGCTTCGTTTGAGGGTGGCCAGAGCCTATGTCAGTGCATTGGAGAAAAGCCTTAACCCTGTGTCAAGTGGTGCTGAATCTATTAAAGTGTCTGCGCATGTGCAAGGATTTGGTCCAGCTTTCAAACTCACTATAAAACTACAGAACACGTCTTTCAACTCACCGTCCACTGATCTGTTTATAAGCTTTCACTACCCGGAGAGCTTATACAACCTTAGTAAATCGTGTATCCCTGTACCTCTACTTATCCCAGGCATTGAGTACATATTTGAGACGTTTGTTGAGTGTATTAGTGACAAAGGGATAGCAGATATCATAAAGGTGTTCGTCTTACACAAAGGAAACAGCGTTCCTATCATTACTGCTGTCATTAATATGCCCGTCAGCGAAGCACTTGTCACAGTCTAGCCTTGAAAATAAACCGACATATGCAGAACTTTGAGTTAAGTTCCAAACTTTTAAAAATCTTTTTTCTTTTAAAAATATGGATGGATTGTTTTATGCAAAGAAGCAAAAACACTTTTAAATGTGAGAACAGGATTATCAACCATGAAACTTTGATACGTTTACTTCATTACTCCATTACACCACATTTTAAATTTATTCATGTATCATTAGGAATAAATACATTGTCCTTTCTCAAGAAAAATAATTTGTAAAGTGTGCACACGTCAACCGATAAACAAGCCCTCCTGTTTTTTTTCTTCCTTTCCCTTTGAATCAAGATACTGGCTTTAAGTAACATTGTCTTTATTTAAATTTCTTCATATAATGTTGCTACACTTTGTCATTGATATTCACTCCACATTTATGTCTCAAATTAGCCAGTTCTTCCCGTTCATGTTAAATACCATCAATTTCGCTTTCTTAGCGTCATCTTCAACACATAATTTACTAAACTTTTAGCCACTTGAAGAATAAAAGAAATAATTCTTAAAGTAAAATGCCTTTCCTGACGGCAACCTCTTTCAGTCGCCGCTTACGACACACGCAGAGGATGCGTTGGGTCTATTCTTAAACGCCGGAGCCTACACGGCCTGTTCAAATTGTCTTTCTATGAATGTGTTAGGCTTTCATTGGCAGTAATTTCTTGGCATTATTATTTCTTTTTTAATACATATATTTGCCAAAAAACCCACGTGATTCAACAAGTGGATACCTTTGTCTTGCATGTAATACCTTCAAATTATAAAACAAAAAATATTACACAGCAAGATATAATATATATTGATATTGAAATAACTATGTTAATACAGTTGTGGTAGAAATATTTTTACCTCGACGTACCAATGATCCATAGCTTAAAGAAAGTACATTATTCTTCTTTCAGCTGGCTGTTTTCGAGTGGACTGGGAATTTAACCCAATAACCATACAAACCCTTCATGTTTCCTGTAGGTCCCAAACATGGCCACCCTTTTTTGTTTTTGAGAATATTCGAGAGAATACTCATTGAGGGAAACCGGCGATACGCCGGAGGAAAACCCTCAAGAAAATGTGGGATGTATGCTTATGATCACCTTGTCTATTTTTTTACCTGTTATCTTTACAAAAGTCACGTCTACATTCATAAGTCCTTAGTTATGTTTACAACAGTATGTAGACTGCCTTTATCTTTACAAAGTTGTCGAAACAGGTGATCAAAGCAACATACATCCTTGTAAAAATTGTCTTTTAAAAATGAACCGAATCCGCCAAACACTGCCATTTTTAAGTCGCTTTTGACTTTTCCGGATTTTTTTTTGCGTATGCGCAGCCTTAGCTGTAACCCTGTCGATCAGTGGCATGATTTAACTAATATCTATAAAATAAAATAAATCAAAGCAAACCTTTCCACGATGAGACGAACATGCGACGATGAGACACCTGCAAAGCAATATTAGTACCCGTGCCGAATTGGAACCTAATGGATGGGGAACCGCTTCCCTGGGCCCTTATACATTACCAAACGGCGTGCCAACCAATCCTTCTTGTGTCCAACACTCGATCACCTAGGCACCAGTTTGGCACCGTTTACAATTATTTCTACCTACATCTACTCTTAATGTATCGCCGATTACTTCGTCTCGCTATCAAATCATCTTTCTTCAGCAAATCGATGAAGATGTTAGACTTGATGTCGAGACGAGCATGCCACTGTCATAACATTGATTTTGATATTCAAAAGCAATGCCAGAGTATCATGCACCTATTCTGTTTTGTTTTTCACCAGACAATTTTTTCACTACAGACATATTCATCTTGATGATACAGGTCATTCATTTTTTAGCCACAAACATTTTTAAACACTTAAAGTTGTTCCTTTTATTTCGCATTCTTTGACACAAAGCTTTTTTTTAGCATGGTTGAAAATTTTAACTTAAAAACGAATCGTGGAAATCGAAGAGCATCATCAAGCAAGAATATTTCAGGCATTTATAATTTTATTTAAATTTTATTTACGTCATGCAGCTGCTTGCATTGCCAAAATGCCGAAGTTTGCTTTGTTGTTTTCTGCCATATTTTGGATTCCGCCATGTTTTTGGATTCTGCCATGTTTTTGGATTCTTCCATATTTTTGACCTTTTTTTTTGTGGTCGTATCGCGCTTTTATTCAGGCATTCAGACTTTTAATGTTTAGTTATGCTTTTTAGTTTTCATGTTGGATTTGAAATATTCATGCGCACGATCAAAATTCAAGGAAACCCATGCTTATTTCCTTGAACTTAGATTCGTGTATCCTGGTGATCAAAAAATGAACTTATAAAAATAGTTCATTTCATTAACACTCAAACTATTTGACATTGTTAGAAGCCCGTAAATGATGACATCTTTATGTTGCACGATAGCTAGGTAAAAGCTCTCGTGCAGTACAATATGTGCCGTCATTTTCAGACAACTGTTTGCTCTGAAATCATCGGCGATGTTCTGCAATCATTATTTGAAATCAGTATGAAAAATGTATAAACTCTAACAGCATCAAGACAGTCAATAAGTTTAGCCATATTTCAATTATATTCATGCTAATATTGATCACCAGGATATTAACAAAATGTAAACTTTGGAACCTTTATCGTCGTCATCATTGTAGATTTCCTTTCGTCATCCATGACGTAATCTACGACATTGAAGATATAATCCACGATGTCGACAATGTGATCCATGATATCCATGTACTCCATGCATGATATTTGTGATGTGATCCATGATATCCATTATGTACTCCATGACATATATGATACGATCCATGATATAATCCACGGCAAGATATGTGATTTCCATAATCTATTTCATTGATCTGATGCTTCATTTCTTTACACATAAAAAAATGTTTTAGAAAATGAAAACCTGCGTTGGTGAAGTTTTTTTTTGCGAAATCATTTTTTATACCAATGATAATGTATGTGAAAACATTAAAATAAGTATAAGAGAATTTTAGCATTTTTATTTCTAAAAGGTCTCTGGAAGTTGTATGTTTTTCAAGCAGGTACATTATTTTATGAACAACGTGCCTAAAATTTCAGCACATACCTGTAAGATCAAGGCTGATAAGAGCTAGTTGAGTAACGTACAGCAATGACGCAGATGCCACGGTCGATAAAGTGTAAATTTCTGTGTGCGACAATTTAGAACAGAGAACGAATATTCAAAATTTTCAAAAACGTGTCCAACGTTTTTGAAAATTTTGAATATTCGTTCTCTGTTCTTATATTTTAAACCACAGTTGATTAATCTCAATTAGCACGTATTGTTGAATGTACGGCGAGTTATATCTTCCCAGCATGCAGTTTGACACAAATATTGATTTAGAAAGTGTTCAAACGAGTATGATATTTACAAAGGATTACACCAAGCCCATATTCCAGCTGATACATGACATGTACGATAATTGTTTTCATAGATAGTAGTTTACTCCAATTCTCTTTTACTCCGATTTAACGATGACAAAGTTTGTATGTGATGCGACACAAACACCATTTGATGACAACTATACATATCATTTCTGTACTTTTCATCTATCTCGACATCAGTTGTTCATCTTCAGCTATTGACAGTGATTTACTTGTGCACAATACAACAGAAGTTATTGAATAGTTAACCAAAGTGTTTTTTGACAGACGTTTTTCAGTTCATGTTGGTTACTTTCGTCTCAATGAATGTACTTTATGCATGCTTATACCAGGTTTATTGCGCTAAACAATTATTTTTTATCAAGCGTAAGTAGTCATTTCATATAGTATGTACTCCAAGCTTGTACCAAGTTTATTAGGCTAAACATTAACATAATTGTTATGCCTATGCGTTCAGTAATATATTATATTAATGAATGGAGCAAAGTAGTTGTCATCCATTCATTATATAAAACTTTCATTGGGCTTACAACTAAAAGAAAACTTAGGAGAAGAGAAACATTTTATTAGCTAAGCATACAAGCTATTTACATTTTGCAGGCTGAATTGAATAGCGTCATAAAATCATTCTTGACGTCTCACTTTTAGGTCAATTAGTCTTGACGTTCTCACAAATTGCCTTTCAGTTAATATTTTAATGTAATAAAGAATTTATTCATTGTATCTTGTTCTGAAAGAAAGGCTTACTAAGTGTTAGCTTGTATGGGAGGAGTTTGAACTGAAAAACGTCGAAAAATTTTATGTCATGAAAAAATATGTGCACAAGTAAATCAGTGAATAAGCTTGATTGTCTCTTTGTTCCTATGAAATTAAGTCAATTAAATATTCATCAAAAATAACGAAGAAAATCACAAAACTGCAAGACTATGGTACTGCCATCCTTTCTCAACAACGAAAATAGTTCAATACTGTACTGTTGGCCTCCATGACTTCAAATAAAGAAAAGTTGATCGGCCATTTTGTCTTATGGTAGCGAAAACTTCTATACACCATATAAATTTATTGTTTTAACTCGGTTTGAGATAACTGAACAAAAATATGAAAGCGCAAACATACTTTCTTTCATGAAGATTTCGAATCTCTGGTCTTTTCTGTCGAATTGTTTTCACTTGAATTTTAAATTAGGCAAAACTTGTGCCCAGTCTCTATATAATTGTTCGCTGTGAAAAATTGGCGCCAAAATTTGTTCTTCCTCAACAACATGATATATATTGCCAAAGAAACTTTCGTATTTTCAGTAGAAAAACTCGGTTTTAACTTCAAATAAACGGAAAAAAAATTATTCACATCCTACCTTTAAGTATAGTCAGTCGACATTCTTTGTTTCCGTCGAGTTTGTTAGGTTTTTGGCGTTGAAATGGGACAACCGCTCGAGTTAGCTTGTCGCGCAAGCTAAATGGAAGTGGTCACAACTTCTTGCTAAAAACGGAAAAATATGAGCTATTTCTTGCTTCCAAACCTTCCAAAGCATTCATGAAAGGAAGAAACAAAGCAACATTGTAAAAAAGTTTGCTAAAAATATAGAAAACGGGGGAATAATACGACAAACTATCATCTATCGCCAAGGTATGGCGAAACAAACAACAAGCCAAAGTCCCTTGAGTGCTTTTAACCTTGAAAATACAATGAAACAAAACAAAAAAGTTTTCTAGACCACAAGAAAGTCGTTACCTTTTATTCAATTGAAGATAGATTCACAAATTCTTCATCTTTCTGCGATATATCTTCGGAATTTTCGTCGAAATTTTAGACATAAGCTCTTCTTGAAGATATGTAATAAATGAAGGAGTTGGGTTCTTCTCCGGAAATGCAACTAGAAATGAGTGATTGACACTTGGTTAATTCAACCTTCCATTGGTGAAAATCACCCAATAAGATTACGAGATTTGGTTTCGGCGGGAAATTTGCTTTATTTCTTCTTGTACCCTTTGTAATCATGCGATATACTCATTGTCATACAACAAGTACCAGTTTGTACCTTTCTAACCCTCCGCTGGTAAAATTCTAATTGACTCTTTTTTACGAATTTTAAAACCAAGGCAGAAACTTGCCCCGTTATTAAGAATACGAGATGCCATGCAGATACGCGACTGGACTTATTCATGAAAATAAGATTCATAATATTGGTTTGATATCTATTTAGCTTCATCAAAATGACAAAGTTTATCCTTCGTTTACATGGTAATCTTTTACAACACAACATATATTTAACCTATTTGGTTTTAATGTCTTACTATAACCTATGCACATGTACTTTGTCATCTCTGTATGAAAAAGACCATATGTTGGAGTACTCAGAGCCGAAACATTCTATTGCCACTGGTGTTAAATATATGTATAATTTATAGTATTAGGCTGAAAAAAGCATAAATTTTAATTGCACACATTTACACTGTACACACTTCACAGAAAGGACAGAAAAGAGAAGAAGAATGGTAGAAGTATGAAAAATGCTAGTGGGTGTTCACCTTTGAATTATGAATGCTTTTGTTATATGTAAGCTTCAATGATTATTTTGCATTTTGGCTATATCATATATATAAATTGTGCTAAAATCATGCTACTGTTTGATGTTGTTTTAGTTTTCTAGTGATTTGTAAACAATATTGTTATATTTTATGTATAACATATACCCATCATCCTGAGCCTCAAGGGCTGCAATTCATTCATCATAAGTTATACATATAAGTAAAAATTTTCCAACTTTTTATTTTTATGTCAAAAGAAACAAAGAATCAATACATGCCTTAAAAGGTGAAGCATGTACAAATACATTTTATAATATCTAAAACTCCTTTTTTGATTCAAGAAGATGCCATAATTGTGGTGAGAAGGGAAAAAGCAAAAACATAATGAGAATGAATGACAATGAATGAAATAACATTTCTTTCATGAATATTGAAACATACTATGATGTACATTTTCTTTTTAGACTTTAATCAAGCAAAAAAGTTTGAGCTAGTAATAAAACGTTGCACACTGATTCTGTGACAGTGGTTGCACAACTGCATTCATACGAGGCCAACAAACAGTTCTTTCGTCGATAGGCTTCCCTCGTGGGAACCAACACACTGGCAACCACAATTTGACTAACCATTTTGAATTTTCGGTTATTACCTTGATTTTTATCATCGAATTGTTGCCGAAGAAGCCAAATGCGAAATAAATAACACATTTCTTCCGAACTTATTTCAGGGGGGGGTATGACATTACAATATTTTCCGAAAACGGTCAATTTTGGTAAATCTCAGGGAACATTGGGGAACTATAGGTCTTTTTCGCCATTTTTAAGTCGACAAATAAAGCCGTTATTGCGATAGAGCTTCCAGTAACCAGTTATTAAAGAACTCTAAGTTCTCTACTACTACAAGTACTGTTAGAGTTAGCAAATAGTTATAGTAAGCGTCCGCAGCTTCAAACAATAAAATATTGATTAACCATGCTTTGTCCTAAATGATAATTCCACTGCAAATTCCTAATTCAAAATGAATAGTCATGGTAACGAAAACTTTTACATAAATAATGCAATTCTGGGATAACAGAACAGAAACATATCATAATGCATTGAAAATTAAATTTCTTTCTTCATAGTTTTCATTATCTGGTCTTTTTTGAAATCTTTTCCATGCAATGATCTCCGATTTCTAAGTATATTTTTTTGCATGTATTATAGAAAATTTGGTCCCCAGTCTCTAATAATTAAGCGCGGTGAGAAATTGGCGCCAAAAGTGCTTCTTCTTCAATACAATATAAACGGACCAAGCAAAATTTCGTAGTTTTAGCACAAAAACTCGCTTTGAACTTCAAATAAACAAAGAGAAACTTTATTCACGTCCTACCTTTGTATATTTTCAGTTGATGTTCTTCATTTTCCGTCCAGTTTCTTGTTTGTTGGCGTTAAAATGGGACAACCGTTTGCGATATCTTGTCGCGCAAGCTCAACGGAGTGGTCACAACTTCGTGCTGAAAACGGAAAAATATGAGCTATTTCTTGCTTCCAAACCTTCCAAAGCATTCAAGAAAGGACGAAACAAAGCAACATTGTAAAAACGTTTGCTAGAAATATAGAAAACGGGGAAATAATACGACAAACTTTCATCTTTCGCCAAGGTATGGCGAAACAAACAACAAGCCAAAGTCCCTTGGATGCTTTTCACATTGAAAATACAATGAGACAAAACAAAAAAGTTTTCTAGACCACAAGAAAGTCGTTACCTTTTATTCAATTGAAGATAGATTCACAAATTCTTCATCTCTCTGCGATATATCTTCGGAATTTTCGTCGAAATTTTAGACATAAGCTCTTCTTGAAGATATGTAATAAATGAAGGAGTTGGGTTCTTCTCCGGAAATGCAACTAGAAATGAGTGATTGACACTTGGTTAATTCAGCCTTCCATTGGTGAAAATCACCCAATAAGATTACGAGATTTGGTTTCGGCGGGAAATTTGCTTATTTCTTCTTGTACCCTTTGTAATCATGCGATATACTCATTGTCATACAACAAGTACCAGTTTGTACCTTTCTAACCCTCCGCTGGTAAAATTCTAATCGACTCTTTTCTACGAATTTTAAAACCAAGGCAGAAACTTGCCCCTTTTTTAAGAATACGAGATGCCATGCAGATACGCGACTGGACTTATTCATGAAAATAACATTCATAATATTGGTTTGATATCTATTTAACTTCATCAAATTGACAAAGTTTATCCTTCGTTTACATGGTAATCTTTTACTCACTTATAATGCAAAATTTCCACACGAAATATGAGTGATATTGAATGGAAACAATCCGAATGGTGAGTGTAAAAAGAACAGAGTTGTCCAGGTAAAACTTTTTACTAAAAGTTCACTGTATTTTCGGCATGTATGATGGATAACTTTCGGAACGTATTTCGTTTTGTAATTTGTCTTGCAGCGTTAATTATTTGGGGGTTGAGTGGTCTTAGCCACCCTTCTATAACCCCTTTAGCTCCTGCTCTAGGAAGAAGGTCATGATAATTTTATCACATACGCACAGGAACGAATATCGACCAGTCGGAATCCAGGAAAGTAAAAAGCTATATGATAACTGGTATATACCAGTGAAATGAACAAAGGTGAAAACTGTACCTTAGTTTAACATTCTTTTATTGTAACTTTTTAATGGCCTTTATTTTAAACAAAATGCAGGGTGTCAATATTGTTACAGACTTAGAACTCGAGCACTGCTATTCACAATTTCATCAGCAAAAACATATACTAACACCCCTCCCCCCCCCCTATGATAAGTGAACAAAATTTTCTTGAATCAGTTGAATTTCTCGGAATGTAAATTGGTTTTAATAATGTTCACATCAGATTTATTAGTAAAACATACAAAATAATTTACAAGAAAATCTTGATTGATCACATATTAACTATATTATCTTTGACAAAAATGATCATTATCATTTCTATTGAAGTACATCAAAAGAAAAGGAAAATTATTGACTTAAAGTTTTGGTCTAGTTTCGATCAGCTCTTTTATCTTGCTGGCACTGCTGGTTTCGTCATGATAAATCTTTCCATTTGACGTTGGGGATCATAACAAATGCTTGTCATCTGAAAGCCGTAGTTTTCTAAAGCGTGAACAATATCCATCTTCAAGAGTTGAAGAGCGTTAGGACCGGAGTACAATCGTTGATTAAATTTAAGGGTTATCGTTAACGCCATAGAGTACTTTCCTTGAGCTGCAAGAAAGACACAAGGAAGATTTGACAGACGTCTCTCAAGTTGTTCTACCATATCTTTATAACCACTGACAACAATATGCTGTTTTTCAAAAATTTCGATCGTTTCTATTTGTAAATGCCTTGGTTCTGTGTACATTTTATTCATTTTTTACGTTGAGTTCGATTTTAACCGTTGAATTTTTATTCTACTTTATTGTTCTCAAGGTGATCGCGTGACCATTAACGATTTTCTTGTCCAAACATGAAATAACTTGCACGAATCCATATGCAAATGTTCATAGCCCCTTGCAATCCAAGTGAAAAAGACATTTTTAATTTCAGAATTCATGCAATGAATGACTAACCAAATACCACTCACTACATGTACAAGCAAGTCACAACGACCATTAGCCATTAACGCATTAATTTTCGTTGTGTCTAGTCAAAATACTTAAATATATCTTAAAGACCAACATTAAAAACTATCGTAGAAGGAGTAATTGTATTACGGATATTGTTAATCCAGAGATTCTGCGTGCCCTTTTTCACGAGATGAATACACTGGACATACAACAAGGATTAAAACATTATTTCCGAAGCTGACTATTTTTGGTATAAAATATATATGGCATTGACAATTAACATATTTCCTATCAAAACATGAAATTTGAGATGATTGATGGTAAATCGACTTATAAAAGGACATTAGTAATACTCAATTCTCAATAGAGCTTGCATTTATAGTATTTATTTGCCCTAGAAGTTTGTTATTTTATTGAGCTAGCCAAGCGGATTAATTAATCTAAAAATTCCTTGTAACCATTGTGTAGTTTTCTTGAGTTTTGTCAAATAGAAGTCTTAGTCTATGCTCATATTTTTCATTTTGAATGAACAAATGTTTACGTGATTACAACAATCTAAACAATTTCTCCAAATATAGAGTGCTCTTGAAACATTCTTAAGAACTCTGAGCTGATATAAACAAGGAAAAGGCAGTACTATTGTACTAGTGTGCTCTAGAACACAAGGTAAAATAAACATTTACACAAATAATTCATAGCTTTAAACATCATTGAAAAAAATAACACGTTGATCATCAACGTGTTATTTTTTCAGGCTACATTTTATTTTAAATATTTTTCCACTTACATAATGTGTCGATGATAGAGAAACACGCCCTTTTCATGCCTACGTAGTTCCTTTTTTTCCGGAAGACTGAAAACCCATAAAGCTTAAAATTGCTTTGTTGTCTTCATCAAATCTACGATAGAAAACAATACGAACGCGTGCCGTGCAAATAAAAATGCCAAAGCCTGTGAACGTTGTTGTAGAAATGAGGTATGTTGATAAACGTTAGATGAAGTATCTCCTTTGGTGGTTCTTGCTCATTTGTTTTCAGCAATCACGCACATTACGTTGATTTGCATAAAGAGCGTTATGGAACGCATTATTTTGATCTAATCATAAATTTAAGACATTTTCTTGGTGCGTTTGGTGTACCTGCAATATTTTGTAATGTTGCAGATCGTGAAATAAAAAATACAATGGCAATCGTTATCTATCGATTTTTCACGATGTAATATTAATATTTCTAATTTTCTTAGTACTCTTAACACTAATTTCATTATTCTAGCGGTGAGAAAGCTTATAAAACTCTCTTTGCTGAGCTGTCTAGTTGGGTTCGACGCAGAACCCCTTCGGCCGAGTGTACAGGAAAGACTGGTAGCGATGGTCCGTTTACATTTTTTCAAGAGATTTCATTTTCAGTCGACAACGAGGAGAAATTTTAAAAGTTTTTGATGTTTAGGAGCTTTTGAAGTGTTTGTGGATGGCCAAAAGATATTCTCGAAGTTGGACAGCAAGGGATATCCTGTCTTAAATGACGTAGGTTTTATTGACTGCCATAGCCGATCTATCCTCAACTATCGTTCTCTCGTTGGTAGTTGATCTATCCTCAACTATAGTTTTCTCTTTGGTAGTTGATCTATCCTCAACTATCTTTCTCTTATTGGTAGTTGATCTATCCTCAACTATCTTTCTCTTATTGGTAGTTGATCTATTTTCTACCATCGTTCTCTCATTTGTTACCTTCATCATTTTTTCTGCTTCTTCCTAGATTGCCATGGTGATTGAAAAGTACGCGAATGGCAAACCAGCTGTTATTGTGACAAAAACAACGCCAAAGAAATGTCCACGTGGTAATGAAAATTGCGTGTGTGGCATAAGTTTTAGTTTAAAAAAAACAGATTGTCCATGCCAGTGTGTAAAATGTTATTAAATGTAGCAGCTTGTCACCTTACCTTGATCTCTATATACAAGATTTTATCTAAATGATTCTCTGTGATGTTTCTAACTTTAAATTTAAATCAATTTTTAATACTTAGCTATATCAGTTTATATACATTTGATTCAGACATATTACATTTTATCCTACACTTGTTAGTTAAATATGAATCAAAATATAGAAATCTACCGTCTCATATCACTGCGAAATAATACATTCATTCTGTTAAAAGCTGCACGCAACAATACATTGCTGATAAGAGTAAAAATTACTTTCTAAGGTTTAAATTCTTCCTCGGGTAACATTTTCGCTGTTATAAAATTTATTCAACCTATCAAATAAAGCAAGCGTTTCTTGTTCCCTTAGTCACAGACGCATCCAAGTGATGTAGACTACAAGTCTTGGCACTTGTAACTACGTTAAGGCTTGTTGTTAACAAGTGCATGTCACTATGAACTAGAAGATGGTTCACCACATGGCAATTCTTGACATTGCGCTTACTTTATTCATCTTCTTTGTAGTTAGAAGCATAAATTGTTTAGAATGGAATGATTTGATATGAAAATCAGAGCAAGTTTTTGACTCTTAGTTGTCTTGTTGTCGAAGACTATTGCCAAACACATTTCAAATTAAAGTCTTAGTAAACATTTTGAATAGACGACAATATTTCTAGGTTTGTAATTTTTTATCAAGGAATTTAGATCATATGGTAGAAGCATTAAGTAATAAAAAACGATAAACTCTTTATTTTCAAGATAGGGAAAACGGGGAAATCTGCCAAGAAATAAGTAGTATTCGTTATTATTTTAACTAAAACCCCAAAGAAACTAAAAGCAATAAATGCTTTTCTCTTACAAACACTTGATATGTAGTCTCGCTCACTTCCATCTCACTCGTCTGGCTGAGTGGCACAGACGCAAGGTTGTCAATCGTTCCATCCCCAGTTCAAGACAGTTTCGTTTTATTTCGAGTTTGAATGTTTGCATATAACTACTAGTAAAGTAGTGACAGTCGAATCTTCACAGGTTCAAGCCCAACTCCCTTTCTTTCACTTCAAGGTTGAAGAAAATGGTGAAATCTTCCAAAAAATGAATAGTATTCGTTGTTGAGCTTCTGGCTCAACAGGCTTTGACTGACCTCCAATGCACGAGGTTCTTGGTTCGTTCCGCGGTTGCTGTCGGTATGAGTTGAAGGGTTGAGTGCAAGGTTGAGGTTAGGAGAGAGTTTAAGGGCGGTCTGTTTGCCTGAGGTTCTTGACTATTAAAAATATGACTCCTTACGTTTGTAAGGAGTCATAGAAAAATTTAATCAAAAGAGTTAGTTTTTTTAGGGCAAAATTTTGTGCATGGATCCACTATCTTTTATTTACAGAGGGAATTTTTTTCTGAAAATATACTAAGTGTCGCATTCCATTCTCTAAAAACTTAGAAAGAGTAAACTCATTTGCACACTTTATGTGCAGTATTATCCTCCTTATCCTCGCATACTCCCTACCCTCGCTGACTCCGGTATCCTGACCAGTTTGACTAGTGTTCATCACAAGTTCAATGCACAACACCATACTACCCTTGAAGGATTCGAACCTCACACCTCAACCTGAGAAACCTGACCACTTGCACTCGACTACTGAGTGCGTTGAAGAATCCTCGTAAATTTAGTCTATTTATAGTGGAACACGTGATTAAAGTAATAAAAAAATATATATTCTGTTAAGTAAACAATCAATGAAACAAACTAATAAACCATATACCTTTTTCAAGAATCTAAGAGGTAAATCACAAAGCATTTAGTTGTAAAGAAATAATATTTTATTGTCAGTTTTGTCATTCGCACAACAACATTACATTAATAGTTTCTAGCCATTGGATTTATTTTCATGCATGATATTGCAGCAAGTATACATGTTTAATAGGGTTTTCCAATTGAGATTTCTTTTAGCAGCTGCAATCAATGTCTTTATGTGATACTATCTATCTAAACATCGTGGCTTTCAAATGCTTAGATATGATGTGGTATATGTGTCCATTAAAAAGACGCATTTTCTAACTTAGGCCCCATTGCACTATACCGTTTTGCTATCGTAGCAGGTTGAATAATCTTTATATTAAAAGGCAGTGCAATTGTTCAACGTCAAAAATACAACCAGACTAAATCTATCAACTTGATAAGCTTTTACTCCGAACAGTTATCCCTTTAAAGCAAATGAATATGTCGAGATGAGGAATCCGGTATAGTGTAAACGCAGCCTTAATTCTGCACTGATAGCTTTCAACGTTAACAGTGCAGTTTTCGTTAACGATCCCTTCCAAACTCACGTGATTTGGTTTCTCCTCTTCTTGTGGTATCTTATCAACTGTTTTTTTTTCACAAACATCAGTAAAGGTCTCTTGCTGTTTATAGGATCATGCCCAAATTATCGACTATTACCAAGTAGGGTTGAAAACACTAACCAATCTTCCTATCTTCTTGTGTTCTGTGATTCATCATTCCTCTACCATTTCCTGCATGGCTCTTCATTAGCATTTGATCACTATTTTCTACTGTTTTTTTCCTAAAATTAACTATTCTTGTCGTTAACTTCAGTTTGCTCGACTTAAGACACTAAATTTTCTTTCCACAACCAGAAAGTTTTTGAATCGATAACATACTTGTTGCTTTTGAGTTATCTTGTTTGCATTTGTTCTATCGCCAAGTTTTACCACGACGCCTTGTTGTTCATAAAAGCCAAAAACTTGAAGTGAATAATAACTTTGTGCAAGGTGTTATGCACGTCGTTATGTATTTGTTCGAAATGATTGTTAAACATTCATTGTTCCTACTTAAACAACTAAACGGATACCTATCAAAATCTAAAACAATAAGTATAGTCATGCCAAACAAAAGAACTATGCTCACCATTAAATATAAGACATAAAGGTAGACATAAAGGTAGACATAAAGGTAGACACAAGGTAGAAATAAAGGTAGACATAAATGTAGACATAAAGGTAGTCATAAAGGTAGACATTAAGGTAGACATAAAGGTAGTCATAAAGGTAGACATTAAGGTAGACATAAAGGTAGTCATAAAGGTGACATTAAGGTAGACATAAAGGTGACATAAAGGTAAGCATAAAGGAAGACATAAAGGTGACATAAAGGTGACATAAAGGTGGACATAAAGATAGACATAAAGGTATATATAAAAGTAGACATAAAGGTAGACATAAAGGTGGACATAAAGGTAGACATAAAGGTAGATATAAAGGTAGACATAAAAGTAGACATAAAGGTGACATAAAGGTAAACATAAAGGTAGACATAAAGTGAACATGAAGGTAGACATAAAGGTAGACATAAAGGTGACATAAATGTAAACATAAAGGGAGACATAAAGGTAGACATAAAGGTAGACATAAAGGTAGACATAAAGGTGGACATAAAGGTAGACATAAACGTAGATATAAAGGTAGACATAAAGGTAGACATAAAGGTAGACATAAAGGTAGACATAAACGTAGACATAAAGGTAGACATAAAGGTAGACATAAAGGTAGACATAAAGGTAGACATAAAGGTAGACATAAAGGTGGACATAAAGGTAGACATAAACGTAGATATAAAGGTAGACATAAAGGTAGACATAAAGGTAGACATAAAGGTGGACAATCTAACACATAAATTCCAAGACACAACTATACGACCTTTGTCAATGATATACACCATCACAAATATAAATGTAAAATAACACAATTCGAGAGAACCACACAAAAAAACAATTCGCAGTTATGTTTATCTTACTGTAATTTTATGGATTTCCTATAACATAATATCAAGGATTTTATACTGACATTAGTTTGCAATGCGAGTTAATTCTCAAACTTTTTTAATGTAAAAAAGTCCATTTTTTGGTGGATCTTCGAGGTCTAAAAAAATGAATGTTGATGATAAGTACAAGGACAAAAAAAATTTAGTCAACCAAACTTCAATACTACCTTCTTGATCGTGAACACGAAGCTGGTATAAGTTCACTTATCACTGGTTCTAGTCTTTTGAAATCCGATACGATGAACAAATTTTTCTTTTCTTTCGCTATTTGCTCTAATTGTTTTGGGTATACGCTGCCCACACCAACTACCATAACTCGTACACCTTTAGAATGTAACTGTTGCGCTGATGGAACGACGTCTCCTCTACTCTTTCCGTCAGTCATTAGAACAAGCACCTTCTCAGACTCAGGGCGGCTTCCACGTGCTATAGTGAATAGTTCATTTGCCTTCTCCAAACCTTTTTCAATGAATGTTTTTCCTCGTTTTCTCTCCAAGTTTTGCACCGCAGATATGAGCTGTTCACGCTGGTAATAACGGTCAAATGCGATCGCAATTTCTGCATCTGTACTAAACATGACAACACCTACTCGAGTCTCTCGCTCCGAGATCCCTGGGAAGGCGTCGATCACATATGTTACAAATTTAATGACGTCGTTGAATTCAATATCGTCAATGCTGTTTGAATCATCCAATACGAATGCTAGATCCAAAGCACCCGTTTCGCAACCTACAAAAGTAGGTTGTAGTCAATGAAAATCTTATTGCACTTAAATTGAAAGAAAAACCCGTCCGGTACTTTATAATTATGATGTGACAAAACTTACCGGGAATTTCACAAGCGGTGCCAGTAAAACTACCTGGACAGCGGCATGAATAGGTTAAATAAGGTTGCTCAACGCATGAGCCGTTGTTTTTACAAGGTGATGGATCACACGAGGTGCATGTAGATACCAGTCTTTCTTTCGTCACGTCTTTGCTAGGATAGCTAAGTTCCAGGGTCTTGCCGTTCAACGTTACATTCCCAATGCAGCCAATGAACTGGAAGTTATTATCAAGTTTCGTAAACTCGCGCCCATATACTCTAAGAGAGAAAAAAGAAAAATCACTTAATACTTCTTGATGTTATCCTAAAATATTTGTTATTCATCAACTCACCTTTCGGGTGATGTTTGACTTTCTCCATAAACTGTTCCAACGTACATTTTTTCATCAAGATTGATCTTCGTAAACCTTCCCACATTTTTCGCATTCACAAAACTCTGATCATCAATAAACAAACGCATTTCCACAGAGTTTCGGTACAATCTGATTTTGTGCCATTTATGCAACACTAGAGCCTGTCGACTAACAACCGAACTCGTACCGCTGCCAGAATCCAATCTAAGTGAA